GTTGCAGCCATCATCAGGAGAAAGCCTCCTGGTTTAAGCAGGCTCCGGATCGTCATCAGCGCCGTTCTCTGTTTGGTGAAGGCCTTGTGGGCAATAACCAAGTCAAAAGAGCCGTGAGCGATGTCGTCTGACTCTCCAATTCCGCTTTCAACGTCAATGGGTTTGAAATCAACTCTCTGATTATCCGCAGATAAGTGTGCCTTGACCTCCCCTATAGCGTCCGCGGACCCATCCACAATAGTATATGAACCCAAAGCCTGCCCAAGCTCTCGACATATGGATCGTACAAGGCTGGCTGAAGATGGTCCGACTTGGAGAATTTTTAGACGTGGGTACCGGTGAGAAATCTGCTTCGCTGCGCTCACCATATGCTTGTGAACTTGGGCGAAGCCTATCCCTTCATTGTGCCAACGGAAGACAAGTTCACTCAGCGATGCCGGTGTCTCCGCACCGACCGCGGAATTGTTCAAGAGCTTCTCGCCAATTACCTTCACAAGCAGCATATCTATGTGCTCTCCAAAATCCTCCATGATGGATCCCAGCTCGGATTGAGTTGGCTCGCTCACATCACGCGCTGCTGCCTTCTCCATCAAGCCCATTAAACCCGGAATCTTGTCGGCCAATTCGTAGAAAGACATGTCCATACTCAGTTCCGAAAGGTAATAGTGAATCGCTTTTTCACAGGCATCAATGACCTCCAGCTCACGGGGAGGAGGGTTCGGCTCCCCCGCTTCGAAGATAGCCCCCGAGAGGATGTCTTGCTGCCACACCGTCTTCAAGTACAACACTCTATCGTCCTTCTCACTAGCGGGAAGGAAGGAGCTCATTGTAAAGTCTTCAATGCGCACTTCTAGCTGCCCGGTCTTGGAGTTGTAGATATTCATATCGCCAGTAATGGTTGGCAAGGTTGCTTGGAACCCATGCGTAAATTCGGTAAGGCGCGCGTCGACGGCCACCGAGCCTGTGATTTTTGGTGTTGGAGAGAAGGTCATGCGGCCGATTGTAGTAGGCATGAACGCTGTCCATAGCCCACCATCTCGAGGAGCCGCATATGCTGCAAGGAAGGTCTGGAAACATGCGTCAAGCCAAGTCGGATGGATCGGAGTTGACCTTCCCACTTCTTCGTCGATGGAAATGACAGCGGATGCCATGTCCATCCGTCTCTCCACAGAGGTTATCGCCCTGAACGGCCCGCTGTAACCCAATCCAACTCGGCCGAGGGATTCGTAGAACTGGTTGACATTGACGGATAGCAGATCATGCTTTGGCTTGTGAGATCTGATAGGAAACATGCTGGCGGAGTGAGACTCTTCGCTGGCGAAGGAAATGCGTATTTCTCCAGTGGCAGCTGTCCTCATGTGTCCATCCTCCACTGTACCCGCGCTGAGACTGAACTCCGCTCGGATACACTCAGCCTTGCCCTTAATAGTGTCGATGTCACTGCGCAGAGACAGCAAAGTCTCCGTTCCGCCAGAAGACTCATCTAAGACAATTGGTCGTAGGATGGCCACGTTCGAAAGCTCTATGCTTTCTACTTGTTTTCCTCTACCCAGGGTTCTAGCAGCCTCCAGGGCTATAACGCAATATGTAGCTGCCGGCACAATGATCTGATTCTCGATGCAATGGTCCCGTAACCATGGCAACTCCTCCATCTTAAGGATATTCCGCCATCTCGGCTCATAATCGGTGTCATCCGGGGTTCTGCTACCAAGGAGCTCATGGGGCCGGGCCGCTCTGTCCCTGACCTGTTTATTGAGTCTGGATTCCCGGTACATGATCTGCTTGTGATCCCATGGATAGGTGGGTAGATCCGACAAAGGAATCACATGCGCTTGACAATTACCTTCCTCAAATGCAGATAGGTAGCCGGCAAAGTTGACACAAGCAGAGCCCAGGTGTGTCCAAACAAGGCCTAGAGCGTTGCTAAACGCCGTAATGTCGTCCGCCTTTCGGTCCAAGACACCGGAATAAGGGACTTCGTAGCCAAGCTTGGTCCTCATCGTCTCCAGTGTCGGCCCTCTCAAGGCTGGGTGTGGTCCAACTTCAAGGATGAGATCGAGGGCTCCTCTACCATCATCGAGCGCGGCCTCAAGTGCCTGGGAAAACAGAACTCGTCCAATCAGATTATCTGTCCAGTATGCTCCCCGCATATCGGGATCTTGTACATCAGTAATGATTCTGCTGTCCTCATAAACGCTCGATACCCAGGCAGTGACACCGTTGCTCTTGCCTACCTGGACGTTGCAGGTCTCGAGTTGAGCAGTATAGGGCTCAGCACACGGCAACATATGAGATGAATGGTAGGCAGTGTCTACCTTGAGCACACGATTAAACAGACCTTCATCATCGAGCATTTGCTTGGCCTCAAGGACCGCGTCTTCATCGCCAGAAAGTGTCACGCTCTTCGGCGAATTGCTAGCGGCTACGGTCAACCGGCCCACCATCTGAGCAGATGAACAGAAATTGAGCCCCTCCTCATAACCAAACCCGACAGCAATCATTGCTCCCCGATTGCCATCGGGTCCAATGGCAAGCTTGCAGACGATGCCGCGATAATAAGCAATCTTCACCGCGTCCTCGGCAGTGATCTTCCCGACAGCATACGCAGCACCAATTTCCCCACCCGAGTGGCCAACCACGGTGTGAAATGTGATGCCTGCTGCAGAGAGCAAACTAACAAGCCCTACCTGCACCGCTGCACAGATAGGAAGAGATAGTTCGGCATCACTTAGACGAGACTTGCCGGGTGGTGCCATCAGTTCTTCTTTGAGAGACCACTCTGGTGGATCGAGAAGCTGTGCTAGTGCCTGCTCCATGACCTCCATTGCTTCTTTGAACAAGGCACATCGTTTCATTAAGGCCTGGCCCATCCCTGGCCATTGTGCCCCCTGTCCCGTAAAGACACCTAGAATTCGGGGCCGTCTGTTCTCATCGAATTCTATAACGGGGGGCCGGGTGCCTATGGCTGTACTAGGGTTCTCGCGGACCTTAGCCAGCTGTTTGCTGATCGCTTCTAGTACGTCTTGCTTCGATCTCCCTGTGATGGCAATTCGTACTGGAAGGGTTGACCGATTCAAGCTAAGGGCCATTGCCAGACGTCGAATAGACACATCGGTAGTCTTCAGGTAGTGCGCATATTTGTCCAGCATTGCGACCAGGGACGATTCGGAACTGGCTGAGAAAACAAGAGGGGTCGGCGTAAAATCGATATCCGGTACAACGGAAGGTTGGACTCCATGAATTGCCTTTGGCCTTCCCCATGGACCATGGTCATGGACCTCGGGGACGTAACTTTCCATGATCGCGTGGCAGTTGGTGCCGCCGGAACCGAAACCGTTGACACTCGCCCGAAGTGGTTGGTTTTGAGGGACTTGAGGCCATTCCTGCAGGATAGTGGGTATTTGCAGCTTCTTATAAAATGACTTCACGCTTGGATTCAGGTTATGAAGATGCTGATTGGGCGGAATTGTCTTGTGTTGCATCGCAAGTAATGTCTTCAACATTCCCGCAATACCGGCAGCTGCATTGCCCGAGGTTAGCCTCTGATATGTACAACAGGTCGAAGTACATACTTCCTTCTGTGTGTCCAATTATTGTCTTCGCGGACCCTACAACCAGAGAAGGCCTCGCATCATGGTTGTGGCCAGGCGGGAAAAACGTTTGGCTGAGAGCAGAGGCCTCTCTAGGATCTCCAGCCTGGGTGCCAGTTCCTACATTGCACAAGCATCAGTCAGATTATCACAGCCTGCAGAAACCAAGCTGGCAGAGATATAAAACTTACCGTGTGCCTCGATGTATTGAGGCCTATCCTCGGCTCTCAAGATGTCCAGTCCCGCATTCTTATAGGCGGTGCTAATCAACGCTGCCTGCGCTTCCGCGCTTGGTAGCGCGATACCTTTCGTACGGCCATCCGAATTGACGCAGGTCTCTCTAATGATTGCATCGATCCGGTCTCCATCCTGAAGAGCCTGCGAGAGCGTCTTCATAAAGAAGGCACAAATACCTTCCCCTCGGGCATATCCGTCTGCGCCCTGGTCCCACATTTGAGATTTTCCGGTGGCCGAGAGCAAATGGAGACTGGTGGACGCAAGATATGCATCCGGCCCCAAAATCAAGTTAGAACCCGCCACGCAAGACGCTGTACACTCGCCATTTCGTAAACTCTGAACACCGAGATGGACAGCGGCTAAACTAGACGAGCATGCCGTGTCGACCGAGATGGAGGGGCCATGCCAATCAAAGAAGTACGATAAGCGATTCGACAGCAATGCGCGTGACGTTCCTGTGATCATGTACTGGGATAAATTCTCAATATCCCGTGTTTGGGTATCCGTATAATCCGCTGACATCGCGCCGACATAGGCGGATGTCATGCTGCCTTTGAGCCCTTGTAGGGTGAGGCCTGCATTTTCCATCGCTTCATAGACCGTCTCGAGCAGGAGCCGTTGCTGCGGGTCAATCGCCTCGGCCTCACGGGGGGCAATACTGAAGAATCCGGCGTCAAAGAGTCGTGGGTCCTCTTCGATGAAATAAGATTTGGTGACATTGCTGCTCCCATGGCGCTCGCCATTGGGGTGGTAAAATCCGTCGGGGTTGAATCGTGAATCTGAGGGAATCTCCTTCGATAAATCTCGCGGCGAGTGCAGCAACTCCCAGAACTTTGATGGGGAGGTTGAGTCCCCAGGGAACCGACATCCGCTACCGATGATAGCGATGGGCTCTTTTGGCGAATGTGTGTATGCCATGGTAGATTTGCATACGCTTGTGAACGGCGACGAATGAGAAATTCGATGTGGTACATAGGGAGCACAACCAAGCTATTTTGGTCATCTAAGTAATTAAAGGTCCCGGTGGGACGGCGATTGGGCCAATGAAGGCCAAAAGGTCCAGAGACCGAAGGTTCGGATCCGGTGCTTTTGCCTAGTAGACAACTCCCACGGTGCCGAATCTGAGCCCAGCAGAGTAATCATCCACAGAAAACCTCTTCGGTTGTGTCCGATCGGAGTTCATTCCCTATTGCCATATTCAACATTCATCCTATCGCCGTACGGACTGCCGAACAGGGTATTCTCTGGGAAAGGCCTCGTACCTTGTGATTAATCGCTTTCCGGTCGCAGTCTTCGTCCCTGAGTCTGACCTTGTACTGAATTCTTAACCATGGCGACGATGCACACCTTCTTCAAGTCCCCTTTCTTTAACTTCGAGTACCTTCGCCTTCTCGCCATGGCGCCCCACGAGGGCGCCGAGATCGGTGAGGCCCTCGAAGCAGCCGCCAAAATCAAGGATCTCGATCCGGAATCGTGGTTCAGCGCCTTCCTCGAGGCCGGTAACAAAGCAGAAGAGATCGCTCAGGAGGCCGAGCAGGCAGGCGACCGTGTAACCGCACGCCGGGCCTACCTCCGGTCCTCCAACTACATCCGCGCGGCGCAGTTCATGCTCAACGAGGGCCCGATCGGGCACGACCAACGCGTTCTTCCGAGTCTTGAGCGCGCCATTGCAAACTTTCGAAAAGGCGTCCAATATCGCGATGGGAAGACGTTTTTTCTGGAGATACCGTACGAAGACGGGCTCACGTTGCCCGGCTACCTCTACCTGCCCGAAGCTGCCAGGCGCATTCCGGGTCGCAAGATTCCGATCCTACTGAACTCCGGGGGAGGCGATTCGACACAAGAGGAGATCTACTTCGTCAACCCGGCATTTGGGCCCGAACTCGGGTATGCCGTGGTCACCTTCGAAGGACCCGGTCAGGGGATTGTACTTCGTCGCGACAAGTTACCGATGCGCCCGGACTGGGAAGTTGTCACCAGTGCGGTCCTGGATCACCTCTTTGACTTCGCCACCCGCCATCCCGAGCTGGAGCTCGACTTGGATCACATTGCTGTCACCGGGGCCTCGATGGGGGGATATTTTGCGCTGCGTGCAGCCACCGACGCCCGGATCAAGGCCTGCGTTAGCGTCGACGGATTCTACAGTTTAGCCAGTTTTGTCGGCGGTAGAATGCCGGGGCCTCTCTTCCACGGCTTCATGAACGGCTGGCTGTCCGACGCGGTGTTCAACGGCATTTTGCGGTGTCTCCAGGGATGGGACTTCCAAGCGCGATGGGAGTTCAATCACCTCAAGTGGGCCACCGGTACTACCACCGAGGCCGACATCATGCGGAGCTTTGGCGACTATACACTGCTCAACCCAGACGGGACCGAGTATCTTGCCGACGTCAAGTGTCCCACGTTGGTCACTGGGGCCGGAGCGAGCTGGTACTTTGACCCGGCGACCACCACCGACAAGATTTACGACTGCCTGACCAGTCTGAAACCGGGCGTGGACAAGGAAAAGTGGATCGCCCAGGACATCGCCCACGGAGGGCTCCAGGCCAAAATCGGTGCGTTCGGTTACTCGGTGCACAGAACCTTCCAGTGGTTGGACGCCAAATTCGGGATTGAGAGAGAGCCATTGAGGGCGACATCCGACTTGCGTGAGCTAGTCCAATAGTTTCGTCAATCGCCACGCAGTCCTTGAGATTCGAAAGTAATGGAATGCTTGAATTGATGAAAGGTCCCGAAGACCGCTGAATAGCTAAAGCCCACTGTGGGTCACCTGCAGTCTAACTAGATTAGGTAGGCGAGCGAGGGCCATGGAAATCAGGCACGCGTTCACACCAGAAAGAGACATCCAATTTTGTCAGTTAGTCAGTTCGCTGAGTACAGTAGTAATTTATTTGATGAAAAGGAAGTTAAGATCATTGAGAAATCTCAGTCGCTGATCCCGTGTCGGTGACATTAGTGTACGCAAGACTTTCCTTAAGGACATGAAACATATATATTCCAACTTTCCGCGCCGATTTGCAGTGCACGAGAAAAATCTCCATTTAGATACGCTGACCCCATGCCACCACCATCTCAATCCTTCCTCCCTCGGTCTCCAGCTCATCCCTCACCCGGTCCGGCAAAGATGAAAGTTGCTCATCCGTGAAAGAATTGGACACACTCCGCGCGACCGACACCAGGGGCCGAATAGGTCCGGTCACCCCATGAATACTCTTGCTATGTAATTCGGGCTTCGCCTTCTTCCCCAAGGAAACGATGACTCTGTTCTCTTGGACGTTCTGCAGGCCCACTTCCTCCAACATAGACTTCAGCTCATTGGCGAAGTCCCCTACCTTGATCCCAGCCCAGATCTCGGAGGCCATGCGCGCGAAGTCGGTCATGGCGGGGCCGTTGCTGGGGGCGCTGAACGCATTCAACTCCATGAGCTGGACCCAGCCGCCTGGCTTCGTCACGGAGGCGAGGCCTCTGATCACATCGACGGGCCTTTTGGGACTGGAGCCCGCCAGGCTTCCCCGGACATGAACGAGGTCGAATGCGTCTTTGTGCTCGTCGGCCCATGGCTCGCTGAAGGATTGGGGGAAGTATATCATGCCGTCGGTTTCCTCAGGGAAGAGCTCCGGCTCGATGTCGCTGCCGAAGTACTGGTGTCCGGCTGGGGCCGAGTTCCGCACGTCACGAAGCCAGATCCCTATAAACCAATATCAGTTGACAATCATCGGGATGTTGGAGGAGGGCCATGAACCGTCCGCGGTGCCGCAGTCGAGGATCTTCTTGCCAGGCTCCTGCAGGTCGAGAGGTGCCAGAACAAGCTTGCCATCCATGGCATCATAGTATGTCGCGTGGAGGGCAGCCAGGCGTTCCAGCTCGGCCGTGTGGCCAGCTTTCTTCGTCATGTCCATAAAATTGTCCATTGTGGTACTGTGAGATTCGCTGCTAGGCAGGTTTGGTAGCTGAGAAGGTGCACGGGACAGGATGATCTTGATCAGGTCGCTCGAAATGTCTGCGAGTAAGTGTCATTACGTGTTCTCCGTTTGGCTTCTCCTTTCATCTGTTTTGGTGCTCGCAGCCCATCCGTTACGGTACTTGATGCCGAAGGTAGGAACTTGGCACCGAAACAAAGGTGCACTACTATAGTCGTTTGTCCGCCGAAAGTGGCTTCAGGCACCTGTTTGTGTGCATCAGATCCGTCGTCCGAGTGAGCATTCGAGGCCCAGGAACAGTAAGTATTTCGGGCCGCACCCGAACTCCACCGGGTCTAGTGGATCTTCGATCGGATGATCCATCTATGCACCGGTGGATGGCAAACTTCCAATGGAGTAAACAGCTGAGGGTCGGAGTTCCATCACGTGCCCTCCGTGACATTCGGCGGCGTTGCCCCATTCGACGATGGCGTCGCTCCCCGCCCGTCTCTCCCCTCCACAATGAATGAAATGCCACTTTTGCTCACTCCGAATTTCTTCCAGCCAAGTGAGGTGGTTCTGTGACGATCAAACCATTCTGTGTGTGGACCGACGCCGAACTAGCGAAAGTGAAACAGAACCATACATTTTCTTCCCCCCGCTAAATTTCCGTTTCATCGCTACATTTTAGATTCCAGGAACCTAGCCCAGCCACTATCATGGGCGACATCGCTTCCGAAGGGCCCTCGAAGAAAAAGTGTCTTGGGGTCGACTGTGACAATGATGCGGAAGCCTTGCAGTGTCCGACTTGTTTGAAGCTGGGGATGAAAGATGGCTTTTTCTGCTCCCAAGATTGCTTCAAGAAGAGCTGGGTGGGTTGCCTCATTCGATTGACGCTGGAGTCGGATTGCTGACTGGGATCGTGCGATAGACCGAACACAAGACCGTCCACAAAACGGCTCAAGGCAAGACACAGGATGGTATCCTCCGCAAAATCATCCCTCCGAAGGTTGTCTCTGAACCCGATCCAGTTACCGGACTTTACAATCCTTTCCCGACCTACTCCTTCACCGGGTCAGTTCGACCAGTCTACCCGCTGTCTCCGATGCGTACCCTTCCCAAGTCGATCAGACGCCCTGACTGGTCTGAGACTGGCATCCCGAAGGCGGAACGGCGCCTAAACCGGATGAAGATTGACATTCTCGATGCCGAGGGCCAGGAGGCCATGCGCAAGGTGTGTCGTTTAGCTCGGGAGGTATTAGACATCACCGCAGCAGAGGTCCGACCGGGTATTACCACCGATCACCTGGACGAGGTCTGCCACAAGGCCTGCGTCGAACGGGATGTACGTGTTACTCGCTTTGCCAATATATACATATGCATATGTTTTCTAACACAGACAGGCCTATCCTTCGCCCTTAAACTATAATCATTTCCCCAAATCGCTGTGTACGTCCCCGAACGAGGTGGTTTGTCACGGGATTCCAGATCAGCGCATCCTTCTCGATGGTGATATTGTGAACCTTGACATCTCCATATATCACGGCGGGTATCACGCTGATCTGAACGAAACTTATTATGTGGGCGATCGAGCTAGGGCCGATCCTGACTCAGTCCGGGTGGTGGAAACGACGCGAGAGTGCCTGGATATGGCAATCGAGCTCGTGAAGCCTGGCACCCTTCTCCGAGACTTTGGCAAGGTCATTGAAAAGCATGCAAACTCCCGAAACTGCGCCGTCCACACGACCTGGGGTGGACATGGTATCAACACCGAATTCCACCCCCCGCCATGGATCCCTCATTATGGAAAGAGTAAGGTGCCTGGAGTGTGCAAACCCGGAATGACTTTCACCATCGAGCCCATTCTGACACTGGGAAAACCTCGGGAGGTCTATTGGCCCGATGAATGGACTAACGTGACGGTGGACGGCAAACGGACGGCTCAATTTGGTGAGTACCGCATGCATATGACGTACAGAGCCCAAAGCTAACATCCATGGAGAACACACCTTACTGGTCACCGAAACTGGGGTGGAGGTCTTGACTGCGAGACTGGATAACTCCCCCGGAGGCCCGATTCCAATCCCCACGACCGACAACGGCAATAGCGCATAGTCCACCTCGTACATCATGAACTAAATAGCATAGTCAGATGAAGCGGATAAGGAAAATAGGCGATTTTTAAGGCACGGTAGCACGTAGGCTTGATTGAACAACACCATGAGTAGGACCGATGCTCTTAGGCCGTAGCCAAAGTCGAGAGATGGCTGGGATCGGTTCATTTCGGAGTACCATGTACCTCTCCGGCTTGGAGGCGTCTGACTCGGTGTAGTTCCTTCGGCTCGCAATAACCATCAGAGCGAAAGAAGTAAACATGATCCCTTCGGAATAAGGTACTCTCCATGGAACGATGCCTTCTTCGGATTTGTACTTATCGCCGACTAGCGTAACGTTTCAAGATGGCCTTGTCATCAGGTCCGAACGCCGATATCACTGTGCCGGTCTACCCCCCTGGACTCGCTACAAAAGTTCTCAAACCACCCTGCAGATATCCACCTCGGAGTTTCCCAACATCACACTAAGATTTGTCATACCCATCACCACCATGGACGAGCCCATCCAGAAGAGACGCCTCCTGCGCATGACCGTAGCGCACTACCGCCAACCCGACGTCAGTGAAGAGGACTTCCATCGCTGGGTGACTGGGCAACACGCCGCGTACGCAGCCAAGCTCCATGCCAAGAATGGGATCGAGGGGTTTTCGATCGTAAGTGCTTCACGATGCGCCACCGGCATGGTCTAGACTAATTACTGACTCACAACGGTGTAGTATTTCGCTCCGAAGTCCTTCCGGGACATGACGGCGCAGTTGAACGCCCAACGCGGTAGCCCATGGGTGGTCCGCGACTACGACGCCCAGGTGGAGTTTTACTTCCGCGACATGGAGACCTTCTACAGGGGGGCATCGGACCCGGAGTTCCAGGTGCTTCAGGCAGAGGAAGAGGGGTTTATTAGTAGGATTCATGCCGAGATCAGTGTTGGGTGGGTGGAGACCTACGTGAGTGATGGGAAGGTCGTGAATATCGGTGATGATGGGAAACCTGAATATCCGGCTTTTGCGCAGCTTAGTGTAGCGCCCTAGGAGGATTTTTCAAAGGGCATGAAGCGAAGCGAAGCGATAGCAATTGGCCTTGCTGATGTGTTTGGGAATTGTACCTACTTATTTAAATTTCAGAGTGCCCATGGCACAAGGGAAATTTATTTTATTTATTTACGCTTTTTCTTTTTAAAAAAAAGATCTCTTCCACTTCAAATACCTAGCCTAATCTGCGCCAGCACCAAGTTTCCTATCATCCCCAGACCGCAGCGCCAGTCGCCACACCACGTGGAGGAGCTTCATCGTGGAATCCTCCTTCGTCCGTATTGCCTGGACCGTGACTTTGGCGACGCCGCTTAGCCCGTCCCCGCCTAGGATGCCCTGCTCGCCGATCGTCCGGGCCGGTCTCATCATCTCATTCATCTGGTCATGGATCTGCGTCATCGTGGCCTCGATAATGCAGATCAAGACGAGGGGTCTCGTCGAGGACGACGCCGGTAACTGAAAGCAGCCGATAGCGAGCCGAGGTAGCTGAACGGGGAAGAAATGCTCTCCCGCCGTCGCACCCCCCAGCGTCAATCGCACCTCTGTCCATGCTTTGATGTGCTGCAGGATCTTGTCATACGCCTCGACGAGACACAGATAGCTGGAGAGAACCAGCAGCTGGGACGGCTGGTCTAGTGCCAGCGCTCCTCTCGCCGCGGGGGGCGATCCGGTCTGGGTCTGGCGGGTCTTGCATTGCGAGAAGATGTCGTTGAGGGTTTCCGTATACTGGTGGGAGAGCTTGAAGGTGCGATCTACGGCCAGTTCGTGCGGGAAACTTGGATCGTTGCTCGTCTTGCAGTTGGTCCACGGGCTGTGCTCTACATCCACCGACGGAATGGCTAGCATGTGCTGATGTAGCTCCACGTTTATGTCGGACAGTTTACGAACCCACGAGGTCATGTCGCCTGCCGATTTTGACGTGTGTGGCGGATATGAGCTCTGAGTGCCACTGCTGTTGGAATGTGGTCGACTCGAGACGGAGTGCCCGTACCCAGAGTCCGCGGTGGTGTCTTCACTGCCGGTGTTCAATGCCGTCCCGCCCTCGTGGTCGAAGTCCATCAGGTCGTTCAGTTCCTGGGACGAGCCGTTGATGGTGATGTGTTTAGGAGCCACGGTTCTGGTTAGGGACAAGCGATGTTGGGAGTGTGTGGTCGCTGGTCTGGAGCAGGGCAGCACTGCGGATGCGGCGGAGGGTTGGATATAAGAGCTTTGTGGTGCGGCGTGGACTTCATTCTGCTGTTCCGGTTCGAATCGCCCACCCATACCACTCCGTAGCTCCAGAGGGAAGGGTTGGCTCGGCGGATGATTCTGAATAGGTCCTAGATCCATGCTGGACTGCAAATCGCGCGCTTCCAGGGGATTGCCCATTTCCGACTGCGGCGACGCAAAGTCCAGTCCGAGATCCAAGTCCGCGGGAAAGTCTAGCAAGCTCGAGGGAGAGAGATGGAAATGCTCCGACTCGTCTTTGTTCGTCTGCTCCGGTGCGTTTACTGGGCCGAGGTGTTAGCTCTGGGATGCCCTCCAACAACCTGCTAGTGAAGGCTCGGCCTTACCTATGGATTGTGTCGAGGTGGCATTCGAGATGCCTGCCGACTGCTGCGTTGTGTGCGCCCGTGGGCGATGTCTGGATCTCACAGGCCTTGGGGCACACTGGACTCCTGCTCTCTGACAACGGACACAGGGCTCACTATTGTTCTCGCGGCGACATCGTAGCTTCTGACCGTGACAGCGGTCGCATGCCCTCCGCAACAGCCCGAGATCATGGACGAGCATACTCATAGTGTCTGTTTTCAGTCGAAGGGAATGTGAAGAAGGGTGGGATGTGGTAGATAGTATCCTGACCACACATTGGATTTTCTTTTTCAGCTGCTACTGATAATGGATCTACCGTGCATGTCGCGTTCTTATGGTCGCCTGCAGCATCTGAAACAAAAGAATTCAAGAGAATCCAATCACATACTACTGCAGGCAGTGAGCAAGGAATCTCATCCTGGCGCTAAAATGAAGAGTGGATCGAAAACGACATCGCCAATGGGTGCGCAGGGTGCCGTGCACGAAGAACAGGACATGCAGGATACGAGTGAGACCCCTGGGACACTACTATGACCGGTGCTGCATCTGACATCCTGCGCCGCCAGACAAAATGGTGGAGTAAAAGTATCCCAATCACATCCGGGCAGCCGCTACTTACTATTATTGGCTCGAGGCTCGTTTACAACAATGCGGCGCATGATATGCCTCCACCGAACCCCCTTGTCAAAGATGCACATCTCTCTTGGCAGCTTATTGTCTTCCCCTCATTTAGAGACACAGTACTAGTGCGAGAATCCTTATTGCCCCATCTTATGCCACTGTAATAATTTCGGGAATGCTATCGCAGATCGTCTAGCTAAGGAGGCTGTTGGGCTGAAAGAAACTAATTCTTTCTGATGTTTAGTATCGCGAGAGAAAGGGTTCATTCATAATTGGATCTACAGGTAAAGATCAATGGGATTATGGAAGAGACAGAAAGTCTATTCCTGTATGATGTCCGTGGATTTCCAACTGTCCGCCAACTCCAGACTCCTAACGAGCAGGAGTCCACCAGGGAGATAACATAATCACTTCAACCCCTCCGTGACAGTCGCCACTGTGGCCGCCAAAATGCACAGAAACGCCGGCGCATTGACTAAGAGCGTCCGGCTGCGATGCCGAGGCAACCAAGTCTCAAGGGCGCTCTCGTTCGGGACCCCCGCGGTCGTGGGATCTTGAATGCGTCGCAGAATGGCGAACATGGACGGCCCCCAGCAGAAATGAGCGATGCTGAACAAGGCCCCGGCGAAGTAGAGGTGACGGATCTCCGAGCTTTGGCCGCTGAACCCATTCACAAGGCAGAGCACGGTGGCTGGTGGGTAGGTTAATCCAATGCCCCAAATCCCCGGTTTCATGAATGCCGGCAGGAATCGTGGGAGGATTTGGCCGCTGGGATGGGCGGGATCCTGCCGCAGTGAGGGATGCACGAAGGCGCCGAGCGAAATGTCTTGCGCCCAGCTGAACATGAGGGAGGCAGACGAGAGGACGAGGGGTGACACGCGGAGAAGGGCGACGCCCAGAGGAGGGTCATTATTGGTAGTGAAGAACGATGCCATGATGTAACCCGAATGAGGTCAATCGATCGGTGCAGTTGCCCTTCACGAGGCCTTGATTGTTTCGGCTGGAGTATATAAGCCCTAGACGTATTAGCCCATCGAAGGACCGATGCGACTGGTTCGGTCCGATGCATTATATATTGAAATAAGCTTGTTTTTCGGCGGTTATTCCCAAATCTCGGGAGGTCCGAGCCACCGAATTAGCAAAAGTCCCAACCCTAATAAAAAGCTATGCTCCAACGTGGTGAATGTCACCCTGTATACTTCTAGTATCGACCACCATGCCGCACAAGACAGATTACGATGCGATCGTCATTGGGGCCGGCTTCAGTGGGATCAGGGCCCTCTGGGAATTACGGCATCGAGGCCAGTCCGTCAAGTGTTTTGACGCGGCACCAGATGTAGGAGGCACCTGGTACTACAATCGCTATCCCGGGTCCCGAACCGATGGCGAGGCTTGGGTTTACATTCTCAAATTTTCCCCGGAATTGCTCGAGGAATGGAATTTCAAAGAGCGATATCCGACACAGGAAGAAATCCAACAATACTTGGGTCGTGTTGTAGGTCAGTTAGGAATGCGCCAGCGACAAGGCAACGAACACAGAGCTGACACAAGAGACAGACCGCTACGATCTGCGAAGGCATATCGAATTCGGTACGCGAATCGCTTCCGCACGCTACAGTGACAGCGAGAGCATCTGGACGATCACCACAGCGAAGGGAGTGTCCACCACCTGTCGCTACTTTCTCCCAGCCACGGGGATCCTGTCGATTCCCAAAGCTCCGGATTTCCCGGGCTTCCAGACCTACACCGGCGAGTGGTACCAAGCGTCCAGCTGGCCGGCGCACAAGGTGGATGTCCAAGGGAAGCGTGTCGCCATTGTGGGTACCGGTTCAACGGGCGTCCATCTCATCCCTAAACTTGCGCCCGCCGCCCAGGAACTGACCGTGTTTCAACGCACCCCGAACTACGTGCTTCCAGGGCGCAATTATGCCATTGATGAGTACCAGGTCGTCGACATCAAGAAGAACCACGATGCCGCGTGGGAAATGGCGTCGACGAATCTCGCCGGCCACGCCTGCAGAGCATCGGGGAGAATCCTCAAGAAGACGGACCCCGACCAGATCCGACAGGTCTTCGACGATGGCTGGGAACGCGGCTGTTTCAACTTCCAGATGGAGACATTTGACGATGTGTTCATGGACCCCGAGTCTAACGAGCAGTGCGCAGAATTCATCCGCCAGAAGATCTGCGCCATCGTGAAGGACCAGAAGACGGCCGAGATCCTGTGTCCCAAATATCCGTTCGGGGCCAAGCGGCCGCCGTCCGGACATCACTACTTTGAGACCTTCAATCGGCCGAACGTCAACCTGGTCGACATCAGTCGAGACGAGATCGAGCTGTACGAGAAAGGAATTCGGATGAGCTCCGGTGCCGAATACGAGTTTGATATGATCATCTTTGCGGTAGGATTCGATGCCGGGACGGGGGCGCTGAACCAAATGGAGATTACTGGGACCCACGGAGAATGCTTAAAGCAACATTGGAGCGACCGACTGGGCACCTTCGCTGGTGTGCTGGTCAATGGGTTTCCCAACATGTTCATCGTGTGCGGCCCTCATATGCCGGCAGGGAATCAGCCCGTGATGCTCGAGATCGCCATGGATTGGATCGGCAAAACGATCGGTCACATGGAGAATCACAAGCTGGCGACGGTTAATGTCACTGAGAAAGCGGAGCATGCATGGACGGAGCATGCAGACGGACTGTGGAATTCTGTCTGGATCTCCAAGCCCGCCACCGAGCACCGCTCTTGGTTCGTTGGCACCAATATCCCAGGAAAGCCTGCGCATATAATGTTCTACTTTGGCGGCGTCCAGGGATGGAAGTCGTGGCTCGACAGTGAGCTCAGCACGGAATGGTCCGGTATGGAGTTTACTGCTCGCACAGCCACGGACGAAGATGAGGATACTGCTCCAGTGGAAGAAGACACTTTCGGTCAAGCAACCTCCGTGGGCGGAGTTCCAATTACCGCGGAGGTGCTGGAGTCGGTTGTCATGCCCCTACAATCCGATGACATTGGAATGTCCGCGGTCGAGAAATTTAACCTTGTCTCGGCAGCCTGTGCCCGGTACATCGACTGGGCTGTCAAGGAGGTGCAGGGCCGGGATCTGGTCGTGAAACAAGACCACCGAGTCCGCTGGTGGAAGGTGATGCAAAAGTTTGTCGAGTCCGAGTCAGGACGGGCGCGCATTGAGCAGAGCCCAAGCACAGCGGAAGACCTGCAAGTGCTCACATCGAAGCTGGGCATCGAAGGCGAAGCGATATCCCGCATTGGGCCGGAGATCGTTCGCATGTTGACCGGCCAAACGAACCCGCTGTTCCACATGCTCAGAGATAGCCTCTTATTCCGGATGTATCTTTCCGACGAGGGAGCCAGACCGAACAGATATATCGCCGAATATGCGAAGATGCTCACCAGTCGTAAGAAAGGCCTGAGGATCCTCGAGGTCGGTGCTGGCACAGGAGGGACGACCTTCCAAGTGCTGAATGCATGCAGTCCGAAAGGTGAATCCTTCTGTTCGCAGTATATGTATACTGACATCTCCCACGGGTTCTTTAAAACGGGTCAAAGTACCCTGAAAAAGTGGGACGGTCTGCTCACATTCAAAACCCTCAACGTGGAAAATGACCCCACCAAGCAAGGGTTCGACGGGCACTCATACGACTTGATCATTGCGGCTAACGTCGTACACGCGACGAGTTCGCTCACAAAGTCATTGCGTAATATTCACAAACTGCTGAAGCCCGGCGGCGTGCTCGGGCTGGTCGAACTGACTCGGTTAACCCCTTACTTTAACATGGCTTTTGGTCCGCTGGCCGGCTGGTGGCTTGGTGTCGACGAGGGTAGAACGGAGAGCCCGCTGCAGTCTGCAGAGCAATGGAGCAAGCATCTGAAAAAGGCTGGCTTCTCTGGCGTGGATCTAGCAGCTTACGATTTGCCAGAGCCAGAGAGACATAGCGCTCTTCTGCTGGCTACTGCTCTCGTGGCTCCTGGTGGGATCTAGTGTTTTATGATTCATGTTTTGTCTTTGTTTCTTTGGCGGTGTCGACAAGAGGAATTCTATGTGATATATAATGATTCTCTCAGTTAGACGATGCGCTACGCATTCGATCATTCCACCAGCTGCCAGTTTTTTCACTATCCTAGCACCTGCAAGGGCCTGACTTTTGTATGCCACTGGATAGAGTTCGCATATCAAATTCTTTCCTCCACGACCAGTAACTGTATTCTAATTTGCCGATATTATTGTCGGAAATGTCATCCTGCTTTCCGGACATTTCGTGTCTGCGCAAGCTACTACGTACAGTCACAATGCTTTCAGAAAAGACCCATGCTAAACTTTGGACTCGGCGAGTCCCAATCCATGCGAGATAGAGAAAATACTCATCAGCCGACGATCCGAAAGGACAAACACTTGTACTGCGTAGATTCCGACTTGGGCAATTCGGCCCGAACCGAGTCGGCGCCGTACTGGAAAGAGTTTAGCGTACCGAACGGACGCCAGATTAGGTTAAGAAGCCGACACAATTCCGAACTATGAGGCTTTCGTGCATTCTCACAATAGACTGGATTCCGAATGAGCACGGGTTTGTGGAGGAATGAAGCCCAGGTTTTGGTATGCTTTACATAGTTTACGCTAGGGTATGGCCATCTGTGATCCATCACCATGCATAATGATACAGAAAGCGAATGCGTGAAGTCTTGCATCCTGGAATAAGAGGAGTCTAACCATGAACCTGCTATCGCAATGGTGGTGGCTCCCGCTGCTGGGACTCGTACTGCATTATGCTACTGGGAAAGTCGCGAGGGGCCGGCGTATGAAAGGTGCGAAGAGACCTCCAGGGCCCAGAGGTACATTATTGTATTTCTTTTATTCTCTTCCTTTTTTCTCGTTAGGAAATCCCAACTGACGATACTGCCCCAGGATGGCCGTTCGTGGGAAATGCGTTGGATCTGGCTTCGGCCAACAGCACGGACATGATCCATATATTCCACAAGTGGAGTGAGCAGCATGGTCCCATTACCCAGATCAGCCTCATGGGCGCAAAGCAGGTAATCCTGTCGCAGGAGAAGATTGCGACCGAGCTATTCGTCAAGAGAGGAAATCGCTATTCTGATCGTGGGGCGCCTCATGCCGTAGAGTATATCTCGATGAAACAAAGCCCTGGGTTCAGAAATAAGGATGGTAAGCCGTTTGTACCGTGCTGAATGTCAACTATCGATGGCTAATGAACCAATAGAGGGCTGGCGCCGACAGAGAAAAATGCTACACAGCGCTGTCTCTATTGCCGCAGTCGATAACTACCAACGCCTCATGGACGATGAAGCGACATTTTCTCTGTCCACACTGATTCAGTCGCCATCGTCGTTTCACGATGAGTTTCTCCGGTATGCTTACTCGGTTCTTACGAGCTCCATGCTGGGGTTCTCTATCCCTTCGGCGTCCGATCCATTTATTCGAGACAATGAGAGCTTCACGGCAGAGATCATGAAGTCGTTTCGTCCGGATTGTTTCCCGAGTAATGTGTTACCCATCTTGCAGCGCTTTCCCCGCTGGCTGCTCCCCAGTTTGCAGAAGATGGAGAAGCTCAGAAAGGAATATGTGGGCCAGATGTGGTCCTTTCGGAGAAAGATCCAGACAAGCATCAAAGACGGGTCGACCATGAATTCAATCTATAAGCACTTCCTGCTGAATCGGGGCGATTACACCGTGACCGATGAAGAGTCCGTCCATGTGTTTCAAGCCATGATCGACGGTGGCACCCGCTCCCCGCATAATAATCTCATCACACTCTTGTTCCTGATGATGGAGTATCCGGAGTGGCAGCGGAAGCTCCAGAAGGAGATTGACGAAGTTGTTGGCAAGGATCAAATGCCGAGCTACCAAGATGTCCCTAACCTTCCGACTGTGAGAGCCATTGTTAAGGAGGGCGTCCGATACCGGTCAATAGTGGCGGAGATGGGAATCAGTCATTGTTTGGAAGAGGATGATGTGTATAACGGGTACGCCTTCGAGAAGGGAACGGTGTTCCATGCAACTTTCGCGTAAGTCATATTCATCCGCATCACGGAACGCCCTCTCCAGTCCTGCTAATCGTACTAGATCCATCTTGACGGATAAGGAGATGTATCCTGACGGCAAGCTATTCAACCCAGCGCGTTGGCTGGAGCCCAGCTACCCAACCTACAGGGAACCCCTCACTGTCTATCCTAACTGTCAAGCTTATCCCGCGTTTGGCTACGGTCGAAGAGCCTGCCCTGGAGTGGACTTTGCGGAACGAAGTCTGGTGATTTTGCTTGCTAAGCTGGGTTGGGCTGTGAACATCGACTGGCCACTTGATAATGACGGAAATGAAATTCGAACAACACTGGTTTATGAGCCGGTTCCAGCGCCGAGGCCAATGCGATTTGGTTGTAGGATTGAGCCTAGAGACCCCGAGCGGGTCAAGATTGTTCAGAGCGTGGCTGAGAGATTGAAGATGAACTAGGGCTGGCATGCGGAGAGGCGTTCTACAAAATGAGAACTTTCTATTTGCACCGGATCCGGGTAGGATGTTGTACCATGTTCAATGGCATGAATAGTATGGTAAAGACCTATATTATATCGGATCACGTTCTCGATATGGAGGATTTACTGCCTGACTACGTAGTGCATTGCGAAGTTCACAGTGAGCGTGGCAATACTGCGTATAGATGGCCGATGGCCGATGTTTCTATGTCTAACGCTATCTATTTCCACGATTCTACGGCGATGGATGCCACATCCTTGCCTCGCAACACGCCAATCTCATGACCTCCCGTGATGACGTGCTCGTCAACATCTTCGGCACTGAGAAGCCCTTGCAAATCCTCGAGGAATTCGTCTTTCATGACGATCACATCCCGATCCGCGAGAATCAGGCAAGCACGACCACCCGGTAGACCGGGCGGTGCATCTGATGTTCGACGACGCGCCAGTTCGTCTCTCAGGGCTTCCCACATTCGGTCATGGTCATGACGCCGATATACCAAACACCCTCGGATGGTGCTCAAATACGACGGCACGAATCCCGGATTCGCGCGGAGCTGCCATCGGATCACGTCGCCGATCCTCACCTGTGGCCGATCCGCTGAGATCGGCACTGCGTCGAAGTCCATATCTGCGCCCTGGGCTGCGTCGGGGACATCGGCACTTGGGGCGCCGGTGCTCGGTTCTAGGTCGCGACGAAGGAGTCGGAGGCGTAGCCACTCTGGGATGAAGCGAGATGAGTAGAGGACCTGACTTCGGCGGCTGATATGCGATGGGCGGATCAGTCCTCCCGGACAGATGACAGTAATCGAACGAAGCATGGTTGCGTGGTAAGCAGCAAATGCGACGGCGATTGAGCCGCCGAGGGAGAATCCAACGATATGGAAGGCGGATGATCCCGTCCATGAGAGGGGAGAAGATGAGAGAACGAGAAGAATCTGTGTCGTGTAGAGCCGAGCGTCATGTGGGAGATCATTCGGCGTTTCCGAGTAACCTCTACCGAAGAGGTCTGTGGTACAATTGTCAGCAACGACGTATCCCCCGAATGAGAATCCAAGACTCACCGAAGAGCATCACCCGGTTTCCCCTACGCACAAACTCTTTTGCCATATCCCCCAAGGCAATACATGGGGTGCCGAGACCGTGCACCAACAAGACCTTCTCGCCAGTTTCGGGTCCCCATTCAAACACCTGGATCATTCCATATACGGTCCGAATCTTTCTTCCTCCGGGAAAGACATGCACTGGGTACGGCAATTCAGTCGGTTGTTGCTCGTGGTCAATATTCACCCCGGCCTTTGGCTCTTCCGGCAGATGTTGTATGGTTTTGCGAAAGTGGCGGAGGTGTTCGTAGAGAGCGAGGAATATTGCTGCTGTTAGCGCTGCGAGAAGCGGTGCCGGAGTAATAGCCAGTAGCTGGTTTAGATCTACCATGATGGCGTTGAGTTGGGATACCAGGGAAAGACAACGACACTTGAATAATTATCTATTTCTATAGACCAAGCCCTTGTAATCTTATGGTATGTCCTAACTTGGCTATTTTGTCCAAACTAGCGTCGGCTCTTCGGGGTTGATATCCAGCTCTGGGTAAGCTCGATACGTCGGTGGTCTGGATGCCTTCGGCGTGGAGGAGATAGTTTGCCCAGCTCTTGGGACCTTCCTTCTTACAAAATATATCGTGAGCGATGAAAGTTTAAGATGGGATTGAATGAAATGACACTAGGCTATGAATAAAGACTTCGAGTGAGGTATAGACCACACTGTAAAGACGATCCAACAGTTTATCCTCGATATCACGATCACAACCTCTGTGAATTCAGTTGCATCCCAATGATCGCTGGTATCACATCAATACCAATGGTGACTTCGTCACTCTCCGGCTGAAGCGATTAAATCGATTGGGTGACATTGAAGAAACGCTCTTGAAACCTAGAGTAGGCACCCTCGTTATTGACATACAGCTGACACGAACGCTCCGAGAAAGGCTTCGTTTTGTTTCTCCTCATCTAGTTCCTAAAAGGACTACCACTCAATCAAGGCTTCCTCGCGACCTAATACACCTCGAAGGCCAGTTTTGGGAACTAATTTTCCGACAGTTCAATTGAGAGATTCAGGAACAGACTCGGTCACAGCTTGCTTGTGGGGGGCACATTGGTCAATTTCGGTTCGTCGAGGAATTCGACCTTCTCGGTGACAGCAGAGTAGATGGGCTGGTTGATAATGTGCTCGAACCAACGAGATACATTGGGGTTGGCCTGGCGCCATTCCTTGCCGTAGAAGAACACGAAGCCGAAGGAAATAATCCCGGCGCAGAAGAGGTCGGCCAAAGAGATCTCCTCACCGACCAGGAAGGTTTTGCCGGTCAGATGCTCCTCCACAACGTCAACAGCTGCCTGGGCCATATTGGTGAACATGTCTACCGTGTCTTTGTTGTAGGGACGGATGCCGACCAAGGGAAGGTACTTCTCGACCAGGGGGACGATGATTTCGGAGTTGAAGAAGGACATCCATTTGAGGATATTGGCATAGTCCTTCTTCGTCTTTCCGAGAAGTGTAGTCTCCTCATTCTGGGAGGTGACTGATGCCGTGTGAGCTTTGATCATACGAAAAGAAGCACATCAACCTACTGTAAATGGCGATGGCAATGCACTCGATCAGCTCGAAGCCATCCTCGCCGACAAACGCAGGAACCTTGCCCAGTTTGCTGACCGCAAAGTGGGCAGGGGTCTTGGGCTCTTCAACGATTTTGAGATCGAGATTATTGGCTTTGGCGACCGCTTTGATCGCGATGGTCCGAGGCTGGTCGCCCTGCAGGGGTGTTGTTATTATACGTAGCGGTGGGAGATGATCGGCTACTTACCGGGAAGCTGTAGATCGTGCCGAAAGGCATTTTTGCTCCTTAGATCTGAATTTAGCAGGGGATGGAAAATCAAAGAAATACCATTCAACAGTGAATACTTGTCTCTCATCAATCTCGATATGCTAGTCTTATAGGCCTACCTAGTGTGGGTGGAACCCAAGATTCGGGCCCCGAAACCTGTGCAGCCGCCGAAAGACCGAACGGCTAAAGAACCATAAAAAGGCAGACTTCTATAGCTATTGTGACTCGCTGCAAACGCTCCGCAAAGAAGGAACCAGACATGGCTCCCAGGGTGCCGATGCAGCCACATCTCCAGGATGAGGTTCTTCGCGAAAGTTTACAGAACCCACAGGAGTTCTGGGCGCGCCAGGCAGAGCACCTCCATTGGCACAAGAGGCCAGAAGCCACCCTCCGATCGGCCCAGAAGACACTTCCAGATGGCTCTGTGCACCCCACTTGGGAGTGGTTCTCCGGTGGCGAGATATCGACCTGCTACAACTGCGTCGACCGTCACGTACTGGCCGGCAACGGGGACCAGGTGGCCATATACTACGATAGTCCGGTGACCAATACGAAGGAGAGATATACGTACAAACAGCTCCTTGATGAGGTTGAAGCGTTAGCCGGGGCACTTAAACAAGAAGGTGTCAAGAAGGGCGACGTGGTAATGCTGTATAGTAGGTGTGCTTCTATGATACCATGGCATCGATCGCATGGCACTGATTCTGAACCCAGTCCCGATGATCCCCGCCGCCTTGATCGGAATCCTCGCAGCTAACCGTCTTGGAGCTATTCACTCCGTTGTTTTTGGCGGCTTTGCACCGAATGCGCTGGCTCAGCGGATTGACGCTTGCCGGCCAGTTGCTCTCCTCACGGCCTCCTGTGGCATCGTCGGGAACAGGCCTCCCATCGCCTATCAGCCACTGGTAGAGGAGGCGATCGAGCTCTCTTCGCACAGGCCGGCGCGTACTGTTATCTGGCAACGAGAACAACTGCGTTGGGAGATCAAGGGCTGGTGGAGCGTGTCGTGGCGATGGTTACGGAATATGATCCTTGGAGGCGAGACAGCTTGCGCGAACCAAGTTTCCTGGCAAGAGTTGGCTAGCAGCGCAAAGGCGCGAGGGATCAATGCCGATTGCGTAGCGGTCAAGAGCGAGGATCCCGTGTATATTCTGCATACCTCCGGGACGACAGGCGCTCCGAAGGGGGTGCGTCGCGACACCGGTGGACACGCCGTGGGCTTGCACTTATCCATCAGCTACATTTTCAACATTCATGGCCCTGGAGACGTGTCCTTCACGGCGTCAGATATCGGCTGGGTTGTGGGTCACTCCTACATCCTGTACGCACCGTTACTTGCGGGCGCGTCGACGGTGTTATACGAAGGCAAGCCGGTGGGAACTCCTGATGCGTCTGCCTTCTGGCGAGTTGTCGAGGAATACAAGGTCAGTACGATGTTCACGGCGCCGACGGCCCTTCGAGCCATCAGAAACGATGATCCGAATAACGAATCGCTCTCGAGGATTGGAGAGCGGGGAGGGCTACGATCACTCAAAGCACTCTTCCTGGCGGGTGAGCGCTCAGAGCCGACCCTGATATCTATGTATCAAAACATTCTCGATCAATATGGCGCACCGTCCTGTCTCGTTATTGATAACTGGTGGTCCACCGAGGTCGGCTCGCCCATCACGGCGCACGCACTCACACCGCACGCAGCGCAGGACCGCAAGACGACCCTACGCGACTATCCCCAACCGCCTGTGAAACCTGGAAGTGCTGGGAAGTTGATGCCAGGATTTGATGGACGCGTCGTCGACGACCAAGGGACTCAAGTAATGCCCGGGTCTATGGGAAATATTGTCTTGGGATTGCCGCTGGCGCCGACCGCATTCCGCACGCTGTGGGGTGACGAGGAACGATTCTACAAGAGCTACCTGAAGCGATTTGGTGGGAAGTTTTTCGATACTGGAGACGCAGGATGGGTTGATCAGGAGGGATATGTGCATGTGATGAGTAGAAACGACGACGTGCTGAACGTCAGTGCCTATCGACTATCAAGCGGTACGTCAGAAAGCAGCAACGGCGTCGTTGGATCACTAACAAGACTGTTAGGAGCCATCGAGCAAGCTATCTCTTCTCATCCATTGGTGGCAGAAGCCTGCGTCGTCGGTATTCCGGACGAGATCAAGGGCCAGCTGCCATTCGCATTCATTAGTCTCACTCAATCGGACCACCCCGAGTCTGCTGTTGCTATCGAGATCCAATCGCTCGTGCGCAAGCAAGTGGGCGCCTTTGCATCGATCGGGGGCATGATCTGTGGAAGAGGCATGATTCCTAAAACAAGATCGGGGAAGACCCTACGACGGGTGCTCCGAGAATTGGTCGAGAATGGGGTACATGGAGACTTTGCAAAAGAGGTTGCAGTGCCCAGCACCGTCGAGGATGTGGCGGTGGTAGAGGTCGCACGAGCCAAGGTGAAGGAGTATTTTGAAAAGAGCGGTGGGAAGCACAGGGCGATCGAAGGCCGAGAAAAGTCATAGAGCATATCGTCAAATCCTATGTTGAGGGCCTGATTTACAAGGTGTCAATAACCAACGGAGGAAGGATGCCTGCAGATCGTATCCTGCCCCAGGCAACAGGTAGAGGGGCTCTTGATTGGTCAATTGTCTATGTATTGTCACGTGGGATCCTCGGAATGACGTCAGACCTGCCGTTCGAACAGCAAATGCCTTTTTGAGGCATCCATGCGACGGACTGCTATGGTTCCTTATGTGCGGTGCAATTATATTTGGGGTACTCTTGCGATATCATGTAGATATTTCCTGTTTGTTGCAGCTGGATTCACTGGATCTATGGTTGGAGTCTTTGTTATATGAATCCCCCAAGGATATACAGTTTTAGGCAAGAGAAAACTGACTTCAATAGGTCAACAACGCTAGAACAATCCAGCAGTCCAAAATTAAAACTAAGAATCAAGTGGCATGAATCACCAGGGGCTACAAAGGAAGGTCGAAGTCTGAGCCACGCCAAAGAAGCCTTGGACCCGCACAGGCTGCAAGCGCCCGAACGCCCGGGATTTGGCCCCCACCGGCGCAGGGGCATACTTATGGTCCAACGATCTCGTATTTCTGCTTCCTGACAACATCCCACTCACCATGCCAACCACACTGAAAGCAAACGACGTGGGCATCAACCTCGAGATCGCAGCACCTCCCGGGTGGACCTTTGCCGCCGGGGACACCATCATCGGCAATGTCGTGCGCCGGCAACCCATCGTGGCCCCCGAGGCCATCGTGAGGCTGGCGCTGGTGGGCCGCGTTAAGACCAAGATCACTATCAAGCGCGGGAACAACAACCGCAGCGTGTATCGCGGCCGATGGGATCTTCTCGGTGAGACAGAACAAACCATCTTCCGGGGCCCAGTTCACCTGCCACCGGAGAGTGCTGAAAGTCTTACTTGGCCTTTTGAGGTTCCCATCCCAACGTCTCCTGCGCCGTCGGTTTTGCTGGGCCATTGCAGTGAAGAAAGCTTTCTGCCGCTGAATAAAGAGAGCGTTGCGTATCAGCCCTTACCGGGGACGTTCTTTTCTAGCCGAACTGGCTGGAATACCGTCTCCGAGGGATTCGTCGAGTACTACCTGCAAGCTGAACTGCGGTATAATCGTGGCGGATCATGGGATATTCGTAATGCCACATGTCCTATCACTTTGCGCCAGCCGTCCCAGCCTCCTTTACTCGACAACGACCTTGGATATCGGCACGTGCCGATGTCGGCTAAGAGCCAGAGACTAATACCGGGGATGGAAGATGCCGATCTATCATTCAAACAAAAGACACAAAAGCTCTTCGGCTCGTCGAAAGTGCCTGAGTTCCATTTCATGCTGGACGTGACATTCCCACGGAGAGTCCAATTCGACAACCCATCGCCCATTCCGTTCATCATTGGCATCAGGCCGGACGAAGTCCGCACGACCGACAGCATTCAAGACGTCGTTCAAACGATCCAGTTGAACTGGCTCAGATTAAAGATCAAAACCAACACTGTGGTTCTGGCACCGGGGAACTTTGACCCGACCCATCCTCATACTGATAGCCAGCCTGAGGATTATCATTTGGGTCTGGAGAGGCTGTTTCGCAGACTAGAACACCCAATTACCTTCACCACCGGGAAAGGAAACGAGCCAGTTAACATTGGGGAAATGTTTCAGCTTGTTCTTCGCACGGATGGGCTGTATACTCGAGGAGCGCGTCTCGCACCTGTACCTCGCATTCAGCCGGACTTTGTCACTTACAATATTCGGCGGAGCAATGCGCTGTCGTGGGAAATATCCTTGACGGTGGCAGGAGAAGATCTCACATTTAAGGGATCCTCTGAGCTGGAGATATTAGGGGACAGGGATTTGGAACAATTTCAGGGTTCCTCGTCATGATCTTTCTTATTTCTTTTTGTCTGCTCTTTTTTGCATGTCCATGATATCCTTGATTTTTTTGCACACGATATCCCTAAATGGTTTTGTTTCATTGTTCGTTGCTATTATGTACCTTCTGCTGAGAATGAACTTTTCAATTTTACCTTCGGTTTTCAACCTGTCAATCTCCACGGTATCTGTAAAAGCAAAGTACTTAATGACGAAGATAGACCACACCTCGTACTACCTCATTCCAAATCAACGCGATACAGGATCTCAAAACCTAGCGCTCTGTCCACTCATTGCTGCCAGTGTATTCAGGATTCGCCTGGGGCAAGATAGTCCGCCTGTTTTCTCCAGCCGCGTCATGATTCTCAAGATCCCCGTCCTCTTCATGTTCGTGGCCCTCGGCATTCGTGATCCTCTGGTAGTCGGAAGCCCCGCGCGCTGCACGCCTATCCATCCAACTAGAATTTCTCCGACGGAATACCTGAATATAACCGACCTAATCAAACATAGTAATAGTCAGCCACATATCTACTATTCACTCGCATACCCCAAAAGTCAGATACGACGGAGAGGAGGACAGACCTTAACCCCCCAGACCAAAACAGCCGCCACAAAAATCATCCACGAAACACTCCTCTGCTGCTCTCGCCACGGCTCAAAGCAACTGCGCCGGAACCCCAACTGCTTCTCACAAGCATCATCACCATGTGCCTTATCCTTAAACGGCCACGCGCGATCATGAATACTGCGCAGACCACAGCACTGGAAGGTATCCTGGATGGAGCGGATCGGGGCTGCGTTTCGCGCGCTGAAATACGACTGCCATTGATGGTCCAGGTGGCAGGAGAGGATGTTCTCCGGGAACAGGTACGCGAGGGCGAGAGTGGCTATGATAGTTGAAAGGATGGAGTGGGCTTGGTCGATGAAGAAGAGAGCGCGTTGGATGGCGCTATTCGCTGCTGCGGCGTTTGTGGGTGTCCTGGGGATTAGGATGCCGATGGCCGCTAGGGCGGTCACGGTCAATGGGGACAGGAGAGTTGTTAGGACAGGGAGCCATGTTGGGAGTGGGAGGGAGAGAGACAGAGTGCGAGACCATGAGAGACTAGGTTGGAGGTTTGTTAGCCTGTGGAGTCGTTTTGGGAGCTGGGTGGACGTACGCGCCGAAGATCAAGGCGATGGTGGAGCTCTAGATTTAGTTAATCGGGATGCTTTGATTGCTGGTGTGATTTGACGTACCAGGCATAAGAGGGAATAGAACAGAAACGTGGTATCACATTTGGTGGGCATTTTGGCGGTGTTGTGGAGTAGATTTGGGATGAGGTGGAAGTTGGGTTGTTTGTTGTGAGGTCACTCCAATGCGGGGTCGGGGATGTACAGCTACACAACGTGACCCTGCAAGGACTGACTCATAAGTCTCTTTTGTAACTATTTTCCTACCGATGCTGACAAACCACAGACGTGGAATAACTGCATCATTTTCTTCGTGGATCGTCCTCGACTTGAAGCGGCAAACATCCTATTTCAATATGTTCCTCCGACATCTATATAAATGTATTTCACTCTGCATAATTTTCATTAATAATTATATTGACATAGAGCTTTACCGGCTTTTTATATAGTTATAAAAAATAAAGTGTGTGAGGTTTTTTGGGTTCTGATGATGGGATTCGATAGTAGTAACCAGATCTGCGTTCCTGAGTGCCACAGGCATTTAAGAATATGTGAATACTTTTCCTTTTACCTTCAAGATTTGGGTATAATCCGAAATCCATTTAGTTCCAATTAAGGCTTTAATTTCCATGTGAGCTCGGGTGGAGACGGGCGTCAAGGGTTCCACTAGTAACTCATGTATACATCTAGTTTTGCCTTCAAGCGAGCAGATCCCCCTTCCACCCGAATACATCCACCTTGACACCTGGTCCAATACTCCAAAATTGCTTGTTAAATCTGCAGACTTGCTCGTCAACTTCTGTTTCCCCTTGAAGGTTCTTTGCTATGCGGTCAAGTGAGCCTGGAGAGGCCAGTTCCGTGAACGCCCCCATCAGCATCTGTGGGCGAGAGCTCATCCCCACCTGGTTTAGTACTGAGAAATGCATGAACTAGCTCCTGGCCTAACTGCTCCCGACAGTGGCAGCTTTCCAGTTCGTCGTCAATTACGGGTTCGCCGTACGTCCCCTGCTTTGGGATTTGGATTCGGCGGCTTCCCGAACGTAGGGCTTCATCTCGGGAAAGGCCGAATTATGGCTGCACAGGGACTCCTTATGGTGCCAGATTGAAATATGACCTCTCGCTCAGGGACCCAAGCTTCAATCGAGGCTCAATGTGTTGGCTGAGCTCTGGAGACCCGCCCCGGGGCTGTCGCACTCCAATCGAGGGGGGGGAGGGTTGATCTTCTTGTCACGTCAACGTGCGTACGGGGTTCGGACTTTCGATGGGGCCAAATCGGCGTGCAATACTTTGATTCGAAGATAGAAAACTAGGTATCCAATTTCCGGGCCTTAACCTGATCTCGGGTCTCGGGGCTCGGGCCTCGGTGATGGCTCGTAAGGATCTCGGAGCTCGGCAAAGCGAAGCGACAACGGGCTACAGAACCGTATGATTTGCTAATTTTAATCACAGAAACTACATTGAAAGTGCGGATATCCCCGGGTGTCCACTAAAAAGACATACATCCTCCAACCAGACGGACAGATTAGCCAAAGTAAAAGTCATATGGAGGAACAAACACTTTCTTTAACGAAGGGGTCATCGTTATCCCCTTAGGGAGATGAAAAGAAAAGTTCATATCTCAACCGTCGTTCATACTTCCCTCGATGATACTGGCGCTTACACAAAACTTGGTCATACGTTATCCGATAGGGACATCATTAGGCAGCAAGGAAAGAAGGTTATGCGGTTTGAATGGCGAGTGGATATGACGAGAAGGATCTTGACTTCGGTGCTCGGCGAGGCGGAGTCGCTTTTTGCATTAGACATATTGCCCCAGTAAAATGGGTGTCTCTGCAAGCACTGCATTAGCAGAATTGTGTTAGATAGCCCTTCAAATATTTTAGGTCCCTCCCTCTAGTCATCCGCTCAGTCTAATATCACTTTCATCTCGGAATTGTCCACAATGTCAACTCTTCCTGGCGGGTTAATCGCCTTTGGCCCTGACGCAAATTGCACCCTCTCTCTGTGTCCGTTAGAAGCCAGCATTCTTCGCTACAAGCCATCCATACCTGCAAGTTGTGTATGCATTGCCATTTTCGGCCTTTCTCTGGCCGTGCATACATTGCAAGGATGGAAAGCGCGCAGTTGGGGATTCATGGCTAGCGTCATCGCCGGCTGTATACTCGAAATTATCGGCTATGTCGGCCGTCTTATCATTTATAATAACCCCTTTGATTTTAACGGTTTCCTCATGCAAATCAGTGGGTTCGACCTCGCTTCTCGACTACTCATGATTCTAACCCGGTCTATCTAGTCTGCATTACCGTCGCGCCGGTTTTCTTCTGCTCGGCTATATACGTATTGCTCTCCCAGTCGTTCGTGGCCCTGAACATTCATGCAATATCAACTGCTAACACAGAATATAGTATCAACCACATCGACGCGTCCCTCTCCCGCTTCAAAGCGAAATACTTCTACTGGATATTTATCCCCTGCGACATAGTCTCATTGATCCTCCAGGCCGTCGGCGGAGCCCTTTCTTGTATCGGCACCACCGAGGATGATATCAACGTTGGCGTTAATATCTCGTTGGGAGGTCTGGTCTTCCAGGTCGTCACCCTGGTGGCATTTCTGGGCTTGTTCGCCGACTATCTGAGCACTTGTTGGCGTTCCCCCGCCCGGAAAGCTTTCAACGGGCACATGAAAATCTTCCTGGGCTTCATGTTCCTGTCGGTGTTTCTTATTCTAGTCAGATGTGTTTATCGGATTGTCGAGCTCCATGCGGGATACTTCAGTGAGACGTTCCGCGACGAGCCGCTGTTCATCGCTCTTGAGTCTGCGTATGGTTTTCCCCTTCTGGTTGTCTGTGGGATTTGACTAACCGGATGTAATAGGATCATGTGTGCCGCTGCTGTCTGTCTTCATCCTGGCCATCCTGGGCTGGTGTTTCGGAGGGGACAAAACTATAACCGAGGCCTGGATGGGAACAGTTTTGTTTCTGGGGAGGAATTGAAGCCAAGGGCTGACGCACCTTAGAACGTGGGGAGGTTGCGCGTGAATTAGATAAGATATATGGATAGTCTGACTTTTGAATAATAGATATAAATAAATAAGACTTTTAAGTTGGGTCAGATTGGGTTGGGTACGGGTTAGAATAGACGCTGAGCCCCCAATATGGAGATGCGCTGCTGGATTATCCGTCGATTTGTCATCCTCTCCACTCCCTTCATCTTTCTCTCTTCCAACCAACATCACCCTTCCGCTACTTCTGGTCAACCTCATTAGGAAAATACCCAGAGCATCATTGGCCCTCATGCCACGAACTCCCGATGCTCTGCGAGCCAGCTCGTCTTCTCAGAGCTCCCCAAACTCCAGATGTCGTACCTGCAAAAGATGTCGGACAAGAAAAGTGAGAACTCATTCCTCCACGCCTGTCTGAAACAAACCATTAACCAACTAGATAGGTGAAATGCGATGGTCACTTCCCAAAGTGTGGGGCATGCCATGCGAAGCGCCTTGTGTGCGATTATCCACCAGATGCAAGGACCAAAACTGCGAGGTCAAAAAGGTCGTCGGATGTGGAGGGTCTTCAAAGGCAACTCCGCACATTGCAAGAGCAGGTGTCAGGACGTTCTACTCACAATTCTTGGATGGAAACTCTTCAGCCAAACAATACTCTTGTTAATGAACCTCAGGGCTTAGCTACAGAATTAGCGGCGGAATCGGAGCCCACACCATCAAAAGATGTACAACAAACCACAATATTCCATGGAGAACAACCACAATCACCTGGACTCTCATGCCGACATGCCGGTAACACCGTTGCAATTAATGCTGATCAGGCGAGCCAGCAAGGTGGACAGCAGGGTGTCTCTTGTACGACAGCTAGTCACGGAGAGAAGGCTGCCTTTTACGGCGCAACCAGTCTTCACCATGACCCTTTGAAAAACAAGCATTTACGTCTCAAGCCTCTTTCAGACGACCAAATGCAATTGTTGACGGAAATATCCCGTGATCGACTCGTGTCCTACGCGTCAGCAAAGCGACAAGAGGAGATCGTGCTTTATAATTCTCCTGGTATCTTGCATAACATTGACTTCGATGGCGTCTCCCCTGACACGGCAATGCATCTTTTGGATTTACATTGGAACAGACAGCATCTGTCCTACCTGCAAACCTATCGACCTGCGATTATGGATAGTCTTATTAATGGTGGGCCGTATGTCAACAAACTACTTCTCAACGCGATCTACTTTTCAATCTTCCCATACAGTGACAGAGAGTCCTTGCGGGCGGATCCCGAACATCCACAGTCATTAGGGATGAAATTTTATAATCGATTCAAAAGTCTGGTCTCCGACTACATTGATCAGCCAAGTATTGCAACGGCTGTGGCCTTCCTGACATGCGGATCTAGCTTAGTGCCACATGGAAAGCAAAGCGCTGCCTGGGTGTTTTGTGGTGTCGGATACAGAATGATTATGGACCTCGGTTATCACCTGGAGGATCCGTCTCCAGAATTCGAATCTGGGGTCAGACTGGCAGCAATCGAGATCGAACTCCGGAGAAGGCTATATTGGGGAGCATTTGTGACCGACAAATTCCAATCGCTTTTTCAAGGCCGACAGCCCATGCTACATTCCTCGTCCGCTCGTATTTCACACGAATATTTAGACACGTATGAGGAGCTGGAACTCTGGAGCCCATACAGGGATCCACTTGCTCAACCCCTGGACGCAAGCGCTCCAGCATACATGCCTCGCCCATCATATACATTAACTACCTTCGAGGCGCTACGGCAGTTGTGCGAAATCGCCTGCCAGATCATTGACACTTTCTATTCAATAAACAGTCCTGGGATGCCCCAGGAATACCTCTTGCAACGAAGGGATGAAATAAGGGACCAACTTCAACACTGGAAGGATAGCCTACCGCATCACCTTCAATTCGAACCATCAATAGACCCGACACCTCCACCGCACCAAATAACACCGCAGTAAGTACAACGATAACCGAGTCAATTCAACGACTAATTTATAATCCAGCACAACACACTGGGCTCTAGTAATCCTTGTGGAGCAAGCGTTCCTGAAGCCAGACCACTTTCAGTTCAATTTAGACCCATCCTCAGAGCTTGAGTCGAAAAGAATGTGCATTGATGCTGCTCTTAAGATATGGGGGCTTGTACAAGCCTACAAGAATGCTTTCACTCTTCGACGCGCCCAGTATGGCATTTCTTATGCCACCTATTGCGCAGTTCTCGTCCTTCTTCACCACACTGATCAGAGCTCTGGGGATTTTGCTGATTGTATTCGTTTCTTCTGGTCTGCTCTACTTGAGTACCAACGAGGTTGCAGTTTTGGTCTGAAGAAACCATTGAAAATCCTGAGATCTCTAATACACCGTCTCAATGGGATGAGCTCGGGAGTGTCAGATCAAAGCGATGCGGGCATCACCGCGGCCCTCGACATGAACGGTACGTTCTTCTCAACTGCTTCATCAAGACTTTTATTAATAATCTAATTGCAGATATGGGTCCTGACTTCCAGTCAATGTTAGAGCCACTCGCTCGTGCAGAAGCAGATGCATGGGTTAGCTCATGGTTGAATACCGCCCCAGAAGAGGGGTGCCTGGTAAATGAGACTATTTTCGGTCTTTTTATGACAGAGTAATTGTCAGGCGATGCGGAATAAAAACACAGTTATTCTTTCATCGAGAGAATCGGGTCGCTTTGCAGTCTCTTCGTCGTTTCGGACATGCGGACATGCGGATATACATATCCGACCGGCTATAATCCAATTCGGGATCAGTAACCGAGATGTCCGAGTATGGTCGACACCACCATGACTAGCTTCGTGCTTTGACACCAGGCAATGGAAACAACTGCATCGCTTCATAGCAGTAACGTGAGCCTTTAGTATGGCTCTTTCATTTTTCCGTTTTATATTTCTTCCTCTGCAGTTCGAGCGCAGCTGGTCTATTCACATAGTGGCCCCTGCATTGACATCCGGCTCGCTGGACCTTCTCGGAACTATATGTCCGCATCAAATACCTGGGCTGTATGATCTGAAGATAATTTTGTCTATCCAGCATGTACACTTTCTCCCTGTTAATCGAGCAAAAATTGGCTTTCTCGTCCGCCCTCACGTTGCGATTGGCGTCAATCCTCCCTATCGGCGCTCACATCGCCCAGTGCGCATCGAACGACAAGAAAGTGCCTTAACAAACCCTACAACGCCATGACACCTAAAAAGCACCCAAGGGATTGGTCCCCCATACGAAAGGTTATTACAACCATCATTATCTGTGGGATTGGATTCACTGTAACGGTCGGCGCCTCCATATACTCTCCCGGCCATGAACAAGTGCAGCAAGAGTTCAACGTACCCACCACAATCTCTTTACTGCCACTGTCCGCATACTCTCTAGGACTCGCATTTGGCCCGATGATTTCCTCGCCTCTGTCAGAAGCCTTCGGTCGCCGATTCGTGTACTTGATCACGCTTCCTCTATTTGATATTTTCATGGTCGGGGTCGGCTTATCGCGGAACATCGCCTCTCTGATAATCTGTCGTTTTTTCGCCGGTTTGTTTGCTGCTCCTGGTGTATCTGTTGCAGCGGCGACAATTGCAGACTATACAACGCCTTCCGAGCGAGCCATCCCACTCTGCACATATTACTCAATTCCGTTTACCGGTAGCGCAATTGGCCCACTGATTGGAGGGTTTGCAGTCGACGCGAAGGAATGGCGCTGGACGGCATGGGTCGTTCTCATAATGGGCGCAGCACTGCACACCCCGGTTCTCTTCCTACGAGAATCTCAAACATCTCTCAGCAAAGGGAATTCTGATGGTGGCGTCTGGGAAACGGGGAAACATTTCATCACCACCACCGTCATTCGACCCCTCCATATGCTCACAACCGAACCCTTAGTGACCTCAATCTGTCTATACACCGGATTCCAGTTCGCACTTCTCTACACCTTCGTCGTCGCCAGCCCGTGGGTTTTTCGCACCGTCTACGCCTTCTCCTCACAGGCCCAAAGCCTCTCCTTCCTCGGCATGGTCACCGGCTGCCTCACAGCCCCTCCAGTCCTCATCTCCATCGACCGGCTCATCAAACGCCTCCGACCGCCCACCTCTCAGACCCCCTCCACCCCCGAGGACCGCCTCCACGCCGCCCTCTACGGCAGCCTCGTCCTCCCCGCGGGCCTCTTCTGGTTCGCCTGGACCGCCCAACCCTCCATCCACTGGATGAGTCCGATCTGTGCACAAGGCTTGACTCTGCTCGGAAGCATCCTGATCTACGTCCCGTGCAACTTCTACACGATTGACGTGTATGGGTCGAAGTTCGGGGCGTCAGCGAGCGGCGCGTCGTCTTTGACTCGGTATACTTTGTCTGCTGCGTTTCCGCTCTTCGTGACGCAAATGTATGAGGCGCTGGGGGTGCATTGGGCGACAAGTCTGTTGGGGTTCGTGGCGTTGGCGATGGCGCCCATTCCGTGGTTGCTTTATCGTGCTGGGCCGGGGTTTAGGGCAAGGAGTGGTTATGAGCATGGAACGTAGGGGGTTGTTATTTGGTGTTGGGTAATGGGAAAGTGCTTAGACAATATATAGACGGGATTGTGAAGACCGTTCTATGCTGCTAAAGAGATTTATAATCATTCTAATCCGTCATGTTGATTCTTCAAGATGACTGCCATTGTACATAGTAAATGCCTATTAACATATAATACTCAGATAAGACTATTGGAAAGGCATAAAAACCACTTCCAAGCCCTTCATAGAAATGTGCTAAAACTTAGAAATAATTAAGGGTGTTAGTAATGTCTGAAAGTCATGTTCTGCTTGCGGGAGCTTTCTATACATCATGGAATCATCCGGTAGCCCATTCGAGCCGAGAGCCCTCACCCTTGTATGCCATCAAGGGGTATCTACCAGTGATTAATTCTTGAAAAGAATGCATAGCGGATAGAATGCATTCAGCTTCTGCCTGATCTTTCGCAATACTGGAATACAACACGTTAAAATTCCATCACATTCGGAGCACACCACACCAGCAAAATCTTATGATAATCTCATAAATAGTGTCCTATCCCCGGATTCTCTCACTATAACTTTCATACGCGGTATATCCAATTGTAAATGTGGCTTTTGTCGCTATTCTATGCAATTATATTGCATCCCAAGCTCAAATGCGGGTGTGTCCTCCTTCAATGCAGTGCTAACGAATTCTACCTGAATATCAGACCTTTCTATAGGCCGTTCATTTTATACAAAGATATTCACTATTTTGTTCAATGCTTTGTCCATGATGGGTATATCCATTTAATCCTACATTTTGAACGGAAGGAACCAAAATCTGGCTCACGATGCCTTTATAAAAACACCTTGTGCTGCCTCAAAGGGTTTACTACGTCACCATTCATCATCATATTCAAAACCTACGATCCTACAGATCCACACCATATTGCTAATTCACAGGGCTCTTACTCCCAAGTTTCGAATACACCATGGCTCCCCGTCTCGCCTATCTTGTCAAGGGTATCATGTCTTTCAAGACCCGAGGCCGAAAGAACGATGTTTCGGATGACCAGGACGACCAGACCCCACTTGTTGAGAAGCAGGACGACAAACCCCCTACTGTCGAGGAACAGGGTAAGGAGGCCCCAACTGTTAAGGACCAGGACAAGAAAAGCGTATGCCACGAATACGAGGTATTCGTGCATACGCCCAACCCAAATCTATCACCACGACAGGAGATCGAGTTCTTCCTCGACAAGGTGAAGGAAGGTCGAGTGGAGGTAATCAAGAAGAAGTATGATTACCTTCTAAAGGACCGCCGCGGCTTGTGTATCTATGTGACACACAAGAGTCGCCGGTGTGAGGATGTTGTGGAGTGCATTCGTTGCATCCTGGAGTCAACTAAACGCGATCCGGGCATTGACCACTGCAAGCTTATTAGGCACTGTCCTCGCCTACCTGGGGAGGCTGACTGATCGATTGGTGAGTTTGTTCTGTTGAATTCCGGCGAGATGTGCCGTTCTCGACTGGAAGAACTAGAATGCTTTTTTGTCTCTTTGCTTGTCATTTGTGATTCTTTGAACCCCCAAAGTAGACCTGTTACTCTGGTAGATCGTTTGGGGAGTGTCAACTGAAGGATCAAAGGCTCAGATCAATATTAGATAAAAAGTAATTTAGAAATCTTTGCTGATTTGCACCGTTTTTGTAGTTGTATTGGGTTGTCTATTTGAATTCAGACGTAAAAATGGCCAAATATAGAGCAGAGTAGGTACTGTAATAACTCCATTTACGGAAGAATAGGATTCGATGATTGGCATTCACCAATGAAGCTTGATGTACGGAATCAGATTGACATCCCCTGATCTTCACCATGGATATCCTCATAAGATCGCCTAGCAGAAGGGAAGTGTAGAAAGAAGTTAAAAAGAATGTTGTCACGAATTAACCCCCCTGATATGTCGAAGACCGAAGATCATGTCCCAGAGAGAAGTCCTGGTCCAAAATAGTCGTGTTTTCCTCGCCCGGGAAATTCAGAGCGGTAATTGAAGATGGCTCTAGCATCCAATCAGCATCTTGTAGATGATCATCAAGAAGTGTTTCAAGACACAGGTCCGAGTGAAGGGATGCTGGCGGCTCATTCCCAGGAATGTGTCTCGAATAGATATGATCAGCCATTCGCTGGGTGGATTCCTGGGTGCATGGATCATTTTGTTGCGCGGCCATGCTTTGCCCATCTCTCTCTGCCTGTGGAAGTGATTCGTTTGCTGTCAATGTAATCAACAGGCAAATGAGTCGATAGAAGTGTGGGTGAGGGTATGATTGCAGTACCTGTGCAATCTCCTCTGCGATACCAAGGATCTCAGCACGGTCAAATAATTTCTCGTGTATCCTTGCGGCATTTAAAACGAAAACAACTGGATATGCATCAGTGATAACGTTGAATTCGCCAACGGGTGTGCTATCTTACCAGCAAAAGTGACTGACAAAGCTGAATAGTTTGTCGCCCAGCGAAGATTCCATTTATAATCAGATGCCCGCAGGATGAATCTGAGCTGCTCCAATGCGGTGGAAACGATGTACGTGACTAGCTCTTTTGAAGGAGCTTCAAGCTCTCCAGCCGACGACTTTGTAACTCCCGCTTCCTTTTGCAGCCGACCAAGGATTGCGCATCCTGTGAACATGACTGCCCAGTTCTTTTGTCCCCGAATACTAGCTCTTTGGAATGACGAATGGTCGAAGCCGTATTCTGCGGACAATCATGTTATCAACACGAGAACGTGAAGAAAAAGGTTTGGTGGAAACAGACTATCGTGAATATCATCCCAGAATTCTAACCACTGTCGATATTCTTTTTCAATTTTCCTGAGCCGATCAACGGCACTATCTTGATCAACAGCCCGTGCAATCTCTTGCTGGAAGTTTTCTAGATTTTGTCAGTCGGGACGAGCCTCCATACCAAAATCGCATGAAGCAATACCTCGAATCTGAACAATTTCAACTAGAGACGTAGCACGTAAATCAGATGCGGTATAGAATGGATGGTTGCGAAGCTTTTGCAAAAGCCCAATGTCAACTGGAACTATCCGAGAACTAGTTGCTGTTCCTGCTGCAATTTCCCTTTCGATGAAGCAGAGAGAAAGCCAAACTCGAACCTGGCGCATTAGATGCTTTTGTTCTTTGAATGAAATGGCTTCTGTCTCATTAGTAGCCACAAGTCTTTGGAGGGCGCAATCTAACTTAAGATCCTTCGCCATTTGCAATGCATGCCCAATAGCAAACCAAGCCTCATCCGTATATGCAGCCAGGAGAAGCATTGCTTGTATGCTTCCCAGAGTTGCAGGTCTTTTGAAAAGACTCTGAGCAGTCAACCTTTTTACTTCATCCTGCAACATTGATTTGGACACCTCGGGAAAGTCCGGTATGTGCTCGACGCAAGAGGCAATAGCCAGGATGACCGCAAAGCAGAATGGTTCACGAATCCGTAAGCTGTCGAATGTGTCCATCACGGGATCAAATATTGGCATGAAGCATCCAGCACAGGTCATGAACCTATTAACTCCGTCAGAGTGAATTCTAAGTATACACGGTAATGCTTACAGGTTGAATAGCTTCCTGGCTTGGCCCTGCTGAATTAGACCCTTCGACATAACGTCTGGTCCCACGTCCATTCTACCTAAGAAACCTGACATTTCAACTGGTTGTCGAGGGGTTTCAATGGACCGAGAGGAGGCCATGGGCTCAATTCCATTCGCGGTCCGCTCCTCGGGGGTTGACATATGATGTACCGCAGAAACCGGTGCACGCAAATCATGAGATGTCAGACCTTTGGTGAAGTCGGCGGGTGCCTGCGGGGCGCCTCCTTCATTTTCGACAGGAGGGCTTCGGCGGCGCTGCTCGGTATCTGGGACCTGCGACGTTGTCGACATCGCTTCTGCAACAGGTGTCCTGGCTTGCCCTTCCACTTCAGCAGTCGGAGAGCGCAGATTGTGATCCTGAGAAAGATTCTCACGGGTTTGTCTGGTAACCATGTTTTAGCCCTCTTCCCATCGCCACAACCCGCATGAGAGAGCGTGTATACCTTCGCCTTTTTGGCCGGTCACCGTAAGCAGTTCCCCCCGCACGCTTACCTTTCGAGCCAGCAAGATCGAAAATACACTCGAGACTGTTTGTAAAACATCTTCTGCAGCGAGTATCAGCGCCTTCGTTGCGCCCGTCACATCTCAACTTCAGCTCGCGGCATTTCCGGCATGCTTTGAAGGTTTTCCCGCCGCTCCTGCGGACATCCCGTCGGACATTGTCGCCACTGAAATCAGCTTGTATTATTCGAAGAGGCGAGTTTTCCATGATTCCCGGGGATAAATGTCGGGAGCAGAACGTCTTATTATTGATTTGGTAAAAGCATTAACGTATTCCACAAGCGAGTCGGCACCACAAGCGAGCCGGCACCCCCGCTCCAATTTCTGCCCGCGGACCAAATACTAGAGGCTTTATCAACGAAATAATTGCATTTCTATATAAAAACTAATTAGGAACTCGATTGGGACATTGTAACCGTCTATGTCCTAGAATATGACAATTACTGCAGCGTGGTGGCGCTCGTACGCGTGGCTCAACTGCAGAAAGTGCAGGGTCTAGAGGAAGCGTATTTTGAGCTTCATCAACCTCATTCTCGCGCTGAAATCGCTCTAGGCCTTCTTGAATAGCTGATCCCTCTGTAATAGCTAGCTGCCTAGTAGAGCGTTTCTTTTTTTGAAGCTTCTTTTCATGAGAAGCGCGTAATTCACGGATTTCTTCGCGTGCAAGAATAAGCTCATTAAGGTGTAATTCATGACCTTTAATAAGCTTATTAAATCGCATCTCTAGCGAAGATGAAGGGCCCTGCGTACGCGCTTTAAGCAGCTTCTTTGCTGTAGATGCCTGCTTTTCAAGCTGCCTAGTTGTATAAGGCGTTTTTGGCGCTGTATTGGTAGATCGACTGCCTGGTGGTGTAGGGGTCTTTAGCTGAATATTCAGCTTACTGAGTACCCTATCTGGATTAAGTGGAACTAGACCAGCACCTGCGAAGCTATTCCGAATAGTATCTGCTTGAAAAGCGCTTTCACGAGCTTGTGGAAAGGCCTCTAAGAAATCAAACTTATCGATATGATTGATTCCCAAGCGTGCCTGTTTCTCAACTAAGCTGCCGTACGCCCGCTTTAGAGGCGAGAAGCAGCCAACATCTAGAGGCTGTAGTAGATGCGATGAATGTGCAGGCATGCAGATAGGAATAATATTATTCTCACTGCATATCTGGTCGAATTGAGGTGTAAGATGGCTGCCATGACCGTCAAGAACTAGAAGACGATATCTTCCAGTTATACGACTAGTAGTAGTCGGAATAAAGAGGTTTTTAAGCCAGCGAAGGCTTATCTCATCAGTAGTCCATCCATTAGGACTAACTTCAATCCTGCTATCGCGTGGGAGTTTGATATCTTGATACCAACCCTCTATATGGATCTTTCCTTTAAAGATCACACATGGAGGAAGTGCCCAACCGGTTGAGTTAATACACTCGATTGAAGTAACCCATTCTCGATTGCCAGGCTGTATAAGAGAGGCCTTTCCGTAGTAATTAGCTCTAGTAACTACTTGAGCAGTAGCTACTAAGCCCATAGCGAAGCCAGTCTCATCAAAATTGTAGATATCTTCCTGTACAATTCCATGTTGCATTATAATGATTTGTACGCGATCAAACCACTCTCTGATAATCTTGGGGTCTTCGCATTTAGCGCGCCGATAATCATAGCGTCGAGTATAGCGAGTTTTCAAGCGATCTTGTCGTTTAATGAAGTTGGAGACCCAGTTCACTCCGACTGATTGAACTGGGGTAGTATCGCGCGCAGCAAGAAGAATATTGGCCATTTCTCGTATATGGGACGGTCGGGGAGGCGCTCCACGTCGATCTAGCGATAGAATCCATTGTACAAGCGATTCCTCTTCATTTTGAGTCATTTTATGACCATTGGCACGTGTTTCTGAGCGATTTGTTTTTCCGCGTAGCCGATCTTGTAGAGTAGAACGAGGCACATTATAATGACGCGCAGCTTTAGCAATTTGGGTAATTTGTTTATTTTCTATAGCAGAGATTGCTAATAGAATCCTCCCCTCCTGCTCGGCTGAATTTCCTGACTTTTGACGCGCTTTTGGAGGCATGGTTAGTGGTTGAATTGAGTAAGGTTTTTGATCGCGGTCAAAACGCGTTGGGGTGCCGGCTCGCTTGTGGTGCCGACTCGCTTGTGGAATACGTTAGGAGGCCTGCTGAGTCAGCCACGTGCATAAGGCGGAGCGGGGTAACTGGCGAAAAAATGAATATTATATTTAATTTTTATATAAAGTATTAGTTACCATTAATAAATCCTGTAGATTCAAACAATAATACATACAGGTCTGGTTGACCCTAGACTATATTTCTCCAGTTTTTTCAAAAACGTAGTGTAGTTGCATGATAAGCTTCTCTTTCTAAGGAGAAATACACCAAGCTAAATCTATAATCGAGTCTTTTACATCAGACTCATCAGCTCTTCGATGAAACGTCCGGGAAAGAATTGTTTTACTAATGAGGCGCTGTACAAGATGTGCTTTGTATGGACATTCATTCAAATAGTACTTTTTCTCATACAATTCTGTAGCCAATGTTCACAATGATCCGACCCCAAAGCCATATTTGGGTAAACCAGCACTGTCGCAACCTCTTATGTAGAATAGCGCCCCTCCCTCTTCGCCCTCCCAAGCAGGGGAACTCTCGTCTCGTTGAGCGGTGGTTACAACAAGATCCCTGTTGTCTGGCCCTACCCATGCCCCGTGTGTAACCCTACAAGCGTTCAAATCCCATTGCTGAACGAGGTTGCCAGTATCGCCACTATACTTTAACACGGCTCCTCCTTCCCAGATAAATGTGTACAAATCTCCGGCCGTGTCTACCAGCAACCCATCTGCTTCCCCTTCTCTGAGGTTCCGACTTACAACAAGTCTTCGATTGGAAATGGTTCCTGCTATGGTATCGAAGTCGTAGGCATGAATAGACTGTGCGGAGTCAGCTTGGTGGTAAGCAAAGTGAATGTCCAGCAAGCTCACATTGATGTAGGAGTCAACATGATACATGGTCTTATTATCGGGTGACCAGCACAGGCCATTTCCAGCCATCACTCCACCCTTTTGAGCAACCACAAGATTGCCGTCAGGATCATATCGATAAATCGAGCCTTTTGCTTCGTATACCTTCGCCCCACCTGACAGCTTTGGTATGGCCCTGGACATCCATTAGCACCTATTTGAAGACAGCTCAACATAGTAACTCCTACTCTGTGACTCGGTCAATACTGCCTACCCACAGCCTCCCATGAGTGTCAATGCCGGCATCGTTAAGTCGTTCCTTGGTCGTGTCTGGAATCACCTGCTTTAGAACACTCCATGTTCCATCATTCAACACGTGCACAATGGAGGAGAATGAGCAAATGAGATACCCTCCGTCCTTGTGGAACGCTAGGAAGGTTATATGCTCCGGGCAATTGATAGTGCGTCGCTTCAAGTTGTCGTCCAGTTGCAAAACATTGATCGTTTTCCCGATAACATCAACATAATGTAACGTATTGTCGAACTCACGATAGAGAGGTGACTCGCCCAGCTGGGTCTGGGGGCCAACGAAAGCCCCGATTCGGGTAACCATGATGAACTTGCCTTGCTTGAAGTACCCAAATTCTTCCTGACGAGGACAATCGCAAATTTGAATTCCAGGTAGCCGACATTGGATGTCCACTCGGTCGATTTAATCTGAAATTCGAATGATCAAACCGTCCTGTCGCATTCTGTGACTGAGTACTCGGAAACCGGAGACAACCACATCTGGAAGCCCCACATATCCGGAAATTTCCTAAAGGGGAAAAATGTCATCTAGAGGCCGTACTTGGGCATGTCAAGGAGATATAACCAGCGACTTGTCTTCATCTTAGATACTCATCATACGTCACATTAAGATTCATTTCTAAACATCATCCACCTTTTCTTTGCAACGTCAATAATGTCTCTTCCTCGTGTCAGCGTTTGTGGTCTTGGTGCCATGGGCATAGGGATGTCCCGAAATCTGCTCAAGAAGGGCTTCACTGTCTCGGGATACGACATCGTGCCTAAGCTTGTCGATCGACTTGTTGAAAGTGGTGGAAAAGCAACCGCAAGTCCCAAGGAAGCCGCCGAGAACGCTGATATCCTCTTAGTTATTGTCATCAACTCCGTGCAAGTCTCGTCTGTCCTTTTCGACGAACAGAACGGTGCTATTCATGGATTGCCGAAGAAATCCGCTATCATTATTTCGTCTACTGTTCCCGCCGCTTACGTGCGGGAGGTCCGGTCCCGCTTGGACGTTGACTTCCGTCGTCCTGATGTTCGTTTGCTGGATTGCCCTGTATCGGGAGGAGCATCCGGTGCTGCGGATGGCACTCTAACTGTGTTTGCATGTGGAACCGATGATGGAATGTCGCTTGCAGATCCGGTGCTCCGTGCGTTTGGCTCGAAGATCTGCAGAATCAAAGATAGCTCCGGCCGTAATGGAGACACTGGATCTGGTGCCAACGGCAAAGTGTGTCACCAGGTTATCCCCGAGATCGCGATTGCTCTGGTTGCGGAGATCATGGCACTTGCAGTTCGAGCGGGGTTGAATACACAGGAAGTTTATGATTTCATCCAGCGCGGCGAAGGTGCAAGCTGGATCATGAAGAACCGCATTCCGCATGCATTGGAGGGGGATGAGACCGTTTACTCTGCGATGACCAACAGCCAAAAGGACTCGTCAATTATTGTTCGAACGGCTGCGGAGAAGTCATTCCCAGTCCCTCTTGTGGCTTTGGCCGAGCAAATTTACCAAACGACCGTGTACATCGGCTGGGCTGGCATGGATGACTCTGCCCTCTGGAGACTGTTCGTCCGCGACTATGCCGATGACACCGTGCATCAGCGGACGAAGGTGAAAGGCAGCACGCACAATTATGCTCTCAGTCTGCAGGATATTGTTGACATTATGAAGGGTGTTCATTTGGTAGCTGCTGCAGAGTCTAAGGGATTTACAAAAGCGATCGGTTTGAATGCGGAGCAGATGCATGACATTGTTTGCGGAGCTGCTGGGTGGAACTTCCAGTTTGAGCATTACGCACCAAAGATGAAAAAAGGACCTTGGTATTTGCAGGAGATCCCAGAGGCCAAAGAGATTGGCGCCAAGCTGGTAAGGTGCAAACCCTTACTAAATCACCAGATTGCTGACTCTGATCCCAGGCACAGGCAGTCCGAAAGGCTAACGCAATTGGTGCTCCCTTGCCCATGTCGGCAGCAGCCGTGCAAATATTCGAGCTGCAGGTTGGTCCCTCTATCAGTAGCATAGATCTCGGCCTTAGTATAAAGATCGAGCTTGAGTAAGCCAGGGAACAGCGGTTTGAACTAAACATCTCTAAAGGTCTGGTCAATTGTTTATAGTCTGGATATTACTATCCAATACAATCCTAGATAAGATTCACGCACCTACGATTACTATTGTAAGGAACTTGGCATTGGGGAATCATGCTGTGTCATCTCATCTCATGTGAAAATTCTGGGACTGTCAATGGAATCTGAACCAATCCGAACTAAAAGGTCTTCGAGCTCGCCAACCTACGATACTTTAACGTAGCAAGGTTGGTTTTTCTTGCATCTCGTATTCAGTCGGTTAAGCCAGGATAGAAGCCGGCACATTCCAGTAATCTCTAAAACAACAAAGCCATAAATATAATCTAATATATCTAATACCTCTTTAAAGAGCCCCTTGTCCATTTGTCTTGAGTCCTATACAATAAATGTCTTTAGATTCCATGATTATCTACCCGAGTACTTCATATCATATGAAAGTTGGTGAAAGTTAAACCTTGACCTTCGCATCAGATTGGTTCGATCCGAGTAGGAGAAGAAAGAACTGCAGCTTAGCGAAACATCTCAAGGTTTGTCAATCTGGACGAAGGTTTTTGCAGTATTAAAATACCCTTCGTATTCCACTTGCTTATTATCGTCGCTTGAAATGTCATAATGATAATGACCACCTTGGCTGTCTCCGTTAAAGCAATGTGTATGCTCCAGTCTGACTCCCAGACGCTTCGGATCAGCCGAATGGAAGACTGAAAGGCAAACCATGGGCCCTGAAAAAGTTTGATACGAAAGCCACCCGTCAAGTGCCTCCTGGCTCTTGAATGGCAATTCGTCTTGAGGTGGGAAGGGTGGCATGACATGAAATTTGGCTTTGCCTCGCTTCATTATGAAAGTGCCCCCAAGGGAAATCTGGTGGTCTTCGCCGTAGGCCTTGCGAAGTGCAGATCGCAGGAATTCGGAGAAGCTGGCCGCATCGCCTCGTCGACCTCTGGCTGTGACCTTCACGACTTGCCCTGGAAGGCCATGCGAGCCGTAAAGGTTCATCATGAGTGAGTAGTCAGTGCTGCCAGAGTATGGACAAGCTACAGCAGACTCGCTACCCTCATTTTGGGGGATCAATCTAGCCGAGCGGGTCATGTTGTTGACATTTTCGAATCCATTTTTCCAGCAAAGATTTGGAGCCAGTTCCGAAGGCACACCGTGTACATGGTTTGGTCCTGCACCAGCTCCTATGAGGGATCCCTGGGTCGGAATCATGCCCATAGCCTCGGCGCATTTGATGAGAGAGTAGTTCTTTTCAAGGCGCGGTTGAGGGAAAAGATTTGCTTGTCCCCCGATATCTGCGATGACCTCGGCGCCGGAAAGACCTTCGCAAGCCAGGTTGAATGGTGCTTGTCGAAGATCTGGACATTCCACAACTGTTGCCCAAGATGAGGCATAATTTTCGGAGAGAGCAGATGCCAGAACTTGGGCAATTTCCGTTAGTGACGGAGGAGACAGCTCGTGTCGATTGGTATGCATCGTGATGGAGATGTGGTTGAAAAAAAAAAAAAAAAAAAAAAAAAAACTAATAAATCACTTTTGTATTGTGGGATATTCTCAATAACGTTGCTTCTGATTCATGCACATATCCCGGCTGCATTTGAATCGTTGTGAGTAATGAGTATAGTGGACTTATGAAGCCAGTCTTCCCGATTCGGAGATTACCGTAAAAGGAAGGACCGAGCTCTTCGGCTGCATCCCAACTAGGAAATCTGTCCTACCCCTCGGGCTCAACGTAAGAATTCAAATACCACGTCATCGGCCAATATACCCCGCTACAACTACACCCCCGACTCTTTCTCCCATCAAATCCGCGATGACCGCACCTGCGATATATCCAAGCCTGCATGGCAAGACAGTCTTAATCTCTGGTGGGGCGGAAGGAATCGGTGCCGCAACCGTGGAGCTTTTTGCATTGCAAGGCAGCCAGGTAATCTTCTTGGATATCTCCGAAGATGCTGCTCGGAAAACCATCGACAAGGTGGTCGCACGAAGGGAAGAGGCTGCATCGCGTGGAGGACCTACAATCAAGGCCCCTATCTTTTACTTTTGTGACTTGTCAAGCCTTCCCGATTTGCAAGCAACGGCAGTAAAAGTATTGGAAGAACATGGCCCAGTCCACGTATTGGTCAACAATGCAGCAGGGACGGGCAGCAGCGCAAGACTCAGCACGGAGAATGTCACATCAGAGGCCTGGGACGCTAGCGTCAATATCAACCTGAGGCATGTGTTTTTTCTGTCTCAGGCCGTCATTCCGGAAATGAAGCGCATTGGGGCTGGTAGCATTGTCAATCTTGGGTCTATCACCTGGCGTATACCAGCTGCTGGTCAACCAGTATATGGGGCTTGCAAGGCCGCCATAATGGGTCTTACACGTGTTCAGAGCAAGGAAGTCGGTGGCTCTAACATACGAATCAACAGCGTTATGCCTGGTGCCATCGCGACCGAGAGGCAAAAGGCAGAAGTTCTGACGCCCGAATATCGTGCGGAGGTTTTCCAGAACCAAAGCTTGCAGCGTGATCTTTCTCCCGAGGATGTTGCGAAGGTGATTGTTTTTCTTGGAAGTGATGAAGCAAGCGGTGTGACAGGAAGCACATATGTTGTTGATGGCGGATGGGTCAGTGACCCATGATTGAAAGAAGAAATACTGGGTGGGAAGAAAGCCCTTCACCTATGTCTCTCTTCTATATTTCTCTCTCCTGTTGCGTTCCTTTTCTTACTCCATTACATTTACATACTCTCCCAATCTTCTCCTCTTAATCTTCCCGGACCTTCCTTGTCGTTTCGGTGACATGAGACCTGGGACATAATGATGCATCATGACACTGAACCAATTGGGTTGAAAAGCTTTACATAAGAGGGAAGCTCGAGACCATATGTACAAATTCAGTCTGATCCACGGCTTCACTAAATAGATTCCTATGTCATGTGCGGGTACCCGAGTTGACATTTAAATAAAAGGTAGATTGGTTATGAAGCCAGGTCAATGGTTTGGGTTATCCGAAGCAGGCCATCTAGTGATTTGGGCTAGTTATGTCCCAGTTTGGACCGTAATGTTGGACAACTTGTCAATAATGGTAATATCTCCAGGCGCCTGACTCCGACTACCCCGCATCGGTACTCCGCACGGGTAACGCCAATAGCGTAACGAAGTGAGCAATCAGTCCAATCGGTGATTTAGCTCTGCAATGGAGAGGTAAGCTTCATCGCAGTAGAGGACTCGGCACGAGACCTTGTTAGGAAATTCCGGCGGATTCAATACAGGTCTTCAATAACCAAGTGCTACCCAGAGATCAACTTAAAATAGGATGCTAGATCTCGGACTGGGACCATTCAAACGCTTCTTTCTCTTTCTCAGCTTCCATGCTCTACCCAAAAGTCAACCCTAACTAGACACTTAACCATGTACGGCAAGATGTCGCCTACTTTCGAATCATCGAAAACCAAGGCCTTGCCAAATTATAACGGGAAAACTCACTTGCTCAATACCGGATCCGTGATTCCTGCCATCGGATTGGGTACTTTTCAGGACCCCGACGAGCAAGAACTGTCCGTCTATACGGCCCTGAAAGCAGGATACCGTCATATTGACACTGCTCACAAGTATGCGCATATCCTATCCCAAACCTCCGCAACCTGGCGCTCAGCCAACCGTCTATTACGCAGTACATGTTGAGAACCTGTTAGCTGATTGTTTATTTCAGTTACGGGACCGAAAGACAAGTTGGTAAAGGCATCGCGAGAAGTGGCATACCGCGAGAAGACATTTTTGTTACCACAAAGCTGTGGTGCAATTCTCACCACCCGGATGATGTTGAGCCGGCGTTGGATGGATCACTCAGCGAGCTTGGTCTTGATTACGTTGATCTATACCTGATGCACTACCCGTGTGCGTTCAAGCGTGGTCCGGATTTTCTTCCGATGGGGTCTGATAACAAGATGATTTCGGACCCCACGCCTTTTATAGACACTTGGAGAGCGATGGAAATGCTCTTGCGGGCTGGGAAAGTCAGAGCGATCGGTGTGTCTAATTTCAGCCAGGTCGAGCTTGAAACCCTTCTCAAAGAAGGCACTGTGGTAAGTCCAGGACTCACCTTCCTCTCGACTCATTCTTTATTTTTGTTTTAGTCAGATCAGGAATTTACCATCGACGTAGACACCAGCTGTCCATAAAATGGAGCTCCATCCATACTTGCAGCAACCGGAATTTGTCGAATGGCATAAGGCACAGGGAATCCACATAATCCAGTTCAGCCCGTGTGGCAATCTCAACAATTTCTATCGCGAAGTGTCTTGGGGAAAGTCAATTGCCCAAATGACCCGATTGATCGACCATCCGACCCTGGCCGAAGTAGCAGCTAAGTATGGCAAAACACCTATTCAGACTGCACTCGCCTGGGCCGTGACGCAAGGTCGTTCGGTTATTCCTAAAAGCACCATTAAGTGGCAGATTGAGGAAAACCTGCAAGCGGACTTTGAGCTGGCAGAAGAAGATGTAGCAAAGATTGCCTCGATGGACCAAAAAGCCCGGTTCAATGATCCCAGTACCGATTTTGGCTACAATCTTTACATTGGATTGGATGGTGCTGCCTCATAAATCACTCTAGGCATCATGATCTGCTTAACATCGGGTCCAAGCGATTTTGCGAGCTATCTAGCACGTCTCCTAAACCTCTTTTTGAATTTTACAAGCCTTCAACAAAGCCCATGTCCAAATTCTGCAACAGGAGCCACTTGTCTATGAAACTGTGCATTCCCTTTACCCTCATAAAGCTCGTCAAAATCGGATCATATTCTTCTATTCTTCTCGTACTATGTAAGCTTAGAAGAAGCTGTGTCAAAGAGTGATCTAGCGGTGGAACGTGTAAACAACTTAATTAAAATATGGGCTACAGATAGAAGGCCGGCGGAGAAATGATTGAAATGTCATACACCTCATTATAGAGGTTTTGTAGCCTTTCAATAACGATTCCACGAAGCCGATATGCAAAACTGGTAAATTCCGGTCGGAAACTACCACATGCAGTAAATACACCTGTCAAGAACGCTGCCTAGTCTTCAGTGAGGTACCTCCATCGGCAATGATTTAATTTGCTGTTTTACACCAAGGGGACTATTTTTCGGCTCTTTCATAAATGGCTACCATCAAGGACTCATACCCTAAACCCGAAGTGGACATAAACATGTAGAGTTATTCAGGCCGATGCAGTCATGGGAGCCTTGCCCGTACTCAAGCACATATCCATCCAGATTTCCAATCCTTTCGTCACTTCTGCTACTCCATTCTCCATTAGCGAGGTAAATGGTACTTTGCTCACATTGTCTTCAAGATATCTGTAATAACCCTTGAGGATATCTTTATTGACATTGACCTTGGTGACTCCTCTCGAGATCAGTCGTCGGATAAGCTCGGCGTTGAAGTTATTGACACCGTGCAGAACGATTCTGACATCTCCTTTCGCTGCAACACTTTGAATGGAGTCCAAACGTTCCCAGTCCAGCTGAATGCCACGTGCGCCATACTCGCCATGGACATTCCCAAAGGAGGGTGCTAGGAAATCAACACCTGTATCAACGAAGTCCTGCACTTCCCCAGGTGTAGTCATCAGAGGGCCCAGGTCTGCCGTATTGCTGATCCCGTCTTCTCCACCCTCGATACGCCCGGGTTCTGCTTCTGCCGACTTGTGATGCTCATGGCAGACCTTCACGAGTTCTGCTGTCTTTCGCAGGTTGTCTTCTTTCGAGCAGTGGCTCAGGTCGATCATGATACTGTCGAAAGGTAAATTAGCTGCAGCGTGCCGAATGAGCAACTCGTCCTGGCAATGATCCATGTGAATCGCGATAGGAACAGATGCTTCCCGCGCAGCGGCAGCCGCAAAATGGACAAGGTGGCCGTTCGAAAATCGAACTGCCCAAGGGAACAGCTGGATGATTAACGGAGAGCGCTTGATTTCAGCTGCACGAATAAAGCCCAAGACATTTTCAATATTGTATCTGCAAGCAACGACAAAATTAGACCCCTTTCAGCCGCTCAGAAAAGGATATGTATGTTATCCACAGAGAAGGTTGTGCTCAAAGGTAATGAAGGACGGAATGAGGAAGACTTACGCTATGGTTGCCAAAACGCCATATCCTCCTCTTTCAGCATCCTTCAATATTTGGCAAGTCTTGTTTTTTTCCGGATGATAATCGTCCATGATCGACTGGGAAACGCTAGTAATTGGGCAGAAAATATAAACGGCAAGGACTGAAAAACCAAGAATGTGTGGGAATCCAATACCATGAATAACCGACCTTGAGGGAAGATTTAGATGGGTTGGCTTGTTAAACTCACACTGTAGACACCCTCAAGTCGAAGAATGATGTCGTCGTCTCGGGCCTCCTTTTGGAATCTGGTCTCGCTAGAGGACTCGACGCGAGCCCTCCTCCTTCTCCCCGCCTTGCCTACACCAGACTTACCATCATGGTGGCTTTCCAAATGGATCCTGCGTAATGGTCACACAGACAAGACTAACTCGGAAATACACATAAAGATGTCTAGATCCTGGGTCAGGATCCCTGATTGGAACAAAGTGGGGCCAGAATTTCCCCTTTTGGAAATTCCGAGTCTGTGGAGTTGATGCCGAGGAAATATATCGTTGAGTCACTCCGGGTGGAAAAGCTTTCAAGGAGGGAGACGTTGCGCGACACGGAATAACACCTCCTATAAGAGGATTATTAAACCAGGAGATAGTTTTGGAGTCCTAACTTTTATGGCATATCATTCTTCAAGCAAGTAATCGCGCAGCAGTTGAAAGGAATATTTTATAGTAGTTGAGGTTTGCTACTCGAATGTTCGTTCTACTAGAATGGGAGATACTTCATGTTGAGCTAGCTGCAATCCAATAAAAGTCCTGTTAGAATAATAATAATATCCATTCTTATGTTGAATCACAAGAACTTTTATCATACAATCAATGCTATACAATGCAACTGCTCGCTAATGTGCCCTACATTATAAACGTAAAAACCCAAACCATTCCAGCGTACAATCTTCACAGACTCCCAATGCTCCGCGCTAACTATGCTTGTCGCAAAAGGTCCGCAACTCGACAATGGCCGTTGCTCTCGGCCAAGTCCACAGCAGACCGGCCTGAATCATCCTTATGGTTCACATTGGCACCGAACTGTACGAGAAGGCGAACGATGCCTTCATGGCCGTTCTCTGCTGCCGCCAGCAGCGCCGAAGTCTTGTTTCGGTACATCTCATTTGATTCGTCTCCCAGGTCATCCACATCTGCACCATTTTCGATCAGGAATGCCACTGCGTCCAGTCTCCCTAGCCCTGCTGCTGCTTTCAGAGAGCCCGATCCCTTCACCCACGCCCCTCGATCAACCAGGAATCGAATACGCTTAATAACAGTATCTAGCATCCCCGTTAATACAACCACCCATATTCGAATTCAGACAAGGAATTAATCAATTACTCACCATCATCAACATCACACCTCACAGCTGCCCGCACAGGACTCTGCTCCGGAAACTCCGCATTGATATCCGCACCATGCGCCAGCAGAAAGTCAATATAATGCAAATGATCCTTCAACAACGCGACTTTAATTTGACTACCACCCAGCACGCGACCATGCGGTGCCTTGAGCACCGACTTCGTGAAACACGTCGGATCGCGACAGTAGAACGCCTCTGCTAACGGGACCGAGCCATGTCGAGCCGCAGCCTTCAGCGCCGGCCACGGGATCTCCGCGCCCTCAGCTGCAAGATACATGTCCCATAGGTATGCGAACACCTCATCTTGATCGCCCTCTGCGGCTGCGACTGCCATCTGCGTGATCTTCTCGCGACAGGGCACATGGTCACATGGTTTGGAGGCGTGGCCGCAGTACTCTATTCGTCCTTCTGGCGGAAGCAGGGCAAAGTCTTGTTCGAGGAAATCGCGAACGCCGCTGAGATTCCCCTCTGAGCACCAGGCTGTGAGATCTGATGGGGACGGCATGGTTGGTATGTGGGTTGTTTTTGGGCATGTGTCTCACTGTCCCGTCAATATTCTGGATCCTGACCTGAGGCGCCGATGACGTCGATGGGCTTTTTGGGGTTGCGTGTATTTGATTGGTTGGTTTATGCCGTGTTGCACACCAATCATCGTTGGGGTCCTGTTCCTATACCCCGCAATAACCCGACCAATGATATTGCAATGCAGGCGTGCATTTTCCACTCGCAAAAACGGCTGTGCAGGTTGCATCCTGGATGCCTTGGGCGCTAAACGAGGGTTTGTTTGCTTCTACTCGCAGTCGTCTAAATGGCTGAGAATAGACAGGTCACCGTAGTACCTACTCTAGAGATTAGACTTTTTGGTTGGTTTTGGCGGGCCAAGTTAGACCGACAGTTTTTACTTCGGTGCCTAGTACTCCGTGAGCATAGTAGATAGACCATAATCATCAGCTGACACTGTTTAAGCGACAATCGCAAATCTGCTCGCAGTAGAGATGGATATCAATCGGGTTATCTGGATACGGACATCCCAGCCACTTGGAGGGCTTGGGATTCCTACAGTATTAGGATACCTCAATGCGACACGTAACATGTCTGTCCGACTGCCCCTCCTATATGCAGAACATACGCTGTACAGCAACTTAAGGATCCATCTTTCTACAAGCGTCCACCTACATAATCTAATTCTTGTGACCATTATGATAGCCATATGCCATGTTGGTCCACCTTGATGGCGCTCATATGTGCCTGCACGTGCATGACTCGGTGCCTCTACAGCCGCTGTCTCCCGACTGCGTAGAAAATATATCTTTGAAGCTCAAAATGCTTCTCCAGACATTACATCATAGCGGGGCATATGCCTTAACTTTCAAGCGCCTCAGTGAGGCAAGGGACTGGAAAAAGTATAACGGTAGACCGATTCTGAATTTTTTCAGTTTTGATTGAGAGATTAAAATGATGATTGGAAGAATTGCAGAGGGAGAGACGGCAGGCGAGAAAAACGCCCGCCCGCAAGGTGATCACGGGACCCACTCCGATTGTTTTGCGCCCGAAAATCCTCGCGTGTTTTTCCTTCGAACACGGATTTGCCTGCCACCTGGAGGGACGCTGATCAGCATACAGCGCACAGCATGCAGGTTGATTTCCCTTCGAGGTGACTCTCTGCGCTGGACACAATCAGATCATTCTGGTGTTTATGACGCCAGACCAGTTGCAATCGGATAGGAACGCGTATCGCCTCGGTGAATATGGGGCATCCACCGGCGAGCACAGACGTCTGTCGGGCGAAAAAAAAACGAGAAAAACAAACAGAAGCGAATGTATCGAGACTAGACGGGTAGGCTGGCCAGGCTACCACATCGAGCAAAAGAAAAACAAACCGTCTTTCGGGGCTGATCCGTCCGCGGCGCCATCGGCCATTGGACCCCGAGCGATAGGAAGATTCCTTGGAGCGGACGAACTTGCGAAGCGGTGAGCGCGGTGGATCGGGCGATCTCCACATAAGCTACCTGGCAGCATCAACCAGTCCGCTCGGCCCCCAATCAGCGCGCCGCTTGCCACTTAGTGTGCATAGTATACTTCTGTTCAAACTGTTCATGGCCGCGAGTAGATTGTTTAGCTCGCACTTGGGCCAGTCCGAGGTCCCTGCCCGCGTTGATAAGTGAAAAATCTGCAGTTGCATGACCGCAAGTCCATCATCTTACGCCATTTTCCGATGAGGGGACACGGGCTATATAAAGTCCCAGCTGGACGGCGAAATCGACTGGATGGTTTTGTTCTTCATTCGACTCTCTCAGCGGCCCGGCGCTGTGTTCTTGTTCGGTTTTCTCTCTCTGCTTGTCTCTGTTTCCTATTGCTCCGTCCCCATGTTTAAGCAGTACTCCCAGATCCTGTCCCACAAGAGGAGGAAGAGTAAGGGAAGCGCCATCCAGGTGCTGTCCGCTGCTCAGTCGGAACCCGCTTCGGAGGCGCCCACGGTGAATGAGCCTGTTGAGACATGGGTTCACTCGCAGCCGCTAGATCTGGAGGGACAACAACAGAATGAGTGTTTCACTACTCTCACGGCCCGCATCCACAAATACGACCATGTCGCCCAGAGAGGAAGCGACCGGTTCATCGAAGACCTCAACGCTGCGCTCGGCAGCGACAGCGAAAAGCGCAAAGAGAGCTACCTAACCTCGACGGTAGGAAACTACGCCAGCTTCCTGTATCCCGAGTGCGCGCCCGACAAACTCGAGCTTGTCGCCTACTTGACCGAGTTGGCAAACTTCCATGATGGTATGTCATCACCAAAACCAATGATTGAGGCGGAATTCTAACAGTTCTTTTCAGACCAAGCTGAGAGCAAGGAGGAGCAGCCGGAGGGAGAGAAGCCCGATGAGCAGACCGAGTCGCCTCGTTCCGAGGTCCGGAAGAAGCTTCTTCAGAAGGTAATGGGTGGTTTGACCGACAAGGACGGACAAGACATCATCGACTGCTACCGGAGTACCTGGCTTGTTACTCCCGAGGTTCCGACGGCCGACAACTGCGCTAACCTTGACGACTATGTCGCCCGTCGCCGGCTGAATGCCGCAATTGAGTAAGTTTCGTTCACCATGGTGGCTTTACTTGCCGAATACTAATGCGTTTGATAGCGTTTACTGGACTCTAATGGGCTTCGCACACGGCACGCGCCTCGGAAAAGAAGACCAAGCGATCGTGCGAGACGCTTTGGATGCAGCAGAGCGGACGATGTTCTTCACGAACGATTTCTACAGCTGGCCCAAGGAGAAGCGCGACTACAAGACGAGACGCGTTGCCAACGTGAACCTTTTCCTTATGAAGCACGAAGGCCTGTCGGAAGAAGACGCTCGGGCCAAGACCAAGGAGCTCATCCTTGAGAACGAAAAAGAGTTTATCCGGAGACGCGAGACGCTGTATCACAACAACCCCGAACTGCCTGCCCATCTGAAGAAATGGATGGAGGTCCTTGGTGCCGCGCTCGGTGGCATCCACTACTGGTGCAAGAACGCCCCGCGATACGACGTCCCCGACGAGCCATTTGAGGAGAGTGAAGACGAGTCCGAGTCCTCTGACGAAGACTCCGACGAGGAATCCGGAGACGAGAATGAAGATGAGGACGAAGAGGGACAGGAAGAGGTTGCGGAAGAGCAACCCGTCGAACCTGAGGAGGAACTCCCTCTGTGGACTCCGCTCGTCGCTGAAGAGGAGGCTCCGGCAGTGAACCTGGACACCTCTGCTCTCCTTGCACCAACCGGCTACCTCGGCTCCATTACCTCCAACGAAGTCCAGTCGGAGCTTCTCACCGCGCTGAACGTCTGGCTGCAGGTTCCCAACCGTCCGTTCAGCTTCATCAAGCAGGTCGTTGATGAGCTCCACCAGTCGACCCAGATCCTGGCCGACATCGAGGACCAGGCCACTTCTCACCACCAAAGAAGCGCTGCCCACCAGGTCTTCAGCCCCGCGCAGTGCATGAACAGCGCTACTTACACCTTCGTCCGCGTCGCCAAGGTTGTCAGCAGCCTTAACGTTCCCGGCATGCTCGGCGGTCTCCTCGAGGAGCTCGAGTCGCATTTCATCGGCCAATCCTGGGACCTGAACTGGAGAGCTACCCTGGACTGCCCGACGGAGCAGGAATATCTGGCCATGGTCGATAAAAAGAGCGGATCGCCCTTCCGCATGCTGGTTCGTCTCATGCAATCCGCCAGCATGGGTGGTGTGGCTCTGGACTTCGAGGGTCTTGCGCAGCTGTTCGGTCGCTGGTACCAGATTCGCCAGGAGTACTTGGGTCTCCTGTCTGGCCGCAACCAGTCCAGCTTCGGCGAGGACCTTGACCAAGCGAAGATCACCTACCCGATTGTCCGCTGCTGCAACGTCGATCCCACCGCGAAGGCTATCATCCTCGGCATCTTCAGACAGAAGCCTCAGGGCGCTACTCTTTCGACGGAAAGCAAGTTGCAAATCCTTGAGCTTCTGCAGAAGGCTGGTGCCGTGGAAGCCACCTACAACCTGGTCCAACAGCTTGGTCGCGACATCGTGAAGAGTGTCGGTGAGCTGGAGACCGCTGCCGAGGAGGCGAACCCTACCCTGAAGGCTCTGGTGAAGTCTCTGGGTGAACTACCTGCCCCTGCTCAGATCTACGGGTCTGCCTAAAGGGAGAAAAGTACTGATTAATGATGACCGAACCCGATGGATGATGTGTGATGATTCCACACTATGTATTTTCTTTGTACTCTCATGATTTATGTCTTCCCCTCTTTACTGTATGGCTAGAACCTGGCTTACGTGTTATGATTAATGATATGACTTACTGCCTACATTTCCGTGCTTGACCGTACCTGATCACTATTCCGAACAATTAAATTCATAAACCCAGTAATCTCATCCCTACCAGATCCAAAAATTAAGTATACCAAGTGACCTCCGGCAACTCCTTCAACAACACATACCGTCCCAACTCCCGTCTCTTATACGCCACGGGATCATGCAATGTATGCGTGCGAATGTCTCGCCAGAACCGATCCAATCCCACCTTTGACGCCGTCGCCCTGGCCCCAGTGACCTCGAACACGCCCGACGAGACCTGCAAACCGACATCCGTCGTCACAACCTTCAAACTGGCAATCCACTCTGCGACCTCGCCGCGCTCCTGCGGCGTCAGACCGGCCCTGTTGCTGCCGTGTCGCGCATAGAGCGCCGCCAGCTGCTCGCCTGCCCGGTCGGCCAGCGCTTCAGCAGCCCGGAGATGCGCGAAAAAGGACCCGTACCGTTCCAGAATATAGAATTCCTCCGTCGCGGAGTCCTTGTTATCGCCGCCAAAGGGCCACGCGCGGGTCGTGGTGCTCGTGTACTTGGACGCGAACTCCAGCGCCCCGATCGCGATACCGAGGTAGAAGTTGCCGAAGACAAGCTGTATCCTACATCGACCATATCATTAGCATTTGCTCTTTTCACTGCCACTCCGCGCCATAAACCGAGAGAACAGGGGGGACATACGACGGCAAAAGCAACCCCGCAAACGGAATCCCCAACACATCCTCCCTCGGCCGCTTACTCTGCGCATCCCATCCCAAGGCATCTGTCCACGGCGCGCGCACATTATCGATCTTCACGCCCCCGGACTCCGTCAGCCGCAGCCCAATGTTATGCCAGTTGTACGCGAACTGGATCCCAGGGTCGTTGGTCTTGACGATGGCGAAGATATCATCCTGCGTGCCTTCCAGCACGCCCTCGAGCACCGTCAGATCCGACACCACGCCGCCGGTATTGAAGTGTTTCTGGCCGCTGAAGACGATCTCGTCGCCGTCGGAGATGATCTTCAGGTCGCTGTCGCGCGGGTTGACAGCCCCGCCGACGAAGTAGTTGTTGGAGATGATGAGCTCGTGCGTGCGTTCGATCTGCTCCGCTGTGCCGACTACGTTCGCGGTTGTGGACCACAGGAGGTGGTAGCCTAGGAGCATGCCGAGGGATCTGCGCCAGGGGTGTTTGTTGTTAGTAGCCGTTTATCTTAACAAAGCCATATTCTATGAGATGTAGAGATAAAGTTAGAGGGTACTCGCCCATCAGCCTTCGCAACCTCGCGAATCGCCTTATACCCGACTTCCCATGACTGCTCGCCTCCGCCGTACTTCTTCGGCCCCAGGACCTTCAGCAGACCGGAGTGTTTGAGCAGGGCGATTTCCGCGCGCGGGGACTTATTCTCTGCGTCGCGCTGCGCGGCGTCTTGCGCTAAGACCTGCGCGACGTCACGGGCTCGCGCAACCCATGCGTCTGGTGTGTCTGGCAGCGCGGACCATTTGGATTGGTATTCCGCGTAGACGGCGGGGTCTGTTGCGGGGACGGGGTCTTGCGCCATGATTGAGCTGGTTAGATAGGCTGTAGAGTAAGGGGAGAGCGAACTCAGAGAAGCGATAATTGAAAACCGCGATGATATCTCACACAGAGACGACGGGAGGAACACGCCATATATCTATGCGAACGAATCTCAACCCACGAGAGCAGGATCGTAATTATATACTGATTGGGGATAAACCTTACGAATGACGTGCGCGACTCAATTATAGGGCCGAATGAAGACCGCAAGAAGGGCTCAATGGAGTGTGAATGCGATGGTCGTCATTCGTCAGAGACGTGCAAGATGTCGTTATCATAACACCATCGGAACCCGTCGATCTTAGGGCCCGCCGGACCCACGGGGTGGAGCCGTGCCCTAATTTATCGGGTGTTGGGCTCCGTGTGGCCGAAGGTTCTGAGGAATAGGTTAATGGTTGATGGATCGGTATCGAGGAAGATTATGTTGAATTGAGTATATCAAGAGTCTTACTCCATCTGTCCTGAAAATCAATTATTGGCCCGCCTGTATCCTATACTCCGTAGACGTAGACTACCTTACACCCCTGCACCTAACTATAGTTACTGCCAGACCATCCCACCAGTATCTAGAAGTAAATCACCCCCACAGAATATAATGTTTATTCCTCCTCCTTCACCCCCTTTGCAAAGAACCTCGACGTATCCCCCAACGGCAACTCCACCAACGCATCCTTCAGAAGCAAATGAAACACAATATACCAACCCACCAAGCCCGCCACGAAGCAGAACCCGCCGCCGGCCTTTTTCAGCGCCACAGACGACGCATGGTGCCCGTCCGCCTCGGCAAAGTAGCTCGCCGCGACCGTCAAAAAGCCCATATCCACGAGAAAGAACACCGCGATGTAGGCCAAGTTGCTGGGCAGGGAGCCGATCAGGAACGTGAAGACGAAGACCGTCCACAGGATCATGAAGAAGCCCAGCGCGTTGTTGTACTGGGTCATGTCGCCGTTGTAAGACTCTAGGACGCCGAAGGCAGGCGTGAGGATGGCGCCATAGCCGGCGTAGAAAAGACCTGTGATTTCGTGATGTGAGATTGTGGTTCTGGGGAGAGGGAAGCTAGGAGAGGGGAGGGACGCTACCGAAAGCACTAAAGACCGTGTACGCGAAGCCATTCCCGACAGAGAGTTCCCATTGCGCGGTGACCACGAGACCGAATGCTGAGATGAAGAAGAAGTTGCCGACGAAGACGTTGGCGGTTGTCACGCCGCGCCATTCCATGAGACTGAGCGATAGAGTGGTGAGGGTTGTGCCGAATGCGCCTAGAGCGAGGGCAGACTGTACGCTTGGATTAGGCATGTCTCTGTTGATCTGATGCAGAATGCTTCACTTACACCTGCTCCCAGCGACTTCGGGGCTTCAGCGGTCACCGTGTTCGCTCGGGACTGTCGCTCGACATCGATCAGATGCGCGGGTTCTTTGATGCCGGCGCCGTTCGTGGGCTCGGAAGTCGACATGATAAGATATTTGTCAAGGTGAATGCGATCGGGAGTAGCAGGTGATGTTCAAATGTAAAGAACTATTAGAGAATAGTCAACACTCTGTAGACAACGGAAGATAAGTCTCTCGACAAAGCTAAGCGGCAAGATAAACCCTCCACGGCAATGAATCATGCTTCAATTTATCATTCAGGGACTCATTGGCAAATAACCGACCCATGGACTGCAAGTTTATTTGCGCCATCGCTAGATTCAATTGCGACCATATTGTCTCGGGCGAGTGGTGAGGAGGATCTACAACATCAGCCGGCATACCAGGCCAGGAAAAGAAATAAAGTTAACCCCAGAGTGCTTTCTGCCGATGATAGTTCATCCCTTGAGCGGAAAGGAAGAGCTCTAGACCCAAAATTGTGTTGTTTGGATTGAAGGGCCGATGCATAGTTGAATCGGAACCCCCTCGGAAGGTGGGGCGCATTGCACAATCCACCTTCGGATGATGTGCTTCGCCATGGGGAGTCTGATCCCGACTTTCTGGAATTGATGGACGTAGGTCAGATCCATGATCTGAATGGAAAATTCTGAAAAGTGGCCCGTGAGCTCTGCCAGGGGAGATATGCGATGAATTGCTGAAGCTGAACACGTTCACCGGGAACTGGGGTCATACAAAAGGCTAGACCCCAGACATAGTGGGAACATCAGTAATCGAACTAATGATTAACTCGGCTAAAATGATACGAATTGCCATGATAGACTGCGAGACATATATAGTCATTTTACATCCACTGCAAAAGTTTTCGTCCATTGTGTAAACAGACAGAGATCGGTTTGATCCTCCAGCCATCGCGGAGGATACTGAGCAAAAAGCCCACTATTCCGGAGTGAAGAAACAAGGGTATAAGCCTCAAAAATATGGGCAACCTGGACTAATCACTGCAGTAACGTAGATTGCTATCCGAGTCGCGCGTGAGGAGCATCCACCAGAGCATTTGATTAGACGGAGCCATTCCTGATACTATGAGATTGGGCGCAGTAGCTCTCAAGGATCAAGGCGGCGTGGCTTTTGTGGGCGCACAAAAGTCCGTGTGGGCTTTGGCTAGGGAAATGTTGAGACTGTTCGTAAGATTATTGGGTGATAGACCAGCTAAGCATTACGAGGGTAACGAAGGCAAGCTTGCAATCCGAACGGCGGTAGTTATTGAGAGATACCCACAACCACAGATAGATGAATTAAAGTTGTAGAGAAAAAAGAAAATGAACGAGAAGCCAAGCGAGATTGAGACAGAAGAAAGGAAAAGAAAAAATAAGGCCCGGGAGGAACATGGAAAGCAGAAGAACAAGGATACAAGTTCTTAAAACGAAGAAGAGAATGCTTCCTAGAGTGAAGACCAAATAGAACAAGAAAAAAACAAAAACAAAAAACCGAAAGAGAAACAGAACTCCCATCTCCGTTATCTAACTTGCCAGCAAGTTCAAAGAGCCAAGGCTTTGACTTCCTACAAATCCCTCGAATTGAACCGTTCTGTTGCTGCTTTTCACTCGGAATACAATGGTCAAGGAGACATTGTATGAAACACGCCCATTGACCATACTGTGGGGAAATTGACTCAGATTGACCTGTGACAAATCGCAGCAAAGTTGACTAAGATGCTTTGCACCTGAACCTCAAGGTTAGTATCCCGCAGAAGGCTCACGAGAAATGCAGATATCAGTACGTACCTTGCACGGCGGTGCGGAACGGAGGTGTGTTTAAATCGGACGAGAAAATGTCGACGTTCTGCAAAAGGGTGCCGTCCTCATGGAAAGGAAAAGTCACTTCGTGTCGCCCGACGTATCCCTCGTCGTAGGATTGTTTCTGAAAGAACCAGGATATTTGAAGTTAGTATGGTTTGTTGTTCTTTAATGATGATCCCGGGAGGGAGGCGGAGGCTCTCCAGACTTGCCTTGCGTAGCACCCATTCAATCCCGTGGGCCATTTTTTGACCCGTTATGATATCGTAGTGGGCATCATCTTCGTCGTGTAGTCCCGACACGAACGGCACTGCTGATGGTACGCCATAATGACGTTGACACAGATAGCCAACTGGGTGAGGTGCGCCGATGCCCCAACAGGCACCCCCATCTGCGACCGCCATAATCCTGAAGTGTTATTAGTAGCTACTCTTGAAAGGATAGGATGCAGAGTAGGTTGTGGATTGAGTTACGGTTCTGGAATAACGTCCACGGTCACACGCCCGGTTTGACCAAACACCGTTCTGACCTCGCTGATCAGATACTGCGATTGCGAAAGTCCCCCGGCAAGAATGATTCTCTGGTCCTTCATTAGCTGAGAAAGCACTTTTAGTTTCTCATACGAGAGGATGTACATTGATCTTGAAATCGCCCGCTTTAGCATTGGCTGCGATAATCTGCTGATGTAGCAGGAGACAAATAGCGCGAACTACAGGCTGAAAGAAACTGCGAAGCGTGTGGCTATTGCGAATTACATCAGTATTGGCTTTGGAGTAAGATGGAGAAAAGGCACTTACTGTGCCAATATCAACTCGCCCCTGTGTTGATCATAAACCTGTGGATCCGTGGCGGAAAAAGGGATTCGGATGGGTAGCCGATGCGGTCTAGGTACATGGCTGCTGAAGGAATGTTTTGCGTCTTCAAATGCAGACATAAACGCGCTACCTGGTGTTCTCTCGACCAAAGGAATAGACTGAAAAGACTCACCAAAGATCCCTTGTAGGTACTGGTGGAAGTTTCGATCCACCGCTGTCGCACCACACAGCCCGCCTGCATCGACTCAGTCTACATCCTTCACGTTGAGGTTTGCACAAAGCTGACTTACCGGTATATTCAGTTAGTTGGTCATAACTGATCCTTGGTCGAACTGAGCTGATATTGTAGGAAGTGATGTCCTGCTATGCATTAGCAATAATTCCAAAGTTCAGTTGTAGGATCGGTATAATCCGTACAACCGTGCCACCACCGATGTCACAAACGACGACCCCGTCTCCAGCCTAGAAGTCATGCATGATTAGCCTGATTTGGTAGATTTCAATTGTTTGAGATTAGATTTCGAAGCGACTCACCTGAACAAGGACGGATTGTGTGGGCAAGTGAGCACGATATGTCAAAACCTTTGCCATCACCACCTCAGGCTCTCGTAGAATCTGGCATGAATGCTCTACTTGGCTTGCTCCGATACGCGAGGTAAAACCGGCACCCCGAACGGCACCGAAAAAAAGATCTTTTGCATCCTCTCCCCACACAGCTGGAACCGCAAATCTGAACTCCAGATGGAAACCGTCCAACGTCTCAACTTCGAGTTTTTGCTGAAGTGTAGAGCAGATGAACATGTATAGCAGCTGCAGATAGTCGGAAACTACTTGCTGAGGAGTCTTGCGCCTCGGAATGCGCATAACACCAGTCGAATTGGATTCATCTAGCGAGGGGTGCTTGATATGTTGCGGGGTCGTGTTCTTATCGACCATCAATTTGGTCCAAGAGACAGACTTCATTTCGGGTGTAACTTCATGCCCCCATTGAGTTCGTCGCAGGTATGGATTCTCTTCGGGATATGCAAGAATGCTAGGAGCCTTTTCAGAGACTACGTGAGACCCATGACCTGGACCAGGCCAGTTGTGGTATTCTCTTGGATTCATCGAATTTCTGCGGTCTGGAAGGAAGTACGAGAACGCTGCCATACGAGTTAGCCTATGCTCATGGATTGGGGATAGACGTCGTTACTAGAGCCCGTCGTGCCGTAGTCGACTCCAACAATGATTTTTCCATGCTGCGCCATGTTTCTTACAAGGAGCTAGGAAAATTCTCGATCAACAGAAGGAGGACTGCGCGAGAGGTAAATGAACGATTTGTATCAGTGGAATGAAAGAAGTAAAGAGAGTATGATAGTCTTTGAGAACCGGACAGGTCCTAAGAAGAGGCAAAAGCACAAAATGTTGTGTGAGTTTGGCCGTATGGAGGGAAGACGAGAAGAACTGCACGAGCGAAAAGGTGCCTTGCGTAAAGAAACGAAAAGGGCAGAGGAAGTCCAGCAGCTATCTAGGACATCTTTATAGCAGGTCTGTTGGATAGTGTGGCAGGCTTCAATTTATGATTAGCAAATTATCGCATTACTTTCATCCAGAAACGCAGCAGGGACTGAGATGGTCTAGACATCGTGCAGTTTGCATCTTGTGCTCTCATTCGCAACTGCTGCAGTATCCCGAATTCGGTGACTTTTCTACTCGCCCAATGACGGCGAATGTAGAACGTGAGTACAGGCTCCACGCTAAATGCATATGAAGGCAGTCCACGTCAACGGAGAGTATTGGATTGAGTCAAATCATCATTCGCCACATTCAGTAGGCAAATCTCTCCATAATCGCATGGCTAATATTTTCTTTCCTCTGGACCGGAACTGCAAATACCCTGTTTGGCTACCAGGCCAAGGTTGTTTCTGACGGTTCCAATCTTGCTCTCCCCTCCCTTTGCCCTTATTTTCCTTTTTCTTGGTTTGGCGTATGCCCAATGCATGCCGTGCAACAAACAAAGAGCTCGCCACGAACACCAGGATCTAGACCTTGTGAAGAAAAAGAATCGGAGAAAAAAGAAAGAAAAAGAAAAAAAGGAAAAAGAAAATAAATAAGGATAGGAAAACAAAAGCACGAAAAGAAAAGCAGAAAAGAAAAACGAACAAAAGTACGGCCCAAATGACCACCGATTCTCATCACAGCTCAGATAAAGAGACTGGAATAAAAATAGTCGTAGACTTGATCGCGAGCTTGCAACATTTGCCCACACACCATTTGGTTCTTGTCCTTTCGACTAAGCGCTTGCCTGCCTGGTTGATTTACGATTCTTCTACGGGACAAAGCAATATCTTTGACCCTCAAGTTCAATTTGAACCTCCTAAAGTTACTTATAGCCTCTGTCGCCTTTCATTCTTACATGGTCAGCTTGACTTCGTGACTTGTCTGATACATTCTCGCATGAAAACCTTTCTCTGCAGCCCAAACAAATGAGTACCGATCGCAGCAAAACCACAATGGGGAACAGAGACGCAGAATCTCCAGCAAGGCCTGCTGTCAACAAGGAGTGTAATGTAGGATACAATCTCGCTGTTTTTCAAAACCCACCGAAATGTTCCTGAACTTACCAGCACATCAGACGGATAACGATCCAACCCCCTCTGCCGCCCAAAGTGAATGTTATCAGATCGAAATTGGAAGAGACGGAGATCAGAGACGTGTCTATGACAATGACTTGGTAGGGAGACGTTGCGAAGCCATTCCTTTCCATCCTCTGGATTTCGGAAAGACCCTGTTTTCACGTTTTCCTTCTCCTTCCTCGCGTATTCTTTTCTAATCCATCTTTCCTCGATGCTAACCTACAACGTCATTGTAGGAGAAGACAGGACAGAAGATCAGAGAGTTCAACAAGAAATTGTTTGGAGTTGAGGATGACCTGTGGGTAGAACCTTGGACCTTCCACGAAGCCGGCATTGAGTACACTGGTGTTTACGTTCCACGCCCCAAGCCGAAACTCGAGGAGAATCCATTTCACAAACACCCATTCTTTTACCGCACAGTGGGCTGGTCTACTGTCGAGGCCGACAAGTCTAAGAAACTTGCGGGTCACATATCGTACGGCATCGCGCACTGGGCACGGAACTATTGTGTCGAAGACCCTGAGACCATTGAAGAAGAGTTTTCCAGCGAAGAAAAGGAGGAGCTGATTAGAAGCCTGGCTGGTTACTGCAAGCAGCAAAGCTGGGATTCGTTGGTGGAACAGATGAAACCCTGCACTTATCGAGACCTACCTCAGATACTCGCAGAGGCCATTCTTGCAAAATCTATATGGGAAAACGTGGTCAAGGACCCCTTTTTCTTTCTTGGAGAAAATTGCGATCCCGTTCCTCCCGGCGGTTATCCTGACCTCTTTCTGCCTTCTCGGTCTCAGATCCATAACATGTGGCGATGGGCCGAACAAGGTGATCCATACTTCTAATCCCTGTCACCAAAAGACAGTGCGTACTGACTCAATTACTAGTCACCTCGTATGATGCTTGCAAATGGCGTCGGTTGACCCTGCAGCATCTTATTGAAAACACACCGGCGATGAGCAAGAACCCCTCGCTGGGAATACATGTTCAGAAGTTCCGCGAGGCGGCCATTGAGAGAATGGCAGAGGAAATCCTCAGCCCGACCGGTACTCTGCGCCGATTCTTGAAGAAACCGTCCGACCCCGAAGACGAGAAATGGACATTGTGGACTATCATCAGGTTGTATCGGCAGGCGGAGCAGCTCAGCTACGGACTTCACGTCCATGACAACCAATACAACTTTTATCCTTTGGAATTATTGCCCATGTTCGAACCTGACACAGAGAATATGGAAAGGTCCTGGCCCCACAATGCGGAACGTGGTAGCAATGATCAAAGAACCAGCCGCCCTGTCTTGTTCCAGTTCAGGCCGATTTTGACATACACATCCGAAGCTGACAATGGAAAAAAGTCGACCGAGTCGAATTTGATATGGCCCGCAGAGGTAGTGATTTCCAGTCACTCCAAAACCGTCACTAATCTTTGGTCTCTTGGTGCTAATTGATATGATTCTGGATGGAGAGCTACATCCCCCGGGATGAGGCTCTGTGATTCAGCTTCTCTCTCTATTGACCAAGATAAGACGGCCTAAATCACACTTCAGGGCATATGAACTGATTTGTTCCAAGTTATCGTTTCAGATGGCGAAAATTTTAACGAACTTTCTTCGACCTGGTTCTGAAATGTATTTCGGCTTTCCTTTTGCAATTGGACTATCTGGGGTTTTTCTCAGTCCTGTTCCATGTTCGCCTCATTTGCCTATCTCGTCTTCTCTCGGTCCAGTGTTCTTCCCTCGTTGGGATCCGCTTTTCCCGTCTTGTTTCCTTTTGCCCTCTCGACGTCTCACATTCGTTGCTTTCGGATCCCCCGCTTTCCATTGTGTTACCACCGCGGTGCCTTCAAAGAAGCCTCCGATAGGCCCATGCGGTTGGTACAATTTCGGTGTGATTATCTTTCGGATCTAGTTTTAAAGAGATCATTCTATTTGGACCACGCTACGTCGTTTATTTCTGTGTAAGGATTTCGTGACGTAGTCAGGGGTTCAGCTTTCCCATGACATTTCCGTCTTGGCGAGGCTTACAATTCTGAGGCCGTTAAGTTATGGTATGGATTGTCGGAATCTCATAGATCTTCCCAATAGCCATAAACCCATGTACTCGTAATCTACTCCGTGCAGTAATGCGTTTAACGATCCGATCCCAGATTACGAAATGTCTTAGTTAGACCGCTGAGCGTACCAAGGAACACCATCGGAAAAATGCGCTTAGACGTGCCACATACAGGAGTGTGCCAGGATTCGTTCGAGAGGGCAGGGGTCATGCTGGACGGAAAGCAGCATCTCCCGGGCCTTGGCTAGACATTTTCAAGTCTACCACCCGCCGGATGTCTTCTTCCGATGTGTCCTGCCGTGGTGTTTCCTAAGGTTCCACCATCAACCGTCAATGAAAATTCACTTTCGTGACCGGCCCGGCCCTTCCGGAGCAGGCAACTGGGACCCAGGGCTAGAGGTGAGTGCATTGGTCGATATTGAGTCCCGGACTGCATCCGCGTTTGCATCAGGATTGGGATCTTATTTCGAACACATCCGCAGGCGGGTAGCTACGTCTGACTTCAGAATTGACCAGGAGGTCTGTGCGTTCCAGAGAGGCAGGGTCCTGCGCCATGAGGAGTTTTCCTACGGCGTTTGCAATCCCTAGGTCTGGAACGCCCCTGCAAGACGTTGAACCTGCGAAGGGAATGACTGGAACGGACTTTCCAAACGAACGGAGTCCAGTGGCGGGGAATCACATGGAGCTGCATTATCGATCAACGAGGCTGTGTATTCCTTGGCTGCTGCTGAAGATTCGGACAGTTGTGGGTATCGGACGTCCCCCGCAGTCCATAATGTGAGGGCCATACGGAAGTCTAGATCTCCGTCCGCGGGAATTTGCATCGGGCTTTGAAGAGCTGCAGTAGATTCCAAGGGAGCGCAGTCTGAGATGTCCGCAGAAGGCACCTCAGCAGTACCTAACCATGTGGCGTAATGACTTACCTGCGAAATCCTACTGCAATTTGTGCGACTTTCTCAATGATCCTACGCTATGAAGGCCCCCTTTGGGCCGTGGGTTCACATTCAACGTCATGCTGATTTCACTACCGTTGTATTCTGACCTAATGGTGGCTTGGAACCCGTTGGGGTCTTCCCGACTCGCTTGCATGATCTCCTATCGTAATCCATGGACGGGCTAGATGACCGGAAGGCCGCAGATCTAATCTGGCTATAATTAGATCAATGGCTACGTCGATAGTTGGTCCACTGCATGCGGGTGCCGTAGATGCCTGATTGCTGATCGGTTGGAGAAAAGATCGATCGATCGGTGGATCGCGTTTTGAAAAAAGAATAAAAAAAAATAAAGCAACAAAAAATAAGAGAAAAAGAACATAAGAAAGATTTCCCAAAATGGGATTTGAGAAACGTATTCGACATGACTCACGTGGAACCATGGTCGTCTCGGCGAGCAAGATGACCCTACCTACTTCTCGATGATGTGCCTGTCCTATAGGAACTCAACCCGCTACGTTCGATCCACATCATATCTAGCGGTGTCGAGCGCCTTTGTAAAACACTGATCCAGTGCTTGGTTGTCATTCGTGTGTGTTCCGACATTCAGAAGCCCAGAGATCTGCTAAGGGCATGGTAGGGCCTATTTGGTCCCAATTTCATCATGCGGGGCTAGGACAGGCTCATTTCTCATAATTTCATGAGTGGAAATAGGAATCCCAACAGCTTGGACAGGAAAAAAATTCCCGGCGGATTAAGATATGTCTGTGGATGAGTCAATGATGGCTCCGAAGATGAAAAATCAATGCCTCAGAAGGATGTCTGCGGCTTTCCGTGGGACATATCTTTCCCCAGGAGCGGATGTACATGTCACTTCATTCAATCGCAATAATCTCCTTGACGCAAGAAGCCCGGTGTGACGCATGTCGGGTACTATTGGTCTACAGAATGCAATGACCTCAGGTGGGATGCAGAAGATGCAGCTATACCCACTTCCCCAGACCGACATTTCGTTGCCTTGCTGCCATCTTCTGCCTGAACGCGAGCTGTCGGGCATCTGCATGACTGGATGTTTCTTAATTGGTCCACAAGGCCTTTGGTATCAACCGGGGTTGAGATTGTTTTGTGGCTGCAGCAGTCCCGTTCTACGAGTAATGGTAGTCTTTCACTTAGTCCAACGCGGGGAAAGTGATCTTAGGGATATTTCCTAATTATCCATTTACCAGATGACTTTGGCATCTGTTGGACAATGTACCGTACAGGGTAGATTGAATGCATTGTGCGGAGTTGACGAAACCTTTTCACCACTGCGACCATACTATTTTCCAGCCTGATCCTGCTCTAGACTAAGGCTAATGCAGATCTGAGAGCGGAAGTGACCGGATTTTGAAGAAAGGCCTACAGGAAATGTAGTCAAGAAGTTCCCTTTCGAATAAAAATAACATAAACCTTTGATACATATCAATAAAACAAATGGAGGTTTCTATGACACTAACGCCCCGTTCCGAATTAAACAACCTAGACAACGCCATGACCCTTAGACAAAAATCAATATACATTTCAACGCATAGTTCATAATCTTATGAATGACAGATTGGGGATATTCCTCGTCCTTCATTCTCCTTAATTCAACAATCCTCAGTATGCGCCTTACCTCAATCCTTGGGCTTCGCCCTGGTTGCCCTTGTTGACCTTCTTACAGGGGCTTCGCTGGGCTTTGGTTGGGCGCGTTTAGCTTTACTTTTCGCCTTTGGCGCAGGGGCAGGGGACTCAGCCTCAGGGGGGCCTGAAGGTGCAGTGGAGGTGGAGGGTGGCAGCGACGGTATTGGTTCGATGGTCCTCCGCACAGTTCTTTCAGGAGCGTTACCCTCACCGCGAGCCGGTCTTTCCGGTGGACGCTGAGGTTCTTGATTTACAGGAGGCGGAAACCGTCGAAGAGGAGAGCCCAAGACAGGCTGCTGCTGGCTTAGGCTTGAAGGAGGAGGGTGACTGGAAGCACGCCGGCTGGGAGTGAAGTTTGGTCGGTGAAGACCAAGGCCGCCGTCTCTGCTAGCGTCTTCGTGGCTTCCCTGGATGCTGGGAGATCTTTGATCGGATACTGAAGGGCGGTATTCTGTATCATTTGATCCCTGTCTTCGAGCTGCTCTCCTGCGTGTTTCAGGCCTAGAAGGCTCGTCTTGCGGGCGTTGACCAGCGGTCTCGGATGACTCCGGACGGTCTTGGCTTGTTGGGCTGAGAGACCGCGACGCGCGCTGCCTTTCGCGCCTGCATGGCTCTTCAAATGAAAAGCCGCCTTCCTCAACTGTTGGAAAGACTTGCTCGCGCAGCCGGCTTGCCTCATTGGGGGCATTCGGAGGATGGCGAGGCGATTCCTGGTGCGTTTGTACTGGTGAACTTGGTGATTGAGCTCTGGCCGCCGGCGCTGGTGGAGCCTGACACCGTACACTCCTTTCAGGTGGCGATGTCTGGGTCCCGTAGTCGCGTCGGGACGGTGGTGAACCTGGGCTATACGTCGGATCGTTCCTTACTCGTTGAATAGGGTCGCCAGTTCTGGGGGGTGTGCTAGACCTGGCGTTGGCGGGCTGTTCATATCCGGCTACAATTTGCTGTGATGGTTGGATATACGAGTCGCTCGGTTCAGGATCACTCGGTGCTGGTGGCGGTGATGGTGGACTGGATGCAGAGCCGCTCATATTATCGCGGTCATTGTTTCCCAAAAACATAGCCGTCTCTCCAAAGATATTGAAGCAAAGATAGATTAGAGCCCATATTCTAATACGACCGTGGAGCCAGACAAAGAGGGTGTATTTAATGGCCTCTGACAATGGGATTACCCCCCGGGTGTAGAAAGGTATCTGATTTGTGATTTCGGACCCAAAAACCACGTCTCCGAGTACTCGCAGCTTCAGTAGATTTGGATGTGGACTGACCATGATGAGCGACGATATTATACCGTCAACAACAAACGCTAAAATGAAGAAAGCCGGTCCATGGCTAGTGCGGGCTTGATATGGCAGGTTCTTCCAACGAGTTGCAGTGACTAGTAGATATCCGAGCCTCATTCTCACGGCTTGTCGCGTGTACCGGTACCAGTGGAATAAACGGTGTGTCCAGACATTAGACTCGGGTGTTGTTCGGGCAGGTGGCTCAATTGCATTCTGACCAGAATATTCTTTCGAGATCTCAGATCTCTTCTCCAGTGCCCATGTTTCAAAGAACTGCGCTGCACGATTTTCATCATAGGAAGTCGAATCCGCCGGCTGTGCTCGTTTGAATGAGGCCCTGAAGTCAGGATGCTGAAGAAGACCCTTTTGACAAGCTATGGCTCGAGCGACCTCTTTCCCTGAAGAGATCTCAATCGTAGATTCTGACTGACCCCCCTGAGCAGGAGGGAATACTTCTTTAAACGGCAGTCTGAAACGACGAACCTGCTGCTGAATCATTGCAAATCCGACGTGGCCATTTAACGATACCAAAAGTCGATCCATGAAGTAGTAGGGCCAAAAGACACTCGTGTCTATGAGAACAATGATCTCGGTCTGAGCCAATCTGATACCTTCAATGATCATGTCGCATTTCCCCGTTTTATCTGTCCCAGCGACGCCGATCCGGGTCATGGTAAAGCGCTTTCGGAATCGGTCCATCATACCATCTATCTCCAGACGCGTATCACTGCTCGTCACGATGATGATTCCATGGACCTTGTTTAACAAACAAGACGTCAGACACTCCTCGAATCTTTGCTGCTCTGTATCGGCCATGGGGAGGATAACAGTGCAGGCGTTCTTTTTCGGCCTTAAATTGTCTTCGGCCTTGTGTAGTTTGACGAAGTATAAGAAGGTGCCCCATTGCGCTGCAAGACGGAATGCCGTTAAGTTAATGACAACAAAAAGAACCTGGTGCTCGACTGTCGTCACGAAATACCAAATGCAACTAAATACATTGTTCGAGGGTGCAGAAAGCCAGATTTTGTACACTTCATCGCAAGCCTCGCAGGAGTGGCCGAATATAAGCCACAGGGTAATAGTAATGAGAGCACTGAAAGGCCAAAAAAGGCCTCGGATATTATTTGCACCATTGATGACGATAGCTACGACCAAGTAGTACAGGATCTGGCCGGCGGTAACAAGTATCTTCTTGAGGCTTCTTCCTGAATCAACGATTTCAATGAAGTCTTTCAGGCTGAATTCTCCAGATATGAAGACCAGAAATAGGGCGAGATTCAGCGCGTAACGGGGAAGACGAGACATCCTGGCCATGTAGATTGGACCGGATCAAATGAAAAGAAGATGAAGGGCTGCGGAGATCGAGAGATTTGGATGAAAAGTCCATGAGAAGAATTATCGCCAGACAGTATTCCGGACGTATGAAGGTATTTGAATTCTCAGTGTTCGGAATGTCCTTTGTCGCAAACCGCTATAAAGAAAATGTTTCATGGCACACTTTATGCCATGGGATATCTTGTCTAAAAATAAAGACAGATTAATGTGAGCAGTCCAAGGGTTGAAAAGATGCAATGATCAAAGAAATACAGTGTGTTCCCTTTGGCAAATTCAATGAACTCCGACAATTGCACATGGCTTTCACAATGTTTGTCGACAAGTAATATTGTAGCAAACTTTGAGTAGAAAGAACAAAGGATGGAACCCGTACAGATGAACCAATCTTTTGACTTTTACTAAAGCTAAGCTAGATCCGGTCATCTTTCGTCCGTTCAAACAATCAAGAGCAAACGCTGTTTCATGGTCAACCGGTGTTCTTTGTCTATAGATCGCAAGTTTGCTCAGGGCATTGAGACACTCACTCTACAATTTCTGGAAGTTTCTCTTTCTTTGTGCTCTGTCATGAGCTTCATCTTTCGGTGATTGCTCTAGTCTCTCTCGTTTCTACAGGCCTACAAACTACCAGTGCATCGGTTTTGGGGAGTCTATGCAAGGAGATGGTCATCCTGAGTCTGATCATTTCGATACCACCTACTATTCTGTGATACGAGAAAGATCATCAATGTACAACTGCCGACATACAGCTATAGCGTCATCCACAGCCTCTTCGAAAGAAGACTACTATCTATCATATCATGCCTCAACCTAAAAGCTTCCCCAATAATGCAAATCATAATCTACTCCACCTGGCCGCCACAACGGCTTGGGCGTATAAACTGGAATAGGCACGTCCGCTAGATCGGCAATCAGTATGGACAGTCAAACGTCATTCTACAAGCAAACAGGGCACTTACTTCCATATCCGGTGCTTGGTGCCGCCCAGGCAGGGCTCGGGGGCGCTGTCCACCCTGTCGGTGAAGCGGTAATCGTATACGTACTCGTATAGGTCTGGGGTGTCTCGTTCGAGCTCCATGGCCTGATCCCGTTGTTTTCGTTATACGAGTCGTCTCCTGTGCCGAAGATATTGCTGATCTTGTTGGCCACTTCGGTTCCGGATTCGGTCCATATGGAGATGTCTTCGACGGTTACGTTGGTCGCGTAGGTGAGGTCGTTGGCGATTAGGTAGAGAGGAGGGCGTTTAAGTCCGTCTGCCACGGAGCCTTTGCTAATTATCAGTATTTGAATCGGGTGAAAGGGGGCAGGATGGACATACCAGTGAAGTTTCGGAAGACGAGGTTGCTTAGAGTGACAGCGCCGGTGTCGGGTTCGAAGGTATTCTGCCAGTATTGATTGATGTTGAGGCCATAGAGACTACCCTTGGAGCGGAAATTTTCAAAGGTAACATTGGTTACGTAGCCTGATCCGCCCGGGTAGGTCTTGATGAAGGCGATATTGTTCCCTTGAATGATGCTGATGTTTCGAGCGACCTGTAGGAATTAGAATGACTTTCATATATAATAAGAGGTGAGGCATACAATATTCGAGATCTCCGCGGATGCATTCAAGCTTCCAATCGAGGTGCCTGAGCCCGCTTGGTTGCACACCAAATTTTCGATCAGAGCGTGATGAGAAGGGCTTTTCACCGAGACACATTCGTCCCGGTTCGTCACCTATAGCTTTTAACTTCTCTTCCCAGGTAGTTGCAAGTGATTTCTTACCTCGTTATCATGAATGTAGTAGTTGGTACCGATCGCATCAATGCCATCGTAACTGCCCAGATTACCTCCCCGAATGGTCAAATGATATGCCTCCACATTGACCGCAAAGTCGAGGATGATGTGGAACTTAGGGCTGTCTACGAGGATCAAATCATGGACTGAGGCATTGGTCGGCGAAATCAATCTGACGAGACGGGGACGATCGGTGCTGAATTCAAATTCAGCTTTCGCCCGTAGTCAGGTCACACTCGGGAGGAGACTTACTTATTCAGATTCCGGTACAAATATCCCTGGCCCTGGAACGCACCCTTGCCATTGGACGAGTAGAATTCAAAATCGACGGCTGTATTTCGTTCAGTATGTAAATCCAACGCCACTTCAAGTCGAAATGCTCACCATTCACAATAACAAGAACGTCTAACAAGAACTTCTGGTCACCCTCCCCGTTGATAGTCTCATTCAACACATCCACCCCCGCAAAGCCTTGGAGGATCAACCCACGTTCAATAGTCCAGTCACCGCCATATGCGGCTGTAATAAGCCCGTCGAGCTGGAATGCCCAATTTGTGGCATTGCTCAACACCACACCCCGGTTGATGAGATATTCGCCCTCCGGGACAACGAGTCTGCTTCCTGCATGGCGGCGGACACAGTCTTTGAAGGTCTTTTCCAATGCATCCGCAATATCAGTGCTGTTGTCTGCGACGGCACCGTAGTCGAGGATATTGCATTCTGTTTTCTTGTCCGAGAGGTCGGTTGTTGGACCGACGCGCCCGATCAGTTGAGCGGATATTGGGGAAAAGAACAAGAGAAGAGGGAGGAGTCTCATGATGGCTCAGGAAACTGTCAACAATCTGCTGATGTGCTTGGGTTCAACCAGATACTTGCTGAATTTAAGCATCACAGATACGGTGTGCCAAAGTCTCAATCAAATGTCGACATTACCTTCCTCCACTCAGTGTGGATCTGATGCTGTACAACTGATAAGGCCAAATTAAAATCGTCATCCGAGAGTGCAGAATGATGCAAACCCAGGGGTGAATTGGTCATCTTGGACTGGATGGTACAATACGCCGAAGCAGGATTTAATATCGGCGTTAGTCTTCGCTTTGAAAGGAGCCGAGGGCTTTGGTCCGGCTATCTATTGGTAATTTCCGAGTCACGCAACAATGCTTATAAACATGCTATACGATTTCTATTAACCGTGATTAATAGTCATAGGTCTAAGCTAGCTATCTACGCATCCTCCGACAGTGCCGCTCTCCTCGTCTTCGACTTAGGATCCAAGTACGGTCTCTCGGCTTGTGGCGCAACTCGGAGCCCATGTCGGAGGTGTGGGACTGAAATATAATGTCAGCATTGCATCCCTTCCATTCGGAGAAGGATCTTACAGTAGTCAAAGATCCCAGTATGGTAAGTGGCCCGGTTGTCCCAGATTGCGACCGCGTTCTTGGACCACTTCCACCGGACCTGGAATTCGTAGCCCTCGGCCACAGTCCGGTAAAGAGAATCCAGGATACCGTCGCCAATTCTCTTTTCCAGTCCCACGATCTCTTTAGTAAAGTTCTCGTTCACGTAAAGAGTCTTCCATCCGGTGACCGGATGAGTACGGACAACAGGGTGCTGCGATCAATTAGTTAGGGCACATTCAGTCATGTGGATGGATGGTCACACACGATAGTCTCGATAGGATCTCGGCGCAGACAACCGCTCGTGCGCAGGGCTTTCTCTGCCTGCTCGAGTCCGCTGTGCTTGGCCTCCAGAGTTTCCAGAATCTCCTGCAGCTTGGGCGACAACGCTGTTTGACCGGTTTCTCAGTATCCGTCTACCACGCATCATGGATACAAAGACTTACACTCATACAACGCATATCCGCTTGCCCAAATCGTATCTCCTCCAGCCAACGTCCCATCTGGTCCTGCCTCCGGCAAAGTATCCATTTTTAACAGCGTCAGTCCGGGCGGCTGGAGCTCATAGCTCACATCCGAATGCCAAATCTGATGAGACCGCCCGTTCACGGCCGTCCCATCCTTGTGGATGGGGTGCACCCACGGCAAATCGGGTATGATTCCCGCCATCTGGTGAATATGCAGATCGCCATAGTACGCGCCAAAAGCAATCTGCTCGTGTGCGTCCATCTCTTGGTCTCGGAAGAACACGACGCCCCGTTCGGCGACGAGACGCGCTAGATCATCCTTTTGCTCGTCGGTCAGATCGGTCAGTTGGAGGCCGACGATCTCGGTGCCGATTTCGGGGGTCAAATGAATGACGGAGGTAGCGGCGCCCAGGAGCCGGGATTTCGAGGGGTCGGAACTTAAGCCGCGGTCTCTGAACGGCTTTTCGACGAGGTTGGGTAGTTTGAAGGGCGTGTAGTTGGGGTATTGTAGGCCTCCGGCGGGGACAGAATGCAGGGGCGACACGCCACGAGGGGTCGTGTATTCGGGGTGGGGAAGCCCTTTCGGGCGCTCAGGGAGCTTTAGTTCTTTCTGAATGGAGGGCATGGTGGTAATTGTGCCCGGTGATGGATTTAATGCGGTGAAATGGACGTATGGTCTTGGGGATATTTCCTGGGATTGAACGTGGTATATAAGCTTCTGCCACGCCGCTTGTTGTCGCTAACCTTTCTGGCTGCATGGTTTAGTTCCAGTTCGTTTAATATCCGGATAAGACCCTGTCTTGCAGTCACGCCATTTCAGTCATATCTGATTCTATCCTCGATAAAGAGGGGATTAATATATTCAACTATAGCCTGTTAAACAGCCCTACTCAATGATCCTGTCATCCTGCTAGCCATCCACCCCACAACACTAGCCAACCCGTCATGCCATAGACACTATCAGCCTAACTATCGAACAGGAAATCCAGCCGCTTATTCCCCTCATCGCTGGTATTCTCCAAGTAATGCGCTTTCTCCTGCTCATTCATCGCCTCCCACTTAGCCTTCTTCCACCGGTTGCGCGACACATAGTACCCCTTCGCCAGAACATATGCCACAATAGTCGCGATGTTGATTGCTATCAATTGACCATCTCCGCGGTGATAGTACGGCTTGTCATCTTCGCGATAAATATTCGATGATGCAATCCCAGACAATTGAATCGTGATATTGTATAGGGCCGCGCTAACAGTTCGGGTTCGCACGGCGTTACTGAGCCGTGAACACCAACCGACATGAGCGGCGTGGGGGGAAGGCCAGCCCAAAAGCACGAATGTAACCGCGTACAAACCCCAGTTGGAGAGCGTGCTAGCGGACGTGTAGAGGACGATAAGCAGCGGAAGCGACCAGAGCTGAGTGAGGATACCGACAATGGAGATCTCGTGAAATCGCTCGGTGATCTCTGTGATGATGAGCAAGTTGATGGCAGCGAAAACTGTGACTGGTATTCCGAGCAGGGTTGTTTCGAAAGTACTGAAGCCGATTGCCTTGAGCGATAAACTGAGATATCCCTTAGGAGGGGAGGTAGGGATCTCAAAGAGAATGCCGATGACGTAGATGGGCCACAGGTCGTAGTCTTTCAGACTTTTCCAGAGCATGCCCAACGACAATGCTTGACGGTTGTGCATGTCTCCTTTGGATGGATCGTCGCGGAGGACGCGGTTGACGATGATCCTTTCTTCGCGCTCGGTGAAGTAGCCCTTTGGATTCCACCAGGTTTTTGTTTGAGTCGGTCCGGGGACGAGAAAGAGAAAGCTGAAGGCGCCAATAACCAAGCTTATCAATGCTTCGATGAGGAAAAGCCATTGCCAGCCCGGTCGAGCTTGAACGCCACGCATATGCAGGACACCGTAGGCGATGAACGAAGCAATGACACCAGAGATGGAATCCACAAACCAGAAAAACGCCAGTCGAAGCGGCATTTCGGTCTTCTTGTAGAAGTATGAGAGATACAAAATTGCATCCGGAATGAAACCACCCATGAAGAAGCCCAGGAAGAAGCGACAAGCAAAGAACCCAGCGCGGTTGTGAATGAAGAACTGACCCCCCGATGCCAAACTCCACATGATGATCTGCACGGGAATCCATCGATCGGGGCCCAGTCGTTTTCCAATCATTTGTGATGGGATCTCTGAGATCAGGAACCCAATTCGATACATGTTTTGTGCGTTATTGTAGTCGTTCGTGTTGATGTGTAAATCATCTAGCAGATTGTCGGCGGACGCATTGCCCAGGTTCCCTCGGTCCAGGTTAAGGCCAAAGAACATCACAAGAATCCAAAGGAATATTTTGATGTCGCATTTGCGACGCACTGCAGTTTCCTCACGATGTGTCCAGCGCTCGTTTGGGTCGAATCGGTGCAAGTTCTCGTATTGTGGGTGAGGCTGATAATATTTGGCCAGCACTGGATCGTCGAATACGCTGCGTGTGGTGGCAATGCTGTCGGGGTCCAAGGCCTTCTTCCTTGACAGGAAAGCAGAGACAAAAGATCTGTGCTGTGGACCATCATCTGGCTCGGCCAGGTCAACGACCGTGCCGTCTTTGGTAAACTCTGGGTTGGGTGTCTTGGACATTTTCACCGTGGCGAAAATTCAGACACACAGAGCGATTCGAAGATTATTGGAATGGGCCTCAAGAAGATCCCCATGTCTTACAAGTATACGGCTGGCAATATATATTGTCATTATCTATCGTATGGCTTTCCAGCCCAGTGCGTTCGTGCTGCCAGGAAACAATGATGCAAGCCTGTAGCCCAAGAAGCTAAGCTTTAGAACAAGACCGTCACTGTATTAACTGCTTACTCTTAACTGACTATCTTCAGCTGCCAAGGTATCCAGGAATCGAGCGAAGGACGCGACCGGGATGGCTCAGATGATGTGCTTGCCGCGAGGAGTGTTGTCATGTAAGGGCGGATGGCATCAGCCCTGCCCCGAGCCCTAAGTGATGGCTCTCTCCGCTCCAACGTCCCAATGTCAGCATGATAAATTAATGCACCAGTCAGGCTTTAAACAGCTATCTGCTATATTAATATAGTCTCACGGTTCCGACCTTGTTGGCTGTTTAGGTCAAGCACTGGCTTAAAAGGCTTGGATACGCCATCGTTGCAGGCGATGGTGACTGCCGAACTGCCGTTCATGGATTCTTATTCGCTTGCTTCTAACCGAGGTTTCCTCTTTACCCGACCCTGAACCATCGCGAACGAGCGGGCCGGTCTGGTATTTCGTGTTTGGCCCTGTCCGGCTCGTCCTCCGTCTGTTCTTAGTGTCACCGGCGTGAGTCAAAGTCCCTGCATCATGGGATCTAGTGAGACAAAGACAAGCTTAGAATGGCTCGGAGATTGCCCAGGTCAGGCGAGAACAACCTTCGGCGTCCCATGGCCACGCGGGAAGTATTGGTCTGGTGAGACATCCTTTTCCATTAACGACGAGAGCGGCAATTCGACACCGCTACAATCCTGGACCAACGCATACTGGCCAGACGGGTCAATAAAATGGACTGGGCATGCTATCTCCTCGGGGGAACACATCTCAGGCCGTTTATCAATCAAAGCTACGATAAGAGAGGGACATTCGAGCTTTCCCAGCGGAATTCAGATCCAACATGACAAATCCACTAAGATAATCAATGTTGCCACTGGGAAGGCGTCTGCCACTTTTTTCACTGAAGGTCGAACTGTGATACATGAAATCACAAACAGCAAAGGCAATGCTGTCGGGTCTAATGGCCGATTGATCCTACTCTCTCAGTCTGACCAATCGATCGATTCTGAATTTCATAGCTCGGTTGAAGATGTGACGATCGAGCAGGAAGGTCCCATACGAGCGGTTATCGCAATTAGAGGCACCCATCGGCTTATTGAGTCTCAAGAGCTTTCGACAAGCCGTTCATGGCTCCCATTCATCCTCCGGTTCTATTTCTATTTGAACTCGGCTGAGATTCGTGTTGCTCATACCATCATATATGACGGTGACCCCCATAAAACCTTCATACGAGGTATTGGGATACGGCTTGACGCTCCTCTTGGCAACGAGCTGCCTTACAATCGACACGTGCGCTTTGCTGGAGTGGAGAATGGAATATTCAGCGAGTCTGTGCAAGGCACCACAGGGCTCTGGAAAGATCCTGGTCAACAGATCCGATCTGCTCAAATTAATGGTCAGGCTTTACCACCCAAACAGACATGGGATAACCAAGTTGGAGAATATATGAAGTGGGTGCCTTGCTGGAACGAGTATACCCTAGCTCAGCTGTCTCCCGACGGGTACACGATGAAAAAGCGAACAGCCCCGGGTCACAGTTGGGTGAATATACCTGGAGGTACCCGTGCAGGCGGGCTAGCGTATCTAGGTGGTGCGAATCATGGGGGCCTCGCGATCGGAATGCGACATTTCTGGGAGAGGTACCCGACTAGCCTGGACATTCGGAATGCTAATACACCGACTGGGGAACTCACCTTATGGCTTTATTCTCCACTAGCAGAAAAGATGGATTTGCGTCCGCATCATGATGGGTTACAGCAGGAGACATATGAGCATCAGCTAGACGCATTGCGTGTCACATATGAAGATTGGGAAAAGGGCACGGGAACGCCCTATGGGATTGCGCGAACAAACGAATTATCGATCTTTGCTTTTGACCAGACACCCTCCTCTGACCAGCTGTCTCACACCGTGAAGCTTATGCGTGAGCCACCTGTTTTGGTCCCCGACCGAGGATACATCCTATCTACCAAAGCACTAGGAACATACTGGTCACCCGTGAACACAGTCCTGACGCCTACGCCATCAGAAGCAGCGATCATGCATAACCTTGACTTCTTGTTCAACTTCTATAAAACCCAAATTTCCGAGCGCAGATGGTATGGCTTCTGGGACCACGGCGACATCATGCACACGTATGACGCGGACCGACACGCCTGGCGATATGACATCGGGGGCTACGCGTGGGATAACTCCGAGCTTTCCCCAGATCTTTTCTTTTGGCTCTATTTTCTACAGACTGGGAGAGAGGACGTCTACCGACTAGCTGAAGCGTTAACGAGACACACCTCCGAGGTTGACGCGTACCATCTCGGACCATGGAAGGGGCTGGGGACAAGACACGGCGTGCAGCATTGGAGTGATAGCTGCAAGCAGGCGCGGGTGACAAGTGCGATTTATAAGAGAGTGTTCTATTATGTCTCTGGTGGCGATGAACGCACCGGGGAATTGTTAAACGAGACCTTGAACGCGGACCGCCCACTGCTGATCTTGGATCCCTATCGCAAGGTCCGCCCGGATAAATCGTACATTGCATCAGCAGATGCCGTCACAATCTCTCTTGGGACCGATTGGTCTGCATTCGCCGCCGCATGGTTCACTGCGTGGGAGCGACGCGCAAACAACTGGGAAGACGCATTCCAGAAACTCCGTCTCTCCATGCAGGGGATTAGCAATCTGCGCAATGGCTTCGTCACCGGCACGGTGAGTTATAACATCAACACAGGCGATATTCTTCCTCCTCCACATGACCCAAACAATACTGGGATCGTAAAAGTCTCGCACCTCTCCGCTATGTTCGGACTGTTTGAAGTCTGCGCTGAGGTCATCGACTCTTTCGGGGACAATCTGCCGTCTGGGTTTCAATCCGCGTGGATCGACTATTGTCGGTTTTTCAACGCTAGTGCCGATGAACAAACAGCTAGGTATGGAGCGAACTTTGGGTCGCTGATCCTACGACAAGGACATTCTCGGTTGACTGCTTATGCGGCAAGGATACTACATGATGCGAGTATTGCGCGGCGAGCGTGGGGGGAATTTTGTACTGGCGATGGGTATGCGTTGGAGGCGCCGTGGAAGAGTCAGTTAGTGCATGGCAGTCATGTTCCTGTTCCTGTGCAGGAGGCCGCGTGGGTATCCACGAATATTTCGGCGTTGTATGGGTTGGCGGCGATTCAAAATTTGGCCTTGATTAGAGGTCATTTGCCAAAGACAAATGCAGATACTTGAGAATGCTATAAATGTTGTTTCAAATGTTGAGGGTGAAAATGAGAAGCCTTTGCGAGCTCTCTTAACTGCTCGTCCGATAGCTCACAGGCGCTCCTTGTCTACACCTTAACAAGTCCACTATCCAAAATGCGCAAATATGATTACTACATCATTAACAAGATCCCAAGACAAATTAGCATGCATAAAAAATGAATCACAACTGACCCTACCCAATCCATAACCACAATAAATCATATCAACCCCAGCTTTCCCTGGTTAGCTGACCCGAACCCGAACCCCCTGCGTTCCGGGCTTCGCATGTGGCAAGAACATGTCGCGGTAGCAATCAACCGCACTTCGGTCTGTTTCAAACAGCTCAAACTCAAAGTTGCGATAGATATTCGCCATGGCAATGTATATCTCCGCATATGCAAGGTTAATGCCAAGACACGAGCGCGTTCCACGACCAAACGAGACCAGATATCGGGTGAGCTTCCTTCCATCTGGCGCAAGTGGGTCGCCGATCCAACGCTCCGGTCTGAAAGTGTACGAGTCGGGAAATATGCTTTCGTCGTGCGAGATGGAGTAGTTGTCCATACTGATTACGGTGCCGGGAGGAATGACGTAGGATTTATAGGTGAGGGCGATCTTGTCGGAGGTGCGAGAAGCTCGCTGGGAGACACCGTAGGATAGGCGGATACCTAGAGTAGATTAGATAAGATTGGTTGAACAAGGTGTGAGATAGTAACTTACATTCCTGGATACAGGCAGTTAGATAGGGGAGCTTTTCTAACTCGCCCAATGACGGAATATGGTTTGGATCTGGAATAGCTGCATCAAGCTCGCGACGTAGACGCTGGAATATAGAGGGCGTATTGGTAATGTGAAAGCTTGCCACTGTCAAAGCATATTTTGTCGTCTCGAAACCAGCTCCAATCACGGTAATCGCTTCGTGCTGGAGGCGAGTAAGGCTGACCTCCTGCGGTGGCAGGTCAGATTCAAGCAGTGCATTAAATACGGTTTTTCTTTCAGAGGCTTTAGAGGTTTCATGGCTGTCTAGAATATCGGATATCTGGTTTCTCATTTCCTGCAGTGTATTAGCACGCGGTTCTCAGCAATATACCAGAGGGTGCAATTACCTTATTGTAGTGGTTAACCGACTTCAGGCCTGGCTGAAGCGCCTCCGCCACTTTTTCCGGCAACGCATTAAAAACAGTCGCAACCCATGGAAACTGCGTCACCAGATGGACGCCATCCAGTAAGTCAAATAGAGCCTGTATAAAAGGCGAGCTGAAGTCCGGGGCATCTAAAAAGCCATATCCGCGATCGAAACAATACCGAACAATAATGTCCGACGCAATACATCCCCACATCCAATCGAGGCGCAGTACTTTTCCAGTCCCTTTATACTCCTGACGAAGACGGCAACATAGCTTCTCAAGCTGTTCCTGCATCATGGGTGCGGCGTTGGCGATGGTTCGCTTCGAGAAAAAGGGGTTTAACGCTGCGCGTCTGTGTCGGTGGGCCTCGTGCTCCGGGGTCGGAAATGTGCCCATGGCGTTGTTGAATCGATGTTCGAGGTGTTTTAGCTTGTCCCACTGGTGAGATTGCGAGAACATTTCCTCGAAGAAAGCTGAGTCTTGGATATGAATCTCGAAGGGGCTAATACGGACAATGGGGCCTGGATGGAATTCGATGGTAAGTAAATGTATCTGGGTGTAGGGGTTATGGGTTTGGGGGCATAGAAGAAGTAGTGATAGCTTTACACACCGTATCTCTCATGTAGCTTGCGATAATGGAAAAGAAACTGCCCTCCTGGCTGTTTGAAGAACTCATAATACGTTTCATACCACTGCGTGAAGGCCGCCAGTTTAGGGCCTGGAAACTTGGCCAGGGGGTGCAGCGTCAGACGATACACACCCAAAAGCACACAATAGATCAATCCGACCACAGCCAACGTGCCCGTGGCCCTGAGAAAAGACCCCATGCATGGCTGTAGCAAAATTACCAGATCGTGGGTGAATCCCATGGCGATGGTTTGGGTTGTGCAGAACCAGGATCTTGGGATCTCGCTCCACACAAACACCATCGACCCGAGGATTCGGGTTGAGTAATCCTAATAACAAAAGCCATCCCTCCAAGTGGAGGGCCGGCATATCTCAGAATAAATGAAATGTCTCCCCTTTAGTGGGCCCGGGCCGTGCGAACTGTCGCGGTGGAGATGAACAACTCTCTCCCTCGCTCCCTGACAGGTTTTCTCGGGGGCACTGACTCCCTGCGCTGGGCGATTGGCAAATCAGACCTGCAGCGATCCGTGAAGAATCACCCCATCAGGAAGTCCAGGCCTCTTGGACGCTCCACCTTCTGGAGCATTTGGTGCAGATCCCGCCTATCAGGTTCCTCGGGACGGTCTGTGGGCTTCCTTCACGAGCCGGTGGCTGCTAATTTGACACATGTGTGTCGTGCTGCCATTTGCAAACGGTCTGCACGGTGCAGAACTTGTCCACGGGGGAACGCGATACCGTCTTCGCTAGGCCTAAAGCGACGGTGCAGAACTTTGACAGTGAAAGTGCTTGGAACCGGACCTATGGCAGGTCAGATTGAGGCCGCTATTGACGCACCTAACCTGCTTGCAGTATCTGTCTGCGAGGTTGGCGAGAAACTAGTCAATGGTAATAATGCCTTGGTTGCCTTTATTTGCCTGATTCTGTGGGGAAACGTTCCTTTTCGTCAAAAACGCCTATGCAACTGGCAAGTTGCATATTGCTGCTCAGTTTAACTTTTGTCAGACGGGGTCATTTTCCGTGCCTGTCGTACATTCTTCGGATTGGACGAAACCCGCCATACCAGCTGTCAATTGCCCATTTCTGCTGATATTTCAGAGGTTTCCATCGGCAAACCCCGGCTTGTTGAGGGTTGGGGCTTCCAATGTTCAGCCATCCGTCCACTCGTTCATTGCGATCTTCATTTCACTTTCCTAGAAGAGCTCGTATCCAGGTGAATTAATAATCCGTGACATGCAATCCCTTGCGGATCTGATCGGTCATGACAAATTCAATACTCCTGAAAACCTGCAGATGCAATTGCATTGATGCAGCGAACTGGTATGGATAGGTGGAGCATATTCATCTGCCTTGCCCATCATGAGCACAATTATCTTCAACACAAAGTGCAAAACACGCGCGCCTTCATCCTAAAAAACTGTACAATTATAGAATAAACCCACCCGACCTCAAACTATCATCCTGATCAACCAATCTAGCGAGTCGTCTTTTCGTAAAACCCTCCAAATTCCCGATACCACCGGTCCACCAAGTCCCCACTCATCCCCGATGCTATCATCTCATCCCCTTGCTCCCACTTGGCACTCACGTCGTCCATGAACTCCTCGATCGACAATGCATTGGGGTTGTTGTGCTTCTTATTGTCATCGGGGTCCTCCCTGTCGCGATGCAAATTGGTCGCGACCGTCGGAGGAGCAATCTCAATGATTCGGATTTTCCCATACCCGCTCTTCTGCAGCTGAGTACGGAGGTTCATGCTCCAGAAGTGCAGCCATGCTTTTGTCCCGCCGTAGGACGGGTTGATGGGAGCGAAGGGGACAAATCCCAAGACCGACGACACGTTGACGATCACGGCTCCATTCGACTTCGCCTTGAAGTGGTCGAGGAGTCTCAGGGTGAGATGCATCGGTCCGCGAATGTTGATGTCGATTTCTTGGTCTGCCTTCTGGAATACATCCTCTGGGCTTTCATTCACTAGGTCGATAGGTCTCTGGACTCCGGCGTTGTTGATCAGACAATCCAGCTCTGGGTGCTCCTTCGTGATGCCAGAAATGAAGGCCGGGAATGTATCGACTAGACCAGTGTCCAGGACATAATAGGCGGTCGCGCCGATTTCTTCGGCTGTTTCTTTGAGGTTGGGCTCCGTGCGACCTGCGATGATGACCTTTTTTCCTTTCGAGATGAGGTAGGATGCGATTGCTTTGCCGATTCCGCCACCTCCTCCGGTGACCAGGGCGCAGGAGAAATTGAGGTTGTCTGCCATAGCGGATGATCTGATGTTTTGAGGTTTGTTGTTTGCTCGATGCTTTCGTGGTGAATTCTGTCTGAATTTATATCTGTCGATGTCTGCTATCAATTGTGTCATCGTCAGCGGAGCGGAGCGGAACAGCGGGACTTTGCGGACTTCCGCAGTTCCGCAACCACCGCGTGGCAAACACCAGAAGGCCTTTTCTTCGCTTCTATCACCCATACGGGGCAAATACATTTGCCGTGAACAGCTGGTCAAGATCCAAAAATTCCCCAAAATTATACTGGCCACTATCGTTCTGCTGTGGCAGAAAATCAGAGTTCAACGGGCTCTGTGAATGCAACCCTGCATCAGTTTCGACTTCCTGTGCAAGAATATCCCCAGCCATGCTTTTCAAAAGATCATATTCTTCCCTCTTCCGCTGCAATTGCACGCGTATTATACAACTTGCGCTAGCAACGGCCTCTTTCAGAACATTCGTCCCATAACATCCTGAAATCACTTGTAGCGCACGAAACGATTTCTTCACACCCTCCAGCGCAGGCCGAGTATCAATCGCCAGAAGAACGCAAATGACTTGAAAGGGCACGTGGGCAATATGCCACCAGGGAGAACGCTTGGAGGCCAGATCCATGGCCGTGTCGACACCTTCTGTAGCCAGCTGAAGGACTTGGGTGATTGCATCACTCGTTACAGTCCGTCCGGAGACTCGGAGTCTGCGATAGATGCACATGCCAATACTGCAGCGCTTGAGCTGTAGCAACGGATGGGAGAGATTCAATGCGACAGCTTTTCGAAGGAGGCCTTCAAGCTCTGTTGCGTCTAGATATTTATCCACGTCAAGAGCGTCGGATAGCTGCCATACCGTGACGTGGTCTGCCGTCCAGCCTTCCGTTGGAAGTGAGCAGGAGGCCCCACGTAAATTCACTCTCGAGCGGCCGTAGTCGTAGGATATCCACATGTGGAATATCTGCGAAACACAGTAGAGTCGTCGTCTGAAATCCGCACTATGACTCGTACTTGTGGCGGTCGGGGCGCCTCCAGATGGCTCCAGATGCAGGTTGGTCGTTTCCACCATATGCATCAGCGTGCAGCTAGCCATCCATGCTGCATGTGGTGAGCTGGTGAGTCGCAAATAAAGGACTCGGAGTAGCCACCCGGTCACATGGTCCACTGATGGGATTTCTAATGTCGTTGAATATTCCAAGGTAGCGCGGGCACTGTGCACAATCTGTGTCTCGATATCATTCGGTTGTGGGCTGAACAGGCATGCCAGCGCGGCAATCCCAAGACACACACATTGCAAGGGATCAAATAGTTGCTGATCGGGAATGCTTTCAATTGCAGCGTCAACCATGTCACGATCCATAAAGTTATACGCGGTGTGAACCTCGGCGAAGTAGACTGCTGCTAATTCTTGCATATTGACCACAGTCAAAATCTCGCGTAGTGGCAATGGTGAAAGATACTCGCTATGAGTCTCTCGAATGCCCAAATTCCATGCAAACAAGCGCAGGCCCCCAGGGACCGTTGAGTCTGTTAATGGAAGTCCCAATCTTTTGGCTAATACGCCAGCGGAATTAATGTCGGTTGACAGTCGCTGTGGTGTAGATTGAGCGGCCATCACTGTGGGTTTTGTCTGTGAAGACTCGCATGACTTTTCTGAATGACTCTTTCGAGCAGGTCGTCTTGTTCGGGGACGATGGTCATATTTGCATTCGTAATTGGCCTTTGCACAGCTATGACAAGGCTCCTTGCCATCGCATTTTCGCTTTCTCTCTCGGCATGGCGTACAAGCATTTCGGGCTCTGTCTGGAGGCATGGCGACGTTGGCTTCTGTTGCTACCTCCTTTCAAGTTTTTCCTTTTCTGCGCTGTCATTGGCTTGGTTTTGCTCGTGGATGATGAAACACGGAATATATATTTGCGATGACGGAAACCGAGATTGTGATTTCTGACTAAGCAAGAATAAAGTTAACTATGTACATAGTGATCAGAAGGAAGGAATTTCAAATAAAGCAAATGAAGTCCCCAGGAAGAAATCCTGCACTGATGCCTATTTCTGATCCCATTGGTATAGGTCTCCTGCAGTCACGTTGTAGGGCCCGGCCAAATCACATGGCGTGCAAACAAACAAACAAAACACGCCGCACAATTCCATTTCGAATCTTCGTTTTCGCTTTCTCCCGCAACTCGCCAGTCGCGACCGACTCATCGGCCCACTAGAATCCCGTCCAGTCATCATTAGTCGTCTAATAATCATCCAACGTGGGAGTCAGGGATGATAGGGGGGATCTGAATCCCAGTCTGCACTTTGCAATAATAAGACATGTTGTTTGGATAAGCCCGTTGCGTGGCTAATTGCCGTTCTCTCCACATCCCCTAATCCTCCGGTGCCGTCGCGATGCATTGATTTGGCCCCTGATTTGGCCCCTGATTTGGCTAATTATGCTTAGTGCATGGAAAGCTTGGCATTTCGACCGATGGATTCGACGCTACGATTTGGATGAGAGCATTTTACTGAATAGTTTTGATGAGGTCGATGTTCGGATACGTCATGATGGAATCAATGAAAACCCAGCCTTGCACTGCCTGGATGCACAGTGGCACACACTGTCCAGATCTGCTTTTCTGTACGCCAATCCAGAGCAACGCTCGTCAACAGTCGCTGCAAGAAGCGTCATGGCGGTCAAATTCGGTATAGAGAACGGAAATCCCGCGCCCGTAGCAAGTTTAGAGCATCAAACACGGTCTGAGCTTACCAATCAGAAGAGCCATCAGAAACAAGGATACCCTGCTTGCCACCCCCGTCCGGCTGTGAGGCTGTGAGATGCGAGCGCCGAGAGGCCTTAGTCAGGGTCTAAAACAGCCTGTCGAGAGAGCCTCCATTCTTTGGCCCCCACGACTTGGCATCCCATGTTGTGGCCCGGATAGTTGCTATTTTGAATAAATGTGCGGTCGCGCCCGTGGTTCTTCAGCATGCCTAGGATCACTTTCTGCTCAATATCTACGTCCATGCGCTGGTTGGTCCCCGTGATTAGAGGGACTTGCAGGGTAAGATGGCGCGATCGGTAGAGATGGACTCCCTCCAGCCTTCCTATGAAGGCCATCGCGCAAACTCACACACCAGCGAAGACCCGCTTCTGCAGCAGAATTCACCCATTCTGACACCCCAACCAGAACCAGACGAGGCTTCTGTGTCGGAGGAAGCCGTCCATTCTCCAATGAGCCCTGATCATGAGAAGGGCGTAAAAGAGGATGATAATGGATTCTCGCCTGGATTGCCCATGTTCAACCCGATTTGGCTTAGCAAGACTTGCCTGGGTGGGTTTATCGTGGCTCTAATTCTCATCGGCATTGCTCTTGGTCTTGTCTACTGCTTTGCCGAAAGAGATAATGGATTCGTACTGATATTTAATGATCGTTACTCCTGGGCATACGGACCAACCGTAGGTGAGTTGTTTCTTCTAATATGGTAACAAGGCGAGGCTAATCGGATGAAAAGTATTGGTTTTGGTTGCTGGTCTTTGGCGGCAAGTTGACTACTGGTGCAAAACCCTGGCACCCTGGCGGGAGTTGCAACAGGGATGGGCCCCCGCGAACAAATCTCTCTTTCTGGACTATGTCGGTCAAATCCATATTTTTGGTTGCTGGGCAGCATTGAAAAATAAGCACTGGACCGTATCGGCCTCGGTTGTTGGTGTTTTGATTTTGAAGTTGATGGTACGAGATCAAATACACCACCTGTTAACTGCCCCGTGCTAAGCACCCTGTCAGACAGCATTTGCATCCGCCCTATTAGTCCTTCAGCCAGCCAAAGTCAGCAGTGGCGCGATCTCCGTTTATGAGGTTGGTATGAACTCCACCGTTCCGCACTTTGATGGAATCGATGTCTTCAGCCCAGTCTATAGTTACTATGGGGTGTTGGCACATGGCCTGCCTTATCCTAAGGGAACCGCCCCTGGATTCATGGTACCGAACATTTACCCAAAGGATTCTCTTCTCGACGGCACTACTCGTATTGCAGCCAATGTCACAGGCTACTGGCCAAGCCTGAAATGCCAAACCGGAAACGTGAACTGGACCATGCTGAGCCCGGATCCAGATGCCGACAATGACAAAGATAGGGTCAGAATCCGTTTCGAAACCTCGGATGGCCGTTGCTCCGTTGGTAAAATGGATCCGGATACTGCCGTATTCTCACTGAGAGATCACTCCCGTGATATATTGCCAGAGAGATTGGTTTATCCTCGGATGAAAAACCTGTACGCAAACTGCACTGGGAACGAAACGGACCTCGATGTTCATCCGTCACTGCGATTACTTTTCGCCATCCTTGACGTTCGAAACACCCAGGATTTGAAACCTAATGCAGAAGAGCTCCTACGTTCTGTCGACCAGGCCACGGTCGCGAATTCGGCTTCTATAGAGGTTAAGAGCGTCACAGCCGTTCTGTGCGAGCAAAGCATAATTGGCAAACGAGCGAGAGTTGAGGTAAACCCTTCTGATGCAGACACACAAAGAGGGCCGGGACTTGATGTCACTCCAATCTCTACCATGACATCACAGCAATTGTTGCAAGGTGGTTCGATGGATGAACTGGCTAATAATTACTTTGAAATGATGTGGAGGGTTATGAAAGGATCTCCTAACGTCCTTGGACAGGATAAAGGGACAGAGGCTGCTTTTCGACCCTTTTTCCGACTGATGCTAATCGAGAGTGACAGCTCCGATTACGGGTCGTTTCTGGACGTTGAGCGACTCACTGCCAGCGCGGCTAATGTCTATATTGGCCTGGCAGTCCAGTCGGCATATTATTTACTATACAGCTATCTCAAATCCCCCGATCAAGTAGTTTCTGGGGAAGGCTTTCATTATGAAAACCGGTTGTTTGTGCAGAAGACCCCGGTTGGTGTTATGGTGACTTGCGTTGCCCTCATGATCTGCATCTCGGTCGGTGTGATCATGACTCGCCCGTTCAATGTCGTCCCCCGGAGTCCAGATAGTGTTGGTGCCGTAATGACTTTTCTTCCCAAGAGCAAATTGACGAAGATTCTTGCTGGAACTGCCCATTGGCCTTTCGCGCGTCTCAGCGAAGCTCTAAAAGGACAGCGGTTTCGGACGCGCTTTGTAGCATCAGTTGCTGACTCCTACGGGAAGCCAACATTCACTATTGATGCAGATTGTTCGGACGAGCCTCACAAGCAAACAGCGAATGAAAGGTCATATGAGCTATTGGATGATATGCCCCAGAAGATCTGGAGACCATTAGCCTACACCCTGCCATTTCGCCTGCTTGTGCTCATATCGCCTGTTGTCATCATCATTATCGTTGAGGTTCTACAGCAGGTATCAGCAAAGAATGGCGGGTTCATGGACGTTCCAAGAGACTCTAGTGTCATCTTCTGGGCAAAGTTTATTACTTCCGGAGTCATGATCTCCATTGGTCTTATGTACGGAACATTCGACTTTGGGCTTGCATTGCTTGCGCCGTACCGCTTGCTCAGTCAAGGTAGTGCCGCAAGTAAGCGCACAATCTTTGCCAATTACCTTCGCGATATACCCGTTGTCGGACTTTGGAGGTCATTACGCGATGGCCAACTTGCCGTATTTTTCAGTCTTTTTGCCACACTCGCTGCAAGCGTGTTCACGATCGCCGCATCTGGACTATATATTGTGGACTATCAGGTAGGTTTGTTCGCCGTGAACTTCCAAGTGACAAAAGTTGATATGGGTTTAGAACTCTTTAAATCGGACCTTGTCCGTCCAGCGGAGTGACGTGTTTAACTTGACTTGGACTCATTCCTACAATGATAGCCATGCGGGAACTGTTCTAAATCTCATTGAACAATCAAACCTAACTTCCCCTCGGTTCACATACAACAATTTGGTTTTCCCGATAGTCTCGTCTCCAGTATCCTTTAATCAGAGAGGAGGCGGCACCGAACAGGCACAAGGCCATATGACTCTTCGCCTACCAGCACTTCGCGCACGGCTTGATTGCAAAACCCTCGACACCGCTACCCTGTACAAGGGCAATACGCCGTCCAAACTGAAGCCCGAGAAACGGGTACCTTACGTCAGTCTCCAGACCACCATTGATCTTGAGGACATGTATCCGAGATGCAAGCGCGGTCGGGCGTATGGCGATAAGAATATGTTCAAATTCAACACCTCAATTTACTTCCCCGAGAAGCAAGTCGGAAATGGGCCCATCGTGCAGAAACCAGCTTACGGCGGCTACTTCTTCGATCTGCATCTCGGAGACATACCAGACAGCGAGAACGTCAGCAAGAAATGGGCGCAGTTTGAGGAATGGGGAAATAGCGATCTGTTCGTTGATCCGTACACATACAGCGAATACCCCTGGTACACCGAGGATAATTATGACATGGGACGCAATCCGGAGGGATGCCCCAGCATTGGGTTCAGTTTTGGTCCATTCATTCCACTCTCTACCAATACGACGGACGTGACTAGCGGAGTATGCGATCAGTATATCGAGGAAGTGACCACTGAAGCACGGTTCATTCTCCCCAGTCTTGAACTCGATCCCGGAAAACCTCCGGTGCCCGATGAATCTACCGCCCACGTCCTCGGCAACGGGCACGGTTTCGACATGCGACAATTCCGCCCGCAGTATAACATCGAGCAAAGTATGCTCTTCTTCAATCCAAACGCATCCAGATACATGGACGTCTTCTACCAAAGTGTTGTCAATGGCATCGACGCCATCCCCGAAACTGATCTCGTCGGAAAGGCCAACATCCATCGTCTCCTCAACGCCACCAGCGACTTCTACGGCAAATACATGGCTCTCGCCATATCCTACAACATGCGGCAGAACACGAGCTTCAAAGACGACGACCTCGGAAATGCCGCGTCGCGGTCCATCGAAGGCCAAAATGACGATTCTAGCTTCAAAGCCTCCGTCGTGTATCCGTCTGCGCGGTTGAAGATCGACCGCAACGCTAGTCTGGCGCTGGAGATTTTACTCACTATCGCCTTCGTCTGTAGTGCGATTGCCTGTGCACTGGCCTGGACGCCTGTCGCTATTATGCAGAATCCCGGTCAGATATCAGGGGCCGTGGCCCTGGTGGCTGGGAGCACGCTGGCTTCGCGAAAGATTGTGCCCGAGGGGACGGAGTGGCTTAATAGTAAGACAACGCAGGAGCGCAAGATCTTTGATGGACTGCAGTTGCGGTTAGGTTGGACGGATGGTGATGATGGTGCACGACGGTATGGGATCGATGTGGATAATCGGCAATCTGCCTAGGCTGTGCCTAGATTAGACATGGCATTTAATGATATAAATTAATGAATAAGAAACTTCTGCTGTCTAGCAAAGTACACTAGTGCACTATTGTTCCTAGATTTCTAAGGAGCACAGTATTTCCTTTCGCTTTTTACGCCTTTGCAGATTCTCTCTAGACCAAGCTTCGACCTGACGACCGCGTGCTGGAAAGCCAGAATGCAAGAACACCCAATATATCATTCACATATCATCTATCAATCAATAAATCCCCGGCTGATCCATCGTAAACTCGCCCAGCACCTCCACCTTCCTCTTCATCTCTTCAGAAACCCCATACCCGCCTCCCCCCGGCGTCTGAATAATGATCCGATCCCCCGTCTCCATCGCCACACTGGCCTTACTCCCAATACTAATAGTCTGCTGCGCGCCCGTCACCTCATCATTCCTCACCCACAGATTCACGCCTCTCGTCCCATCCTCCCCTCCCGCCATCCCATACGGCGAAATCACCCTCCTCTCCGACAAAATACTCACCTGCATCGGCCTCCGCAGCTCGATATCACGCACACACCCATCGCCACCACGATGACGCCCCGCGCCCCCACTCCCCCTGCGAATCGAAAACTCCCGCAAAAGCACCGGGTACCGCTTCTCCAGCGTCTCGGGGTCCGTCATCCGCGTGTTCGTGATATGCGTATGCACCCCGTCCTGGCCGTCCCAGTTCGCGCCGGCCCCTGCACCGCCCGCGATCGTCTCGTAGTATCCGAATCCCTTCGTCACGACCCCGTTCGCGTCTGTCCCCCCGTATCCGAACGTCAGGTTATTGCACGTCCCCTGGCTGGCGCCGGACACGCGGAACGCCTTGAGAATGACGTCGACGACGCGCTGCGAGGTCTCCACATTCGAGCCCACCGTCGCGGCTGTCTTATCGGGCGAGAGGATCGAGTTGGGAGGAAAGATCAGCTCGATCGGGTTCAGACACCCTTGGTTCAGCGGTATGTCGGCTGAGATCATGGACCGTAGACAGTACATGATGCCGCTGTACATGATTGCTGGGGGCGCGTTGAGGTTATTGAGTGCTTGGGGCCCGGTTCCTGTGAAGTCGAACTTCGCGGACCCGTCGGACGGGTTGATGGTGATTTTGAGGGCCAAGGGCGACCCGTCATCCATGTAATCCACAGCCTCGAGGGGGTACCCTTGGAAGCGACGGCTGAAGTCCTTGAGGAGGGAGCGGACGGTGTCTTCGGCGTTCTTCTGGATGGCGTGCATGTAGAGCTGCACGACGGGCCAGCTGTATTCGCGGATGAGGCCCTGGATGAGCTGGATGCCGCGGTGGTTAGCGGCGATGCCGGCCTTCAAGTCGGCGATGTTGTCCTTGAGGGTGCGGGTGCCGCTGCAGCCGGGGTAGCTGCCGGGTGCGTCGTAGAGGTGGTAGATGAGGCCTTCTTCGTCGAAGATGCCTTCTTTGACCATTTTGAAGGATTCGACGGCCGCGCCTTCTTGCCAGAGCGCGGTCGAGTTGGGGGGCATGGAGCCGGCGGCGATGCCGCCGATGTCTGCGTGGTGGCCGCGGTTGGCGACGAAGAAGAGGATCTTTGTCGGATCGTCCTCGTCGAAGACAGGGGTCGTGACGGTAAGGTCGGGGAGGTGCGTGCCGCCGGAGATGGGGTGGTTGGAGAGAATGACGTCTCCGGGCTTCAGCTCGCCTGGGCCATAGAGCTTCGCTTGGTAGGCGATGGCGTAACTCATGGAGCCTAGGTGGCCGGGGATGTGAGGGGCGTTGGCGACGAGGCGGCCGTCGCTGGAGAAAATGGCACAGCTGTAGTCGAGACGTTCTTTGATGTTGGTTGAGATGGAGGTTTTGCGCATCGTTTCGCCCATCTGGGATTGTTAGCTTGGCCTCTAGTGTTTGGGGGAGGTAGCGTACCTGCTCGGCTACACTCATGAATCGGTGCCCGAAGACTGAAAGCTGTACAGGATCCACCTCCGTCGCATTCACGCCCTTGGTTTCCGAGTCAAGTAAGTTGATCACGACGTGCTCTTTTAGTATAGTGGCTTCGCTTGCGGGGTCCACGACGATAGTTTGCGTCTCGTCGATGATCATGGCTGGTCCGAGTATCACACTCCCTTTGGGAATGTCCTTGAGGTGATGAATGGCAGACGATGTCCATCCAGTACCCTCAAAGTAGATGTCACGCGTATGAGCTGGTCTAAGGTCGGCGTTTCGCTTCGGTTCCACTGCTCTCATCTCCTCAAAGGGACTGGTGACCTTGACCTCCATGCTCTTTCCCACTGACCGGACTCGGACGTCGTCGACCAGAATTTCTCGAGGTTGTGTGAATCCGAACAGGGTCTGATGCTGAGCGATGAAGGCATCCGAGAAGGTCTCGGAGGGGGTTTCAGGCGAAGGGATCATTAATGCAGTGTCACTTCCCTTGTATCTCATGTTGAGAAAGCGTTCGTGCTTGACTTGATCTTTGCCAAATCCTTCCGATGCTAATTGTTCGCTTGCACGGTGCTCAAGCTGACTGAATCGCTTTTCAAGTCGCGTAGCTGAGTCTGCACTGAAAACGGAGGCCTCGGGCTCCTGGGTCTCAACAACCACATCAGCCAGCGCCAGACCATAGGCCGATAGGATACTGGATAGTCGATGAATCAGAACCCGCTGGATGCCGAGATCGCGCGCAATAGCGGTCGCGTGCTGACCACCGGCACCGCCAAAGCAGACGAGATGATGAGCAGCAGTCTCGAATCCTCGACCTTCACTCAGGGCACGAATAGGTCTAGCCATCGCGGCGTTCGCCACCATCAAGAACCCCATGGCTACTTGTTCGGGAGTTAATTTGTCGGAAGACTTCTTCTCCGCGTTGACCGTCTCGGTTAGTTCGAGGAACTTCTTTTGCACGACAGTTGTATCCAATGGCCTGGCAAAATAGTCTGGGAGAATGCGGCCCAAGAGGAAATTTGCGTCAGTGATGGTCAACGGCCCGCCATTACCATAACACGCAGGACCGGGATATGCACCGGCGGACTCGGGCCCAACGGCGAACAACCCGTTTCGCCAGAATAGAATAGAACCACCACCAGCAGCGACCGTGTGGACATCTAGTTGTGGGCTTTGAAGGGCAACTTGGGCGATTGTTGTTTCCAGCACGTGGTCGAGAGAGCCATTATACCGTGAGACGTCGGTGCTGGTACCTCCCATGTCGAAGCCAAGAACCGGCGTTCCTTCTTCAGGGTCATAGCAAGTCTTTGCACAGCCTATGACACCGGCTGCAGGACCTGACAAGATGGCTCGAAGACCCGTGAACCGGTCAAACGCTGTTAGACCTCCGTCCGATTGACAGAGAAGCAGCTTTTTCGCGTTCTCATCCTCCAGGCTCCCCTTGAATCCTTGACGGAAGCCATTTAGATATTCCGCAACAACTGGAGAGAGGTAGGCATCTGCTGTAGCTGACTGAGCACGAGGAACCAACTTAATCATCGGCTGCAATTCCGAAGACACCGAAATCTTGAAGCCCATTTCACGGGCAACTGTAGCAATGGCCGCTTCGTGGGTAGGGTAGGCAAATGAATGCATTAATGCAATGGCGAGTGTGCGATAACCCTCATCCCAGAGAGCCTGCAGATCCTTTCTAATGGCATCAACGTCGGGCTTCTTCAGAATGCGAATCGCTTCGCCCGTGAGGCCTTCCACAAGGTCCGGGCTGGATGCAATGTCAATCGGCGCAGGCTCGGGATCTTCTGCAAAGCCTTCGATCGTTACTCGCTCGTCAACCTCGATCACCTTCTCGTATAGTCGACCGAGTTTGGCCACTGATAAGTCGAAGATGCTCGGCCGTGCTTGGTTTCCAATAATCAAGAGATCTTTAAATCCCTTAGTTATCAACAAAGCGACACGTTCGCCTTTGCGTTCGAGCAGTGCACTGCATATCGCTGTTAGTATATGACGTTCTAGAAGGTGATGAGACAAACTTGGTAGCCACTGTTGTTCCCATGCGGATTGACTCCACACCTCCAATGTCTAGTGGGGTGCCGCGGGGAATCTCGCTACCACTGGCGATCTCCAGAATCTTGCGGATTCCTTCGATCGGGGCATCGTCGTATTCATTCGGATCGTTGGAGAGAAGCTTGAAGACAATATCGTCCTCTCTTCCGGGGATAGTAGCCCAGCTATGTTGAGGTTAGATGATGATACCCGTTTCATAGAGCAATAATGTAGATAGGGAGAGACATACAAATCACAGAAGGTTCCACCGCGATCGATAGCGATGCGAATACCTGTTGATGAAAGACCTGACATGATGATAGATGTGAACTGAGAAATAGACCGAGTCTGTCTCTTCGTCGAGGGGTGCAGTGCGGGGAATATTTATAGACCGTCGAGATGCTTTCGAGTCGTTCGGAATCTCCAGGAGAAGCCGACGGTCCCGTGACGCGCTCGGCCCTGACCTGCAGATGCCGAAATGCCTTATCGCAGAGGACTGGGCATGGCGATCCTCTAGAGATACTGATAAACTGAGGATGGAGGAGCCAATGAGAAGACGGAAATCGCGAGTTATCAGAGATAGAGCTGTATAGTTAGATAGCAGTATCAAAAAGGTGGAGGTGGAGGAGGTGGACTTTTTCTCAGTTTCTCTCCCTCCACCCATTCACTCTTCTATTTGCAAAAAGAACTCTCACAAAATGACCGACAAAGATAATAAGATCCCTGTCTGTGGTAATGACACTGTCACGGCTGATCCGACTTTCCTCGATGAAGGGTCCTGCGTTACAATCGACCCCGTGGCGGAGAGGAGAATGATGAGGAAGTTTGATGTTCGTAACTGTTGTTAAACCACTTGAGAGTGAATATTGACAAAGTGCAGATGGTGGCAATAGGATTACTTGGTCTCTTTTACATGATGGCTAATCTGGACCGGTCGGTTGCTCCTGTATTTGCTCCATCATCATGCTAACTGTTCTTCCAGGAGCAACATTGGAAACGCCAACGTCGCGGGTCTCTCTGATGATCTCGGACTTGTCGGCAACCAGTTTGGCACAGCAGTCACTCTGCTTTATGCCACTTACGTCCCTTTTGAGACGCCAGCTGCGGTTCTAATGAAAATCATCGGACCAAAGAAACTCCTTTCTTTCTCGGCCTTTGCATGGGGAGTGACCACTTTGGGAATGGGTTTCATTCACTCCTGGAAGGGACTATATGCTTGTCGTCTCCTCATTGGTGCTTTCGAAGCAGGACTAATGCCTTGCATCAGTATGACACTTTCCCTTTTCTTGTCTAATCCATCTAACGTATCTACAGACGTTTACATCGCCCTTACCTACAAGAAGTCCGAGCGCGCTAGACGATCATCCGTCATTTTTGCCTTTTCAGCAATTGCGAGCGCATTCGGTGGCGTGCTCGCATTTGGACTCACACAGATCCACGGGCCCAGTGGCTTCTCCGGGTGGCGGTGGCTGTTCATAGTTGAAGGAGCCTTGACGATCATACTGGTTCCGCTTTTCTTCTTTCTTTTCCCGGACAGTCCTGCAGATGCATGGTTTCTCAACTCGGAAGAGAAAGCTATGGTTAGATTGCGGTACGAGATGGACCCACACTGGGGTGTTGACGATGAGTTCAGTTGGAGTGATGTCGCAAAGACTTTCATTGATCCTAAATTCTATGCTTTGTGGGTCATTTCTCCTGTCGCTCAGTATCAACAGCTAATCGCGATTCCAGTGTTGTCTTCCAGTTCCCAGTGGATATCTCCCTCTATGGGTTCACGACGTTCCTACCCTCCATAATTGAGGGCATGGGGTATACCTCTGTCCGCGCAAATCTGCTCACGGTTCCTGTTTATGCATGGGGTCTGCTCTGGTTCTTAGGAGTGGGATATATGTCTGATCGCACGGGAAATCGAGGATACTGGATCGGAGGACCGCTCCTTGCCCTGATTATCGGGTATGCGATTCTCATCGGGGTGGAGACTGTCGGAGTTCGATACTTCGCCTGCTTCAGTATGTATACGCCATAATTCACCAAAACCATGCTAACATCCAGTAGTTACCGTGATGGGAATCTATCCGACTACCGGCATGTCTCTGATGTGGCTTAGCGACAACGTTGCCCGACATTTCAAGCGAGCCACGATGGTGGGTATGACGCTCACGCTGGGAAATACAGCCGGTGTCGCTGTTGGACAGATATTTACTTCGCAATCTGGACCGAGGTATATCAAAGGGTTATCGATTAGTATGGCACTGGCGGCTGTGGCCCTTTGCAGTGTTGCTAGCCTGATGATCGGAATGACAGTTGCGAATAGGAAGAGAGCAGAGAGGATTCGACAAGCCGAGGAACAGGGAAATCCGCTGCCTCATCAGCCAGAGAAGGGAGATATGGATCCTCATTTTGTGTATAGGAGGTGATTCATCACGAAAAACCCCAGTTCCAATTACCAATCCGCGGACCAGTCTTAGTGACAACATCGGATAGTCTATATAACTGTCTATATCTATGCAAACCAATCTCAATCTACTCAACCACATTAACCGCTGACTTCGGCACTCCACTCCCATAGAAGAACTCCTCCAGATTCTCAAAGCTCACTCGATCAAATTCCTTCCACGTAGTCTGCGAACAAACCCCAATATGCGGCAACACCGTAACCATCGGATCAGCCAACAGCCTCGGATTAACCTGCGGTTCATGCTCATGAACATCGAGCCCAACACCAACAACCTTCCCCTCGTCCATCGCCTCCAACAACGCCTCCTCATCAACCAACTTCCCCCTCGCAATATTGACCACCCTCAGACCCCCCTCCTTCGCCAGCGCAAACTCCCTCCGCGACAGCATATGATGCATCTCGGTCGTATACGGACACGCCAGGACCAAACAATCCGACACGCGAATCAAAGCCTCCAGACTCTCCTCATACATCGCATCCTCCATCCCACTCTTTAAATCCTCAACCCTCCTCCGATTAAAATAATGAATCCTCATACCCAACCCCCCTTTCGCCCTCCTCGCAATCTCCCTCCCAATACACCCCATCCCCACAACCCCCAGCACCATCCCCTCCGGATCCACCGCCTTCAGCCCCAACTCCCGACTCTTCATCCACTGCTCACTGCGCACGCAATGCTCCGCAAAGCTCAAGTACCGAAACGTATTCAGAACCAACTGCACTGCTACGTTGGCCACCGGCACCGTGCACGTATCCGGCGTGTTGCAGTACAGGATGCCTCGCTGCGTGAGGCGCGGGATATCAGCCGCATCAAAGCCGTGGCCCGAGCAGCAGATTAGTTTCAGAGACGGTGGGTAATGTGTGATGGGCTCGCCTTGGAATAGGAGGTGCGAGGCGTAGGGGCCGGCTTTTAGCCACCCGGTCCGTACGATTGCGGAGATGTTGGAGTATTTGCCGCCGGGGGAGAGGGCGGAGATGAAGTCTGCGATGGTGGGGCAGTCGTATTCGAGGATGTTGAAGAGGGTGTTGAGGTGGGTGGTTGTTGCCGGGTCGTTGTGGGAGACGGGGGAGCGGAGGAGGAGAATGGTTGGTTTTGTGGTTGGTTTGGTGTTCATTTTGGATGGGATATTTGGGAATATGAAGGTTTGGATGGTGGATTGGGAAAGTTGTTGGGTTTACGTAGTGAAAGGTGGGATTGTTGCTCGGGAAGGTGTGAGGATGCCGGATCACGCAATGATAAGATTGGGGTCGGCTGGATCGTTATCCGCCGAGGATAAACAAGCCCTTTTGTTTATTTGATGAAGTTTCTAGGGAATCGGTACGTCAAAAATATATACAGTTGTCGCAAGCTCTACAAAATGAACAAAAAGATTGTCTATTCAAACATCCACCGGGAAGGCGACACGACATTCCCACCCAGCCCCAACATCCCCGACACATCCATATAGGTGTCCTGAGCCAGAAAGTCTAGAATAAATGGATCGTCTAAGGCAGTCTGATGCGTCGTCGAAAGCTCCTGACCAATATCCTGCGCCATGGACGAAAGTAAATTCGTCCTCGAAGGTCCGCCGTCTAGATTTGTGCCATCAACTGCGGTCTGTACAGACGCAATTAACCCCTGCGTGCCATGCAATGGCTTACCTTTTTGCTTGCTATCACTGAATCCTTTCTGGATCTCACGCAAATGTTGATAAAAACGCCCAGCCGGAAGATTGCCGTCTTCTGCCATAGACTGGAGAATATCGGTCGCGGTCTCCACGGCATCCCGGTCGGGCTCACTATCTTGTAGAACGGCCGACATCGACAAAATGATGGTCGAGGAGAAAATGTACTGCGCATCGAGATAGCCGAAGACGGCGAGGGATCCTTCAACCCATAGTTGAATGAGAAGGTTGTTGGAGCTTCGTGCAGCTACGACGCATGTCTCTGCGAGAGCTGATACCATGGCCGACGGAGCGCGTGGAGTGGCACTGCTTTCGAACCGTGATTTGAAGAGATGGAAGAGGATAGGTCGGGTGGTGAGTACAACACACTGGCCAAGTCAATTAAATGAGTCACGATGAGAGATACATATGGCCCACCTACCTGATTAAATGCAAGATGCAATGAGGCCGTATGCCGAGATTTGTAGCGTGGTGAGTTCTGATTGAGCTTCACGTTGGGCGGGAGATCCTCTGCCCATGCCCGCAAATTGCGAAGGATCTTATGCACGCTCTGCACAAAATTCCCTTCGACTCTAGGGCGTCCGTAGATATCGCTGATAATGTCTCCCGCCGTTCGTGCTAGTTTAATCACAGCAATAAGATGCTCAGGGTCTGAAAACTCTTCCTGTTCTTGGGGCGAGATCCGCTCCATCGACGGCATGTCAACTGCAATGTCGGAATCCCGGATGCCAATGGGATGGCCGAGCTTGGAGCTCCATAGGCGGTCAAAGGTGTAGACGGTCCACCACACCCGGACGCGATGCTCCCTTTCTACCGGTGTGATAATGCTTCCCTCGGGGACGTTGTGATGCAGGCCTAGCGTTAGACTGAGACGCAATGCCGTGCCGATATACACATATGCCGATGTCACGCGATTGAGTGCCATAAAATAGAGCGACTATATACCGAGTAAGTCTTTACCTCGAATTCTAGATCAAGCAAAGATAGAACTTTACCATGAGGACCAGTAGCTCGATATAAGGCACTGCAGCCTCCTCGTGAAGATCCTCGAACATCGACATCGCATAGCGAAAGAAAGCCACACCAGGCACACTCGGCGATACAGGTTGCGGTGGCTTACGATTCGAATAGAGCTCCCCAATAGCAAAAAGGATAAAAAGTCGACATAGCAGAAGTCGATCCTCGCACCAATTATCTCTATAAACCGAGTCAAGCTGCTCTGCCGTCGTTCTGCGCAGCATCAAGTGATAGTCCTCGCCAATGAATCGCACCGCCACTCTGAGAAGCAGATGAGCGTATGTTCGATTTGGTAGTTTAAATTCCGGACTCGTCGTTCGGCGTACAGTATGATCGGCAAAGTAAACCGATCCCGGAAGCGGTGCGACTGGTTCATCTCCATTTAGGAATTGGCGCAAGCGAGTACCAAAAGCTGTACAAGCAGCCTCGCCTATGTATATTGGGTTGATGGAGGTGCGATCCCGCACAAACCATGCCCGATCACCGAGTAGGGGGTTTCTTATCTCTGCGTCTGCGGTCAACGGGATATTATTTTGCGTCTCGACACTACTCGGTTGCGTGTCTGCGTTATTTCCAGGTCTCGTTTCTTCTTGGTTGCTAGGCTGGGATAGAGGAGTAATTCCAGCTTCTCTATCGGTTTTCTGAGATTCTTTCCAGCGCTCGCTCTCTTCCTCTAGCTTTTTCAGGTAACTGAAAAAAGACAGTAGTGTCAGCTAACTACCACATCGACAGAGTCTCGAGAATCACCTCTCCTGAATCAGCACTTTACGGTCGCGCCATGGATAAATACACTCGACGGCGGGCTGCGTCTGCTGGCAATTCCGGCACGGAGATCCCCCGGAACACTTGATTTTGTGAGAATGACATCGTCGGCACCTGCTGACTCTTAGCCGGTCGGTTATAGATGCGCTTTGACGGGGGTACTGACGCAATGAAATTACGCTTCTGTCTTTTCGTCGGGGACTCCACGTCGGGAGGGCTGGGTTGCCCTCGGGATTTCGATTGCTCAGCCATTTTTCGGCGCTCTGTTTCATCTGATGCATTGCTGGGTACGGCTGTTGACAGTTGGAGTGCCTCCTCTCGTGCGGGGAAATCGGAAAGATAAGATGAGGCCGGCGATAAGATAAGACAGGTCATGTGATCTTGTTCTCTTTATGCCTTAAATAATGCTGAGCATAACCTCTATGCAGAGAATGTCCTACTCTTCTCCTACCCGCCAGGTTCTTATTACAACCACGGCCAAATTCCGGCTAGATGGCTTCAGCAAACGGCTTCCCTATATAGATAGACCCCTGTTGATATCGGAATATTACGATATTCTTATTACATTAGCTGCTGGAGTATCATACTCCATATCGGTCGGTCCTTCTACCGGTCTACTTGAGCGCAGACAACCTAATCCTTCTCACCTGGATGGCGAGTGCTGCCCTTTCTGCCTCTCCCACGCGGGCAACGCCCATTTAACCATATACTCAGACTTGAGGATCTGGTCCGCCGTGGGTCGCTCTGCCGGTTCAAACGCCATCATCGCTCTGAGCAAGTCCTCCAACGCACGTAGTTCACCGCCCTTAACATCCCATTCGCACGTCTGCCCCGTCTCACCCCGACCCATGTCCCAAAGGCGCTGAGGCAGACGCCGGAAGACTGGGGTGCTGATCCGGCGGAAGTCAGCGACCCACGACCCATCCTCGTTGAAGAACTCGGAGCGTTTAGCCCACGAGTTCCACCATCTCGAGGGCGGCTGGCCCAGCGTGTTGATCATCTCGGCGATAATGTCGTCTCGGTCCCAGGTGAATGTTTCGAAGAGTGGACGCTCGCCTAAGACTTCGTACAGGTTGACACCCAGGGTCCATACATCAGCTGCGGTGGGATGGATGATGGGTTCGTTGAAAAAGTCTTCTGGAGGAGAGTAGAGAGCTGGGGTGTGGAGAGTCGGTGAGGCCGTCTGTGACACGATAAAGGATGTTCCATAGTCCGAGGTGATGATCTCTGGGTTGTACAGCTCGTTGGCAGGCATGCTCACAGCCATGGGATAGATGGCATGCGGCGGTGCGTGGGGTGCCCCGGGGTTTCCATCCACTCGCCGGATAGGAACCTCGTATAGTTCGCCGAAGCGCTTGTATAGCTCAGCTGTACTTAGGTCGTCAAAGTTTGGCATTCGTAAGAGAAAGTTGCGCAAATGGATATCTGCTTGCGATCAGTATACGGGATCAGTAAACGGAGATACACGGCGTAATTGTCCTCACCTCCTTGGCATATGCCGTTTGCATGCAAATAAGACAACCCCAAAAGGAGCTGGGCGGCAGTAGATCTCGCAGCGTCCGGTGGAAACATAAAATTTGTGCTGTCCTCTTTGGACTTAGAAATACTGCAGCCAGCAGGCTCTCCGACCAAGCAACGATGATGTCCGTTTGGACCGTGAAACGAGAATTGGTCAAGTAGCGGTGGAATGAATCGCTTTCCAGCATGGCTAAGATCGTTTTTCATCAGGTACTTAAGAACTTCACCCTCATGACTATCTGGCGATGCTCTTGCAGCCATTATCTTTAGTGAAACATAGCGCCGGCGTTGCTGATCCCGCGCGAGCCAAATGGTCGAATATCCCCAAACCCAAGCTTGTGAACAACAGTGTAGCGGCCGTTACAAAACGTGTCACCGATAAGAGTTGGGTGGTATTCGCCGGGTACATAGTCTTCGAGGCACTCCACATCTACCTCAGGGTGGTATATATCTTCCATCGGCGAGCCAGCCATGGCATGAAGGCATCGAAATTGGTGTGATGAAGGAGAGACTATGCGGTAATTGCTGATTCTTGGTGTGTATGAAAACCAGCACAGGAAATTATTCGGGTTTCGTGGACGAAGTATCGCTGGTTGAAAGAATGAACGAGGGAATCTCCAGCGAGGGATCATGTTTATCAGGATCAACATCTCCTTGCGGAGGCCCGCGAGTGACGCGCTATTGCTGGCAGTATGGAAAGGCGGTGTGGGCTGAGCAAAAGACAGACAGACACTGTCTTACCTGCTCTTCAGGGCGCCAAAAGGGAATTCATCACTTGCCTTCCGAAGAATCCGGGAAATAGAGTCACAATCGACGAGGACGGTACTTTCTCGACTTGGGGGGGGGGGGGGGGTTATATTGAAGTACCACCTGTGACATGCTGGTGGATTGGTTTTATAATCAAGTAGGCGTGATTAAAAGAATGAGTCCTACCTCGGATGCAATATAAACCACGGTAAACGGTCTGTCACTCTGTGTGAGAATGCAAAACTTGCTTTAAATACAAATGCCCGTATTGGTCCAGAGTCGCGAGCCCCCCTCAGATATCCTCTCGTTGTTTCACATAGCACTGAAATTTAGGCTTAACGAACCATGCCTCCCAGGTAGTCCTCTTTTCGCCAGGAGCCAGCTCGAACTCATACTTCCGATACAACTGCGGGATGACTTTGGACATCTCCAATAAGCTGATATTTTTACCGATGCAGGTACGTGCGCCAGAGCCGAACTATGTCTTGTCAGCCTATGCTGTCCCAAATATGAATCGGGATAAACATACCGGAATGAAGTTCTGTTCCATGAAAGACAGCTTGTCCTTATCATTTTCCAACCACCGCTCGGGTTTGAACTCCGCTGCGTCCGGACCGAACACCTCCTCGTTATAGTGGATCACCCAGGAATTGACTCCCACGGATGTCTAATGGCATTCGTCAGCAGTGTTTTCGAGACTTAAGTAGATGCTTATCTCTTACTCACCCCACCTGGTAAGAACTTTCCAGCCAATGTGACTCCCTCGGGAGGAACATCACGCACAAGCGGTCTTCCCGTTGCCGGATGAACCCTCAGTGCTTCTTTAATACACGCCTGAAGATATGGCATATTTCGAGCTTGCTCAAACGTGACTTGGTCCGAGAGCTTTCCGTCCCGAGCGAACGAGTCGATCTCGTCTCTCAGTTTTCTCGCAGCCCTCGGGTTCTTGAGCAAGGAGTAGATGACGCTGCTGAGAGAAATAGCAGTCGTATCCGATCCCGCCGCAATATTCGCACCGACCGTAATGAAGAGGTCAAAGGGCTCGATCTTGTCGGCCTTTCTCAGCGCAAGCAATCTCGTCAGGAAGTCGCTCCGTGGAGTAGACTCCTCGTTACTGTCTCCGGACCTTGTTTTAATCTGATGGCCGATGTACGCGTTAATGGACTCCAACGGCGATTTCATCCCAGCCATAGCTGTCACTAGCGCGATCCAGCGGTGCAATTCGGGGAATATGCCAATTCTGGATCCGTATTTCATAGTGTTGTCGATGCTTTCAAGCACACCCCACGAGTCGTAGCCTTTGTCGAGAAGACCAAAAGGCTGGCTTGTCTGTCGGTGGATATCGTTCAGATAATACGCCAGAAACGGGATCTCCAGGGACGGAGGGAGAGAGCAGTACGTACTGTGATATCCCCGATGACATCAAACGCATAATACTGCATCCACGTCGGCACATCAAACGTCTGTTTGTCCTTTGCGAACCTGTCCAGACGATCACAGAGCAACGTGTTACATCGGTCGATGAAATGCTCGTAACTGACGAGTGTTGACATTCAATATAGCGATGCAACTTTCCGTCTCATGAGTGCGTGTCGCTGATTATCTTGTACTGAGAACAAGTTCCGCTGGTCATTCCGATGATCACCGAATGGATGGTAGAAATCCGACTTGGGGAACCTGGAGCCCGACGAGTAAATGGTCTTCAAGGCGGCGGGGTCATTGATGCTGATTGTAGAAGGAGAAATGCGGACGAGAGGACCTGAATTGGATCTCAATTTCCGATTATCTGCAATGACACCATAGATCACGGCTTGTGAAAGTGTTTGAACATACCGTACTTCTTGTGCAAGTCGATGTTTGCCTTTTCGAAGCCTCCTTTGCGTGTCTCGCTGAACAGCCAGAACCGAGTGAACCGAGCGAGCCATGGTCCCGGAATCTTACTCACGCCACCAAACAGACCTTGATATGCAGTCCAAGTTATATAACCAACAATAGCGAAGCAGACGGCGTGACCAAGGTAGGGTCTTATAGAATTGAGCACATGGCCCTCGCCAGGCATGGACAAATTTAGCATGATGTCGATATGAACCGGAGTTGAACCAGATTTGAACGCGAGTAATGACAGCCCACAACACTCCAAAATAAAAGAACAAAAATCATCGAGAACCGGCAGTCAAAACTCATTTTATACCCCATTGCTCCTTAACCCCGAAAACACCTTCTACTCCAGGAATTCCCCGATCTAGAGCCACCCGACCGACGGAAACCCCACGATATTATGCACCAATGTCCCTGATCAGGGCAGGATCGACGTCTTTTGGTCCTGGATACTGGCTTTAGAGTGGCTTGCGAGGGAGGCCAGATGATGCATTTACCCACATGGCTCATCATGAGGCTTCCTTCCCCGCTGACAAGTCTTTTGTTCGGAGGCTCGGAAGAAGGCGCGGTTCCGAAGCCGAAATTGTGGATCAACTATCTGCAAGCAGGTGTTGTTTATGCAGATCACGGTCTTATGTGTGTTTCCTCTTGCATAAATTTTCTCTTTTGTTATTTGCCAATGCATGTTGGCATAGGATGTCTAGGGTGGAAGCTGAGTATCTGTGGGGAAGTCGGTTGGCCTGTCGAGCATTACATTCATTGCAATCACTTAATCTAGGTTGGACACTAGATTACATTCTGTAGAAACCAGATTCAAGTCCTTTACAAAGGACTTGCCTTTTAATTCCGTTTTCTGTACATGGAGCCTCCGACGAGACTCCTGCTGCCAACCAGGTGTTTCTCACCAAGGTAACTAACCAGAACTCGAGTTTGCTACCTTTGGAAGTTTTCAAGGGATTGAGAACTGCCAGATGGATTGAAAGAGTCCAGGCGAAAATTCAACTGTTTTGCAAGCCATTTTTCTAGCGTTTGCCTCCCCACAGTCTCCCCATACATCAGACTTGGCTCCGGCAGCCACATTGAACGGCAGACCAAATATCCCATCTGACGGATCTGACACATTAATTAAGCCTTCCTACCAATGTTCAAAGTCTAGACTTCCAGAATTCCTCTCAGATCTCCTTACCGTATGACCCAGTGCTAGTTATTAGGCACCACTCTCCACCCCACGTTCTATCCGAAACACGCTGCCGATCATCAAACACGACTCTCACAGCCACTGCGGCAGCAAGTGGAGTCCGCTCTAAAACAAGGTCCTTTTTTGGTCTGGCATTTGGCCTAATTAAATCATAATTGCTCATTAAGCTTGTCTTAAGCTCTTTCCCACTCTTCCGTCAAATCGCCTGCTAAAGGAGTGAAATAAATACCGACCTTCGGATTGAAATTAACGTTGATCCATATGGCATTCTAGCGCGGGATCATTGAGCGGTTTATTTGCTTCACTCCGGTCCCAAACTCCACTCTCCACGGAAGAGACCCGTATCCACGTCTCCTGTTTCCACGCTAGTCCGTTTCATCATGAAATCGAGACTTCATACGTACGCTTCCCCTGAGGAGACAGGCGGGATGTACGGAGTAGCGTAGGGAGCTAGGTATATAAGGACGACGATCTCCCGACTACAGCTCCAGCTTAACCAGCTACCTTCACCTTCACCTCAATCAACACTCAATTCCTCAATCTTCCTCACATTCCAAAATGGTCTCCGCTAAGACTCTCGTCTCGCTCGTCCTCAGCGCCACTTTGGCCACTGCGACCCTCCAGCCCGCCTCTTCCAACACCAAGGGAAAGTGCCCCGGCTCTGTGAGCTGCTCTCGTACGTCTTCTCTCGCTCGCTATCTTGGCTTTCTTTACTATACAGTGAAGCTTAGCACCGAATATCAACTGACGATTCAACTCCATCCCACAGCCGCTAAGACGTCCAACGCCATCCAGGCCGCCGAGTGTGCCTACAACACCCGCACTTCTGGTAAGCACAATCCCGAACCCCAACGCCAATCGAATCCTACGAGTTCTAGACTGACAAGCATTCAAGAAACCCAAACTTTCGCTGTCTTCAAGACCGACCACCAGTATGACACCTCGAACGGCGCGCCCTACGGCACGTGCGAGGCCTACACCTGCACTGCGCCCACGAACGACGAGCTGACCGAGTCGGACGATGATTGCTGGACTTTCTTCTGGAAGTGAGTCTCCCCTCCCTGGATTGATCTTCTATCGTTATGATATCGAATTTTTACGGATCTGGGGCGTGTGTGCTAACTGGTCTTTTCTACAGCGACAACGGCTCGTCTTCGGGTGTCGGCACCAGCTGCATCAAGAGCCCTGATGATGGAACTTGCGGATGTGAGAACTCATCCGGAGAGTTTGTCTACGGCGGCTCGAACTGCTCTTAGGTTTACGGGTATAGGAATGTACATTACATATCATGGGAACATCATTGAGAATTGAGTTCAATTAACTGGTTTCTTTCTGGGTGCTATGTAATGCTAACTGGAGGAAATAAAACTGCTAAGGAGATTCGTAACGTTGTTGCGTAAGATGTGGGTATCGGTGTTAGATTGGAGATTGGCACTGAGAACAGATGGCAACACAAGTAGGATGGGACCTTAGGAAGTCATGCCTCGAGGTTTCGTTGTTCGTTTCAGCAGGATTGAGAAGGGGCGAGATTAAACACCATGTGAATGTGAAGTTTCAACCCATGCGTCAAAGGTAGACCTGTTTAGTCCAGACTAAACCCCTCTACTTTGGGGCCATAACCATCATCCTCCTAGGCACTTTTAGATGCAGAATATTATTCAGCCGCCTTCATCGTCGTCATCATATTCGCTCCCAAGTTCACCTTCGAATTCTCTTTCGTTTGCGCATTCATATCCATCGTCATAGTCGCCTTCACCTTCCGAAATCTGAGTGTCTTCAATGATACCCCGGCTGCCAATGGCCTCATATAACAGCCAGAAGTCCAAGGTCAAGAGTGGCTGAAATATTTCCTTGTTTCTGTATTCCGCAATTACTGGATCTAAATTCTTCGCCTCCATGATCTCTTCGTTTTCATCCAATGGATGGGAATGGTATGCCAGATCGAAAACCCAGACCATCGAGTCATCGTTCTCACTCTTCTCCGTTCCGACTTCCACTTGATTCTCTTCTTCGTGCTGCCCAGGTTCTTCGCAAGACTCGCGCTTGACTCCATGATTCAAGTAGCACATCTCATACCAAAGTCGTAGATTATTGACGCTCAAATTGCAATGTGCTGGATGATCATTATTTTCTTGGCTTCCCCATATGAGAAATTCAGGGGCGATCTTTTCTACCAAGCTCTGGGCAGGTTCTGGTTCTTCGTCAGAGAAACTTTAGAATACTTCATGGACGGCAGCAAAGTTGGTATCCGGATTCAAACCGGGGAAAGGAAGAGAGAGTCCAGACGGCGCCAGTAGCTTAAGAAACTCCCGGGCAGAAACCCGCGCGAACTGCTCACAAATACCCTTTGTCTCGCAGATTGGGACGCCGAGTTCGAAAGTATGAGCATCACTGTCAAGTCCTAAGGCAGCGTTCATCTCCGAGTATTTCCACGTGCCGTTGACAAAGCGACAAAATTTCATAATCAGCTTTCGCACTGGGCCATCGTCAAGGCAGCGTCTGTTTGTCCGAGGAAATGCAATTGGGAGATGTACTAAAGTGCTAGCAGCGACTGACTTGGGACACACTGCGCACCGAAGTTGGACACGGTGAAGGAGGTCTTGCTCGTAATATCCGGAAACACGGCAGTAGTCAATTGCTGCATCTGCTTGATTTTGTAAACTGCCTGGCATTGCAGATCGAGGGAAAGTCGTAGACAGAGCGAAACAGCCAAGTTTTCCCCGGGGAGGTGAGTTCCTGACCTGGAAGCTTGGTCTTCCAACAAACACGGTAGTTCCGATATTGTGAAGACCTTCCTTGAGGGGGCTATCGGGAGGCGAAAATTCAGGCGAAGCCATTATTAATTCGACATTTTGGTTGGGTCTCACGCTGTCGCTCGATTGGGTGCGGGATTCAAACGGCTGGTCGCTCTTTTCTTCGATACTCTGGGTAGTTATTTTGCTACCAAGCGGCTGTGGTAGAATGACTCCGTCGGTAATCCCTTCGATGTACTTCTGAGCCCTTTCAGTTGCAATCCGATGGCACTTTCCCTCAGCTGAGCAGATAGGCATCGCTAGCGAGCAAACATATGGCCTATCGCTTGTGAAACTGCCGATGCTCCAGTTTATCTCATCCTTCCGCTTTATACACTCGGTATGAGAGGCAATCGTAGACATAAGCCTGTGGAGTTCCTGAAAGTCCGCCAGTTAATTGTATCCAGTCTCTACTGCGCACAAAGGGCGATGAACAAGCGACTCGGTCGGGCGTGAATTGTAGATAATACAGCTTTCCTTGATGCAATGGAGCATCTCGTCGGTAAATGTAAGTGAGAGCGACACAATGGCGCGCAAGTTAAAAATTTCCTGTCCCCGATCGGTGCTCGAGATGAGGTTGTTATTATGGAAAGCGAACATGTCCTTCGAGATTTTGGCATCAAATCGAGCATGTCTGAAGCGAGGAGCTGTCGGATAAGGGTTACCAATGAATACGCTGAACCAAACTGGGACCTCAATTTTCGGTTGCGTCGACACACTTGTCATGGAACTGCGCTTTCGTTCGGTGAGCCTGGGCTGATCGGTTTCGGAGAGCGAGGGTGAGTGAGTCGAATCCATTTTGTGTTATAAATGCATTCGAAATCGGATGGGAATGGAGATACGGGAGGAAATGTTGAGAGAAATGTGAGAGGTGAGAGAGGAGATACAAGAATAAAAAAAGGGAAAAAAAAAAAAAAAAAAAAAAGTCAGAGAGCACGAGAAAAAAAGGAAAAGAAAAGGAAGAAGAAAAATGGAGCAGAAAAAGAAGAAAAAGAAAAAGAAGAGAGGGAGGAAAGAGAACAGCTAACGTCTCAAATTGCGAGATCGAAATTGACCATTTGTCTAAATAAATAATTAGTAAATTCTATTAATACCTGGAGATATTGTTCAAACTTACCAACGCGTCCCCTGCTTTGTCTCCATGGTGCTTCCACTCGGAGCCCGCTGCCATTCTGGCGAGGAAGTAGAAACACTCCCTCACACTGAGGGTTTCTGGGTCGGCGTTCTGGTCCCCTTTGACCACAGGTGAGACCTTGAAACGGAACATGTCAAACCGTTTAACGAGAACCAGCTTCTCGTAGGTGCAGGCGAACCCGTAACTGCACCCGTAGGTGTCCATGTACTTGGCGACTTGTCCTATTTCCTTCGTTGGCGGAGTATTAAAGCGCGTACTTCAAGGACACAACCTACCCAATACCCTGTGGAGATCTCTTCCTGGTTCGAGGCTGGTATTCCAGGGCACCTTAACTTCGCCCGCAATTCTTGTCTCCCCAACTTCCACCGATCGCTGCCCGATAACATCGGGATAGTAAGTCCCAATAAGACGCGGTCCCGTTGCCCTATCCCCATATCTCACCCTTACCCCCTGGGCCTCGAGCACCTGGCCCACCTGCTCCAGGGCTCCGCTGATGATGCAGCTTGTGATGCCAGGTTCTGCCCCGACGACATAGTGTCCTTGAGCAGGGGGCAGAGCTGCTTGCGGCTGGGGCTCTCCGAGGTGCTTGGTAGTGATGGCCCGTACCTCCCTTTTGAATTCAGGCCAATCGAGGACCTGGTCCTCTGAGAGGATCCAGTTTCTTCTCGATCTTTCTGTTTTGGGTTCGGGCCGGATGACTATCTCTGAAAGCCTGCCGTAGATGATTTTGCTGGCGTCCATGTTGGCTTGGGTCTTGGTATTTGGGGATATGAAATTCGATGATTAATTGGATGAAGGCTGATAATGGCAAAAGGAACTTTCCAAGTACAGCTTGTAACGCTTTATGAGTGCTACTAGGCAATCATTACTCCTAAACAATATTCACTTGAAATTATAAGCACTTGTATTACCTTCAAGTAACTAATTCACTGCACATCAAGACACGCATGGCCACGAAAGCCAGGAGCGCAGATGAAATGATACGGAATGGCTATAGAATGTACCCCATCCAAATTTAAAATAGCAGAAAATTTCTCCATTAATCTTTGCGTTTCTGGAGTCTTTGCCCTTCGCCTCACGGGATATCGTACTTTCAAGAGTAATGGCCACTTGGGGAGAATAAAAACACCATATTCCTCTCATGTTGCTTTGTTGACATTCTACCTACTATATAGATCCGTATCACTAGATATCTTTATAAAAGACACATGGAGGATTCGAAAGCTTTTTGTAGATGTTCAAGTCAAACAACCTTGCCTTTTTAGGGTTTTGTTGAACTAATATTAAATATGCGTGAAATTGAACAGTACAATTCCCGATCGGGCCGCGGAGATTGAAAGCATGGAAGACATTTCAAAAACAATCTGCCCAGGGTATCTACATTCCAAGCTCTGACCTGCCTTCTCCCTTGGCTCTATTAGTCGCGCATATCGTAGGTTGTGTGACTTATGTATATAGAACCACAAGTGATGTAATAGGTTGGCAACACCACACCTCTGTATATTTACATTGTTTCAATGTGATAGTATTTCTTGTAAATTGTAGAAGAGTCCTTTGGTGCAGGGAGGATCTTACATAGACAGTTGTATGAAGCCTTTTATTTTTGTTTAAAGGTATTATCAACAAAGAAGAATTATTTCTCTACTCTACACTCATAATAGCCCTTGTTTCAATCCGAAGCATATAGTTTAAGACTGAATCAATAATTGAAGAGAGAATGCGCAGAAAACCCATTTCCACTTAACTATTCTAATCCTTGTAATGAGCAGGTTTAATTGATTGAATATTCATCACTTTTTGAGACTACCTAAATTATGATCCCAGGCGGGATTACGCCGGGCAATAAAACAAAAAAAGAAAAAAGAGGAAGATGGGGAGAAAAGAAAGAAAGGTTGTTCCAAAGTCTCCAGGCTTCTTCAGATCCACCACACATTTTGTCCAAAGCCCAGCAAAATATCGTTGTTTTCCGTAAAGGGGTACTTTTCAGGCTTGCTCAAATCGGCTTTTTCGGAATTCCCAAGAGATGTCAATGAGCTTGAAAAATGTTAGTTATGATTCCACTTCGCGAGAGACTGGCGGGAGCCATACACAGTGCGAGTCGATCGTTCGTAGATAACTTTCTCCGGATAACCACCAGTGATGTACCAGCCGTGTAGCCGTATGGACCTATCGAACGGACAGTTAGCTATAATCTTAGATGCTTGGATATAGATAACTCACTCCAGGATCTCCATCAGTCGGGCTTTGATGTATACACCCTCGGTGTCGCTCAGATCGGAGTACTCCGTGACAGGCATGCCAGGCATTCTAGACATCGCAATGATGTGGATATAGCCACCAGGGTATTCATACTGATTGTTTTGCACTTGAACAGACTGGCCGAGCAGGTTAGGCGTGCTTCTGAGATCTTGACAGTCGATGAGGGCCTTGATTTCGTTTTGAAATAATCGAGTTGACCATTCAAGGATTCCCGGGCGACTCTTGGGGTCTTCAATGATGCGTGGATTCATTCTTGGAGTCAGATAGTATAATGTTAGTTTTTATTATTGTTATAAGCCATATACGCGTAGATATATATTTACTCGATGCGAACTTTGATAATGGAGGCAAGACCGTCCTGTCCTCTATGGCCAAGGAAAACAGCTTGTCTCACGCCCAGTTCATCATGGACTTTCTCCGAGAACAAGGTTGAAAGAAGATAGTAGTCATTTCCAATGGTAAGTCGGGTCCCTTCGAATTTGAGCAGAGTGCATTGATCCAGCCTAGGGTACATGGTGTCCGTAAAAGTGGACGAGGCTCAGGAGAAGAAGGTTTTCGGAACGAAAAGATAGAAGAAAATTAGGGGTGTATCGAAGAGGGGTAAGAAGGTTGGGTTGGGGTTGGAACCAAACTTATTCACTAGAATATCCTCAGCAAATTTCTTATCGGAACGGTGGTCAGCTCCGGCTGGAAACATAATGGCAGTCTGGCACTGACATCAGTCTGACATTATACTTCATGAACCGAGAGACTTCAAACCCCTCGCCCATCAAACAAACAATTCAGTTCATCATAGCGACAAAATGGACGACCAACTTCAGGGCGCTACTCTATTCAAACTCGAGGGCTCTACCATGAGAATACAAGACGAAGACTACAGGCTTGATACTTTATTCTCGGAAAATATATGCGCAGACCTGGGAGAACGCAAAGCAGTTTTCTATGGTGAACGGATCTCTGATCAAGCCCCTGCCGCAATAAAACTGAAGTTTCAGTGGGTTTTTATCTATGGTGCTCTTCTGAACATATGCTAACTATGGGAAACTTGTAGAATGGACCCCAGAGCCTTCCCCGGCGTGAGGGAGTGCCCTTGGATCAAAAGCTTCGCAACGGATATATTCCGCCGCGAGGTTGACGCACTAAAGGCCACAGCCACGGTTGTGGGCAGGCATAAGCTAATGGCAGATGATACGCTAGTCCAGGGCCCTCACTCCGACAACCCACATGGATACATACATGTTATTGTCACACAGAAAATGCCCGGGAGGCCCCTCAATGAGTACCACAACATTAGCGCAGGTGAGGGCAGCTATGTCGAAGAGGAGGTCATTCGAATTCTGAAGTAAGCGAGATTCAAACATCACTTCATTGAACGCTATCTAACAAATTTTATTACCTAGCGGCATTTACGCTTGCGGCTGGAGCATTTACGAAGGGGGGTCGGATGAAGTTCTCTACGATCGCGAGACAATGACCGTGTATGAGATGCGCTTCTATCTTTGCCTATGCATTTCTTAAATTGGGTTAACAAATTTTAGCACTATTACCTGCCCCGATGTGCACAGGAATCGTAAAGATGGATCCCCAAGCCCCTACACTCCCGACTCGATGATGGTCCGACAATTTGGTCAAGGCATATGGTGGGACAGGGACGCTTAATGGGCAGAATGGTTCACATCGCCAGGCTGGGCATGGGACTTACTAAACCTTCGATTTGGGGCTTGGTTTCTGTTCTAAGTTTGATGATGCTCCCAACCCCCGAAGAGTCTCATGGTTTAGAAATGACTCGAAACGTTGCTTATCGCAACCCAGACGGCCCGTGATGATTGGAAATACCACGGGCAGAAAGATAAATTGGTAAGAAGACTTTTCGTGGATCTAGCTTTACTCATCGATCTTTTAAGTGAATGGGAGTTACCCTTCGAGCGAATCGTGAGAAGTACGGAGGATTTCAATTTTTTCCTCGCATCTAGCATTCCGGTTTTGAAGTATTTGATCAACGATCTGATCTTTCAGTTTGTTTTACAAGATCTTTCATTCGGTTGCATTATTAATTGCAGGTTATGTTATCAGGTTATCAATTGCAGTTGTTTCACTATCATGAACTCCTTCTGGTATTCATCACAATACGAATTATCCGGGACATAATCCCTACTTCTCAGAGGCCAATCAAGGACCTAAGTAAACATAAACTACGTTCAAAAATGTTTGAAGTAAAGCGGTCTCAGACGCTTAAACAATACTGCAGTCGTAGATGGTCTTTGGCGATCACCTGACACACGATGTACCAGCTTTAATCGCCCTATATTCCCGTGCTCATTAGTTAATCGGTGCTATTACCATAGTATGGGGATGAAATCTTTCTTGATAATTGGGCTTCGTTATTAGTCAAGTCAGAACAGTCATCGATTGCTTGCCGGGCATTCCCTGCTCGACAATCGCGTGGATGTAACCTCAAGGGTGCTCCTTATTTTGGCGTGCTTCAGCTGATCGTCGACATACACTTGAAATATGCCTTCAAGGTCAACAGCGACTCTAAGAACTTGGGCCTTTCAATCGAACATGCTTCCTGTAAATGCTTCGGAATGAGCCCGCCTGCTTTCAACGTCCGCAATCACTCTAGGGTGCATCCTAAGCGTATAGAATCTTTCTTAACGCCGGCGTATAACGTCCTTCTTAATCTGCGTATACTCGGGTCACGGCTTAATAGCAAGAAATTCTGATCAGTCACCCGCTCGACAGAGAACAGTCAGCCTCTCACCGATTTCCATATAGACCCTCTCGAAAACCAATTTTCGACGCGGTATGGCTCTGAGGTATAGTAATTTGGAGTCCTTCAAGTCCTGCACGCTACAGGGAGCAGGGAAATGAATCTTGCCTTCCCGTGCCTTACCGAGGTCACCTTACCTCCTTGCTGAAACACGACTTTGATGATATCAGATTCATTGCCGGGGGATACAACCGATGCAGGGGTTATGACTGATCAGCAATACCTAAGCTTGCTCTTTTCTTCCCAGAAGCAGTAATTAATGCAGGGAATACAATATATGCCAGGGTACGGGAACTTTATGCGCCTGAGGATCCACTTTGACATGAAAAGCTCACAAACTATTGAAAATAGTGGCCACACGCCGCAAGGGACAAAATATTGACGATAAAGGAATTTATAAACCCCTGTCCCGAAACACCACGCTGTCAATATTTTCCATCTCGAATAATCCCATCATTCTACCAAACTCAGCATGCTCTTCTTCAAACTTTTGACCATATCAACCGCTTTCTTTTATTCAAGCTTTGCGCATCATGGACCGCATCCTAGAGCAAGCAAGGCGGACATGATCCGCCGAGGAAAGCTGTCCCATCACTGCTCAAACCATGTCGCGCACTTCAACGAGAAGCGATGGAAACAAAGTCTTGCCAAGCGGGCAGATTTCACAAACCCATCTCTGATGGAAGCACCCTACTACGACACCATCCAGAATGGCACCTGCGTTCTGTCCCCAGAGATCACAAGCGGTCCCTATGTCTGGCCACGCTCGCAGACCTTACGTCAGGAAATGAGCGAAGATCAGCCGGGCATTCCGCTGTGGTTAGACATCGGCGTCATGGACATGGCGACCTGCGCGCCGCTTGAAGGCGCACTAGTTGACATTTGGCACTGCAACGCGACCGGAAAATACTCCAGCTTTACGGAAATAAAATCCATAGGTGATTATCAGAAGGAGCACAATGTCAGTCACGTGGAGTTCGGCGTCGATGATATCCATACCGACGACACTACCTTCTGCCGCGGAATGTGGCCAACGGACCAGAACGGCATGATGGAAGTGAAGACGATTTTCCCGGGTAGGTTTAAAGGCGGTTTGTTTACTTATTGACAATTCGCTTATCCGTTTCCAGGCTTCTACCCTAAAAGAGCAGTTCACATCCATGTGCAAATCCATACCGATTGGTCTGCCCGGGAGAATGGCACCATGGCCCACGGAAACACGGTCCATACAGGAGAGATGTACTTTGACGAGAACCTCTTGCAGACGGTCTTGGCCGAGCAGCCTTATGTATCCAATACCAGGGTCGATCGGACCCTAAGCTCCGAGGATAGCATAGTTGCTGGGAATTTTGAGGGCGGTTACAGCCCGATGGTCTCCGTGGTTCCTGCTGATGGCGAGGATGTGACCAAGGGAATGATCGGGTATATTACTCTTGGAGTCGATACTGAAGCGGTGAAATTTAAAACGTGAGGAAGTGCCTTGATCTTATCATAGTACGCATCTGCATATTATCGATGTCTGTGGGAAAGCCATATCTTATTAGGATTCTACTGCGAATCCGGGTGTCATCAATATTCATTATCCGTAAACCTTCCCCTGACTATTTCAAACCAAACCGCCGTATATTCCGATCACTTCTGGCATCTTCGGTAGGTTGAATCATCTCCTATGCTTCTTCGTCTTTTTCAGAGCAAATGACCGTTTCGCTAATCCATTCCATTTTCCATCCCAGTTTAAACCATTTTTCTCGACGATGTCTGTAAATTCTTCGTCCTTCCGAAGCTGCTTCAGGTCGATCCCAAGCGCCGTTGCAAGTATCGGTGCGAGGTCGTGAGCAGCACAAACACGATAGTCTCCGCTATCTACACGTTTCTTGATCCGCCGCTGAAGTCGTTCTTCAAGATTGTCCTGGATGATGTTTGACAAAGCCCTGCCGTTCATGGTGGTATTTTTTATGGCGCTTGACTCTTTGCTGCTAAAATATGGCTCTCCAAGGTAGGAGATATCATTCACTCTTTCAAGTCGTTCACTTGCGTCGGTACGCTCTTTGAAATTCTCCAGGTCGAATAGTAAAATGTGTATTCGGTACCATAGTGTGGGGTAAATGCTGTTGTCTTGAAGGTCGGGGATAGAGAATTGCTTCGCGGTATCTTTTTCCGCAGGTGCGTCAGCGGCAACGGCGCTGTTTGGGCGATGAAGATCGGCCATTATGGAAGACTGGTGTTTTGATGAATTAGTATCTCTCTCGTTGAATTCTGTATTTTGCGAGGTTCAGAAAGTTTACTTTGAGTCATGGATGATAACAGTCAGTTAAGGAAGGTTTATGGAGTTTCACTGTCAGCAACCACGGTGGTCATTATGACATGTGGCTCCGTTCTTCCACCCAAACTATATTGCATCTGCATATATGCGACTTCCATGCATTCCGTTATAATGAGACCCTCCGCCTAACAAGGTCCTATCCCAGTCTTGTTGAAAATAATCAATGCAACAAAAGTACTTGAGAAGAGTTACGGTGTACGGAAGCCAGCCCTCTCTGAAATGACCTCTTCCCAGATTTATCTTAACATAACCGACGCAGAAATCGGGAACCAAATCGGCAGATATATCAACTCGGTCTACAAAGACGGGAATCGCAAACCCCGAATCGTGAGATCCCGATGCTTCGGCACGGTGTTTGAACCTCACGATAGCATGATCGGCCGAGTTTAGATAAGGGTCAGCATCTCCGATTACAGTCATGAATGCGATACCGGTATACCGACTAACAGCTTTACTACGTTCTCGATCAAGTTTCTCACTATCCATAATGATCTCATTATATCAGGCAACTTCGTTTCTATCATATCCGGTCTATGGATTCTATAAAGGCAGCTTCATACCCCTGTCAATTTGGACTTGCCAGGACTCCAAGGACCTCCGAATTCTCCTTTCATCCAAGTCTTTACCATGATTCCCCAAAAGCTTTTGCCGCTAGCTGGACTGGCCGCCGTTGTGAGTGCAGCTGTTCAAGGCCAAAACCTAACAGTCGCTATGGTTAGAGCGCCTCCGCCTCAATGGCCGCTGCCTATCTATTCCTGGGACTGGGTTAACATCCAGCCAAACCTAACGTCGTCCATTGACAAAGGTATCGAGTACATCGAAGAAGCAAAGGATAATGGAGCAAACTGGATTGTATTCCCAGAGCTGTGGTTTCCCGGGTAGGCTATCCACGCACAACCATTCTCGCGTCAATCTAACACCCCCTATTAGTTTCCCGAAAGGCGCCCTCTACAACAACTGGACCAACACGCACCTGCCCACCTACTTAGCCAACTCAATGGTGGTCGGCGGCCATGAATGGAACCGCCTCGTTTCCGCCATCAAGAACGCCGAGCTCTACGCATCTATCAACTTCGCACAGAAAGACGGCGGCTACCTATACATGGCGCAAGCCCTCATCTCCCCCACCGGCAAGGAGCTCATCCTCCGCCACAAGCTCCGACCGTCAGGCGACGAGCGATACATCTTCAGCGATGGCACGATCAACGAGTTCAAGGTTGTCAACACCACCTACGGCCGCGTCGGTATGCTGGAGTGCGGCGAGCACGTCTATCCCAGCATGACGTTCCCTATGCAGGCTCAGGTCGAGAATTTCCATCTCGGCCCATTCCCGTATCTCGGGGACCCCAAGGATGAGCGCTATTTGTGGTGGGAGGGTGCTGAGTCCAATATCGCTGCGGGGAGCCACTATGCGGTGCTTTCTGGTGCGTATAGCTTTTTTCCAGCGGTTGGGTTTGCTTTCGTCTCGAGTCCGTTTGGACAGGTTGTGAATTCGATCAGTGCGAATGTCAGTTTCGAGGAACACCCGATCCTCTATCATAGTCTTGATACTGCGGGTTTCGATACCACTAGGGCTTATGATTCGGATGGTCAGGTCTCGTGGGCCGTGCTGAGGCAGATGGTGAGCAGCTTTCCTGGCTATATTCCTGAGGAGGAAGGGGATCTTGTTCCGAGGAGAAATGCTACTATCAAATTTCTCCTCTCCGGAGCGCTCAATAGCTCGGAGGTGAACTACAACAATTGAGTGACCTGCTCCTTGCCCTGCCATGTGGATTTCCAAGACTAGGTCTGTCTGCAAATTAATGTATCTAAGGAATAGGCCATAACTTCTAGCTACTCCAGGCAAATGCGATGCCTAGCCAAGTATTCTAGTCAGTTAGCGGTTCATCCCATAACAAATAACTAATTAAATAAATTAAAGACTCCTTCCTGATCCAGTCAGTGCATCCACATCCGGCATCCGCTTATCCACAGCCAAGCAAAGGGCCCAGTCTCTCCTGCATTAGCTCCCTGAAACAGCCCCCAAAACGCAATAGCACCAGACGCTAAACTTATCGTCCTACCGCCAAAATCTCCACTCAAATTATCCAGCGACGACAGCTTTGGCCCCCATTCACTCCTCATCAAATATATCCGCTACTCCTTCTCCTAAACCTTCCGCTGATGATCACCCGCCTCTCCTTCGTTCTCCGACAACACCGTCCCAACATGCGCGGTATCCTCCCCTTCCTCATCACCCAGACAGCGCTTCTGTCAACGGCAGCAACAGCATCAAAATGCTACTTCAGCGACGGCAGCGAAGCCTCCAGCGAAATTCAACCGTGCTTCCCCTCAAAATCCACCAGCGCCTGCTGCTCCACCAACAAATCCGGCACCCTGCCCAACGACGTCTGTCTACACAACGGGCTCTGCATGGCCCAAGTGGCGCAGTACTCCGGCCTGATCTTCCAGAACGCCTGCACCGATAAATCATGGGAGAGTCCGGACTGTCCGAGTGTCTGTGGAATGTGTACGTGCATGAACAATCGAGGCCCTTTCCGTCCATGAGAGGCATGTCTGACCGATTTGATTTGTCTAGCTCTTGCGCAGAATACGGGAATCTATGTCCTGCCGTGTCCGCAGAGGGGAGTCGGATATTGGTGCTGTAGCGCGAATGGGACGGAGTGCTGCGATGATGCGTTTCGGATGAATATGGGGTCGTTGGTGATTGGCGAGGATACGAGCTCTGATTCCTCGACGTCTGCGGCTGGAAGTGAGACTACCGCGAAGGCGACGACCACGACGACAGCGGATGTCACGACAACAGCGACAGCGACATCGAATCCGACATCCTGTGCATTAGAAGATGCAGGCGCAGAATGTCCCAAGTCAAACACTACTGCTGTTGGCGCGGGCTTGGGAATCTCGCTCGGCGCGTGTTTGGTCGGGACGGTGGGTGCGTTATTCTTTCAGCGACGGGCGCATCAGAAGAAGTTACGCGAGTATAGTGCCTTGCATGCGAGCCAGATGGTGCAGTTGGGTCATGGTGGTCCGTCTGCGCATCCGACTATGCAGACGATGGCGGAGCTGCCGCTGCGGCCGAATAAAGTGTACGAGATTGGGGACAGTCGAGGGTGATAGAGTGGATTTGGGATGTTATGTGTAATTAATTAGCGTTATGTGTATGAGTATGATGGCCTATATGGCTTGTCTGGTTGGGATCTCTCGTGCTATCAGATTGATATGCTTCTCGCGGAAGATAATATAGGCACTCAAAATCAGTCTAAAGAATAATTCTTGTCATCGAGGTCAGGCTAGAAGCGGATTAATCTCCGTTTAGCCCTTGGTTTGGGGTCAGTCGAGTGGACCACAACTATACTGAGGTGGCTCTTATTCGTTCTTCTTTTTTTCTTTTTTCTGGATTTTTTTTTCTGTTTTATGTCGAATCGAACACCGATGATGGTAGTTTTTCGCGGGATCCGACAACTTCTAGAAGCTTTACTGCAAAATCTGAGATATCTACAACTTTTATCGAAGAATGTCAAGTTGCTAGTTAGATCTTGGTACCATTGATTCGTTTCATCAACAGCATTTGCCATAACTATCGGAAATTCTCGTCATTCTCCACGCTCCTTCAATCTACATTTCTCATTCCCTTTCCATTCCCAACTCATACAAATATCTACACCCTAGCTCAACTCAAAAAACCCCATCCGTAAAATCCACCGCCTGCGCCTTCTCCAGAACCGCACCTACACTCTTCACAAACGCCAGATGCGCCGGGTCCTTGTCCACATAATAATCCCTATCCTCGGCGCTGGCGAACTCCACCACAAAAGCATGCGTGATGCCGTGCTTTTCCGTCATCTGTCAGCAAGATACCCTCGCTATAGCCATGGAATTGAATTTCGAAAGCGAAAGTAACTCACGTGAATTCCCTCCTTGGAGTTATTCACACCGCCCGATAAGGATTTGATGTAGGGTGTTTGCGACGTCGGATGGATGCAATTATCCTTCAGGCCGAGCATACGGTTGGTGGTCTTATCGTTGTTAATTGTCAGTTGTGCTTTGATTACTGGCTGCAAGGGACATACATCGCGGATGACGTCATCGCTAACGTCGGGTTTGAATTGGAACATGACAATGTGGGTGATGGCCATTTTGGTCGGGTGGGTTTGATACTGGCACTGGACTCTGAGGAAGAACAGATTTATAAACAGGGAGGATCAGACAACAATTAGTGATGAGTCGGACATCGCAGCGATGTTTGTCAGGCGGGGTAGAGGCCGAGTCACGTGGCTGCACGGGCGGAATTGGCGCCGTCCGTTTCAATCGATATAGTGGTCTGTCGATCAAAGATTCAGGCTTATGCTTGTCTCTAGTTCATGATTCGAGAATGTCTTTAGGCAAAACTAATTCAGCAACTGTTGATATGAGATAGAGCGGTCAGCAAGCAAGGGTCTGAATCAAGGGGTTGAATTCCCGCTTATCTCGTTGTTTTGGTTATGCCTCGCGTTGTGCAAGTTATGCTAGGGATAACCGCACCTTCGATAATACAGCCTACCTGGAGGACCGGTCTAGTAAACGGGTAGTCCCTATTCAAAATAAAAGTCATATTCGAAATGCCAATCGCCGGAACCAAAAATAATGTACATTCTGTCGACCAGGACAGTAGAACTCCGACCCTCCCAAACCAACGCCATTAGATGCCAATAACCAAAATGCGTGCGTAACAGTCATTGCGCTTTCGCTTTCGCTTTCACCTTCGCCTTCTCCTTCTCCACCGTCGCCTTGAACCCATCCATATCACGACGCAACTCCTCGATCCGCTTCTTCAACCCTCCCACCCTCTCATCGTCTTCCCCCATCTCCTCCACCTCCTTCTCCAACTTCCGCGCCTCCTCCCGATTCTTAAAGTAATGATCATACTCCGCGGGATCAAAACACAGCCCATACCCCTCACAGTAGCAGCTCGTCTCGGCCGGACAAAACTCCTCTTCCCCCGTAAACAGCCACTGCCAGATATACTCCCACACGCGCCCAGACAACCGATCATCCAGCTCCGTATGCATCACCCACTGCCTATAATCTCTATACCGCTGTCTCGGAATCCGCCGAATCTGCTCCGAACTGACCGCGAACTGCGCACAGCACGGCTGCGACAACACCCTCGGCACCGGGTCGGCGGGGAACAGCTCCCGCCAGGCATTTCCCAGCACTGCTGCCTCAGGGACATCGCGGAGGTCGTCTTCCGTCAAGTTCCCCGTGCCCGAGCCGACGATGGGGCGGATGTGGTCCGGACACCCAGGCTGGTGGTGGCAACGCATGTTCATGTATCCGTTGCGGACGACGTGGTTGGGCCTCAGGAAGCGGACCATCTGCGCGGAGTCCGAGTCCAGGAAGTCGTTGTTGTGCCAGGAGATGTGGTGGGCGTGCATGAACAGGGTGACGTCATTCAGGGCGTCATAGTGGTCGATGATGTAGGTGAGGTAGACCATCACCTCGTGGCCTTTGTTGGTGGGGACGGTGAGGGTCGCGGTGTGGTTGTCGACGGTGTAGACGGCGCTGGTGAGGTGTGGGTCGTCGTGGGTGAGCTGGGTGACCCAGCTGGTGTCGTCGTCTTGGAGTTTGGCGACCACGAGCGTCTTGGTGGTGTTTTTGCCGGGCCAGAGGGAGGGAGGGGAGGGGTGGGGAGAGGGGAAGGAGTCGAGTTTCTCGGGCCAGGTGGGCGAGGCGTCGGCCCATGTGCGCCAGAGGAGTTGGCGGTCCTGGTGTCGCGAGAGGTGGAGGTAGTAGGTGGCGATGAGGAGGAAGATGGCAGGGATGAGCAGCGAGATGGCTTTGCGGTGCTTCATGGTGGAGATTGGTTATTGGGGAGGATGGGAAGAGGTGCAGGGCCGGTCCATGAAGAGGATCATGGTGTCTGAGCTGGCGTTGGGAATGCACGAGAGATATGGAGATATGGCGGATATTTTGGGAGACGCAGGGCCAGAGTGCAAGGGCGCCTGCATTTCTTTGTTCTCGACGCAACCGATCGCTGCGCTGCAGTGGTCCAGCCAATGGCGGCCACTGGGCCCTGGAATCCCCCGGGGAATGCACTCTAGTCCATCCCAATTCGGTCTTGGCGGCGCGTACTCTATACAGCTGGCGAACGGCTTCGATTTACTCGCCAGCCTCAGGAACTCGGTCCTGGTCGGTCCTCGCTCTGCTGGTACTTAACTAAACCGACAAGCGCTGCCGGGGGCTAACTAGTCTGTCGTCCCTGGTTTCTCCCCTGTCCTCGCCCCAGATCTACTAAAGTAGCCACCATGAGGGTTCCACACTCATACTACCCCCAGTCACCCATGTTTGCTGCTTTGTTACTCTTCTGTTCTTCTACATCCGTTGATGCAGCCAAATGTTACAACCCCAACGGAGAACTCGCCCCCAACGACCAGCCCTGCTTCCCCCAGAACCCCGTCTCCGCGTGCTGCGGCGGCAGCACCTTCGTGTGCTCGACCAACAACATGTGCGCGCACTACTCCGGCCAATACTTCGTGATAGGCAGCTGCACCGACAAAGCCTGGAACTCGCCCGCCTGTCCAGGCTACTGTTTTTTCCGTACGTCCTGTCCCACCTCTTCCTGAACACTGCGTAACCTCACGTCTTGGCGTTTCTTTCCAGGCGACCACATCCACAACAGCGTCTTCCGCTGCTCTGCAGATACCTACTGCTGTGCCGACGGGCCCGCCTGCAACTGCACCACCGGCAGGAACACGCAGGACATTGCCGACTTTCTTCCGCCGTATTCGCATCTCGTCGGCTCGGACGTGAGGCTTAATACCGCCGTCGCGACCAGCTCATTGTTCACGCCTGTCGGGGCTTCGAAACCAATCACTTCCGCTCCGGCTTCAACGGCTGAGAGGTCCTTCCCAGCCACATCCGTTTCAACTACGACTTCCTCGTCGGTTTTCGAATCCCCCGCACGATCCTCCCTAGACGCAGAAGCAGCCACAGCTTCTCCCATCCCTTCACCCTCACCACCAGAAGGCAATCAGACCCTCAAAATCGGCCTCGGCGTTGGAATGTCCCTCGGCGGGGTAGCCGTCTTTCTGCTCGTGCTACTCGGGCTCCTGTGGCGACGGTCAAAGAGGAATAAGCGTCCAATCGCGGTGAGCTTCTTTCCCTAGTCCTCCCACGAAACCAGTCTAACCTGCGTCACGTTGCGTTGTCTTAGATCCCGCGTCCCGAGCATCCGTATCCGTATCAAACTCGTCTTTCCTTTTCATCTCCATCTCATCCCCGCGCTCAGGCCGAGGTCCCCGGCTATCTGAAGTCTTCGTCGCATCATCTGCGGGCCAGTTCGGCTGAGTTGCCGGTTTATGAGGCGCCGGGGCATGGGATGTAGTATCTTGAGTGTCTTGGGAGTAGTGAGGGATATATGTGGTTGGGGTGGGTGATGGGTTCTTTTACTTTTGGGACTGCTTTCTTGTATATCGTACGCCGGTTCGGTATATATTAATTACGTCTTATATTATGTTACATTTTGTTTCTTTCCATTGTCAATAAAAGATTGCAACCTAACCATGCCTAAGCCCCAGTCTGACGGAAATAGCGGGGATGTTACACAAGTTGGTTTTTCCTCATGTCGTACAAGGAAAAGAAGCCTAGTTGGAATGCAAACAAATCAAATATCGGTATACTTTCTACTTCCTGATGTAAGAAATAGTATCGACACCATCCACCTTCTAGCAGTTATATACAGTCCTCCGGCTAACCAGAGGCAACCTACACCCCCTCCAAAATCACCTCCGCCGCCTTCTCCGCAACCATATACGTGGACAACGCCGTAAACGTCCCGGGAATGCGCGGATAAACCGACGCATCAACAACCCTCAGCCCCTTCACGCCTCGGACCCGAAACTGCGAATCCAGCACCGCCATCGGGTCGTCGTCCGCCCCGATCGGACACGTACACGACGCATGGTGTCCCCACGCCGTGTCCCGCGCATACTGGTGGATCTGCTCCCGGGACTTAACTCCCTCACCGGGGAGGACCTCGTCGACGGGGAGGAGCTGGCGGGTGAATGCGTCTCTGGCGAGTTGCACGCCCTCGGCGAGGGCGTCGAGGTCCGCGGCCGCGCCGGTCTCGAAGTAGTTGAATGCGATGTCAGGCACGTCGAGAGGGTCGGCGGACCGAAGTATGACGGTCCCTGCGGTGTTGCGCGGGTGAGATTTCAGAATCGTCCAGGTGAACCAGTCATGGCGGGCGATTGCCTCCTCTGCGTAGCCTGGGAAGTAGCCGCGGAAGTTGGCGGGGGCGCCGAAGACCAACAGGTCGAAGTCGGAGCTGCTGGCTTGGCTGGAGGTGTGGTACATTGCGGCGCCGGCGCCGGCGGAGGCGTAGATGCCGTGCGAGCCGAGGATGGGGTTTTCCCAGCGCGAGAGGCAGCGGTCGTCGGCGGGGGAGTCGGCGAAGGTGCACCCGTTCAGGATGCTGTAATTCTTGGGCGGGTGGCCTTGTACGGCGATCTCGTAGTGGTCTTGCAGGTTGGTGCCTACGCCGGGCAGGTCGGAGATGACGGGGATGTTGTGGGATTGCAGCTCGGCTTTGGGCCCGATGCCGCTGAGTTTGAGCAGTTGGGGGGAGTTGTAGACGCCGCCGGCGACGAGGACTTCGCGGGAGGCAGTGGCAGAGCCCGGAGTGCCGGTGTTGGAGGGCGAGGAGCGAGGGCTGGCGCGGTAGAGGTACTGACCGTCGAGGAATTCGACGCCGGTGGCCCGTGGAGGAGAGGAGTCGTCGAAGGTGACTTTGGTGACGAAGCAGTTGGTGCGGATGTCGAGGGGGTACTTTTTGGCGCCGTTGGCAGTGGTGGCGGAGTGGACGGCGTGCAGGAACTCGCGAGGTCCGTTGCGATGCGCGTCCTTGCTGGCGATGGGGATCTGGTAGTAGCCCGGTTTGGAGTCGCGGGTGGCCGAGTCCTTGTTGGCGTCGCCGGCGAGGAGCGTGGCCAGGTTGATGACGTTGTCGGTGAGGTTTCCGAGGGCGAAGGCGCCGCCCAGGAAGAGACTGAGGAGCTGCGGTTCTTGCAGGATGAGGCTGACCGGCGCGACGTCGGTGTGCAGCCATCCATCGCGGCCGTGGCCCGGGGTGATGGGCAGTAGGTAGCCAGTGTTCTCCAGGCGCGTGAAGTACTTGCGCATGTTGGCTGCGGACCACGACGAGTCGCCGGTGAGAGATGCGATGGAGTCGAAGTCGGACTGGTAGGGGTAGATGGTGATGAGGGCGTTATGGGCGGTGCAGCCGCCGAGTGTGCCGGCGCGAGGGTACAGCGTGCCTTTGATGGTCGAGCCGTCGGGGGGATGCAACCCCGTATACTCGCCGCCCTCCGGAGTGGTGTAGGTGGTTTTGTAGTCGCGCGCCTGCTGCTCGTCGTCGGCGTAGTGACGCACGAAGAAGTTCCACGCCATGGCTTCATCCTCGGACGACTTGACAGAGAAAGCGGGCACGGTGTAATTGTAGCTGTCGCCCTGGTCGTCGCCCGCCTCAATCAGCAGCGTTTTGTGACCTGCAAGGGCCAGTCGCGCGGCCAGAGGACCTCCGCCAGCGCCAGGTCCCACCACGATATACTCGTAGCCGGTGAGATTGACCGCCGCCACCAGCGACGACAGTCCAAGAAGGGAGAAAAAACGTCGGAACATGGTTATGCTATCAAAGAAAGATAGGGATGACAGCGCTGGACAGCCGGACCATGACCCCTTTTATGTCCTGGCGGGGGGTCATGCTGGCAGACTCCTGCAAGGGGTAGATCCGACATTCCAGGAGACAGAACCCCTCTTGCTGGGCACTCTGAGGGAGTGAAGCCAATACGCTCCCCTGAGCTTATGCATGCATCTCGTATTCAGTCCTCAGGAGCAGGCACAAGCTGACGAAATACCAATCAGGGGTTATTCTGAACATCTAGCTGGCCGAGTTGGCAGTCTTGGAATGTCTAGATGCAAGGGTGAAGAGCGGGGATTTTCTTGTCATTTTCTCTTCCTGTCGATCTCCCTTGTCAGTGGAGGGAAATCTGATCGGTCCGTCTTTAGCGTGGGACTCGGTGAATAGGGCCGCATTAGCTCACGTCTGTCACATCGTCAGAATGTTCTGTTATCATCGCAGCCGAGCTCTCCACTTTGACTGCAGTTACACGAGAAGTCATCGGGGCTGAAGATCATGAAGCGCATCTGGTGCTGTTAGGAATTCAGCATGCGAGATCTCCCATCCATCTTCAGCCGATTCACCGGCTTGGTCTAATAAAATCGCTCTCTCTGGAAATCTTGTGTGATTTGTTTGAGGGCTAAGCGCCATGCAATCGGTAGCAACCTTCTATCTCGTTAGTTCAACCACCTGGTCTTGTTTTCCCCTGATTACTTGTACTCCAAATCGATGTCAGGAAGGGAAAAGGGGAAGAAATTCCAAAGACAGGCACTTCGTAATAGAATGGTTTCTTTTGTCGGGATTGTTGTGTAGACGGCATAACAGGCCAAATGAATGCCATGTCTCCCATGCGACTTTGCTAGGGTCAATGCTTGCCGTCAATAGTATCACCTTAGGGCTTGACCATGACAGCCTGATTCGCAATCTTGGCGGCGATGAGGCGATTGACCAACGATAAAGAGGGGTTGATATCATCACCATCATCTGCCATCTCCACTAGACAAATAAACATCTCTTCACCATGACCGCTCCCATCCAGATCCCAACTCCCAATTTCACCCTCGAGTCCTTCGACCTCCCCTCCACCAACCAGCGCATCCTCGGCCCTCCGCATCCCCCCAACACCGCCATCCCGCTGGCTCTCCGACCAGCCTCCACCATCCCCACCCTCGACACCATCATCCACGACATCCAGACCCTCCAGCACAACCAGCTCTTCACCAAATATCTCTCCCGCCACGGCACGCTCCTCTTCCGCGGCCTCCCCATCCACAACGCCTCCGACTTCAGCCGATTCGCCCACGCCTTCGGCTACCGCCCGCACGAGATCATCGGCATCGTGGTCGACCGACCCGTCCTCGCGCCCAACGTCGCGCCCGCCAACGAATCCCCCAAGGAAATCCTCATCTACAACCACAACGAGTCGCCGCAGGTCCCCCACGCCCCCGAATACATCTTCTTCTACGGCCACCGCAGCCCGGCAGATGGCGGTGAAACCCCCATCTCCTCGTCGCTGGAGCTGTTTCAGCGCGCGCAGCGTGAACTCCCCACTTTTATCGCCGAGCTCGCGGACAAGGGAATCCTCAGTAAAGTGACCTACACGGTTACCCCGCAATACAAAGGCGGAGCGACGCTCAGACAAGCATTCGGGAAACACATCCTCGACTCGGACGACGAGGACACCCAGCGTCGCAAGGTCGAAGCCCAAATCAAGCGGTATAATCGGGGCGAGTACACGACGTGGGAATGGACGGATGAAGGGACCTTAGTGCTCACGCATCGACTACCCGCGATCCGGACGCAGGTGGGCACGAACCTGCCGGCGCTGTTCACGGGGCTGGCGGCGTATTATCGCAATGTGAAGGTCAATGGGCGCGGGAATGCGGCGCAGCAGGTTTATGGTGACGGGACGGCCATTCCGGAGGAGTATTTGGAACGGTTGGCGCGGATTACGGATGAGATTCGCGTGCTGCATCGCTGGGAGGAGGGCGATGTGCTGGTTTATGACAACGTTGTTGCGCAGCATGGGAGGGAGCCGTGGAGGGGGGAGCAGGCGGATCGAGTGGTGATGGCGAGCTTGTTTGATGGGGAGGTGCCGGGGGGTATGGGTTTGGGGAGTGGGCGAGGGTGGTTCAGGCGTTGGATGATGTGGAATCAACTGTATGAAGGAGTTGAGTAGCCCTGGTCTCCTGTTTATAAATACGTTGAATTCATACTCTGCCGCTTTATATATCTAGACTAACCGAGGCAAAGTGGACGTTGGGATGTTCAACGCAATGTGAAATAAGGTATATGATTATCCGTCATCCAAGCCAAACTGAAAAGATCATCTAGAGAACAGATAATTTATACATGAATCTTCAATATCGATTGGAGCAATTCATCTATAGCAAAATCAAGAACAGAGCATCTTGCTTAGGACTATAGTGCATGAATTGCTCGAAAACCATAAGAACAGCATCATTGGTCTAGTGGTAGAATTCGTCGTTGCCATCGACGAGGCCCGTGTTCGATTCACGGATGATGCATTCTTTTTGCTTTTGTTTTTGCCGCTATACAACATTGCCTAAACTTGTTTCATTTATTTTCTTGTCTCTTTACAAATTCTCAATTTACCAAATCAAACCAATATCACCAACTATACCTTCCTAACCGTGGAACGGACATTGGGTATATCCACTCTGCTTCAATCCCTCAAACAGCGCCTCCATATCCTCCCTCCCTCTCTTCTCCTGCGCTGCCGGTCCAATCGTCCACAGATCGTATCCACTCTCGCGATATTTGCCCTCCGGCGTGGGCACCGCCCCGCTGCCAAACAGCCGGACAAACCACGCCTTTGGTCCCCACCGACGCATAAACGTAGGCTGCACGTACCACGGATGCGCGATCCACAGACTCGTCCTATACAGCCCCGTGGCCTTGTCCGGCTCGTCATCGAGCACTTGTACGCGCATAAACCCAGGCCGAGGGAGACTCAGGTACCGCAGGATTCGTTTGCGGAGTGCCATGATGCCATGCACCAGAGTCACCAGGACCGGATTCGGTTTCTCGAACCTGATCTTCATTAGCCCAGTCCTCCCACATAGAAAGATAGAATAGAACAACACACCCCATACTCAACCTAATATGCTCATCCAACCTCATCACCACCACCCCCTCCACCACCCCCCTCAGCCCCCTCGGCACATTCACCGTCGCCAGATCCATAAACCGCCTCCCAATCACCCGATTCGACTCCGTCACCTTCGCAACCTCCCTCTCATACCCCATCGTCCACTCACAAATCTCATCCACAAACACCCCCCCATCATCCCACCCCCCCTCTTTCCCTGCCCCGGGCAACTCACCAAACCCAATCCCCAACGCCTCCCCCAACGCCCTATGAAAAACCCCAATCGCACACTTCTCCACCCCCGACAAACCCCGCCACTCGGAACGCTGCACGCCCCGCACGATATCAACGACCGCAGACCCAAGCGTGTGCAGCATATCCGCGTCCAGGATCTTGCCGGCCTGTCGGTACCGCGCGTGCAGGTAGTTCATGCGCGCGATGCTCAGCAGGTGCGGATCCGAGCCTGGCAGTCGGTCGTGCACCTCCGAGAGCAGGATCTCGGTGTCGGCGGCGCGTTTGGACGCGTTGCGGGCGTTGAGTTGCCCGGTTGCCTGGAAAAGTTTCGTCATGGTGGGGATGGAGCCGGTCTTTTGTTTTTTCGGGAGGTTAGTATTGGGTAGGTAAGGGGAAGGGGTAGAGGGAGGGAGAGGGGCGGACTTTGAGTAGGGAGATCTTCATGGCTGTGTGCATTGTGTATGGGAATTCGAGCTCGCGGAGTTCGCGGATGATTTCGTGCGCTTCGGGGATTGTCATGCTGGAGAGAGGGCGGTTGGTGAAGCGGTTGTTGATGGCATCGCGGCGGGCGTAGCGTGGGTATCGGACTAGCGCTAGGTAGAGGGTGAAAACTGCAGCGAGGAGGGTGAGTTGGTTTGGTGTCATGATGTCGTTGGGTTTATTGGTTTAATTTATTGACGTGGACTAGTGAGGATACTTAAATATCTAGGCATGGTGATGCATGTGTTGAGGCGTTGAGCGTGCCGATATTATAATCGAGCCGAGGGTCGGTATCTACAGCATGTTGTTAAAAAAGTTATTTGATTAGTATCTTGATGGATTATATTTGTAACACATTCTAATGCAATTAATCCATAAATAGGCTTGTTTATTCTGTTCTGCTCATCAGGTGAAGATTACAATCCGGACACGTGAATTAGGGCATCTTCCTAGGGCTGAATCATGAGCCTATCATAAGATGAGAATATCATCACCGGAGATACTCTGTACGTAGTAGAAAGTAAATAAAAGAATAATGTCTAGAAAGCTGACCATAGTTACTGGATTGCTGACTGAGCAATCAACCCTGAAGCCCTCGATCCATGGAATCAATGGATACATCGCAACCTTCCTGATCCGGTTCCTGAGCCTGGAAACTAACCCTGGAAACCAACCTCGACAGCTGGACCAGGTCCATGTTAAGGTTACCTACTCTCAAACCCATACAGTCTTTCAATTAGTCACCGCGACCCACGCATGCCAGCCAGTCCGTCCCGTTCCGGCGACATCGAGCATTCTTCACTTCCGCTTCGGGAATGCCTGGACGACCAGCATTCCAGCACTCCTCATTACTGGCCACGTTCTATTTGTAGCATGGAGATCCTCACCGTTCCAGCCTAGACTCAGGTCCGGATCATGCTGGAAACGGTGTCTACGACCACCCAGCCTAATGAAGTGTCATCTATCCGCCCAATGACTCCCTCGACCCATCGGAGGCTGGGAATGAATCTCAAAACGATTCCACCCCCCAAAATGCCACTCTTCACCTGTCCTTTCTTCTAATTCCATCCATCCTCATCCATCAACACCAGCGCCATGACGGCCGACACCCTCCCCAAATGGCTCGCCCTGCCCGCCTCTCGCCGACGATGCTCCTACCTCTTCGCCATCTTCGTCATCCTGGTCGTGGTCTACGAGTTCCGCACGCTTCTCCTCCCCCCAGTCGTCTATCCGCTCTACGAGAGCGACGAAAGCCCCAAACTCGCCCGGTCCCTCTCGGCACGAGATCTTCTCTCCCGCCCGATCTCCCACGACCTCAAGACCCTCCCCAAACTCATCCATCAGACATGGTTCCCGGCCGGCAGCAACATGTCCGAGCGCGCCCAGGTCTGGGTTGAGACCATGCGCGCCCAGAACCCCGACTGGGAATACGTGCTCTGGGACGACGAGACCGATCGCATGATCGTCGAGCAGCATTTCCCGTGGTTCCTGGAGACCTACGATAAGCTGCCGCAGGAGATTCTGCGCGCTGATGTCGCGCGCAACTTTTACATGTATCTGATTGGAGGGTGTGTTCTTCCTCTCCCTCTTCTGACCTAGATAGATGGGCTAATGGTCGATAGAATGTACGCAGACGTCGACACGGAGGCCCTCCGCCCCGTCGAACCTCTCTTCCTATCCCACGACACTCCGCTGCTCGCCCACCGGTCCTCCCTCTCCCAAGCACCGCCTTCCCCCCTCCCCAACCACCCGCAAACCCAGCGCGCCTTTCTCGGCCGCATGTCCCGCAGCCCCGACCTGAATAGCAACGCCGCCGTCCCCAACGGCTGGATGGCCTCTTCGCCCGGCCACCCCTTCTGGCTGCTCCCTGCGCTGCACGTGCTCGAGCGCGCCGAAAGCGGCGGCGACGGGTCCGTCGAGGATCTGACCGGCCCGGGGGCCCTGCAGCGCATGGTACAGAAGTACCTGGCGGACTCGAAGCAAGGCGCGGGGTCGGTGCGGAAGCAAGTGTGCGCGAGGATCCAGCAGAAGCAGCCTGGGTGGTCGCTGTTCTGCGACGCGGATATCAACGACTCGTTGGTGTTGTTGCCCCAGGCGCAGATCTACCCGTTTAGTTGGGTCGATGACGACGTGAAGGCTTGTTTGGCGGCGTTCGGGAACCCAGAGTTTGATCCGGAGATGTGTAAAAGGTTGATTGATGTCGAGGCGTGGCCGAGTTATTTTATTACTTATTGTACGCATTCTTGGTAGGTTACGGGGGTTAGGTGGGTGTATAAGTGTAATTCTATCGGTTTATGTGTATAGATTTAATGGATTAGGGCTGTATGGATGGTTCAGAATTGGTTCAAGCATGAGTAAGCGATAAGGTCAGAATGTCAGGTCAGTCAAGTCTTCATGTCGATCTTCATGCCGCGTTCGGAACCCAGTGGGACTGGATCCGCAGACGTTGCATTCCAACGTTCTAGATATTGTCGATGCATTCGGTGTTCACGATCTCCTGCGCCTTCTGCTCCGCCTAACTGCAATCTCCTCACCCCCCCCCCCCCTCTCTCTCTCGCAAACCCCTCCAACTCCAGGCACCATCTAAAGCAGATAGACAAACACATCTAAGCGAGATAAAGCAAGCAGCAGCAATCAAACCGTCCGAACCCAAATCCACCGAACCGATCAAGCCATATTCCATAAATCTCTTGCAGTTCCCTGATCGCTGGTTGTCTTCGGAATGTGGCGCTCTCACGTTACACCACGAAACCATCCAAACAACCGATCTGGCTGACTGATTCAGAAACAGGGCTGGTCTGATGGCGCGCGCATATAGGCTGTAGTTTCTTTCTGCTGGCGCTTACTTCACTTCTAGTGTCTTTTTCTCTCTCTTGCGTCGTCGGGTGTCAAGCAGGCGGGCACTATTTGTTCAGAATGATCTACTCTAGACTTCAGAAGGGGAATGATGGGTGGAGTGTTGTATTGGGCATGCTGTGCGTCTGACTCTTCTTGCAGATTGACCGGTGGCTAATTGGAGTGTAGGTCGTGGGTGTTCTGGTCGAATCTCACTATTCTGTTTAATAAGTGGGTGATCAGCTCGACTGAATTCCGTATGTCTGCTTGCACTTTCTTTGTCTAGCCACTGCTAACACTGTCAGATTATCGTGAGTCTGTCGCTCTCTACCCAAATGTACTCAGCTAAAGAATGCAGCTGTCATCCTCACAACATGGCATCTCGTCTTCGCTACCCTGGTCACCCAGATCATGGCATATACCACCACGCTGCTGGACGCGCGCAAAACCGTCGAAATGACCCCGCGGGTCTACATGCGCGCCATCGTCCCCATCGGCCTGCTCTACAGCGGCAGTCTGGTCTGCAGCAACGTCGTCTACCTGTACCTCAACGTATCATTTGTGCAAATGATCAAGGTCTTACCTCCCCTCCCTTCCCCTCCACCACCCCCTACTCCCCCAGATCAAGAACTAAATATAAGCAAGGCCGCCGGACCCGTCATCACCCTCCTAACCAGCTGGCTCTGGGGCGTCGCGACCCCCTCGCTCTCCGTGCTGCTTAACATCCTCGTCATCGCCGCCTCCGTCGGGCTCGCCGTCGCCGGCGAGATCCAGTTCTCGCTCCTCGGCCTGCTCTTCCAACTCGCCAGCCTCGTCTTCGACGCCAACCGCCTCGTCATGATCCAGATCCTGCTCTCGGATGAGGGCCAGCGCATGGACCCCCTCGTCAGCCTGTACTACTCCGCCCCTGTCTGCGCGGTCATGAACTTCCTCGTCGCCTGGCGCACAGAGTGGCCTGGTTTTCAGCTCGCTGAGATCTCGCGGAATACGTGCGCTGCGTTGGTCTTGAATGCGGCGGTGGGGTTTATGTTGAATGTGTCGATTTTTGTCCTGGTGGGTTTTCTTTTCCATTGTGTGTGGGTTAATTGGGTGTGTGTGTGTGTGTGTGTGTGCTAATGATGCAGATTGGGAAAACGTCCGGCTTGACCATGACGCTGGTTAGTATTCCGAAGAATATTCTGCTGATTTTCGCCTCCGTGGTCATTTGGCATACGCAAATCGGGGGGCTGCAGGTCTTCGGGTATACGATTGCGTTGTTGGCGCTGGTGTATTATTCGCTGGGGTGGGAGAAGTTGAAGGGGCTGTGGGAGGATGGAAGGGGGTGGGTTCGGGGGTCGAAGGGGTATGATGCTGTGGAACAGGATCGGGTTTGATTTTTTGCAGTTTATTTATACTATACATTGCTGTTTGGTTGGATATAGATGATAGGTGTATAATGAGTCAGGTACTCGGTTTAATCAATTTGTTCCATACTAGACTGCACTCAGATGGTATACTCCCTCGTCAACCACCGCACCTCATATTTCCCCACGCAATCCTCGTCACTCTCACAAGTCATCCAGTCATGCTTCGCGTACGCATAGAACGCCGCGTTCTTCTCCTCCAGCTCCTCCCCCCTTACGTTCTCCGGCCGCTCGATGACCGGATATCCAACGTAGCCTATAACCTTCACCCCTCCCTCCCCAGAGCCAGAGCCAGAATCATAATCAGGAAACGCCCACCGAACCGCCTCCCTTGCGAACCTCGCCCCGTAGAAATGATCACTATGGTCTCCCTCCCCGCTCTTGTAATTCTGCAAACTCACTACCTCGGGCTTGAACGCTCTCACCAGGCCGCCTAGCACACTCACCACCGTCTCATTCGTATACACCTCTCCCTTCCCCCCTCCCTCTCTACCTCCATCTTCTCCCAACCCATCAACAGCTAAAGCCTGTAAACTCTGAACCTCCCCGTCCCACAACCTCCTCAGACTCCGATTCCCCGTCCTCTCAAACCCCCTCCCATCCAAGAACCCATCCGGAAGACGCAAGAAAGCCAACGAAACAGGGTACGTGGATAGCGTGAACATCGCCACGCTATGGCCCGGGACCTCTGCGTCGGTGGAGCTCTCGATCCAGGTGTTTGGTGCGGAGAGCATGGTCGCGTAGGATGCGCGGATTCCGGACTCGCGAGAGAGCCAGTAGGTGGATGTGTTGCCGGCGTCGCCGGCGGTGAGGAAGATGGTTAGATGGCGGGGAGACTTTGGGCTTTGGGCGGTGGTATTGGTGGTGAGGAAGTGGAGGCTGCGGATTAGAGAGGGGCTTTGGAAGAGGATGGTGTCGTCTTGGTGGGCTGCTATGTTGAGGGTTGAGGTTGGGGTTGTTGATGTTATTGGTAGGAAGGGAAGGGAGAGGAGGAAGGGGAGGAGGGTGGTCATTTTTGGGGATTTCATTTTGAGGATTCTTTTTCTTTTTCTTTTATTAGATGCAACTATCAGGTAGAAGAGAAGTAATACAGGGTGGAAAGGAAGTAATCCGGAGGGATCTTATTTTGTCTTATATTGTGGATGTTGATAGTGAGTGAGACTTGTGATCGGCTTTCTTACGGAGTTGGTAGACATACTGTCTCACTCGTCAGCTTTTAGTATACCCCAGAATGCAGCCTTGCTTCTATTTATTAGATTTGCTTTCTGGTGGGTGGTCAGATGTAGATACCCTTCATGTTCATGCCATAGACAAGTGGTAAAGTAGAATGCCCAACCGACCATAGAGCACGAAAGAAAAATAGACAAAATGCACTTTGTAACCATATTGTCAACCGATTAGTACTCTCTCTAAGTACACTTTTGATCACACGTGTACACAATCAAGGTTGTGAGAAACCTTACATGAGTAGAAGAGGGGTGATGCTTCGTTTTTTCCTATTCGGGAATAATCCAAATCTTACCACCTATGAAATCCTTCGACCAGCTGTGGGCAGGTGAGGACGGGATTCGCATACCCGGCAGCATAGCCTCTAGGCTTTGTGTTTGCTTATTCTGTCTCGGAGTATCATTCTTAGACTTCTATAGTTAAATTGCTGTGATAGATGAATTCCCGTGGATCATCCATGGATGTCGAGTCAAGGCGACCAATCAGGATTGGAACTACGGGCTAAGTGGGTTCCTGAGCCGGATTTCGTGGGGTATTGGATAGGAATGCAAAATTGTGATATTAATAGGATTGTGTTGATTGATGAGTATTAGGTATCAGTACGAGTCCATTCCGCAGTTGCAATCCGATATCAGACGCTTACGGTCTACGTCCCTCATTCTGGCTCGGTACCCTCAAGGCGGAGTCGAGGCAAGAGTCCAATGTCGAGCTGTCCTGGCAACATAAATCGAGTCGGGAGTCCATCAAATCCAATCGAAGCAGTATCGTAGCAATGATCATGAATAGGTTCATCTAGGCTTCAAATTCAGCGAGGTACAGAACTTTCCACCCGTGCTAAGCGATCGATGGGCGACTGAGGGAGGGATTTCTTTCAAAAAGGCCTGGCGTGTCCATTTTTTCCTTTAATTTCATCCTAAAGAAAAAGATGCCCGAACCTATCCTTGCAAACAACCATGTCCTTTGAAAAAAAAAAAGTCTTGACGCCATTTATCACCCATCAATAGAAGCAGCATCTTTTTTCATCGTATACCACCTCCATGGTTTCGAAGTCAACGCTAGCACAACGTCTTTTTCCATCCGCTCACGCTTTCGTCCGGTTCATCCTTTTCTTGTTTGCATTCCCGAGTTCGTGGAGAAAAGATTTACTGGCGGTTACCGAAGCGGCGGGGACGCTCGGCGATGTTCTGCTGGGAGACGGTCACGACGTTGACGGGGACGGAGTCGAACTGTTGAGTGTTAGCCTAGCCCGTTCTTCTTTCCATCCGTGTGCGGGTCGAACGTACGCCGATGCTCTTGAGCAGATCCTTGGTGTCCTGGTCAACATCGAGCTTGCCAGTCTCGGAGTTCTGGGAGAAGTCAAGGGCGGAGACTTCGGGGACGTATTGATCCTTGCGCTCACGCTCCTCCTCCTGAAGCTTGAACGAGATACCGCGGACGGGACCGCGCTGGATACGGCGCATCCTGTAAGAGATTCAGTCAGAGTCGTTCTTTTTGTGTCTGGCGAGTCGGATTATCGATCGAGTGGGAAATCATACAAGTGCGTGGCATATCCGGCAATCTAGCGATCGAAAAGTTAGCATTTTGACCCATTCTTTCGGCCCTTCGGCCCTCCTCTCTCCCATCGGCAGTCCTACCTTGTTCCTCAGCCTCTTGCTGGCGATGATGGCCACCTCATCGCAGATCTTCTTGTTGACCTCGAAGTCAAGGGTGAGCTTGGGGTAGTAGCGCTCGATGACGACCTTAGCGGACCTCTTGACGGTCTTGGTGCGAACGCGACCCATGTTGGCGGTATAGTTGTCGAGATGCTGCGAATGTTGGGGTTAGGGGGAGGGAGGTTTGGGGCTTCAATTTTGGTGTGTCTTTGGTTTTTGGTGCCAAGCTCGCTTAACCCGGCCGTCGGGCGGTGAGCCCCAACGAGCCAATGGCCGCGGGCGGGCTAGAAGCCCTATTCTTGTTCCAATCGGGCGATCCCACACACAGATTTTTGGGTGCAGATACAGCATTGCCAATCTTGGGTATATTGTATTCATTGTGGTTCGGGTCGTTTGAGAAGATATATTCTTTCTATTTGTCCTGCATTTTCACTTTTCTCTCATTATTGGTTTTTTTCCTATCTTCCTGCCAGTCTCGAAGGGCTGGCTATGGCTGTGTGTGATTGGCTCTGTAGCCGGCTTAGCTAAGCAACTGGCGGCCAATCACATGCTTACCCCTCGTGACATCATCCGTGATGCCTCAGTTGAAGTACATGTACATCGTAGTTTTATTATCTTTACAAAAGCTATGTAGGTAGTACAATTAAAGATCATTGTTTAGTTTAATGACACTAGGTTTGAAATTCTTACCGCTTACAATGTACGTTTATCAATGGAGCACTAGACCGTTATAGCTGTGCGCAGAACTCAAAGGTCTATATCATTCAACATTGATACATTTATATACATCTACCCCGTTTAACGGACACCCAAACCATCCAACTCAAGATAAATCTACCACGTACAATCCCCCCTCACCCACCCCAACAACCCATCCTTCTTCACCACCTCCATCCTCTCCCTCTCAAACATCACCGTCATCTCCCACGGCGCCAACCCCCCCGCCACCAGCCTGCGCGGCTTCAAAAACCCAATACTCGGATACACCGTGCGCGGCTCGAACTCCACAATGCGACCCAGCTGCGCCCCAAAATCATGCTGAAAGCACGTATTAAACGACAGATTGCTGAACAGGATATCGCCCAGCTTGCCGGGCTTCGCGTCCCACTCGGGGATCTTGTGCAGCTCGTGCACGGTCTTCGTCAGATGCGCGTCATCAGAGGCTACGATCTTTGCGCGGATCCGCGCCGCCAGGGTCGATAGGAGGGGGATGTATGCTGTGGGGAGGGTGTCGGTGGAAGTGGACGAGGCATCGATGGCGGCCAGCGCGTCGGCGAGTTCGTCGCGACTGATTTCCACGCCGGTCAGGAACAGCGTCGACCCCATGTACGAGGCCGGGATGGCCGGCTGGGCCCGCTTCCCCATGCTCACGCAGAAGTTCATCGAGTAGCAGCGCTTATCCTGCGGGAGGGAGGCGCGCGCCGTGGCGATCCACAGCAGGGCCATGACGATGTCGTTGGTGGCGCAGTATGAGCCCTGCTCGCCGGAGGAAGAGGAGGAGGCGAGGTGGTTGTTACAGGCGGATTTCAACTCCTCCACTCTATCCGGCGACAGGAGGAGCGTCTCGCGGCAAATATCCTCTGTCGAGAACGGCGCCAGCTCGTGCATCTCGATGTCCTTGAGGGGCTGGTATCCCTCGGGAACGGGGCGGTTGATGATATCGAAGATGAGGTCGCGCGCGAGCTCGTTCTGTCGACGGTCCTCGACGAGCGACACGGCGTCGCCTTCGCGACAGCACCGCGCAAACGCCTGCATGATGTTACTCACTGCGCTGCCGTCGATCAGGAGGTGGTTCCAGCAGAAGCACAGGATGATGCCGCCGTGGTACATGTTTGCCTGGAGACGCAGCACGGGCTTGAACTCCTCCGGGCCCTTGCTAGGTAAAGGGCGGAAGACGCCGTCGCCATCGGCATCGATGGCGTGTCCGATCTCCGATACAGCGGGGAGAGGCGCATCGATGCGCCGCGCGGTCACCATGGGGTGCGATTCGAATCGATCCGGCCCCGACGGCCGCACCTCGAGCTGGTGGCGCGGGTCGTTCTCGCGAGGCGCCACCTCGCCGCCGAGGAAGGGCAGTTCGCGGATGAGTCGCGCAGCGCCGGTCTGGAGGGCCTCCAGGGCGGCGTCGGCGTCGGGTGTCTGGAAGGTGAAGTAGTTGCATCCGTAGGCGCCGATGCCGCCGACCACGAGGTAGTGGTCTAGCGGGGTGAGGAGGAAGGGGTCGAAGGTTGCCATTGCGAGGGAGTGACTCCGGGGTAAATGGTTGTCCGGGTGGAGATGGTCAATGGGCTGGGTAGAACCAGGGTATGGAGGTGGCACGGACGTTATCCAGATGGATTGAAAATAAAAGCACAGGCACAGGTTGTCAGGTACAATGGCTAAGAAGCAGATTAAAAGAGCCGCAGATTTTTACGTGCGACGCTGCCCTCACTGCCACTTTCACCGGCTAAAGCTACAGGGGCTCCTACGGAGCAAAGGCTAGAACACGCAACGTGTGCAACGGTGTTAACCAAAAGGTTACAGGTGATGGTGAGTCTGGCGAGATCCAATAATAGACAATAGGATTGACATGGTTCTGATCCATCACGATTTTATATCCTTTCTTTTAGCGGTCTAGATCACACCTCCCAATTGATCCCGGAGGGAATTGAGCGCAAAAGACAGGAATAAAGAAATTGACAATGCTCGAGAGCAGAGCTGGATTGATCTACAGTGCAATGGATCACGATGGACGTTTGGCCATTGAGAAGAGGCCAAATCAGCTAATGAAATCCACTTGGCGCTTTGTTAGTGCCGCGATTGCGGGCATATTTTTGTGCACTCGGTATGCCGGGTTCACAGGGATAGTCTGGAGGGGTTCATGGGAATTGTCTTCATGCATCATTGCATCTGGAGTATTGTTGATTGGATAATTGCCAATAATTTCACTGGCAATGTGTTGTTAAAACAAATCATCATAGGCGGTAGAACTACGGAGCAAGACACAGTGAAATAAATTACGGATGAATGAAAAAGCGGTCGAGCATGATGGAAATTTTGAGGAGGTACTCAGAAAGAAAGAGAATCGAACGCGAGATGCCGCGGGCTTGAAGGGTTTGAATTTTCATCCTCCACTAAAACAGACCCACACGCTAAAACATGCCACGGGAGGGCTTCACCTTTTCCCGAATAGGCGATTTCCTTGCGTTGATTCCATCTTCCACACAGGAAGGAATCGATGAATCTACAGAATACACACGATGAGAAATCAACTGTCTGCCATGACTTAAGCAAAGAATTTCCTGCGAATTCTAAACCAGCACCGAAACAATACCATCCATCTCTACAACTTACCACCCTCTCTTACAGAGTACGACTACAACCCCCCCACCTTCACCCTCCTCCTCAACCAAACATGCAACACCACAAACACCACCACCCCCAGCGCCAACATCGCCGAAATCACCGAAAACCCCATAATATACTTCGGCCCATCCTTCTCGGGAAACAAATACGACCCGTAGATCTGCGCCAGATTCCCCAGCGCATTCACCAACGCCAGACTCACGCCCCTCGCCTCGGGCCTGAGTCCCGCGAACGCAGACGACGCGTACGCCAGACACCCGCCGTTCGTGGCCCACAGGCCGGCAGCCATAAGGACCAGGAGGGCATACCGGGCTGTGAAGTCATAGACGAGGCAGACGGCGACGGAGCAGATGAGGGAGAAGGTCAGCCAGGCGGCGATGACGAGGCCGCGCCAGAGCGGGATACGGTCGCTGTAGTAGGCTGTGATGGCGGTGCAGACGAAGGCGACGGCGTAGATGGGGACGGTGAGGAAGTTGACTTGTTTGGTCGAGGAGGTGTTGAAGAGGCCTTGGACGAGGGTTGGGTAGAAGTAGGAGAGGGTACTGGAGCCGACGATCACCTTTGCATTTGATTTAGTATAGTATAGGACGTTGGATGGTAGGAAAAGGAAGGCTAACCATATATCCAACCACGAACATCCACGTTCGCCAGTCCTTCACCGACACCACGATGGCTTCGACATGAGTCAACCGCTCGCTGGCGTCCGTCATGGAAGTGACGTTCTCGCTGGCGAGTCGCGCCACTGCGATGGATCGCTCTCTCTCGGAGAGCTTGCGCGAGGTGGCAGGGAAGTCAAGCAGGATGAACATGGCGATAAAGCCGACACCAACGGTGGCAGCGCCTTCGACGATGAAGAGCCATCGCCAGCCCCGGATCCCGTGCACGCCTTCCAATCCGTCGGTGATGACGGCCGCCAGAAGACCGCCAAACGCACCGGAGAGAATCGCAGCGGAGATGTACACGCCAAAGCGCCGCGATTGCTCCGTTCGTTTATACCAGTTCGACAGCACGAGAAGCACGCCGGGAGCGAATCCAGCTTCGATGCAGCCGAGCAACGCGCGCAGAACAACCAGGTGCTTGAAGTCCCGGACAGCGGCCATGACGCAGGTCAGAGCTCCCCAGACGACCATGATGCCGGGGAGGAAGAGGGATGGTCGCGAGCGACTGAGGATGAGGCTACAGAAGTTAGCATCGGGGCGTCCTGGGGTTGAGTGGTGAACATACTTGCTGGGAACTTCGAACACGACGTATCCGACAAAGAACACGACTAATGCAATGGAGTATTCGTTCGACGACAGATTCAGATCGTCTTCCATGCCCGAGATCTTTGCATTCCCGATGCTGCGCCTGTCAATACGATTCCTGCCAGTAAGGAGCGACATACTTGGTACGGTCCAAGTACGAAAGGAGATACATGATCCAGATCATAGGCAGCAGGTACAGATCGATCTTTCTCACGAGCGCTTTTTCCTCTTCGGGAGTGAACGAGAGAGCCTCTTCGGCATTCTCGATCTGGGCCGACGAGATGTCGGCTTTGAGATCATCATCCCAGGTAGAGGTCATAATGGAAAGACAAAACAAAAGAATGAAGTAGAGAAAAAGAAATTGAAATGGGACATGACTCCCAACCCAAACCAGGGTCAAACGGCCATATCTATACCCGCCACGACGCGGAACGCGCAACCATAGCGAACAAACAATCTACAATTAAACCCGACCTGTCAGAACAGCCTAGATGCATTCTCCGCAAAAAGATGTCACTTCCCCGCATAGATTCCGAAGTGGGTGACCTCATGGCCATCGCCCAGATCTACATCTGCCTCGTCACGAGGCACTCGGTGTTCTCGCGGGGTTTCTGTACTACTTTCCGACCTCACAAGCAGCGTAAATGATCCGCAGTTTTGATGCCTTGGAATGGAATGAGGAGATAAGACCGGGCTTGATCATGCAACAGGCAGATAACGACTAGGCAGCGACGCTGAAGGAATTCTAGCCGAGTGGAAACTGGTTTGCAGGGGGCATCGGACTCTGATTGTCCGATTGGACTGCAGGGAGCAAACAAGACATGTACGAGGAGCCAACTATGACGAATTTGAAATTTCTTGCAGCACCTGTTGAATTGTATTTTCCGGTTTGGATTCGGGCATTTTCCGATGCGACTGTTACCGAACGCTTGACGATGATGTTGCCTATACCCCGGATCTCGATATCAGGAAATCCCATCCTCACGTCATATAATTTTCAATGCACTTTATCTGATCCTGACGTCGCATCCCGCATCCCACATCTTTGATCGATTGTCTGACTTGTCCGATCTAACATCCCCATCCCTCCCCTCGTACCCCGACCCAGCCAATATCAACCGGGGATCTATTATTTTCGCGATCATGCCCCCAATGGAACGCAAACACCAGGAACGCGAATGCTCTCGCCTACTTCTCGGCTCTCCTGGCACGTCAATTCAGCACAGCACGGGTAGATGTCGCTGCTAGCGAAGCAGGCCTCGCCTTCTGCAGAGCATTGGGTTTGTTGTGGAGATAATGCCATGGCCAGACAGGTGAGGAGAGGGATGGCTAGGATATGCATATGCATAGTGGGTTGGGTCTGTAGATGGGTATGTTAGTGGTATGGTGTGGGAGGTTGGGTTGGATCTTACCCGGTGAGGTTCAACTTGAGGATGGAGTTGATGTGAGAGCTAGTATTAGATTTCTCCTTGAGAGTCAAGGGGAAGCAGATCTGATATAAGTCGGCATTGTCTAACATGCTTGCTGACATGTGGAATGTGGACGGTCGTTGAGGGTCTCGTTCATTCTTGTTTGTTTCATCTTTGGGATGCGACTTTAGGAAGTGGGGTCAAACACAACAGAGGAAGAGCAGGACAGAAATGCTGAGTTCTAGCGCATAAGAAGATGAAGGGTTGGTTCTGGATTGGGATTTTTTAAGGGGAAAAATCGAGTTGGGCTCAACGGGATCAAATCAACATAATTGATTATATTATCAGATTGGTTAGCCGACCCACGCAATTGCAAACAAAGACATCTGACCGGATCTACGACAGTATCTTCTACAATTGATGTGCCATCTAGAATAAGATTACCATGTGCTAAATTATGCAGGTGCAACATATAGAACGCCATCAACACCTATAGTGCGATCCTAGACTGATATACTATACCTAGAATCGGCTCTAAGATCTATAGTTCCAGAACCAAGTCCCAGCAGATTTGTTCTCCACCATTTCCAATGCATCTAGGAATTACCGAGACCGTTGACCCGCTGCAGGGCCTTCATTCTCACAGATCGCGATTCCCAACAAAAGATCGCCGTGCATAAATAGCCGTGATGGCTAACGTCCTAAATCTACTTGCACCCATCCAGACACAATCATCTTCATTTCAATCCGACAAAATGCTCCCATCCCTCCCAGACAACTGGATCTCACTCCCCATCCTGCTGATCCTCGCATACAAGAACCTCCCGTTTGTCTGGCTTGTACGTATACATACCTCTCCTCCAAATCCAAGACCAACTAACGAATCAAATCAAATAGATCCGCTTCCTGCGCACCCTCCTAACCCGCCTCTTCATCCTCCCCACCCACCAAAACCTCCAACCCAATCACCTCTTCCTCCCGGCAATCCACCGCACGCGCTCCCCCCTCTCCGAATGCGACTACAACATCCACAAGTCCAACTCGACCTACTTCACCGACCTGGACATCTCGCGCGGGAACCTTTCCCTGCTGCTCTTCAGCCAGGGGCTATCGTTCCGGCTTTGCGAGACTAAAGCCGTCATGATCCTGAGCGGCGTGCAGTGTCTTTTTCGGCGCGAGATCAGGCCCTACCAGGGGTATGAGGTGTGGTCGAGGGTGATGAGCTGGGATGAGAAGTGGGTGTTTGTGGTGTCGCATTTTGTGGAGAGGGGGGTGTTTAAGGAGGGGGGGAGGGTGTTGCAGGGGGATGATATATCTGTATCTATATCTACTTCTGGGTCTGGATCTGGAGGGAAAAGCGAGGGGATAGGAAAAGACGATGCGCAGAAGAAGGTCTTCGCGTCGGCGGTCTCGAGGTATGTGTTTAAGCAGGGAAGGAGGACGTTCCCGCCGCGGGAGATGTTGGTGAAGTGTGGGCTTTTACCTAAGGGAGATGGGGAGAGTGAGGAGGATAGGAAATTGATGGAGGATATTGAGCAGCGCAGGAGGAGGGATTTGGAGGCGGCGCAGTTGAAGATGGGATGGGAGGCGGTGCATAATTCATTCGACGGGGACGTGAGTCGCGTGTTGGGACGGTATACGGATCTCTTGTGGCGGTGAATCTCGATCATTGGGTCTATGCTGTAGAAACAAAACCATTAGATAGATGTTCTAGAGGTAAAGAAGAATGTTGAATCCACCGAATAAAATTTAGTGGCTCCACTTGGGTCGCCCCAACTGAATCTCTGCCGAGGCCGATAATGTAATCCAGATCAAATCATCTTTCCACTCACCCTCACAGATTCCTTTGGCTTATTCTGAATATAGCGCTATTATTCGAACTATTCTATCCGAGATATCAAGCCAATAATTTAGTAGTCGCGACATGGCGCACCAGTCACCCCCTCATACCGCAAATCTTCACGATCTTCTCTCCGCCCGCCACTTTGCCAGTCCAGCCGATCAGGACCCCGATATCCAGGTCCCCACTGTCACTGTGACTCCTGCCGACATGGTTTCGCCATTGCTGACCGAAACAAACTATGTCCTTGAGCCCCATCAGCCCCAGGAGGACATCAACGAGCGAGCCCGAAAAGCCGGACGACCGCGTCTGGGCGCCGGGGCTGTTCTATCGGAGGTATGCACTCTATCATCTTCCTCTCTTTCTTTTCGAGTCAAGCATTTGCCGTATGCATCCATGGGCCTCGACAGTGCACTCATCTCCTAGAATAGATTCTCTTATATTGCGGCTATGTGGACCTGCTAACCATCTCAGGATCGACGCAAACAAGTCCGTCGCGCGCAACGAACTTACCGTCTGAAGAAGGAGGCCACGCTGCAGCAGACCAAGCAGCGAGTCGTCGATCTAGAAAATAAGTTTGAGCGCGTCTCGTCGGCCTTTGCGGACCTGATGCAGGGGCTGGATCCTAGCGTCAAGAGCAGGAGTCCTGCGCTGGTGCGAAGGCTTGATGCGATCTACGCGTTGTTAGCTGATGGAGAGGACGAGGCTGTTTCGAGAAGAGTCCCACAGAATAGGAATGCCATGGATGAGACTGGTTTCGAGACTCAGAGCTATGCCCAGAGGCAGAGTGCAGATCCAGCCTCGACATCAGCATCAACATCAACATCAACATCCTCTCCCAACCCAAACCCTCACCACCACCATCCCCCTCTTCCTCTCTCCATCACAACCACCACCATGTATACCTCCTCACACCACGAAAAAACCCTCCCCCGCCACCTCCACCGCCTCAGCCTCGAACACGCCTTCCACCTCTTCAACGACCCGCGCACTCACCCGCTGAGAATCTACCAAGTCTTCCGCCTCGTCCCCTGCATCCAGGACAGATCGAAAATGGACCCTTATTTCCGGCGTCTGGTCTCCGCCGGCGCCGACGAGGCGCTTGAGATCCCCTCTTTACCATTCTATGGCATCGGGGGCGCGGGGGCGCATTATCCTGCGCGTGATGGGGAAGGGAGGCCCGTGTATCCGGTGAATTCGAGGATGCCGAGACGGGTTCTGGGGGGTTTATTTGTTGATCGCTCGGCTTCGGAGATGGGTGGCCGTGGTGGGGAACGGAAAAGGGAACGGTATGCGGGCCAGAAAGAGGAGGAGAGACGGCTGCAGGCGTACGGGCTTGGAGGCGTGTGGTTTGATTGTCGCGATGTGGAGGGGTATTTGAAGGAGATGGGAGTGAGGATGGACGGGGGGTTGTTTCCGGGGGTGATGCAGGAAGAGAGTCCGAGGGATAGAGGAGAGGGTGGGAATGACAGTGATGCGGAGGAGCAGTTGCAGACGTCGCTTTTGGACTCGGTCATGGAGGGGAGGGCGAGCGATGTGGACGGTAGGTGTCATTCTTCTCGTGTGGATATAGTTTGGCTAACTGACTGAAGATGTAGAACCTTCACAGTCAAGCAAAAGCAGAGCGTGTCGACGCATTCTGGATATGGACTCGTTCCTGTCAAGTGAGTGTCCATCCACATACCCTCTTGAATAGATGTTAACCAGATTAGAACTCCTTCAAGGACTCGTTATTCTCGGTCGTGCGCCGGGTTTCCGTCGCAGCGACGTTGTTTCGGCGTTTCATTCGGCATTAGTACCTCAGACTATTTGATATAGAACCGCAGCATCGTGTACCTGCAGCATATTTCCAACTTATCGGCAAAATAAACACCAGTAATTCAAAATACAACTATGATAGAAATACAACCTCTTAGAGCAATCATACGCTAGATCAGAATCTCCTGAAAATGGGAGATGATGGAAGATGCACCTAAAGCTCGAGGAATAGATGTCCAACAGAAGCAGCAAATAACTACTGATTAAAATACTCTATGGCTTTAATGTATTGGGTATGGCAAAGTTGCAGTTCTTCAGTTCATCCTTCAGCGAACCGAAATCCTCCACCCCGTCCTGTACTCTCTCTCAATTGATCATCTAGACTCTCCATCTCGTCTTCCAAAGACGCTGCATCAGGACATATGTGACTCCTCTCGAAATCAACCAACCTTGCCGTATTGCCCTGAACAATGAAATTATACCTATTGACATCTCCATGACAAATCCCAATATCATGAAGACGCCCGAGAGCCGATTGACAAACCATCAAATCCTCAATCCCCGCTTCGCGACCTCCCAACTTCTCCAGCAAGATCCCAATCACCCGACCGTGCTCATGGACATGGGCCAGGAACCGTGGCGCAAGACCAGTTCCTTCTAGACTCTTATAGATGCGAGTCTCCTGCGCCATGCGAGGGATTTCACAATAAAAGCGCGCGATTTTGGCAATGACTGTGTCTGTGCCTATGCCTGTGCCGGTGACAAGGTCCTGGTCCGAGCAGGTCGCTTCGAATGTATTCGCAGTGAGTTGTTTCACGCGGCTCAGACTCAGGTAGTCAATTGATTTAGGGTGCCAGGTATCCTCGACTGCGGGCAGCTTCTTCCTCTCTAACTTTGTTGCGAGAGCGCCGGTTGATGGATCGCGGCTGATGCGTGCCATGTTCCAGGTGTCGTCGCTGGGTAGATCGGGCAGTGAGCGTCGTCTGGAAAGGGTTACCTCTGCTATGAATATCTTTTCGATTCTATTAAAGCGGCGAAAGAGATGATAGCTATAAGAACAGATCTTAGTTCCGGTATTTGCTGCAACCGCTTATTACGCAAATTCCTGTTTAAAACTCGAACCCTGATAACTTAAGGGACAAGGCTACCGAGGAAGGAAAAAGGATGTGACAGCCAGGCAACATGAAAATCCGTTATCATAACTCTAGATTATATTCACGATTCAATCGTATATACACGTTCCATCGAATTCATACACGTGATTTTATGGGTATAGGGTATAACCTCCAAGCCAACGCAGCCGCGGGACAGCAACGAGCAAATACCAGGAAAAGTAATCAGGACTCTCCAAACCAGACGAACAGACGAGTCAGTGAAAATAAAGTGCGCTCCACTATTTGGTCTTCGCGATGTTGTGGGTCTGCACTGGAGCCACCTCCGGCTCCACGCCTTCCGTCGGCGGCCCGACGTAGTTCTTGTGGCCCCAGACCCAGTACCACACGGCTGCGATGGCCACGTAGCCGACGAACACCACGGAGGCGTAGTTCATCGTGTCGACGGTGACGTCTTTGAAGGTGGGCATCGAGAAGAGGGGGATGGCGAGGAGGGTCCATGCTGTGACTTGTTAGATTAGTGGGAAGAGAGGGGCGAGAGGACTGACAGATGGCAACGACGTTGCAGAACGCGCCGAGAGCACCCATGTTGAACTTGCCCTGCTGGATATCGGCTCTCCGGCGCAGGATCAGGCTGACAGCGACCGGACAGGCATAGCTGAGCGTGAGCAGGATGACGCCGACGCCGGAGAACGCGCTGAAAGCGGCGCTGGAGCCGAAGTAGATCAAGCCCAGGAGGATCTCGACCACCATGCCCAGCATCATGGCGTTCAGGGGGATATCGAGACGCTGGTTGACGGTCTTCCACCATTTGGAGCCGGGGATGGCGCCGTCGCGAGAGAATGCCCACGTGCAGCGCGACGTCGCCGTCACGCAGCCCACGCCGCAGATGATGCCCAGCACGAGCAGCGGGATAAGCAGACAGAAGGCGCCGACGGAGCTGCCCGTCGCGGCCTTGAGGGTCGGAGGCACCGGCTGTCCCGAGGCCAGGTTCACCAGATAGCTGAGATCGGGCAGCACGAAGCACAGCGGGATCAGCAGCACCAGGCCGGCGAAGAGGTTGATGACGATAGTGCCCACCATGGCTTTGGGGACTTGGACGGCGGGTTCGCGCACCTCCTCACACATCCTAGGTTAGTTTAGTAGAGGTTCTAGAGCAGATTGTCGCGCAGGGAGAGAGAAAGAAAGAAAGAAAGATTTACGAGATGATCATGCCGGTGGCAGAAGTTGCGTAGGCAGCGTGCAAGAGACCGATACAGAACGACCATCCGGCCGGCCATCCTGCTTGCGGTTCGAAGTGAGTAAAGACCCAGTGGGCGGAATGGCGGCCTTCGCGGGCCAGGACCAGGATGCACACGACGATGACGATCAAGCCCGCCAGGGTCCAGAAGATGGCAAATTGCTATAGACGCGATGGGAGTGATTAGTGCAGGCGCAGTGGGAGAGAATATAACATAGGAAGGGAGAGTCGCTTGGGTCTGTTCTTTCTTTTCGCATGGGACAGGACAGGACAGGACAGGACAGGACAGAATCATGGGTATACCTCTAACAAGGGCAGCCATCTATTGCCAAAAGCCGGGATCGCATGGCAGAGTAGGGTTATCGCAAGGAAGATGAGGTAGGTGTGCCAGGCCTCGAAGTCGTCGGTGATGCCGACGCCGGGGGACTTTTCGAAGACGTTCAAGCTGGCCACGAAGAACAGGGTGGTGCCGAAGTTGACAGCCAGCGTGATCATGACATTGCCAGCCACGTAGGCCCACCCGCAGATCCACGAGGTGATGCGGCGGCACCAGATGGGCGACAGCACGAAGGTCTGATAGTACACACCGCCGGCAGTAGGGTAGACGGAGGTGATCTCGGCCAGGGAGACAGCGACGCATAGGATGATCAGCGAGACGGCGACCCAGCCCCAGATGATGTTGGCAGGACCGCCGCCAGCCAGGGGATAAGTCAGGGTGGTGGAGAGACCGTAGGGCACGGAGGACAGGATGAAGCACATAAACACCACGTGCCAGGTCGAGCGGTTGCGAGACAGTTCGGGCACGTATCCGAGGCCCTCGAGGGTTTCATCTGCAGTGGCCCTGTCGAATTTCCGGCCTTCCTCGGAGGCGCCAATCAGGACGGTATTCCCGAGGGGATCGTCCTGGCGTGAGGAGGACATGCTGGGTGCAGGGGGTTCAGCAGCAGATGTCGCAATCGGCGCTTGGGTTGGTTTCGCTTGGGGGGTTGCTTTTACGACTACTGCGAGTCAGCGGGGGTGAGTCTAGATCGTCGAATACTCCGGAGTCGGACGGATCCTGGCGCGTGGGAGGGGAAATTAGGAAAAAGGCTGGAAAAATCGAAAAAAGGGCAACGTGGGAGAGAACGAAAAAGGAAAGGAAAAAGAAAAACGAGGGAAAGGGAAAAGGACGAGGAAGCCAACGTGTCCGTCGAGTTTGCCAGGACTAGAGAGAAGACGGTTAGAAGGAGATACTTTGGAGGCATGTCATTTGCTATCAGCCTGTCAGACCCCCGCCCTTGCATGTGATTGGCTGTGGGTTGCGTCCCGTGTGTCTTGGCTGCCCGATCGGGACTAGCGCCTACCGCTTGCATCGACGCCGCGTTGCTTTTGATTGGCTTTGGATTGTTGTTGCTTGCATTTGCACTTGCTTTGCATTTACTTATTTCATTCAGCCAGTCTCCTTCATGTCTTCCTCTTCTCAACGGTCCAGCAATGGCGGACCTGGCGCTGTCCTGTCCACCTTCCCACACCGTCTATGTCGACTCCGACGGGGAATTGTACGGCCATCCTCTCGCCGGCACCGTCCAGACCTCCCACACCCTGCACTCGCTGCAGGTGGCTCTCGTCCGGACCATTCGACTCGACGTGATTGCATCGAACACATCCAAGAGGTCCAGTCGACTCAAAACGCGCCTGACCTTACGAAAACCAAAGCATGTATCTCACACCCCTACATCTACTTCCGTGCAAGAAATCGTCCGCTGCAATCTATCCACCACGCCAGCATCGACCATCCACCACGACGGCCATCTCACTCATGAATTCACCTTCGCTTTGCCATCTCCCCTCCACTGCCCGGAGACTATTCCATCGGGTCCCCTGGAAGTCTCCTACGAACTGATCGCTACGGCTACCCGCAATGGCTACACGCTCACCGACTCTCGACCCCTGCAATTGATCTGTCGCCGATTCCCCGACCCCTGGGACATTGTCACGCACGCACGCAGATTCCCAGGATCCAGCGTAAAAGCAGAGTTCACTCTTGCTCCTCAAGTCTCCTCGGGTCAATGCACTCGCTACTCTGCAGACATTCAACTATGCAACGTCGCTTCGCCGGCATCTCGGCCGTCGGAATTGACAACTCTCGTCGTATACCGCCTAGCATGGCGTCTGGACGAGCTCATCACATGGGACACTAAAAGTTCGGAATCAACAACGACGCACACTCGGACTCTGGCGCATGGAACCAAAAAAGGCCGCTGGACGGCTCTCCAGAAACCAAAACCACTGTCATCCGAACAGTCAATTCACGACATGAGAATCGCCATTCCACTAGAAATCAGTGTCGGAAAAGACGTCCACCCGATCAATGACACCGACATCGATGCCCCATCCGGCTCCCCGCCACTGACGGTCCGACACCAGGTAACGATCGAGCTGGTGACGGGTAGAGAGACCGTTAGTCGCGACACCGGGTCTCTAGTGGCGCGACGACGCTCGGCCAGAGGTTTTGGAGCGACGATTCCGGTGCCGCTGCATTCATATACGGATCTGACAGACTTGGTGAAGGTGATGGAGGCGGATTTCGGGCTGTTGCCGGAGTACGAGAAGGTAGCGACGGCACCGCCAGCGTATAGGAGGGTTGGACTGTAGGGCTGGTGTATATAATAGTAATTAATAATGTTGTAGATGGTTTACGAATTTCACGGTGGTTAAGAATGAATACTCCATAGAAATGATCTCCGACATACTCCTCCTACCTCAACCTTGGCACAAAAGCTTGAATGTCCGATCATCGCACACAAACTTCCTCAAGAACTCTCCCAGGCCCGGTATTAAGTGCAACTAGTAGTAACCTGCCGATTTCCGTCCCTGCGCTCCACCCTGATTTCCAGATCCACCTCGCTAACCAAAAAGGAAGCCAAGACACTAGCGTCGAGCATGGCATCATGGCCAGTCAGGAACTGATCTTCGACTCATCCTTCTCACTAGCACCGCGATGCATGCCATTTCCGCACCACGATGGCCGACAAAAACTGCCATTCGTGCCGTCGGCGGCGGCTCAGGTGTGATCGGGCCCTGCCCGCCTGTCGCAAATGTGCCCTAACCGGCGTCGAGTGTCTTGGCTACGAGCGCCTGATTCTCTGGAACAAGGGTGTCGCCAGTCGGGGGAAGATGATGGGGAAGACGTTTGATGTGTCTGTGTCACAGACCAGAGAAACGGGATCGCCGTCCGAGGCTATAGACATGGACATGGGGATGAGGATCTGTACACCCCTGATCGACCCGCTCCTGCAAGACCTCGGGTCCCGATATGCGCGATACATCTACCATTTCGACCAGACGTTCTGCAAGGAGATTGTCATCTACGATATCCGGGACCAGAACCCCGTCCGCCAGCTCCTGGCCTATCTGTCGGAGTATCCGATGCTGCGCGAAGTCTTTGTCGCTACCTCAGCCTGCCACTTGTACCATCTCTCGCCGGTGCATGCGCGCTCGAACACCGTCTACCGCGACGCCTTAGTCGCTAAACACAAGGCACTGCGTCTGCTCAATGACGCCATTGTAAACCTCTCCACCGCTGATATCGACCTCATCATCGCGGCTATCCTGGTCCTCATGTACCTCGAGTTCCTGGACTCCGGGACTGACGTCTGGCGCATTCACCTCGAGGGCGCCAAGCGGCTGATCAACTGTCTACGAAGACAGGAGGGGACGGTTTCAGACACAGAGACGGTTGCAATATCTTCGCCTGCGGGCCTTCTGCGCAGATGGCTTGTCTCAGAGCTCTTAGTGTATGTCCCCTTACCCCATCTAAATCACATCAGCTAAATACTAGACACAGATTCGACATCATCGGCAGCACCATCTCCAAATCCATCCCCCTCACCCCATCCATCTACGGCATCGAAGACGGCTTCGACGTCTCCGCCATCCTGGCCACCGCCGAGACGAATAATTTCGCCTCCTGCCCGGCCCAGCTGCTGCAGTGTCTGTTGACGCTCGTGCAGCTGTCCGAGGTCTCGTACCCGGTCGACCATTCGGATATAGCGCCAGACTCGGACTCGGACTCACGCATGAACACCCCCACTCACGGGAAACACCCCGACCCAACCGCGGAAACCGTCAAGGAAATCCTACGCACCGTCCGCTCCTTCGTCCCCTTCGACTGGGCCCTCTCCGTCCAGAGCCTCTCGCCCTGCCAGGACCTGCACCAGCGCACTTGGATCGCGAGCGCCTACCAGGCGGCCATCTGTCTGTACGCGATGCGGGTACTTCCTTCCCAGAAACCAGAGAGCTGCGTCAACAACCAGATTCTCATCCCAGTTTCTATCCCGGAAGGCGACCCCGAAGAAAGCGAGCGAGAACATCTCGTCTCAACCATCGCCACCCAACTATCCAAACTCGACCCCGACAGCGGCCTCTTTAAGTCCAGCATCTGGCCGAGTTTCATCGCCGGCGCAGAGGCCAAGAGCCCCGAGCTGCGGCGCTGGGCGTGGTTGCATCTTGCTGCCGTGTCGAGGGTGCTGCCGTATAAGACGTCGACGTTTGCGATGGACGTGCTGGTGCTGATTTGGGGGGAGGAGGGGGCGCATCGAAGAGGGTGGATTGAGATGGCGAGGAGTTTGGGGGCGGATTTTTTTGTTGCATAGCGTTTTGCATTCGGGTGTGGTTTATGATTTATGCTTGGTTTTGAAGGACGATATGTGGTTTTAATGTCGTGGGCTAAATGATGATGATGATGATGATAGATAGATAGATACCTTGATATTAAACGAACAATCTACCCTCTCACTTCAACAACAACACAACATAACCCCCATAGCACTCAACCCCCACCCTAAGGACCAGAAGAAGAAGAAGCCCTCCCCAACCACCCCCCAACCTCCCTCCTCACCCCATTCACCGCAGTCCAAATCTCCCTCCTCCCATCATAAACCGGATAGATGACGACCGCCACAAACGCCAGAAACTGCCACGCGATCGCCACCGTCGTCCAGCCTGCAAAGAACGGCTTCGTGAACACGTACCCCCGGTACAGCGGCATCGGCCACACCACGAACGTCAGCAGCACGAGCACCACCCAGCTGACCCACGCGATGCGGTACCACTTGCGGAGCTGGGCCAGCGTGGAGGCGTCGAAGGGGTGGTGGAGGTTTTCTAGCGAGGGTTCTGGTGGGTTCTGTGGGGAGGAGGAGACGACGGGGTGTTTTTCGGTGCTGTCTGTCGGGGCCGAGGACTCGGGCTCGGATTCCGACTCGGGTGTTTCGACGAGTTCGATGCGGAGGAATTGCCGCCAGTCGAATTTATATGGCTTGTAGAATGATATGAGGACGGAGTAGAGGGCTGGCGAGAAGCACGCGGCGATGGACCCGTACAGACACGGCGCTTCTTCCATTGTCGTGGTGAGGTTGACGGCGCCGTACAGCGACTTAGCCGTCCCCAACCAGATGGCCATTCCTGTCCCAAAGCCCAGGATAGGGGCCCAGATGGCGGCGAGACGGGTCTGGCCGGACCAGCAGAGGGTGAAGATCAGCGGGACGATGCCGGAAGAGGTGAGGATGGGCCGGAAATAGCCGATCCAGGTCATGTTGGCGCCGCCGTAGTTGAGGACGATGGAGAAGGCGGTGATGAAGATGGCGTGGAAGACGACGGAGAGATGGCTGACGCGGATGAGTCGCTTGTCGGAGGCTTGCGGGTTGATGTAGGTTTTGTACAGGTCGAAGGATAGGATGCTGCTGACGGCGATCATGGACGACGACACCGTGCTGGTGAGCGCCATGAACAGCATCACCACGAATGCGATCACGCCTTTCTCGCCGATGCAGGCCTGGATGGCGTACGGCATCACGAACCCGGTTAGGACCTCGGACTCGGTGAATTCGCCGGGATACGTGGGAAAGAGAGGCGTGTCGTGCAGCACTCGTGCGGCGAGTCCGATCACGGTGCCCAGGCCCCAGGGCACGCCGAAGATGGCGACGGCGGCGAGGTTGTAGCCAGGCACGGTGGCTTTGACTTCGGTTGCGAAGGACTTTTGCCAGAATGCGGTGTCCTGACGGGTCAGTAAAGATTGATAAGGGAGAGCAGGCAAAGCGTACCATCACGACTAGAGCCAGGTTGCCAAACTTCAGAATCAATCCCCACATGATAGCGTCGTGCGACTTCATAGTGAGAAGAGAGCCCTGGAAATTGCCCGGGATGAAGTTGTCATCAGATAGAGCCGACACCTTGTCGTAAAGCCCATAGAGCCCGCCAATTGCGTCGTGCGTGAGAATGGCGAGGGTGAAGTAAATAATGAGAATCAGGGCGATGGCCGTGTGCAGGTAATCCGTCAAGAAGGTGGCCTTGAGCCCGCCGACAGCCGTATACATCACCACTGACATCGTCAGTATGAGCTTCCAGACAAAGATAGACCTGCAAACCTACCTCCCAGCGGAATGAGAATGGTCGCCGCGACGAAATGAATCCCCGCGATGCCATGAATCAACTGCGAGCCCGTCAAGATCATCGACGCGCAGCCAAAGATATTGCAGAACAGATTCAGCACGAGGAAGACGACATGCGCGATCTTGCCATATCGCTGGCGAATGATCTCCAGCGACGTATGCGCATACGGCACTCGCAGCTTGGCCAGCACGCCCAGGATGGCCATCAGGGCGATCTGGAAGCAGAGACCAGAGCCATACCACTGCAGTCATCAGCATTCATCCTACCATCCTGCATACGCAGACATACCATCGGCGCCGCCAGCCCGAAGCGATAACAATTGACGGCCGAAAACACCGTCTCGTTGATCCACATCCACGACGAAAACACCGCCGACGCAGTCAACCCCGTGCCGACCGTTCGATTCGCCACCATGAACATCTCCGACTTGCCCGAGTCTTCGTCCAGATACGCCTTTTGGATCTTCACCGCGATGAGAATCACGCCGCAGAAGAGGATCCCGAGGCCGATGAGGAGTCCATACCCCGTGCCTTGCGACACGAGGGTGACTCCTGCGGTGGTAATCTGACCCATGGCGATAGCACTAGCGATATTTTGAGGGAAGTACCTATCCGCAGAGAAAACTATGGACAGGCGATGATCCGGCTGTTAAATATGCGACTCCCATTGTCGATCGGACATCTTGACGAGAAGCAATTGCGACCTGGAGGCGATGAATGGCGTTATGCATTAGTCTCGACCATCGTGATAACCCGCACGGCAGTATCCCGAAGTATGACAATCGGCAGGAATTAGAGTAGGAGAGTCGTCAAGGAGGGGGAGAAAAGTGGAGGATGGCTTGTGTTGGTGCGCACTAGATAATTGCGTGCTGGAGGCGCCGGATTGCAAAGATGCACGACTCAACTTTCCTGTCGGAACATTTGAGTGAGCAGGCCAATAGATAGGGAACCCTTGCAATAAACCTTTTCTTATCTCGATCTTTGGCGGCAACTCCCACTGAGATTGGAACGGTAAAGTGTCAGGGCTGAAGATGACATGCCGACTCCTAGTATGCTCATACCTGGACCCTTTACTTCACCTGAAACGAGGACTAGAATGGAAGTTGGAGTCGTTGGAGACAGTGGATTTGGATAATCTCGACCAAGCAGGCCACGCTTTTCACAAGCCTAGACTTATGCAGCCAAGCTGATAGCCAATTTGCCTTGCCAGGGTCCCCTCTATCTAGAGGCAGCTCTGTTCTGTCGCTTTTCCCTTGGATTGCTCGCGTCTAAACTCCAGCAATGTTAGTTTTTGCGAGCCACGTTGGTACTCTCAACGGTCTTCGTCGTCGCAAGGAATAGGTTGCAGTCCCAGACACGCTTGATTCACCAATGTTTCGATGTGCGAGGGAATCATGCCACGAGTTAATATAACCCATCAGTGTCAGTGAGATTGACATCGATGATATCGCAGATGCCACGATGGCATTGAATCGGACACTTGCTTGGTGGCAGTGGAGTTGAGTGTCATGTATGTGGCTGGCTCATTCTCAGGCGAGATACGGTGGTAATTTCTCTGTTGCACATGCATTTGCCCTGAACATTTGTCTCAACAGTAACAAGGCAGTTACTGGCCTGGAAGCTATGAGTCAGTATTTAACACGGGCTAGATAGCTTCTATGAAAGCTGTCAGTCGAGTTAAGTACAGTGCGTCCCGCACAGAATTATAGTGCTGAGTTCTGGACCGAATCACTTAGGTTTTGAGGTGGGACAAGGTTATTTATCCTTTCAGCCAAACCTAAAAATTATCCTCAAGGGTTTCCATTGTAGCACAAGATGGCATGTCATGAGTTTACTATCTTTGATCGAGGGACTTCGGCCCGGAAGGCGCCCTCTCGGCCTGTCGGGGCTCGGGGCTCGGGGCCCGACCAAGGGCCGAAAGCCGACTCTGTGGATCCGTCGTAGTACAGAGAATGGAGTCATGGACACGAAATTTATAGTCTTGTATCTGCTCGGCAAAAGGGTTAGCCATCAACTCCACTCGTCGCTATCCAGAGAGCCCTGTTGTTACCCGGCGTAGTCGGGTCTCGGGTCTGGCCCGAACTTAAGACACGCATGTAGAACCACGCCGTAGAACTACACAAGTGAAGATGTAGAATTCAGTTCCTTCTTGCCGCGACTGAGATGCTCCGTCATCCTAGCAATAGAAGGCTTTGAGTGAGGTCCCCTACATCGCTCGGCTGCAATATAGCAGTAAAACACCACCCGGATTGACGCCTCTTTGCTAGTAATGTTTTGGGTCTAGAGAGGGCGTTCGGGATGGGTTGGTTGAGCTGCCGAATCCCGATGACGAGTTTAACTGGACTGATCCCGGGAATGTTGGGCGCGTGGCTGGGTCCATTTTGGCGTATGATGCTGGTCAAGAGCAGACTGTGGGATTGGTTGGGGCTCAAAGGATCAGGATTGCGGATGCGGTGCGGCCACAGACTGGGCTCCAGACATGGGTGGAGAAGAACAGGGAGAGATTTGAGGCTTGAACTGAACAGCATCTAGATAGAGAAAATTAGGGCTGAAAGCTCGCCATGAGTCCCAGATTCTTTTTAGAGTATTTACTTCATGTTATTCATGCCTGGGTTATACCATAGCAGCTGTACGCACTTCCCATCAATATCTCCCAAGCCACGCTAACCAAGCCAAGGATCAGGATTTAAGCATAATGCCGTGAGGCTGGCCCTGTGCCGCGCAGAACCCCTAGCTGGAGTGGACATTACATTGAGTATAGACTGGTGACTGTTTTCTACTTGGTCGGAAAGGACTTGTATTCATTTGCCACTGAGCCATTCACTCGCTCCGGGTATGGCATCAGACCATGGCTCATGGCTGAGCTAATGGGTGGATGGCCCAATATTGCAGCGACGCCGGCCAGGAGACTGCTGGTGGATTGAAGTCTACACTGCGTTATTTCTTTCTTCACGTTCACCGAACACCCAACTTGGCATAAATGGCCTGATTGTTCCTACCTTGCGGGACCCAGAAAGAAAAGAAATAACCAAAAAGGCATTCCCTCAGTAACAAGGAGGGGAGTCTGTGGCTCCAACTGCCCTTTCAACCCAGACCTACCTAGCGACGTCATACTTTAATTTCGCCAAAATCGCCCATCCCATACGCTATACAGCCGACGGCGGGGCCCGGCACCTGCAGCAGGCAACTTGAACCGCGCGAGGGTTCAAACTGCCCGATTGGAACGACGGAGCGGTGATCTTTTGCAGAAAGCGGGCAGTTCGGCCTCCCCACACGCGACTAGGGTCTCCGCATTTCCCCGCAAAGGTTGCTTGGCAGTCCAACCAGGGCATCACCACGAGAACGAGCTTTTCTTCACGCTGCAGAACAGGCGGGTTAGTTCCGATTTCTGGGGTACATGGGTGAGGTGTTATTCGCCTGTTTGACTCGCGCTGAACGGATGTCATGATGTATGGCGTGGGGGTTCCAAGTTGGAGTCGGGTGCCCGGCTTAAGCACTTCTCCGGAGGAAGTATAAATGGGCGACGGGTCTCTCTGGAGTCCTGGATTGTGTTTTCAGTCAGTCTTCCCGATCGATAGTCGCCACCATGACGCCTTTCGCCTCCCTCGTGGTTTTAGTCTGTCTGGGGCTGCAGCTTGTCGCTGCGCGAGGCCTTCTCTCCTATCCCACCAAGCCGCGAGTCTTCGTACTGTCCGATATTGCCAATGAGCCTGACGATGCAGAATCTCTGGTCCGGTACCTTGTTCACAGCAACCAGTTCAACACCGAAGGTCTGGTCGCCACCACGTCGGTATGGCTGAGGAACGAGATCCATCCCGAGGACATGACCAAGATCATCGATGCCTATGGCAAGGTCGTGGACAACTTGAACCGCCATGCTCCCAAGGACTCGCCCTTTCCTTCGGCAGAGTACTTCCACGGGATTTTGAGGAACGGAACAACGGTATGTTGAATATTGTTGCTGTTCAGTTGGGTGAGAGCTAACGTGGTTAGGAATATGGCATGGCCGGAGTAGGCGACGATATTCCCCTCAGTGACGGTGCGAAACTGCTCCTCGAGCGTCTGGAGCATGACTCCAAGCAGCCGCTTTGGGTTCTCGCCTGGGGCGGCACCAACAACCTCGCACAGGTGCTGTATAAGATCCGTAAGGACTATTCGCCCGAGAAGGCGGCCGAGTTGCGTTCGCGACTCCGCGTGTATGCCGTCTCCGACCAAGACGACACGGGCGCTTGGATCCGCCGCGAGTTCCCCGAGATCTTCTACATCGCGTCTGTGCACGGCTGGAACCTCTATCCCGTGTCCACCTGGGTGGGCATCTCCGGCGACGTACTGCACGGATTCGACAAAGGCGGTCCCGACGATTCGAAACTCACCCACGAATGGATCCGTCGCAACATCCAGATCGGGCCGCTGGGTAAGCAGTACCCGGATTATGAGTACCTCATGGAAGGTGACACGCCGACCTTCTTGTATCTGATCCAGAACGGGCTCGGCGACTCCGAGCACCCCGAGTACGGGTCCTGGGGCGGCCGATATTCCCTGGTGAACCCCAGCACCCACGGGCTGAAGTACAACCACTACGCCGATGTCCCGGACACCGTGGTTGGCAAGAACAACGAGACCTTCAAATCCAACCACGCGACCATCTGGCGTTGGCGCAATGCCTACCAGAATGACTTCGCCGCCCGCATGCAGTGGACTCTTGCGGAGAATGTCAGCCAGGCGAACCACCACCCTGTTGTGTCGGTCAACGGCTCCAGCGGATTAGCCCCCATCGCGCTGAATGTGACCGCTGGCTCGACGGTGACTTTCGACGCCAGCGACAGCTACGATCCCGACGGAGATCACTTGAAGTTCCGCTGGTTCCAGTATGGGGAGCCCACTCAGGGCGAGTCGGTCCGTGTGGAGGACGTGGTGACTATGGACATCAAGCCATTCGGCAAGGGGGAACAGAGGGCGAAGGTCCAGATCCCGCCGGCCAAGTTGTCTTGTGTGACGATGTCGTCTGGATGCCAGGTCCTACACTTGATTGTGGAGGTGACGGACTCCGGGAGTCCGGCGTTGACGACCTACCGGCGTGTGGTGATGCAGGTGCTCGAAAATGACTCATAGAGAATGGCTCGGGCTGTGGTCTGTAAATATCGAATTGTAGACGATTGACATGAATGAGAAACGTGTTCGAATGCGAGATTTGGTTGTTGATCATCGCGCCCTTCCGACTGTTGAGCTTGAGAGAAGACCTGCTGAACCAGTTGGTTGGCTCCTAATAAAGAGTAACACAAAAGACCGTGTGCACCAAGCGACAGACTCGAAGTCAGGACATGAGTCAAGATTTCTGCTGTGCTACCCCACAAATAAACTTCCAGGACTCTGGATCGAGCCCTCAAAGATCTACGTTGCACCCTACCTACCGGAGCAGCCATCTCCCCAAGGCACAGCTGACTCCTTGCGGCGGTCATCGGGTCCGCACCAAAGAAAACCAAGGCCTCTTGCGTAAGGCACGACAGAACCTAGAGAGAAACCTGAATCAACAGGATTATGGTCGATCGGATGTCAACAGAAACAAACACAGCACGTGGCCGATCACGAGAGCCTACTGCGCCAGGATCACCGACTCGCCTTCCCGTTGCGTCTAGTCGATTTACCTCGTGCTACGAGGGACGGTGATCCTGTCGGTGCGGTCAAGGGTTTTCATCCCAACCCGATTGCTAATTGCTCAATTTCGGGCGCCCTAACGCCCACTAGCCCGTAGTCCGGAAAGCCAAATCAGCGCAAGAACCAACACAACGTGAACGATAAGCAGCAGAAAAACATGGCGGGGCGGGGCTGCAGCGCTGGCCTGAACGAGAGATATTCCGCCCTGTACATACATGTACTCTGTGCACGTCCAACTCTATTCGGCGTATCCCCGATGCCTAGCTGCATAATAGAGCTTGATAATTGCCAGTTAGACGATTGATGACGACATTCGAGTCATCCATGCAAGCTTTGGGCTGCCGTGAGAGCATCAGAGAGGCGTCTTTAGTGTCCGAGGCGATTGGATCTGGTGGGATCGCGTGATACACTGTCCGCAATACGAAATGCCATTGGTGCCCGGCCTTAGAACGCATGCTGCCTTGAGCTGGCAACAGGAATATCGCGTGGATTTATCTCCGAAGGGAGTGGTTATGTTCGCGTGGGATCTCGGTAGGAGGCATGTCCCGGTCGGCAGCTCCATAACAGAGGTGAAGCAAGGGATTAAGGTGTGCTGTCAGTGTCCGGATGAGATCGACGGACTGATTATCTGTCCCTTCCAACGGGGATGATCAGCTGCAGGGAATCCGATGACTGGGGGGCCAAGCCAAGCATGACGAATTCGCAGCAGGCGACGTGTAAGAAGTAAGAACCAAGAGCCAAAAGGCGTGTAAAAAGCCCCCGGTGCATCATGCGGCAGCTGATCATCCCTGAGCCCCCCGGTGACTTCAAAGGTACCTGCGCTGGCCGGCCTTCGTCCTGGGCCCACCGGGTACCCTGGAGGTACCTCACCCGTCCCGCCCTCCACCGCCTTCTCGAACCTCCACCTTTTTTTCTGTTCGCCGCTCGAGACTTCACGCGCCTTGGGTTTAGCTCTGTTCCACTCGTCGTTAGCTCTCGGCTTATCTGAGATATATTGCTGGCCTCTTTCTCTTCCTTTTCCTCTCTTTCCTTTGATCCATCATTATGCCCCCTGGTCAGATCCCGGTTAAGTTCGCCGTGGCCTCGGGATAGGAGGGTGATTGTCATGCTTTGCGATATAGATTCATCTTAGACAGCCGACCTATTTTCCTGGTTTCTCCTTTTGGATTGCTTCTGGATTGCTTCTGGATTGCTTCTTCGAAGAGCGATATAAACGATATACTGGAAACCTATCAATGTGAGTATACTCGCCCAGAGCCATCCTGCACGCTGCTGGGTTGCGTCAATCAGCACGATCGCTAACCGAGAATTCTCCGACAGCAAACGCGCCCCAATCACCAGTGTCCCTGCATAATCTAGCGACGCAACTATCATGACCACGGCGACGGCATCGGGCCCCGGTCCCGCTGAAAGTCCCGCCAACGAACGTCAGCCATCGTCGGGTGGCTGGAGGAGATGGTTCGGAGCTTCATCGAATAGAGACTCGGGCGCCGGCCTCGAAAACGAAAGTTATAGATCCAAGTCGACGCTGGGTATATTGAGCGATAAGGTGACCGATGAAGTACCTGGTATGGTCTCCTCTTCTGGCCCATACACATGCGGTGGACGTGGCTGCTAATCATGGACCATTGCCAGGAACGGTCCTTCTTCTATCATCCAACCGCAATGAGCCACTGGGCTTAAGACATCAGCCTCGGCGCGCCTCTGCTTCGTCCATACCCTCTCCTTACCCACCGTCTCGATCTTCGTCGATCCAATCGAGCAGACCGCCGCAGAAGAAGACGGGGGATGGACAAATCGTATTGAATCCCCAGCCTGACGATTCGGTCAACGATCCGTTGAATTGGCCCATGTGGCGGCGCGATGCGGCCTTGGTGTCGTTGGGGTTCTATTGTCTTATGGGTGGCGGCATGACGCCCGTTCTGGCGGCCGGTTTCAATGAAGTCGCCGACAGCTACAATGTCGACACCCAGAAGGTGGCCTTCACCACCGGTCTCTACATGCTGGGACTCGGGGTAGGATCGGTGATCATGTCGCCCACGGCGATCCTCTACGGAAAGCGCCCCGTGTATCTACTGGGCGCCACGCTGTTCATCATCTCCGCCATATGGTGTGCCTTGTCGCCGAATTATCCCAGCCTGGTCGTGGCTCGGGTCTTCCAAGGCATTGCCGTAAGTCCGGTGGAGTGTCTTCCGTCGGCGACGATTGCCGAGATCTACTTCCTACATGAGCGCGCGTATCGTGTCGGCATTTATACGCTGCTTCTTCTGGGTGGCAAGAACCTGGTTCCCTTGGTGAGTGCTGCGATCATCGGAAGTATGGGCTGGCGGTGGGTATTCTGGATCGTGGCCATCGTCGTCGGGGCCTGTCTGGTTTGCATCTTCTTTTTCCTACCGGAGACGTTCTGGGATCGGACGCCTCGGCCGCGACGTTCGGGGAAACGCCCCAACTTGTATCGAAACGTGTCGGATCTTGTCTCTCACGGTCTTCGAGGTCGATCGACTCACGCGCACCAACATAACGAAGAGCCGGCTCCGGAGAAGAGCGCCGACACGGTCGTCCCGAAGAAGTCCAAAAAGGGCCACGTCGGGTTCGTAGAAGCCCCCGAAGAGGATCATGAAATCGAGGTCGAGAACGAAAAGGATGACGCGCAGGAGGGTCACGAGCAGCATTCTGCAACACCTAGCTCGGCCGTCACCGAGCGCCCTACCCCGGAATTCCTCTCCAGCCTGGCGCTGGAAAAGTCCGAAGACCTGGAAGCCGGCAGACAACCCGGCGTCTCGCCAGCCCGCAGCGAATCCGTGGACCCTAGTGCACCCCTCAACCCATCCATACACTATACCAACCAACTGCGGGATAAACCTTTAATGCCTTTCCTCCACTACCTGCGACCCTGGCACGGGCGAATCTCGCATGACAACTGGTTCCGTGTGGCCATGCGGCCCTTCATCCTCTTCGCCTACCCCGCTGTCCTCTGGTCCACGGTCGTATACGCGCTCTCCGTTGGCTGGCTGATCGTGGTCTCGGAATCCGTCGCGCATATGTTTCAAGGGAAGGATAATTATAACTTCACCGCCCTCCAGACCGGATTGGTGTATATCTCGCCGTTCGTGGGCGGTCTGCTCGGCACGGCCGTCGCGGGGCGCGTGTCGGACATCATCGTGAAGTTCATGACGCGGCGAAACGGCGGTGTGTACGAGCCGGAGTTCCGACTCGTCATGGCGGTTCCGATCGCCTTGTCAACGACCATCGGGCTGATGGCGTTCGGATGGAGCGCGGAAATCAAGGACGCGTGGATCGTGCCGACCATTTTCTTCGGGATGATCTCGTTCGGGTGCTGTTTGGGCAGCACCACGGCGATTACGTTCTGCGTCGACAGTTATCGGCAGTATGCGGGGGAGGCCTTGGTGACGTTGAACTGGAGCAAGAGTAAGTTCCTTGTCCGGAAAACAAGGCTCATTTGATCGAGCGATAGCTAACGCTGGCGGTAGACGTGTTTCACGGGCTGATCTTCTCGCTGTTCATCGTCGATTGGCTGGACGCGCAGGGCTCGCGGACGGTGTTCCTTGCTCTGGGCGGCATCCAGCTCGGGTGTCTGCTGTTCTCCATCCCGATGTATATTTATGGTAAGCGGGCGCGGATGTGGACGGTACGACGGGGGTTGATGGAGCGGTTCTGATGGAGAGGATGCGATATGTATCGGAAATATATGATGCCAATTCTGCGACGACTTTGCAACGTGATGAATGATGAAATACAACGGCTTGTATAGTGATGATGGACAGCATCAAGAAAGCACTGGCTTAGCGTAAGCAACAAGAACACAGCATGCTCCGTATATCCTGACCAAGGCCGTGCCTGCCAGAAAAGGTAGACACGGGACCCAAGTCTAGATTGCTTAGTCACCCAACGGGAATCCGCCCGTTTTCGATGGAGAAGATTGCCACAGGATCTTCATGCAAGGGAAATCAGGCCATCCCGCTTTTCGCCAGGACCCCGCGAGAGCGATCGATGATGATATATCGAGGTCAGGGAGGAGATCCGCCCTATGAAGAAGAACGTATGAATCATGGGGAGATCAGGCAGGCAGCAAGAAATTGGAGCAAGGAAAAGAAAAAGAAAAGAAAAGAAAGGCAAAAGCCAAAGAAGTCCGATCCTAGACCGGGCTCTCCCCGATTTGAACGGACGAAAGCTCGGCTAATGCAGACGGTAGGCCCGGGGCGGCCTCTGATTGGTGGCACGGGTGGCCGAAACTTGGAAGGGCTGCAGGGCGGCTCCCGCTCGCTAAGCCGGGAAGGGATTAGCGGGCCTGGCCAAAACCGGTCTTTCCTTGGATTTTGATGAATTTCTCAATGCACTTTGACGTACGGCGCCCATCACGTTGTCGACACGGCGCATTGGGAGGGATTCGAACTGGACAACTCGAGGACCGCAATGCGACGGCGTCATCGGGGATCGAGACGCCTTTAACGTGTTCTTGCCATGATGGCCTGGATATAATTGGTATCTTCTGAATCTGGCTGGAGCAACTAACTCGACCTGCAGGGCATTACTCCGTACTCCTGCTAGTTGGCGCGATGGCCTCCCGCCAATGACACGGCCAGCCGGCGCGACTGCAACGCCGGACAGCCGAATGGCCGTCGAGGGGTGGAGTGGCCAGGGTCGGGTACGTCCCTGTCAATGTCGAGTCGCCACACCTAATCTCACGTCTGCCGCGGCCGCGTCGTCGTCATGCGCCCTGAACCCCATCTTTTGCCTGTTCGGGACCACCCAGACTGGCTGGATGATTCGCAATTCATAAACCTGAAAATTCATTAATCCAATCAATTCCAGTCCGGGCCCAACTGGGAATTGTTGGAAGCCGAAAAATCAAAATTCCACCCAAAACACATTCCAATAAAAGAGATGCGCCTCCTCCATTCCGCGTTTCAGCCCGCTTTCGATCTTCCCCTCCTCTTTCCCCCTGTTTCTCGCCTCGTCGCCTTCTTGCTTGTTATCGGCAATTCCAGCCAATTTCAACATTCCCCCCACTCCCTCGCCGGCCACTTCTAGACTTTTCGTGTGTCTTCGCCTGACGATATCTCGTGTGTGGCTGATTCCTGCGTCGCTCGTCCCCTCCGCCACACTTTATTCCAACATCCCACCGCAGGGGTGAGAAACAATGGCGCAGTGTTGAGGGAAAAAAATAGACCGGTCTTTTTTGTGTTCCCATCTTCCTTTCTCTTCTTCTTTCCTTCGTTCTTGTCTCCCATTGTGTTCCTCCCCGGATTGCCCTAGGAGGTTTATCGCTGGAGGACCATGGAATCGCAACACAGGAAGGAAGACGAGCACCATGACGGGCGTCGTGCCCGTGAAGTTTACCGATTCTTCCAGCCGGGGCGCCCCCCGTTAAGGAGCGTCAAGCAATCCTTCTCTAACGAAACCTACTCGCCGCCCGTGAGCAACTCAGATGGCTCCCTTCCGGCACCATCGTCGCCCGCATTACTACCTCAGTCCTCGTCACCCGCCAACTTAGGTCCCGTCTCCTCGTTGCTACCGGAGGGACTGACTCTGGGCGACCCGAACACGACGTTGACCTCTTTTGCACACCTAGCAGCCCTGCGACTGAACGTGGAGCGTGTACTAATCAGGTAGGTCCAAACCCCCGTTGTTGACCCTGGCTGGGGCTCATGCAAAGCTCCGTAGTGTGTCCGATCGCTCCTCGCAATTCATCATAGCACAATCAACCCAATTCTTCCGCAAACCTGCCGATTATGAAACCTTGGGAGATGGAGTGTGGGATGGCTGTTCCACCTTGTCGTCCAGTTCCTGGAAGATGTGCAAGGTATGCCCTTTTTTTGGGACCCTTCGGCCCTGGAAAATGTATTTTTCTAACCCGACTATCTTACTGTTAGGAAACCGTGGACCTTCCGCCATCTGACCACGATTCTGGAGAGTTTAGCTTCGTCGTGGTGAATGATTTGAGCGAGGATGAAAGATACCGAAATCTCCCCTTCGTCAAGGGAGATCCGCATTTCCGATTCTATGCGGGCACCCCCCTGACAACGGACACCAAGATCAACATCGGCTCTTTTTTCATCCTCGACAAGAAGCCCCACGACGGGTTAAACGACTACGAGAAAGAAATCATGGGTTCGATCGGGACGCTGATCATGGATTACCTGCGGGTGAGCCGGCAAGCGTCTGAAGGCCGCCGGGCCGCAAGGCTGTCTCGCGGGCTGGCTTGCTTTGTCGAGGGAAGCTCCAGCTTTGTGGACACACCCCAGTCGTCGTACGCAGGTAGCGGTGTACCAGGGACGCCGTCGTCCTCCAATCTGAGGGCGCACCACTTGTCCGTCGGATCGTTCAATAGCTTCGAACTTCCATCCCAGCGATCGCACAGCAATGATGCACGCTCCTTCAGCTCTGCCTCCGATTACAGAGCCGACCAGTGCGCTTCGTCCGTGCCGGATGCGCCGTTACCGGATTGGTGGGCAGGCAGTCGTCAAAAGGGACAAGAGGAATCGCACGGCCACACTTGGGCCTTCCGCCGAGCGGCCAATCTGCTGCGCGAAAGTCTCGAGCTCGAAAATGACGGTGGTGTGATGTTTCTCGAGGCCAGCAATAGTCCAATGGTTAATGACATCGACACCGGCAGCGACTGCTCGGGATACGGGGAAGCTAGCAACCCGGCCTCCGTCCTGGCAGTCTCGACGACCGAAGAGCCCTTTGCTCCATGTCCGGGATCGACAGTGCTGTATCCTGCAACCAACCTCGAGGGTGGGTTCTTGCAGCAACTTCTCCGACGGTATGCCAAAGGAAAGCTCTGGTCCTTCCACCGGGATGGGCTGCTCTCCAGCTCCGACGATGAAAAGAAGCCACGCAGGACGCGCTCTCGCGTGACAAAATCGCCAGACTTATCTCGGGGAAGTAACAAAAAATGGAAGGCCCTGGAAAATTCGATGCTGAACCTCTACTTCCCTAATGCCACGCAGGTGATGTTTGTACCTCTCTGGAATGCTGCCAATTCACAATGGTTTGGCGGTTGTTTCTGCTGGAACACGGTGGAAACGCGCGTTTTCAGTCCGTCTGTCGAGCTCAGCTCGATCCTAGGCTTCGGGTCTTCGATCATGGCGGAATGCAACCGAGTGGAATCCCTCATCTCCGATCGCCAGAAGGGCGATTTCATCGGCAGTATCTCGTAAGCTTCGATTCCAAGTCAAGAACAGCAAAACAAAGAAAGAAATCATACTGATCATGTCCAGGCACGAATTGCGAAGCCCCCTTCACGGTATCCTTGCCGCCGCCGAGTTTCTCAGTTCTACGCAGCTCGATGAATTTCAGGGATCGCTTTTGGAAACCATCAACGCATGCGGTCGAACCTTGTTAGATACGATGAATCAAGTCCTCGATTTCAGCAAGATTGTCTCCTTGGAGAAGTCGTGGCGCCACATGAAACGAGGTCGAATTGCTGCTTCGGACTCCAAACCCTTAGAGACAGTCTCCGCTCATCTGGACACGTACATGGCAACGGACATCGCTCTGCTCGCCGAAGAGGTCGTGGAGGGAGTGTGTCTAGGGCATTCATATGGGCAGAAATCCACTGCTACGTACGACCAGTCCGTGCTGCTCTCAAACGCTGCGGCATCGCAGTTCAATCTCCCCAAGGGCACCGCTGCTAAGCCTCATTCGGAGGTGGAGGTGATCTTGGACATCGCTCCCAACGACTGGACCTATCTGTCTCAGCCGGGAGCGCTGCGGCGTATTATCATGAATTTATTCGGCAACGCCATGAAATACACGGACGCCGGTCGCGTCGGTTTACACATGGAGGTGACCGAGCCGTCTGACGGTCGCTCGCGCCGACAAGGTGGGGACGACCTAGTTACGTTGACTGTGTCCGACACTGGAAAGGGCATTTCTGAGGAGTTCCTACGTGGGCGCTTATATACGCCGTTCGCTCAAGAGGATACGTTGGCGGTTGGGACAGGCCTGGGGTTGTCGATTGTGCGAAGTCTGGTCCGATCCTTGCATGGCAGTATTAACATCCACAGCCAGCCCGGAGAGGGAACCGTTGTCAAGGTATCTCTACCGCTATCGCGTATCGAAGCAGGGGATCCATTTGATACTAGCTTTGATTCGCGCACTCCGTCTCCGCGCGAGAAAGAGGGGATCAGTGAAAGTACTGCCCTCCGCGACGCCCACGTTGGACGAAGGGCGGCGATCATGGGTCTCAGCCCTGAGGCTGCCGCCGACGACCCCTTCTGGTCCACTATTGCACGCTATCTCACGGACTGGTACGGCCTCGAGCTGGTCTCCTGGCCTTCTGGTACGCCGGCCGACGTTGTACTTGTCGATCAGGCTGGCTTGTCTGCCAGCACCTGCCAAACCCTCCACACTTTCCGCCACGCCGTCCCCGCCCTTCTCATCTTCTGCAACCAGTCGGTCGATCACAAGCAGGCGCAACGGGAATACGCGTCCCTCGCCAACATTGTGAAGATATATCACCGCCCCTGCGGGCCGCAAAAGCTCGCTCAAAGTATCCGACGATGTTTCGAATCGCAAACGGGCTCTGCGACGACCACACCGGAGCAAATCACTCTGCCGAGACGGCCGCACCCTCGCACGTCCATGCCCCCTCAGGAGCCCGAAGATACCGAGGCCGAAAAGACCGAAGCCCAGGCCAAGGTCTCCGAGGTTTCCGACAGTGCCACTGACTTGACTCCGGACTCCGTTAGCTCGGGGGCATCTTCTTCAGTGGGCGCCCAGTCACCAGGCCAAGAGATCGAGCAGATGTTGACCACCATCGTCTCCCCTCCGTCGCCTTTCCAACGATCATCGTCCGAGCCGGAGTTAGTGTCTGACTCGGATGTCATACCTGGACAAGAGCAGCCCCAATCCGAGGTGAAAATCCCGGACCCTCCCGGACCTCGACGGGCGCGGGTCCTCGTGGTTGACGACAATTCTATCAATCTAAACCTGATGCTCACGTTCATGAAAAAGCGAAACTTGGAAAGATTGGACTCGGCGGAGAACGGGCAGTTAGCCGTGGATGCGGTGGAACAACTGGCCGCGGGATATGATCTGATTTTCATGGGTAGGTCTTCCATTTAGCAGGGTCGCTCCTCTCAAGAAGCAAGGCTAATCATTCTCAGACATGTCAATGCCCGTAATGGACGGGTTTGAAGCTACGCGAGCCATCCGCTCTCTTGAGAAAGAGCGAGACGGCGAATCTGCCATTATCATCGCCTTGACGGGACTTAGCAGCTCCCGCGATGAATCCAACGCGCTTTCGTCAGGGGTGGATCTCTTCCTGACGAAACCAGTGTCATTCAAGGAAGTGTCGAGGCTATTGGAGGAATGGGAGGGGAACGGACTACGCGAACGATGCACGTAGCCTTCCTCCAACCCTCCATTCGCCTCTTTACCTTCCATCTCTATTCCTCCCTTACCACCTATTATTTTTCCCATCTTTTCCATCTCTACAAACTACCTCTCTTTGAGGGGCTAGTTTGTTCATGATTTACATTTTCCACCTCTCCTACCTAGTTTTTGCTGGTCTCTTTTTTGCCTTTGGCAGATCACCAGGTTGCTGAGCACTTGGTTGGTTACGATAAGATGATATCCCGCTTTGGTTGGTCTGGTCTGGTTTGTTTTCCTTTTTGTTTTCTACATTCCCGTTGCATCATATTCCATCTACATCGACGGGGCCCAACATATACATGGTCTTCGCCTGGTTTGATTTCATTTGATGCTCCGGGACGAGCAGGACACGGAGCAAGGTGTTTTGGCGTTTTGGGATATACAAATAGTTTTTTGCTCTTGCCATGCATAGCGGCATAGGCATATGGCATGGTCAGTCCGGACAGGACACATTAACGGCTGGGATTGCTCCGTACACGCGTAGCATGAGTGATACCCTTTGCTTTGGTTGAATACTTATATACTACATTATCAATATATTACATCTATCACGAATGGAATGATACGACTACAAAGAAGCCTTGTCTTGAGAAAATGAACTCCAATTTTATGTAATACATACCCTTTGCATGGTCCTGTCTGTTGACATATAAGATATTGCAAGGACTACCCATTGCCCAGCTTGGGTTTTTGGTCTAGTGGTAATATCAGGAACATGCTTACACTGTCCTTACTAGCTATCATATATCTCCAGTGCTAGTTATAATACTCTAGACCAAAGGGGCCATTATTTCAACCCTATTCTGGTATACACTTTCCCTTCTGTCATTTTTGACTGCCACTGTTCGTAACGTGTCAAGCAATGACCATCATTGTCCTCCCAAACTCCCAGTATACTAGTATCCTACACCCCGAGAGCATCCAGTCCTAGCAGCTCACACGAAACGTAGTCCTTACCCAGAAATTAAGCTGTATATTATTAAATAATCCCCTGTGTCCCACGTTCTTATCTAACCTAATAAAATTCAGATCTAATACCTCTGGACCAACCACTCCCTCTGCTCCTCCTCACCTCCCAGACTCTTCAACTTCTGGCCCTCCAGCCTCTTCACGATGATATAGTTCGCGACGAGCTCCTTACCCAGCACATCCTGCAGCTCGGTGTCGGCTTCTAACGCGGTAAGACTCTCGGAGAGCGATTTGGGCAGCTGCGTTGTGATGCCGAGGTCTGAGCGCGCTGTCGGGGAGAGGGTTGCTGCGTCGTCTGGTTCATTCACAGTCATTAGTTAGGGATTATGTGTGGTAAAAGAAACAAGGAAGAAAGAACAGAAAAGGAAGAAAAGACAAGAATAGAAAAACAGGAGCGAGGATGCAGAGGAGAAAAGGGAAACTCACACAAACAATCCTTCACCGTCAACGGCATCCCCTTCTTCAAGCCTACTAAACCAGCACCCAAAAGGGCCGCCATCGCCAGATACATATTCGCCAACCCATCTAGACTCTTCACCTCCCAGTGCCCGGGACTGATCTTACGGATCGGGGTTTCGCGGTTCTGCGATCCCCACGCGACCCACTCGCTGCCGGCCCACAGACCGGACTGTACGCGATCGTAGCTAGCGTCTTGGGACAGCGTGAAGGCCACCAGTGCCGGGTAGTGGGCCATGATGCCCGCCAGGAAGGCGTCTTCCTGTGTGGGCGGGGTGATGGAGATGTGCGCGTGGGCGGCGGTGCCGGCGGCGGAGGGGATGGGGCGGGGGTGGAGGGTTGCGCGCAGGTTGTGTTTCTCGGCGACGTGCGTGACGATCTGGCGGGCTTGCAGGAGGGTGTCGATGGCGGCGAGGGGGGAAGCAGGCGGCAGGATGAATTCGAATTGGCCGGGGGCGGACTCGGCGTGGAATTGCTCCAGGTGGATGTCGACGGATTCGAGGGTTTCGGCGATTTCCTCGAGAATGGGGAGCAGGGCACGGGTGTCCGGGGTCATTTGGGACCAGGAGTGGTTGGAGACGCTGGGTGTGAAGGTACTAGGGTCGGAGGTGGAGGGTTTGAGGAAGATGACTTCGATTTCGAAGCCGCAGGTGACGGTGACGTTGTGGGAGTGTTGCAGAGTGTTGGTGAGGTTGTGGAGGAGGGAGCGAGGGCAGCCGGGGATATGTTGGTCGTGGTTGGTTTCGGACTGCCAGAAGGTCATGACAGAGGCGGATGGAGAGGATAGGCCGGCGTTGCGGCGCAGAGTGCCCAGGTCGGGCTGCATGTAGAACTGCCCGGTCACGGAGCCCTCGGGGGCCACGCAGTCGGACTGGATCATCCATTGCACGGCCAGGCAGATGCCGATGCGGCGCTGGCGGGCGACGATCTTGCGGAACTCACGCACGGGGAAGATGCGCACGCGCGTGGTGGCCGTGTAGTCGAGGAACTGCATCCAGATGTATTTGATATCGGGGTTGTCGCGCAGGAAGATGTCCAGCTGCGAGGTGGAGGACGAGGAGGGACGAGCGGAGAGAGAGAAGCTATCCGACGACAGGGTCTCGTTCAAAGCGTAAGCTCGGTTAGAATTATGGAACAGGATATCGGCCGCAGCAGAGCGCGCCTGCTGCAGGGAGAAGTCGCCATGCTGCACGTAGTTCACCAGCACTGTCTCCAGCGCATCACGGAACTGCACGTTGGCCAGCCAGAACGTCTCGGGGAAGAAATGCCCGTCCGTGCTCCACAGCAGGCGGTTCGTCGGCACGATCTCCAGTGCCTGTCGCACGATCGCCTCCTGGGCGTCGCGGCTGACCATGGGGAACACCTCTCCCAGGTCCAAGTAGACATTATCGTAGACACAGGCGAGATAGCCCGCCTCGCGCGTATACGGATACGCCGAATGCAGCAGCACAAAGTCCGCGCCGGTAAAGCGTGCCACCAGCGGCTGCAAGTACGCCGGGTTCGAGAACACCAGGTCGATATCGTTATCGCCTAGGCCGGTATGCAGCTGCAGCGGTTTGCGCACGCCCGCGGCCTGCACGAGCGACAGCAGCAGGCGCACCAGCCAGTCGTTCAGCGGCTTATCCTCGACCCGCGGGGATCCCTCGCGACGCAGATAGCGCGACAATGCGGCGATGACGATGGAGTCATCAGGGTCATCATGGGCCTGCACGTTCAACCCCGTTCGGTAGCACACGACGGACTTGAACCCCACGACGGCGGGGTCAGCAATGGCCTCGGCGATCTGCTGCTCGACGCCGTGGCGGAACTTCTGCCACACGTCACGCATGGCAGCATCGTCGTTGAAATCAGTCCCGCTACCCTGCAGCGTGCTGAGCGTGCGAGCCGCCAGCGCTTCGATACGCACGATGCGACGGGTGCGCGCAGCGGCGTAGCGGTCATGCCACGCATAGGGCTCGATGTCCTGGTCGGTGAGGAGATCATCCAGCAAGAAGGCGTGCGTGCCCTGCATACATCGCCGCACTAGGCCGTCGTAGTCGCGCTGCACATATTCATCCCGGGCCCGCTTCACGGCGTCCCAGTCAGCAGAGGCACAGCCATACAAACGCTGCAACTGGGCGGCGGCACGCCATAATGGCAAGCTGGTAGGAGCATTTTTCAGAGCAGTCCCTTGAGCCTCGGAGGTGATCTGTTCGAAGGGGTATTTGGCGTAATTACAGGCGGCCGATTGCGTCAACAGATTATGAGCATGGTTGTCAATGAGGGGGTGAGATTGAATGAGGTGGCGGAGAGAGGAGAGATCCATGATGAGGGAGTGGATCGAGATAGGGGAGGAGAAAGGGAGGAGAACAGAGAGAGAGGAGGATAGAGAGAGGAGAAAGGAGGATAGAGAGGAGCAGGATAAAGATGATAAAGATAGAGGGAGAGGGAAGATGAAGGGAGGGCGAGATCCGATCCCAGCAAATTCTCACATCACCACGCAGCCAGCAGCAAACCGCAGACGAGCACGTCGCAAATGTTGGGCGACCCGAATAGGCAGCTCGTTACCAGATCGGCTGTTGCATCGACTTCGCAGCGCCGTTCGAGACGTGAAGGGTATCGTCCACGAGAAGCGCTGCAGTCGCCAAGGAGCAATTGCCCCATTGATCGGGCGCTAGTCCGCATCGGGTGATGTCCACGAGCTGAGTCAGCGCTGACTCAGCGCGGATCGGATTAGATCTGCCCGATGCGGTTAGCGGATGTGCGGCTCCACCGCCTAAACTATTTTTAGCGGCGGATTTGCCGGCTTCCGATTCAGCCTGAACTACATTTGCTATACTATAGAATATAGCATACAGTATACCCTCCTTATGAACTGATGGTCAGTGTCCCCGTCTTCGTCACCAAATACTCCTCCACCGCCACCCCCAATCCACTCTCCTTGCCGTATCCCGACTCCTTCATCCCGCCAAACGGTGACTCCGCCGCCGACGAGTTGCCCGTGTTCATTCCGATCATGCCCGCCTCCAGACTCTCCAGCAGCCGCCACATGCGGTCGACGTTCTTCGTGAAGGCATAGCTTGCCAGTCCCATGCTGGTGTCGTTGGCCAGCTGCACCGCCTCCGCCTCCGTCTCGAACCGATACAGCGCCGCCACGGGCGCAAACGTCTCCTCGCGCGACACCAGCATGTCGCGCTTCATGCCCGTCAGAATGGTCGGCGCGAAGAAGTATCCGCGAGTGCCTTCCACGCGATGACCGCCCAGGATGACGTCCGCACCCAGTCGGCGCGCATCCTCCACCTGCTCCAGCGCCTTGTCGATGGCCCGCGGCGTCGTCAAGGATCCCATAGTTGTCCCCTCCGCCGCGCCATGTCCCACCACTAGCCGCTGCGTCCGCTCCTTCAGCAACCGCGCAAACTCGTCGTACACCCCCGCCTGCACATACACACGGTTCGCAGTGATACACGCCTGGCCGGCATGTCGCCACTTCAACGCCATCAGCTGCTCCAGCGCCTGCTCCAGGTCCGCATCGTCAAAGACCACGAACGGACAATTGCCGCCCAACTCCAGCGTCACCTTCTTCAGCCCATCTGCGCAGTGGCGCGCAATCAACTTTCCTACTCTCGTCGACCCCGTAAACGTCACCTTCTTAACCAAACTATGCCGACACAGCGCCTCGCTCAGCCCCGGCGTATTGTCCAAATCCGTCGTAAGCACATTCAACACCCCCGCGGGGAACCCCGCCCGCCGAGCAAGCTCCGCCAGCACTAGCGTCGACACCGGCGTCTCGGGGCTCGGCTTCACCACCATCGTGCACCCCGCTGCCAGCGCCGCCCCCGCCTTGCGCAGCACCATCGCGAGGGGAAAGTTCCAGGGGACCAGGGCGGCCGCGACGCCGATGGGCTGCTTGACGGTGAAGATGCGGCGGTTGGGCACCGACGAGACACTCACGCTGCCGTGCACGCGCTCCGCCTCGCCGGAGAACCACCACGTGAAGCTCGTGGCGTAGTCGATCTCGCCGTTCGCTTCGGCGAGCGGTTTCCCCGTCTCGTGCGTGATGATTTGCGCCAGGTCGGGCTTGGCGGCCCGGATGAGCCGGTCCCATTCGAGGAGCCACTGGGCGCGTTGGCGCGGCGTCGTGTGTCGGTAGGTCTGGAAGGCTGAGTGCGCGGCTTGCACGGCGGCCTCGACGTCGGCGGCGGTGTTGTTGGGACAGCTGGCCCAGGGGGTGTCGGTTCCTGGGTCTGGGTTTGGTCAGTATGTGGTTGTATAGATGGAGGGGAGGGTGTGGAAGACTGGGGAGAGATATACCAAGGACGTCAAACCGTTTACCAGACTGGGCCTGCACCCAGTTATTACCGACGAAGGAGTCGAAATGCAGCAGGTCGGGGTTTTCGAGCTGTCAGAAATCAGTCGAGGTTAGTATCACCTTCACTAAGGCTTCAAGATAGCCCAGGGTAAGCATACCTTGAAGGGCAGCTGGTATTGAGCCATGGTGATAGTATCTTCACTTGCGATGATGACTAGAGATGAATGCTAGAGATACCAAGACTAACGATAATCAAGAAGTTGGAGCTGAATCAAGAAAAAGAGAGAAAAGCGCCGAGAAGCGCAATAAATACAGCGATGCCGATCAACCCCGCATCCATCGGCTCTCGGTTCGTCTGCCAGCATCATCCTGCATATCGTGTAACTTCATCTGTACGATGTTCCTCAGCTCCTCCTCTCCCTCGCCATTTCCTCCTCTTCAAATTCTCTTCGACCACTCACCAAATCCATCTCGCTCGCTTTCACCCGTTTCGTCCGCCGAATAACTTTCCATGTACAGATATTCCCCAGATAAACCACAATCCCCAAATAACAGGTCAGGAACGACGAGAGCGTAAACTCGGGTATAAACGCATTATATCCTAGACTCCTGCATCAGAAATTGTACCACAAATCAATACACCCAGTTAAGCAGACATACCGTTAAAAAACGTAATCAGGATGGTCAGAGCCAACGCAAACCAGGCCCCGTAAGGCTGCAGTCGGTTCCGATACGGCATCTGCGAGCGATCGATCCCCTGTACCTTCATCCCATGGTTGAAGCACAGATACGACACGAGGATGTTGATCCAGTTGAGCGTTCCCAGAACCGTGACGAGATTGACGAGGTATCCGAAGACGGTGGACGAGGATTCGGCCACGTTCATGTAGGCCAAGAGGCAGAATAGGGACATCGCTGCGACGCCGTAGACCGGGACGCCGCGTTTTGTCGTGCGCATGAAAATTCGAGGAGCTTGGCCGTCCCGGGCGAGGGAGTAAAGGGTGCGTGTGCCTACGTAAACGTCTTGAGTTGGTCAGACATTAGTTGCTTCTATGAGATTGAACGACTGGTGAAGGGGGAAGGTACCGGTGTTCGCTGCGCTGATCACAAATATCAACAGCACCGCGTTCATGATGTCCGGCAACACTCCGATCCCAGCGAGTTGTATCGCAATCACATACGGCGAGGCTGCTGCGCTCGTCTTTGCATTAGTGGCCCCGACCAGTCGTTCGTCGTTATACGGGACGGTCATCCCCAGTAGTAGAACTCCAAGGATATAAAAGACGCAAATCCGCCACAGCGTGTGACTGACTGCTCGGGGGATGTTGCGACGGGGATTTGGCGTCTCGGCGAAGGCAGCACCAACAACTTCGGTGCCGGTGTAGGCAAAGCACGCCTGGACCATGCAGGCCCAAAATCCGAGGAACCTGCCTAGAAAGCCGGTGTAGATATATTCTGCAAACGCTCCTGGCTCGTTCCAGTACCGGAATCCGATGCGGTCATGCTTAGGTCCACCTCCGAGAGCGATGACGAGACAAGTTAGCATGGCTAACACAAGGCCGATAATCTTCAGGGAGGAGAGTATAAATTCGGATTCGCCAAAGCTGCCGACATGCAAGACCTAGAAATCTCACGTTACGCTGTATATCTAAACCAACTGGGGAGACAAGCACATACATTGGTTGAAATGACAAGGACCGCAAAAACGGTCACCCAGATGCCAACATTCAAGTCCGGCCGCCAGTACTGGATGATCAACCCAGCAGCAGTGAGGTTATTAGCCAACACCATGACATATTTGAAGAAATAGTTCCAGCCAGTTGCAAATCTTCGAGACATTAGAACCGGCCTCATTCAGAGCCAGAGACGCCTTACCCAAGTGCAGGATCCACAAAGCGCGATGCATAGCCGTTGAAACTTCGATCCATGGGCAAGAAGGCTGCCATCTCTCCCATCGCCGTCATGACGAAAAATATCACTGAGCCTGTGACCACATACGCGATGAACAGACTGGCAGGTCCGCCTCGCGAGAGGCCGGTACCAGAACCGATGATAAGACCGGTTCCGAGTGCCCCAGCAATCGCCAGCATGCTAACCTGGCGTGACTTGAAATCACGCCGAAGTTGAGGCGAAGGGTCTTCCATGACCCCTGCCTCTGTATCGCAGGTAGGCTGGCTGGGACTTTCATCTTTGGATTCATTGTCGGTGGCCATGGTTATAAAACTGGTCGAACGAAAACGATGGATTGGAATCGGATAGGGAGATGGTTCCCAATCACAGAAGAAGTTTCACAGTGATCGTTGATCGTAAATGCGCCATTTCCATGGGAATTATATGGATATCGAACGTCGTCACTAGCCCAGAACTCATACCAATTAATGGCCGGATAAGATAACGCCGATCAAAATCCCGCTTCGGAGGACGAAGTCCGCTCTTATCATCAAAGCAGACTAGTCATCCAAACCGCTGATTGGATTGACAGTGGAGACGCCAACGGAACGGTCGTCTCCGTCAATGGACGACGACTTACCGATTGGCTGATAGCAAAATCCGGGGTAAATTGTTGACGGAGTGGCAACTGCGCTGTAGCCCGAGCGCACTGCACGATGGCGGAGATGGTGCCGTAGGACGGACTATATCTTGACAGAATCGATCCACGTTCTGAGCGTGATTTTTATCTTCGTTGCAAGATAATCAGCCCTCAAGGAAAATCTCCTTTGTTAAACCCACACGATTACCAACCTTCAAGATGAGTCCCCATGTTGTCGCCGAGTCTTCCCTGAAAGACGACCAAAAAGATGTCCTATTCACAGATGACAAATTCGCATCGACCAACTCCGTTGACATGGAGAAATACCGAACCCTAGTTCCTGTGGCCGCCCGAGACGATGTCACCTACCTGAATGCATCCTTCCAACCTCCCATGAACCTGAGAGTGCGTGCAGCGTTGGACACATTTCTGGACCAGGCTGTACACGAAACCCATCCTAAGCCCGGCTGGCAGGGAACTGCGCAGCAGGCACAGGCAGGTCTGGCTGCCTACCTGAAAGTGCCCACGGAATCGGTTGTTTTCACTCGCGATACAACCGAAGGCCTGAACCTTTTTCAGCGATCTATCCCGTTCCAACAAGGCGACAACGTGGTGGTCTTGGATTCCGAACATCCAAATCACGCGTATGGATGGCTTGGACTAATTGATAAAGGCCTGGAAGTTCGTCGCGTCGAAACCAACGGGGATACCTTTGCCAATGCAGAAACGTATGCCCCGTTGGTGGATAGCCAGACCATTGCTATAGGCCTGTCGTCTATTATGTTCCACTCGGGGCAGATGAACGACATCAAGGATATATGCGAACGCTTCAGGCCCCAGGGAATCCATGTGTTGGTTGATATTACTCAACATGTTGGGGTCGCACCGATTGACCTGACCAGCTGGGGAGTATCGGTTGCTGCATTTGGCCTGCATAAAGGAATGGGCTGTCTCGGTGGCCTTGGTGGACTCTATATTCATCCTGATGTCTTGCCCTCGTTGAAAGGCACGCCACCCATTGTTGGAGCCGGGAGTATTGCCAATTTGCCAGCCTCCCTGGTTGCAAATCCAGATGTGCAGTACCATCCCAGCACACAGAGATATGGGCATTTGAATATTTCATTTATCTCTGCTATTTCTCTCAATGCGTCATTGAAGTTTCTCGCGAAGGAGATAGGTATGCAACGGATTGAGAGTCATCTTCGCAGTCTGGGTCGAGAAATGGCTATTCAACTGAAGCCTTTGGGTGTGGAAATTGTGGGAAGTGAACGAGCTGATCGACGAGCGCCACATCTCTATATCCTAAAGCTCCTTCACCCGGACTGGGTCGACCATTTTCAAAAAGAAAACATCATCGTGTCACACTACCGCTGCGGTGTCCGTGTCTCCTTTGGATTTTATAACAATCTTTCTGATGTTCGCAGTTTAGTAGCATCTATTGAACGCGGGTTGAAGAATGGTGTTCCTCGGAATTAAGCTTTTGTCAATGACCAGGATGTTGAAATATAGCCATGAATCTGAGTTGTTTGAGTAGTTTCAATTGATTTCTTGAAGTATTAGGCTGTGACTGTCCTGCTATGTCTCATCTCAATCCAGTAGATATCGAGAATGCGTGCGAGGGAATATGGTTGGTTGAGTGCCTAGGTCGCTAACATCAGGATTGTTCACCTAGCGAAAACCATCCTCGGAAGTCCCCAGTCATCTCGCATATATTGGATAGATCATCCCAATTCAAAGGGTCCGGGCTCTGACCAAGAAATAGCGAGTCCATGGGGTCAGCACCGTGAGGTATCGGTAAGTCGCCTATATCATTCCCCAATGGATCGGGCAGTGAAGACCAGGCTGGCATTCTGACAGTATAATTCTCTTGGAAGTTCTGCTCTGAACTCCGGGCAAGTACTAAAGGGTCTGGTAGAATGCCGTGAGACCCAGGAGCTGGTCCAGTAACCTCAAGTCTTTCAATGTCATCTGAAGACGAGTTTTGGTTCCTAGCAGAACTATCGTGACTCGAGTTTATATCCCGCCTTTCGGACGAAGAGTGGTTTATAGCATGTGCTTTCAATCTTGAATACGCTTCAGCAGCAATTTTGTAAACATGAGAGCATTCCGACAGTGTTTTCAGTAGAAAAGTATATCGCGGGTCTTCGGGAACACAGTCTGTAATTCTGTTAGCGGGTGTCATTTCGTGTATTTGACGACATACCTGATATCTTCTCCAGAGTGACTAAAGCCATGACCAAAGCGTATACAAAGATGAGCGGAGATGTTCTTATACCACGTTGATTGCGGAATTGACGAATCATTGCTATCACCGTGTTGCAGGATGATTCACAGATAGATTTTGAGGACACTTGGAATGAGGCATCGGTTCCTTGGGAGATAAAATGCCTATTGAGCGAAATGCAGATGCTGTGGTAGGTCAAGCTATACAGGTCAGATTATTGAATGCAGCATGATGGAGGAAGCACGGTGGCACTTACTGGAGAATTACAATGTGTTGCTGTAGAGGCTGATCTTGAGTAGTCCATTGGCTCCATTGGAGGTTAACAGGCAGGTCGACCATCCATCTATTCAGACGAATATTTAGATCATTAAGGCGCTGGCCATGAAAATTCAGCCCGCCACGACGTTCTTTGACAGAGAACATATCGGCCATGATGTCTTGGAAGGTGTTTCCTAATGCCACCGTATGATTAAAGGCTGCTGTCAACTGCGGTCGTTGAGCAGGATTTAATTCTGAATATTTGTCTGCAAGGTCTGATAGGCCGAACCATCGGTGCTCTGAGGGAAAGTCCCTATTCATTGTCCGACGATTAGTACTTAAGCATTGCTTGTCTGAGTGAATCTTACGGTAGTGGTTCGCTTGGCTGTACGGCAGCGTCTTTCTCGTTGAAATAAACCGGCCGTCCAAGGTATAGACTCATGAATCTGAGTCGATTAGCATTGAGTTTAATTTTTCTTGCTTCGGCTTACTTATCGGCGACGTAGCACCCCCAGTAGATCCTTCGTCTTATCTCGATATCCTCGGGCGTAGCGATCGTCTGGTCTTGAGATACCCAGTGTATTGGGTCTCTATGGAACCCAATATCTTCTCCCATTCGAAATGACATACCTGAAACTGCTTAGCGCACGAAATTCTGCTGTACATGCAAACCTACCAGCAAAAATCCAACCCTTGGAAGCATTCCCCTGCCCAATTTCATAAAATGCGAGACAGAGAAGCGCCTGGATGGTCGTTGGATGTGATCGCGACAGTTCATATGTGACAATAATTTCCTCGGCACATTTAGCCAGAACGTGGGCTTTGTCACAAACGGACGAGTCCGTCGAATGCGCTGCGCCGAGCGCACAGATGGCATATAGCAAAGGATATGACCAGTACTTCCCGTCGTGCGCATTTTCAAAATAATCACTCAGAAAGGCTTCACGATAGACGAACATCATCTGCGGGTACTGGTAGAGGAAGAACAGAGGTAAACAGGAGTGGACCAGCGCGCTATTGACTCCCAATGTCAGGGCTAGTCGCATCTTACTCCCGTCATCAATGTGAGCGATCGCGTTGCTCGCTTTCATCCGTTTCTGGCATTTTGTCCTCTGGTCCACGTACATACTGGTCGGACCGTGGTATTGCAAGGAGTCTATATAGGGTCAGAGTCTGTATAGTGGAGACGATAAGAGCCGTACCTGACTGTTCAGATGTAATAAGCACACTATTATGAGGAGCTGGCTGTTCCACATTTGAGGGCGTAAAGATGTCACCCCCATGGCTTTCGCAGGAGACCTCCCGGAGAAGAGCATCTCGTTCCGATGTAGAGCTAGCTTTGAGTTTCCGAACAAATGACTCGTACCAGGCCAGTCGAGTCTCCAAGGCCTGCAGATACTTTTGAGGTACTGGAGGGCGGCGCGTGTCACCATTGCGATATTCGCATTGATGACCGGAGTTTGTGCAATTACCACATGGTTGCTTCCGACTGCATTTTATCTGTACTGTCAGTCGAGAAAGATGATTCTGTTCTCGCAGGACACACCTTGCGGGTCTGGCATCTCTTGCACCTGATAGCCTGTCAGTCAAGTCTGTATCCAAGAAATGAAATCCCACGTACGAAAGTCGTTTGAGCGTTTCCATTATGCTTAAAAGATTTCTCGATGCATATCACCTATCAGATCAATGTATTCGCATTGGGGAATGCTGAGAAGCAAGAGGACATAGAAATGAATCAGAAGGTTGAAGGATGAGTGATTGGAGTAGTTTGGAGAAGCGGGGATTGGCACTGGTGATAGCGGTCCTGGACTTACCCCGGACCACCTGATCTAGCCAGCGCCGTCACCAAGCATTCACAGGGATAAACTTGATGATATCATGGCTATATAAAGACGGTGTAGAAGTACACAAAAAGTTCATTTAGAAATATATCACCAACGCCAGCAACCGGATCTCGGTATGGCAAGCCCGAACGAACTACACCAACTTGAGGGACTTTTGAGGCAAATTTGCCCAACAAAAAATAAACATCACGGTAACAAGACCACACAAGTGAAGAAGAGTAGATAACAAAAGCTTGTAGTGTCGAAAACAAAAAAATGGACTCTGAGGGAATCGAACCCCCGATCTCCCGTAATTTCACATGTATATGCAAAACGGGCGCTATACCCCTAAGCCAAGAGCCCAGTTGATATGTTATGTAACCAAAATATATGAGCCACAATATAACCGTCTTACAATTAACTATCACGTGAGCATTCCTCAGTCCAACAAAACAAACAAACAGCGACGGGAGTCCTCGGTATCGCATCGCATCGCATCCATCGCATCGAACTCACCACCCCGGGAATCAACACAATGGACCCAACGGAAGACCCCCAAAACATGGAAGAGGAGCTAGACTCCGACATTACGTCCATTCGCGCAGAGAGTCCGTCCCTCTCCCTCCCTTACCTCCAACACCCCCAAACCAAACCAACTAACCCATCGACCGCAGTCCGAACCCTCCAACGCCGCAAACGCCTCTTAGCAAGCAGCATCCTCTCGTCGAGCGAGTTCCAAAAACGCGTAAAATCCCTCTCCGCGCCGTCTCTCACCTCGCTGGCCAAAAAGCTCTCCCCGCTACTCACCGACGCCGAGAACCACGCCGACGTGAATCACCACCGCATCGCGTTCTCCGCCACCAGCTTCCCGTTCAAAGACCCCGATCCGAACGCTCGCGATCAGAATCTGCTTGGGCTGCGCATCGATCTGTGTCAGCGGGACGGGCGGTTCGTGAAGCCGTATTATGTGCTTTTGAAGCGGGTAGAGAGTGGGAAGGAGAACGGGGAGAAAAGGTTGAAGGTGCATAGGCATACGATACCGGCATTTATTCCGATGGAGAGTTTAGAGAGGGTTTATTTGCCGGGGGCGAGTTCGGGTTCTGCGACGGAGGGAGGGGAGAGGGGGGATGATGTTGCGGCGATGAAGGCGCGGCAAAAAGCTACCAAGCCGAGAAAGCAAGATCTGCAGGGTCTGGTGCGCGAATTGCGCCGACAGCTGGTGGCGTGGCAATTGCGCGTGGATGCGATTGGGCTTTTGCGAGAGACGCTGGGGGTTGTTCGACGGGGGGTGGACGACTATCAAGACGACGACGGGGTGTGGGAGCGGAATTTCCTGAACCATAAAGAGGAGACGAGGCTGGAGGCGAATGATCTGGGGATTGTCTCGTTGGGCCCTACGGCGCTGGAGGCTGTGTATGTGCGTGTGGAATGGGCGAGTGGGCAGGTGGGACGATTCAAGATCTCGAATTCGGGGATTGTGGAACGCGCGGTGGTGATTGGGGACAATGGACGGGATAAAGCGTTGGAGGTTGCGCTGACGGGGGGAAATGCGAGAGTGGAAACGGTTCTCGACCGGCTCAAGAAGCATGCTGAAGCTAAAGCGTGAATGCTGTTTGAATTTGGATTTACATGGGCTGGCTTGATTACCATGCGATGATACCCCGAAGCCTCCCAGGACCTTACTATCTAATTGAACTAATTGTCTTGAAACAAATCTAATATTGCATTGAGCTGTTGAATCTATATAAACCCCCGGGAACGTCCAGAACAAGAAGAAAAGAAAAAAAAAGGGTAATGTAGTATGCACAAGAATTCAAATCAGAGATCCGCCGAAAATGTATATATAATGCCCGCTCCAAAGCACAGCAGAAAAATGGAACGAAAGATAATTACAAAATGTAGTAAGATCTGCCAACCTTGGCTTCGGGCGAAAAGAAAAAGGTATTATGCCAGGGAGGAAAGAGGGTAGATATGTGTAGGTAAATGCAAGGATGTATGAATGCTTATGAGAAACCGCCAAAGAAGAGAAACGCAAAGAACGGGGGGTATCACGTAGGAGAGACATCAAATCGTAAATTCAAAGCACCGACCCCTCTCTCTTCTGGTGCGTATGTTCCTCATCGCCGCTGCTCGACTCGGTGTGGTCGGTGACGCAGATGGCCGAGTCCCGCGTGTCGTAGTGCGAGTCGCTGAAGGACAGCGGAGGTAACGGGCCGTAGGGCTGCTTGTGTTGCAGTTCGAGTTTCTTTCGCACAATGGCTTCCTCGAGGTTCCACCGATGGTGTAGTCGGGTTTTCTTTGCGTCGAAGGCTTGTATCACGGCCATTTCTTCTTGCTGATGCCCGCTCTGGAGCCGCGCAAATCCCAAGGCGTGCTTGTCAATGAGATCGTCCAGTTCCCGCTCCATGCGAGCGATCGCCTCCTGGAGTCTTATCTCTTGTCGGTCGCGGAGGACCTTGATCTTCGATTCGTGCAGTTGGTCCATGGAGTCACGGTCACGATATTCCTGGGCCAGCTGGGCTTTATGTTGCGCCGTGAACTGGCGAGTAGGTGGTGATGGCATCTCGGGCGCGGACGAAGGTCCGGCTTGAGGTGAGGAGGGAGGGCTGGCGTTGTTGAAGAATCCTTCCATGTATTTGATCCGTGTACGTGAATTGACTTTGGCGCGTTCAAACTCCCGCATTTGGTCCATTTCCACCGTCAGTTGTCTTTCTTCCATCCGAACGGCGGCGGCCGAATTCTAGGAAAAGAGTAAGTATTTTGCAGAAGTGACACGAACCCAAGGAATACTGACCTTTTCACGTTTTTGTTCTTCCATCTTCTTGTTCTCGGCGAGCGTATCGGCTACGGTCGCCTGCTGTTTCTGTCGCAGCTCACGCATGAACACGTCTTGGTAGGTGAGGTGCCGGTTCCGCTCCATCTGGTGGGCTTCGCGCATTTGCTGCAGCTCCTCACTGTCAAGGCTCCTCTGCAGGGACTCGTTGTCAAACACGGGAATCTCCAGCTTCAGCACTTTATTCTCGCCATCGGACCGAGGCGTCTCATCGGGCTTGGTCTCCAGATAGACCCGATTCTTCCCATCATTCTTCGCAACCATGACCTGCGCCGCCGGGGGCAGGAGAACCGCCGACGGAGACCGCCTTTTTCGAAAGTGGATTTTATCAATCGCCGACTTGATGCTCGATTTCCTCCGCTCCTTCTTCTCGCTGGACCCCACGCTCAGAAAGGAGTGACGCTGGCCCGCCGTCCGCCCAGCCAGGCTCTCTAGACCATGCGCCAGTCTCCCTTCGCTCGAGCTAAAAGACGTCGGGCGGGTGGACAGGGAAGCGATCGATCGGGTACTGCCGCATTTGGTGGGATCGGAAGACAGGGTGAACTCGGACAGCGAGGAAGCGACCTGGTCGAGGGGCGGGGCTTCGTTGATCGGAGTCTCGCACACCGAGTTGCGATCGGTCGAGGAGCCCGAGGACAGGATCGGGGAGGAGAGGTCGACCATACCGGAGGCAATCGACGCGGCTAGCGATGCCAGCACCTCGATCTCCGGCACTTGCAACCCCAGCTGGCGCGCTTCGTCGACCAATTTCTGCTCCTGCGACAGCTCGGCTTCCTCGGACGGCAGGCCGAGGACGTCATGGCGGTATTGACCATCGTCGAAGTCGATTGTTTTCACCGACTCCATCGTCATAATGCAATTGTGGTACCGGTCACTCCCCCAGCGCACATGGAGCGCATGAATCAGTCGAACAGAGATACGGGCCGGGAGGGATGGTTCCCAGTGAAATCTTTAGATAGGAAATAAAAAACAAAAACGGAAACGAGAAGAAAAAAAGTGAGAGCAGAAAACGGGCGGAAATAAATTCAGGGGCACGTGTCGCAAGATAATAATAGACTCGTCCACGGTACTTGAAGCACGGTGGACGAGAAGTAGGTGCTCTTGAGCAGCATCCGACTTGCGGGGAGGGAAAACGCGCTGGGAAAAAAGAAGGCACGGAAAAGAAGGAAAGGAGAACGAAGTGGAGGAGGGAGGAGCAACTAAAACGATGACTTTTATGCGGCCGAAAGAAGCGCCAGAGAAGGGGAAAGGATGAATGGACAACCTGATTTGGGCCTTCATCTTCGACCCACGACCCGCCTGACCGAATCATTAACTAAGAGGAGACTAACGGAGTGTCTAACCATGGGGCCACGATTAATCAGAAATCCTCCGAGGATCGAGATGATGTTCTGACCGGCGGTGGAGACATGGAGAATGCGCATCTTTTCCGACGTCCAGGATAATTACTCCGTGTGTAGATTCGCGATGTCGACTGACTACACTGAAAGACAGAATGACAGCAGACATCCATGGATGGTCAACGGTGCCAACGCCTCCGGAGACACCCCTTTGGGCAATTAGGGCCTAGGGCAGACAGCCCCGGACCGTCCCGGCGTTGAGAAGCCGCGGTTTCAGCCATGCTTCACCATGGACACCCCTCAGGCACTGGAAATAATGAGGATTGTCCCTGGTCCACTGTTCCTCACGTTGTTGGCGGGTTGATCTTCAGGGTGTTGTCCCTGCTGGACTGGTTCGTTCGCCTACTACGTACAGTGACACTCAGTACTACCAAGTATATACTATTGCGATTGTCTATCTGTACATACAACTATCCCCGAGTCTAACCCCCGACCAGGATTCAAGCTAGTCGCAAACCATTTCTGACTCGCAGCCTCGTCGCCAGAAATGAAACCGAGTCAATTTCAGGCACAGGGCGAATCATGAATAATAACTGAATACGGAGTATTCACCGCAAGTTCACCGCGGTGGGGAAACGGTGGAGAATAGGAGTTGAGGAGGCAAAAAGAAAAAGAAAAGAAGCACCAAGAACAAAAAATGAAAAATGAAAAACAAAAATGAAATAAAAAGAAATAAAATAAGCGACTTCAACGGTGTAGAACGGTAGAACCAACCCTACCATGGCATTATTTTAGCGTGCCAACATGCTAATGGCCATCTCATACGCCTTCTCTTTGGCGTCCCCCTGGACAGTCCCCGCCGCCGCCCTCTTATCCCAACCGTGGTTACACCCTCGCATCCTTTGGCACACCACATGGCGACCGGGTTCTTGCTCGATTTTAGCTGCCAGCTCTTCGGCTTCTCCCGCCAGACTGTCACCGCCCGCCGTGACCACCAGGATGTTATCCGGGAATCGCTCGGCCTGCGCGTAGTACGGTGAAATCCGCGGATCCCGGGCATCCACGGAGGAGGGGATGTAGCAGCTATTGAAGATCCGAGCCACCAGGGGTGGGATCGGTTTCCCCTCAGGATCCGGGAACGTCTTCTTGGCTGGCTCCGTGTGCAGGTCCAGGACAGGGTAGAAGGCGAGGACGGATCGGAACGTTTCTCGCGCGAAGAGAGTCGACGACGCCCCCAGGGCGAGGTTTCCGCCCGCGCTGAACCCAGAGATGGCTACCCGGGACAGATCAAAGTCGCTCGGTCGTTCGAGGACCCAATTAACGGCGTCCTCGACATCGTTGAGCGCCGCGGGGAACGGATTCTCGGGCGCCAGGCGGTACTGAATGTCCAGCACCGTGTACGGAGTTTCGCGGCTCACTTTCTGGCAGAACTCCTCGTCGCTACCGTGCTGCGGGAGGATAAAGCCTGACCCGTGGAAATTGAGGAGCACAGGGGCCGGAGTTGGTGCTGACGTCGATCTATAGAGGTGCGCTTTGATCGTTCTCTCGGCGTCCCGGGATTGGATTTGCAAGACGTCATTGGGATTCACCACGAGCTCCCTCCGCATGAGGTATCTGAACAGGACGGCAAACAATTTTTGCCAGAGGTAGGAAAACGAAAACATGATTGGCTACGCTGAATCCTTCGGCAGTTAGGAATTGATGATGCCAATCGCGCACGGGTCCCAGAAAGGGGGAGTTGGAGAAATGTCGACGCTCTGAATCTGAATCAGATTTTCGGATTGTCAACGGCTTTTTTGGCACGCGTGAGGAGTGCAGAAAGACGAGTTTCACATCGGCCGATCGCACGCGATGACGCTCCAATTGAGAACTTGGTATCCCGGCGCGGTGGATTGTTGCCCGCCTAGGGCGAAACTAGGGGTGGTAGTCAATTCGAAACCAAGCTGAGGTCCACTCGACGCGTGGAAAATAAGGTCTGAAGTTGCTCATCAACTGAACCATCAACGGTAACCAGTGGTCATCTTCGTGGGGATAGGAGAATGATAGTCATTAGTCTCCGGTGGCTCCGCATTGTGTGCATATTGAACTCGGCAGTCGGGCGGTGATTTCATGGGTCGCAGTGCCGAGAAGCCAGTGCCGCGTCTCTTTCTACGTCCTCCGTAGTAAAGCGTCACCTCCAGGCAGCGACTGAATTTCCTATCGTACGGAGTAGATTTTGGTTCTGTCTCCCCTTTTCTGGCTGAGGGTAAGGTACGGGGTACTTTCGTCGCTGATTGACATCACCCAGCTCCACCGGATTGATTCCCTGCAAAACTGTTGGTCGCAGGCATTGCCGTGCGATCCCCGAGCGCAGCTTCGGCTGACTTGCTTCTGCGTGCCTCCTACGGAGTATTCGGACCTGAATGCTTTGGGTGAGGCTGTTTTGCGCTAATGTACAGTAGCTGTCATGCTCCTCATCCGCTCAAAACTCCGTACTCTGTATGTCTGTCCGCGCTCGACCTATTGCATATGCTCTATGAGGATGGATGCTTATATGCGGTGATATATCATGCCTTGCAGGCTGACATGGGGTCTCACAAGGAGAGTTCTTGTCGTTTATTGTCATGCGTACGGGGAAATTGCTTCATGATAAAAATTTGCCAATTTATGTATCTAAAAATGGCTGGTGATATATATCTTTGTGACCTCTCGGCAGGAAGCAAGCCTTAACCTCATCGAACTTCTATATTTTACGGAGCATAGTGTTTATCAGCAGTAGATACTCCACAATTCTCTATTCATTTTTCTTGAAACACGTTCCATAACATATAATCGAAACAGTCTACTGTACTCCGTAGGCAGGATTCTGATATCGGACAAGTCATATCGTTGACAATATGCACTATACCGATTTGAGGTTAGCTCGAGATAGGACCATAATGGCAGAAGTTGTCAAAACATCAAGACCAAGGCCAAGCGCCATAAACAATGGCAAATAACAGACAGTATAAGCGATGGCTACTCCGAGCTCCAATAGCTTTAGCTGAGCATTAGCATAGACATCATCTGCGACATGTCAAATGACAGTCGGGCTGCAGAGGGCTCACGTGCGTCTCCGTGGAAATAGAGGAACGGACGCTGATATTTCCACATGACTCCAGAATTCCAGACAATGGCCGCATATTACCACGCACCCGGCGACATCATGGCTCGTTCCGTCACTCCGCCTTCATCACTCCATTCAATCGTCTATCTATCTAGCCCGATTTCCATCCTTCAAGCTCTCTGAGATCTACAGACAGCTCGCAGAATAGACCCAGCCTCGAGCGAATCATAATATTCAGGATCATCGTATCGTATTATTGATCAGCACACAAGGTGCAGCCGCCACTGCTGGACAGTGACAAACCGCCGCAAGATGACCTCGCTCAATAAATCAGGCGACACGCAGTTCACAGTCTTCATCCGTCTCCCTTTCCCAAGGGGAGATTTCGTTGACCCTCCTCCTGTAAACTATATGCTTAAGAGGTCGGACTAATAAAAAGCGCCCGCTGACTCTACCAGGTCGAATGGAACGCCGCCAAGGACCAAGCGCTCTGGGATCTCCTATCGCGGCCGTCAAAGGGAGATGATATAGACTGTATGCTCTGATCCAATGCTGCAACTCTGATTATTACTAATACGAGTACAGGGAAGGCACTGTATGCATTTTGTCCCTGGTACAAACACCCCGTGTACTCGCTAAGTTGTTTGTTTGTTGTTACAGGGCGGAGAGCTTTGACGTGACTCTGCAATTCCTCCTGCAGCAGGCAGCATGGCTGTACGATCGGCAGCTCGCCCAGGTTCGGGCGCAAATGCGTAAAGTGGGCGGCACCACGCAGTCAAACTCGCCGTCTCCGGCCCCGGGTTCTGTCTCGGGGAGCACGGCTCTGGGGAACCAGCCGAGTAAAGGGGCACCACCCAGTACCGGTATGAAGCCCCGGGATTCATCTCATGCAACGCTGACGACTGCTTCAGGCTCGAGAGTGCCCCCTCGGCTGTCGTTACAGCAGAAGGATAACCCTCCTCCTCGGGGTGAGTGTCTTACTTCAAGAATCATCAAGTGTCACCCAACTCACGTCCCATGTGCAGGTATCGGATCCCGTCGCACCAGTTCCACAACTACCGTCAACCAGATCAAAGCCCTGCGAGACTCGCCACGGATCGAAAATGCAGCTGGCGAGCCGAAAGACCCAAGACGCGAAAGCTACGGTCGACGCCCATCGACGAGTCGACGAGAGCAGGCGCTCAACGCCCCCGTCCACAAGTCGCCACCACTCGAAGAAGAAGACCTCTCGTCGAGCTCCTCCGAGTCCGAATCCGACGACAACGAGGTGATGGGCAGTCGGCGAGGCCATCGGTTCCGGCCATTCGGCCCTTTCTCAATGCATCGGCCGGGATTGAGGGATGACGACGAGGATGAGGACGAATCCCCGGCTTTTGTACCCCTGTCTCCCGAACTCGAGCCAGCCCAGCGTGAAGCGCCTGTATCGGATCTCAACGCTACCCTCCGCGACGAGCCTGCCGATGCGCGACGACGTATGGTGAACCCATCTCAGGTTCAAAGACAGCCGTTTACGACCGAGTCACCCGCTAGTTCAATCAGTTCTGGATACCCTGCCGACCGACGCCGACGTGCAGACCAAGGCAGCGGGCCATTGAGTCCCCGGCGGACAGAGTTGGGATACAGCCCGCGAAGGTCTGTCACCTCCGGAAGAGAGGCCAGCGACGGCACCCCCAGCATGGGAAGTAGCTACAGTGATCTGGATGGTGAGCATACCCGTTGATTGCCGTCCCGAGACGAGGTTTGTGGCTAACATATCTGGTCCAGATGCAAGCGTGACCCAGTCCGCACTCGAGGAGGCTCTCATGAGCAACATGCAGCATGGCGGGATGGCCAGCCGAATGAGTACGTTCAGCCAAGCTCTACGGAGTCGGTATTTGTAAGTAGTGCGGAGAGTAGGACAGGGGGTGAATTTGATGGTTGCCTGGTATCCTTGTCCCCCATACCTCTAGGAGAAAAGCGACAGGAGAAAAGTCCGACGATGATCACCCCCTAGCCAGTCTAGTTGCGCATCCTTATTTCCATGAAATGAACCATTCTCTCTTCATCCACCGGTGATCCGGGTCACGTGGGTCTCCGCTCGCCCGACAGTGCTTAAGTAAGCTGTCATGCATCCCGAAGGCGGTGAGCCGGTCACCGATGCCCCTCGGCTTCTCGACGCTGAGATGCCGAGTCGACCGACCGTTCCAGCCGTCCAGATAGATTCCAGTCATCGTTTTTTGCTCGTGTGTGAAGTCGTCTGCTTTGGATACATCCTCAGTTAGATCTAGATCATCAGTGAGGATTATCTGTCGTGGTGAACTGAGGAAACTCAGCAGGTACTTCTACCCCGCGGGGATCCGTGATCGATGAGCTTATGCTTTGACCTTTGACTAACCCAGAAATCTAGTAGTTTCTGAGAATCGACTCTTTCTTGATTTCTCCCTCCCAGACCAGTCCCATGTCGACGTGAGCGAAGCTCAAATTATAGAAATCGTGTATATGGTGGATTGATAGATACATTGCTCAAATATACTACCTACAGCACATTGAACGCTACCTACCAGACCCGCCTCGAAGATGGCCTCGACCGCGCCAGAAATGAACGCCGACGCCGAGTCGGGTTACTTCAACAACTTCCCGCCGCCCAAGTCCCTCCCCAAACACGAAGCCCTCGCTCGAGCGTTCATCGACTATCATGTGGAAGCCAACCGGCGGGTGGTGCTCGTCACGTCTGGCGGCACCACCGTGCCGCTGGAAAACCAGACCGTGCGATTCATCGACAACTTCTCCGCCGGAACGAGAGGTGCCACGTCGGCCGAGTACTTCCTGCAGGAAGGGTATGCGGTGATCTTCCTACATCGGCAGTTCAGTCTGCTGCCGTACTCGCGGCATTACAGCCACTCGACCAATTGTTTCCTGGACTTCATGGACGAAGCGGCGACGGGGTCGGACCAGGGGCCCGTCATGGTGCGCAACGAATACCAGGACGAGATGCGGGACGTGTTGAGGAAATACCGATACGCGAAGAAGAACAACCTTCTGCTGCTGCTGCCGTTTACGACGATCGCCGAGTACCTGTTTGAACTACGGTCGCTGTCTCAATTGATGCGACCGCTGGGACCAAATGCGCTCTTCTACCTGGCGGCCGCGGTGAGCGACTTTTTCATCCCCCGCGATCGCATGGCCGAGCACAAGATCCAGTCGTCCGAGCTGCCTCCAGAATTCAGCAAGAGCGACGAAGCGATCGACTCGTCGGACATCTACACCGGCGGACTCGACGCCACGGCCCCCAGCAATAGCAAGAAGCTGGTCATCGACCTGGACCCGGTGCCCAAGTTCCTGCACCGGTTGGTGGACGGCTGGGCGCCCGACGGCAGCATGATCGTGTCATTCAAGCTGGAGACGGATCCCAACCTGTTAGTGTACAAGGCACAGACGGCCCTGAAACGGTATTCCCATCATCTCGTTATCGGGAACCTCCTCTCGACGCGTAAGTGGGAGGTGGTCTTCGTCACGCCCGACGCGCCGTACGAGCGATGGATTCGCGTGCCGAAATCTCGACGCAGCAAGAGCATCTCGGGCGCAGAGGACCAGGTTGGACTGGCCGAAGCAGCGGGCGGCCATCCCGGGCAGAGCGGCGAGGCGCAGCAGAGCGACAGCGGACCGGAGGGAGTCGAGATCGAGAACCTGATCATCCCCGAGCTGGTGAAGCTACACTCGAAGAAGATCACGACGCACCAGAGCAAGGCGTGAGGGTCGGTCGGGGATGCTGTATGCAACGGACATTAAGGGGGAGGCTCTTCGGCGACCGTTGAGAACAGATGGTCTTTTTCGCAGGCATGGCGTTGATTGGACGGAGTGTCCTTCAACGCTCAAGAATAAATTAAGCCCTGATCTGGATGAGACCGGCACCAGATTGAATTCTGATTGTCGGTGGAGAAAAGCGTCGCGGGTTGTCGTCATCGCGCGGACGATCGAGGAGGGACTAGTCCGCGAGTGTACGTAGTTAGTTGTAGCCAGTGTACTCCGTACCACATAGTTGGCAGGGAGAACCCTTCAGGGGCAACAATGCAAATGCCAGAATTCCTGCAAGTGCATGCCGGGAGTGAGGAATCTGCGGAATTTAACCATTCAATGGATTAATCTACTGGACGGGGACAGGGACTCCCGCTAACTTTACCCCAAACCCCCAGAAATCGCCCTTCAATCTTTTCCTCTTCTTCCTCTAACCAAGGCTAAACAGCATCAGAATGACACGGCCCAACCACTGGGAACTGGGGGCCGCGTTTCAGCTTGACGTTTAGCCGCCGTGTCCATTTCGTGCCCATTCCGAAACTAACGCGTCATCGACGACGGTTCAGATCGCCATGGAGAGTGGGCCGATCGTCCCTCTGCTGCTCTACATACGTCTGCTTGTTCGTCTGCGCGCCGCTTAGCCAAAAAGACCAGAGAAAAAACGTGCAACTGGCGGTGCCTGCGTCGATCGCTGTCTCCCGTGATCCTTTTCCTTTCCTTTTCCCTTCCCTTTTTCTCTTCTCCCCCTCTCGCCGTCTCCTCTTTTCTCCTCTCGTCTCCCCTCTTATTCCGCCCTCCTCACTCGCCTCTTGCCTCCCCCAAGCCCAATCCATCGAGCATCATCCCTGTTTAGTGTTCTTCCCGCCGGTTGGATTGCATTTGATTGACGGACCTCGGAAACCAAGCATTATCCTCCGAACCAATCACGAGAACCTGCCCCGGCTGACTGGAAGCACGAACTGACCAACATCGATTTTGGGGGACAAAAAAATGCTGAACGTCGGTTCCAACGCTTGGGAGGATCGGTCATAATTTCGCTTGTCTCACTTCTGTTCCGTCTAATTGCTCTGCGTGGTGGCCACCGGACACCCTCGACCACACTACTCCCACAGAACCGCCGCTCTCGAGCTCTCCCCCCCTCCCCGCAAGCTAGGATGATTCCCACACGCCCGTTCCGCCGTCGCACCACCTTCCTCGCCGCCCTCCTCGGCCTCTTCCTTCTCTACCACTTCCTCACGATCCGACAAGAACTAGAACCGCCTCATGAGCGACGACGAGTCGATTGTCCGCCCTTACCGGGCATGGACGACGTGCTGGTGGTGCTGAAAACCGGGGTGACCGAAGCGACGGACAAAATCCCGATCCACTTCCAGACCACGCTGCGCTGCGTCCCGCACTATGTGGTCTTTTCCGACTTCGAGGAGGAAATCGGTGGAATCCGGATCTACGATGCGCTGCAGAACATGGACCCGGAGGTGAAGCGCACGGTGCCCGACTTCGACATCTACAACCGCCTCCAGAGCCAGGGCCGAGCGGGTCTTGCGTCCGACGACTTCGCCGACGAGGCCAACTCGGCCATCGGTAAGCCCAACAACCCCGGGTGGAAACTGGACAAGTGGAAGTTCCTGCCGATGGTGCAGGAGTCCCTGAAATACAAGCCCGACGCGAAGTGGTACGTGTTCATGGAAGCGGACACGTATTTCTCCTGGGGCACCCTCATGGCGTGGCTGTCGCATTTCGACGCCTCCAAGCCGTATTACATCGGCACCGAGACGCAGATCGCGGACGTCATCTTCGCCCACGGCGGCTCGGGCTTCGTCGTCTCCCGACCGGCCATGGAGCTCGTCAACGACGACTACAACACGCGATCCGTCCTGCTGAACGAGTACACCGACGGCCACTGGGCCGGCGACTGCGTGCTGGGCAAGGTGCTCGCCGACAACGGCGTCTCGCTGCACTACTCATGGCCCATCCTGCAGAACTCCAACGTCGGCGAACTCGACGAGTTCACCACCGGCTTCTACCGCGAACCGTGGTGTTTCCCGGCCGCCGCCTTCCACCACGTCGGGGCGTCGGACATCCAAGATCTGGCGCAGTTCGAAATGCACCGCTGGCGACTCGTAAGTCCCCTCCCCACCCATCTCTCTTCCATTGCTCCAAACCAAGAAAAACCTAACAATCCTAGTCCCAAAAAACCACCCTCCTCCACAAAGACGTCTTCCAAGAACTCATCTACCCCGAACTCTCCAACGTCCGCGACAACTGGGACAACCTGTCCGAAGACGAGCAGCTCGTCGTCTCCTCCTTCCACGAGTGCAAGTCCATCTGCACCAACGACCCCGACTGCGTGCAGTTCGTCTACCGCGCCGACAAGTGCTTCACGGGGAAGACGCCCCGGCTGGGGGTGCGCAACCCCGACGCCCGCGCCGGGTGGATCGTGCGCCGCGTCGAGTCCATGGTCGATAAGGCGCCGTCGTGCTCCAAGCCTAATTGGGGGGTATGATGTTTTCGCTGATATGGTGTTGATGATTGATTTTGTTTCGAGCTGGTTTGATTTGGTTTGGTTTGGGTCGGGTTGGGTTGGTTCGGTTCGCGGGTCGACGACAATGAAATACGCTTCTTCTTCTTCTTCTTATCTTTTCTTGTTATGTTTTAATATTCTTCTTTTTTTCTTTCTTTCTTTTCTCTTGCTTATAGACCTGTTTTTCTTGCTTTTCTCTCATTTTGGATTTCTATCTTTTGTCAGCTTGTTTGTTCATCTTATGCAGAGAATGGCGTATGTCGAGGATGCTTGCTTTATGCATTGGGCTCAGGAGTTCTATACTGACTTGATTGGAACCTTTGATTCCTTTTTATGTTCCATTTCCTTTAATCATACTACAGTACAATGGCAGGACTTTACCATGTCCAGGTTGACCAACACCAACAAAAAATACAATCCAACGCATCCTATCCCATCACTCACCCATGAACTGAATCTCAGCCCTCCCAGAATCAAAAGCCAAGATCCAGATCAAGATCCCCTAAACACTGATCCACCCTCATAACTCTCAACCCCAAACGCTTCACAAACCGAATCACATCAACCAGGTAATCCACCGTACTCTCGCTCACGAAATGCATGACGGCCAGATTCCCGCCCTGCCGCACGTCGCGGTAGAAGGCCTCGAGCTGGCGCTCCGGCGTGCTGGTGTTCGCCCACAGCCAGTCCTCGATGTCGACGCTCCAGTTGATGATGTGCGGTTCGGGGAGGTGCGATGCCAGGCGTTGGCGCGTGCGCGCGCCCACTGTGCCGTAGGGGGGTCGGAAGTAGCGGGCTGATGGTACCCATTACCCATGGGATGGGTTGTTAGTTGGATGAATGGGCTATTGTAAGGGGAGAGGCGAGGAGCGAGTGTGTACATTCAATTCCCAAGTGATCCTTCAACGCTTGGATATTCCTTGTGATTTCATCGTCGATTTCATCGGTCGATGGGAGGGATTCGAGTCTAGATATTGTCTTGTTAGACACCGAGATGGTCAAACCGGAAGAAACAAAAATGAAGAAGAAAAGAACCCACTTCCGATGCGTCTCCGAATGCAACGCAATCTGATGTCCCCTCCTCTTCATCTCAGCATAAACACTCGAGAAATTGGTCTCCGGATCCTGAATCCCCATCCCCACCACAAAAAACGTCACCAGAATCCCCTCTTCCTCAAGGATCTGCATGACACGATTCGCAAACTCCGGCCTACCGTCGTCAATACCGAAGGCGAACGAATTAGGCACCGTGCATCGCAGATTAAGCGTCCCGCTGGGGAGTTTCGTCGGGACGCGGAAAGACGCCGGGAGTTCGGTCTCGGTGACGAGGGCCACGCGGTAGAAGGTGACTGGGTCAGTGGTGTAGAAGCCGCTGAAGCCGATGGAGACGACGCGGTGCAGGTCGATGTTGAAATGGGAGAGGGGGATGTAGATGGCGCTGGGCTCGGAGGCGTTATGCTTGTTGAGGGTGGTGTTGGCGACGGTTTGGTAGCGAGCTGCTTCCACGGTGTCCCATGTCTCTGGGTAGGGGTGGAGAGAGGGATCGCAGGCGTCGTTGTGCTGGGTCAGGGAGATGTCGAATGCTGCTGGGCCGGAGAAGACGACGTGCAGGTAGCGGTGCTTGTAGGGGACGAGGTTGAAGCATAGGGCGGAGCTGAGCTGTGTGTGGTAGGCTTGGTCGGGGTCAGTTGGATAGAGGGTGATGGAGCCTGGGGTGGTGGTGATCTTGAGGGCTTCTTGAGGGCCGTGCCAGTGTCCTAGGGCGTTTGTTGCGTTGTTGGAAAAGGTGTCGATGGTGAGGGGGCCGTCGTAGCTTGGTGAGTGCGAAAAGGTGGTGTACTTGGATGGGGAGAGGGGAGAGGAGACAGAGAGTAGGGATAGGGAAATGAGGAGTATCACTGCAGAAAGGAAATGCATTTTGTATGTTCTGTGGGTCAGTAATTGCTGCAGTGGTGGGAACAGGCTGCCCAGGGCGAGACGGTGAGTGTATGCTGTTGACTACATCTACAATTGGAAGGCGCGAGGCTCGTGAAATTGCATAATGGAAGACTCGTTGATTGACTTCTTAAATGTGTCCGTACAAAGTCACAGCTAGTCGTCCTTCCAGCCCAAATTCCTCCCAGCTCTCCAGTAGCGGTCAGATACTCAGTCGTAGGAAAGTCAACCGGCCCGTGTCCAGCGTAGGACCACACTCGAAATCAACGCAAGGCATGGAATCAGAGAACCTGCTCTGATGGACTAAGGGAAGGGAAAGGTGGGACCTGGTGGAGCAGACATCTCGTAAGTACCGGGTTGGAGGGTTGCCTGGCTGGCAGTCTCCTCGAACGCCCTGAACGAGCAATGAGGCGATTCCCAGAAGCTAGGCAGCCCAAGGTCCCGGCCTGAGATAAAGTATTCACTCCCAGCCAGCATCAGCGGCAGGAGCGGCATCGTCGGAGGTTTCCATTGGAATCCCACCCCAGGCAGCTCCAGTATCATTGGTCTCCCCATCGTTGTTGACACCGTCATTCGCGTCTGCCTCGTCATCGGTGTCATCATCGAAAGTAAGTTTCTCATCAAAAGGCTTGTACGACTCCAGGAAATTAGGAATATTCTGCTTGCTCTCAATCAGAATCTTGACAAGGTCGGGAGCAAGGTCATTGTCACGGTCGTTGTAGAAGGAGGTAGCAAGCCCCTGGTTGCCAATACGAGCGGTACGCCCTGTTCATCGTCAGACTTCGTTACCTTCGAGGAGGCAGGAATCTTACCAATGCGATGAATGTATTCGGTGATGCCGCCGTGGTTAACACGGGGAAGATCGAAGTTGATGACATGCATCACATTCTTGATGTCGAGACCACGCGCGGAAACACCGGTTGCCACCATGATGGGGCACTTGGCAGTCCGAAAAGCGCGCCTGTAGTATGTTAGACAGTCCCATTTAGTACACTCATAATACTGACAAAGCATCTTCACGCTCACGCTGAGTACGATCCGAATGAATCGAAGTACTTGGCATTCCCATGTTGAAGAGATAGTCATCGAGGAAATCAGCTTGAGTTTTGGAGTTCACAAAGATAAGAGTACGGGAGGGCGGCATGGAAAGCAGCAAGTCGAAAAGACACTGCTTCTTAAGGTGGTCCTCTGCAAAAACAATCTAAGAGCGTCAACTTTGACCTAGGTATATGTTGGGACAAACCTTACATTCTGATCCACGTTGATATGGGTAGAGCCCGGGCGACCAATTCGAACACGAACATGATCATCGGCCAGATATTTCCGTGCCAACTCACGGCAGGATTTGTTGAAAGTGGCCGAAAACATCATGTAACGGTGATCGGCATCCTCATTGATATCTCCATCCGTCAGCATCGATGCTATGGAACCAGAACAGAGAGCTTACCTCCTCCCGACATGATCTTAGCAAAATCGGATTCCCAGTCGGACAGAAGAAGCTCATCAGCCTCGTCAATGATAGTGTACCTGGACGATGGATTAACGATTGCACAGTCGCCGGATCAGCGGACTTACTTCACACGACGAAGAGAAAGGATATGAGGTTTATCCATGAAGTCCAACAGGCGACCCGGAGTTCCGATCAGAATGTCACAACCTCTCGCCAATTCTTCTCGCTGATCACGCACCGGAGCACCACCGTAGACCACACAAGGACGCAGCATGGACCGATAGCACAGACGACGAGCCTCATCGAAAATTTGGGTTGAAAGTTCTCTGGTAGGAGCGACAATCAAAACCAAGGGCTCCGCCCGGACGGAGTCAGTGGTTGGGTCATATCCAGCGACCAAGTTAGGGCGTTTAGCGGCCAACTTCTTCGCTTTGCCCATCAGCTGCGAGAGCACGGGAATCAAAAACGCAGCGGTTTTTCCAGAACCTATACTGTCAGCTGTGCACTGAGGGTCCGGCCGAAGGGGTACTTACCGGTTTGCGCAATGGCAATAAGGTCATGACCGGTGAGCACTGCGGGAATGGAGTAGGCTTGGATGGGAGTAGGGTAGTCGTAGTGACACAAACGAATATTCTCACGCATGATCGGATGCAAGCCAGCATCGTTGAACTTGAGGCTTGTCAGTCACCCCACCGACCAAATTCGGGAACTTAGGGGGAACATACGTCTTTGACAGGCTTAGGACGCTCGTGACTCTCAGCGACGACCTCGATGTTCTGCAGACTTGAAGAAATTAATCAACTGAAGTCAAAGCTTGTCGAACGTATCTGCACGTACTTGCCAAGTTTCAAGCCAGCCCTGTTGATGAACTCGCTGCGAAACAGTTGCTCTTCGAGCTCGAGATTTTCAGGGCCGACATCTCCATACTCATCTTTCCACTCGTATTTGGCAGCGTTGGCCGCCCACTCGGGAAGGTCGGGCTGAGGAGCATCGTCCGAGGGCTTGGGAAGAGGGGGCAAAGTATTGCTATACTTGGAGTAGTCGTAACTCTCCGGCTCACCCCAACCCTTTTCACGGGCAGCATTGGCAGCTTCGGCCTTTTTGTCCTGGACATTGGTGACGTCCTCGAGGGCATTGCCCATCTCCGAAGTATCGAAGCTGGCCATATTGTCTGGAAGAGACAAAGAAGTGCAGAAGAGAGAGGGCTAAGAGGAAGACAAGATGAGAAAGAGCTGAAAAGAAAACAACACGAGACTTGAGTAAGAGTCAAGTAATTATCAACGAAGCCAAAGAAGCAAGAGAAGAGAAAATAGATGGAAGGGGATGGAGAAGAGTTGTTGGGAAGAAGAGAGTGGGAGGAAGAGGTTGGGGGAAGAAAGAAAGGTGAAGGAGGAAGGAAACAGAAGAGAGAGAGGAGTGAATATAAACAAAGCTCTCACCTGCTCCCCCGGTGACTGTCACTGGTACGACTTCCCAGCGCCACGTTCTACAGTGAAGAGAACTCGTTTGTCATTGGATACTGGAAATAGATTAGCCACACGAAGGAAGTGCAGACAGAATCTTCTTCTTCCATAGGAGGGAAGAGGAAAACAGTCGGGTACCTGAGAGACGAACAGTAGAAATCCTGTAGAAGTAAGCCATGTCTCAGCCAAACGTCACCAGATTGGCTACCTTTCTGAGTTCTGCAGAAACATCTACCCAAGTGTAACAGTTGACTCTAGTCTAGGTCCAATTAGAAGGGTTTACATGCAACAGGTGTTCTGGAAAGCCATGGAAGCCAGGAGGATGCAGCTATCCGGAATTTACGATGAAGTCTGCGGGCTTGATTCAGAGGCTGGCTTAGGATATGCAAATTCCAATTTTCTGATGGCTTTTGTAATGTTTCTCCGGCCTTTTCTGTCCATGGAAGGATTTGGAAGTATGTCTGAGTTGTTGCCTTATGCCCTTCCGTGTATGCCTTACAGCCTTACAGCCTTACGGCCTCGTTGCCTGGCTCTACCTGGCAGCCTCAGGCCGCGGATGTCACGCGGAGCACGTCGGACTCGAGTCAACTCCAACTGCAACTCAACTTGGATCAACGCAGCTCAACTCAACTCAACCCAACCCAACCCGATCTCCTTGCATCCTGACACTGGCCTGATCCAAGAACCCCATTCGCAGCCGCGTGCATCCCGTTCCTGCCCTCCACCCGAAGCGAAAGGATGGACGGTCCCCAAGCAAAGCTCCAGCTCCACCGCGACCACCCAACGAAAGCGGGCAGAAGGAGATATACGCCGTAGGGACCATCACGGCCATCCCCATTGCTCCGGCATGGAGATTCGCCCCCGTCGCTCGCTTTCCCGATCCCTGAAGTTCTCAAGGTGATCGCCTCCTGTCTGCTTCTCTCCGTGAAATTCCTCCTCATCTCTCCCCCGACCGACCATGTCCTCAAGCCCTGATCCCGCCCGCAGTAGCGTTCGGCTGGACCGAGCTATCTTCAATCCCGGAGCTGTCAAGATCAACGTCAAAGGTGCCTTCATCGTCGACGAAGATCCTCGGTCCAAAAGTCCTGTCAGGACCGATGGCGTGCATTACGAAGGCCACGATATTCGCCTGCCTCATCACACCGGCATAGTGAGCCATGTCGCCGTCGATGTACGTTTCTTCCTCTGCTGGGCCTTTTTTTTTTTTTTTTTTTTTTTCATCTTGCTGCTTCCGCTGTTCCCCGCACATTTTCACCCCGCAATCTCAGTTATCTCCCCTTTTTCCACCCAACGCACAACGTCGCAACATCGTGGCTAACAATCCTACGACCTTTCTAGATTGGCGGTTCGCTGGCAAAATTGGTCTACTTTACTCGAGAGCTGGACTCCCCCGACAATGGCGGCCGATTAAACTTCATCAACTTCGAGACCCACCGCATAGACCTGTGCATCGAATTCATCAAGGAGCTGAAGGAGGAGCATGAAAAGGCCAATGGCCCGTCTCCGGATCAGCTCTGCGTGGTTGCGACCGGAGGTGGGGCCTATAAATATTACGACAAATTGAAGGAGGCGTTGCAAGTGAACATAATCCGCGAGGACGAGATGGAGTGCTTGATAACCGGTACGTCGAGCTCCCAGCCGAAGAACAACGTCGCTCATAATTCCCGGAACAGGTCTCGACTTCTTCATTACCGAAATCCCCAACGAAATCTTTACCTACAGTGAAATCGAGCCGATGCAGTTTGCCGAGGCCCGACCGGACGTCTATCCGTACCTATTAGTCAACATCGGTTCCGGCGTCTCCATGATCAAAGTGTCCGGCCCCAAACAATACCAGCGTGTGGGAGGAACCCACCTGGGTGGTGGAACATTCTGGGGGATTATGTCTCTGCTGACCGGGGCTCGGACCTTCGACGAGATGCTGGCTATGGCCGACCAGGGCGACAATAGCGGCGTTGATATGCTGGTCGGGGACATCTACGGAATGGACTATAACAAGATCGGACTGAAGAGTACGGCGATCGCCAGCACGTTTGGAAAGGTGTTTCGGCTGAAGAGTGCCGCCGAGCAGGAGTCGGGTACCGAAGGGGATGAGGCGGATGAGGAAAGCGAGCAGACGAATGGGGATGTCACATTCAAGAATGAAGACATGAGCCGCAGTCTACTTTACGCGATCAGGTATGTTGGCAACGGCCATGCGGCATGGTACAAGATGGATTTGCTAATTATTTCAGTAACAACATCGGACAAATTGCCTATCTCCAATCGGAGAAGCAGCAAGTCAAACACATCTATTTCGGAGGCTCGTTTATTCGCGGCCACCGACAGACCATGAACACGCTATCCTACGCCATTCGATTCTGGTCCAAGGGCGAGAAACAAGCCTATTTCCTGCGCCACGAAGGGTACATCGGTGCCGTCGGCGCCTTTCTACGCAGAAAACCCGTTAACTGGGGCCGTCGCAACAGCATCGACGGCGCCTCGGTCTAATTTCCCGGATACCCAACCATCCTTAATAGAAGCATCTACGACTGCATGCCCATCCCCATGCGCTTGTGATAACCCAGGGCCAGCCTAACTCCTGGCCCATTGATACCCGTTGAATTTCAACCATCTGGTGCACATTAGACCGAAAATATTGCTTTTGATCTGGTTGGATGTCTGTCGTTCTGGTCTGAAACACGAGCCATGTACCAGTTATCATATTTGAGCGTTTTGTACATTTCAAATTATATTACCTTTTGTCTAATATTTCTTTGTCCGATGTTTCGGCTGTTGGTTCCGGCTCCGGATCGTCTGGAGCCAAGGCAATATAGATGCTCTATGAACGCGCAATTACGGGAGAATGTGGCTATGCTGACAGTCTCACTCACTGTGTAGGTTTCAGCAGTCTTGTAGCCTTGCAAATGGCCGATGCCCAGCGCAGTTGTTTCGGGTGGCTGCGTCGATATAGCGGTCTGCAAACCTTCAATCTGTCGGTCTGCCAACTCCACTTGACTCCTGTGTTTTCGCCAGAACCTGGTTATTCCCCAGCGCCCCGCGTATAATTGCACTAATAATGCAAGATCATGGCCAGACCCGGCGTTGTTTCCTGCAGGTTGTTGCTAAGCAGAGATCTACCTGCCCAATCAGGAACATCTGCACCTGCGCTTCGACTATCGGCGTCTCGCCAATTGTCGCCAATTGTCTCGCTCGCCATTGGTGGTTCCAGACTCTCTCGTTTGCCTGTTGAATCCTCCCAGACACTGTTACTAGGCGCTGCGCATTTCTCTGCCGGTTTCGATTCCCGGAATTTGTACCATCGTCAACATGGGTGGCCAGTAAGTAGTGTCCCTTGAATCGCATCGTTGCTCATCTAATTGACAAGAACAAGTCAATCCGCCGCTATCAGACTAATCCACACGGAGTCCGACGACGAGCGCAAACCCTCCCTCTCTCCAGATCTACCAGACCCGGCACCCACCATGGTCATCGTACAACTGCCGCCGATCTTCGGACCCGACCGGCCCTTCCCCCCTCCCATCGTCGATGTTCTCAACGGATACCATCGAGAGAATGGCGCGCGGGTGCCGCCGTTCGCATACAAAGGCCGACCGGTGTCTCAATCCAAGGTGTTTGATCGGCAGGGCAAGGAATTGGATCTGTCGCTCTTTTCCATCCTGGAGCCCTGCCCATATAAAGTCCTGGTGCTTCATCACCCCGGCGAATGGGACCGCTTGGTGACGTGTCATTTGCCATATACCTCGAAACATGGGACATACTTGGTGGCGTGGTTAGGGGTCGAAAAGGGGTACGAGGCGGACTGCTGCGCCGTGAGGATCTTCAATCGTGATCTGAATGCGATTCGGTTTTCGGACGAAGTGTGGAAGTCACTGGACGATATGGGAAAGAAGAAAGATACGTCGACGAGATCTACGCCTAGGAGGAGGGTGGTTGAGGCGGCACGAAAGGCGAACGGGGTGAATGGCACGAATGGTACGAATGGCACTGCGAATGGCGCTACGAATGGCAGGACTGCCAATGCCGGCATAGCCAACAAAAATGGCACATCCAATTCTCAGGCGAATGCGAATGCGAATGCGAAGACCAATACCACCGCGAACGCCGCCGACTCCGAAAGCGAATACGAAACGGATTCTGGGTCAGACGAGAGCGAGGAGACGTCAGACGAAGAGGAATCCTCATGTCTGCCGCCCACGAAGAAGGTCAAGACCGCACCAGAGAGGCCCATTGCACTGTCGACCCAAGGCTCGGTGGTTTTCAAACTGGTGTCCTACAAATCCGGCGCAATCCGTTGCTTTCCTCTGGAGGAATGCACGACGGGGAAAGACCTGTTCCAGAAAGCTCGCGATTTCTTCCGCCTATTTGACCGGAACGTGGATGTGAAGATCCTATCCTGTCAGATATCCTCGCGACCAGAGCAACATTATCTGTTTGAGGGCAGCGAGGGGGAGTTTTCGCTGCTTGTCGAGCAGGTCAAAGGGACCCATCCTGGCGAGAAGTGCACTGTTGAAGTAGGGCATGTTTTGAGCGCCTGATTTTGCTTATTTTTCTTTCTTCTTTATATTTATAGCCACAATAACTTGCGCATAGCACATAGCAACATAGAATTTCCTGGATTGTTTACTTGACCTCATACTTTCACTCAGTATATGCCGTTCCCAAACCGACTTAGCGTCTTGGCTCCACCATCGTCATTCCTCTCCATCTCCATCTCCATCTCCATCTCCTCGCTTTCTTATCAACGCATTCGCCATGCCTCTGAAATGATTCCGCGTCTGCTCGATGCCTTCGTTGTCCGACTCGCCGCCCCCCGTCCCCCCTCCGGTCCCCGTCGAAACCCATCCCTACCGCGCCGGCCACAAGTCTCCCGCGCAGCAGCGCGCCCTGCCCGACCCGACCCGCCTCGCCCCTGAAGACGCCTACTTCTCGCAGGCGCTGACGCGCACGCGATCGGCCGACGGCGACTACGATGACTCGGTTGGCGTGCTGAACGGCGCCGCGTCCGTCGCCCTGCGACCGGCGCCCGCGGTGCCCGGACGGAAGGACTCCCGAAAGGTGCGAGGCACAAGCCGACGCCGACGGAAGGGGGCGTGGAAGAAGCTTCTCTGGGTGAAGCAGTCGTGTGGGTGGACTATCCCACTATCCTTTTCATTTCCTAGACGGAAATAAAGGTGCCCGAGCGACCAGCGCTAATTAATTACTTCCTCTACCAGATCCCGATAATTACACCGACACCGAAACCTTCCTCGATCATCTCCAGCGGAACCCGCGCGTGCGGCCCTACGACTTCTGGCCGCTGGTCGCCGACTCGACCGTCATTGTGCAGCATGTCTGCTCGGTGATCATCTTCGTGTGCTGCTTCGTGGGCATCGTGCAGGGGCGCGTCAGCCCCGTGTCGGTCGTCTGCTGGGGCAGCGCCGGGTCCGCGATCGGCTGGATTCTCTGGGACTCGTGGATGCTACGGGAACACGGGGAGGGGTTTCAAGGGCCGACGGGTCCTCGGAAGGGGACGACGGGTCCAGTTCCAGCTCGATGACTAGCTCGGGGAATCCGTCCGGGGTGTGGTCGCACGGGCAGAAGGACGGACAGGTGCATGGGTTGGGTTTGAGCATGAATGAGACGGGAGAGGGGGGTGAAAGCGGCGTCCAGGATCCGCAGCAGCAGCAGCAGCAACAGCAGCAGGGTCCGTCGAGCCAATCGAATGGGTTGGTCGGTCGGTTTGACGCCAGTAAATCGTCGCTGTTGTCGGCGCGGAACCGCCAGCGACTGTCGACGGTCAAGTCGGCGTTTCTGATCTACTGCGCGCTGCTGGGGCTCAGCCCGATCCTGAAGTCGCTGACGAAGTCGACGGCCAGCGACTCGATCTGGACGCTCAGCTGCTGGCTGCTCATCATCAACATCTTCTCGTTCGACTACGGCAGCGGCGAGGGCGCCGGGGCGACGAATTTCCCGGCCTCGTTGTCGACCAACGCGGCGGTGATGGCGTCTACGGTGCTGGCGTCCCGGCTGCCGTCGACGACGCACGTGTTCAGTCTCATGCTGTTCTCCATGGAGGTGTTTGGCCTGTTCCCCATCTTCCGGCGACAGCTGCGACACATCTCGTGGACGGGACATGTGTTTCTGACGCTGGTCCTGGTGATCGTCGCCGGGGGGGCAGTGGGCATCACGCTGCGCGGCGGATGGATGGCCGCGGTGGTGGGCTCGATCCTAGGCAGCATGCTGACGGCGCTGACGATGGGCGGGTGCAGCTGGTGGCTGATCAGCCTGCAGAAGTACAAGAACGTGGTGATCGGCCCTTGGGATCCGGCACGACCGATCATTCGACGCTGGGACTGACAGGCTCAGGGATCAGGCATAGACATTACATTAAAGGATGGCATGGAGGATGCCTGCAGCCTCGTCCGGCGGCTTTGTGCAGATAATTTTACTCTAGTGCAACAAGGCAATTAGACTCTTTGTTTGAATGTTCCTGGTCCTGGAGACTGGGTATTTGGCCCCGGTATGCGCGATGGAATGTGGAAGCCATCTCCATCCCTTTCATCTCGGCTGAGTTTTGGACCTGTCGAGTCGCACAGGAGCCCGTCAGCTGCGACCGCCGTGCTACTGATCTGTGACAGCAGCATTCTTTGTCTTTTTTAGGAGGCCAGGATACGTCGGCCATAATAAACAGCCGCCAGGGCGGGCATAAATAGCTGTCAGTGTCCTTTCCTTTCTCATCAGCCATCATCATCTCACCTTCCTTGAGTTAGTAGACATTTGCACTGTACAGAGACAGATCGAGTCTTTGACTCCTGTCGCCATTCTTTATCCCCCATCCATTTATTCACTCCTTTCATCTGAAAACAACAAAACCAAAACCAAACAAAAACAAAACCACCATCAAGATGAGGTTCAATCTCAACCTCAACCTCCTCCTCGCCCCCGCCATCACGGCCCTCCGCTTCGCCATGTACGTCGACCAGTACCACACCGTGGGCCTGCCGGGCACCGAAACCACCGGCGCCGTGACGCACGCCATCATGGCCTTTGCGCCGGCGAGCCTGTTCAACTCGGAGTCGGAGCCGACTTACAAGCCGTTCGAGAGCATCGAGACCTTCCGCGCGCGCTTCAACCCCGGCACGAAGATCATGTTCGCCGTCGGCGGCTGGGGCGATACCTCTGAGTTCGGGAAGGGCGCGAAAGACGAGGCGTCGAGACAGCGATTTGCGAAGAACGTGGCGGCTGTTGTGAACAGGGGGGGGTTTGATGGCGTTGGTTAGTTTCCCTCCTTCCTTTCCTATCCTTCTCTCCCCTGTTCTCTGAGATATAAGGGTGTACAGCGGGCTAACAAGACAGACATCGACTGGGAATATCCCGGCGGCAACGGCGACGACTACAAGAAAGTGCCCAACAGCGAGAAGACCAGCGAGATTGAGACCTACCCCCAATTCCTGGCGGCGATCCGGTCCGCCATCGGCAAGGACAAGCTGCTCTCGATCGCGGTGCCGGGCAAGCGCGTCGACATGATCGCGTTCACGAAGGAGCAAGGGCCGAAGATCTTCGAGTCCGTCGACATGGTGAACGTGATGTCGTACGACCTCATGAACCGGCGCAACAACGTCACCGTGCACCACAGCAGCGTCGTCGACTCGTTGGACTCGGTGCACGCGTACCAGGAGGTCGGGCTGACCGGCGACAAGATCAACCTGGGTGTGGCGTACTACGCGAAGTGGTTCACGACGAAGCCCGGGTGCGAGGAGGACCATCCGCTGGGATGTGAGGTCGAGCCGCTGGAGACGGCGGATGGCGGCGATACCGGCAAGTCCGGGGTGCTGACCTTCGAGGCGAGTACGATGGCCGAGGCGCCGCCGAATCTGAAGGAGAGTACGGACATGACGTGCGGGTTTAACGCGGGGACATTCTGTCCAAAGGGGACGTGCTGCAGTCAGTATGGGAACTGGTATGACATCCCCTCCTCCCTGGGTTGTGAGTGAAATGCTAATGGATGATAGTGGTACCGGCGACGACTTCTGCCAGACCGGGTGTCTGTCGGACTACGGCGAGTGCAAGGGTCTGTCGGTGCTGGACAGCTGGCGCAAGGCACTCAAGGACAGCACGACGGACGAGAAGGCCGGCGGGGAGTACTACTTCGACGAGCCGAACCGGCTGTTCTGGACGTGGGACACGGCGGCGACGATTGCGCGCAAGTTCCGGGACATCGTGGACCAGGAGAAGCTGGGCGGAGTGATGGCGTGGAGTCTGGGCGAGGATACGCTGGCGTGGGAGCATGTGGAAGCGATGAGCGAGGGAGTGAACGCGAGGAAGTAACTGGATTCATCTTGTGGTTGGGGAGGGATAGGGGAGTCTACTCAGTTTACCTTCAGTGCCTGTGGTCATGAGGCAGTTAAATAGGGAGGTAAGAATCAAGGACTGCATGGAATATCCATGATATCCCGTAAACATGTGATGCCACGATTGGCCCAGAAGCATCCATCGCAGCCAATCAGACAGCCCGAAAGCACTCAATATTGCAGATGCAGGCAACGGACCAATCCGCAAGCAGCACGCAGCACGGGGGAGTTTTTCTGGACGAAAGCATCAAGGGTCTTCGGTAGGGATTGCGAACATATAATAACATTATTCTCTCCCTTATTCCATTCTCTATCCTGAAAATGTAACCACCTCAAAATGAACCCCCAATTCCTCTCCCTCCTCCTCGGGACGCTGACCCTGGCGATCCCGATTCCCGTCCCTTCGCACGGAGTCTTCGTGACCAACAACAACATTGACAATCCCATTAATAATATCCATCCCACTCCCACACCAGAACCCCCAGTGGATCCCCCACCGACCGTTGCTTTCATTTCCAATATCAACACGCATTCTTATTATCAACCGCAACGCCAACACCTGCTATCAGTTCCACCCTCACCGAAGCCCGACAAAACACCCCCCCACCGTCCCCACCCGCCGAAGGGAAAGAATCCCCGTGGAAATGGAATGTGTCCGATCCAGAGCCACCACTCCAACCAGAGTCAGGGCTAGGGCTGGTCCTGGAAACAGGGGTCGCATCCACCCGTCCTCTTTCTGGCAGTGGTGGTGGTTCTGGTCTCCCGCGAGACGATACCGGAGAGACCCAGTCCCAAACACCGAGTCAGGGTGAGGGTGATGGCCCTTCGCACGGCAGATTCCTCCAACAGCAACAACTCCACCACACCAGTTCCAGTTCCAGTTCCACAGAGACCGAGAGACCCCAACCGGAATTAAATAATGGAAATCGGAGTATGCAGAATAAATCCCTCCCCGTTGAGAAACCCTCCCTCCGCCACCTCCGACTCCGACTCTCCACCCCCACCGCTAGCCCTGTCCCGAGGCTGCTGCACGCCTATGCCGGCCGGATTGCCGTCGTCGGGGGGCTGTTGCTGCTGCTGGTTCCTGTGTCGGTGGCGGTGGTGTGGGTGGGGGAGGTTTTTGTCCTCTGGATGGAGCGGAGGAGAGGAGAGTTAGAATTAGAATTAGATTTAGGGGGGAGGAGGAGTGAGAAGGGGGAGGCGATGGGGTGATGTCACATCCCCCCCCCCCCCCTTTTTTTTTGTTTCTTTCTCCGACCTGGGATTGAATTTTTTTGGGGTTGGTTTGCGTTTATGATACCTTTGGGACCTGGATGGCGTTTGGGTTTGGGTTTATTTTGGGTTGGATTAGGTTGGGTTGATCGATCGATCGGTCTACCTTTTGCTAAGCTTTCGGTTGAAGTTTTCGAAGTGGAAGATATACGTGGTCTACTGTACTGAATGTACATACTGTAGTGATTGTCATAGACCATCCGGGGTCATTCATTCGCTTGCTCGCTAGCATATGCATCGGCATAAATATGTATAAGAGTCATCAGATCATCCATCGAGAGAGAGACCCTCGTCTGAGCGTATGTACTGATCAAAGGGAAAAGAAAACAGAAAAAGAAAATCATAACACCATGCCAACCAACCCAAACCATTAAATACCGAAAAGAAAAGACGAAACTAGACATTCTCCTTCTGCTCCACGGCGCCCTTCTCGGCCGTGCGCATCGCCAGATCCACCTCCGCCGCCTCGCCCTGCGGCAGATGCTTGGCCATCGACACGATGTCCCAGCAGGAGGGCGCGTCGCGGAACACGTGGTTCAGCGCCTCGAGGTTGCGGTTCATCGTCTCCGGGTAGAACAGGTAGACGGAGATGGGGATGCAGGCGGAGATGACGGCGTAGACGATGTAGTACTGGTAGCCGATGGTGTCGAGCGCGACGGGGGTGATCATGACCACGACGAAGTTCCACAGCCAGTGGTTGCCCGTGGAGATGGCGGACATGGCGACACGCAGGCGCATGGGGGCCACCTCGGTGCAGTAGAGGAAGTTGCCGCCCAGGAAGCCGATGGGGTAGAAGGAGTTGAAGAGGAAGATGAAGACGGCGGAGACGATGGAGGCGGTGTGGTTCTCCTTGCCGAAGGAGTTGGTGATGGCGAGCACGACCATGCAGACGGACATGCCGACGCCGGAGAGGATGAAGACGGCGCGGCGGCCGAGCCGGTCGATGGCGAAGAAGGCGATGAAGCTGCACAGGAACTTCCAGGTCATGGCGCACGAGGCGAGGATCTTGGCCAGGTCGGTGCTCATGTCGAGGTTCTCCTCGAAGATGGTGGACACGTAGACGGAGATGAGGTTGCCGCCGCACATCTGCTGGAAGAACTGCAGCATGATGCACAGGCAGAAGCGGTAGAGGAGGCGCTCGTCGTCCTTGCCGGAGAACATCTCGGACAGGGAGGCGGACTGGCCGGAGGTCTCGAGGGAGGACTCGATGCCGGCGATCTCGAGGCGGACGGACTCGTCGTCGGCGGACAGGCCCTTGTAGTTGGCCAGGGACTGGGTGGCCTGCTCGACGCGGCCGACGCGGACGAGCCAGCGGGGGGATTCGGGCAGCAGGAAGACGGCGGCCATGATGACGAGGTTAAAGAAGAAGGAGATGGCCAGGGGGATGCGCCATTGCAGGTCGCCGGCGACCTTGGTGAGGCCGAAGTCGATCCAGTTGCAGAGCACGTAACCGAGACAGATGCAGATGCCGTCGACGACGACGTGCTGGCCACGGTGTTTGGCGGAGGTGCACTCGGACTGCCAGACGGGGACGACGGCGGAGAACTGGCCGATACCGAAGCCCAGGATGACGCGGCCGACGACAAACTGCGCGACGTCGTAGGAGGCCGTCTGCAGCAGCTGGCCGATGATGGCCAGGATGCCGCCCAGGAAGATGGTCTTGCGGCGGCCCAGACGCTCACCGAGGTACGTGCAGCTCAGGGCGCCGAAGAGGGCCCCCAGCTGGAACGAGGCGATGACGGCTCCCTTGCGGGTGGAGTTGGTGGACTTTTCGGCGCCCTCGGTGTTGATGGTGTCGATGGAAGGGAAGAGTTCGACCCAGCTCTCCAGCGTGGACAGAGGGCCCAGTCCAGCCTGGTTGTAACCGAAGAGGATGAAGGCCGGTGCTACAATGAGCAGGGCCTGCGCCAGACGGAGGGTTTTTCCAAAGAACATGATGGGACAATTGGCCAGACAGGAATACTGGGCGATGTCGTATCAATTGTCGAGTCGTCTGTAAGGAGAAGAAAGAGGGAGGGAGAGAAAAAAGGGAGAGGACACGACGGAAGGGGGATTTATATGTGAGATGCGCTGGAAAATCTCCGAGCGAAAAGCCTCCCCCCAGCGTGGAGACCCCGCATCATACACCGAAAGTCCTATGGGGGGAAGGGGGGAGACGGATGACCATCAGCGAGCTCCGATTGAGGGAGAGGCGTCGAAATGCAACGAAGTGGACAGAGAGAAAAGGTAGGTATGCCGCATCGAGTCCGGGTCTGGATGAATCATGGCGACCCACTCGTCGGACCGGGGCCGAACACAACCGGGAGAGTGATTGGATGCAGACTCCAGTCCAGTGGAGAGACTAAATTAGACGGTGGACTGGGGGCAGAAGCTGACAGGGCTTGTTGGGAAGATCCTGCCTGGTCGAGGAAGCGGGCGAAAATTCTGTCGAGTCAAGACTTTTAGGGCTCGGGGGAGCACATGTCCGCGAAGCTTGTCTATCCGGAGTATACAAGTCTGCTCTCTGTTCCTCGGAGGATTATTACTGTATTCCAGCATTTCCACGGCGTACTTCATATGGCATATGGCAATAATTGTACTTCAGAATATAACTTTATATAAGCATAATTATTTACTCAATACCAACTGCTCCACCACCGCCGCGGTCACTTCCTTCGTCGACGCCGTCCCTCCCAGATCCGCCGTAAGAACGCCGCGCTGGCACACCGTCTCCACTGCCTCCATCAACCTCGTCGCCGCGCTCTTCTCGCCCAGCCATTCCAGCATCTCCGCCGCCGTCCAGAACGTAGCCACCGGGTTGGCCACTCCTTTACCCGTGATGTCGAACGCCGACCCGTGAATCGGCTCGAACATGCTGGGATTCTGCCGCGTCGGGTCCAGATTCGACGTCGGCGCGATGCCAATGGAGCCCGCCAGCGCCGCCGCCAAATCCGACAGGATATCCGCGTGCTGTTAATAAGTATATTAGCAATCATTCTCTGGTCCTGGATGTAGTGTGCCCCTCTTTCCGTTTCTCCCCTCCTTCCATGGCTTCTGGACGGACAAGTTCCAGCTGGTCTCATGCATTGGCATTATCAATGCTTTGCATATCCTTGCCTGTCTCACCTGGTAACCCCCAAATTCCCAATTACTAATGGGGGAGGGGTGTTTTTTCCAGGATAAACATTGGATGATGCAACTGATAACATGACCAGAAAAAAAAAAGAAAAAATCCCAACCAAACAACCAACCCAAAAAGGGTAAAACACACACCCTCACCACTAACCCAACCAGGAAAAAGCCAAAAGAAGCAAAATAAAAAATAAAATAAAATAAAATAAAAACCAGGGCAAAAAAAGAAAAGAAAAAAAAAAAAAATGAAAATGAAAAGAAAAGAAAAGAAATCCACTCACCAAATTCGTCGCCACAATCGTATCCAACGACTCCGGCTTCAACACCATCCTCGTCGTCATCGCATCAACCAACATCTTATCGACCGTGACGTCGGGGAACTCGCTGGCCAAGCTGGCCGCCACCTCATCCCACAGCACCATGCCGTTACGCTGAGCATTGCTCTTAGACACGACAGTGAGCAGCTTCCGGGGTCGCGCCTGCGCCGTCTGGAACCCGAACCGCAGGATACGCTCGACGCCCACCCGGCTGAAGATGGCCGTCTCGGTGGCCACTTCCCAGGGCTGGCCGCGGTGCGAGCGCCCGCCCTGGCCGGCGTACTCGCCCTCGCTGTTCTCGCGCACAATCACCCAGTCGAGGCTGCCGACGGGGCAGTTGCGGAGGGGCGACTCCGTGCCGCGGAGGATTCGGGTCGGGCGCACGTTAGCGTATTGTTGGAAGGGTTGGCAGATGGCGAGGCGCAGGCCCCAGAGCGAGATGTGATCGGGAACGTCTGCATAGCATTAGTATCGGTGTTAGCATTGCGCTGGCGGAGGTTCGATCTCCGTGTGTGTCTGGTGGGTAGGGCAGGCAGGGATGGTTGCATTAGTCCGGTTGGACATTAGTTATGGCGAGGATGTGATTCGGACAGCTGGACACCGGTAACAGGGGGGTCTGGGAAGCCCGAGGCTGGCGGGATAAGCTTATGTGCGTTATGCATAACGCATGCATGTCTTAACTCTTAAGTCCGAGAGGATTGAAGATAAGGCAGTGTAACCCCGGGAAGCCGTAGCGTTGAGTAGCCTCATCCTTAGCGCCGCACAGACACCCACCTGCCGAGAGAGGGAAAAGACAGAAAGCAGAAGAAAAAGTAGACAGAGAGGGAAGGAGGGAATTAAAAAGAAAGAAAAAAAAAAGTACATACCAGGCGCTCCAACCGCCCCGAACAGAATCGCATCGTGCTTCTTCAGCTCGTCCAGCCCGCCGTCGGGGATGTACTTCCCGGTCTTCTTGTACGTCTCGGAGCTCCAGTCGAAGTGCGAGAAGTCCAAGCCGAAGGATCCCAGCGTCTCACTGAGCGTCTGCAGCACCTCGACGCCGGCCGAGATGACCTCCGGGCCGATGCCGTCTGCCGGGATCGTTGCGATCTTGTAGGTTTTCATTGTGATTGTGTGTTGGTTGCTTGTCTCTGTACAGAGGGTGTATCTGGATGTTTTTCGCTACATTTGCTTCCACTGCCTGTCTACATGTTTAAGTAGAGAGGGGATTTCGCCCCGCCGGGGTTGTGCTTGTCCGGACGGCAGACAAACCAAGTAGCGGACAAGCCTTGTCCGGCGGGAGCCAAAACATCGGGGGTTCGTTTCACCGGCGACGATCCCGTTGCCACGCTGACATAATCACGCGGCCGACCGCATGTCCGCGAGAAGATCGGAAACTGCGCGAGAGATCCCAACCCTCCAGGGCTGTCGAAGGCGCTCGGTAACTGGTGGGCGAGGAAGTCTCCTGTCACAGCGAGACTCAGACTCAAACTCCGATGCAAAACTCAGCCAGTCACGTCGATGCCGATCGCTATCAGACCACCCGTCTCTCCCCGGACCCCGACTCCGACCCCATCCCCAGAACCCATCCGACGGCTCGTATTCCTGCGTCGAAATTTTCTAGCCGCAACTCTCGTCCCCGGTTTCCTCTGGTCGGAACTTCTCCTCGGGGCTCCCGATCTGGTCGCAGTTACCCTCAAAAGTGATGGAAACTGCTCACGTCGTAACTCTCCTGAATCAACCACGGCCCATCCGCCACACTCCACAGATCCAGGTTCTCCACCTCCCCCAGAAACGGCACCCCCTCGGAAGAATTAGGAATCCCCAGCGCTGCCTCCCCGAATATCGACTGCTCGACCGTGGGGCCCTCGATATCTAGCCCCGGTGGGGGTTGAGTTTGATTCGGCTCCCCGGCCATCTGATTCGTTGCCCCCGTCCCTGCTTGTCCCGCATGATGTAAGGCGCCCTGCTGCTGCGATGGTAACACGTGGAGGAGCGGGTTGGAGTTGGCGGTGATCGGCTGGTTCGAGCTCGGAAGCTGCGCGTTCTGGATATACGGCGCGGGGACATGGGGATAGTAGAGTCCGTGGTCCGGGGGTTGCTCGCTCAGCGCGGCTTCCAGGGCCCGGATCGCCTCGATGCACGTCTGGGGCCAGGTGCTGCCGCGGTGGGACAGGTTCTGGAGGATGAGAAGTCCGGTTTGGGCATATCTACCTCGTTGGCTGGTTAGCTTCTTGGCTGCTGTTGCTTCATTCCCCTTTCTCTCGCCTTGGTCGTGGTCTGGAGTGCAAGTAGCGGCTTGGCCAGCTGGGCTAGAGGGCAACCAGAACGTAAAGAAGGAAGGTGTACCTACCTCGCCGCCGCAGGAATAGGAAACTCTCCCTCCCATGCGGCATAAACTAAGATCAGGCAGCTCATCCAGACCCCCCAGGTAAATGACGGCCAGACCAGCGGAACGTCAGCCCCCCGCAGCGCCGTCAGAAGCGAGCGCGACGATTCGATGCAGATCTGCAGTGCGGTGCGGTATTCCGGCGACGAAGACTCCGCCGCCAGCAGGGGTCGGTTAAGCGAGATGATGGACTCGTGGCGTAGGACGGTGAGGAGAAGTCGGTGGAGTGGTGCCAACCGGGGCGTTTTCGTTGTTGCCGTCGTGTCCTCGTCGCCGGGGTAGACATCGTCGTAGACTTGGTTCCACCAGTGCGTCAACTCGCCGGTCACCTGGGTGGCCGTGATGGAGGACTCTTGGCTGTGCAGGATGGACTTGTTGCGGAGCTCGATGACCAGGCCGCGCACCCGTGAGAACCGCGCCAGATGTGTGATGAGATGGAGACGGGGGTCTCCAGAGGGAATGTTAGCTCGATAGTCCAGCAGATAGGAACGAATCCATTGGTAATGGTAAGAGTAATGGAATGGTAAACTGAGATGTCCATACCGTCCACGACCTCCCCATGTCTCTCCATCCCCGGATAACAAACATCCACGTCGTCATCCCGAATGCCCAAGGGAATCCCCAGCGCCTGCGACAGGTACCTCTCGAGACAATAAATAGACCAGAACAGCCTGCGACGCAGCGCCTCGTCGGCGGGTCCAAAGCACGGGAATCGCGCTGGACAGCGATGCAGTCCTAGATGAAAGGCGGTGCGCGTGATGACGCCGGCAATGCGCGACGCGGCGTTCAACCGCAGCGCAGACGCCAGGAACAGCTCGACGCCGAATGCCGCCTGCAGGATGGCGATGGTCGGCGGGTCGCAGAACAGCGCATGCAGGCTCTCCATGGCCTGGGCGACGGTGCGAAAAACCAATGCTGGCGGTACCGGCGGCGGCGGCGATGGTCGCTTTCCCCGCGAGCTCATCTGTCGCCGGTCCATCAGGGCGATGGACACGACGGACCGCACGAGGATGACGTCCGGCGTCGAGATCCCGTTCAGTCCGACCAGGCTGATCTTCTCGAGGACGGCAAGAAACGGCGGGCCAAGAATGAATGGGAACATCGGATGCCAGTGATCGAAGTAGCTGCGTGTCCATTGCACGAGATGGTCGAATGGCGGCTTCACTTTCCCCGTCGTCGTCGGCCGATGGTCCAATTCGTGCGGCATCCACAGCTCGTTCTTCACGGCAGAAACATCCGCAAGGGGACTAGAGGCCAGTTGATCATCCTCTCCCGGCACGAGAGTCGTTGTTTGCGATTGCGACTGATTCTGATTCAGATGGGCGGAGCGCCGCGCGAAGGCGTCGTACACGATGCGGATGAAATGCACGCCACTGGAACTGCCCAAAAACGTGGCGGAGTTGTCGACCGACGATTTCCTCATGACGCCGATTTCGCGCGGACTCGGTTTGCGCCGTTTGGCAGGAGGTTCCTCGAGGGAATCCATGATGTGGTGTGGTGTGGTTTTGATGGTGAACAGAGGAGTGTAGGAGATGTGGAGAGGAAAAGAAAGGCGAAGCGCAGAGAAAGTGTGGAGAGATCGTCATGCCAAGTTCGATGACATTCAATGGTTGCATTTCATCGCCCAGATCTACCAGATGCCACAACTGCAGGCAGCAGGGTTGTCCTGAAACTAATATTCTCCACATGAACTTAATTGTTCTAATTTTTCCAGAATTATTTACATCGCCAATGCAGCTAACTCAACGCCTTGAAAGTGGTGAGGTTGTCCACCGGCGCCACCTCCCGAATGCCCTCCCACAACGCATCCAACCGCTGCACCACCCAGTCTTCTAACGGTCCTTGACCCAAATCCGCTAATGTCCCTCGCAGCTGCTCCGGCCCATTTGCGCCCAGCAGCACCGAATCGCCCAATTCCCCCTTCAGCGCCGAGTTGTATCGCACCCAACGATACGCCAGGCCGGCCTGCGAATTGCCGCTCTCCTCGGCCAGCTGAATATACTCGCGCAGGAAGTTCAGCAGCTCAGGTTTCCCATACAGCCCCTGCAGGAGCTTCCCCAGGCCAGTCGACGGGTCCCATTTTCCTTTCTGCTGCTCGATGTCTGCGGGTTTCTTGACGAGAAACCCCGACGCGATGGGCGAGTAGACCTGGATCGAGAAGCCGAGGTCGCGCAGCGCGGGGAAGAGCTCGGTCTCGTTGTTTCGAGCGACCAGATTGTAGATACTCTGGTAGACGGTGGGCAGCACGTAGCCTTTTGATTTGTTGTATTCGTACACCTCGCGGATCTGGGGGAGGGAGAAGTTGGATAGTCCGAACTGGGTTCCGTTAGTATATATCGTAAACATGCCACAGAACACAAATCCCAAAGAAAATCAGAATCTCACCTTCTCAAACGCTCCTCTCAAATACAACTCCTGCACTCCATCCAACGTCTCAGAAAGCGGCACCGAGTCGTCCGGCCCGTGCAGCAAGTAAATCGGCACCTTGGACGTCTTCAGCGCTTCCAGACTGAGCGTGCCGTTCTGGATGATCGCCGACTTGGTCGCTGAGTCTGGCAGGAACCCTGACGGGGCTTTCGTGGTGATTTCAAATTCCGACGCGGCATTCTGTTGGCCGAGGAAGGTCTCGGAGATCCCTAGGCCCTGTGCAGTGTTAGCGAATTGTGCTAATTAGACGGGTGTAGAAAGAGAAAACATACGTAGAGCCGAGCTGTGTCAATACCGGTGATGCCGTGGGTGCGTGCGATCTGGAGCATTTCTTCCTGCTGGGGGATGTCGGACGGCTCAAGGGTCCAGTATGCGGTACCTATAGCGAGGGAGGGAGGAGACATTTTGATAGTATGATTTGTGTTCGTTTTGGTCGTTGAACGGATGGGATGGTCTAATATGTTGCTTTGTCTAGTAACAAGCTGTGTTTGATTTTACATTTCTACTCCATACATCATACATCTATATATATTCCACGGGCAACACCAAAAGAAATGGAAGATGCCAGTCAATCAACCTGACAAATCCTGCTGAGAAATGCATTCATTCATAAGCTCGTATGCACAGACTTCATCTATTCAGCACTTTATCTAATATTACATCAGCCTGAGGATCTTTTCTTAGTGCAACTCGTAGCGACACGTCCTCATTGGCCGGACTCCGACATGCAAGCATATTAAAGCAGGGGATTTATTGGTGTAATGCAGAGGTGGCGTCGACGGGCGCAGATGGATTAGTGATCATTCTTCAGGCAATATCGTCGTTCTTGATTTCTATGGTTTCATATTGAATTCTAGGAACAGCCCTCATCCAAAGGTTCTACAGACAATGTTTCATGAACTCCGCGTCTTCCTGCAATACCGCCCACACGGGTTCCGAGAGCGTGAGATTGACATCAACAGCGCTAGGCTTCTTTCCCCTACCCTCTGTCTTTGAGTGCTGCAAGTCCTCCTCTGTGGACATGATCATGGCCAGGCCGTCCACCCGAGAGACTTCTGTGAATGGCGGTGCCACTAGAGCCGGCGAAATAGGATCTCCCCGCTCGTCGACGTCAAAGTCCATGCCCGGGTACATCCCGAACCCAGACCATTGGCTGACGGTAAAGTTGCCATCTGCGAAGGTGAAGTCCACCTTAATGCGGCTCTTGTCGGGCTGCAGAGCTACCCAGCGCGTCGTCTGCTCCACCTGCTGCGCGTCGACACCGCGGACGAGATTGTGAAGGGCCTTCGCGACTTTCCAGAGGGGTGCGCTGGCCAGTAGTTCGTGTGGAAAGACAGCGTAGGGCGGGTAGATGGCATTGGGGAAGTAGTTGGTTGGCATGTTCAGATAGCGTGAGTCGCGGACATTGATCGAGGCCCAGAAGCCAGTGTTTAGCTGATCAGCTGCGGCAGATGGCGAGGCTCCGTTGCGAAGGAGAAGTTGGATGCGGGCGCGGTAGGCTTTTTGATATAGGTATGCGCTGAGTGCCTCGAACGTGGAGATCCAATCATCTCCTGCAGTAGGATTGGTGGCGAGCTGTTTTAGCCTTTGGAGATCGTCGCCGGTGAAGCGTAGGACGCGTCCGATGACGGGCGGCTGGCCAGGCTTCTCGGGCATTGATTGCTCTGTGTTTGAGGTACTGTCATCCTTGGGTTGAGTAGGTACTTCTCCGGTCGGATTGGCGTCATAATAATAGGCCGTTGGTTTGTATTCGCGGGCTTTGCGTTGCTCCTCGTACGAAAGGACGCTAACATCGCGGAGGTAAGAATGGATAATAGGCGGATCGGTGAGAGTCGGATGAGAAGGAAGACTGCGATAGATTTCGGAGAGATGTCGTGCCAGCAAGAAGAATCCAGCCGCATCGCACACCATATGATGGACTCGAATGCCCAGCGCCACGCCGCCGCAGGCAAATCGTGTATGCTGGACGGCGAGGATTGGGTCGCGACAGACACCTTCGAGGGAGGCATTGAAGGGCGGTGTCAGAGCGTTACCACAGTCCGGCAGATCAGTGACTAGAATCTGACCGATGGTGTGGTTGCGAGCGGCGAGCTCTGCCAGCGTGATGTCGCATCGGGCTTCGAGCAGCTCCACCCCAGCTCCTAGACGGTTGATCTCGGGAGTCCGGCTGACCGGGTTGAAGTGGAAACGGCCAGTCAAGTGAGGATAGTAGCTCAAGAGGTGGGCGAGGGCTTTCTGTAGTCGCTCGACGGGGATGAATGAGTCGGCCACTTTAGACGAGGGCTTTCGGTATACAAAAACACCCTGAATCGGCACGAAGGCGAAGACTGTCTCGTCCATTGGGCCTAGTCTGAAGGGCGACTCCAAAGCTGCCACGGCTCCCTCGTCCACACTGTGGACAGGATGTCGCGCAGTCACTTGCACCGGGGGTGGTAACGGAGCTGTGGCCATGGTCTGGTTGGTAAGCTGGAAATAATTTGATTCGGACGAAATCACTGCAATCTTGCAGGGAAACTGAGGAATTTAAGAAGTTGGACCTGAGGCCGCGACCAAGCGCCCAATAATAAGTCATTTTGAATGATTATTGCTGATTAGCGAGGAGGAAAGAAAACTTCCTGATGATACTTCGGACGAAGGCATTGTCGCCTCCACTTTGCAGCGCAATTTCATCCGAAGCTTCGGACCAAACGTCTTGGTCGTCATAGACCGGTGGCGTGAACATAAGAATTATATTTTGCGGCTTCCAGCGTCCCAGTTGTGTTATTTTTTGTCAGTCACAGAGTCAGAAAATTCAACTTCAATACTTGAGTATTGTTATCAAGAATGCCCCCAAGAATATTTATGTAAGTTTCACAGCATCATTCGACTTCAGACCGGAGACTAACAAACCAACACCGGAGTGACCGGCTTCGTGAGAGGAGATATACTATACTGTGCCTCTCGTGTCCATCCCGACTGGGAGTGGACCTGTCTCGTGCGCTCTGAAGAGAAAGGAGCCAAAGTCGCTGCCGAATATCCGCAAGTGAGACTCGTATACGGCACGACCGACGACTCCGACTTGCTCGAAGAAGAGGCATCCAAGGCCGACACTGTCTTTCACTCGGCCGCAAGCGATGATCATGTCCCTTCGGCGCAGGCAATCTTACAAGGGCTAGGCCGTCGTGCAGCGAATGGCCCAGCCTATTACATCCACACATCAGGAGGGTTTGCGCTGGCCGCCGCGACCCTGGCCACGGGCAAATACGGCGAACGGTTCGATAAAATCTACGACGATTGGGATCATGTCGACGAGCTGACGTCCTTGCCAGACCACGCGCCCCATCGCAAAGTCGACAAGGTGGTTTTGGCGGCGGATCCGAGCAAGGTCCGTACGGCAATCGTCGCCCCAGCGGTGATATACGGAAAGGGCCGCGGGCCGGATAAGAAGAAGTCGGCACCGGTGTCTGAGCCATTCCTACGACCTCGCCGAGTATTTGTCGTCGGAAAAGGCGAGAATATCTGGCATAATATCCATGTGCAGGATTTGACCCAGCTCTACCTGCTGCTGGGAGAGGCCGCGGTCAACGGGGGCGGCAGTGCGACCTGGAACGCCCAAGGATATTACTTGGCCGAGAACGGGTCCTATGTGAACCGAAAAATGCTGAAGTTGGCCTCAAGTATCCTGTATAAGAAAGGACTTGTCTCGTCGCCCGAGCCGGAAGAAGTGACCGTGGAGCAGAGCGAGAGTATCCTGCCCTGGCTGAAGATCATGGTGGGAGTAGACTCTCAGGGTATTGCACGTCGGGGGAGAAAACTGCTAGGCTGGAGTCCGACCATGCCGACTTTTGAGGATGAGCTTGAAGCTGCTCTGGAAACTGACGCGCGGGCGATGGGATTGTCACAGTTGAGCAATGCCATGGGGTAGTAGTGATTTACATGACGACCCTCACCCATCACTTATAGACCTTCCTGCGATTGTCTCTTACCAATGATAAATTGTATAATAATAATAATAATAATAAATGCTGTCTAAACGGAAAAGCTTCTTCCTATTCGAGAAAACGAAGAATGGCGCTCCTCGAGCCAAAGTCACGTGCAGCCATGCCTCATCAGCGCCGAACAGTCGCATCCGCCCGTCCATTAACTTAACATCCGCACCACCATGTCATCAGGTAGATACGATCCTACCACCACGCAATATGCTCAAATACAGTATCATGAGCCAAGTGCTGACTTAAATCCATAACTCAACCCCATCTCCTGCGACCCGTGCCGACAGAAAAAGTGCAAGGTCTGCCATCTCATCCTCTCCCTCCTCTCAGCCCACTGCATCTAGTGATTCTAACAAGCGATATACCAGTGCGATCGAATTCTGTAACTCTCCCAATATCAAGCACACCTGCTCAAAGACGCAGGATGAGACTAACAACCCAAGACCCGTCTGCACACAATGCACCGATCCGACACGATGCATCTACCCCGAAAGTGGAAAACGGTCTGTCTTTACATCCCATTTCTATCCCATCCCATCCTCATCAAACCTTGGCTACAAATAACTAACTCCCAACCAGAGGCCTTCCCCAAGGCTACATCACGCACCTTGAAACCCGCCTCGCCAGCACCGAGCAAGCCCTCTTCGCGGTCTATGAGCATCTTCGCTCTCTCGGTCTGCACGCGGAGATCCCAGAGGGTCTGGGCGAGACGCCACCCAGTCGGTCGCAGACACGAGTCGCCAAGATGGCCGAGTGGGAGCGTCTTCCGCTGACTGGGCGCGGGGATCTGGAGCGGTGGTGGACGGAGCGGAGAGGAGGCATGGTGGGTTATTCGGAGGGGTTGGTTGGGGATTCTCAGGGACAGGCTGCGTCGTTGGGGGTGGGCAGTAGTAGGGAGGATGGAGGGAGTCGGGAGGAGGTAGCGGAGAGGAAGGGCCAGGCGGAGGAGTTGGCGAGGGGGGAGGCGGGGGTTTATTTTTGAATCTGTTGGATTGGGTTGGGATCAGGTGCGGTTTGCTGGTACTGGGTATTTAGGTGTAATATTTTGTTGACTTTTCATAAGGGTGATTGGTGTATCTAGCGGGATGGAGAGACCGTACTATGGGCATGAGCTTGTAGTTTAGGTAAAGGAAGATTTGTAAATTCCAGGATCAGAAGGAGTACTTAGTGAGGTATAGGATATAAGTTCCGGTGTGAAAGGTATAGAAGAGGGTCTCTGTTCAAAAATTTCCAAAGTTTTCAGAGTATGTGGAGATATGACAGTTTCGTGTCTGTCGGAATATATGACAAGTAGGGTCGTAAGTTGATTAGATCTCGTAGCAAAAGGGGAGGGGGGATAAATAAAGAAAGAAAAGAAAAAGAAAAAATCTAGGCAGGGCATATTCAACAGAAAAGAAAATAGTGGGAAAGTCAGTGAATACCCAGTGCTGCAGTCATAGTGAATTCATGGGATTATGTACCACAAAGCTTCTATATCACCACCACCTCTCCCTCTCTCCCTGAACCATCCCTCTCTGATCTCTCTATCTTTCTTGATTTCTCAATCTCGCTTTATCAGATTTCATCAAAAGCACCGTCGAGCTCGAAACCAAAATGCTTCCAGCACCAGATCCTCACCGGGCGCTCTTCATCCCTGAGATCCTCGAGGCAATCCTGCTCCAGCTCGTCGGAGAATATAGAATAGGACGGAAATACTTCTATGGCGAACATACTATCCTACTGTCCCAAAGAGTCTGCCGCTACTGGAACGATGTGATCAAATCATCCAGTGAAATTCAAACCGCCTTATATTTCAAGCCCAAGAGCTTCAAATCCGACGATCCTGATCCAAGTCACGAAAGCAGCCAGATGATCCAATCAATCATATGGCACCAAATATACAAGTACTATTACCTGAATATGCCCCACAAAGAATCTAAAGCCAGGGATAACACGCCCGTTCTGGATAAGAGACAAGATGCTTTTATGAGAAAAGAGGCGAGTTGGCGTCGCATGCTCGTTCATCAGCCCCCTTGTCCCAATGTCATGAGATTCCTGAAGGAGCTAGTGCTAGGCGCAAGCGCATTCTCAGAGGCCAAATTTGATGGCGCGGATGAGTTTCTGAGGCTAGGAAACTTCGTGACTGTTATTCTTGAAGGCAAAATCACACTAGGAGTGTGGGATCTGCTAATTTATGCCGATATCAAGGTTTTGTATCGTCTTTACAAATGTGGAAGCTTGATTTGGAAGGCGGAGTGGTGAAATCGATTTGAGAAGTGCTGTTTCAAAATCACACTGGCTAAGTTGTGTGGGCTGCGAGCCCCATTGTACCAGGTACGTGCACTTCTAGCGGTTTACAGCCAACAAGTAATTGGACTGACATGCGCTGCTTCAGATACGGAAAGCAAGCGTATAAATTATCTGACAGCATTCCGGAAGGCGCCCACCCCCCCTGAAAAAGTTCACGATGATATTGGATTTCACTATTGGGAGCATCTAAAGATAAATGACTTTAGAAAGTACTGGCATGACTTTGGGAGATGGGTGGCGGGTCTGTTTTGATACCGAAGTTTCTGATGCGAAAGAAATTTCTTCTTCCTGTTCTCTTTCTTGTCCCTGTTTTCTTTATTCTGACTGATGCATTTTGGCTCGTATCAAAATCAACGAACCAAATCTTCTGTTCTGTTCAATAGATACCATTTTCTAATCTAATCTTCTATCTTTAATCCAACCGGAACATAAAGCCCATTTCGGCCAGCTAAAGACCCACCAAGGCCCACATCCTGACATAGCACACCAATGGTATTGCTTTGGGGGTTTGGAAGGAGCATCTTGCTGCATTGAGCATGGTGACCACACTCAGAATTGCTAGATCTGGCTGCAAGCTCCGCAGTCCATGGATGTTCGGCATCAACAAGAACTAGCGGACTGTGATGCATTCCACGAGAAACTTTCACAACTACCATCTAACGCTCGCAGAAAGAGCACCTAGACGACAGCTCTCTTAAAGACATTTGGTCCCACACCAGAACTCCCGTTATCTCATCTCCTACTCCACACCGATCAGACCCTCTGGAGATGTCGACTTCAACGACCCCAGAAATTACCCGATATGGTAATCTAGCTGAGCTCTGACTTAGCGTCGCACCAAGCTCCCTTGGCATTATCTATTGCCTAGAGGGGAATTTTTCCCTGTCAGTTGATGTCAGTCTATGGCAGTTTCGCGTGCCATCAGCGACGTGGCGCGATGCATAAATACCCCTTCGTTGCTCGGCCTAGCATAGAGGTCCTGACTTCGATGTTTTCCGTGCTACGATAAGCTTGCGCCTGGCTTTTCTGCGTTGACTCGGTAGAGGCACTTTACGTCACTGATTGAGATTGGCTTCCATTCTTCAGCATGACTCAAGACCTTCATCGCTCGCCGACCATCGGCTCTGGACGAGGCCAGGTCGATCCGTTAGAGCTGCCCTACGGCACGGTGGCGGACGGCGCCAACCTCGACGAGTTTGTCACCGAGACGAAGTCCGGAAATATCGTCAAGCCGGTCAAGTCTAACGTCACTGGCAAGGAGGAAGACTACAACCTGGTCACCTTTACGATTGATGATCCCGATAACCCGAAGAACTGGTCCAAGGCCTACAAATGGTGGTGCACTATCGTCGTTGCGTTCACCTGCTTTGTCGTGGCCTTTGCTAGTAGTGTCATCACGGCGGACCTGGAGGGCGTGGGCTCGGACTTCAATGTTTCTCGTGAGGTGACTATGCTGCCGATCACGGTTTTCGTGGTGGGATTCGGTGTTGGTGAGTAGTGCTCGGTGTTGGATGAGATGGAACGGGTTTAGGTCAGACCGTCGCTAACTCATTCTCATTATTCAGGACCCATGTTGTTCGCTCCTCTGTCAGAAGTCGTTGGTCGCAGACCCATCTATGCAATTACCCTCCTGCTGGCCGTTATCTTCGTCATCCCTTGCGCGGTCGCCCAGAATATCGGCACGCTGATCGTATGTCGTGCGATCGACGGAATCGCCTTCAGTGCTCCCATGACGCTCGTGGGCGGCACACTGGCCGATCTGTGGAAGAATGAGGAACGAGGTGTGCCCATGGCAACCTTCAGTGCGGCTCCTTTCTTGGGTCCGGCGATCGGTCCTCTGGTAGGTGGGTTTCTCGGAGATGCCAAAGGCTGGCGATGGCTGTACTGGATCCAACTTATCCTTTCTGGGGCGGCGTGGTTCTTGATCACCTTCACCGTGAAAGAGACGTATGCCCCGTCGATCTTGAAGAAGAGGGCGCAGAAGCTTCGCAAGGCCGAGAAGAGCGATAAGTATGTTACTGAACAGGAGCTGGATCCACGTCCGCTTCTGGAGAGACTGCGTATTTTCATTGCCCGGCCGTTCCAGCTTCTTTTCTTGGAGCCGATCGTGATGTTTATTTCGCTGTATATGGTTCGTTCTGGATCACTTCGTGTGGTGTCGTTCGTCGTTCGCTAACCTTTGATCAGTCTGTTCTATACGGTCTTCTGTACATGTTTTTCGTTGCGTAAGTCATTCGGCGAATTTGAGACAGGAACCAACCTAATCGCTCCCTCAAACAGGTATCCGATCGTATATCAAGCCGGAAAAGGCTGGAGCGCAAGCAAGACGGGGTTGATGTTCATTCCATTGGCAGTCGGAGTTGTCCTCAGCGCCGCGTGCTCTCCCTTCGTCAATCGGCATTACTTGAAGTTGTGCAACCAGTTCAACGGGAAGCCTCCGGCCGAGAAACGCCTCATTCCCATGATGTTTTCGTGCTGGTGCATCCCCGTGGGACTGTTCATTTTCGCGTGGTCCTCTTATCCTCGCGTGCATTGGCTGGGTCCCGCCATGGGTGGATTTCCGATCGGATATGGATTTATTTTCTTGTATAATTCGGCCAACAACTACCTGGGTGAGTTTAGCCACCTGCGATGCTAGCTATATGCCATGTAAAAGCATGAAGAGCATCAAGCTAATGACCATCAGTGGACACCTACCAACACCAAGCAGCGTCGGCCCTGGCCGCTAAGACCTTTATCCGGTCGATTTGGGGGGCGGCCACTGTGCTGTTTACGGAGCAGATGTACGATCGGCTGGGGTACCAGTGGGCCAGTACGTTGCTTGCATTCATCGCGTTGGCCTGCTGCGCTATTCCGTATGTGTTTTACTTCAAGGGCGAGGCGATCCGGCGGTACTCTAAGTTTGCCTTTAGCGAGGACGAGGAGAATGCCAAGTAGGACTGACTATATTTGAGCATAGATTAGGTAGATGAAATTACTGCGTATAGATAGATGATAGATGGATACAAGATAATGAAACCTTCAATACTGCGTACTCCATCCTCCAAATGATCCAGGCTCAGGTCTAACGAGGAGAGCAATTCAGGGGGCAGACTAGGGCAGCAGCCCCTGTGTCAGTCGGGCATCTCCACCGCAGCCAACAGCATTCCCGATGAGATCAAATCAATCGACGAGACTAACGGCTTTAGCCCGGTGATACCAAAAAAAGGGGCAGTGGGGCGCAATTTGGCTGCGGCGCAAACAGAATGTTTCACCCCAATTATCTCCCTTCATTCCCTGTCAGCAGAACCGACCCTGTTCTCGTTTCACGCTTTCGTCGCCTTCCTTCCGTCTTCGAGCCATTCCAATTGGTTGCCCACCGGGGGGATAATTAAATGGCCTCGATATCGCCGTTTGCCTTGGTGGTTACTGGCCAGTCGCCTCGCTCTGTGTCTTTGGAGTCTCATCACTACGACGGTGGCTGTCTTTGATCCCCCCCAGTTGTGGCTTAGGCTTCCCTAATTAAAGACTCACGGCACTAACGCTTCTGGCACTGGCCGTTTGAGACGCGATTCACCTCGATCTTGACGGAGTAATTTTTAAATTTTCATTCTCCCCCCCTCTCGTCCCCTTCTTTCCCTGAGCCTACTCTTTAGTCCGTACTCGAGCCCCATCTAGCGCTCTATCGATCTATTTTGCCCCTTTCCCTCCCCCGTTTCTTCAGGACAATCAACTCCATCCACTTCACCCACGACCACCGCTGCGATTGATTGCATTTGCGACTGAACCACCACAAACAATTCTCTCCGATTTCTCCGCGTCCACCCGTACATCCGCGACAAAATGCCCGTCCTAGCAACGGCTCTCCTCTTGGCCCGAGACTGTAGCGGGGATGACTGCGAAAAGCCCACCAGTACGTTCCTGAAGAGCGGCGTGCCTGGCATCATCATCGGGATGTACGTATCCTTTGTCAATCAATCTTCTTTGTCTAGATCGGTTGGTCATTCGTATGTTGAGTCGATTTAACGCTGTATAGACTGGTTCTCGGGGCGGCCGGCGTCTGCTGCTACTTCCTCTGGCGCAATAAGAAGCGCGATGCTCTAGAAGCCAAGGCTGCGAGAGATTGGAACTGATCGGCGTGACTCATTCGCTCGACCAGTTTGCTTTCTTTCTCTCTCTCTCTTTGGGATTCTTGTACAAAAATTATGGGCGTTCGGGTGTTTGCGACCGTATTCTTTGTTTCTTTTGGGGTCTGGAGTTATAACCGACATCTACGGAAGCGGATTTTGCCTTTTGAATCTGGAATCTGGAATCTGAGATCTTGCGAATATCAGATTCCAGGCATTTACTTGTTTATGTTTTCTTCTTTATTTTACTCGCTCTGGTTTGAGCTGAGGGTGTTTGGGAATGGTGGTTTGATCTCCTTTGCAGGGTTCATTCATCGTTGATTCATTGATTGAATTGATTTGTATGTTCATGCACTTCTTGACTGCATCGCACTGCATTGCATCGCGTCGCGTCGCATACTGCTCTGACCATCGCGAAGCTGGTGTCAGTCTGTATTTCCAATGAGCCTTTCGTTTATTTCGGTGTATCCAATCCAACGTGAGGCTGGAAACAGTCCGCCTCTTCAATGGGACCAGTTCATGTCCCTGTCGCAATTGATCTCTGGTCTAATGGGCCATTTCATATCCTTCTATTCAGGACATTACTTTGTATCATTTACATCCCAATACCCATTAAATTTTGTTGATAACAGAACCCCCAACTCGAGTCGTCCCTGGCCAACGATCCATCAGCCCAACCAGTGGATCATCTACCCTCACAACAACAAAACCACGAGCCTTTAGCCCAAATATAACCTTCTGACGATTCAAATGCCGCTGATGCGATAGCTTTTACTCTGGACCATTTGCTGCCAAGCTTAAGCACCTCGTTTCAGCTTTTTGCTTATGTCGCTCCCAGTAAGGCTTGTATCTGATCTTCATAGTAGATTAGACTGCCTCCACCTTACTAGATGATCTTCTTATGTATTACCTTGACATCATTCTACTCCAGTATATCGATTTTTGTTCCTCGGCTACAAAGTGTCGACACTACTAGGAGAGCATGGTTTATAACTAAGCTGTGCTAACTTAAACCAGTACTTTAACCTTGAGTCGACTTTAATAAAATCCATCCTATATAGAAGACTGACTAATGAAATGCCTTTAACCAACCCAAATAACCCCCTCGGCTTCCTCACTATCTAGCACCAAATCCCGATTGTCCGAGGTGCCCGTATGAGGTAAAAATCTGCCCTCTGCCTATTCTGTGGGTTGACGAAGTGGTGACGGAATATGTATTCCGCTGGACCCCGCTTAATAATTATCATTTTCTGAAGGCGACTGCAATGCAACGATACTTATATGAAGTTTTTAACCACCCAGCAGTTAATTCAAGCCATTGGATCAATCATTTACTACGTCTTACTCTATTCCAAGCAACATATACCATCGACCCACCGAGCTATCTGGACTCCTACGTTCTTGTCCCCAGCCGAAGCATCAAGCACAGCACAACAATGTCCCACCTAACATACTACAACTACCCCGGCGTAGGCACCCGAAACCAAGAGAACTTCCGCTACAGCCAGGCCGTGCGCGTGGGCGATCGCATCGAATGTGCCGGACAAGGTCTGAACCCTCCATTCACACCATATCTACATCCATCCCCCCATCTATCCCATATCCCTCTCCCTCCCTACTCACCTACAACAAACATGAACTAAACCCCCAATAGGAGGCTGGGACCCCTCAACGGGGATCTTCTACCGCGAGATCAACGCGCAGATCGACCAGGCGTTCGCAAACGTCGAGCTGAACCTGAAGCACGCGGGCGGAAAGGGCTGGAGCCAGGTGTTCCGGGTGAACTCGTACCATGTGCCGATCAACGACGAGGCGCTGGACGCCATGGTCCGGAACTTCAAGCGGTACATGCCGGATCATCAGCCGATTTGGACTTGTGTGGGGGTGACGCGTCTCGGGGAGGATGATATGAGGGTGGAGATTGAGGTGACGGCGCATGTTCCGGAGGGGAATTAGATTGGGTTTGATGGGATGATTGCATATGGACTAGATACGAGGTTGATGGATATGCAGGCGAGTCTTGGAATCGGTAGCTGGGCGGTCCCTTGCAGCGGGCAGGTGGGTGAGCTTGGCGAGGTATTGATTTGGTCTGATGTATTGGATTATGTGATGTCCATACCTACCTGGTACATATAGGTAGACTGAAAAAGTCATGATGATTTCTAAGGCAGTATCAGGCATGAGTAATTCCGACGATCGCTTCTGGAAACACCTTCCCGACTGGGCGGCGACGGCCTGTTTGGGCAATGCGCAAACCGGATCGGCAGGGTGGGCATCACGTGAGGGGTCGGCAGGCGAGGCGGAGTCATTTGGCGGGGCTGATTGGCCAATGGCAGCATCTTACAAAGATACCAGCGAAACGCAGCGAATAAAGTTGAGGCCAGCTTGTTCATCGGAAAACAATCATCCCCGAATTCCAGAAGACTCCTTTCCTTTGCCACGGTGGATGCATCCTGCCTCTCGTTTCTCTCGTCCCTCCGCATCCCACCCTGCCTCCTCTTCTCCCTCCCTCCATGTTCCTGCTGAGTCCTCCGATCGCCATCGCCATTCTGCAGAAGTGGAACTCGACCGTTTAGCATGCAGCACGGACAAGGGTGAACGCGAACATCGATATCTAACTCCCCGAACGGACCACCGCCGCCATCCCTCTTCCTCCTCCTCCCTGGACCTTCCTCCCTCCGACTCCAACTCCGCCGACGACGACTCCCTCCTCCCTCGCGGCCGCAGTGCACAGATGAAGCGCAAGGTTCGGACGGTCTCCAAGCGTCGCTCCAAGCCGGCTTTGACCATCGAAACCAACGGGCATGGGAACGACGAGATGAATTTCAACGTCGAAATGCGCAAGAGGGACACCTCCGAGTCCTCTACCACCGCCCGCGCCTCGCGCCTCATGCAGCGCCCCAGTTTCTCCCTCGACCACGATCCCCCTATCACCCCGCAAACGCCCGCCCTGACCACCACCAGCTTCGCCAATTTGCCGCGCAGCGACCGCAGGAATTTCCTGCTGCTCTGCGTGCTATACTTCCTGCAGGGTGTGCCCATGGGTCTGGCGACCGGCTCGGTCCCCTTCCTGCTGAAACCGTACCTCTCGTACGGCCAGATCGGGGTCTTCTCGCTGGCGTCGTATCCCTACTCGTTGAAACTGCTGTGGAGTCCCATCGTCGACGCCGTATGGAGTCGCCGGTTCGGTCGCCGCAAGAGTTGGATCACCCCCGTGCAGGTCATCGCCGGCCTGGCCATGATCTATCTGGGAGGACGCATCGGGCCGATGATGGAGCAGGCGGGTGCCAATGGGGGCGCGGGCGTCTGGAACTTCACATACTGGTGGTTCCTGCTGGTCTTTTTCTGCGCCACGCAGGATATTGCCGTGGATGGATGGGCCATCACCCTGATGTCGCCGCCTAACATCTCCTACGCGTCCACTGCGCAGACGGTCGGATTGACGGCCGGTCATTTCTTGTCGTACACCGTGTTCCTGGCGTTCAATTCGAAGGAATTCGCCAACCGCTGGTTCCGGACGATCCCGGCGGACGAGGGTCTTCTGTCGCTGGGCACGTATCTGACATTCTGGGGATGGGCGTATCTGGTCGTCACTCTCTGTCTGGCGATGATGAAGAAGGAAGACAAGACGCAGGACCGGGATAGCATCATGGATGTATACCGCAGCATGTGGAACGTGCTGAAATTGAAGAACATCCAGACCATCATCATGGTGCACCTGATCGCCAAGATCGGCTTCCAGGCCAACGACGGCGTGACGAGCTTGAAACTGCTGGACAAGGGCTTCGGCCAAGACAACATGGCGCTGGTGGTGCTGATCGACTTCCCTTTTGAGATCTGTCTGGGGTACTACGCCGGCAAGTGGTCGACCGAGTACACGCCCATGCGGCTGTGGTGCTGGGCGTTTATGGGCCGATTGGCAGCCGCCGTGTTGGCTCAGGCCACCGTGATGGTCTTCCCCTCCGGAACGGACGTGCCCTTCTGGTACCTGCTGGCTGTGATTGGCGAGCATGTGGTCTCGACCTTTATGAACACGGTCATGTTCGTGGCCGTGTCGGCCTTCCATGCGCGCATCGCCGACCCTGCCATTGGAGGGACCTACATGACCATGTTGGCTACGTGAGTGCCTATCATTTTCTTTCCCTTTTATCTTTTCTATTCAACGACTAACTCATATTAGGGTCTCCAACCTTGGTGGAACCTTCCCTCGATACTTTATTCTCAAGCTGGTGGACATGTTCACGGAAGCCAACTGCGTGCCTCCCTCCGTGCCACCCCCCGCGGAGGAACTGAAAGGTGACCTCGTCACGTCGGCCTTCTCCTGCGCTCTGGAGCCGGATAAGGCGCTCTGCGTCAACGGTGGTGGCACTTGTCACACCATCCGGGATGGCTACTACACCACCAACATCCTCTGCGTGCTGATCGGTACCGTTACATTCATTCTGTTCATCAAGCCGGCCGTATTGAAACTGCAGAATCTCCCTCTGCGTGCGTGGCGCTTAGCCCCTGGTCGTCAATAAGGCGCAGGACTTGGGTTCTTCGAGTGTGCTGGCGGTACTTAGACTTTGGATTTACATATTAGCTACTACCTAGCTACCACAATCTTTACCTTCGCGTGATTGCTTCCATGAATGCAGTCCGGAGGGGATGTATGAATAGATAAAATATCTCTAGAGTGCCATCTCAATCACCTCCATTTCGAATTCAGCTGGTCAAACAAAGCGGATGGTTACACTGCAGCAGCTCCTCGATCTGCGCCGCCAATGGGAACTCCGCCCGCGAAATTCGATTCGTCGGGTTTTAAACGAGCGGATCCGAGGACGATCGGGCTGGTCTGGCCAGTCTCGTCAGTCTCAGGGACGCTGAAAACTGAGAAAAGCAATTCTGCTCACCCAAGAATAAAAGGAGTCGAAGTCCTTGGACTTTGTTCTGGTTCATCTGCGTATAATATTTCTTCTTTCCTTTCCCTTTTACCCATTTAACTTAATCTTCCTGGCGTTCTTTAGTTCCAGTATATACATCCATCTACCTAAAGAACCACCCAAGAATCCACCAAAATGCACATCCCAACCCTCCTCACAGCTCTAACCAGCACTCTGGCGCTCTCCGCCGAATTCCAAGTCCTCAAGCCTAGAAACGTAAGTCGGCAACCACCCCTAAACCACCACTATCCCCTCTAAATTCCAGCATCAAACGCAACCCCCTTTCCATAAATAAAACCCACCCCTACCTTTTCCAAAACCAAAACTAAACCCAAGAAAGTGGGACCTCCACCTCCTCAGCCCCGGCTGCTCCCCCAACAGCTCCAACTTCGACGTATCCCTATACCACCGCTCGGGCGTGGCCGCGCGCAGCTGCGTCTCACTGACCGACGACGGGGCGACCCTCGACACCGGCAAGATCGACAGTATCTCGTGGAAGAGCCCGATCGAGAAGCATTATGATCTGTGCACGTTTAAGGATGCCAGTTGCTCGAAGGAGGGGTTTGTTGGGGCCGTGAGGAGTGATTGGGCGGTTTGTTATCCGTACCAGGGGTGGATGGCTTGGAAGGTTGTGGGGTTTGGGGAGGAGTGTTTTTAGTTTATTGGGGATGGATGGGGTGAGTTATGTATTTATGGATGTATATGGGTTTATGGATGGGTTTGAGAGAATCTTTTGACATAGTATTGGGATCGTGGTTTTATGTACAGGATGACGGATTGAACAGGATAGTTTATGAATGTTGAATATAGCCAAAGATGTGATGAGTCAATGATTAAAAACCATGGAGTAGGATACGAGTATCCCTCAAACTAGAAAAGCCATAGAGCGTATCCAAAACTACCGGAGTACATTAAGCTTCCATCTCCCAAGTCGTCCAAGCATTGTTCGACTTGCTTCACCCAATAAACTTGGTAAGTCTTGCATCCCTGTCCTAGAGCTTGTTATTGACCACTATCACTACTTAATCAAGTATAGTAGTGCGCTCGATATTCCTGTGTAGACAAACTTAACGGGCCCCCTTCTGGATGATTTTCATCAAGAGGGTTCATATCGAAAATATCTGCTTGCATCTTTCTAATACGCATGTTCCACAGGATAAAATCCGACAATGTGACGTCTGTCTATAGACGATCCAGCAATTGAATCTTGGCTTTGATGACCAGGCATTCCGTTGTATTTGGATCAGGGGATGTCATCAGATCTCAATTTGTCTTTCTTCACGCCACAAGACGGTTATCTCGCTTATCTTCTGTGAATCATTACTGAATAGGAATTGTTAAAGCTAGACTAGACTATTGCTTTACTAGGTAAACTGACGAATCCGACAAAGCACACTGAGAAATATACAGCGCACTTCTGCTATTCAGGATACTGATCGACTACGTACTAGTGTCATGAATAGCAATATATACCAGTCATATGCCAGTGACCGCATTGGGCGTTGAGACTCCTGGAATGACATCCTGATTAGCAGCGTGATCCCCTGGATCGGTTCCAAATCTCGGAGTAGAGCTGTCATAACTTAATGTTCACCGACTTTTGACTTTTCCCTGCCTGTTTCACCTTGTTTGTTTTTTCTTTTTTGAAAGGTACACCGTCTTCAAAATCATGAAATATAACTTATCAGCAACACTGTAGTGAGGCTTTGAAATCCCGGCTTTCTCTACTTCTTCAACCCCAATCAAATAGTCATCCCGGAAAACCTTCCAATCATGGACAGATTGGAGCACTGGCTGTATGGGACATTGCCCCCTTCTCTACACCGACACCAACCCATGAAAGTGCTCGCTTTGGGAATGGGGCGGTCGGGAACCGACTCTCTCAGCAAAGCCCTATCAACACTGGGATACAATCGAGTATACCATGGCTTTGACATGGGGATGACAGACCCTCCTTCATGGGAAGCATGGGTCAAGCTCGCACGGCGCAAATGGAAAGGAAATTCCTCATCAAAAGGTTCTCAAGGGGACAGTGACATCACCATCAGCGACCTCGATTGTATCCTTGGAGACTGCACTGCCGCGACGGGTTCACCAGTGGCCATAATGGCCTTGGAGATGGTTCAAGCATACCCCAATGCGAAGGTCATTCTGAACATGCGAGATTCGGGCAAATGGGTCCAGAGCGCGAAGAGTACGTTTGGCGTGGTTAACGCGGGATTCAAATATCGTGTTTTGCCGTATTTCGATGCCCAGTTGTACTGGAGGAAGCGGTACTATGAAGAGATGGTCCAGGCGTACTTTTATGGCTCGTTGGAAAACAATGGGAAATGGGTGTACGAGCAACATTGTGCCAAGATCAGAGGCCTTGTCCCCCAGAGCCAGTTGCTGGAATGGCGTGCAGAGGATGGCTGGGAGCCCCTGTGCCGGTTTGTTTATTTCTCTCTTCGTCTGTATCCGGTGTGGTGTTCGACTAACCGTTTGGCAGATTCTTGGAAAAGGATATTCCAGACCAGGACTTTCCTCGTGGAAATAAACCAGAGCAAATGATTGCCTCGATGGGCGGTATGTATCTGGAGGATATGTACAGAAGGGCAATTTTCAATATGTGCTGTATTGTTACTGGCTGCCTGGGAGCTCTGGGAGTAATGGCTTTTGGAAGTAGAGTCCTATTGGTATGAATATCTGTTTGACATTGAGTTGACAATAAAACCCCAAGCGGTATCTTTTAGTTCTTAAAGAAAAACAGTTTCCGTTCCGTTCAACTTCTATTAAGACCACCCCAGAAATTGAATAGGAGCGACATGGTGTTTACCTCTTAATTACCTCAAAGTACCCTGTATCTGTCTGCCTTGTAAGGGGATTTAAAGGGAAACCACATCGTTGGGTGGCTTTGCCGTCTCGACCCCAAACTGCTGCATGAGGACAACAACTGCGCAATCAACACTGCCTTCCTAAACGCAACCCGATCCTCTCCACCAAAAGCTCTCTGGAGGTAGCTTTGAATCGTACCCCAATCCAAGAACCCAAGCCCCTCAATATCCTCCTTAGTCAACAACCGTAAGAAAGTACGGTGAATCGGTCCGTTCTCCTTGAATTGCGTGGGTCCGGAAAATGGCTTTTTGCGACGAGTATAGAGCTCGTCTGTAATAAATGGACGCATTGCTTCGCGCAGGATGTATTTCTCGTTGAAGGAACGAGTCGCTGGATCATACTTCATCTTCAGACTGGGCGGGAGCTGGTTTGCATATTCATTCAGGTGGTGGTCGAGGAACGGCAGGCGACCTTCAACACCGTAGGCCATATCCACGTTGTCACCCACATAGCGGAGACTGATGGTTGGCATATATGATTTCATCCAAATGTACTGCGACGTATGGAGAGGATGCCATTTGGTTTGCATCTTCTCGCGCGCTCGGGGATCCATGGACTCGGCCAAGAGGGTTTCAGGATCTCCAGCAGAGGCGTAATGGTCTACCCAAGGAAGAAATGGCAATTGTCCAATTTTTGCCAACTGCCTGATGGTTTGCGTATGATTTACCATACGCACGGTGGAAGACGGGGATGTAGTCTCGGTACTACCAGAAACCACTGCGCCGGAGCTTCCTTGTACATCATGCCAGAGCTTTTCTCTTTCCTCGTCCGGAAGATATGATGCCGGCCAGGATAGGTCAGGCTCCTGTACAGCGTCAGGTCGAAAGTTATTGTAGCCCCCAAAGTGCTCGTCCGCTCCTTGACCTATTCATGGGAAGCTTGTTCAGTGTTGACTGCTCAATCAAAGCTAGAAGAATCTCGAGAGTAGAGACAACATACCGACAAGGACGACTTTCAATCCCAAAGAATGAACTTTCTCGGACATGGCTACCTTGGTGATCCCATTAACGTCCCACGAGGGCGTCTCGCTATGCCACACAGTTTCATCAAATCAAGATGCAAGAGCAGTTTCATCCATATGAACCGGGTGAAATTCCGCCCCAAGCCACTCAGCCGTGCGCTCTGCAATATCTGCTCGGGTCTCAGCGGATCTACTTGATGGAACAACTTTCAGAAAACTCACCAGACTCATCCGCACCACTATCCTTGTCAAACTGGATGGTGAAACATCGTAAGAGCGACACGTCGCCACTATCGTCACTTCCAAGCTTGGCCCTTTCGTGTTTCATGAGATGGGCAATAATCCCAGCGACGCACGAGGAATCCAAGCCCCCGCTCAGATACACTCCAACGGGCACGTCTGCACGAAGTCGGATCCTGACGGCCTCGATAAGACGTTCTCTAACGCCTTCTATCATCTCGGCTTCGGGACGGGTCTCCAGAACCCGCTAAATAGACACCAGAATATCAGAAAACATACTTCCATGTAACTCGAGCGGTGTCCGCAAACCTTGTCCGGATAGTCCGTGTCCCAATACATCATCTGCTGTATCTCACTGCTATATTTCTCGCAAATCAAATAATGCGCCGGAGCGACCTAGCAACCATCAGCAAAAATACCTCATCGGACACCCCCCGGGGGCTAAATAACTTACCTTGTATACCCCTCGGAAGAAGGTCTTGTGGCCAAACTGCCACGCGTGCCCTCGAAGTGTCTCGACACACCACTGGGGCTTCCACCCAAACTTGAGGAAACACTTCATCTCCGTTGCCACCAAGAGCTGATTCTCATGAATCGTATAATACAGCGATTTAATGCCATACCTGTCTCGTGCGGCGAAGAGTCGTTCGCGCTTAGCATCCCACAAGACCAGCGCAAACTCGCCTCTCAAATGAGACAGGAAAGATAGTCCATAATGCTTGTACAAGGCAATGACAATTTCGCAGTCACTTGTACCTTTAAAATTGTACTCGTTTGCCAGCTCCCTGCGGTATTGCTCGTGTCCGTAGAGTTCTCCATTCACGACGACATATATCCCGTCTTCCTCGTCGACAAATGGCTGATCACCACCGGGGCTGAGATCAACGATTGACAGACGAACATGACCAAGGCCTAGGATTCAGTATTTGGTTTCGGTAATAAGCAAGGTGACCTGGAGGCACAGAAAATGAAAGGAAACAGTGGGAGATGAAAAAGCATCTACTTACCAACTCTGCGGTCAGGACTCAACCATAAACCACGACCATCAGGCCCGCGATGCTGGATAATATCCAAGCTTTGCTCAAGCTCAACATGACCCTTTGTTGGGGGTATCTCGTCGAGGCCCGGCGTGGATTCAATCCTACCTTGGAGATTCAGAAACGCAGAGAGCCCACACATGGTACTTATACGGAATATGTTCGTCGGACAAATGATTTCTTTTGATCCTAGGGTTGCTTTTCCCGTGAGAATCGAGCTGTTTGATCCGATCGGATAATTTCAATTGCTTTCCATGGGCGACAGGCTTACAAGAATTCTCTTTCTTTTTCTTTTCTTTTCTTTTCTTTCACCCAGCCTCATCCAATTTCAAAACAGCATCCCTTTGCATCGATCTATCGAATTATATTTCCACTGGGAAATACACATGCAAGGGGCCTCCTTACGCACAAAAACCGGTCTGTATTGTAGCGCATGGCTGTCTGGATATTTTACTTTCTGATCTGCGGTTTTGCTGCATTGGTTAGGCAAGCAAAAGTGACACAGCTATGCTTGTAAATAGTGAGATATTTGGAAGCTTAACACCTTAATGCAAAAGCTCCGACAAAATATTCCGACGCAATTGGGTTGGCACTTCTACTTCTGTTATGCTTCGGAGATGATTTCGCCCTTGATTATAATAAAAAGGTTATACTTTTGTTTGGTTTTATTAAAAATAATTGAGCTATAGACCGCAGAAATCTCAGCCCGTACCTCATGATTATGAGTACAATCGCTGTATTGTAGGTATCAGAGATCTCCTAGTGGTCATTCCAGCTGCTTGATTTTGCTCATGAGTCAAAGACAAGATATCACTGTGCTTGAAACAAGGAATCGAGTTCCCACCATGGAACACTTTGTAATTCTGTCAGCTTCCATGTTGAGTTCCTAGCCTTTCCACGCCTCATTGTCAACTCGAGCAGAGGTCTCGACGAACAGAGAGTATTCAGATTCACATTGCAGAGCTGATTGAAACGGTCGGACAGATCTCCTCACAGTACATAATACGCCGCGACTATCCGTACTGAAAAGCCGAGGCGACCATTATATCGCACAACTACCAGCGTCCCTCGTAGTTGGGGAATATTCCGGGGTATATTGTCCGTGTCAAAGCCAAACGGCCAATTTCCGCTTCGATCCCTGGACGGAACGTTGTAAATGATGCGTTTAGGGATCCATTGGTTGCATAATTTAGTAACCAGCAGCAGACGGTTCGAATTGGTCCGGTCATGCTTGTCAAAGGAGTCGCAATACGGAAGGCGTTCCTTCGGGGTGTTTGCTGCGACGAGCATTCCATTTGTCCAACTCATGGTGGATTTCCCATTCAATAGGACTGTGAAGAGCCCTCATAAAATCATCATCGATTCTCAAAGGCACTGTATTGTCCCGATTGAAATGCTTTCTCAGAAGCAATGTGTGTATTGTCTTTTGTCATCGTTTGTATTGGAATTCTCGTTGGAATTTTGCGTGTATTCCCTTTCTTCGATAAAGTGCTATAATGGGGCTGACTCGAAGATATTCAGCCAAAGCATTATAGCCCGATGGGATTAACTTCGTCTCAGACAGCCAGGAACGAGATGATGTTTTTGATATCGATCGGGATCTGAACGGATGAGAAAGTCCGCAGAACAGATATCACCTTTGAAAGTGGCTCTGGCTGTGTAAATTTCACGATCATCTTCTTTTGGGAGACTTTTTCCCGAATATTTGACCTCAGAATTTGAACAGAGTCATCCGTGTCTGCATATCAACCAAGCATTGCTGTTTCTTGTATCCCGTCTCTCGCTCATTGCTTTCTATCCATTTGGAGCCATTTAGAATATCAATCCGAGCCCAGAAAATGGTGTCATCGTTTTCCCATCGTCGTCTCATCAATTTCAATCCAGAATTTTACCCGGGAAACAGAATTTTCAAAGCCTCATTTGCCTTTGACGAGGCTTTTCAGGTCGATTTGTGTTCCGAATCATGACCAGAATATTTTTGCAGTTCTGCGTAAGTTTGGATAGATAATCATCCCACGTGCGTGTTCAAGTAAGCCGTGGATGTAGAAGGGCTGGATATTTGCGTAGGTTTTAACGTCTGACAAGCCTGATTTGCTAAGAGCAGCAGTAATAGACCGGGTTAGAGTGTCTTTTGAGGATAGCCAAGTGCGCCTTCCTATGCCCAATCGCCCAAGTGTCCAGCATAATTAATGTGATTTCACATGATCCCCGGGGCATGAGGGCCACGGCCCTGGTACCCTACGACCACCGTCGCGTCCGCCCTGGGCCACAGCGTGCGGCCCCCTCCGTAGACATGGGGCACCTGGAGGTAGACAATGACCAGGACCGGGTCCACCACACTGATGAATGTCTGTGAGATACCTTTTGTTGACTCATTCCGATGCAGAAAATGCGAGATACGCCGCTATTCTCTAGCCCCAGAGCCCGATGTCGAAGCTCTGTTGTTCCTTTCTGTGTACGACACGGTGATTTCGGGTCTCGTCAACCTGCGAAAATTGCGTTCGAAATGACAGTACGAGAAGCCTGGGTTGCTGCTGACAGTATAGTTGAAGCCGTGGGATATTTGCATCAACTCGCTGAGGATTATAGCTCAGGAGCTCACAGGGTAGTGCCAGGTCCACTCACCGGAGCCTTGAAATATGTAGTCAGAATTGGCCAAAAATTGTCGTGATGCCGGACCAGAAGCAGGAAAGTGGCACAATCAACCGGTGGAAAGGGACATCATGAAAGTCACGATGGCAGGAGCAATAGAAAGAGAAGGATTGCCGTTGTCATTGGTAGAGACCATTGGGCAGCACGTTGATGATACGATACGGTGCTGGTTGCTCTTGATCTCGACCTGCCGTAGTTTATATCCGTGTTTCAGAGCAGCGAGAATCTCTGGCATATGGGGCTCTGCTCGGGAGCTCTGCAAGGGAAGATTAAAGAACTGCAGATTCGGCAGAACTGATCCAAGTGCGTCTGGCGCCAGCTGATAACATAGACCATCCTCTAGCGTAACTGTAAGGGTACTGACACCGACGAATTTGGATCGAAGCCTGGGGGGAGAGACAATTGACTGAGAGACTGCGTTCGAACCTCTCTGTCTGCAAAAGAAAAAAATTATAAAAGCAAAAACATACAACAGCCGGGATTCGCTGGTGGTCACCCACCCAACTACTAACCGGCCGGCGTGAGGCTTAAGTACGGCTGAGCGGACGGGAAGCCCTGTTCTCCTCACCCTGTGGTCGTATGTACTTGAACCCACTGAAGTATGGGATATATGGAGGGTATGATATGCGAGAATACCATCGTCAAGTAACCAACGCAAACAATCCTGGTCCTAGCTGGCTTAGCTTCTTAGTAAGTCTGAGCCTTGAGGCGTCGCTGAGCGCGCCGAAGACAGACCTTGTTGAAATAATTGAGAAATTCAGCACCAGACGCGCGCCAAGTCACTTCTTGTGAGCATGCGGATGCTCTGTAATGTAGTCGGCAGTTCGGGTGTATTCTGCCATGCATGAAGCAGTTGGACTATATGGCAATGAGCAACCACACCCTCAACCAACAGTCCTTTCGGATGATCCAGGCATGAATCTCCAGTACCTTTCTGCACACACAGGACACTGGCGTCTTCAAATGCGATGAATGCTGGGGTCCCGCGCATCCAGATAGTCGTCCCGGCTTTTCTTCCGTGGCCGATGAGCCACTCGCGGTATTCCCCCCGGAGCAGGTTACGACAACGCCGGATAACATTCTGGAGTGCCGGAACGAGAAACAAGTCTCCCGATGGCCAACGATGAACTTCACTTAGCCTTGGATAGTGCAGGCGGGCTGTTGCGAATCTTCCGGGATCCGACTCTTGAATGGCATTTGATGTTTCTCTCCTGGCTGTTCTCCTGGCTGTTCTCCTGCATTACGATATAATCAATCTTTTAGTAGATACTGATAAAGAATTCCTATATAGAATTAGTAAGTTATAAAATGTATTAGAATACTTTAAACCTTACCAATGTATCCTTGGCCAACTGGGTTATTCGGGAGTCGTTGTTTTTCAATCAACGCACTAATTCGGTCTTTATTAGAAAATGCTGGGTGGATTTGTGACAAATTGGAAACATTTTGTTGCCGTAAGTACTTCTGCGCAAGGTCCCTGGAATAGATGAAAGATGAAGAAGCGCTTCGTCAATAAGAATTCTGAAGAATTCTCCCTGGCCATTCGTCTTTGAGCTGTTCTCGGGGGTTACCGCAGGTTATTTGGTCCTTCTGAGACGGTACCAAAGTCTCTTATCATGGCTTGTTCTCTCGAGTTGGGAATGTTCCATAAGACATGTCAGGAACCAAAAAACCATGTCACTTTCGTTTGTTTGTAGTCCGATTGACCCAGATATCATCTCGATAATTTCTGATTGATCTCTCTCTTGCTTATAAGCTTGGTCAGAAGCAACGCATTAGTGCCCACCGCATATCATCTAACGATCTCAAATGTATCATTTGTGATGAACTTTGTGCATATACAGTCCCACTTGGACGGCCGTGGTGTGGGGAACCCCGATTCCTTGTTCACTTCGGGACTCTGAGCGCCTAAGCGCTTTCAGCCCTCCTTTTATAGATATTCTCACTTTGAGAGCCCTAACATATCGAATGGGCTATGACCGCCATATGCCATGCTTCCGGTCACAGAACAGGCGGAATTCGGGTCCAAGCTATAAAGCCATTGTATCCTAGGCGAGCGATGTACAAAATTGTGTACGTCTATCATATGAGTTTGTGGCGGTTATTATCGTGATCCATTGAGCTGTGACGGTCATGGATGATTTCATATCTCATTCAGGGAAACGAGATGAAGGCATAGTCCCGCTCTCGCACGTAGGAGAGAGAATGGTTGAATTTTGGCAATTTATGTCCGATATTCCCTTCTTCGAGTGCCTTCTCAATAATTACTAGGAAGACGGAGTATATTATCGAATAGGCTCTCAACCTTATTGAGATGCAGAGGATAGCAAGGGTCTGTTAATTTATCCGCAATGAGACTCGGGATTAACGCGCGTAAGGTCCCAAAATCTGTCCCCGATGAATGGGTAGACAGGAGTATAGATTCCGAGCACCTAGGACTTTGGATTCAAGATTCCAGATTTTGCGAGACGTATTTTTTTATCATTATCAATGACTTGTCTGGTCCAAAGTTGAAGGCTATGATTTCGTGACCCATGTTATTGGCCGAAGGTAACAGAAGTATCTGTCAAATTATGACCCTGGAAGCCGTCTTAAACACCCAGGGAGCGGTCTCATTGAAGTTTTGCTGGTGTTAGATGTCATCCAAAGACCTCCCATGCTGGCCATGGAAAGGGCTTTTGTCAGAGTAGGACAGTGTTACAGGGCGCAGCTAGAGGTATTTTATCGAAACCGGGATCATCCGCCCTCGTCAGGTCGATGATCTGGCGCGCGCTTCTTATCCTTTGTTTCCGTTGTCTTCTTCTTGGTCTCCTCCGTTGTTTCCTCTGCCCGGTCAACAGCGGAGCCAGTAGACGCCGTGTCGTCCCAGTTCGGCATGATAGTGGTATTAGGAGGGGTTCGAGGGCCGTCCGGCGTGATCCTGGTCTCCTTTCGAGGGTCAGATGGCTTGTTTAACACGATCGCCACCTTGCACTGGCTATATACCAGTCCGTTCGTTAACACGGCGAGCTACTGCTCATCGGTCCGGATATCAATATCTATTCGCTTGTCCCCGGTCGGGCGACTCGGCCTGCTCGTCAAAGTCACATTGCAGGCGCAGCTGTTCCTTCTAGGTAGCCAAGGAACAAGCAGTCCTCCGGGGGACGCCACAGTTATAGCGCTGAAAGACGTCCCGCGGCAATATCTCCCGCCCAAGCTCTAACCCGCGATACACCACCACGTTCACCGGGTCTCATATTATTGTCTTTTTCACCGGGAATCCGGCGTTGAAGTCGGAGTCGGACTCGTTATTTCCGACAGCAATTACCTCCGCACGTCGTTTCTGTCCCCTCCTTGCTTGCTGGTCCTTGAATTCCGCCATCGAGCACAGTACAGCCTTCCTCACCCTGTACAGGCGCGCGGAGAGGTAGTCGGTGTATGTCCAACGTTAGGTTGCCGATGTCTCGTGGATCGTGTGTCCCGCAGAGAAGGGCGTGGTAGGCATGCTATCGGCTGAAACTCGACCAGCATCAGCCAAAACTTCGGCTCTGCAACGCGTCCCGCCTCATCAACCGCAATGACCGTAGGACGAACATTCTCTTGCACGCAGTTCACACTTGATACAGACACGGTAGCGTAGATGACATTGGCCATCTGTAGAGTAGCGTCACGTAAGAAGCGGGTGTGCCCGCGGAAAGATAGCCAGCACTGTTCGACTTAAGCCCGTCTCCAACACGAGCGTCTCGAAACCGTCGTCACGCTATATGATAGGCGATGTAATGACTTAACCATAATATCGATGACTTCGAATAAGAAACCCCGGCACCAGGACCGGATCACGTAATTGTCGCAGCTGCTGAACGGAATCGAGTGCTATTTTAGATTGATATGAATCGTGATTTCTCCATAGCATGTACCAATCAGCGTTCGTAGCAAATCCTGATTGCTAATATAAATGACTCCATATATGTCCTCTTCGCCACAACGGTCTTCCACAAACGATAGGAAAGATGTCATGCATATCTGCAAGCATCCTGGAATATTTTGAGAGGCCGCATGTTGTTTTGCATTGTTACCAGGCCTTCTCGATCAAGCCGATCCGGCAGTTGATCAAAGCGTCGCAAGTAGATGTGGAAGCAAGACAATATCTGCAATTTCATGATTTGGCGAGATACATAAGGCGTCCGAAGTGTCGAAGTCCCTCTTGACAAAAAACGGTTGGATATGGTGGCGGACCAGTGATCATAAATCTCACTCACCAGTAGATATCGATAAGATCTGAGGTACTCAATGGCACCAGGACTTTCGATCCGTGCATCACGAATCGCCGCCCGGTTCAGCGAGTCGTCCCAAATACAATGATTGCCAGGGAAAAGGGAGTCCATTTTAATCTTTTGTGCTTCTCACCGTCTTAAAAAGGCGAGCCTTTATGAGGGTTATGTGCTCGGTTGCATAGCAGAGCCAGTTTGTTCAGTTTCCGATTTTATGTGGCTACTTCAACGCAATTTCGCTTGCCTTCAGAGTAGTCTTGCCAGCATTCTCTCTGATGCCACTTTTATGGCTGCCGGGGAAGGTCTCTCATGTTCATTAGACCAGCAATCCTTTTTCAAAATGTAGGATAAATTCGATGAAAAAGATATCACAACCGAAGATAAGCTTCTATAGACGATCGAATCATTCGAAATATGCGTGAATGAAGCGTTCCCATGCCGAATTATGAGGAGACGACTGGAAAGGACAGACGCAGTCAAGCTTTCAATCTCTTGAGAGAAGCTGCAAGCTTGGATGTCCTTATGATCAGGAAAGCACGCCGTCAACACGGCTGCATTTTCGACTAAATTCTTTTGATCCACGGTTGAGAGTAATATCGAAATCAATCACTCTTTAGTTATATATTCGACCGGGGACTCAATAATACCGTAATCTGGGTTTATATGGTTGGACTGACCAGAAGCTAAGTACTGATCTGATGATAATCAGTTTCTGATGTCTTAGGGATTGCTGTTCTGTCATGCGCAGACTCATAATCGGGGCTCTTGTTCCTGGGTCCATAGAACAGCTCTAATAAAGCTTGATTTATTCGAAGTTTCATTTCTTTGGGCTGCCTGGTCTGAAGTGAAACATCTGCGTGCTTGATTAGTTGAAGTCTTTGCCCGGTGAAAAAGCTCAGACTTACGTATTTCATTTGAGTGATCATCTCGTATATCAGAGTCTCATTCACTGGAGAGTCTCAATGCTTGCGCCTGAAATGGGAAAGGTTTGCTTTAGTCAAATTAGATGATTTTCTTTCCAATGTTCGGCAGCATGTCAGACAAGAATATAGAATCCGAGAATCTGGGGATCGGGATCCAACGGCCCAGGGACATCAAAAGATGAGAAAATATGAGGACCTCATGCTGATGGATCTTTTTGTCAGCGTTATAAAAAGTCGTTGATGGAACGGAAGGCGTCTCCGTCCTACGTCCTAGAGGTCCATAGGGGCAATGTTCTTAATATCGACAGAGACTGAATAAGAGCAATAGACTAGCATATCGCATAGTACTCACCTGGTTGTTGTTTGCTGTATACTGCCATCCAAAATGCCAGTCAGCCGACCCTGAGGCAAGCCATGGGGCATTCCAGCCCATCCCCGAATGACATATCAACTCAACAACGGAAAAGGTGTAACGACCGCATATTTTCGACTGCGAGTTGAGCAAGAATTCCATGGCTATATGCTCGTGGGCTGAGTTTTGTCCTGAAGCAGTTCTCACATCGGGGTTGACATTGCCAAACAATGCCATGTAACCATGGACAAGAGAGGCTCTGGATATGTCCAGAAAGACGATCGACGCGGTCCGTACAACCCATAACGTTATACCGCTGATTAGCAGTTAGCACTTGAAACTGACTAAATCTAGCAAGGTAGGGGAGTTTTGGGACCGCAGAGTCTCACTCACATGGGCGTTACTTATTCCGACGTGTCTTCAACCGTATATGAGGACTTTTTCTCTCTCGCCATGCACAGGGGACCAAATCTGCTGCGATGAACCGCTGGCGGTACGTAAAAGGTCGGGTTGAAGAAGTAGGTAGGACAGAAGAACAGAAATCAAACTCGATGGATATATAGGAAATCCAGATGGTCTGTCCAGAATGTTAGTCGATCATTGAACTGTATAATGCAACAGGACCCACTTTGGTAAGAGATACTATATCAGAATTTCAATATATAGAGAAGGCCATTGAAGGTTGAAGAAGGTGAGAGATGGTTGAAGGAAGAAGAAATTTTACAGAGGGGGAGATGATTAAATAGGCTTCTTCTCAGGGACTCATTCACACAATTCTTCAACGTCAAAGGGAATGATCTTTGGAAGGTTCTGGCATCTTACAAACTGCAAGTCGCTTGTTATAGTGAAGGACGTAAAGTTTTGGTTTCTTTGAGGTCTCATTTGCTCAATTTTGGCCCTGTATTGCTCAGCCGCGGTTCGCAGTGACAATCTTCATTATAAAATGCAAGGATATAGGTGAATAAGGACCACAAAAGTTTCATTAATTCCATGTGATAAATTCACGTATTATCTGTTTGGAGTGACAAACACCTCAGCGAATTGTATCCCGAAAGAAAATGTGGAGGGAGAAGGTTCCAGACCAGGAATACAAACAATATCAAACGAGCTGAGAGGCAAAGTGAAGTGGTGCGATAAATATATTTGATGAAAATGCTTCATGAGTGGAGATCAGAGCCCGCTTGGAATATGCCTGTCGCAGCATTGAAAGCATTTGTCAACCTCATTGCGACGCTTTCTCCCGTTCCAAATCCCGAACAGCAGCATCCAGCAAGAATCGAGCATAGCCACGATGCAGCCTTCCCGACCATAATGGGAGTTGCTTCTGACTTTCTAAGCCACCCTCTGACGGAAAAGTCTCGTAATCATGCGCAGAAGCAAAGCGAACTTCAACAAACGGGCCGAGTGCTTTCTCCTCGCCCTCACCGTCAAACGGTTCCGAGACACTCATCTCATGCCGACCTCCGGACATCAAACGCCACGGATAGCCCCAGAGAGAAATCTTTTCGTAGAATTTGCGCGGCCCATCTGGAATCTTCCACGAAACCAGTAGGCCATATGGCTCGTCATTCACCGGCGGTCGTTCGACCACCAAGGCCCCATTCACAATCTCTCGCGGAGCTCCGGTCGCAGGATCAGGGAAGAACGCGCCGGGCGTATCGCCCATATCGCCGGCTTGAAAACCTCCTCTGCTGAAAAGACCGATGATTGCTGACTCGGCGCGAAAAATTTGGGTTCCGAGCAGGGCTTGAGCCCAAGCTGTGGAGAGCTCTGCATTGGTTTTGGGGTTTTGATTGAGTCCTAGTTGCTTTGAGCGAGCCTGTAGGGCTCGGAGAGGCACCCGAGCCGAGTAGATATCAACATAGGCACAATGTTGGGTTGATGGATTCGAGGGAATGCCCAGAGCAACGCTGCCTGATGAACTGGGCGGTCTAGCCGGGTACTTTGTCTCCAGGACGGTGAGATATCGGTGCCCACCGTAGGCCACCGCCGCCGGAGGAACAGCCAGGGCCAGAAGCAAACCGTACCGTGCAGGCATGGTAGTTAGGAATCAGTAGCCAAACTGTTGTAAGAATTGAGATGTTGCTGAGAAGAGCTGTCTTATGTTTCTGGGGGATGACCGACCCGGATTAGTCCGATGGGGCCAAAGAGTCCTGCGCCAGGATCGCATGATCCACCCTGTCCATCAGCGCGACGACTTACGAAGAACTCGATCGCTAGGTGGGGCTATGAAGCCACAGCCACACCTTGATGAACGATTCCAATTCTCGAGATGGTAGCTGTTATCCGATGGTTTTGTGTCTTGGTTGGGGAAACCGTTGCGGGGGTTGACAGAACAAAGGAAGCCAGTCCCCTGAGATTAACGGGAAAACGCAACGAGCACGGGACCCCGTCCCCATGCAACAGACCGCAGGGAATTAACAGAGCTCATTCTTAGTACCTACAGGTAGCTAGTAGACAACCCGTTGGCAGCATTCAGTCTAGCTGCGCTCCTCCAGTCTCATAGAATGCTTCAAGGCAGCCAATCACAGCCACTGTGGGTTTATACACCAAAAGACAACAATAAGAAATATCTTGCTGGCGGTCATCTTTTGCGAGGTTAACTTTGGAGCGAAAATATTACTACTCAAGTTCTTTCCATAGTTCTTCTACCGGTTAGGGCTAAAACATCCTGGCGAAAGTCTACCATGGTAGAATTATGCTAAGGCGGGCGTTGCAATTAATATATCTTGCTATAGCGCTGTTTCCCTATATAAAGTCGCAGTACGGATTCATATATATAAACAGCTTTTATCTATTAACACTGAAAAATTCTAGCACCAGAATAATCCGTAATGATGGACCAAATACCTCAAATCCCGAATGCCACTGCTATACTCTGTACTCCATAGTCGACAGCGGGGCGGACCAGATCCGCGCCCAAACAATTTCCACTCCGCCTTACAATTTTTTTCCCTTTACAAATCAACCCCCTCAGCCCACCCCTCATCTCAACCACCTACGCTACGAGAGCAAACCCTCATCCTTGATCCCCTTCCGACCGAGACGAACCTTCTCAATTGCACATTTACATCTACATCTTCCTCCCTACACCCCAACGAAAAAAGAAAAACCACCTACCCCGCGCAGCGCCCCCGCGACCCCAAAACCGACAATGACCTCACCCAACGCCCCGATCGACAACACGCTCGACGACATCTTCGGCTCCTCACCACCGCACGAACCCTCCCATGCACCCGCTCCCAAAGACTCTACGCCCTCCGTCGAACCGTCCGAACTCCCCTTCCTCCGCCGCCAGCACGTCACGGCCGGCTACCGCGAGGGCATCTCGACCTCGAAGGGCGAGCACGTCCAGGAAGGCTTCGATGCGGGGTTCCCCGTCGGAGCGCAGCTGGGGATGCGCGCGGGCACCGTCCTGGGGATACTGGAGGGGGTGATGCGAGGATACGAGAGCCGGGCTGCGTCGGCGGTGGTGAAGAAGCAGCCGGGTAGAGCGGGAGGAGCTGGGCCTGCGCCGTCGGCGGGTGCCAAGAAGGGAGAAGAGCAGGGACGGGAACTGGACGAGGAGGCGAGACGGGCGCGACGCGACGAGATGGTGAAACTGTATCAGAGGGCTGTCAAGGCGCTGAGTGTGCAGGGTGTGTTTGGGACGCTGGAGGAGGGTGGCGAGGGGAAGGAGAGTGCGGAGACGCAGCTGGCGGGGAAGGGCGATGGGGTTGTTTCGAAGTGGGAGGATAGAGTCCGGGTTGCGCATTGGGAGGAGAATATGGATGTTTTGCAGATGAAGGAGGATGGCCAGGTCGAGGCCGAGGACAAGGGCGAGGAGGGGCTGGTGGCGGGTGGTCAGAGTTGAGTGCACTCGCCGTTGTCTCTACTCTACTTCTCTCTACCTTGGATCTTCCTCGGGGTCCGGTTTCCCCCTTCTTGGCTGGTTTCACCGCCGCGATGCGGTGGTGGAAATCAAGCTTCGTTTCAGACCTCTGGATCGAGGCCCTGGGATATTACTATGCTTTTTCGCTCGGAGGCAGTTTCCATCGTCTCTCCGCCAATCCCCCCTGCCGACATCCACCTGCAGGACGACTGGCTGGTGTTGGCCGGGGAGTTTCACCCGCGTATTAAGACCTACATATGATGCAGGTCTCGCTTTTTGCGCCGGGAAACCCGCGGTTCGCTATACTCGTGCCTTGCAGATCTGGTCTGGATCGACCGGTGGCTAAAATGCGCCTGCAAGGAACCGGTGGGTCGCCGCGGAAATTTTCACGCTGGTGAAGTCGAGGCCTTGAGTCTGCGGATGTGAAGATTAGTATGGGTATTAGCTGCTGCTGCTGATACTGCTGCGTCGGTTTGTCTGGTCTGGTCGATTCTAAATTAACCGTCCGCATCTACTGTTCAGATCACGAATTATACTAGAGACTAGTAATATAGCCAAGGATATCCAAATAAACTCCCACATGTATGTCTTGCCACAAACAATTGTTTCACAAGACAAAAGTACGATAAACTACGTCCTGGACGTCACGCTTCCAAGACAGATCTAGCAAAGGGACAAATCCAGCCAAGACAGGGTTTCTATCTGCAAATTAACAAACCCAAGGTACGACAGGCTACCTCGCTTCGTTGTTCGGGACAACGGTTCTCTCAAGGGAGCTAGAAAAGCTACCTAGGGATGTCACGAAAAGGACCGCGTCTAGATTCCGTGCCTGATAGGGAGTGCAGTGAGAAATGAAGTACTACGGCCCTGTCTGCCCTGGGTTCCTCGGAGAATAAACTACCGAAGGGATAACAGAACGGAACGAATCAAGCCCTCGGCGACATCGAGGACTCAGCAGATTCAGTCACACAGCTAAATTGTATGGTCTACTATAATTGGATAGTAAAGTATCAACTCAGGTAATTAGCTGCGTGGGATTCTTAGTATATTATACTGATCCTGTGACTAGCGTCGAATCTGTAGGGTATACAGAAGGTATAAAGGAGTGTGGAGATTAGCGGGTATGAAGGAATGACAGCCGTTGACACGTATATGGTTGGATAAACAGGAAGGAAAGAAGGAATTGAGAGACAGGTCATCAAAGAGGGAGGATGTAGTTGGAAACAAGCTTTAGCAACTAATAAGCCAAATCAGATCAATCAGTCAGAGTCAAAAGAGAGAAAAGAGCGAAAGCTCAAAGTAACGAACTCCAGAAAGTGCCTTGTCATGGACATCAATCAGTTCATTTCATAGCAGCATTGGTTGCAATGCATCATTCAGGTAGTGGGGCCTGGAATCATTTCACAGCGAAAAGCTGGGCTCATAAGTCATGGAGAGCGGACCCAAGAGTAACAAGCAAAGGAAAATCAAGTCATGGCGTTGTAATTTTTCATCACCCGATTATGGGATCGTTGGTCACAGTGAGGCATTATTGCAATTAGACAAAGGAAATCATTAGTATCATGTTGGGCGAGCGACCGTTGCTTTTGTTGTCAGAAGTGAGCAGAACTTAAAAACCAAAGAGTGAACCGTAGGACTCCGGGCAGGACGATGTGCGGTAAAGTCAAAAAGCAAGCTGAAAGAGTGATGATAACTATAGGGCTTTGCCATGTCGTGGAGGTGATATGTCGCCGTGACAGCCGAGCACGCGAAGCGACTCCCAAACTCGTTTATAGAGCGGAGGGCGACCCAAAGTCAGACTGTGGTGAATGGCTTTATCGGATCGATCTTCGCGGCAGAAAGTGCACACCTTTTCCCGTTCCGCACAGAGCGAGGCCTCTGGCGAATCCGACCGCTGTCGCCGTCGGGATTTGGCCTGGATGGCTGCTGCAGTTGATCGATCGAAATCATAGTTCCGGGGCTGGTTGTTGCTACCGCGACTGTTGGCGCGGGAACGAGGTGTTCGCGGTCGTACAAGGGATGTGGTAGAAGGGGCAACGAGACGCAAAGTCTGCTGGGCAGTCGGACGAAAGATATCCTTTGTCGAGCATGCTTGGACCATGGTCCTCATAGGGGAAGGGGTAATGTCGCCGGGAGGGGGTTCCGGCATGGAGGGGAATTTCTCCAAAGGCTGTGGGTGATTCGATGAGGGTGCACTCTGTAGTTTGGGCGCTGACTTGGCGACTCGCAGATGGACCCGGCTGCGGACCTTTTTAAGAGTGTCAATGGGATTCTTCGACATTTTTGGATCTGCGTCTTCGGTATCCGAATCAGACTCCCATACCGACTGTTCACAGTACATGTCGGACACAGAAGTCGGAGGTCTATCCCTAGCGGATACACTCGTAACGGGTCTCTCTGGTCTATCAAAAAATGTCTTTGCAGGGCCTGGGCTGGGAACGGGACTGGGACATTCATTGGCTGGTATGAACAGCGCTTGGTCGAAGTGAGACGTATGTGGCTCAAGGGTCACCGGGTTAATCAGACAAGGCGGAGAGATCATAGAGGGTTCGATCGGGGGCCTGCTGCCCGGGTTGGTTCCCCTTCGACTCGTTGGGACATTTGAATTGCGCGCACTATTGGGAAGGGAAGGCAATGGCTTTGCACGGTATGAAGGAGAGTCCAGACTATCTCCCCGAGGCATGACAAGGGTGTCCGATGAGTCGTTTGATATCGCTACTCGTGGTTGGGGATCTCTGGGTGGAGTTGAGGGCTGTGACAGCAAAGCAGTCCGGGAGCCGTTCAATGGTGTCGATGACAAGTAAATGTGGTTACCGGAGTTGATTTTTGTGTTCAGACTGGCTTGGGATAGGTGTTCGGTTGCCTGATCCAAAGTGTCTGGATGAAGATGACCCGAATAGTTCGAAGAAAAAGAGCTGCTGGGGGTCAAGTCAGGTGTGGCGTCTGTTTGGACTGAGCTGAATGAGCCCTGGGTCTGGTGGAAACGTTTGGGACCACGAGGTTGTCCTGCAACTTGCTGAAGCCCTAACTGATGCTCCAGCTCAACAACTGATAAGGTGGATCGGTTGATATTAGTTTGGGATCTTGCGGTGTCTCCGCGAAGGTTCGTAGGGATCGGAAGCTCTTTGCTGGGATTCACGGTGGATAACATGTAATACTGATTTGCCTCTTCACTAAATCTAACATCGCGAATTCCGCGCCTTAGAGAGCCCCAAGAGGCGTCGTCGGCGAGTGATTCCTCCAGATAGAACGGGTCCGGGTTCGATTCCTCGACAATTTCCGGCCCTTTAGCGGGATAGAATGAAGATGATCGTTTCGGAGGGTGAGATGGCAAGGGCAAGCAAACCGTCGTCTGTGATCTGTTTCGTCCTTTGTGGAAAGCGTTGAATTCGCTAGGGGAGTAGTGGTATCCGGTAGCCATGGGCTATGATTCCAACCGCTATAATGCTCTAAGCACTGATGATGCCTTTATTTTCTTGTTTTTAGGGATGGAAAACGTTCACCAAAAGAGTGAGATAAACGGGAATCATTGAGTGTTGGAAGATAGAGCTGAGGAGAGACAGAATTTAGTGCGTCAAGAGGAATGGCAAGGGTGAAGGGGATGTGTTTATACATACCTTGCCCTATAAACATTGATACCTCTCCAGGACCTGGGGATGTGGATCGGTGGCTAGGCCGCGGAGCGCAGCCGACGCATGCCAATGCAGAGTGGTGTAAACAAAGCTCAAGCGTCCGAGAGCACAGACATCAATGACCTATCACACCTTACATCCTCCCCTTCCGTAGGGATGGCTATGTAAGGCGCACAGGGCATGGAGACTGCAGCAAGGGACAACGCCCCGGAACCCGATCCGCCAGCTACGCACAATGCGGGGTGCTCAGATCGGCCAGTACATAATAAAAGCTGGCTAATGCTCGCGCACGCGACAATAACCCTTCTTCGCGTCTCTGTGTTTGTGGAAGAGCGAAAGTTGTTGATTTCCGATGGCAACCGTGTCTGTATCCTTGGAAGGGTTTCCCCCTGGAAGGGCTGGACCCAGGAGGGCTGGATACCATGTCCAGTACAAACCCTCGCTATGAAGTGATCAATTAAGCTTTCCATGAAACCGACGAAGTATTATTAGCATCTTACACATCTGCCGTCGAACGGGCTGGAGCTTGAGGATGCTGACTGCAGAATTCGACTAGGGTGGCGAGTGCCACAAGATTTCTGCGAACATGGAGCTCTCGTCATTAAAAACGTGCACAAAAAATAATGAAATGTCATTCAATCTCACCAGTAGTGGTCGATAACTATTTTGAGATATCCGCCCTCTGCAACGCGGCAGGACAGGACGCGGAAGTTCGGAGTAGACCCGGCGACTGCGTCCAAGGATCGTCCACTAACGCTGAAAACTGGAAAGTTTCCGCTGGGATGCGATGGCGGCCGATCATGTCGATCATCGTCTCATCGAGGACAGTCTTATGCTTTTGGTAAAACTTCCCCAAAGCCACCAACGGCACAAGAGGAGGGGTCAATCAACGCCTCCAAAAGCCACAACGTCACGGCCATTGTAACCCTGCCATTGGGTAGGGCTTTTTTTATCAGTATCATCCTCCTGTTAGTCAGGCAAAGCGGCCCTGGCTTGAAATGCATCACCCTGCAGGAGGAACATATGTATTGCCGGATGGACCCGCATTCCAGAATCGCGTTCTGGTTGCCATGCCTCTATGGTTACAATTCCCGAGGACAACGGAATTCCCTACCTTCACCTCGCCTTTCGACAGAACCTTTAGATGTCCTTGCAAAGGGGATTGACCGCTCCTCAATGATTCCCCTCGAGGGGCTGGTCTAGTTCTCAAGGGCGCCTCCTCCACGAAACCCTCGCCGTCACTGGGAAGACATAAGCCCTTGGTTTTTGCCTAAGTAGGAGTAGTTGTGCCTGCTTTCAATTCCACCACCAATATCTAAAAGCACATTGTATCGTCGTATGTTGCGTTTCTGTGGATGCGTCAAGAAAGAAGAGTTCTAACGGGAGTTTGTTCTGTGACCTTACTATCCCGTATCGTGTATTAAATTTACCATTTGCGCCTTCTAATCCTCTTGTGGGGACGCTGATTTTCCAAGGAGACCTCGTATTCTCCGAGATTCTGGCATTTGATTTGTCTAGATGGGGCTGTAAGCCCGTGCCACAAATGATATGTCCAATTCAACCCGGTCCGATATTATGATAAGATGGTTGATGGTAGACTTCAATACAGCTGCAGTTTGTTGATTGTAATCGACCGGTGACCGAAGCGTGGAATGAGAATAGCGGTTGTCTAGACTGCTCGGGAAGCAAACGCATCGCGCAGCCCACATTCCAATCCTGCAATGCTGCAGAGTTTGATCGGGAATCCGGAATTTCCTGGAGGTCATCAAATTTCGATCATTCATGTGCTCTGTGACTCCTCCAACGTAATCACTAGTTTGTAGGTAGTGTCCGTTTATATTTACATGTCGATCAAGTATGGGTGCAGATTGGATCTCCCGTCGCTGGTTCTCATCTCTCGCGATATGCATTTGTTTGACGGTTAAGCCGACTCCCACCGGGAGAACTTCCCGGCTTTCGTCGCTGGACGCAAATATATATTCTGTAAGGTAGTGCTGCATAAAAACACCGTCACATTCCTCGACCTGCAAGATCGTTCACCAGGCCCATTCGAAATATCAAGCGGTGGATGATATTGTTGGCACAGAAAACGTGTATACCCTTGGTTGGTCCTATGGGTTTGACATTTCACCGTTGCGGTGCGATATCTTGAATTTTGCGTGGGTACGAGATGTCTACTATTTTGATTCCAGAAGGATAGATCAAATCCGTGGGTAGTACGACAGTCCAGATGAGCCGAGCCAGGTACCTGGAGAAACGGTTTGAGACAAGCTGCAAGGAATTTCGATGTGTTTGAAACCGGGACGGTTGAGTGCGTTTCCCAGAACTCAATTAATATCCGAGAAGAGGGTCTACCTTCATGTTACTGGCTCCCAGTGTTTTCTTATTATGCGCCTTCGTTCTCGACCGTCTTTCGTTTAATTGCACGACCAATGTTGCTCAAGGTGCAACAACAGACCGAACAAATTATCGAGTCCGGCGAGCGGGTCGCTTACCTTTGATTCCGTGGGCCGAACGATCTCCAAAATCGACAATGCAGTCTCATGAGCAAGGACAAAATCAATCCGACAGCTTTATAACCATCGATATCAAGCGGTCGTGCAGCGTAGAAAGGACCCCTGAGTCCTGCAAGAGGGTTTCCACGGATATACTGGAAACTAATTAAAAGCTATCCGTGGATGGACCGAGTCAGTGCGCCATTAGGCCGAGCCAGATTGAAGGCCTGTGGGGAAGGCCCAATGGTTCGTTCCTAGGAACGAAGAATCAAATTGATCAGGGGCACAATGTAAACCGTGCGTTGAGAGGACCCAGAGCTTTATTAACTGGTCGCGCAAAATATCGACAGAGACAAAGTTGGCATTCATATTGCGAGCCAATTTTTCGTCAACCCAGGGTATCTATTATTAACGAGGAACCTGGGCATGAGAATTGGCTGCGGCCCAAATCCCCATCCAGGGGCTGCCAGCGCATCAATGGGCAGGATTCGTCGGCGATCGGTAGCTAGTATGCGCGGACAGATCCTGGGCCACCACTTGTCTTCGCGACGCTTCGTGTCCTTGCCCGATCGTTTCAATGATGCATTACTGGGTTGTTAGGGTGGCGATCGGATGCCAGAGATGAGGCCGTACTGTCGCGTGGATCTAGGCCGGGAGTCGCTAATTGTGTTGAAGTAAACTCGGTCGGTGATGGTCGGATCAGACCTGTCGTAGAAAATTCTACTCCGTAAGAAATAAAAAGCAATGAAAAAAAGAAAAGCACAGCAGGTCGGTAGCCGAGCAGAAGAAGGCAGCCGAAGGACAGAAGAAACAAAAAGAAGAACGAAGCGAAGAGCGAAAATGATGGATCGGCCGAGCCCCGTGATCTCGCGGGTTTCCTCTTCCCCGTCGCTTTTCCTCCTCCTTCGCCTTTTCTGCCCAGTTACTAGACCGGTCGCTCTACTCCACGGGCCGTGGTACAACTGGCAAGATATTTCCGGCCATTGAGCTCTGTAGCTCCGGTCAATGACTGCTACGAGCCGGTTCTAGTGCTCGTGGCGGTCTGAAAAGGACTGGGAGCTTTCAGGTACGTTACGCTCGCTGTCCTGCCCTGTGTGTCTCCCAGCCATCGCATTTCCTCACGGCCAATCCTCCCACCCCCATTTGACCAGCCACTGCGTCCACAATTCCCTTCCCCATTTTCCTCCGCGGTCTCCTCTCTGAAAATGCTTCCTCTTCTTTCCGTCTTCTGTTTCTTCTAACCTCAAAAAAATACCCACATTCCATCTGGTTAATCACTGACCGCAATCCAGAGGCCGGTTCGCCTTGTTTCGTGATCCATACTCTCTTGTCAGCTAGAATTCATTCGAGCCACCTCATTCCGCCCCTCCTCTGACGTCGAAGGGTCCTAGTGACAAAGCACGCCCGCGTCAATTGTCACGTTGTCTTCACAATTCACACCGTCATCCCAATTCCCAGATTCAGCGGTGTCTCCCCGTACCCACGGCGCATCTGACGAGACCTACGAAGTTTACGACCCTCCAACGCTTACGACCTCTTCGCGGCAACGCCAGCAGCAGGCTGCTTACGACTCTGTCCCTGATTCTTCCCGTTACGACCCACCGCGCCCGGCAAGTGCTCACGGAAGCACTCGTTCATTGCGGCGAACCTCTCGTCTGTCTCACCACCGACCTGGCTCGGTAGATGTTTCGGGACGCCCGGCTCGTATAGAAGAATCCATTCCTGTATTGGTGCAACCTGCTTCGGAGCATACCGTTGGAATCGCCGGTTTACGTCCGGCACTTTCGGAAGCGCAAACTGAAGAGGACGACGAGGACGACTATTCAGTACTCGGGAACCCTAACCAGCTCCTCGGTCGCTCATACTGGCCCCGTAGATCCACCCGCGTCTCACCGACCACAGCGTCCGCAATCCTTTGGGCGCTAGAAGAGGCCATTCGGAAACCGGTTCCTTTCACGCCAGATTGGGAGGAAGTGAATGCTTCCATGTCTGAGTTGGCAGGTATCCCTGGTTCAACAGGGCTCGGAGGAAATGGGCGGACTCAAAATGGAGCTTCGCGGGCCGCACAGGGCCCTGTACCCGTGAATCCTCACGCATCCAGTGGGGTCAGGACCCCGACCGATATTATGCGACAACGCCGAGATCGGGAGGCCCGCAAAAGGGCAGAACAGGAGGCCAAGGATAAAGAGCAGGAAGAAGCTCAGCAGGAAGCACGGGACAAGACGCAAGCCCCGCCTTATCCTGCTGGCGTTGCCGGAGATAGGACTTCGCAGCGGAGAGCAGCGGCTCCCCGAGCTGCCGCAGGTCCAGAAATCAAACCAGACCCGCGCGGTTCAATGCCGACCGGTCAACAGCCTCCTGGGCTCTCGTCGACTATTCGACACCCTACGACACAATCCCAGATCCCAGGATCGCAGCCCCAACAGGCCTCTGGGCCCCAGCCACAAGTGCCTCTCCAGGCTGCTCCAGGCTTGTCAAAACCACAAGCTCAGGATCCCCAAGTGAGCCAGCCTGGTGCTTCCCAGCCGCAGCAGCAAGCACGTCGTGTTGCCTTTCCTCACGCATTCGAACGCTGGGAAACCCTATCTTCTCACTGGGAAGGACTTACCGGCTACTGGATCCGAAAGCTTGAACAGAATAATGAAGCTATGGAACGTGACCCGGTCAGCCAGCAGATGGCCCGTCAGGTCACCGATCTCTCTGCGGCTGGCGCGAACCTATTCCATGCCGTCGTCGAATTGCAGCGATTGCGAGCATCATCCGAGCGGAAATTCCAGCGGTGGTTCTTCGACACGCGCTCGGAACAAGAACGGTCGAAGGAAGTCCAGGCTGACTTGGAGCGACAGCTGAGGACCGAGCGACAAGCTCGCGCCGAGGCGTTGACTTCATCGCAAAAGGCCGAGAGCGACAAACTCCGGGCCGAGGACTTGCTCAAAGAAATGCGCCGCGAGCTTCAAATATCGAAGGAGGAGGCGCGTCGGGCCTGGGAAGAGCTCGGTCGCCGCGAACAAGAAGAAAGAGATCGAACCAATTCGCTTCGAAGTGGGGAGCCTACGCTGGTCGGCGGTGTCCAAGTTGTGCCTATGATCCAGGGTCTGCCCAACCGTCAGACTTCCGTTAACCGCCCTCAAACTCGAGAAAGCCCCTACGCCGGTGGCGAGGGTAACGGAAAAGCTAGTTACTGCGACGAAACCCCTGGCTCGCCCACGGGGACCGATCCTTTCACAGAAGGGCGCAGGGCTCACCAGGAGTCGGGAGTGCCCCATTCCGGCCCTTCACGCCCTCCAGCTACTACGGCCGCAGATGCGCCGGGGCAGTACGCCGGCCACTACTATGACCAGGGAGGCGCCTACCAAGCCCGTCCCTCTTCCGAGAACGATGATCGCTCCTATGTCGCTAGTAGTGAGCCTGGCGAAGAGGAGTACGGGGCTTATCGGCGCAATCCTCAGGGTCAGACGGTCGTTTACCCCCGGCCCATGTCGGAGGAGAGCGACGAATATGAACAGGGATCAATGGACAGCGGCGAAGGCGGGTATATGACAAGTACCATGCCTCCAACTTCAGGGGCGATGTATGCTCCTAGCTATGGTCAGGGCGGCTCCGTGGATTATAGCGGCTCGGGCTGGGGCTCAGGGTGGGATTCGGTGACTCCTCGCCATCGTCACCCGACGCGTCTCAGTGATGTCCTTGAAGAGGAAGAGCCTCGGACAACTCCCAGCCGCGCCAGTCGTGCTAGCCAAGCCAGCAGGAGTGTACATTGATCAGTTTAGCATGGCAATTTGGATGTCGTACATACAGCATACGGATTGTTGCGGGAAAAGTACAATTTGTCTCTACACCATCTCCTTTTGTGTTTCTTCTTTTATCTCATTATTCCCCATTGCGCTCTAGTCGCCATGACGATAGCATTGCCTGGTATTTGTTCTTGCTTTTTTTCTTTTATTTTCTTTTCTCCTGACATTTCTCTGTCTCATTATCTTATCTCGTGTTGCATTTTCGCCTTTGAGACAGTGTTCATGAGAAGGGATTTCTTGCGTTGATATGTCTATTGCTGACCTCACCGTTCAACCTGCACACGAGAAGTATAGTAATTATTGTAATTCTAGAATCTATGGACTCGATTTTTGAGGGGTTAAAAGGTGCACTTTCCCAATAACCATAACTTGTAACATCATCTGGAGTACGATGACTCACGTGATATAATGTAGCCTTGAGGATCAGGCACTAAACTAAACCCCGTGCGGACTTGGAGATCCCGACTGAAGCCACCAACGGGTCCTCGGCGCAGTCTCCAACACGTCTTTTGCATTTCTTTCCAGAGAAGTCGGCTCGGTCGGAATTCCGTGCAAGTTCAAAAAATGGCCTCAACAATGCGACCACTTACCCGGCTCATCAGCCGTGCCTCCCGCCCTCTCGCTCACACCGTCGAAAACACGACACCGCGATCAATCTCATCCCAAGCCGGTCTTCTTCAATCGCTCCGACACACACCCACGCCAATTGCGATCCCCAGAACCAATGTCCCTTCCTCCCAGCGATCCTTCACGTCGTCGAGCCTGCGTGCTCGAGCTCGCACAATGGGCCAGCTGCGTGCCCGGAACTCCACGGGACCGTTTTCGTGGAAGGCCGCTCTGCTGTTCGTCATCACCGGCGGAGGTATGATCGTGTATTTCCGCGTCGAGAAGGAGCGTCTGGAGCGGAAGCGCATTGCGGAGATGAGCAAGGGCGTGGGAAGGCCTAAGGTCGGCGGGCCTTTCGTGCTGAAGGACCTGGACGGCAAGGAATTCACGGCGGAGGATCTGAAGGGGAAATATAGCTTTGTAGGTTTTCCACCGCTCCGCTCCGTCTTTTGGCGTCATTGGAATATGTCGTATCATGTCATGTCCATTTAGACGATGGCGAAAGTGATACTGACCGGCCACGGATACATTAGGTCTACTTCGGCTTCACGCATTGCCCCGACATCTGCCCCGACGAGCTGGACAAAATGGCCGAGATCATCGACGGCGTGAAGAAGGAAACGAACGGCGAGAATGTCTTCCTGCCTGTCTTCATCACCTGCGACCCTGTTCGTGACACGCCGGAAGTGCTGCGCTCGTATCTCCAGGAGTTCCATACCGGCATCATCGGCTTGACGGGCACCTATGAGCAGGTGAAGAACGTGTGCAAGCAGTACCGGGTGTATTTCAGCACGCCGCAGAATGTGACGCCTGGGGAGGACTACTTGGTTGATCACAGCATCTACTTCTATCTGATGGGTAAGTACATTGCCTCTTGTGACTGGGATGCGAAGGACGGATTGTTAACGGTGGTGCACTTTAGACCCCGAGGGTGACTTTGTCGAATGTATCGGACGCCAGGATACGCCCGAGTCGGCGACCAAGCTGATCATGGAGCATATCAATGACTGGAAGCGGGAGGGCAAGCCGCTGAAGAAAGAGTAGGTTGTATAATTAAAAATGCCTCGGCAGATATGTACAATAGAAAATACCCTACTCAATATGCACCGCTGGGAATGCAATGTAGAATACCCAACCAACACCAGTTTTCCGGTTCCATCAATCCTTCATTCAGAGCCTCCCAACCAGACCAATATATCCCCGACCCCCCGTGCTCTTCCGCATCAACCACCACCAGAACACGCAGCATTCAAAACCATAAGATCACTGCTCACCAACAACCCTCCCCTCAGCATCCCGATCCCGATTCGCCCTCCACTCCTTCTCCCCATCCGTAAACTCCTCCAGTTTCCAAATCTCCGCTTTCTCCTTACACAGCTCCAGCACCTCCTCTCCAGCCCTCCACGCCGCGCCACGATGTCCCGCACTCACCGCGATCACAATCGACGCCTCCGAGATCGGCACCGTGCCCAGCCGATGCGCGATCACGATCCCCAGCAGCTCGTGCTTGGCCACCGCGTCGTGCGCGATCTCGTCCAGCGTCTTCAGCGCGAGCGGCGGGTAGGCGGTGTAGCTGAGTTGCGAGACGGGGCGGTCTTCGAACGTGTTGCGCGTCGTGCCGAGGAAGAGCACGTTTGCGCCGGCGGAGGGCGACGACACCCGGGCGAGGGCGGCGCTGGCGTCGAGGAAGTTGTAGGTTAGGGAGATGTGGATGTTCAGGGCGGGGTCTTGGGCGGTGCGTGGGTAGGTTGTTGGGTCGAGGTGTGAGGGGATGTCGGAGGTTGAGTTGGAGGTCATTGTGAGGGAGGGAGGTGGTTTTGTTTGCTGGTCTGCTCTTGTATGATCTGGTCTGGTCTGGGGGGTAGGGGGATCGAGAGAGAGGAAGCAAGAATGAGTGCCTGATGAAGTGGGCTGTATAGGTGTTCTGGCCTGAGGCAGCGAAGGCTTATCGATGTGGGGGAAGTCCAGCGGGGTCGGCGAGATACTGTCACCTTTCATCAGGCACTCGTCGTTTTCTATCTGATTTGCCAGTCGGTCCTGATCTGCATGACTCGCTACTCTTGAATTGGTCGAGGTAATGCATGTGTTGTTCTACGATGTTCTCGTTTGAGTCGGAATTACTAACATATTAATTCAGCTCCTACGGGACGAGCTCTAGCTGATATCAAGCCATGGAGATTATGCAATGGACCTTGCTCATAAAAACATGGAAAGGTCAACTTAGTTTCAAAGATCATTTTCTTTAACTGAGACTAGATACTTGGAAAACAAGTTCTACAGACTTTGCTCGTTACAGGGCAGAAGCTCCTCGAGAGCTCAGATCCAGGTATGACGTCAGCACATTCATTCGCCATCATAAGAGAAACAATTCTCCTTGTTTCCTTTGAGGTGCTCGAATGTTAAGAGAAGAGATAAACAAAGTCATGACCCTGGAGCACAGACACTCCCTCTTCGAGCTCAAATCCATGCTCTAGCCAGCTCCAGTGCATCCAGCCCAATAGCATCGAATCATCTCGGGCCGAGTTCTGAGGTCCCATCCGTGTCCCTCCATCATTTGGTCAACTCAACCTGTGGATCCGCTCGCTGATAAGTTTCACTGGCGGATCACCCCCCTGACCCATTGAGAGATCCCAATGACGGTGCTCCTTCCTTCAAGGTGGGAGTGAACAACGAATCCACCGAGAATTTCTCCGCACCGACCAGTGCCCCGCGGTGGATGGATGCTCTGCCCCTCTTGAAAACAAAACAGCTCTGAGCTCTGTATATAAACAACCCGCCCAGCTACACCCCGAAAACTACAGATCACACCATCTTAAACCCCTCCGCAGCTATGACCAAATCTGCCAACCAGATCCACCGTGCCTGGTGGAAGGAATCGTCCGTTTATCAGATCTGGCCGGCCTCGTTCAAGGACTCCAACGATGACGGCATCGGTGATATTCCCGGTATCATCTCGAAGTTGGACCATATTAAGGACCTGGGAATTGATATTGTCTGGCTTTGTCCGTCCTACAAGTCGCCTCAGGTGGACATGGGGTATGATATCGCCGACTACTACAACATTGCGGATGAGTATGGCACGGTCGCAGACGTCGACAAGCTAATCAAAGGATGCCATGACCGGGGCATGAAGCTCCTCATGGACCTGGTGGTGAACCATACGAGTGACCAGATCGAGTGGTTCAAGCAGTCGCGCAGCTCCAAGGACAACGAATACCGCAACTGGTATGTCTGGAAGCCGGCCAAGTATGATGAGCAGGGCAATCGCCACCCGCCGAACAACTGGGTTTCGCACTTCCAGGGTACGCTATCTCCCTGCAATCGTCAACGAGCTTGGATGGTATCCAGCTAATATATAATCAACATAACAGGGAGTGCCTGGGAATGGGACGAGTTGACCGGCGAATACTACCTCCACCTCTACGCAACAGAACAGCCCGATCTCAACTGGGAGCACCCGCCCGTCCGCAAGGCAGTGGAAGAAATTATGCGATTTTGGCTGGACAAGGGTGCAGATGGATTCCGTATGGATGTGATCAACTTCATCAGCAAGTACCAGGACTTCCCAGATGCCCCCATCAAGGATCCTCGCACCCCTTGGCAATGGGGAGACAAGTGGTACGCCAACGGGCCTCGTCTCCACGAGTACCTGCAGTTTGTGGGAAGTATCCTCAAGGAATACGACACCTTCAGCGTGGGCGAGATGCCGTTCGTCACGGACACGAATGAGGTGCTCCGCGCCGTGCAGTATGACCGCAACGAGATCAACATGATTTTCAACTTCGAGCATGTGGACATCGACCACGGCAAATACGACAAATTCGAGCCCGGCAGCTGGAAGCTCACAGACCTGAAGGCTTTCTTCGAGAGGTGGCAGAAATTTATGTATGAGAATGATGGGTGGAACGCCCTGTACTGGGAGAACCACGACCAGCCCCGGTCGATTGACCGCTATGTGAACGCCAAAGAGGAGTACCGCAGCGCGGCAGGCAAGATGTTGGCGACCGTCTTGGCCTTGAAGTCTGGGTCTCCTTTCGTCTATCAGGGACAGGAAATTGGCATGCGAAACGTGCCGGTCGAGTGGGACATGGACGAGTACAAGGACATCGACTGTCTCAACCACTGGTATAGGTTTGTGGCCTCTTTATGGTTTTCCCATCTTATTGGAAAATGCTAACACATCCTGGCAGACTTCTCAAAAACCCCAAGGCCGACGACAAGACCAAGCAGATCGCCCGACAAGAGTACCAGAAGAAGTCCCGGGATAACGGCCGCACACCCGTCCAGTGGTCTCCCGCTCCCAACGGTGGCTTCACCGGCCCGAACGTCAAGCCGTGGATGTCCGTCAACCCCGACTACCAGCTGGTCAACGCCGAGGACCAAGCCCAGGACCCCGGCTCCCTCTACCACTACTGGGCCTCGGTGCTCAAACTGCGCAAACAGTACCTGGACATCTTCGTGTACGGAAACTACGAGCTCGTCGACCGGGATAGCCAGGAGATCTTCGCGTACACTCGCCAGTACGAGGCCCAGAAGGCGCTGGTGTTGGCGAACTGGACTGACAAGGAACTCGATTGGGACGCTGCCGGTAATGGCATCACGGGGGCTAAGGACGTGCTGCTAAATAGCTATGAGAGCGCCGAGGGAGCCAAGAAGCGGGTTTCCACTGCCAAGTGGTCTCTTCGGCCGTATGAAGCGATCGTGGTGCTTGTGTAGGCCTAATTGTGATCACCAGGGTTCAGTTGCTTGCGGGCGGGCAATAAACAAACAAATCCCGACAAGGTTAGAGATAAATACTCGACTATTCCAACTTTGATATTTTGAAACACGAGGTCAAAAATGCTTCTAGATATTTTTCCAGCTCATTAAATGCTTGACCAGCCACCGTAGAAACTGGACGGAGATGGAAAGCATCGAGCGCCGCCGAATTCATCGAAGGGTTGAATCGACGCCAAATCCGGCGACAAAATCTCGGCTCTGCCGATGTCGCGTGCGTAATGTTCCGTATCAGTACAGGCGGTAAGCCCTCAAATCCAATGAATTCCCGGTTTCCCTCTGAGTAGTCGTTAAAATACCTGTGCCAAAACAAGGGCTATATTACCGCTAACCCCCTTTGGGCCGGAGTATACATCCCTTCGATGGATCCGTCGGCCATCGCCTTCTTTGCTTCTTGAGACTACCGCATTCTAACCCCAAGATCTAAGCAATGGCACTCCACGGACCGTCTTTGTCAGAGGTTAATCATGGCATTCCCCATAAACACGAACACTACGTTTTCGAACACTTCCCCTGACCAGTGTCACTTTCCGTCGCAAATTTGGCGGTTGCTTGCCATGGTCCCTGTCCTGTCATATCATCTCACGACGGAGTGTCAATAATCCATGTTTACCTTCATCCACCCTGTGACTCTAAATCTCCAGCCCCTCTGACTCCCTTAATTTATCCCGTCGATTGAATCATGACTATCATCATGCGACGGTGGAATTCCATCACCGTCAAGATTGTCGTAGCTGCTCTGTGCAGCTACGCTGTCTTTAGCATTCTCCTCGGCGATCGAGAGACTTATAATTCAACGCGAAACCTAGTCCGCGCTGGTCAGCGCCGGATATATGGCTCGACTTTTGATCGCATCAATAACGAGACGCTCGGGGTATGTTTGACCATGTTGATGTGTGATTGACGTGTCTAATGCCTGGATCCGTCTAGTTTGAAAAAGTCTTTGCGATCGGACTGAAGGAGCGATCGGATAAGCGCGATTTTCTCACTCTGGCGGCTTCTGTCAGCGATATCAAGGTCGAATGGATTGATGGAGTCAAGCCGGAAACTATACCTGACAAGGCTTTGCCGGAGGTTTGTGGCTGTCGCTTTCTGCTGGAGTGTCAAGGCTAATAAGGACAGAGATATAACACGTCATGGTTGAAGCCTACGGTTGCTGGCTGTTGGCGCGCGCATATGAATGCGATGCAAGAGTGAGTGGGACGACTTCCTCCATACGATGGAAATGCTAATAAAGAAATAGAATAGTAAACAACCGATACTCTACGGCTCTAATTCTGGAGGATGACGCCGACTGGGACGTTTCCATACGGCAACAGCTTCGCGAATTTGCTCAAGGGGTGCGGACGATAACCAATAACCAAAAAGCACCTAAGCAAACACCTTACGGCACCAATTGGGATGTTCTCTGGGTGGGAGGCTGTTCGGCGGGCCCTGGATCGCAAGAATCAAACATCTACGCCGTCCCGAATGATCCCACGGTGGCGGCTGTCCGACACCGGCGTAACATCTGGGGAGGGCCCTCTGAGACATGGAAGAAGAAGCATCCCGAGTATCCGGAGGACTCGACGCGGTATATCTTCCGTGCGCAGACGGGATGTTGTACGTACGGGTACGCCGTGACCTATGAAGGTGCGAGGAGGATGATTGCCGCGTTGTCGGTTGATTATATGGATCTGGCCATCGATAACTCCATGAGCGATATGTGTGCTGGCAACAATCGTGAACAGATACGCTGCTACGGTCCGTATCCCAACATCATCGGGACCTACAAACAGGCCGGCTTTGCGTCGCGGGGGTCCGATATCGAGGTGTACAACGACGAGTATCACGAGGCCAGCGCACACAATATGATCTACAGCACTAGGATGAACATCCATCGGCTTCTTGCAGGAGACGACACGGTTTCTGGACAATATGCTGATGAACAGGATACGTGGCTCAAGGGCGAGGTCAAGATCAGTGAGCTCCAGTATCCGGCTGGTCGTCTGGTTCCTTGAGCAATAGACTGCTGCATGTGTATGTTTTTATTTCTGTTTTTTCTTCAGGCGAACCTTTTCTGTGTCATTAATATCCAATCAAACGATGCATACTTTTTATTTCTGTCTTCTGGGAATCCAGGGCCCTTAACTGAAAGTTGTTCTGTAGTACAGATTGAAACACCGTATATCTTCTAGAAACTATAGTAGTGAAACCTTCACTTTTACTCGACTACTCATTAGCTAATGGAATGCAACCTCTCTCTCCGTGCCTTTTCTTGGGGTGCTGCACCATTTCCGAATGCGGACATCTCAACCGCACTCGGCCTGTCCGTGGAGACAGCGTCAATACAAAAGCAGGAGATCTACAAAGACCCCAATCCGGAAGACTTGGTCAGTCAAATGATCATGACACTTGTCAACCGTTCTTCTCGCCCATAATGCTCTTTTTTCTCCCTCGACTGCACGATTTTCACCATACCTGATGACCAGTCCTCCGATGGCCAAATCAATCCATGGTTAGAAATTGCACATCCAACTTGCACATCCTTTCTCATTAAGTTCAGGAACAGCTCTCGCTCATCCTTTGTCAGCCAATGCTTGGGTAGCATTGCACTGTCCTGACAGCTGACTCGTTCCACGGTCTTTCGGGTTCTCGACTGGTGGTGATGTATGTGCTGCAACACTGCTGATGTGGCCCAGTCCTACTACGAAGCATATAATACAGTCACCAAGGAAAAGTCAGCCAAGTGACCCGCGACCCCTAGACACTCCCATGTTTGTACATCTGTGAGTTGAGCACATCGCCCAGCCAAACATGGTCTTCTCATCACGACACGGGGAGCAAGATGACCCCGAGTCGGGTCAACTCCTCAAGACGGAGAAGTACGACGATGATCTGGAAAAGAAAATCCCCGAAAAAGCCGGGGCTCCATCCTTCATGAGCGTGGCCATATGGACGATGATCAACGTTATCTCAACCGTGGCCATTGTAAGCCCTCACTCCCCATCCTATACTACCTAGGATTATGTTCCGCATACTAACAGCCCTAACCGCAGGTCTTCACCAACAAATCCATTCTCTCCGACCCATCCTTCCGCAACTGCCAGGTCTCCTTCGCCGCGTATCACTTCTTCGTCACCGGCGCAACCCTATGGGTCGCCTCCCGCTCGTGGTTCGGCCTCTTCGTGCCCAAAGAAGTCAACATCCGCCAAATGCTGCCCCTATCAGCCGCCATGGGCGTACAAGTCGTTCTCCAGAACCTGGGCCTGGCCAACTCCTCCGTGATGTTCCACCAACTCGCCCGGCTTCTCCTCACCCCCGTAACCGCCCTCCTGAACTACATCTTCTACGGCGCGCGCATCCCCCGCGCTTCCATCTCCCCGCTCGTGCTCCTCTGCGCCGGCGTCGGAATCGTCACATACTACGACTCCCTGCCCAAGGATGACGGCAAAACCACCACCTCCTTCTGGGGTATTGTGTTTGCCTTCTCGGGTGTCGCTGCTAGCGCGATCTACACCGTCTGGATCGGCTTCTATCATCGCAAACTCGAGATGTCGAGCATGCAGCTGCTTTTGAACCAGGCACCGATCAGTGCCGGGTTGCTGCTGATTACTATCCCGTGGATTGAGACTCCGCCTGTCATGTCGTATGTGCCGAGCTCGATGTGGTTTTTGATTCTGATGGTTTGTTCACCTTATGCCTTATCTCTCCTTCTATCCTTGGGGAAACCGTGCTGATAGTCCTCTAGAGCGGCGTCTTCGCCTGCCTCGTCAACCTCTCTGGGTTCTACATCATCGACGCCGCAGGCCCCGTGAGCAGCACCGTCATCGGGCAGTTGAAGACCTGCGTGATTGTGGGCTTGGGATGGGCGTCCAGTAGCCATGCAGTCATGGGTCAGAGCGTCATGGGCATTGTGATGGCGTTGATCGGAATGGCATTGTAAGTTCTAAGTTCCCTTGGCTATGATGATTTATGCTTTCCTTTTCAGGGCTGCAGTTGACTTTGTTGCGTTGCAGGTATATGAATATTATTCTGAGACAGCCGAATGCTAAGGCGTGATTGAACTGGAGGTTATTTGTGTTGGAATATGTATGTGTCTCGGATTGAACACGGGAAGGGGGCGCTTGGTAGGTTGGCAAGATGAGTCGCTCTGTGCACTGTTGGAGTTACATGGATGGAGTATTATTAAAGCTATGGCGTTTATCAATAGTGGTAATTCTATGATCATTGGTTAGTGAAAATATAAGATAATACATATGACACACGGAGTGATTGAATCTAGCAACTATGGCCTTTGGATTGTTCTAACCCATATCCAATCCTAGTATGATCCATGGACAACTAGTGGCATTATCGATCTGCACTCTCAAGTTAGCGCAATGGCAAGTCTACACGGACATTCCTCCATTCGGTATTTGATCGGATCATGCATAGTTCCCTGTCGTGATTGACTGGGTTTCTCGGCTGAATAATGCAAGGAGAGCACATATGTCTCGGTACACCTGCAAGTACTAAAGTTTTTCGCAGGGATCTGAATCATTCACATTCAGGGATTCAAGTCTCGTTATGTATACCACCCAGTGGTGCATCCTCGTGGGGGTTTCGGCCCCTCAGCTGAAGGTCCACCCCCCACTGCCTGAGAAAAAGCATTTCCATCCCCGCCGCATTCCACACCCCTGGATCACATGAATCAGGGTAGCATTCTGCAATTCAGCTCAGCTGCAGATGCGGGGTGATTCAGCACCGAGCTGGTAGTTCCTCCGGTCTAATTAAATGTTCGAGCGAATTGAATCACGCGCAACTGGCCAGACAAGCAGTCGGTAAGGCGTGATCAGCTAAATCCCATTAGCTCGGTCTCTAGTATGTAGCTCCGGAACTGATGCCGTAGCTGGGAATCTAAGACCGGCAGGCAGCTGACAATTCTCATGGATTTTAATATTCGCGTTAATCAATTCTCTCGCTAGGATTCGGGGTTCCTCCTGGATTGGCTTTTCTGTGCATGCAGGTTCCGGGCTGAGATGGGGCAGCTGAATATCGTTTTTTTTTTTTTTTCCTTTGTTTCTTTTTTTTTTTTCACCTTGTGTGTTCAGCCGAGGATAATGGCATGAGCAGGTATAAAGAGGGATTCCAGTCCTGCGAAAATGAAGTCCATCAGGAAAATTGAGTCCGCTGTTCTTCGCTAATACAATGATGTTCTTGTCCGGTTTGGCCTTGTGTGCTGCTGTTTTCCCGTCCTTCGGGCATGCATTGACACTTCCAGCTCGGAGAGGTCTGGTCCCAAAGTCTCCCTGTTCCAAGTCCACTGCTTGAAGCTGACTCGAGTATAGATGTATCCTCTTCGGTCCTGGAGGAGCTCACCCGCAACGCACAGTATGCCGCGGCCACGAACTGCGCCGCAAACCACAACGAGACCTCCCCGGGCTCAGCCGTCTACTGCGACAAGGGATTCTGTGATCTGATCGCCGCATCCGACACGGAGATCATCAAGGGATTCTGGGGGTAGGCCACCTCATTTAATTCCACCTAGCATCATAACCACAGCTAACAGCAAACCACCAGATTGAGCCCCGGCGACACGACCGGCTACCTCGCTCTGGACCGCACGCACAAGCGCATCCTGCTCGCCTACCGAGGCACCGTATCCGATGAGAACGGCGAGACGGACCTGAAGTTCCAGCACGTCGACGCGTCCGATGCGTGCACGGGCTGCAAAGCCCACGAGGGGTTCTGGGGGGCCTCGAACGCTGCGATCGAGTCGCTCCAGTCCAGCGTCGAGTCCGCGGCAAAGGAGAACCCGGATTATACGATCACTGTGATCGGACATAGTCTTGGAGGCGCCCTGGCGACGTTGGGGGCCGTGTCGCTGCGTAATGCGGGCCATACGGTCGATCTGGTACGTTCGGAATTTCTCGCCGTGTTCAATGCTCGGAAGCTAATGCAGTTGCAGTATACCTATGGCGCACCGTCGGTGGGCAACTATGACTTTGCGAAGTATATCACGGAGCAGACTGCGGGCAAGAACTATCGCGTGACGCACACCAATGATGAGGTTCCCAAGGTCTTGTATCGGTCGTCCAGGGAGTGGTTGCTTCACCTTATAGTGCCGGAGTATAGCCAGTCTTCGCCCGAATATTGGGTCACTTCGGAGAATGGGGTCATCCCGACTGTCTCGGACATCAAATTCATTGAGGGTGTCAATAATGAGGACGGGAACTTGAGCCAGGGAGGCATCACACTGAATGCTCATGGTTGGTATTTGGGGAATATGTCGGTGTGCGCTGAGATCTAGTTGGCTTGGATGTTGGTGTTGATTGGTGATTGGGTTTATGTCACTTTGGTCGGGAATTGAGACCCTTTGCCTGTCATTTCCACCCGAAACCATTGAATTGCTGACCCTGGTTCATCGACCCTTGGCTATGAGGACAAAGGCTGGATAAAATTGGAATCCACACAAAGGGTATATAGGCTATAACTGCTAACACAATTGACATATATCGAGGATGAGAGAAATAAGAGCAGGGATTTCACTGCAGAAATTGCACTTACCCAAACCGGTTACATTCATGGCCGGCAGAGCTTAATATTGTTCTCAACCGTGTAGAGTATCGAAGTGTGATATCCCTGAATTAAGGACTTTGAGATCTAGCCCTAACGCCAGAACATACGTGACTTTCAAAGGTCTTTTTTAGTTCCCTACTAGTATGACTCCGCCTCGTGTTATCTAAATTCATCTTGCCTTGTTCCCTTATAATAGTACTGAAGATTGCGGGGATTCTACTCACTTCAGATACTATGAATATCTCTACTGCAGTTTCACTATGAGTGTGAATGCCTGATCCCGGAGAGGAGAATTTGCCATCTCCTGATGGCTATAAAATCACCCGTCTATGCTTCTTCCTCTCTGTCTCTTCCACAAGCCGACACCTGTTTACTGTGAGCCCCATTTATTCTACTGGGCACAATACCACCTATTAGATACATTCAATATTCAGAAAAACGATGAAGTTCTTTGGATTGGTTCTGCTGCTCGCAGCCCTCGTGGCCTCGCGTGCTGTTGTTCATCCGGATGACAGGAGTGACCTCACTCAGATCATCCGAGGTTTGTTCTCCCTATATCTCATATCCCCTCTATATACCCTTTAAATTTGACTGATCAAACCTCGACAGACGTCTCTCCGCCTACCGCCACTGCTCCCGAATTGGTGACTCGAGAACACGAATCCGAAGACACCGATAACACCTTTGAAGATGTCTCCCTGAACCCGATGGTTCCTACTAAAACCGAGCCTAGCGAAGACACAGACGACGAAGATACCGAAGCCGATGAAAAGGAAGACCGTGATGGCCTAGTCGTCCGGAAAGTCAACCGGAAGGAGACCTGCGCTAGCGCCAGAGGTTGCCCCCTCAATACCTACTGCTGTTACGGTGCCAAACACTGCTGTCTCAACAAGAAGAGCCCCTATGGGCTCAGCTATTATAATCCGTGGGCGTGAGCTGCCCCGGGAGGTTTTGGGGTTGGTGGATGATTGGTTTCTTCCCTGTTTTTGGTTCTGTGGGACCTTCTGCTTTGTGAGTTTTATTCGGGGAGGATGGGGCATTTAGTTCTTGCACTTAGATGGTTAGATCTTACCGCCGGTTTCTCTGACAAGGGTTTCTAGGCTGATTGCTGCTGAATCAATTGTATCAATCATTGCTCTTGAAGTAACTTGGAATATTCAAGCGCAAGTACGGTAGTTCAATCCGGATGCGCGATCCAGCAGAATAAACGTTCCTGTCAACCCGGATCTCATCTGTTCCTTCCTCTTCTCGTTCTGGCAACTGAACTGTCTAATCCATTCATTTCAAATGTCCGTATAATCCAGGTAGTTCATTGGCTGGGCAGACCAGGATCGACGCTATCTCGCCCCGGAAACATCGATCTCCACCAGACCCGGATTGTTTTCGCGCCAGCACTTCCACCTTGACAGCTCCATTGTACTGGCCGTCCTAGGCATGTTCAAATTCTCGGGTTATGCACGCAGACTCTTGGATAATCAGTATGCCGTGTTAACCTATGTAGGAAAATGCAATTACGGCCGTCGATCACGTCTCCTTACGGCCATGAGTCATGAATATTGCCAGGGGCCGGAATAACCGTGTAAGATTGGGAATTCCTACTACGAGGTATGTGACCTATCAGCCAGCGAATTTATCTGTTCTGACTACAGGGTCTGACAGGAGGTAAGACCGATTATGACGCCTTTATGACTACACGGCTATATGGTTTTGTCTACACAGAAGACGTCGAACCAAGGCCTTCTCCTTCGCAGGATCTCTCCTCTCAAAACTCATATCTAACATCTCCCTTTAAAATGTTTACAATCAACCCCCGACCACTTCGGGGCTGCAGTATGCATCCCGACCTTTTGTTCATTGCCTCTTGGCTAACCTGCTGTTCTAATTCAAGTTCGCTCGCTCCAGCTCTCTCAATATGGCTCACATATACGCGTCTTGTCACCGAGGTGAGCCCTCTTATCATCCCCTTTTTTGTGCTAAATCTCAAGGTTTAACCGTCACTCTCCATTTGGACTCTCTCAGATTCTCCTCGCAATTAAGTAAACCAGCGGACGCCGGCAGCCGTCTAGCACAACAACGCCTCAAGCGCCCTGTGTCTCCCTACTTCTCTATCTACCGCCCTCAGATAACATGGGTTGTCAGTATCACCACCCGAATCACCGGGATTGCGCTCTCGGGGGGCATGTACCTCTTCGCGACAGCCTACCTCTTATCGCCAGTAACGGGGTGGGACATCGGTTCCGAGTCCCTGGCGACGAGCTTTAGCAGTCTCTCTCAAGTGGCTGCATTCGCGCTGAAATTTGGCGTTGCGCTTCCGTTTACGTTCCATTGCTTCAATGGAGTTTGTCACCTTGTGTGGGATACAGGTCGGGGGCTGAGGAACAAGCAAGTCAATCGAAGTGGGTGGGCGGTGGTTGGGACTTCAAGCGTCGCTGCTGCTCTTTTGGCTTCGTGGAAGCCGAGCGATGATGCGTAGGTGTGTCGATTGTTTGGGAAGCTTAAATTATTTGATTGCAGGCTCATCACGATTCTTTATTCAAATGGGATCTCTACTATGCCAACAAGTTTAACACGATTAACTAAAATACAACCCTCAAGCGGGCCCAATCCAGCCTTCTTGATACATGCATCATCCATATCTCATGTTTACTCGTCTGGTGCTGATTATACTATATCCCAATCCCTCCCTATCATCACAGACACTCCATCTCATGCTCCGCATCTATCTTCAACCAAATTGAGTGAAAAAGCTCCACGTCTCCGGAGGAACAAATGACTTCGTCGCGCTGTCCCCAATGCCACCGTCATACGGCGCCGCCGTATGATTCCCATCAAACGCAATCCACCAGACCGGATGATCCTGGCAGCCAGGATACTCCGTCTTGATATGGGTGAGACTCCCAGGCTTTGGTTCCGGGACAATCAACGGAACCTGGCACCCATTAACCGCCACCCACCTATCTCTCATCTTCCGCCCTCCTTCTATAATCAAAAACGTGTCATTGATTCCATGCACCCCCATATACGCAAACGGCTCCTTTCCCCCTTCACACCCACTGACCACCGCCCCGCCTATTCCAACCCCCGCCCTAAACCTATCTGCCAACGAACAGCCCACCGAAAAAGTCATCCCGGCACCATAGCTCCATCCCGTGGCGAACACCAGGCTCGTATTCACACACAAATCTGCCTCCAGCGCCTCCGTCAGTGCAGCCACGAACTCGATGTCTTTGCCATTGATATTGGGCCACCCGCGCACTAGGCCGTTCGGGGCGACGAATATGGCGCTGTTGTTGGCGAGTCGGTGCAGCCCGTAGTATGCGTATGTGCCGGTCTCGACCCAGCTGCCGGTCACGACCTCTTCCATGTCCGAGTTCAGGAAGTGGAAGCCGAATATCATCCGGTAGGGGGTGTTGAAGTCGTAGTTGTCGGGCAGCAGGGTGTGGAACCTTCGTATCTCGCCGTTCACGAGCATCTTGTGGTAGCCGGTCGTTAGGGTTGGGGCTCTTCCGCACCCGCGGGACAGGGATTGACTGAGGATAGGGATATGCAAGAGCGATATGGCGAGAAACGTAGTTAGCAGATGCATTTGACTGAGCAATTTTGGTTGTATGTGAGGAATTTGGGGGGGTACTCTTGGGATCGACGCTTTGGGGGTGGCCTATTTCTCAGCATATGCTTTTTTCATCTTCACTGGAATAGCATCGGTCTTTTCAAGGGGCTTTCTATGCTACGGTGACATTCTGAAAACTTACTTTCCTCTGTCTTGAGGGACTATCACAGTCCCAAATAAACTTTGTATGGATGACAGGCATCTTGGCGCCTCTCTCATACTAATCGGACGGTTTATGAAGGGTATGTTATCTTGTAGAGCCTAATTAGCGTTTCCTGTTCCTCCTTGGAGAACATTCATCATGGCATAGATTATTACACAAATGGCTATTTATCAACCTCTTTGTTGGTCTGTGACTTTTGGAGAACTCTCATTGCAGGGTACACCCGGCCTTGCGGGAGTCAAAGTCTTCGGTATCAGATGCGTTAAAATCTCAATTTTGCCTTTCGTAAGACGGTGCAGACTCCTCTCAAAGTTTATCCATATCGCCGAACTAGATCCCTCATATCGTTAAGCATTCTATGTGTTGTCAGCGAGTCCGTAACACTTTTAGGTATAGAACGTACTGCTCTCTTAGGGCTTCGTTGTCTGGAAACAAAGCAGAGACGTGGGTGTTGAATCGACTGCTGACCATTAGCAGATTACTCCGGTGATTTTTGTATGCCTATACTTGCAGCTTATAAAGGTCTAATCGGCCATCATAGTCTTCTTTTGGTTCTGAGATCTCGTTGTACCGGTGGTATGCAGTCAAATATTCCGGTCCGAATCTATTGCATACTGGTCGCCATTGACCGAATTCATCTGCATGCACAAGGTTAGACAAAACCATTCTTGGTTGCTCAACTGAAGAATGAACTTACATTCATTATGCGCATAGAGGCAACAAGCGTCGAAAACAAGCGACTCGTTACTCGTCACATCAACCCCCGAATTCCCATACCACAGATCCCCATGCACAAGAGAAGGCTTCACCACTCGACCGTCACTCTCCAACGGCCTCAGCAGCCGTGGAATCACCTTCTCAAAAATAACCGGCACCAGAGTCTCAAATTCCGAATCAAACCCCTTCACCCTGATCTCGCATTCCAGCGCCCACCGCATATTCTTCGCAAAGAAAACCTCCCAGCTCCCCTCCCACCCGTTCCGCTGGGGTATATTCCCACTCCACGTGTCAACGTGGAATCCGAACGCTCCACTCGGCGATTTACTCTCCCGGTGCAGCTGTGCCAACCGCGCGCCGAATTCATCCGGCTTGGGCATCTCGGAGCGCATTTCCCGTCACTCGCAGAGGAAGAAATGCGTGTGGGGATCCTGCGAGTAGGTTCCCCAGCCTAGTGGCTTTGGTGCGAAAGACGGGGTCACGGCGCGTATGGCTTTCATGGACTCGTACTCGCCTCGGACCATGTTTTGGCCGCCTTCTTGGGTGAAGAGTTTGATGAAGTAGGTCTTTAGAATGTCGGTGGGGAGTTGGGTGTCGATGCGTCCGGTCTTGGTGAAGAAGCTGGTTCCCTGTCGGGAGGTTGAGAGAATTTTGCTTCCGCGGGGGAGTGCTGTTATGGGTCAGATTTTGTGGGATTATTGGGTGCTGGAATGGGCTTACCTGCGAGGACGTTGGGGTCGAGTGGAATGGGTTCTTTGTGGGTGGTGGTTTCCATTGTTGTATAGATTGACGATATAGTTTTTCGATGCGATTTTTGCCTGGCCGTATTGATGCAGAAACGAGGATTGATACCTGGAGTTGAGTCAAGAATTCTACCGCTAATTTCAGTAAAGCGATCTAGGGGGTTGCTTCATCTCTGGGTGTGCTACAATGTCACAGCCCTGCATGATGCATTCTTCGCAAAGTCTTGAAGTCTCGCAGTCGATATTGACAGTGGTGCCTTAGGCTGCGAGGGGCACCCGTCTGTGGGTCGCTGATATTCACTTTACGCCAGCATATCGCCTCCACAAACATCGCGCTTCGCCAGTAGTAAACACTACTCTCCATGTGTCTTATACGAATTAAGATCTAGAAGCCAAATTAATTTACTAATTCTTCTTGCTTTAGTCTTCGGCTCTGCTATGTTGCGCGTTAGTACTAACCATGATATATGTCTCCATATGATTGAAAAAGCACGAGGATTGCATCATAGATTATTGTTTATTTCATCTTCTATCGCCTTCATACTGACATATGCCTGCAAAATGAAGTATTCAGGACCCCTAACGGGTGGTTAGCGATGTCTATGCAGCGAGTGTCTATAGTTCAGAGTCCCAATCAGGAAGGCGACACATGGCCGGGCGGTGAGGATTCTGCCCAACCACTCCGATGCTCTTCGAGACAATCAACGGACTGACCTTCATCCTGCTTCATGCTTCTTGATCATGTCTCGTTTACCCCCTGACGATAACGGCTTCCCTCCGGGTCCGCCGCGCCGGCCATTTCCGCGCCGAGACGACATGGACAGTCGCATGTACGACGATCGATCGCCGTCCCGATCACGCTCGCCTGGCGGTATTACGCTCCTCCCCGCATAGCAAGCATCAAGGCGTGAGATGCTTGAAAGAGCCACAAGTTCCTCACCTAGCTTATCGGATAACTAACACTGTGTCGCTATCAAGAATTCGCACATTCTCCACCCCGAGGCCCCGCATCCGATAGAAGAGGCGATTACTCCAGAGAACGGCTCGATTCCAGACCCCGTTACCGCAGTCGAGACCGCGATGATTATCGGCGCCGGCCGTCGAGATCGCCTCCGCCTCGACGAGGCAGACCAGCCTACCGCGATCGCGACCGAGAAGGCTATCGTTCACCCGGATACCCCAGCCGAAGCCGAAGCTACAGCCGCAGTCGCAGCCGCGGCGATCGACGCGGCCGTCACCCCGGACAAGAAAGTCGAGAGATCATGATGGATGGATTACCGGTGGATATGGTGGAAGAAGACGTTGGGCCACTCCTTCCCCCTTTTGAGATTTAAGCATAGGCGATGTCCTCGCGGATTACGCTCGCTCTCAAATGAACGTTCTTGGTGGCATCAGGCTGAAATGTACATGTCGCCGGATGTTCCGGTCGACGTGTTGCGCAGATCACGAATGAATTGAGAGACGGCTATCATATTGAAGGTCTAGACGAAGTGCGCGTGATTCGCGATCGTCAGACTAGTGAGTAATTCGTCCTTGATCGGGTTGAATCCCTCTAACGCACTCGCAGAAATGTCGCGCCAGCTGGGTTTTCTTCGCTTTCGCAATCTTAACTATTCGCGCGCTTTTCATGATGCCAATTATCCGAATATCATACTTTACGGCCCAAGTGCTGGTCCGAATGATCGTGGCACGAAAGTTCGCATTGCATACAGTCGAGAGAGAGAGGACCGCGCTCGTGCTAGAGCCGAGGGTGATTGGACGTGCAAGATGGTAGGCATATTGCTTCTTCTCTGAGAGGTTAAGCTGACCATTCAGTGCGCCATTGTCAATTACTCGACCCGCCAAAAATGCTTCCGATGTCAAGCACCTCGCCCTGGTACGCCTGCAGATCCAGCACGATATTACGCGGTATGCTAACGCAGTGCAGAACCCGGCCCTACAGGCCCACCTGGAATAGCTGCTCCAAGGGTTGATAACCATGGTGATAATGACGCCGCGCCGGAGAACCAACCTTCTCAATTCCTGCTGTTCCGAGGGTTGGAACCTACAGTCACTGAAGAACTTCTAGCTAAGGGTGTCGCAAAGCTCTATCGACCGACCAACAGTGCAGATGGCTCGGGAGGGGGTCAGAAAAAGAGTGGAAAGGTTGCATCTACAACCGGAGATGCCAACCTGGGCGCTCGAGACGGATCCATTCGTCGTGTTCTTTTAGTGAGAGACCGTCGATCCAACGAGAGTTGGCGCTATGGTTTCGCCGAGTTTGCTACTATCCAGGTACTTTAGCTGAGAATCTCTGCTGCATATCGGAGCTAACTCTTTCTTAGGATGCCCAAGCTGCCACGGCACGTTTGAACTCATTTGAGAAGTTCACAATCTCTTCAAGACCCGTTCTTGTCAGCTATATCCACGCGGGAGTGTTTGTGCCCGTGATTAACCCGACCGCGAGTACCGAAAAATTCACATTCAGCCCTCTGAATAATCCTTCTTTGAAGTTGATGTACTGGGACGACGAGGCCTATGTCAGGGAACTCACGGTGACGTCCGGGGAGGCAGATAATGACCAGCAACCGGCCAAGGGCGACAAGCCAGTCCAGCCCGACGGAAAAGGCAGCAAGGACGCAGACAAGGCCAAGAAGAGAAAGGCAGAAAACGCCGCCAGTGCAGGAGCTAAGAAACTTGCAATGCCTTCGCACCTGCAATTCTGGAGTAACCGACATGCCGAACTGCACGGAATCAAAAAGGATGCAGAGGAAAAAGAGGGCGCTGGATCAGAACTGGGAGATCCAGAAGCCGATGCCGTCGTGCCATCTCAGTCGTACGCTGACCCAAATCGGAACTGCTGTTATCTGTGCATGCGTCAATTCAAGTCGTCGGCCGACGTCAATCGCCACGAGCGTCTGAGTCAACTGCACCGTGGAAACCTTCAGAATGAGGAATTGACCGCCAAAGCCATGGGCAAGCTCATCAAGCATGGTATCGTGCCACAGCCACCTGAATATCGTGACCGTGCGAGAGAGCGCCGCAAGGCTTTCGGTGCTTCTAAGACCTCAGCCAAGAAGAGCGCACCTCCGCCGAAAGAGGAAGAACCACCAGCTGAACCCACCTCCAAGGGTGCTTCGCTTCTCAGCAAGATGGGATGGTCCGCCGGCTCTGGGCTGGGTGCTCAAGGCACCGGCATGACGGCACCAATCGCCACCGAGGTCTACGCTCAAGGCGTGGGATTAGGCGCGCAAGGAGGTAAGCTAGGCGATGCTGCCGAGGAGGCCGGACGGAACACCCGGAACCGATACGACGAGTTCCTGGAGAAGACGAGGCAGACGGCACGAGACCGATACGAGCAGATGGAGCGATAGTTTGGCTTACTGCCTACTACCTTACTTTGCAGTTTGCATGTATGTACAATATCCTTACGAATACCACCGCAAGTGATGTCTTTTTATCAATCATTCCGTACTTTTCACCATTGTAAACAAAACAAAAGGGGGGTATTCCATATGTACAAATCAATCTAAGCTACCTACACAAGATAGCACATCCCATCCAAGGACCCTATCTACCCACTCAATTCTTCTCCTCCTTCACAGCAGCAGCACCAGCACCATCCTTCCCCTCCAACTGTTCCTTCCTCACCTCCCTCTCAAACTTCTTCCCCAACACACTCCCCACCCAAGCCGCCACCTCCTCCTCCAGCTCCTGATCCGTCTTCGTCACCTCCTCCCCATCAGCATTAAACTCGCGCCTTACAAACCGCCGCATATCCTCCACGCGATTGATATCGAGCGCCACCATCGCCGCCCCCGTGCCGACCATGCCGAACGAGATGACATTCAGAGTGGCCAGGTTCAGCGCCTCGAAGGCCTCCACGCCGCCGTTTACTTTCGGGCGGTGGTACGGCGCGCTCGTGTAGTAGGGCGGGATCTGTGCGAGCCAGCGCCGCTTCAGCGCCCGCCGCGTCGTCATCAGGCTGAAGGTCATGAAGGCGAGGCCGCCGAGGAGGAGCTTGTGTTTTGTGGTGGGTTTGATGAAGCGAAGTTCTGGGAGGGGTTCATTTTCGGGTTTGGTTTCGGCGGTGGTTGTGGATGTGTGGTTTTGGGTTGTTGAGGAGGAGGGCGTGTCTTGGGGGTTTGATGTTGACGCCGGAGGTGATGAGGGCTGGTCGCTGCCGCGGGAGAAGAGTGAGGAGAGCATTTTGTTTCGGCAGAGGTTGTGGGTTGTGAGAGGAGCTGGGCTGGATTGTTCGGGGAGGTTATATCATCACTTTGCTAGAGGCTGCAAAACGCAAAAAGGGAATTGACGATGGATGTGATGTGTTCGAGCTCAGAAGTGAGAGTGACTGTTCCTGTTGATCCGCGAGATCGAAAGAAGTGCGGAGAAGCCGATCGATTGGTCGCGGTCATGTGATTTTGGCTTGTTGGTGCCTCAGGCGGCTTTTGACGATTTGCTGCCTCAGGCAGAATTAGGCCTGTATATAGTAGTCGGACAAACCCAAAATTAAGATTATGTGCTAATTCCTGTACAGTCATTGACATCGTACATATATACGTTTGATATAACCAGCCGTTCATGGACTCCAGCTAAAATTCTCCGTGGTCCACGGCCTGAGAGTATGGAATGTGTATATTCGCAACACTCGCAGCATCTGCTTTCGGATCCAAGCCCGCTGTTCCTCGCGAAGACACAGCTCCGGAGACCAGAGGTTTGTCAAGTACGATATGACAAACCAGCCGCCCAGAAGGGGTGCGGTTTGCTGATGGCCCGGAGTAACTCGTCGTCCCTCACATTCAGGGTATTCGACCTTGTGCGGGCTCATTTGAACAGACATGGTTTGGTCACCAAGGAGATACGGCACGGTTGCACAGATGTCCGTGGCAAGCTTTTGGATTGAGGCGGTTCTTGCCTGGATTTCATGGGGCGAGCTCTGTTCGGGAAGCAGGCGAAGGCAGTTTATGATGATATTCTGGATGACGATCCGCGAGTCTCGGTAGAAGTTCCATGTTGAGGCAATCCAGAGATCCAGGTAGCAGTCGCATCGATTTTCGAAAACCCCGGCGTCTCGGACTGATTGTGGGATGAATGTGGCCGGGGTGGGATGCCAGCGGTCTGGGAGGATATGTTTCCAGACTGAAATTTTGTTATCAAGAGCCATAGCTGTCGAAAGAAGGTTCTTCAATTCGTCCGTTTGATAGCTTCCCGGAGTAGAAGAGATACGGTCCCATGTCTGTCTCAGGCTGACAATCTCGGATGTGACGATTGTTAAATGGCCTGATGCAGTCTCGGCCAAAGGCATTGGAAGTGGGGATAAGCTTGGTGTCTGAGCCATTGGGTATGCTAGACCTAGAGATGTCCGAACCTGTTTGGGGCGCATGAGAAACAGCCTTCATTTTAGGGAGGCAGCTTACAATTTGTGTTTGAACTGCCATGGTTAATGTTTGAGAATGGGCAGTCTTTCGTTGCTCAAGGCGTCGACTATTCACAAGTGCGATTGCACCATGTAGATGCGCTTTATTCGTAACTCTGTTCTCTTTTAGAGCGGAGAATTCCTAAACCATACGATCAGAACAGTCCAAATGGAAGCCGGTGTATTTGCTTACCTCGAAGGTTGAAAGTAAAAGTATGGTCATGAGAGTCTCCTCCACGTGGTGGTCAATGTTCCCCTGCAAAGTGAGTCTAGTCCGCGATACCGCTTTCATAAAGGTCTGTTCTGCGGTACGAAGCAACGATCGCTGACCCGTCCAAGCCGCCACAGAGAAGTAGGACACAGCCTGCACAGCAAGGCGTAAAGGTGAATCGAACGAGGTGTTGAAGTAAAAGACCGGAAGAAGCTCCATATACCCCAGCCGAATTAGAGGGTCTTTAGGCAGAAACAAATACGAATTGAAGAACAAAGAAGACACTGTATCCTCCATGGGCAGCGACAAAGTGCCAGGAACCTGCGGCGGCAGATCGACTACCACAGGCGGAGAGCTTGGGGGTGTTGTATTCGAACTGGCAGACATAACAGCCATATTTGACGTGGGTGCCGTGGGTGATGCTTGTGCTTGCGGATCTTCTTGATCCTTTTTAGCAACCTGCGGCGGCTTGCTGCTAGAAACACTCCGTTTCTTCCGCTGAAATGCAGTCCGGTCTCTCAGCATCACGTCGAGAGGATGCGGATACCCCGGACAGGAACGACCCGTCCGGACGCAGGCCCTGCAATGAGGACGAGTTTCATCACACTGCAACAAGTTAGTCAACGATGAATGATCATTCAGCTCCGGTTCGCATACCTTGATGTGCCGCTGTCGGCATGTCTGGCACCCTGTGCTTGGTTTCCCGCCATACACCATCTTGCCGTTTTATCTGGCAGTAGGCTGCGTACTCCGTCAATTTCACGTGTTGATATCCGAGGCCGCTAACAATAGAGAAGCTAGAGTATTAAGGTAGCTGCTAGCCTCCATACAGGGCCAGTCATACCCCACAAGACTGATTAATGAGACAATGCACGTTTGAGATCCATGCACATCGGACTAATATTGCAGCCCTGCAGCCCAAAGAAACGCCTCATATGAAGAAGACCAGGAAGATGAGGATGGAAATGCCGAGAAAAACCATCCCCGGTCCGATGCTGAGAAACACTGAAGGAATACGAGGCAAGTAGGCCGAACAACAGGCGGCGACCATCGCCGCTCACGTGGTTGGTCACGTGTAGTGCTCTGGCCACGTGTGGCCCACTCTTGATGGTACAGCCAATAAGACGCAGCATCAATATAACAATGAACAATGAATGCAACAACATCCTAGTGTACCTAAACAACAGACTGTTAGGGTAGTTAAGTTCATTTAGACGTCATAATCAATATCCTGAGTACATTATTATAAGATCTTGAAGAAATCTCCACTCATACCCCATTACAATAAATATACACCAAAGTGAAATCACCGCTTCGCTTGATAAACAGCAAACAATTTAAACTCCAACATCGTCACATCCTAAGGACCATGCTTCGGCGTCCCCGCAAGCTCTCTCGGATTTTCTTCCATCTCCCCCAGCTCTACAAAATGACTTTGACGTCCATAGTTGGCCGCTCCGTGGTTCATATACCCGCCTGGTATCATTCCCGGCTGCCCCAAAAACTGGCCCTCACCTGCGCCCCGCGCCTGAGCCTTCTTCAGATTCCGGTTCTGTCTCTGCAGGATAAACGCCCACGCCAACGACGCCAGCGCAATCACGCCCAACGGGACACCAACGCCTGCGCCAATGGCCGCCTCCTTCCCGGAATTATCGCCACTGCTCGCTCCGGGGAGATTGGTTGCACTGACACAGGCCGTCGACGTCGATGTCGGGGTTGATCCCGTCGACGTTGCGTTTGCATCCGACCCTGACGTGCTGTTCGAGATCTGCGAAATGTTGATGGCACTGGCATAGTGTTCGTCTGGATCGCTGAGGGCGAGACTCTTGAGTGCCGCGACGCCCACCATCGCTTTTCCCGCGTCCAGTTTGAATGCGTCGTCGCCTCCGACGCAGGCCAGGCTGCTTTTGTCCGAGTCCCATTTCACCCCGTCGCAGCAGTATGTCGGTGGGCTGGTGTTCTCGAAAAGAATGATGGCAGAGCCGCGGTCCCAGTCGTTGTTTTCTATACCGCGAGAAATCCCAGTCAGCGGTGAGCTCATCAACCTGGGAAGAAGGGTAGAGATCATAATGAAATGAGAATACATACGTCCTGTACACTGCTGCGGACAGCTCGTCCCCCAGTTCCGATCCGTGCAAGTCCCCCGCGACAGCATAAACGGCTGTTTCACTACGTTATAGCAGTACCCGTTATCCAGGCAGATCGAGCCCGGCGAACAGCAGAAGGTATTGGCGTCCGACGTGCACGGTACGTCGTCGGTGATCTTCCCACTGGGAAATCGACAGATGCGATCATCTGCTGTGCTTGGCGACACCAGCAGCCCCTGAACGGCGAGCGCGAGAAGCGTTGACCACCGCATGATTTCCACTATTCAACGGCCGGGATTATCTGAACGCTGGGAATAAGAGCCACCCAGGCGATCGGGTGCGGGCGAAAAGGACCCAAGATCTTGATGTTGGCGCTAGATATTCGAACCCAGGTCAAAGGATCCAACAGACGTGAACGAACTGACAGGGTGCAGACTGCAGAGAGAGGAAAGGAAAAAGAAAACGGGTGGGGGCTGGATTTTAACCATCTTTCGAAAAATCAGACCTTCTAGGCTGACGGAGCCGGACATTGTCAATCGCTCTTAGGCCCTCAGCAATTCCGGCCCAGGTCACACAGAAAGAGACTGCACGAGGCTGTAGGGGACTAGGTGTGAGTGGATTGCGGAGCCGGATCCATCATCACGATATGAAGGTGAGGATCTCATTGGGCCAGAGAAAGTAGGGGAGTTGATCCCTGGGGTCAATCCTTTGCGGTTTCGGGCACTAGGGTCTTTGCTCGGTGGGTGGGCCTTCAGCTGTCTGTCTGTCTGTCTTTCGGCGTTTTTTTCTCTCGACTTTAAACGGTCAAGGTACGGGGGATTTCCGTTGCAATTTGCCTGTCAATCTGGTGGTCAGCCCATGATTCATGAGTCATGTCTTGGGTCTGGGGCCAGAGCACATGGGGAGCTGGGATGTGTTTCAGGTTGAGGGATTTGATATTGCTGTCGATAGGACGGAAGACGGAGTAGGAGTGTCGACGGAAATACTCCGGACTACGGACAGAATCCATATCTACCGTTTGATAATAACTTAATTTAATTACAACGCCATTGAGTAGCTCCATAGAAACTTCATCCAACAATGAAAACTTTGAATGTCAGTATGACAGATCAAACTCCAATCTAACCTTCAACGAAGGATCGACTTGCGAAATATTAACCTAATCGAGATCTAGTCGTATATAAAGCGGAAGACAATTACTTGTCAAACAACCCCTAAATGCGGTCTCTGCATCCATCCATTCTACATTCATGAATCCCTGTCTAACCGTTGCCACAGAATCTCAACCTGCCAGTAAGTTTAATCACTGCTTTGCCCTTACTAACCATAATCTCTAGCCTCTAGATGTCATAGAAAATACAGATACCGACCGCCCCTCCAATTACGGAGTATTCGAGAGAAACCAGGTGACCAGAGTCCGGCGTCTTAGTAAAACAGCTAGTCCCTCCATCAGTCAATTAAAGTGCTGGCAGCTGGCGAGTCATAAACACTGAATCATTCCCAGTGGAGAAGCCCCGATAGCATGAGGAAGAAGTGGATCGGACTTTATTTAGCGTATCCGGTCTTATTGGCTGCGTGGGATTTGCAATTCGCAGCTAAAAATACTACCCCTTCTGAAGAAATGGACGAGGGTGTTGATTCTTGAGAGAACTAGAATGGCAATTTGGGATTTACGATTGATTCTGGGGAGTTACTACGGTCTCATAAAGTAATTGGCGTCAGTGATGAAGCTTTGTTTTTACGTTGTATATACTCTACTGCATATAGGCAGAAGAACTCTAGTATTAATTCCTTGAGGAAAATATAGCATGGAATAAGTTGGTTGAGATCGCTTGCGCGTTCATTGTAGTCATTCATATCTAAGTTTTATAGCATAGGGGAATAAACACCTGTACAGTGTTGGAATCATTGATACATGCTGTTCGACCGAAATTGACGCCGGAACTCCATGCTTGAGATGGGCAACTTTCATCGTAATCGAAAGGGAATCATAAAAAAAAAGAAGAAAAAAACATCAAGCATCTCAAGTACATCGCCCTCATATCACATTATCATATTATCAGCGTAGTCATTCGTCACATCAAAAGAAAAGGGGGGAATAATCGTAAACGTCCATCTCATGCTCATAAAACCCATAAAAAACAATAAATCACAAATGTCTGTCGATCGTTAAAGGTGACAGCTACTTCATCGACCCAGTGGTTATCAACATATCCGCTCGGCCAGGTCGATGAAAGCGATCAATGCCCAGATGCTCCTTGCCATCACGCCCGACAAAGATACCGAATCCGTAGGTCGGGAATTCTCGGTCTCCAGGCGGTGCGATAACCAGTCGAGTGACGAGATCGGCTTTGCTTCTCGGTTCGCGCAGGAGTTTATCCGCAAGCAGTGGGCTCTGGTAGAGAAAGCTCATCTGATCGGCGAGGGTGCTAATGTCGTGGGGTAGATACCGGCAGCGACGCGGCCAAATGGCGAAAAAGGAGATAGTGTACAGTCCGCAGAAGACGACAAGCGCATAAAACGCGGGCATCAAGGCGGCAATGCGGATCTCTTCATGTGAAGGGTACCACATTGCCAGGAACACGCCCCCGGCAAGGATGGGAATGGCTGCAGAGGCGACCGCCATGAACGAGATCCATGCGACCTTGTAGTGCTTGTTCAGGACTGCCATGACGGTCACCTGGAAAGGGAGACAGGACGAATAAGCGAGCAACAGACTCTGCTCTGCGGATGCACCTTCTGGGCGGGACAGACCGACAAAAGGCTGCAAGGCGCGGAAGTAGACGTCGATAGGTTGCCATGCCAGGAATAGAACGTTCCCAATCAGGGCAGGGATAAAGCTGTACAAGAAGTTGGATGAAGAGAACGCGCCCGTCGACGGGAGGGTCGGCAGTCGGGGCGGAAACCCGCCTTTAATCGCATCATGAATAAAGCTCACAAGCACGAACGCGATGAAGAGAGCGCAGATGGTTACTGTCCACGCCAGGATGAAGGTGCCTCGAAGGAACCAGGGGGTCCAGCGATAGCGAACGGATGGCGAGAACAGGTTCTCGTCGAACTCGCCTTTTCCCATTGTGGTCTGCTGTTCCAGATCGAACGAGACTTTCGAAAGGCCCTGGTATTGTTTTGCGCGATTCTTTTCGATGAGATGCAATGAGGGGTTCCCGATTGGTGCGTCAACTTCACCGACGCCGTAGAAAACCTCCTCGTGGTGTGGTAGCTGCCAGTACCCCAGCCTAAGCACCCGAGGATCGAGGGTTTCGCCCACGTTAGGCACCGTTTCGGACTGCTCAAAATCGCGTAGAACATTGGATCGCTGGATGATTGAGATCAAATCTGCCAGGCAGACCGGGTCCCACATCAAGCCAGACCAGGTGTTGAGGAAACGGAATGTCAGTAGTAACAATCCAACAACCAACAGGCCGTATACCGCGATAAGAGTCCAGCCAACGCTCATGACAGAAGTCCACCGCCACACTCCTTCGCCATCAATCACATACCATTTGGCTTGGAAGAAGCAACTCAGCAGTGGTATCGTGATAATGTTTGAAAGCCAGACTGTGAGCAGGGCGAATCCGACGAGTGGTTCACCGTGACGAAAATGCGACAGATCGGGAAGAAGGAAGTTTCGGGGTATAGTCGACAGCTTCTGCAGGACGTGACCAAGAGGCCTTTCCGATCCCATGATGGCAAACGGCATGGTGCGATACAGCGCCGCCTGGATGGCAAACGTCCAGATCGTGATGATGGCCGCAAGAATCTGGGGAAGGAACTGTACGACAAAGTATCTCCCTCCTCCCTGGCCATTGTAGTTCCACAGGCCTTGGTGTTTCTGAGCCCATGCATTGCAAAACGCAATACCGGCGATCATGAGCAAGCAGCAGATGATAATCGCTGATAAAGCCCATGGCCTTAAAACGATCGGTACGTAATCAAGTGGCGGGTACAGTAGACTGTCTTCGGGAGGGTCTACCGCAGCATATGTTTCCGGATCCACCGAGTTCGGCGGTAGTATGGTGTCTCGTGTCGGTTTGGGCGACGAATGTTGCGGGCTGGGAGGCTGCTGTCTAGGGCTAGAACGGGGGCTAGGACGCTGTGCGGGCGAAGACTTCTCTGGTTCAGACGGGCGAACAAAACATCCAAGCCTATCGTCCCAGACGAGTCGCTCGGCCGGTGGTAAATCTTCACTTGCAATTGAGTCGTGTCTACTCAAGCCGCGAACCTCTTGATCACGCGTGAGCTGGCCGATCGCAAAGTGGATGTACGGGGAATCGTCCAGCCCCGGCGTGGGTGGGGGACCGGCGTAGCTGTCGCGGGGCATCTGACGACTGGAGCTGTTGGACATGGGACTGGCATGGATCGGTCTATTCTGAACCTGACGCATTGCGCTGGAGGCAGGCGAAGGCGCATTCCTGCTCTGGTTGGAAATGCCGACCGATTGATCGGATCGCGAAGCCATGGGCGGGGCCGCTAGGTGCGTTCGAGAAATGGCAGGAGACGAAGTACGGGACGCAGGGTGAGAATTGGGTGTCGCATACCGCACAACCGTCGCTCGGCTGCCACCGCTGGGAGACCTGGAGCTTGAAGTACGATCGGAGAAGGAGTAGTAGTCGTCGGAAGCGGCGGCAGACTGCTGGGACTCGGTGCGCTGCAGTTGGGGTCTGCTTGCTGCGAGGGGATTAGCCAGCCATGCCTAGCGACCGCCAGGGAGAACCTTGCGTGGAACATGGAATTGAAGGGGGACGGTGGGCGGACTTGATTTGCCAAAGCATCAGAGCCCAAGATGAGTACTTACAGCTTACGGTTCTCAGGCTGACGTTCGTAGAGCCAGGAGCAAGCATGACGGTTGAGAGCAACCGAGCAAGGAATGTGGAGAGCTGCAAACTTGCAGAAACAGATGTCCGATGAACATTCCCAGGACGCAGGCACTAGAAATTGTGGGAAAGATATTAGATAAGTGCCTGTCACGTCAGATGCCAGATGGGGGGCTACTCCCCATGTCGGTGACCCTACTGAGGTGGTTGGGTTGTGTAGCCATTCGCATCTCCCAGCCTCCTCGGCCCAGCCACTCGCGGCTGCCGGGAAACCGATGCGAAACGACCAAAATATCACCGATCGCCAACATGGCCGCCAATGATTGGAGTGAAGCGACCCTGGGCACGATGCATGGGCGATGGTTGGACCGGTGCCGGTTGGGCGCCAAAGTGAGGTGGAAGTCAATCGAGTGATTGTTTTGTTGTGTTGGCATCGTCAACGTTGCGGCCCGAGGCATCGCCGACCGTCGCTCAGGAACATCTCGACTAGTCTCTCCCTTCTACTCCGTACTCCATCTCATCCACAAGGGAATTAGTGTCATTAGGATCTCGATCTATCGATTTTACATGGTCAGTGTCGACAGAAATCGACACTTATTACAAAAAAAGCATCTATATACTCCACCCTCACGAATTGTACAGATACGCCGCAATCACCCCTCCCCAGCCACCGGCATTATCGCTCTGCGTCGCGATCGCCTGGCTCCCCTCCAGCACCATGTTCGTGATACTCTTCGAGTTAGTGCCATACAGGTACACCTTGGTCGAGTCCAGAATTTGAATGTTGTTCTTCTGGCAGTCGCCATTGCAATCCCCGTTAGCATTGAAGAAGACCCAGTTGCCACCACCGTACAGAAAGAGGTCCGAGGAGCCCTTGATCCTCTCGAACAGAGCCATGCGGCATTTGGCATCATCGGGCGCACAGTGCGAGAAGTCCGGATCGCTGGCTATGCGGTGGTCGGCCCACGGTGCAGGCGCGTAGAGATTCCCCGGGCCTTGCCAGTACGGCGATTCACTCTGCTGCAGGGCGGAGAAGACATTGCGCGCCTGTTCGAAGTTGTACTGGTAGAGCGTGTGATGCTCGAACCCGGTGCCGATCAACCAGGTGGCGCTGGTGGCTTCGACCAACATTCCCCGACCCGTGCCGATGTTCTGCTTATGGCTTCCGTCCAGGTCGTGGTCCGCCGTCCATCCCCACATGTTCTCGATATAGGCCGATGAGGTGGTGCCGAGATGAAGCAGGCCCCATGCAGCCTTGCATTCGCCCGGAGAAGCTGCACAGCCGGTTTGCACTTTGCTGCCAACCGCGCCTCCAATGCGGAAATGCGTGTTCCAGAACCCGACATCTCCGGGCTGATTTCCGGCAATGTTCACTTCAACCTGGTGTTGACATCTGCGTTAGATGGGCGGGCTCAACGAGGAGTTCAGACTACATACCACTTTGCAGCCGGGCAGAATATCCGCCACGGTAAACATCATGTCGCTGACTTGTGCAACGCCCATATCACCGGGGTACCCGAAACGAACCATAACACGAGGCGAGGCTTCATCCTGGAACAAATGGCCGGTTGCACTGATCACACTGGCAAACGCATCTCCAATGATACGGGTGCCGCCCGGAACGAAGATAGTGTCGGCCACGATGTACGTGCCCGCCGGAAAGTAAACCAATTCGCAACCACGCATCTGGCTCAGGATTCGGTTGATATTCGCGCTGTCGTCCGTCGAACCGTCGCCATATACCGGGATCCCTGGAACGGATTTGATGTTCACGACTTGGTGGGCACCGTATTCCGAATACGTCGGAGGTGGCATGGTGAAGTACTTGCCTCCGGGGGTCAGGCTTTGAGAACGAGGAGTGGTGACCGAGTCCCCATCAGCTCTCCTCTTGTTGGCATTCCCGGGGTCATACTAATTGGACAGAGTTAGCACCTCTAGTTCGCATGTTCCAAACAATCCCAACTTACCACCGTTCCGTGCACCCAAGTGTCTGTCACAGGGCCGGAGAGCTTGACTGCCCCTGCAAGAGTTACTGTAGTTCCGGTATTTTGGATATTTTCCAGAACTATGGCGTTCCCTGCGTTGCCCGAGTCCCCTGATACGATCAATGAGTTCAAGTCGGCTCCCGTGGAATCAATGACTGTCAGCGATCCAGAAGTGCCGCCTGCGTCAATGCCGATATCCCCCTTCTCAAAGTGGCAGTTCAAGAACACAATATCAGTTCCACCTGCAATGACACCAATTTTTGTTCCGGTAAACTTCAGGCTCTTGAAAACCCATTGCTGGCCACTCAGTTTCATCCCGATGGAACCGCCTTCGAACCACAAATCATTCTGCGCATCGTTAGCTATCACAGGCCTCCATGCCGCGACTGAATCATACCATGATAAGATTACTATTGTAGTCATATTGCGTGGTCAGACCGACGTGGTTCGAGTCGCCTGTCGGCATCTTGAACCCAACATTCGCCAGTTGTGTCGCCTGACTAACCGTCCAGTCGAGGAGGTTGAAATTCTGCGATGCCGGGATAGCCGTGGAATCGAGAACAATATTCTTGATCCCGATCTGGAAGTTGATAGTACCGCCGTAGCTGGGGTCCTTTCCGTATACCAGATGATCGTCTGAGAACTCAGACGCCGCCTTGAGCGTCGGGGGATTCGTCGGATCTCCCACGATCACCGTGCCGACATAGAACTGCACCGAACTCCTCATCAAGTACGTCCCGGGCGGCAAGTAGATAATAGCGGGTTGACCGGTGGTCCCCATGAAGTGAGATCCTCGATCAGGTCCGTTGTCCGGTCCAGCTGTGACGATATCGTTAGAATCAAGTCTTGCAATAATGAACATGGTCAACCATACCCTGGATTGCATTCTGGATTGCCCCCGACGCATCGGTCTCTCCCGTGTTGTCGGCTTTGAAGTCCGTCACCACGTTCCGAAATACCGTGTAGTTCTTCTTTGAGCCTGATTCCAAAAACGACGATTCCCCATTATGCTCGATGTTCGCGTACCAGTAGCCAGGTATCGGGGCAGCCCCGTCGCATGATCCGCCCTCTTGGCTGGCCTGAGCGTTGTTGTTTATTTGCTGCTCGGTCGACTGGTTATCGTCGAGGCTTGTATGAACGTCGGGGGAATTGCTGCTTGTTGGTTGCGGGTCTGGTATCGGACTGGAACTAGGAACTGTGTATGAGGCGAAGGTAGTACTGCTACTCGAAGGCTGCACAGGCGTTACGCTACTGCTGAAATCCGAGTAAGGGTCGGCGTTGATGCTGCTGGCTTGCTGCGTGGGCGCTGCAGAGCTGCTAGTACTGGTATCAACGTCGACGACAGCAGCACTGCTATCCATTTGTTGCGTAGGTACTGCAGAACTGCTAGTGCTCGCATCAACACCAGCAACAGTAGCACTGCTACTCATCTGCTCCGTGGGCATCGTAACACTGATAGAACTTGTGGGAGTGTAGGAGGCGTAACCGCTATCACTCTGCTGCGAATAAACCCCGTTGTCGCCGACACTTGCAACGGCCGAATGATCACTTGAAGACTGTTCAGGGACGGTGCTGCTGGATACGCTCGAGCTGACGACAGGGACATTGCTGGATTGCTGCGCCGGCACAGCGCTATCGTTCTTCAACGTAAACGGGATACCTCTGCCAGCTTCATCAGTACTGCTAGACAACAGAACAAATTCAAAGGGTCACTCACGTCGGCTGAGGCTTGTAATCTAGCGGAGGATAATACGTCGGTCCTAGCCCTGAATGATCCTTTCCCTCCCCGGTGAGTGCAGGGCCGACGGACAGGATGAAATTGACGATGGAGGGTATAATAGCCATGGTTGATGGAAATATCAACTCAATCGCCAAAACAATCAGAGACTGTACATCAACTTGGCTTGTGCGAGTGCACCTGCAAGAAGCTCGTCTCTGAACACTGCACAGAGAGGAGGGCTATCAGACAGGGCCCCGGCAGATGTACGCGCGGTGGCAGGATCGGTGCTCCAGGCGTCACGAAAGAAAAGGAATGAGAGGTAGAAAAGGACGCGTGAAAGGCGTTAAAGCCTCGTTTGTCTAGACTTGGATTCGCCATTCTTGATCTTGGCCGCTCGGATTGCCCGGGCTTACTCGTACATACCAGAGCCTGGCCTAGCCTGGTAGAGAGAATCAAGCGTAACAATGACTAGCGCGACCCTGCATAGCCCAGAATTCTTCGCACTGTAGGCCCAATTGCCTAATAGTCTGTGTGCCAGAAGTTGGACGAGGATTCTGGTTTTACTCAAATAATGCACCATCGCATTCATAACCCTTTTCTCCCATAACCTTACTATGAGTGAATCAGAAGTGCTTCTCTAGCGAATGTAGAATAGTCAAGAATTGTGAGCACAAGGGCAATGACCAGCATTGCGGAGTGTGTTAAATTTGTCATCTAGTCATAATTTGAATTTTTCGACCAAGGATGTCGTGCAAAAGTTTCGGGGAACACGTCGTGGTCCGCATACCAGCGGAGCCAGCAAGGAGCACAACAACAAAGGGCCTGCCCGGTATTCGCGCCCATTCCACGTGTGTTGAGACATTGGATTTCAAATCCCGTCGCCATGATTCACTTTTTTTGGTCGATATTTTTCGTTTCCATAACTCCTCTTCGTAATTATTGCAGCCGTAGTAGTAATATGCCTTCTCCATTCCCGATCTCGAATCGGCCAAACTACTGTCCGCATCACATAAACCGATCCCAAGAAACCATATGATCAAAGAAAGAACTGTATCGGACATTCGACGGGTCGCGGAACTCCACCTTCGTTGCGGAATGAGACGAGTCGCCGGCCAGGAATTCCAAGTATGAGCTGCGCTTGGTCCTGCCATCGCCTGTGCCCGCATCGCCCACAACACTCGTCTGGCCGGCATCGCCGAATCCAAAGTCGAACATGCTGAAGCGTGCTTCGGTGGCAATCGTATTCGGTCTGGATCTGTTCGTGCGTCGCAATCCCTCGCCCATCAGCCAGGTTTGCCGGCGGGACTTCTTCGGCGGGAGTAGGTTCTGGTGATCTTCGCCTTGCGGGTCTTCGTCGTGACGGCGCCATTCGTCGTTGCGACGCCAGGATTTGGGCTTTAGCCAGGATGGCGAGGATTTCCAGAATTCTCGCATGATGAGGAGTGAATGGGCGGTATTTGGTAGATGGGAGAGCGGTGGTGAGATTCTGGATGAGATGGTTCGTGAAGCTGGGGATGGTCCGGGCCAAATATTTAAGTTGGCGATCTTCCCGCGCTGATCCCGATTTGTTTCAAGGGGGTGCGGAACGCGATGGATCAAGTGTTTGAAACGGAGACTCAAATATTGGGCAAGACCGGCGGGGTGGTCGAGCCGGAGGGGTGGCCCAAAAGTGAGAATTGTATGGGATGAGATTGAAGGATTGTCCTGGGCGATATTTACATCGCGACTGTCCCGCTTTGGTCACGAGATGGCTGTGCTACCGATCGATTGATGGAAAGTGTAGATTGGTCTGATGCAGTTGCTGGGCTTTTTCTAGATTCTAGATTCTGTCCATGATAAGATTATTGAAAATGCAGTGTTTGTTTCCCAGCAACCGAGGATGTTCCTACCAGACTTTTGTCTTGAATCAGTCTATGGCATACCCTACTTGAGAAAATGCCCTTTTCAAGTGCTAATCTAGTTGTGTTTCCCTTATCTCTAACTGGCTATCCAGCGAGAATGAACTTGTACGTACGATTGGTTCGTAAATTCACTTGAGACGAAACCGAAACTGAAGAACTTTTCTCGAGTCATATTTATAGCCTTCTAAAAATAATCCGCAACACTCCCAGCAAATTCTTCAATTCAACCCACAAATGGATTTAATGTCTCAGTCCCCATCAGTAAATCTTCTTCGGAACACCCGGTTCAGTCCATCGAATCTGGTCAATAACACCCTCCTCAGTAAACACCTTCTCCAGACCTTCCCGATCCTCCTTGAAATGCTCCCACGACTCGAAATGAATCGGAATCATGACCTCAGCCCCGATATCCCGCATCAGTCTCACAGCCTGCTTCCCATCCATCGTAATCTGAAAAGTCCCAACCGGGAACGTAAACGTCGCATTACCCAGGTTGAACAGCGACGCGGTGATATGCCACCGCTTCCCGATCTCCTGCAACTCGTCAATGTAGACGGTATCTCCGGAGAAATAGATGGCGTTGGGCTTCCCTGACTCGGCATGCGTGCCGAAGGAATCCGTTTCGAGGACGAATCCGGTCACCTCACCCACGGGGAAGTGCTTGCAGGGGGTGCCGGTGATGCGGAACTCCTTGTCGCCAATAACGGAGGTGACGGTTTGCCATGGACGAAGGCCGACCACACCCGGACGAGGCGAGAGGTTCTTGGCGCCGTCCATGGTGGTGAAGACTCGACGGCCATCGAGCAGCTTGCGGCCTTCTGGGTCGAGGTTGTCGAGGTGGTCTTCGTGGCTGAGCAGGACCGCGTCAATTGGAGGCAGGTCGTGGAGTCGGACGGATGAGCCCTTGTGGTTGACGAGATGGGGCGGCGGTGGGACGGAGGTGAGGCCGAATGGAGAGAGGTCTGCTTTACTCCATTCCGCGGTCTCGTCGTATGCTGTGCCTTCCTCGGCGCCGAAATAAGGATCGGTCAGAAAGTTGATTCCGTCAATGTTGAGGATGGCGGTTGCCGTGGTGAGATGGGTGATGGTGAAGGTCGACTTCGATTGAGGAGTCATGGTGAATGATGTTTGTTGGTAATCACTCAAGAGAATAAGTGTTTGAAAATGAATAGAATGGTCACTGAGGTGAGTTCTCAGGAGGCTTATATATCTTTCCCTGCTTCTGTCTCATCATGTAGTAAGAGGCGAACCTAGAAGATTAGGTAAAGACTTTGTTCGTTTAACTCTGCAGCTTCATTAGAAAGACGGACCATCCCACCTGGATGAAGTCATGGTTGTAGGATCCACCGGCATGAAATGAAGGTTGGTGATTTGATGCCAGGAATTCCACCGGCATCCCTCTCAGGCATCCCACTTGTACTTTGACGATTTTCCTCGTCTCTTGAATTTGTAATGGAAACTGCATAATCTGGAATCGACGCATACCGAGCCTTCTAGATCCATTCGAAATCAACTTGGACATCACACAGCACCCTGGCGGCACTTGACATCCACGCCTCGTGGTCCGTGTTCTCTCGCCGGTTCACTTGCGAAATCAATATTTGGCGGTCCTGCTCGCCCAGGAGCACCCCAAACTTGGTCGCTATCCGGTATACAAAAGTCCAGGTCGGCCAAATTCAGCAGTTCCTTTCGTGGGTTTAGGATTGTGTCCGTCGCGACAGCCAAGCTACTCATTCGACAGACTTTATAGAGTGCCAATCCGAACCGCTTGATCTCTTCCACATTGACCCAGATCATTGCCAGTGGTGCTGTCGGGCTGTGCTGTTCAACCATGTTCGGATAGTAGAACATGCCTAATGCTCGACAGGTGCGGACTAGAGTAATCAGGAGAAAGGAGTCGTCTGCGCTGAGTTGGTGTCGCAAACTCAGGTCGGTTGTGTTATTTTCTTTGGCAAGAAACAGTGACATTATGATCTGGAGAAGAATGCTCTGGTAGGTCGCCATGGGCCACAGAGCACGGATGTTTTGCTGCGAACTTGATATAGCAGGCACAGACCAGGACTCCTGTCGCATATTGACCTCGCTATTAGCAATAGAATCAACAACTACATGCTAGAGTGAGTTCTTTACCGCTTGTATTCGGACTGCATCACTCAGTTTGCGATGGAGTTGTAATGCGGCATCCCTCTTTTCCGGGCGACCAGTGATCCACATCCCGATCATGACGACGGATTGAACCAGAATGGAAGGTTCCCTCGACGCGTCAAATGTACTCGGATGGAGGAATGGCCAATGAGGGTGGAAATCTCGAAAGTAGATATCAACGTACTCCTGGGTGACAAGCTGGGTTGCGGTGGCTCCAATGTCCTCTGTGTCCATGGTGGTATCTGTCGAGCCGACGTCCATCGCGGGTGACTCTGGCAACTCATCATCTACACTATCTGCTTGCGTATTCACCCGAACCGCGTTCTGCGTCTCTGGCTCAGGAGCAAGGGAACAAGCGATTCCTCGTCTCTCGCATGAGCTGCACGGGAACTTTCCTTCGCAGCGTTCCTTTCGAGCGCGACAGGCGCTGCACGCCTTCTGGGCTCGGAACTGCGGCAATTCGCATTCTTGATGGTAGGCCTTGATGTGCCGTCGTAGGAGATCGCTGCGCATCCATGGTCAGTTATCCTTTCACCATCCAAGGTAAAGATTGATCATTCGTAGAACGTGCCTCCTTGCCAGAGTACTCGAGCAGTGTGGACACGAGAATCGATTGCCATCTTGGTGGCTCTGCGCGCTATGTCGATTCAAGTGCTCTTTGCGGAGATACGTTGCATAACATCCAGGGACACTACAAGAGTATGTACGAGGCGACATTGTGATGGCGAGGGCGCGTTGAAATTCCTCTCATGTCGTTTATTGCTTGACGTTGCAGAGACTGAGATTGGGGTTGAAGTCAAGAACAAACTTAGTCATCACCCCAGCTTCATCGGCCCAGCACTTCCTGGTGAAGCTACTGGCAGTGAATCACTGTCAATGTTCGGATTGAGTGGGATCCGATGGTATATTGGTCACTGTGGATATTTTGCCACCATCCATCAATCAAGTGGCGCGCTTCATCCCACTTGTTTAATAAGACGCAGATCTCAAATAGAGTGGGTCGTCAACCGGCATCCCTCTCAAGCTTCAACGAAGCGGATGACAAACAATCTAGTTGCCCTATTGCTTATTGATTGAGATAATTACAGCGTAGATCTGCCTTAAAATCTGGTGGCTTTCTCATTTTCACCATATTTTCAGGCAAAAATTTATAGAATGCTCGCCACATGATATTGTCAAGTATAAAGCGAGCTTCCCATACTTGAAGGGACAATAGAAGCAAGAAAGAAAAAATCCCACCCTCTAATTTGCAATACCACGTCAACATGCGTGCAATTGAGCCTTGCGATCCAGAACGAGCTGGAACGGAGGATCCTGGCTTAAGTCAAGTGTACAGCGCTACTGCCGAGGGTTTTATAGCGCAAACCCCGGAACCAGCTATCACCAGAACAGCCTCCGCTCTAAACCCTCCAGAATATGAAGTCTACTGGGATAACGACGATCCCGAAGACCCGCGTCGCTGGCCGCTCTGGTACAAAGCTCTCACTGTCTTCACGATGAGCTTCGGTGCTACTGTGGTCAGCCTAGCCAGCACCCTCTACACCTCCGGTATTCCAGGGTTAGAGGAAGAGTTTCATATCAGCAAAATCGTTGGTCTTCTCGGCGTCACAACCTACCTTCTCGGTATGGCATCCGGAAGCATTATCCTGGCTCCTCTGAGCGAAGTAACAGGCCGCCGACCAGTCTATATCGGCACCAGCGTCATCTTCGTTCTGCTGATTCTACCAAGCGCGCTAGCCTCGAACATCGAAGCCATCCTGATCAGCAGATTCTTCGCTGGATTCTTTGGAAGCGCATTACTGGGGAACTCCCCGGCTTCAGTCACGGATATTGTGTCGGACGAGCATCGTGCCTTGGCTTTCGGCTTTTGGTCCATCGGGCCGGCCAACGGCCCCGTCTATGGCCCGATTATAGGTGGCTTCGTGTATCAGTATTTGGGCTGGCGATGGACGAACTGGATCGTGCTTATCGCCGGGGGTGTCGTCGTGGTCTTAATGGTCATTCTCAAGGAGACATATGCACCGGTGCTTCTATCGCGACGGGCAGCCCGAAGACGAAAGGAAACACAGTCCGAGAAATGGTGGACTCGCTACGACGGCGCGCAGGATCTGGCCTCGCTTCTGAAAACTGGTCTCAGTCGGCCATTCGTCATGATCGTGACCGAGCCAATCTGGTAACTATCCAAGCCTCGTTCTAGAATCAACGATTATCAAGCTAACGTGCAACCTCCAGTCTCTTCTGGGACATTTACGTCTCGCTCGTCTACTCCATCCTCTACCTCTGTTTCGTGGCCTACCCCATCGCCTTCCAACAAGAGCGCGGATGGTCCCCGGGAATCGGCGGTCTCTCGTTCCTAGGGATAGGGATCGGCGTCTTGGTCGTGATCGCATGCGAGCCTCTCTGTCGTTGAGTCATCAACATGCACCGAAAGGATCCATCCACGGGGCAAGTCGCCCCCGAAGCCATGGTGAGTATAATATGCGTGGGCTCGATTCTACTGGCTATCGGGCAGCTCTGGTTCGCATGGACCTGCACCCCCAATGTCCACTGGATCGTATCGATACTTGCCGGGCTTCCCTTCGGTGCCGGAACGGCCTGTGTGTTTGTTTACGCCAGCAACTATATCGCTCACTCGTATGGCATTTTTTCCGCGTCGGCGCTGGCGGGGAATATGGTTATGCGCAGTGTTATGGGAGCGACGCTTACGTTGGCTGGGCCGTCGATGTATAAGACTCTGGGGTTGAATTGGGCTGGGACTCTTCTTGGGGTGGTTGTGACGGTGTGCATAGCGATTCCGTTTAGTTTTTATTTCTATGGGCACAGGATTAGAGAGAGGAGTGTTCTCATCAAGGAGCTACGCGCAAAATGAGCAGGTTTGCAGCAAGTGTGTCTAGACTTCGTGGCTGAATGCCCTTGCTGCGTTAATTCCACCTGTAAAACATGTACGGAAGGGGGTCAGATAAAATATCGACACTTTTACACTGAGGAGATTCTCATTTACTATTTGGTGTCCCAGATAAACCTTTACGAAGATCTTAAAGCCATATTCAGTATTTCCATCTGCATCGCCACTCCTCAATCCATCTGTTCTGTGCGTTCAATGTCTCCATCAACATTGCTTCCCAGGGCTTTGTTGGTTCAACGATGGCCGCTTTTATTCGACTTAGGATCCCTGGCTTGCTTCACCATCTTAATCACAATGTCCCCGGCGTCGTATGAGTACCAAAATAACAAGTGCCGTCAGTCAGCGGATCCAGGTTTGTAAACAGGTATCCCGCAATGCATACAGAATGGCCTACAACTCCCGGGTCCGTTCCTGGAGGTGGGTTTGAAGCTATACCGGACGATGCGCTGTCTGTTTCCAGGAATACTATCACCGATGCTTCGTTCAGGATCAAGCGGCATACGGCAGTTACTTCGCCGGATTATGCAACGGCCAAGATGCGCAGGAGTATATCAAAGTTGTCGCCAAAAACAAAACCATCCACCACGTACTGATCCCACAGCTCAGTGGATATGTCCCCGACCGACTGGTCGAACAAATGCTGGGCGTAGCTCTTTTCGAGGAGGACATTGAGGACCAGCGCAGAATCACCTTTTGAATCATGGAGACTGTTGAAAAAGGGAGCCGCGGTCAATTGGAGAGGGAAGTCGCTTGCAGCCTCCATCCGGCAATCTAGAGAATGTTTGGACCTCTGGCTCGTGGGCCATGCCAATCGCCTATTGAGCACATGTCTATATCTCCGTTGTAAAAGCTGGTGCAAGGTCCAGTAACCATCTCAACATGATGATGATATGCTGAGTGACTGCTTCGATCTGGCCATCGGTCTGGGGTAATATGCTGAGGAATGCTTCCACTTTGCTCCCACAAAGAGCTAAATAAAGCTCTGCAGTGACTCAAAAAGCGAGTATAAGCTGCAATGCCATGATGCTTTTGGAAGGCGCAACACCCCAAATAAGATCTGATTTGACATGGTCAAAGAGTAGGGATGATGGAAGAAGAAGATATGAGGAGAGAGAAGGAAATTCAAAAGGCGAAAAGGAATGAAGGATAAATGGCGATACTTAACTGAGTTAATCGTCCTTCCTTCCGATCATTCACTTCATATAGGAAGTCTTTCACGCACTGCAAGCGATAGGGCTTTACTGGATGCTACCCACCTTGGGTAATCCACTCTACTTTAAAACTTTCTACCAGAAAAGAATATCACCGTCATGACGACCAACCTAGGCCTAAATAAATAAACCTCTTTAACATCAATTTCAACCCCTACGTCCGATCGTACACAACGAACACAGCGTCCACCATAGCGCAGGTCACCACAAAATCAGCAGGCAAAAGTCCCATCGGAAATAATTCTTCCAGGGACGATGTCGATCGCCGCGGGCCATAAGTCTCCACCGGCGCAACGTGATTGCATGCTGGCAGAAGATCGTTGTAGCATCACCTCGTATTTCTTTGGCGATGGGGCCAATCATGGGCCTTGGCGAGTCTGCAGGGACCCCGTTTGGCTTAGCTTAGGGGTCAGGGAGGAGTAAATAAATTTATCATTGATTGGGTTGTGAGATTCTCGATGGCTTTGCTGTACTCCGTGGAAGAACTGTCACTTCTTGACTATGGGGTGGGATGCTTGTATAGAACCGGCAGAAGCCCTAAGGCCAACATGGCTATAGCGAACCCGTTAAAGCATCAACCTCACCCAAGAAAATCCAATCTATCCACACGCCAGAATACAAGGCTAGATCTCACTGATCCTGTCCCGACGATGTGGGACCCAATCTCAGCTCTGCAGCAATCAACCGCCAATCCTCTCCTGACAGGGCATCAATCCTCGTCCCAACACGACCGGTCCTAACTTTCCAGAGATCGTCTCACCACTCCCTTCCTGAGTGGGAATACGACTGTTAGTCACAATCCAAGGGTCCAATGTGTCAATCAACCCGCTAGTCCACCTGACAGAAAGTAATTCGAGTCGACGTACATATACAGGAAGAACCCACATCTCCTCCTCAACACATTCTAACCCTCAACCCCATCCAAAACCACTATAATGAAACCCCTCCTCCTCCCCCTTCTTCTCCTCCAAACAACCAGTACCTCAGCCTGGACCTTCACCTGGCGAAACGCCTCCTCAGCCAGCTTCCTCAAAAACAGCCACGACCCGCTCCCCTGCACGAACATCGACCAAGCAGAGGGCCAGCGCTTCGACTTCCACCCGGAATCCGACAACTACAACTTCTACATCTGGGCCACCGAGAACTGCACCGGTGAATACGCCGGCTACACCACCCCCGATGTCTGGCGGAAGAAGGCGAGCCAGAACCTGCGCTCGTATCTGGTCGATTACGGCGATGGGTCGGGGCCGAAGTCGACGGCCTTAGTGGCTACTTCTACTGCGGAGGCGAGTTCGACTTCGTCTGCATCGACGGCGGAGGCGACTTCCACTTCGACTTCGACTCCCACAGGGACTGCGGCGTCGTCTGCCTCGGCGTCAGCGTCAACCTCCCCAGAGTCCAACGGCGCTGCTATTTCCGGCGGTGCCATCGCCGGCATCGTGATCGCCGTGGTAGCGGGACTGAGCATCCTCGGCGCTGGATTCTTCTATCTCGGACGACGGGCTCGACGCGGAAACAGTCCCAGCTCCAGTCCAAGCAATCCCCCCTCTCAACCACCACAGGACATGTACGCCTCCCCCGGCGGAAACAACAGCTTCGCAGCTACGGCTCAATACCCGCCTTCTCTCCATCATGGCGGACAAACGCCGCAGCAGTCGATGGGGCACTATGGTGATGCGGCGTCGCCTCTGGGTCATACGCAGTCACCGTACATGGAGACGACTAAGCTCGGGTCGCAGAAATCGTGGGTCGAGTTGCCGGGGGACGATATGATGGCGGAGTTGAGTAATAGTCGGCAGGTGAATGAGCTGGAGGGACATTCGAAGATGAGGTATCAGTGATATTATTGAGTCTTTTATGTGTGGTGGATGGTGCCGTGTAATTGCAGATGATGGTGGGGGTGTATATCTTTCTGTTTTTGGTCTTTCTGTCACGGTTTTTACTTGGTTTAGGTTAGATAAATACCCAATGGTTTTTGTTTTGCAATTGATTGTGCTTCGCTTAAGATGGGGTTAAAGAGACGAGTATGCCATTGATCTAGGATATTGCGTCTAGATCGCAAGATGTTTCTGCAGTTATCGGGTTGATTCCTTGAATTTGAAATGAAGATATCAAACGCATTCTTGGTAAGATCGATAGATAATGATAGGATAAGTTCAGACAGACTTAATCAAGTACAAAAAGAATAATATTCATCGCACTGCAATGAGAGACGGTTAAATATTGGAAGTAAACGGTAAACTCCGTCCATGGACCTGTCCAGAGACCGACAACGGAAAGAAAGGAAGGAAAAGAATGAATAAGAGACAAGAAAAAAGGTTGAAAATGTCGAGCCGGAGGATAATAATCTCCGACTGTCCATACAAAGACTCTGTACAAGGTATCATCCATTCCAGACATTACCAGACTGCCTAACATAAGTGCGAATTATAATCGCAAATGCTTTGGGTGTGATGCAGATTTGAACAAAGGAGAATGAGAAGTGAAAATCCGGGACATGCCCAGAGAAAAAGAAAATGCCACCATAACAGTTTGAACTCCAAAAACTCCGTTTTCTCGAGTTGGAAGTCCAGAGATGTGACCTCTAATCACAACGGTAGAAAGAAAAGCACAGTACACCATGGGCATTATGTTCAGGGCATAGGGTATCTCGTAGTCTCTCGAGGGATCGGCATCAATGGCATGCGACCTCCAACGCCACCCGCAACTCCACCACCGCCCCGTCCCATGCCAGCCCGCAGATCAAAGTCGGGGTTGTTCTCGAGCAGAACGTTTTGCTTTTGCTGCGCAGGGAGTGGTGGCGGACGCCAGCGTGGGTTGATAGGTCGCTCAGAAATGGACGTGAAATGGCTTATATCGCTAGTAGTAGGTGAGCTAGGGCCTTCAACCATTTCCTCCTCAGTTGGTTTCGGCTCACCAGTATTACCCGGTGTCAGAGCAGTGGGCAACCCACGGTTGCCCACTGCAGACTCATTACGATTAGCAAAACGAGGATCGGCGTCTTCAAAGTAATCGGCTGATCCGGATCGAATGTGTGGTGATGGCCGTCGAGCTGCTCCGTAGGCATGGACGGGTGAAGGGGAGGGCCCGGTGCGTGGCTCCGGGGCACCCCAGCCGTTGCGCGCCGGAATGTATGATCTGAAGAATGTCAGCGGAAAGGGACGACGATATCAGATCACAGAATACTTACGCTGTTCGACTATAAAGGCTGGAGGGGCTAACTGGCTCTGGATACCCATCAGCAGACAAAGCATGTGGTTGCTGCGAGTCAAGCACTGCCTCCTGATGCTCCGGGTCTGCAGATCCCAGTCGTCTCGGCTGTGGTGTCATTTCGATGGCCTGGCCAATGGGTGCTCCCGAGTCCGGCGACATGGCCATCCCAATCGGTCCGGGGGATGGGCGACGCATGGAACCTCCAGGAGAATGACCTCCGTACTCGTACTCATCCTCTTCAGGCGCGGGCATTCCTCGTGGACCAGGACCAGGACCAGGACCGTAGACAAATTGCGGTGGGCCACGCCATCCTCCACGACCCATCATGCCAGGGGGAGCACCTCGCATCGGGCCCATCGGGCCGCCTCTGCCATTCGGCGGGGGTCCTCGGGGTCCTCCATAAGGTCCACCGCGACCGTATCCTCCCCGAGGAGGGTAGCCGCCTCGACCACGTGGGCCTACACCCGGGGGAGGTGCGCCTCTTCGTGAGCCCATGCTACCGTCTGAATATTGGTTGCGCAAGCGTGGATCGTTCGGAGGGGGTCGCATTCTCGGTCCGGGGCCAGCTGGGGGAAGCGGGTTTCCGTATTCATCGCGTGGGACGTTGTAAGCAGCTCGATCATCCCGCATCGGAGCTGGCATCGGAGCTGGAGTCGGAGCAGACGGGAGGTTGTCTGGTGGCATGGGAGCATCGCTAAGAGGTGTTCGCGAATTGAGAGGCGTGCGATCGTCGTCGCTTTCGCGCGTAGTGGTGCGGAAAGTCGCAAATGTCGGGCCTGTTTCCGAGCCCGGAGGAGATCCGGTGACGAAGGGTTCCTTTGTCTCTTCACTAAGAGGCGGGGGAGGCGGGTTCATGGCGGGATTCGGGGCCGTCGCATTTTGGCGATTGTAGAAGTTCTCGCCGCTCATCTCAGCATTCTCCGCGATACGCTTCTTCCGTGCTTTACGGCTAACAAGGGTCCGGCGCATTGCGCATGTGACGACCCCACAGGTGACGAGAATGATGGTCGCACCGAGCACAATCCAACCGCCCCATCCGAGATGCGGAACAAAAAGCAGTATATCCACCAGAAAAGCGAGCAGGGTGACAAGAAGGGTCGGGAGCAGAAGGATCAAGAGCGCAAGAAGGTATCGCGGCGAGTGGGACGGGCTGTGGAAGTGAGCTGCCACAGCCATGCAGAGGCAGATAAGCGTGAGAAGGGCGGCGACTGGGTGCACGATCAGGATCGAAGAAAGCGATCGGCGCGTACTCGACGGGAGGTAATAGTCGTCATCGGTGCCGGCGCTGCTGAGGTCATCTGGTGGGAAATCACTTAGCTACCAACTTGAACACCCGATCGGGGATCGCGAGAGGAACCAACCGTTGTTGTAGCCAACATGGATATCGGTACATTGGTCTTTCTTGCAATAACCAAAGACTCCGTAGTCGACATTTTCGAAGGTTGCCAAGGGAATTCCTTTGACGATAGGCGTGGAGATGACCGACAGAACGAGCAGAACAAAAGCGATTAGGAGCAGAATTGTAAGGGGGGTCGCGGGTTTAAGCAACATGGTGAAAGAAAAGCGTCGCCGACGCTAGAGAGCAGGTAGGGGGAACAATCGGGGGAGATAAAGAAGCAGATGGCTCCGGACTCCAATGACAGCGACACACGCAGTCGACAGAATCTCGGGGGTTCAACGCATTGGTTGGAGCATTGCTTTCGTTCTTGGAGGCTTCCTTGTCGAATTCCCTTGTGAAAACGGAGCCAAGTCTCACAGAGAACTATGGAAGGCTGCCTAGGGAGGGGAGGGAGAGAAGATCCAGAGCAGCGACCAGCGAGGAATCAAGAACCAACACTCGGATGCAGGCAGCAAGTTTTACAGAAAGGCAGGGCAAGCGGGCTAAAGGAGGGGACTGCAGTAGGAATAACGAATGAATGCAAGGAAAGAAGGAATGAAAGGATAAGGGAACGAATGGAAGCCAGAGCGAAGAATGGCGGAGTTGATTGGAAGGTCGCGGTCGAAGTCAGCAGGGGGCGTGGCCTGAGGTGTCGACGTTGCCACTGTGCGTTTCTCCCCTTCCTTCTCTTCTCCTACTCTGTCTTCTACGGTGGACACTTTTCTTTCTTCTTTTTTTATCTTCTGTTCTTCTCATATTTCTTCAATCCTCTCTCCCTGAAAGGACTCCCCCTCTCCTCAACCCTTCGTATCACCCTGCTTCTTCCGTGGTGGCTGAGCCCCGACACTACCCCGATGATGGATTAGCTGCTTAATTTCTCTTGCAGTTTTAAGCATACGGGGTCGTCCGTTCCACTCCGGCTTCTCCTCTGATTCGCCCTCTCCCGCTCTGCGATAATGGAACAAGACTGTCCCACTCTTGGCCAAGCCTGACTCTGCCGATAGGCGATTTTTAGTCCACTGCTCGAGCTCCTTTACGGGGTACGCGCCGTCACGAGATCTCTCTCCAAGATTGCGATTGAAATCGGACTGAAAAACTGACAAAATCCCCTCTCGGTGTCTCTCGCGCCCGTTAAATATCGTCTTTGCATATAGAGTAACACGGTTGCGTCACGAGCTTACATCGCCGGCGGAGGCCAGACCGGACCGGATCTGCGATCAGGGGGGATTAAGAATAGATGGTTTCGCGAATCCGACATATTACAGGAGGGAACCCCACCTCAGGAAGCCGTCCGGTTCTCTTCCTTGGTTGACTTCCAGACTTTCTGTTCCGTGTTTGACATATCCACAGTTCAAGGAGTCAAGCTAGCATCCCGTTTCAAGCGAGGGATCGTCGGCCAACCGAGCGTGCGATTTCGGATGAAACGGTCTCAATAATAAACGCGAGACTGCCGCATCCTTTCCATAGTCAAAAGATATCCCCTGTGGTAGATCGCCAGCAGCTTCATTTGCCATCGCAATTTGGCCTGGCGCGACTGGTCATTGTGATTTCGCCCTTGACTTTCCTGAATGAACTCCACCGCATGACGTCCCGCCATTCAGGGTTCTAGATTCATTGGAAGTGGAGTTGAGTGCGCGTCATGCATCATTGGCTCGTCAAGCGAATTGCAGCGGGTCAACTCCAGGTTTGATGGATTGAGATCGTTAGTTCCTATATTAAATTGAGGGCGTTAGATAAGATATACTCCGGAGTAGATGTTGCTCACCAGGGGAAGGAGATTGGTAACATACCATATCTTCTACACCGATAATCTGACAATTAAATTTTTTTATCTTATAATAAAGCTTAGAACGCTATGGTGTGTATTGGTTCATACTGGTGACACAAGTACTAACGATAATAAGTAAATATCTGAGATGCAAGATAAAAACAGCTGGTCGTTAATGCAACGAGTAGAAATTGAAGATATCTTAATGGCAAATCCAGTGTTTCTCTTCGTAGTTCATTCAAACCTGGGGCCAAACATTGCCCACTTTTTAGCACCTGATGCACAACAACTATTGATACATTTACCAAGCCCGGTATCTGTTGCGACAGGTTGGCTCCATGGAATGCACAAACATGTTATGTTCCTATTTCCCGTTGTTCTATCATGGTCTGGCCTAGCAAGTAAAGTTTCGATCTGCCGCGCGCAGCCTTCAGTGAGACAGTGAGGGGCAAGGCACATACTCATCTCTTTGCTATCGCAGAGGTAATGGGTGAGCTCATGCCAGTTAATCACTTGCCTCTGGCGCGACGAGAAGATACTGCGTGCTGTCTGGAGGAGATTGCCCTGGATCTCTTCTAGGAGTCTGGGAATTGTGGCAGGAAGTTCAGCCAGCGGAATATCAGACCTGCGCATCTGCTTTGGAAGGTCTCTCCTATATACTCTGGCGTATTGGCCTAAAAGTTCCTTCGTACCTAGCATAATGCACAAAGGTGCCCCGCGAATGGTCCATTCACGCAGTTTCCAACCGAATGTGAGGGAGCCGTTCAGGTCCGCGTGAGCACGCAAATCAAGCGCCGACAGTGCTGTATCAATTGATTGGATTTCAGCTAATAAGGTTTGCCATTCCTGTTCCCTGTGTGGGCTTCCACTTGGTATGAGGATAACTTGATTCTCAGCAACACGAGGTGGAACGACAATTCCTTCGTCGTCGCCATGGATTGCCAGCATGATGCCGAGGGCGCGGTTCGAGAAACACCATGAATTCTGCCATACGTGCACCCCAGAACTAGCATCCTCATTGGGATTAACGGTCCGATCAGATGCTATGATTCTGTATTTCCTGCTGACGCTCTGTCCTAAGGCACGACATGATCCTCCATCGACACATTGGTCTAATGCTGGCACATACGCAATCATAGTAGACTCATGGACATCAGCACCATCAAGGGCAGAGGAGGTATGACTGCTGTTGATATAAGCACGGTAACCTTTGACAACTGGAACAGCCAAAAGCCCTTCGTACAGATCAGCATACATGTCAAGAACCTGCTTTTGTTCTCCACTGGCATCTAGCTCTGTCAAATGTGCCGTGTGTGCTTCCTGCATGAGAATTTCCCGGGATCGGAAGAGCGGCTCAGGGTGCGATACATCGCAGGTCACCAACTTCCACTGGTTGAGACGAAGCGGGAGGTCCAGGCGAGTTTGAATCCACCTTGTAAAATGCGAGTAGATGATGGATGAAGTGGTAAGCTGATCTGCCACTAGATTCCGTGTATGATGTTCATTGTATTCATCGCTCGTATCCGTGATTTTCGGTGTCAAGATGGGGAAAACACAGTTCTGGACGCCCATGAGCTGCAGCTGCTTGTAGAGAGATGCTTGGACTCTCTCCCAGATGACGCATAATGCTGGCTATGAAATTTCATCCAAGCGAAAAAGAGTTAGTCAGGGAAATTATGAGAGGCGTGGAAGGGAGAGAATGATGGGGAGAAAACGCCGGGACAAACCCTAAGAACAAAGTGACCCTCTGCCGCCAGACTTGGGTCTATCATATCTGCTTTTTCCAAAGTCTCGCGATACCACGCCCAAAAGTCGCCATCTTTTGGCAGGTCGATCTGTCGGAGTGGCGTAGCGATAACTGTCTTTCGGCATGCCATGATCTCAACGCTCGCTGAATATACTGAGTGCCAAAATTATCTTCAGTTGGACTGCGTTGTTTTGATGCAAAAAAGATGTAATTCCCAGTGTCGGCGGTATTCACTTGGGCATAGCCTGATCAAGTGGCGTATGATGTCAGTCCGGAGCTTTTCATGCGCTCAGATCTATGCCGGAAAACATGGCTGCCTAATAGATCCTAGTCACTTGTCTCACAGATAGCGATAGGCCCTAAGAGTAGTTGTGTTTGTGGCCATTTTTTAAGGACGCCAGCCATAAACGCCTTCATATTGATGTATCGGTAAAGAAAGAAAGGTTGTGAATTTGTATGCATTTAAGACTTAGAAACAGTCGCTTTCTCCGTGCCTGAATCTTGAATCTATGGCAAGTGTTGTTATATCTCAGAAGCCACTTTGCAATGTCTTGATTCCCGTAGTTAGAAGTGCCAAATGATATTTTCGTCGTAGCCACATACACAGTGTTGGAAGACACCTATGCCTGATGAAGATGGATTCTTGCCTGGATATTTTCTACAAGTGTAGAGCAAATTACACGAAACTCGCTTAGATCAGAATTGGCAGGCTAATAACTTCTTGTCATCTCGCAGAAAAATTGGCATTGCTCACATTTAAATACAGTGGAAGTAACAATATCAGGTGTTTTACATGAATGAAGCATGGCCAGCTTTCTATTCTAGCTGCGCGTGAAGTACACAGAGTCCATTTCCCAAGCTCCTAGTCTCCAGTATTTCATTTTCGTTTAATTTTATGATGTTTACTTATTCCTGTCGATTAGTGCTTCTTTTTCAAGTACAGTAAGTGTTCAAGTTATATAGGAACTTAAGCCATGCCTTGGAAAAGTATCACCCCAAACTCACGGACAACATAGTAGACTCAATCTGACTTAAACTAGTATAGTACGGCTATATCAAATGACCAGGTGAACTCCTTCCCAGATTCCCAAAGCTGAAATTATGGCGCTTCCCCAGAAATGAAACCAACATTCTGGAATACGAAGCCCTAGCGATTCTAGAATCAGAGACATATCCGTATCAACGACCACTAACTATCTGCCTATCTTCAGCATGACATACCGCCAACTAGATTCTGCTTCTTGGATGAAGCAGCGAAGGTCCTGTCGAGTTTAAGCAAGACTTGATCACCATTCTCTAGCTCTGGGAGCCGCGTGCGTGCGTCGTCTATCATGATGGTACTTCATCCTCAGCCGTGCATATCGTAAAGCTTCTTCAGCATCGACTCGGCATGAGAAGTGTTGGTCAACATCTTTATAAGTAGTCAATTCGTTCGTTCGGCGGAAGCCCCGTGAAGTATTCATCGGCTAGATTCTACGGTTTCCGAACATCGATGCCGAGCATCAGACGATAAGGCGTCTCCGATTTCTATTGTCGAGACAAGGGATGAAGCGAATGACTCCCACCATCGATCCAGGGTGGGATTGGCTGTCAGATAATGTTGGAACAGTACCTCGAGGCTCTGAGTGCTTCTTTCCGATTGACCGTACGTTGGGAATGAGAAGGGGACGAATAGAACCAGACGAATCCCATTGTGTCGAACAGATCTTCACAGCCGGCTCTTCCAACAGATAGGCTCCATCAGGGTGATGGGCTTTTGATTAATTGATTGGTTGATTCTGAAAGAAAGAATATCAAGTGGCGTAATCGTTCATTCTTAGAATTCGCTATATAACGTCAAAAGAACCCCATTATAGCATGCCAACCCGCTTACTTCTTCGACGCCAAAACCAGAACCACAGGCCACGAGAACGACCGTTGAGCCTGCGCACCACCCATCCTCTTCTCCAACTCCGCCCACAGCGGCTTCACAGGGTCCTCATCGGTCCCATTGAACGGGAAGATATGCTGCACGAACTGACGCAGCTGCGCCAGATTCCAATCCTTCCGCCAGAGATCACGGTCCTGCCGTTCAATAACCGTCTCGCCGTCCTTGACCTGGCTGGTCGGTTCCACGGGGAAGTTGCACGCGTCTTGCCCGAAAAAGCCCAGCTGCGTCCACTCCGTGTTCCACTTGTGTCGCTGCACGGACTTCCACTCCTCCTCCGCGAAGGGGATGTAGTCGAGCCAGCTGGCGATGCCGTCCGCGGCGCGCTTCCACCCCGCGGTGTGCTCGGGCCCGCCGCCCTTGATGACACCGCCGAAGTGGTGGTTGATGATGGCGTCGAGGACGGGCTGGCAGGAGGCGGCGTACTCGGGTTCCGAGAAGTGTGCCCGCCCGTAGAACCAGATGGCCAGGGTGCCGTTTTGGTTTAGGACGGTGCGGAAGCTGCGCAGGGCCGTCGCCGTGTCCATGAGTGGGAACATCAGCGCGCAGACGATCAGGTCCGCTGACGCAGGCGGGTACTTGGCTTCGAGCTCCTCGCCCAGCGCGACGTCGTAGGAGAACCGCGAGGCGGGGACGTCGGTCTTCGAGAGGGCGTAGCGGGCATAGTCGACGTGGTTGGCGTTGTTGTCGCTCACGACGACGTGCTGGAACTTCAGCGCCAGCTTCTCCGCCACCTGCCCTGGTCCGGCGCCGACGTCGTGGGCGACGTCAAACGAGGGGTTCTTGGACTGGGCGGCATGGTATTGGTAGATGAGGTCGTAGAAGGATTCGTTGTATTTGGGCCGCGTGGAGAGGTACCCTTGCCAGTACCGCGCCTGGTCCTCTTGCGTTAGCTTCCACACATTGGTCGAGTCGTCCTCTTTGGAGTCGGGTTGGAGACGAGACACTCCTGCGCTGAGGTTTCTTTGGAATCGAGGAGCCGGAGAGACATGGAAGCGGGGAGAGCGAGCAATTGAGCGCGCAAACTTCAAGGAATTGCTTCCAAGCGAAGATCTCATTGTGAGGACCATTTTGAGAAGAGATCTGAACGAGCAGGGATTTGCATACACATCATCGTGCAGATGAAAATCCCTCCCTCAAGCTCAAGCCGACGAAAATCGATGCGCTAAAAGAACATGTGATCAGTATAGTTGCATGAGAAGCGCACAGTGATAAAGTGGGATTATTGATTGTTCTCGTGTGGATGCAATGTATACCACGTAGGGCGTTTTAATCAAAGGTTGGGGGCCTTCTTCAGAAGAGTGGAGTCCCTATACAGAAACTTTCTCTAAGCGAAGTAGAATACCCCGACCAAGATATGGTTTTATGCACGGTTTCGGAAAGTCGGCATGGCCGGATGGCGCGAATATGTTGTCCAACCAATCCCATAATCATGTCGCGAAATGCCTGCATAACCGTATGCAATATTTGGCCATTATTCCGTATATCGTTTGAGCAAACCATTCTCCAGACCTGGGAAGCGATCAGCACGGAGCGAATGGTCTACCGCAGGACAAGCATACCCGACTGTTCCATTCATCCACACACAAGAGCATAGGCCAGAGATTGCGCATTCCTCAACAGATCCGCAGAAATCCGTCGCGAGCACTGAGTCCTATCTGCGCCGGTCCTGCCAGCCTGTCCCTCGTCTCCACGCATATTCCTCTTCACTCCACAATACAAACGCCACGGACCCACGTGCTGTCTGCATTCCGCTCCGGCCGATTGCTCAAGCACTCAAATTACCCCATCGAGTATATCACGGAACTGGCCGGTCTCCAGCGCACTAAGACGGCGAGTGGGCCCTTGGCGGAAGCGGTCCGGATGGTTAAAAGGGTCAAATGGCGCCATGTAACCGCAGCTGTACCCATAGCCAGGGAAATTGTATTCCGAATACTGCAGGGGGAGGGGGCGTGAGATTTTAGATCGTACTCCGTATGTCGGTAACTTGCAATTTACGAGCCCATGGCTGCTTTCTAGCCTGTTGTGTTGACACCCCTTGTTGATTGAAGGATTGGGGGTGCATTAGCGTTCATTTATAAATGGACCTTGTATGCTATTCTCTTTCTCGGAGATATGCACGAGACTGTGTCGAGTCAAATAAGCTGGAATGACCCATATCCATGCAGCAGACCGGTAAATTCTGGTAATACTGAGGTAGGTATGGAGAGCCAGGACGCTGGAAGCAGATGTTTCAATCTAAGACATGATTTATTAATTAAATTACACGACAAATAGGCTGCCATACTGTATTTCTCTTCAGTTTCTGAGTTAGTCTACAGCCGGTCTTGAAGGATGATCTCTGCCGCTTGTTCTGCAACTGCGTACAGGGTCGCCTGCGGGTGACCGCCGATGCTCACCGGAAAGATGCTGGCATCGACAATCCGAAGATCTCCGACGCCGTAAACACGGAGGTCTGGATCCACAACCTTGCCCATGGCAGTTGTGCCCGAAGGATGATAGTGAGCAACGCCAGCGGCCCTGATACGGGCCTCTAACTCGGCATCGGAGGATCGCGGTGATAGAGCAGGCATTCCGGGCGGGGGTACCTCGGCCTCGATGTAATCTTTCAGTGCGGTTGTACCCAGCAACGCTTGTAAAGTGCGGCGAACCCCGTGAACAAGAGTAACACGATCGGCCTCCGTGTCAAAGTAATTGGAATTCACCACAGGATTGTCCGTGGGGGATGACGAGCTGACGCTAACGGTTCCTCGGGACGTTGACCCCAGCAACATCACGGAGCTCACAATGAAGCTGCCATCCATGGGCACGTCGGGGACGCCGGCAGGGGCATAAACAATCAATGTCTCGACCAGAGGCCGACCAGGGGCCAGAAGAGAGGCGTCGGTTGTCGAACTAAATTTGGCATCGTCCTTGCGCACCGCTTCCTCGAGGATACGCGCTGGAACATCCTGATTAATAGTCCAGTCTGCGGGGAAGCCTTTCATAAACGCTGGGTCTGATAGAAGCGGACTTCCTAGCGCAAGACCACGCTCCGGGTTCCGTAGTTTGAAAAGCTGAAATAGCGAAAAATGGTCTGTCAGGCCCTTGCCAACTTCGGGCACATCGATTACAGTCGGAATGCCATGTTTAGACAGCGTTTCGGCGGGTCCAACTCCTGAGAGCATCAAGATCTGGGGAGTACGCAGCGTACCGGTGGCCAGGATAACCTCTTTGCGCGCTGTAAATCGGCGCCCATCCGCGAGAAGAACCGCCGAAGCGATCTTCTTTCCACTGGGATCGCTTTCCGCAAACTCCACCCGATGAACGACGGCCTCAGTGATGACCTCCACACCTTCGAGACTGTACGCTTGATGAGCCGCTTGGCGCTTTCCATCCTTCCAGGTCTCCAAGAACTCAGAGATCCCTGCCAAGTTACCAGAGCAGCCATCCGGATTGAACGGCACCCCGATTTCCGCAAATGCATCCTTGATCGGCTCTCGAAGCGGATACTTCCTCTTCTCGTCACTCGCAGACACCGCAGTTATGCTGATCGGCCCATCAAACCCATGCTGTTTGGGATCTGCCTTCGCGTCGAAAAACGTCTCGGACCGGCGAAAGAACGGCAGCAGTCCTTCGTAGCTCCACCGCTGATCTCCCACCATTCTAGCCCATTGATCGTAGTCGGCCGCATCTCCACGGGTCCAGCCACCGAAGTTGATCACGCTGCCTCCTCCCAGGGCCTTTCCGGCATGGACCGAGTGAGATCGGCCGTCGGTGTTTTCTTGAGGTGTGGTTGGATACGTCCAGTCCAGTTCCGAGCCAAGGAGGGAGAAAAGTCCCGGGAATGATTCGGTGTTCGGGTTGCATGAGGGGTCAATTCCTGCCTCAAGGATGAGGACTTTGAGAGCTGGGTTGTGTTTCTTGAGACGTGATGCGACCACGCACCCGGTCAGCCCTCCTCCTGCGATAATGTAGTCTGCATCTGTCGACGCCATGGTCGATCCAGCCGTATGTTCAGCGGCTGGTTGATCAAAATCTTCTCAGATTGAGCTTGGTGAAAACCAAAGAATGCGATCGTGACAATCCAAGTATAGCAGTCGATCTAGATCCCGGACTCAGGTCGAACGCAGCGAGGTACTTCGAAGAAGATCCCGGTCGATCCTCTTCGGACCTACGGCGTGAAACGCAGCCTCACATACTTTATAGACGGAGCAATGATTAATAATGCAGGGGACGTTGGTTTGTCTGCTGGTCAGACCACATTGCAGTGTTGGTGGGACGAAGAAGAGTTGCCCCGCAGCAGTTGGCTTACGTGGGCGGCCTTAAGTATACGGCATCCACTCAGTGAGCTTTTCTCAAGCCACAACCTCAATTCAGAGTCCGGGTTTAATTTCAATTGGTAGCAATGGCGTCTCCAACAATTGTCTTCATTTCTGGTACGTGGTTCTTCCTCTCTCTCTCTAATTGAAATTGAAGACACACAAAAAAGATACAAAGATAAGAGGGGAAAAAAAGGAAGGAAAGAACAGAAAAGAAACGAAAAAAGCCGTCCAGCCTCACACATCCAATCCGCCCAAGACCAAGGCTAAGATCGCCACCAACAAGGCTGAGGCTGACTTGCATCGCAGGCGCAAACCAGGGTCTCGGCTACGAAACAGCCAAGAACCTGCTGCTGTCCGACAACTACCACATCATCATCAGCAGCCGGGATCTCTCGCGGGCCAACCAAGCCGCCGCCACCCTGCAATCCCTCCCCGGGAACAAGGGCACCGTGTCGACGATCGAGCTGGACGTCGCGGACGACCGATCCGTCGACGCCGCAAAGGCCCTCATCGAGTCTAAATACGACCGCATCGACATCCTCGTCAACAATGCCGGCGTCTACTTCCTCGACCGGCTGCCTGCGCGGGACACGCTGCGGGACTCGCTGGCCACCAACGTCGTCGGCGCCGTGAGCTTGACCGAGGCGTTGCTGCCGGTGCTGCGGAAGTCGAAGGATCCAAGGCTGGTGTTTGTGAGCTCCTCGATGGGGTCGCTGCAGCATAATTTGGACCCGGAGTCGCCGCACGGTGGCACCTCGGCGTCCGAGTATCGGATCACCAAGGCGGCGCTGAATATGGTCATGGTGCAGTACCATATGAAGCTGTCTGATGTCAAGGTTCTGGGTGCGGATCCTGGGTTCTGCGCGACAGAAATCGGCGACGATTCGGAAGGGTTCAGGAAAATGGGCGCCATGGAGCCGTATCAGGGCGCGGAGTTTATCGCGGCAGTCGCCAGAGGGGATAAGGATGATCAGCGCGGCCGCGTTCACGGTCCGAAGGGCGTTGTGTTGTGGTAGATGTCTGTCCTGACTTCCAAGACTATAGAGGCTGTTTTCGATTGATATACATAGACTGGCTGCTGTGCCAGCATATCAGGGGTTTGATTCATCTCTATATAACATACATACAACACCGAGCGACGATGGTACATCTACAGGTCAAACCAGTAGCTGAACACGTTCTCCGGGTCCACCGTGGCCTTGATGCTCTTCAGCCGGTCGACATTCTCGCCATAGATCTCCGCCGAGCTCTCGTCTCCGTGCGCGAAGTTAATATACGCCGCCGGAGCATCCAGCCCATCCGTCTTGCGCCACAGCTCGCGAAGCTTGGTTCCGAACGCCAACGCCTCCGACTCCAGGCCGGCATCGTAGTACCACGGGATGACGACAGCGTTGAAGTTGACCTTGTTTCTCCAGGCGAAGGAAGACGACGACTGCGACAGCTTACGCGCCTCCTTGAGCGAGTACGCCTCCACCATGACCAGACTGTTGCTGGTGTTGTTATGCGACAGCCACGAGGTCCACTCGTCCCAGACCTCTCTCCAGGTGCCGGCGTCCATCTGAGCGAGCCCCGCCGTGAACGACGGCTTGTAGCCGCCCTTCGTGCAGAAGTCCTGCGACGCGTCCGTCCAGTGGGCGTACTGCAGCTCGGCCATGGTGTCGTCGGTGGGCCCGATGTCAAGGAAGGGCTTGAAGGCCGCTCGTCCCTCCTCCTCGGTGCCGTGGTAGAAGGGCGTGATGACGACCGACGGCGTGCCGCTGGAGGCCATGTAGTAGAGGAACGCGTTCATCCTGGGCTCCAGGGTAATGTCGTTGAGCGTGTTGATGACCTCCTCCAGCTTATCCTCGGTGTAGATGAGTTGGCCAAACCACGCGGTCTGGTCTGCGGACGAGGCGGGGAACGACTTCAAGGTGGCGGAGGTGACGATGCCGAAGTTCGGACCGGCACCGCGCAGCGCCCAGAAGAGATCCTCGTCGTCGGGGGTGACGGTCTGCAGGCTTCCGTCGGCCAGAACGACGTTGAGCGAGAGGACGTTGTCAACGCCCAGTCCGTGCAGACCCAGCAGGTTGCCGTATCCTCCGCCGAGAACGGCGCCCATCGTGCCGACACAGGGGCAATTGCCGGTGGGGACGAGCACGTCTTGCTTGGAGGCGACGGCGACGACTTCCTCGATGGCCACGCCGCCGCCGATGGTGACTTGCGTCTTGTTGTCGTTGAATGCGATCGAGTTCAGATCCTTGATGTTGACGACGATTCCCTCCTCTCCGAAGTCCCATTTCGCCCAGCCATGCCCTCCATTCTGGGTCAGGAACGGGATATTGTTGGAAGTGCAGTATTTGACCTGTTTAGATGATACCAATTAGCAAATGGTGACACGCACAACAGGGCATTGGAACGTACTGTCGTGGCGACATCCTCCTCGCTGGCTGCATTCACAATGACACCGGGAGTGGGAGGCGAATATTTGCTCCAGCGGGGATATTTGGGAGAGTCTCCACCGGTGATGGAGGCCGACTTGGACAGATCGGGCCCAAGCTCCTTGGAGACTGTTTGCGAGCTCAAGGCCGAGACCTCATGGCTGACAAGGGGGAGAAGCCAGGTTAACGCTCGCAGGGTCAACATGATGGCACGCGTGAAGGATTCTCTGCACCAGGCAACGGAAGTTTCACAGTAACACTTTTGCCGACAGGCTTAATATATAGGTGCGATCCATGCCTGAAGGAGCTTTACGAAGTACTGCCAACCCAGACTAACTGCCAAAGCCCGGTGGTATTGATTTAGTTTCCCCGGCGGAGATTTTGTCCACTTACGGGGGACTAATGGTAGTGAATGGAGCACGGAGTGATCAAGCCATGGGATGCTCCGAGAGTCAATCTGGCCGATCTCTGGCAGGTCAGGGTTTCAGGGTCGAGTATTTTTATGATTTTCGGAAGTACAGTTGACACTTGCCCCTGCCTATGTCCCTGTCCTTGCTCGTTCTTCTCTTCAGCGTTGCCGAGGGGTTTGCATGAGCAGTATTCGTGCAATATGCGATGGTCAGGGATACGACTACTGCAGTCGGCAGGGATGGCAAGAAACCACGCCATCCGTGCAAATGAATCGGCTAATTCTGGGGGCGTGTCGATCCACACCGGGAAGGGCGCTTGTCTATCCAAGTGGAGCTCGATGGGGGGCGCTAAAGCCTTCGTTCGTCCTGGTTTCTGGATATTGATGAACCCCGATGTCACGTAGGCCCGCTGTGCACACGTTCAGGAAGAGGGAATTATGCACATTGGACCGGGCCTGCAACGTGCATAGTGTCCCACTCCTGTTCATATCCAGGTTGGCAATAATAGGATACATTGATAATACTCCGTACTCCGTGCGGTCCCATCCTGCGCCGCCCCTTCTGGCCTGGATCTTCCTGCAGAGATGGTGAGCACTAAATCCTCCGGCTGCAGTCTTCCCAGCCAGGCTTCGATCTGCCGACTGTGCCTGCAAGTACGGAGTATACCATGGATGAGTGTCTCACCATGTCTCACGGTTTTCTCTTCGCGTTCCCTGCGAACGCCGACGTCAATGTTTCTCCCACCCCTGGAGACACCGGTTCCCATCTCTCGCAGCCAGCATGGCGGTTGACTCCTACTCCAAGGAGCAGATGATTGCTCTGGGCATCACCTTTCTGATTCTCCCGTGCATCTTCGTCGCCCTTCGATTCTGGGCCAAGTGGCTGTCCCGCAAGGCCCTGCAGTGGGATGACCTGTTTATTCTCCTGGCGCTGGTGAGTCCACAAGCATCGGCTTGACAGGGGATAGAGAGAGATCCCTGCTGGAAAACTGGGGTGTCGTGCATTCTAACGTGCTCTGGGCTGCAGGCTTTCTCGATTGGGTGTTCGATCACGCAGTTAATAGGTACTTGACCTAACTTACCCTTACCCTTACCACACACCCGGACAATTTCATGCGATGCCTCCCGGAACCAGACTGATGGAGACCATTCAGGAGCAATCGATGGACAGCTGGGACAGCACCAAACCCTCGGTCCCGACGGCCAACCGATCCTCGATGACCCGCGATTCCTCACATACGAGAAGTGCAAATTCGCCAGCCAGATGCTCGCCGTCATCAGACTGGGCTTCACCAAAGCGTCGCTCCTCGTCTTGTTCCGCGGCATCTTCGCCGTCTCCGGATGGTTCCGGCCCACCTCGATGGTCATGCTGGTCGTCGTCTTCGGCTGGACCATCGCCTTCTTCTTCGCCAACCTCTTCACCTGCTACCCCATCACGCCGCTCGTCGAGGCCTTCTACGGAAACAAGTGCATCGACAGCGTCGCCATGTGGTACTCGTCCTGCGTCACCGACGTCTTCGTCGATCTCATCATCCTGGTCCTCCCCCTGCCCATGGTCTTGAAGTTGCAGTTGCCGTGGAAGCAGAAGTTGGCTGTCGTGGGCATGTTTGTGATGGGCACGACGTGCGTCTTCCCCTCTCCCTCTCCTTCTTGAGTATAGTATAGGGGCTGATGAAACCAGCGTCGTCGCAATCAGCATCACCCGTCTAGCCATGTACATCCACATCGGCCAGACCTTCCTCCACCACTACAAAGACGCGACATGTATGCTCCTCTTCACCCACGCATACCCATCCCCAACTAACCCAACTAACCAAACAGACTACACATCGCCCGTCTTCTTCTGGACCAACATCGAAATGTCACTCGGTGTCATCCTCGCCTCGCTCCCCACTCTACGCCCCATCTGGCTGCTCATCAAAGGCACCCCCGTCAGCTACGGGTCCAAGTCGCATCCAACGTACGATTATTCCGGCCAAACGGGCCGGTCGGGAAGACAGCAGCCGGACTCGGATCATTTTAATGAGTTGGATACGGTTAATCTGGTGAAGTATCCGGGGACGTCGAGTGGGGGGGATGATGCAAGGTCTTCGTAGGGTTTGTCTACGGAGATTGTTGGCGTTGTGGCTAGGTTCCTTTCGTTCGTTTGTCTTTTCCTTTTCTAGTTGTTACTGGGATATTAGATTCGGTCAGGTCACTCTCTCTGTATATATTTTTTCTTTCTTTTACTAGAATACGCCGGTCGGATTTGTTATATCCAATCGACTGTATATACATGCCTAACTACCAAAAATACTCAGAATCTACCTGTCTACTCAAACCCCCTGCGCAGGTTCTCATACCGACTACCCGGATACATCAGGGTATTCTCGCTGCCATCCAGCCCGCCCCCTCTGCCCAACGCATCGCCCGTGATGCGAATCAAGCTTCGCTCATGATGCACGGGGTGGTCGCCACTCAGCTCCCACCACATGGCGCCTCCCAGCCCCCTGCGCTGGATATACTCCGTCTTCAGCGCCGTGACTTCAGGCGTGTCGTAGCTGATCACCGTGCCCTTGGCGGGGTCGAAGCTCCAACTCGCCATCAGCTGCGGGTCGGTGAACTCGCGCGCGCCCTCGGCCGGCAGCGCCTTGTAGTCCCAGACGCCGTTCTCCCACGACCCCTCGCCGACGCCCTGGAAGGGGCGCCCGGGGCCGCTGGTGTTCTCGAACGCGCGGCCATACAGCGGCAGCCCGAAGATGATCTTGCTGGGGTGCACGCCGCCGCGCATGTACGCGACGACGGCGGCGTCGGCGCTGAAGGGCGTCAGACCGGGCTGCGGGTGCGCGAACACGTTGGCCTGGTGGCCGGCGACGGAGTCCCAGCTGCCCGCGAAGTCGTAGCACATCAGGTTCCAGAAGTCGAGGAAGGGGTCCATCTCGTGCATGCGCAGCTTGGAGTAGTTGGAGGGCCCGCACGGCGCCGCGATGGTCAGCAGCAGCCGCTTGCCTTGCAGGTAGTAGGCGGCGTAGCGGTCGAGTTCGGCGCGGGTCTCCTGCAGCAGGAGCACGAAGTTGTAGGCTTGCGCCTCGTCCTGCGGGTACTCCCAGTCGATGTCGATGCCGTCGAAGCCCAGGTCGGCGAGCAGGTGGACGGCGGAGCGCGCGAAGGTCTGCCGGCCGCTGGGGGTGGAGGCGGGGCCGGCGAAGTTGGCGCTGTAGGTCCAGCCGCCGATGGAGAGCAGGGTCTTCAGGTGGCGGTGCTGCTTCTTGAGCAGGAAGAGCTGCTTGATGCAGCCGTAGACGTTCTCGCCGCTTTCATCCCAGGAGTCGGTGGGGTAGTGCTTTTCGAGGTCGGAGTAGGTGTCGGTTAAGAAGCTATTGCACTGGGTTAGTGGACATGATGGGTGTAGATGCAGATTGGGACGTACACTTCACCCGTAGGACGGATATTGGCGAAGGAATCTGGGCTCCATTAGTTTGCACTCGTGAAGGGGGATATGGATATTCCTACAGAGGATATGGGTGATGTGATTGGCGGGGATGTCTTGAGGTTGATAGTTGCGACCGTAAACACCCTTTGAGTGTGGTTAGCTTGATGTTCACTCGGTCCTAGCAATCTGAAAAGAAGAAGAAATAGAAAAGAATATGGCATACCCAATTCGTAAAATACGCGACGGTCTTGAATGCTGGCCGGCCAGAATTCCAGGCATCGGCCGGAGACGCCAGCGGGGGAGGTGGAGGCATGGCAGCAGGAGGCACGCTTGCGCCTGCATAACCCCCACCGGTCATTTCACGAGAGGCACTGACTGCTGGCGCCGGGGCTGGAGCATTCTGAGCCGGTGGAGCGGCCTCGCTCTGGGGGATGTTGAGTTCCTGCCCCGGATGGATCAGATCCGGGTTGGTGACCTGCGGGTTGGCCGCTGTCAGGGCCTGCAGGGTGACGCCGTGGTCTGTGGCGATCTTCCACAGCGTGTCGCCGCTGGCGATGGTATAAGTAGACATCGTGGTTTTCTCAGGGAGGCGTTGAGCTGATTTTTGACTGAAGAGGAAGAAGGCAATAGTTGGTCAGTTCCATTGGGAATTGGTATAGGCAGCAGTCTGCCGCCATGTCCCGCCCCGGGCTAATGGCGGCTACCCACTTTTTTGTTATGCAGGGCAACTCAGGGTCAACGATATATTTAGATCAGTAGAGCGTGTATTTAGTCTCCAACTTTGACCTGATCATTTTGACCAGGCAGATGAATAAACTAATTCTAGACAGGCGATTGACTCCTAGAAAGAACTTATTAAAGCAAACATATACTTGTTATCACGGGGAATCATCACAAGTCAGACAGTTTGGCCGAGTGGTTAAGGCGCACGCCTGCTAAGCGTGTACTCTCGAGTGCGCAGGTTCGAATCCTGCAGCTGTCGTTTCTTTTTTTTCCTTTGCCTTCTTTTAGGCATCACCACCCTTGACGTGAAAATAATAGGGGCTCGTAAAGTTAGTTCCTGGAACTTGAAATGTTACTGAAATGCCAGCCCATGCCAAGAAGTTTTTTACAGTCCGTCCATCTTATCTATCTATACCGCCGATGCCCTATTCACTCACTCCTATATCCATCCATCACCTTACTCATTTTCATCTACCCTGAAGTCAGGACGAGAAGAACAGACCCAGCCAACTACAACTCCATCAGACGCCAGCGCTCGTGGAGAGCATTAAAATATTATTCTCTCCAGAGATTCATAACTTGACTTCATAGCTCAGTCAGGCTTGGTCATGCCGTCTGTCAAATCACACAGAAATCCGCCACCGGCATCCCACATGCATTATTAACATTACAAACTCAGGACCCAACTTTCTCTTCAGTGTGTCATAGTTAAACAGTTTGGTTTAGTCATGCAGAGCTATGGCTATATAAAGAGACTGCTGTACTTGGTTTCAGTCTTGTCGATTTGATGTATCCCCGTCGTTGATGCTTTACTCAACTGCTAAAGAAATCCCATTCCACATCATGCAGTAAGTTCTACCTCCTGCCTCCCAATCCCATTCTAACACCACCCCAGAGACCAAGCGTACTTCAACCTCGGCCTACACCGTCGCCCAGTGACCACCTCGTCCCAGGAAGCCCAGCTCTGGTGCGACCGCGGCCTAGTATGGGCGTACTCGTTCAACGTCGGAGAAGCCGAGCGTTGCTTCACACGAGCCCTCACCTACGACCCCAACTGCGCCATGGCCCTCTGGGGCATCGCCTACGCCGCCGGTCCCAACTACAACAAAGCCTGGCGATACTTCGACCCCGCGGATCTCCGCGCCTCGATCCAAAGAGCCTCCGACGCCATCGCCCACGCGGCCACGCTCCCTAACCACCTCACCACCCCCGTCGAACGCGCTCTCGTCTCAGCCATCGCTGCCCGCTTCCCGTCCCCGGATCGCATCCCCGACGACCTGGCCCCCTTTGATCGCGCGTACGCTGACGCCATGCGTCCTGTCTACGCTCAGTTCGGTACCGACCCGGACATCGCGGCGCTGTTCGCCGACGCACTCATGTGCATGACGCCCCGGGGGCTGTGGGATCTCGACACCGGCGAGCCGACAGGGCCACACACCGTCGAGGCGCGGACGGTGATTGAGAGGGGTCTAGCATCCGCGACGGGTCGCTCGCACCCAGCCCTCTGCCACCTGCACATCCACGTCATGGAGATGTCTCCGACCCCGGAACTGGCCCTCCCTGCGGCCGATCGTCTGCGGTATCTCGTCCCCGACGGATCGCACATGCTGCACATGCCGACGCACATCGACGCCGCGGTCGGCGACTACCGGCGCGCAATCGACTCGAACCACGAGGCGAGCGTCGCGGACGATAAGTACTTCGCCACCGAGACCGGGACCATCTCGTACATGGGGTACCGCGTGCATTATATCTGCGCGAAGCTGTATGCGGCGATGATGTGCGGCCGGTTTGCGGACGCGATGGCCGCGGCGGAGAAGTTGGAGGAGGTTATCACGGACGAGGTGCTGACGATTACGAGTCCCCCTGTGGCGGACGCCATTGAAAGTTTCCTGGGGAGTAAAGCGCATGTGCTGATCCGGTTTGGGCGGTGGGAGGAGATCCTGCGCCTCGAGGTCCCGGGTGATCGTGAGCTGAAGTGCGCTACCGCGGCGGTGGTTCTGTACGCCCGCGGCCTGGCGTATAGTGCGCTTGGGCGAATCGACGAGGCGGAAGCCACGCGGCGGGAATTCGAGGACGCGCGCTCTGCGGTCCCCGAGTCTCGGTTGAACAGTATCCCCTGTAAGCAGGTGGATGTGCTGGGGGTTTCGTCGGCCATGCTACACGGGGAGTTGGAGTACCGCAAGGGGAACTACGAGGTCGCGTTCGCGGCGTTGCGAGAGGCGATCCGGCGCGAAGACGCGCTGCCGTACTCGGATCCGCCGCCGTGGATGCAGCCGGTGCGTCACGCGCTGGGCGGGTTGCTGCTGGAGCAGGGCCGCGTGGAAGAGGCCGAGGTGCTGTTCCGGGAGGATCTGGGGTTCGCGAAGGGGTTTCCTCGGCGCAGAGCGAAGCTCAATAATGTGTGGGGTCTGCATGGATTGCATGAGTGCTTGACGCGTCTGGGGAAGACGGATGATTTGCTTTTTGTCGAGTCGGCGCATGCGATTGCGGTTGCGACGGCTGATGTTCCCATCGTTGCTTCGTGCTATTGTCGGTTGTCTGCGGTGGAGAGTGGGTGTTGCTCGGAGAAGTCTGGCTGTTGTCAATAGATGTGTCTGTTCTATACTATATGAGTGAGTTCGGGTGGAAAATATGGCCCTGATTTGAGTTAGGAGAAATAGAACACAGGGTCATTCAATCGTTTTAGACCCGTTTACTCGTTTATCAATTAACGATTGAAAGGCAAAAACAAAAAAGAATGCTCACACTCGGATTCGAACCGAGGATCTCATGATTACTAGTCATGCGCTTTACCAACTAAGCCATGCGAGCTGTTCTTGACAAAGGGCTTTGACTTTGACATCATAATCCAAATCACTGCTTGCTGCTTTGCGATGCCATCTTGGTGGACAATGACCGGGTCTAGTTCTCTCTTGTAAAGCGCGGAGGTGCATCTAATGCATCTACCTATTCAGACTTGGTTTCCTGCTAGTGAATCAATAAACTCGGACCCACTACATCTCAATGAATGGATAAGTTGTTGGTGAATTAGTGGTCAATAGTCTTCGGGTGAGGCTTTGCATATCATCAGTCTTTGTCGTTATATATCCTCTCGGTAGGTGTCTCCTATAGAAAATTCCTTCCTTTTACGCAGAACCACGATCACTCATCCACCACCTTCACACCCTCGCCATCCCGCACCACAACCTCCTTCCGCTTCAAAGACGCCTTCACCGGATTCGAAACCTTAAACACCTCCTCCAACTCCTCGATCGTGCGTCCCTTCGTCTCCGGCAGCGTCAGGAACATGAAAGCATATTCGAGAAAATGCAGTACCACTAATCAGAATTAGCCCTGTCTCCCAATCCAACAGCCCATCATCTACCCCCAAACCAACAGGGCAAGACTCACAGAAAATCGTATACATCCTCCACCCAATATTATCCATGCCCGTCGGGGTCGCATACATATTAATGAAATTGGCCGCCCCAGTCGCCACGTTCTGCACGGCCATGCCCTTGGCGCGGACACGATTCGGCAAGATCTCCGCCGGATAGAGAGACTGGAGCGGGGTCCAGCAGAACGCGAAGATGATGCCATACAAGAAGATGCAGGCGATGAAGCCGTAGCCCATGCTGGTAGTGATGTGCGCGGACTCGAACGAGGCGATCACGTTGATGGGGATGTAGATGAGGCCGGTGAGGAAGGTCCCGTACAGGAAGAGGGTGCGGCGGCCCCAGCGGTCGACGAAGAAGCTGCCGACGATGCCACTGATGAAGGAGAAGACGGTGTTGAGGGCGTTGAGGAGGAGTTGTTGGTGCGAGCCGGTGATGCCGGCGTTTTCGAGCATGACGGGCATGAAGTAGCTGGGTTGGTTGGTTAGAGAATGGGGAGGAGGATGGGGAGGAGGATGGGGAGGAGGATGGGGAGGAGGATGGGGGGGAAGGGTGGAACTCACGTAATGACGGAACCGCCGATGAACTGAGAGAAAATGCAAACGAGGAATAAGAGCCAGAGACGGTAGAGCATGTCTCGCGAGGTGAATAGGATTTTGTAGTCCCACCAGCGTCGGCCGCCGGTTTCGATCTCAAAGCGGATGTCTTGTTCGATCTCGTTGCATTCGTAATTGACAAGAGCCGAGTCGGGGTTTCCATTGCCGTGGTATTTCACCAGCATCTGGCGCCCTTTTTCGGGCTTGTTGTTGGCGAAGAGCCACCGGGGACTCTCGGGCAACATCCAGGCGACTACTAGAACGACGAGAGATGGAACGGCCTGGATGATGACAGGAATCCGCCAGGACCAGTCCGTGCCCATGAATCCCGTCCCGTAGGAGATCCACGTGCAAGCTATCGAGTCAGACAGTGCAACCACAACTGGTCAAAGATCACCTACCCAATGCCCCCGAATAGTAGCCGACCACATTGTACAGACCACCGAATATTCCTCTCCACTGCGGCAGAACCACCTCGACCAGATAGACCGGAGCGGCTGTATTGGTCAAGCTAATGCCCATCCCAATCAAAAACCGACCGCCGATAAACTGAGCGACCCCCGAGGCCGCTGCTTCGATGATTGTCCCCACGATAATCACAAGGGATCCGACCGACATGCCAAACCGCCGACCAAAGGTATCTGACGCAGGGGCGGCAAACACAGCGCCCACGAGGTTACCGATCGCATAGATGGAGAACAGAAGACCGGTGCCACTGCCCTGCATACGGGTTCCGAAATGGTCATGGAACGTGTCCATGGCGTTGATGGACGACATGAGGGTGCCATCGTAGCCATTCATACAGCAGTCTGTTTATGTCAATGATAGGAACCATCGGATGGAAAATCACTCACTCAGAGTTGTGATCGCAATCACCCCACACAGGCGGAGCATGGTCCATGACCAGGGCGAAGTAAGATCCTTGGATAGAGCATCGTTGAGTCCGACAGATAGCACCTGGGCTCGTTGAGCATCAGGGCTTGGATCGGAATCAACCGTGGTTTCCCGGTTCTCGACCGAGGGTTTTTCATCGTGCATTGATTGAGCGGCCATGGTCGTCTGCAGTCAATGGAAGTGATTACATTCCCCATGGGGTGCACCTGGTTTTATACTATGGAGCAACACAAGTAAGAAAGTATATGTCGATCGCAACCCCAGATTTCGCTTTTGACCAACCCTTTTCGTAACGGAAAGAGATCCGTGCTGCTCCCTGTTAAACCATCGAGAAACAAAAGAAACAAAAGAAACAACAGACATAGAACTGGAGAGCGACTAGCGGTTTTGGGCACGGGATCCTGCCCGTGGATTTCCCGTCCAGAGTTTAGTTCGCGTTGGCGCGCATTTAGGGTTGTGGCGTGCGTCTGGACGGCTTGCTTAGCTGCAGCGCATCAGACTATAACCGAAAACTACGCGTACTCCGGAGTCTTATGGGGTGATCGTTCACTGCATTGGCTTGCTAATCAACGCTCTCGACTAATCAGGATTTATCAACGCCTGTCTACAGCTGCTGGGCTAGTTTGTAAATGTTCGCCCTCCGGATTCTCGCCCCGGAGAGACGCAGCTGCTTGGGGAGCCAGTCTGTAACCTTCCCCGCCGGTCTTCCAGGCTGGGATTCGTGCTCAATCTTGTCTCGGCCCAAAAGCATCAGTCCCACTGCCGTACCCGAAAGCCATGCTGAAACCATGCCATCGCCCCCGAAGCCAGCCGTGATCCATTCATTGGGAGCGTCGCTCCTAGAATTCTCCGAGGATTTTCCTCTGCGGGACGATCGATGTGGGACTCTTCCCGTGAATCTGGGATGGACCCGTCCGACGAAAGGAAGAAGGTCAATGGTGAAACCCATGCATCCGGTCCATAGCTGAAGCACTCGAGTGTTCTCGTCCCGCATGGCCACAGACCATATTCCACTTAGATATGCGCTGATGATAGGACTGGCACCATTGTCTTTCCAGATTCCGATTTCATCAAGTCCCTTATCTGCGGACTGGAAGAGACCGCCCCCGAGCATGATTTCCCCTCCCGGACTGTGACAACCTGCTGATTCCTGCGGTCGCTGGGTGATATACTCGAACCCCTTTTTGTCGATGAAACTCCAGGACCGTGTGCCATCTAGATCCGACGAAGGGCCATCCGCCTCCTGAGCCGACATGTGCCCTCGCACAGGGAATATTTTACCTTTCAATCCCGGGATAAGATTCGCGGTGAATCCATCGGTGGCGTGCACAATATGTCGAGCACGAATCACACCGCGCGACGTCCTTAAATAATATGGAGTAGCTTCGTCATTTTCCATGTGAATATCTTGAACTTCCGTACTGGTTTCAATAGCGAACGAAGGCCCATATTTCGCTAGCAGGTGCGAATAAAGCGAGCTCACAAGTCGATAGGGCCACATGGCTCCAGCACGATACGTGATGGCACCATGGGCATGGCTACTCAGACCGAATTTCTGGACCTGCATGAGCACTTTCCCTCCTCGCCCATAAACATAAAACGCAGTAACTCACCCTCTTCGCATCATCAGCCTCCCATACCATAATATCCTGCGCCGCCTCCGGGAAATCCTGCCGAAGATCTCGAACCATCCCCAAGCCTTTCTCCCAGGCGCTCTTCTCCAGAAAAACATCGACCGTCTCAACCTCTCTAGCCTCAGCACCCTCGAGCCTCTCCGCCTCCACCAAGTCCAGCATGATCGGCAGATGTCGACGGTAGAACTTCAAGACCTCTCGAGCCTCCTTTGGCGACAACATCCCCTTAAGGTCGGAATACAGCATATAAGGCGAGCACTTCAAATGGCCGCCGTTTCGCCCCGTCGCACCACTACACGTCTCACGAGCTTCCAGGATGACCACCTTCTTCTTCGCCCCGAGCGCGTGGCATTCTGACAGGATCGTGTACGCCACGCTGGCGCCTGACAGGCCAGAACCGATGATCACGATATCCGCGGACTGCGGCAGCTGCTTGGATTTCATCTTGACTAGTTTTGGGAATGGGGGGTTGAGTTGCCAGAATGAGACTGTTGGATCGGCCACTGGGAACGCAGGCGTCGCGATCCGTCGAAGGAGCGCGTCCGACTCGGCCATGTTTTGGGATACCTCGGCCCAGAATACATTAAGGGCATCATAGCCGGCGCGAACAGACGATAGAACGCCACCCATTGTGTTTGAGTAAGAATGTGGTGTTAAGAATGGGTGGGGATGTAGATGGTTGTAGTAAGGATGCGGGTCTCGATTCCGGCAGCCTATTTGGCGGGCGCCAAGACTGTATACCCCGTGATGCAGGTCAAAACATCAGAATGGAAAGTGCTACCAGCGGCCCTGGCATATTATTGTGAATGAATGACATTGTAACGAGTTCAAAATTAACATTCATTAGTCATATCTGCCCGCAGAATCCTGGTATAGAAACAATCATAAAATCCCATGCCATCACTCGAATACTTGCCGATCGTCGCAAAATCATTAACACATGCCCTTTACTCCTTCCTAAGCATAAATCGCTCTCTAGGCTCTAGCGAGTTGGGATAAAGTCCTGCGAGTCGTCTTGTTGTTGACTGAAGGACTGGTGGAATGCGGCAATTCCGGCGATGATCCCGATGGCCATGAACATGAGCGAAATCAGAGACCAAATAACACCCCAGCAGCGAGACGATCCACCGTATCTCTGAGCGAACTGGCTAGCATCCGAAGTATTCACTTTGCGAAGGATGAGATCGTCGCACTTCGAAAGTTAGTTGATGCGGACGATGCAAGACGGGTTGCACTTACGATATCCCAGACACTGTACAGGGCAGACATAACACCAATAAAAAGCTGAGAAAGGTGTTAGCTCGCCATAAACTACTCGGGAGGTCAGCAAGAACATACCACCACCCATCGCAGTGCCTCGCCATGCGCAATAAACCAGCATGCCACGAGCAGCCCGACCGCGAGAAGAACAGTGATGATGGTGAGCCAATCACGTCGAGCCCACCAGAGCGTGAGCAAGAAGCAGACGCCAAGGACAATACTGGCAACTTTGCTCGCGACGATATTAAAACCCGCGAAAATCAGCAGAGCCCCGATGATCGAGGATCCCAGATACCCAGCCGGGAGAGTGACGGCGCTGATGCCGCCCTGCATGTGCGTGACTCCGCCCTCATGGGGATCCAGGGAGATGGACTTGACGCGGCCCCCTGTGCAACATGCGGTGATGGCATGGCCGAACTCATGGAACGCAATGACCAGCATCTGTGGATAATTAGCCGACGCTCTTATCTGTAGCATTCCCAGTGCTTCAACTTACCTTGAACGGCCATAGCGACCACCGAACATAGGGCAGGTTCCATAGCAGCGCAATCACCACCACGTAGGCGGCCATTACCCCTAGCGTTACCGCCTGGGTGTGGTTGACGGACAGATCGCGCTTGGCGACGTGGGTGTCTGCTGCCTCTAGTGCTCGTTTGGCCAGCGACTCGTAGTAAGGCGCCATGGTGATATCCGTAGTTGATTCTGCAGAGACCGATCGGACGACAGGGCTGAGATCGAGGGATGGAGTTTTATTTATGTGTGGCTCACATGAGTTGATGCCTACGCGTTCCGCCAGACAATACTTGCCCGAAAGGGACTAGCGGATTGTTGCCAAGGGATATTTTTAGGCGTTCAGTACGTGGCTGGAGGCTAAGCCCCCGCGCGCCAATCACGCTGTTGCCCCGCCACAGCCCTACATGCCTGGGGTGTCATCTTCATGAAAAATGTGAGATCATATGTACATTTGATGTGGTGTTGGGATTGATCTGGGTTTCTCGCTTCCAGGGTTAGATATCTATAAATTATCTCAATCAATTTTTGGAATCTTCTCGACTAAGATAAGATGTAGAGATCCTAACGACTCATGTATTCCACGCACCGCACTGACAAAGAGAAAGTATAAAAAACAAAGGGAAGAAAAAGAGAAAACTCCCAACTTAAGCATGGTAAAACGAAAATGAGCCGGAACGAAATCTTGAGAAACGCTTGTTTTCGGTTACAATTTGCCAAAGTAGAGTTTACCTCGTGTCGAAGAGCTGTCTACACTCTACAGCATGGCTGATAGTCATCACAGATTGCTTAGACCAGGTGCTTTATAGTTTGTATCATCCTTGTTGCTAGTGATTGATCTGGCAAGATATATAATAAAATAAGATAGAAGAGAATCACAAAAGAAATGACAGGGACTGGGTATAGAAGTCATGAGAGCACTCGGCAAAAACCAAAACTCGGCGCTCAATGAAAGAAAAGAGAAAGAACGATACAACGAGGACAACACTCGCTGGAATCCGCAAGTCATCCATGACATCAAATATCGCACACGTTCATCATCAGAATCCAAGACAAATTCTCCAGGCCCGTCCTATGTATAGTAAAAGCCTGACGACCAATACTCCAACGCTGATTCATGCAGTCATCAAATCAAACACAAGTAAAGAACAAAAGAAAATAGAAGAAAATATGAAGAGGGTAGTAGATAAAGTTGAGACTCATTCACCCCTCGATGTCTTCTTTCCTCGCACGATCCCCCCTCCACACCACCCACCCAAGCGTAATCGCCAACTTCAACCCCATCGCTAGCCACAAACTCGCCGACATCTCGGTCACCTTAGACAAGCCACCCGCCGTCATGGCACCCAGGAACAGAGCCAAGAAGGCGCCGACCCGGCGGTTCCGCTTCGGGTTGGACCGCCAGCCACGGGAGGTGAGCTTCGGGTCGACGAGCAGATCACACAGCAGCGTCGTGAGCACGACGGTGGGGATCTCGTCGAAGGCGAGGATGCGGGAGGCGCAGATCTGGCCGCCCGCTTGGAAGGCGAGCAGCGAGATGGGCAGCACCTGCATCCATTCGATCGGGGAGCGAGGGTCTTCGGGCTTGGGGCTGACCACTTTGAGCTGGACGAGGATGGCGGCGGCGAGGATGCAGGCTGTTTGCACGCCGAAGGAGAGGATCAAGGTCGAGCGCCGGCGCGGGTTGATTAGCCGCGAGACGTGGATGAAGATGATGTTGCTGGCGATGAAGGTCGTCAGGGCGATGAGTGATTTGGCCCACAGGTAGGCTGGGTATGCGGGCTGCCCGGAGGCGCCGAGGGCAATGAAGACGGTGTTTCCTGCGTCGGGGATTAGTATGTTGAGGGGCTCGGTGTGGACGGAGAGATGAATACCTGTCTGCATGCTGGCGAAACTGCCCCATGCGTTGAAAGACAATCCGTCGACCAGGCCACTGACAAAGCCGCAGATGACCAGAATCACATCGGTATGTGCGGGATCAATCTCAGTGCGGAAGTGTCGGGAGAAGGTCGAAAGCAAGGTGGTATCATCATAGTAGATGCCTTGGTTGCCGGAGAGGGAAACGGTTGTGCTGCCTCCTACCGAATAGAAGCCGGTCGGGTCTTTCGATCCATCGTCCACACGGGACAGAGACGGATTGTGACCGGCCGGCATGTCCCAGTCGATGATCTGGTTACTGGGAGGCGCAGCCGGCTGTATGTCTTCGGAGGGAGTGGGAGGATGCCGCATGGTTTGCTTGAAGATGCACGTAAGATCGGATACTATGTTGCGAAGTATAGAGGTCCAATTGGGCCTTTGGATTCAAGAGACAGGATTCGTCTGAATGCTTGGGCAAGAGGGAAGATCTGCTCTGCTCGAGGACAGGGCTGCAGGTTTATATCACCGACCCAAACCATCCTCTCCACACCAAGGAACGATAGAAAGACATGCCAAGACGAATCCTGTCGCCATCAGCCCAACTATCACACCCGCGGCATGACGGGTCCTCCGTGGATGCGGTTCCTTATCAGGAGCATCCATGACGAACTCGTGCCTGGCGTTACACCGCCGGAAGATGCGTTTCAAATCCGTCCATGGCGAAATTGATATGCAGACGGGCACATGTCGACTAGGCGAAATGTTACGGTGAATGCAGGCATACCGACACCAGAAAGAAAAAGAAAAAACGGGAAAGAAAAGCAGATCGACACCGAACGAGGCAGTCGGGTACCCCTATTTCCGACGGTTCTGACGCATTCACCTCTCACATCTACCCGACTTTGGATTCATCGCAGAGATGCATCTTGGCAGCCGCTTGGCAGCGCCCATCGCAGCGTCACGGCGGCATGCGGTTTTCGTCGCCGGGATTCCCGCCCTCGGGTCCCGTAGGGGCAAGATCTCTCGATTCCAATCAGATCGAGGAGAACACGGAGGCTGACGATTCGGTATCACTATCTTGTCCGTCGATCCGTGGGGGAGAATGCCAAGCTTGTCTCTCAGGCATCCTCATTTCCGCGCTCTGGGGTTGGAGGTTTGGGATGTGCAATTGGGGAAATGGGGGGATTGCTGACCGATGGGAGTTCTTGGGACCTCGTCTTGGCGTGATGACGATTCCAGTTCGGTCGAGATCCTGAGATGAAGGCACCATGGAGGCATTGCTGGCGTCCGGAGCGGCTCCGTGGTGGAGTCTGGAGAGAGAAGATCCCTGGGGTGAAGCTGATCAACTCTGTTTGTCCCAGAACTCGGGACTTGAAACATCGTGGCGGACTTTCCGGCCAATCGCCCGTTGCTGGTGGTACAGTATCGGTCATGCAAAGCATTTAGGGTGAGTGCGTTGAAGATTCGTTTGCGTTTGCCCGAGATTCCGTTGTAGATTTTCGTCGATGTAGATAGATCCCATTCCCATGACATTTGGACTCGTCGTGGACGTTGGCCAGAAGCCAAGAGGATCGGCGCCAGGCAGGAGCCGAACCTCTAGGTTCTAACTAGTTATTAACTGCCTCCGTACTATTACGGAGTAGTGCCTTCACATCTGCCGGTAGAAGGAGTGGCCAAGGCATGATCGCCAGCGACTACGATGGTTCCTCCCTGGCACACAGTGGATGCCGATAACACAGCCTCAAGCTTGCCATGTGCCGTCACTCGTCGGTCTTTTATTGATTTTTGTTTTATTTCATTTATTTTATTGATCTATTTTTCTTCTCGTTTGCATTTCTTTTTCTTTGGATCCGCTCAGCCACGCTGGCCAGAATTCGAACTGCAGGGCTTGGCACCTCCTGGACGCGAAAAAAGAAAACGAGGTGTCATTTGAAGAGTTTTTTCGGCGGACCAGTGATAGCAGCGTTGGCGACCACGGTGGCTCTCGACAGCTTCACGGGTCTCGGAAAGACCGTCTAGATCGCGGAGTCCATCCCTGGTGGCTGTTGACGTAGAAAGAAGCACCACGGCCGCGTTTGTCGGGCTCTGTCCATGGGCTCCACCGCGATGGCGAGACGAGATAAGAGCCGCTTTTGCGCAGCAGGATGGCAAATCGTAATGACTGGGATATAATCATGGCTGATAAGGGACTGGACTGGACGCCTGCCAAGCAGATGGTACAGATCCCCACGCCAAAACATGACCAAACCGTGGTCCTCTTATCGCATTTTCGGCCTTCCAGTCACTCCAGTCAACTGTCTAGACCAAATCAAGGCTCCAGGACCCTCCTCGGCCAGGATCTTTGCGTCTGGTTGGTCTCTCTGCCGTTAGACTTCCATCCTGTCAGTAGGCAGTTACAGACTGGCTTGGCGAGAACCGTCCATGGAAACCGGTCCTGAAGCACACTCCAAGCCATTATCCCTGAAGGATTGCACTGAAGACAATCCTCTGCCCGTCCCCGCGGCACATCATTGGGCACACACACCGATCTGACTTCTCAACTCGCCCAAGATAGTAATGGGATATCAGATCCGCCACTCCCGTCCACGGATCCTGGTTGATGCTTGCTGCTGTGCGTCGCGCAGAGACGCTCTTCTCGCTAGTAACAGATCCCCGTCCACGCGTCTAGAGCATCCCGTCCGCCGTGCTGAATACTCTTTCCAGTTTCCAGGTCTAGGCAGTGGGGCATGGCGAACATGTTCCCCCCTTCCACTTGACTTGCGCGGGACAAAACGCCGGTTTCGGTGGATCACTTGGCAGCCCGAGTTTGCCTATTGGGCCTTGGAATCTGCGGATTGACTGAAGTAATCCCGGTTTGAAGGAATGTTGGTGTCATCCCGCACGTAAAGTCTTGGTATGATGCTGCGCATTCCGCTCATACCCGATATGGCTTTGTTTCAAACATCGTGGAATCCATTATTTGGAAGACTATTGTTGCGGAATCAAGGTTGATGCTTGTCCCGCGAGGAAAGCGCCCTTTGCTGCGCCAATGAACGATAAAGAGATTGTTCGCTGCCAGGAAACAAGAGGTCACGTTATATGAGCATTGGCTGCCGATGCCATCGCGCAACTCTTGTGTTTGATGGCCATTGGAGGCTAGAATACTTGGCGAAAACCATGGGAGCAATCGTTGAGCTTCGCTGGCGACGGTCTATCGTCTTGATGTATTTCAGACGGACCCGGGTTCGTTCTGGCACTTCTTGTCCTAGGCTACCTCGATTGTTTCGTTAGCTGCATGAAATGCCATTGGGCTGATATGTGATTGAGAAGATGGATCTTATTATAGAGTCTAGGCCATCTTGCGATGCAACGTGTCTTCCTTGATTTGAATGTTCCTCTGACAGGAATACGGAGTATAATGGGGGAAGTAGACCTGTTGACAAGGTTGCTGCAGACAGCAGTCTACTTTTAGTATCATCCAGGCATATAACATTGCAGGTGCACTCAGCAACGCGACCATGCAAGCGACAACTGCCAGGGTTTACCCTAAAGGAAGCGAGTATAGCACTTGACAACGCACAAGACCTCTCGCACATACATCATTATGTTTTCTTTTACTATCACAGAGCAGAACTGTTTCTTTGTTCCTATTTGCTGGATGTGACCCCGATTAATTCACAATATACGAATCTCCAGCTTGTCCTAGCAATCACATTACTGTCCTGTATTCACGAGGCATTCAACGGTGGACCAAACGTCTAGTTCCCCTCGGAGTGTACTATTTATAAGTTGTTTCTTTCATGTTGGCCAGAGATTGGGTGGCGTTTGTTTACCTGCCCCGCCCCCGCCTCGCCTGTATAGATGTGCCCATTTAGAAGTCATCTCACTCCCCCGTCACTTCAGTTATACTAATCCAGTCTATACAACTCATATACCATGTGCCTTTAGCTCTTACAAACATGATAGTATATCAGGATCATTCTATCACCCTCAGTAAATGGCCCAGCCACATCAAAGATACCCAAAGAGCGAAAGTAACGGTGAATATCGATGCCCATGATGACGTATCTCGCCCATACTATGATCTGAAATTCACGGAGCAGAAGTCTTGTAGTGACGGAAACGCAACTTTTGGCACAGACATTATCTGTCTCTCGCACATCTCCTTTCTTTCTCTCTCTTCCTTCAACCCCCATCCTTTTCCCTTCTCCCTTTCTTAACAAAACGTTGTATCCCCTTCAGGTGGAAAGCACACATAAAGACCTCATCCACTCCCAGCTTCTGGGTTTCTACTCAACCATTATGAGTGAACCTGAAGTGGGTGGCGCATATGGCAGAGACTTCCCCCTTGGCAGCCTCATGCACCAGAAGATCGGACAAGACATCGAGTGGGGTTTCTTCAGATATCTCTTCACTGGCATCCTCTGGGAGAAGCCCGACAACGGCTATGGCGAGCGCCAGGGCCTTATGAAAGCGCGCGACATCCTCCTCGGGAAAAATGTCTTTATCAACATTAGACTCCTGTGAGAGAACCTTGACATGGCTGATGCATTCGCGTGATAGAACTAACTCTCAGATGCAGCAAGAACTCTACCGTTGACCCTGAAGATGAGAAGGCTGTCCTTGAGAGAGAAGCTCTGATGGACCGTGCCAGCGATGCTTTCGATTACGAGGTGAACACCTTCAGAGAGCTGGTTGATACTGGCCGTACCCCTGTTGTCATCACCTCTGCAAAGATCAAACAGGATAAGTACTGGGAGAACCCCGAGGGATACCTGCATCTGTATGTGATGGAGGAGTATCCCCTGATGGGCCTCGATGATGCATTCGACTTCCTGACCGAGGCCGAAATCCCTGGTCTTGAGAATGAGCTCTATTCATTGATTGGGTATGTATCCTTTCCGGCTTGTGACGGCTTCATCCTGCTAAGCGATGTTTGATCAGTATTTTTTTCAAGTACAGACTTGCGTACTACGCAGTGGATTATGAATACAAGTATGATGCGGTGCGCAGGACTTTGTAAGTGGACCATGTCGACTTATACCCTGCTGAGATGTGAGGCACTGAGACCCTCTTCATAGACATGCCGTCGACATTCAGAACTTCCATACAATCCAGAACTTCGAAGACCTCAAGGCGGCGGAAAGTTTCTTCGGAGGAATTGTTCGGCACCTTCGTCGTGCGATTGGAATCAGAGCAATTCGTGCCCAGGAGGCCCGCACTCGGATGATCGCTTCCAACAGCATGTTCGAAGGCACCGTGGAGCACTGGGAGGACATCCGAGACGAATACCCTATCCCTATGGCTGGATTCAACACTGGCCAGCAGCCTATCTACCCCCAGCCTTGAACTCGGTCAGCTTGATTTTCAAATGGTTTCTTCGCATACTAGAGATTCTCGAACGGATGCGGGTGAGGACTGACTCGACTGTGAGCTGTAGATACTACGGCACTGTGTTGAGCAATGGGTGATGATGTGAAATCGGCAACTGTGGAAGCTTGAAACAACCTGTATTTCTTAGCATTCTGTCCCTAGTGGAATTCAAGACTTCCTTTCATCGGAATATTCCGAGGTTGGGGCCATCCTGCCTTCGTAGTTGCACAGCTCTTTTGTACCTGCTCTAGTTTCTCCGCTAACTCCGGCCAACCACCTCATCTCCACATTCTTCAACTTCCATCACAACAACCCATGCAGATTTCTCACCTTTCGCCAATCCATCCACGTGGCACACCCTAATCAAAAATGACAGCTTCCACCCGGCGACTAGTCTAGAAGTATTGCAATTAAATCTGCCCCAGATGGCAGATCTCTCCGGTCGCGCGACGCCTCGGCAAGGCCCGACGGACATCGAGAATCCGTCTAAAACGCCCTCCTGCGTTGCGTGCGCAACCAGAAAGGTCAAATGCGATCGCAACTATCCCTGCTCGACCTGCGTTAAACGCGGTTCTGAGTGTGTTTACCGGGCTCATCTCCCTTCGCGTCGTCGCAAACGGCCGCCCTCCGGCAGTGCGCATGACTTTGCTCGCCCGAGTCCCGCGTCGCGTCCTGCAGGGCCCGTGGTATCCCCCGTGCCTGTGCAAGATAGGACTTCGGCGATTTCGCGGGCTGAGCCCGGGGTGTTGATTGCAGGGGGCGGCAGGTCCGTCTACATGGATAAGTGAGCTCGCCCTTTAATCGTGCAGCATCGAGAATTGGACATAAATCGCTAACCGGGAGATAGTAATGTTTGGACGAGTGTTCGAAATGAGGTTTGATTGACCCTACTGCTTGGCTTCTATAAGAGTATTCTGACCATCCGAAGCTCCCCAGAGCAGAAGAAATGTCGGAGAATGACTCCATGTCCTCTTTCGAAGACGTACATGACGAAGTCTCCATGCTGTTGGACCCATCCCAGAAAAAAAGTCTAACCTCACTACATCCGAGCCCATTGCACATATTCAAGCTCTGGCAGACTTTCCTCCAGAATGTGAATCCGCTCATCAAACTTTTGCATACCCAGACCGCTCAGCAGCAGATACTCGAGGCCACTAGCGATTTGGCCGGGATATCAAAGGAGTTTGAGGCATTGATGTTCTGCATCTATTGTCTCGCTGTGGTATCCTTGAGCGACAAAGAAGTTCAAGATTCTTTTGGAGAGGAGAAAACAGTCCTCCTTGCGCGATACCGACGGGGTGCTCAGCTTGCGCTGGCGAAAGCAGGGGTCCTACGGACTTCGAGCATAGTGGTGCTGCAAGCTTTTCTACTATTTCTGGTATGTCTCACCTAGCGTTCCGGCGACACTATGCTCACATAGACAAAGCTTTCCATGCGTGCCTTTTCCGACTCCGACTCTGTCTGGTCTCTGTGTGGTGTGGCAGTGCGAATGGCCCAGCGGATCGGTCTCCACCGGGACGGCTCCCAACACGGTCTATCCGTATTCGACACCGAGATGCGACGTCGTTTGTGGCTCCAGCTAATAATCTTGGATGCTACCACTGCCCAGAGTTCCGGTATCACGTCGCAAACCTCTCTGATGAGGGCTGACGTGCGACGCCCCTCCAATGTGAACGACAGCGACCTGGACCCTCGCATGACGGAGAGCCCTCGCGAGCACGACGGCGCTACCGAGATGATATTCTGCCTGGTGCGGAATGAATTCGGAGAATGGCTGGAGCGCTGGTCCAAGGTGAACGTGTTTTCCAATGGGATTTGGGGGTTTCTGAGCTCGCCTTCGCTTTCGCTCGCGACAAAGGACGAAGCGATCAATGAGCTCAGCGGCGCGCTGGAGTCCAAATTTCTCCAGGATTGCGATAGGTCCATACCGTTGCATCTTATTACATCTATTGTGATCCAAACCATCATTTGCCACATGAGACTCGCGGCACATCATCCTCGTCAGTATAGCAGCGGAGAGAGCATCGACCAGAAGGAGCGAGACTACATGTTTTCCATCTGCCTGCAGATGGTGGAGAATTCTGTCGCGGCGCAAACAAGTACCGTCATTCAGCGATACGCATGGCATGTAGAAAACCATGTTCCGTGGGATGCCTGTATACACATGCTATACGAACTGGGACATCGCGTAAACGACCAGGAAACCGGAAGAGCCTGGCGCCTCCTCGACGAGATATACCGCCACCACTACTGGCAGATGAAGAACCGACCGAAAAATCCGCTCTATATTGCAATGCGAAGACTCCTTGTGAAGGCTTGGAATGCAAATACCGAGGAGCGCGCTCGCCAGAACAAGCCATTGTTACCCCGTCCGTGGATTATCTCGACGCTGTCTGTAGGGACGAAGGCACAAGAAGCAGCTCATGAATCAGGGATCGCGACTTCTCAGTCAACCACTGCCGCACCAGAAGTGGTTCAGGGGAGCCAACCAGCCCCCGAAGTGCCATTGGAGGTGCCATTGGATGTCAGTCAGGAGGTTGACTTCGGGGGCGACATGGACGATCTTGAACTCAGCCCAATGAATTGGGAAGAGTGGGACGATCTGCTGCGGCAGTTTACCAATAGCGAGGCTTTGGGGTAGGGAAAAACGAAATCCCAGATCAACTGGACACATCAAAATTGTGCCTGTTCCAGACTTTCTGCGCCGTATGGAGTAACTGCTGCCTCCAGCTGTGGGCCGGCGGGCTGTCAGAGCCAAGCAACTCCTTTCATGAAAACCTGCAAGCGTTCAATAGCACGGCGTCTTTATAGATCGGGATGTGTCCAGCGTCGCCCCTATCGACGTCATTCGTGGAACAGGGCCGGTTTCTTGATTCTTCTCCGCATTATCAAGAATCCAGATGGGCAATTTAATTTCGAGGATTGACATGCGATGATGTCCGCCGTTCCTGGGCGAGGCCTCAGCCTTAAGCTCCATCGCACGCGACTCCATCGTTGGGCCGATTCCCACGGTCAGGCTGTTTCAGTCTGATTAGCCAATCCACAATTGCGCCCCAAAGGGCTGTGATTCGGTCTGACGGCTCCAGGATTTGGTTCTATTCTCGTTTTCTCGTATCACGCACCATCTTCCGCAGAACCAACGAATTTCCCAGCCCTCAGCCTTAAGGCAACCAACCAAAGTCTTCCTCAGCCACCGTCCGATTTATATAAACTCTCGCTGTTAAGGCCGCCGGCGTTCGTTCTTTATGGCTCGCCTGCCTCCTTTTAAGTCTGTCAGCAATCGCCATGTCGGCGAGACATTCAAACCATGAGTCCTCCCGTCGTTCATCGCTTCCGCCATATTATTCATAGAGCCCGAAGTTCGGTTTCGCGCCAGCGAAAGCCAACAATGTACGTTTCCCCGTCAATCTCATTCTCTCATTCTTTTTTTTTTTTTTTTTTTTTTTCCTCGCTGCTAACGCTCCTCAGAACCTCTCCCCAGCGCAATGATCCCCTCTGGAAACGACTGCCGACCAGCGTTCTGGTCCAGATCCTCGCGGAATGCGATCTCTTCGACATCTACTCGCTCATCCTGACCTGTCGCCTGCTCCATCGGCGCATCTATCGCAATGAATCCGCCATCGCCCAGGAATATCTGCGTCGTCGCAGACGCCAACTCCAGTTCTCCGAGGACCTGGAATACGACGAATTGATCGATTCGCCCGGCGACGATCTCTCCTTCATCTCGGTCCTCTTCCCTCCTCCGCCACCGCAATACTCCGGCATCGACAACGGCATGCGAGACGATCTCCCCGAGTACACTCTCGGATACCTCGCGGACCTCACGCGGTGCTGGACAACTTGCATCCGACTCTCCTACTACCTCGCCGAGTACGTCGTTCGCCATCATCTACAGACCGACGCGCTCGCTCAACCGCTCTGGTCCTCCTCTAAAACCCAGAAGGAAGTGGTCTACAGTCGGGCGGTCGGACTTCTCCAAGCCCGTCTCCTTTACCCCATGTACGTCATCAATCAACTCCAAACCCCCTAACCCCAAACTAATAATGTCGAATACAGGGCCTACCTGGTCTTCTTCCTCGAAACCAACGCCACAGCCCTCGACTCCAACCAGCCCCTCTCGCAACAATCCATCCTCCAAGCTCCCCCCTTCACTAACACTTCCATCCTCCTCTCCACCCACCACTGCATGCACCTCCTCTGCACCTCCGTCCAGCGCCTCATGGCCCCCGAAATCCCCCACACCTCCACAGAGAATTGGCTCGGCCTGCTCCTCACCACCTCCACGCTCGAGCGCCTCATGGACTTCTTCGTCGCCGCCGCGGCCGACTCCTCCCCCTCCGCCATCGCCACCACCACCACCCCTGCAAAACGAAAGCCCTCCTCCTCGTCCCTCTCCACACGCTCCAGCCCCTCGTCCTCCCCGCCCTTGTCCTCTCTCTCCTCGTCCTCGTCCACCTGGACCCGTCGGCGCGAGTTCATGTGGAAGATGCGGGCCGATCTAGGCGAGTTTCTAGCCCTGGCGGGGACGCGGGGCGCGCGGTTTAGCTTTGCCTGTGGCGGTTCAGGTTCTGGGAATGGGGATTACCCGTTGCCGAGTCTCGGGGGGATATGGTTCGAGGCGGCGCAGAGGGAGATTTGTCGGCGCGGTGCGATTCCACATTTCTGTGATGAGGTGCCGGTGTTGCATGGCTCGGCGGTCGTTTTGGGGTGTGAGTTTTGTGATGATGGCTCGTTTTTGTGATTTTCTCCCTTCTCCATTTCAAGTGGAGATGGGTGATGGATGGTTGTTTGATTTGGGTCGTTATGGTTCGATCTATTTACGTATATATACCCTATGCTAGCTAGCTATTTACTGTGTTTATTTGTATTTTAAGCGGAGGCAACCTGTAAAATTGAAGAGGATAAGAAAAACGAGTAATCTATAAAAGAAGCGAAAAAAGAAATCACATATTTACTTCACAATCCTTACCCAGGAATAAGGTACCGTAACAACTAAACTGAACATGAGAAGGCAGAAAAGAAACTCTAGCCACGCCAAAAGCATAAAAGTGAGAACGACAGGCAATGCTGTAAGCGTGGTATGCATGATTCATCAAGCACAGCGTGACGAATGCGTGCCAATATTAATACATCATTAGGGGTAGCAAAAAGAAGAAGAAAGGGTGTTTCTATCCAGAGATCAACACCCAGAGAAGGAAGAAAATCTGGTTCGAGTCAGTTATCGGTGCTTATAGTAATGATTGGGGGATCATGGAGACATACCATCAAAACTCCAAACATTTTGGCAACCAACCACCGGTTGCCCGATACTCGCACCCAGTATTTCATTAACTCACGCTGCGCTCCCTGCACGTTGTCGACCACATCTTCGGTGTTGGCGTCTATCCGCTGGATCATCTCCGATTGCTCGCTGACCATCTGCGCCAATTGACCGAAGATCCCACCGAGTTCGTTGATGGTGCGTTCGATGGCATCGATTGCTTCCCCTCGCGCCTGGATGTACGAGTTACTCGACTGCGCCTCCTCCATCACCAGCAGCTGCTGGTCCGAGTGCATGGACGGACGACCCAGCGGCGACGGGTTCGACGGCTCCAGGGTCAAGAGATCAGACGCGCCGCCCGGCTGCGGCGTTCGTCGTCCCGAGGGGTTGTACAGCGGAGAATCCGACCGCTGCGTGTCCAGTGCGGACTGCGACTTCGAGGACACGGAGGAGACGAAGTTCTCGGTTCGCGAGCGCGACGCTTGGATGTTCTTGGTGCGGACCTCCAGCACTTCTTTGAAGTTGGCGCCTACATCGGCCAGCTTGCCCTGCAGCATCACCACGACCTGTTACCGAACATGTTAGCCACCTGCGTTGACCGGGTCCTTCTGCTCAGCCCACATACGTTATCATTGTGTTCTCCCTCCTGGTCCGCCTTCGACCGACCAGCCTTGGGATGTTGCGCGAGCGTAAGCGCCTGCAGTCCCGCGATATGCTGGTTCAGCGCTGCCAGGTCTTGTTTAATCACGTAGGTCAATTCCGAAATCTCGACGGGCTTGTCGTCGAAGAGGGTCTTTCGCTTCGCCACTGCACGGGAAATACGTTAGCTGCCAGCCCGATAGATAACGACATCAGTCTATCGACTCACGCTCTGCCAGTCTCTGCAATTTCGCCGTAGTCGCCGTAATCCCGCGCCCGATTTCAGCGGCCTTCCTGGCGAACTCCGACCGCGATCGCTTGCCGCCCGGGGCATTTCCGTCCTCGTACCCGTTGGCTTGTCGTCGCTGGGTCTCCGACAGCAGGTTCTGTCGCTGCGATCCCACCTTCGACGACGCCATGCGTTTCTGGGCCTGGCCCAGAATGGCGTGGAACTCGCCCGTGCGATCTTGGATGGACGGGCCGGTCATTGTGTTTGCTCAGCACGGTCGCAAAAAGGATGTGGAGGAATGTTGGTTCGTAGTCGGTGACCAATATGGGCGGCCAATCAACGAGACAGACAGCGTGCCAGGTATTCAATAGTTATGCGGTTATGCTCCGTCTGGGGATCGATCTAATCGATAAGGAGGCAAAGCAGCTGCGACGTGTCCGGTTGTCGAGGGGCGAACAGAATCGAGAGCACAAGGAAGAGAGGAGAGGGTGAACGAGTGGCGCCAAGGTCAGTGGGATGGGAGAAATTAGAACGATGAGATCAACAGCGGCATGTCATATCAGAGAAAAGAGCAAAAAGGCTGGAAACGTAATGGTCGGACGACTCTCTGTCCGGGGGAATTCGCTGCCCGCCGAAACAGGCAGACAGGCCGGCCCACGTGACAGACCCGCCACCGCCCCAGCCACAGCCTCCAGGCAGTCGCAATACTTTCAGGGGAGGAACTCTATTGCTCTTATTCAAGGAACTGCTCCTGGTTCATTGACTTCTGCGCAAGACTCCCTCCAGCGTCCTCCGAGCAGGGTTTTCTCCCAATCACACCCCCGACACGTCACGACCCCCGGCCCTTTGCCGTGGCTGAGCCGGTGCTGTTCTTCCACCGCGCCCTGTCCACCCACGTCATCTCTGTGAAACACTGCTGATTCCCTCCTGCGCGCGCCATTACGACGCTCGACTTGTTCGGAATCTCTCTCCTCTGGAGCAATTAATCCTCCCTTGTCATTCTTTCTCTACATCTCCTCTTGGCAGTTTCATATGCCGATCCGTATCTGACACCTCCGTTCCTGTTGATGATCCCACGCTCTTCCCACCCAGTCCGTTGCACCCATGGCTCGCCCATTCAACCCCTATGAGCCCGAGCTCAACAAGCTGTACGTATAACACCCACACTCCATGGGAACTCCCTCAGAACCTCCCCCGCTGATAAACCCGTTAGCTCGAATACTAGCAGCCCGATGTCGCCCTATCCACGTGGCGACAGCGAAACCCCCCTTTCCTTCAAGACCAATGTCAATCGATCAAAGACCAAGCGTTGGGTAGAAGCCAAGAAGTACTCCTACGATGGCAACGACTGGGGCGACGATGAATACGGCGAGTATGACGACGACGAGGACGAGATTCCCCCGCTTCCGCAGTCGACGCATATGAACCAGAGCACCCCGGATATCTCAGGGGGTCTTTCCAGAGACCGCGACCGCACGCAGCATTCGCTACCTTCGATGGACCGATCACGGTCGATGGACCAAGTCGCAACGCTAGGTGTTGACGAGGCCGGCGACAGCAGCCGCAGTCGCTCGGCCGATCGGACTGTCCCGATTGTTCGCCCCGCCGAGATCTATAACCGCATTCGAGGAAACACGGCTGGACGAGCACAGGCTCCGGAGTCTGGTCTGGCGACCGGCGATTCAGCCGGTGTGGGTCCGTCGCAGACAGATTCCGTGCCACAGGGCTCTCTGCCAGGAATAGATACTTATGGCGATCACCAGGCCCACCAGTCGTTGGATCCAGGAACGCAATCAGGCAATGACACCCCTGTCGGTGGTCTACCAGATGTCCAACACTCTAGCTTTGGTACGACATTTATGGGTGATTCTGACCCCAGGGCCCCGACGGACGGTACGAGCCAACCCCAACAAGAACACCAGCTGCATCACAACCCGTCTCTTGGGTTCCGGTCTGTCGTGCATCAGGCATTCGATGTCCCAGAGACACCGACCACCACTATTGAGAGTGTTGGGAGGTCAAACAGTGATAGCACGTCGGTGATCAGCCCGATTATCGGTCAGCGTACTATGAGTGACAATAGGACGCCAACCATCAACGAAGAGCCCGAAAATACAACACCACCCAGGGGGTTCAAACCTGGCCACCGCCGAGACTTGAGCATCCCCAGTCCTGGCAACAGCCCATCCAGGAAGCCCGCGATCACCAACAACGACGCAACTCCACCATCCGCCCTGGCCGAAATGTCCCACAACATCCACGAGGCGCTTCGGTCCCCTTCGCCAACCTCGCCAGAGCAGACTCGGGACGAGCAAGGAATGCCGGCGCCGCTCAAGCTCAGCAACAGCTCGACCCCGGTTCCCAGTGAGGCCGCTGCTATCCCGGTCATCGTGCCGTCCATGAGCACCGACAATTCGCCGCAAGATACGGAGAATGACCGGCTCCGGAAGGAGATTATCCGCTCACTGAGTCGCGAGAACACCCCGTCTGATGAACCGGAGCCGCACGAGAGTTCTCGACCGCAGACAAGCCGACAAGAGAGTCTCATTCCCAGCGAGTACGAACGGTACTGGAACGAAAATCCGAATACTAGTCCCGAGGAGCAAAAAACCGCCCCTCCGCCTGTTGCTGCCGCAAACCCCTCGCAAGACTACTTTAGCCCTCAGCAGCCGTCTGCAGCCACACCGGGTGCGCGGGAGCCGGGGCCGGATGGAGAGCATTCCCTACAACGGAAGTTCTCGTGGGAATCATCCTCATCCTCGAGCGACATCGTCCATCCCGCGGTCTTGCAGAGCATCTCTCCAGAGCCGATGCCCGGGCAGTTTCCTGGAGCTTCCGAGGTCAGCAGTCTGCCTGACGCGCCTCCAGCGACCCGTGAGGTCGACCACTCCGATCGTGAGGATCAGCAACCGCAATCGCCACCGCAACGAACTCCAGAGAAACCCAGGCTGTCAATCATCACCCCGACCTTGCCTGACAACCGCAGTATCACCTCCGATCGTCAACTGCCCGAAGTGGTTGATGCTGAAACGGTGGGAGGCCCCACGCACATGGAGGATGAGTATCAGGCTCCAGCTGAGCCTCCGGTGTCCTTTCCACCACCTCGGACGTCGTCGTCCGGGCCAACTCCATTGGGATTCCGCGAGATCATGGGCAAGCCGACCTCCGACGAACGGGTGCAGGCATTCAACGAAACCCGCGAGCAGTTCAGCACCATCGATACGGGGCTGAGCCACTGGATCCAGGTCACCGTGCACGCTCATCCCGAGCACACGGACGTGGTGGATCAAAGCTTTAAGCTGACGACGGGCGAACCCAAGCTCGCTGGCTCCCGCGGCAAGTTCCCCAAGCTGCCTTCCCTGGGTACTTTCGCAACGAGCGGTAGTCACCAGGACCCGTCGCCCTCAGGATCGGGTCACGTCCGGCGACCGTCGGCGCCGCTGGGGGCGATGATGAACAAGCAGCAGGTCGAGCAGCGCGGCAAAGACCTGTTGCACACGGCGGGCGTGCTGGGCGGACAGGCCGGAAAGACGGCCAAGAGTCTGTTTGCCAAGGGGCGCAGTAAATTCAAGGGCGGAGGAGGCGACAAGGTAGAGCCTTAAAATCTCTTACGGTGGTTGATGATCGGTTTCGAGTATATACGTGATGTGTTTTTCCTGTCTCTGCTTCGGTGTTTTTGTCTGATGTGCTTGGGTTGTTTGTCCTCATGTTTATTGATACCACGACTGTGACTGTGACTGTAATTGAACATATTGTGCATGTTGTTTCTTTTCCTTTCTTTACTTTCTTTACTTTCTTTACTTTCTTTACTTTCGGAATGCGACATGATTCTCACGGGTCTCTCTCTCTCTGTCTCTGGGTCTGTCTAATGGCATGCTGTTTGTAGGGCTTCCAGTCATTCCGGGGGATTCGACGCAATCTACGACTGTCGGAGATACACCTGTGGCCAGACATAGACGTAGCCGCCCTGAGCGAAGACCAGGGCCCCGGCCATGGGGAATCTCAGCCCCTGAAAGGGCGACAATATCGTCAGATCCGACGCAAACCCCTGGCAGCGCCATCATCCTTGCCAGCGATCGCCAAGAACCCCGCGACTTTGCGCCGCAAACCCGCCGCGACCACAAAGAACCGTCGCTCGTCCGTCTCGTCGTTGGACGACGAAGAGAAGGAGCCTGACGCTCCCCCTTCGCTCTTTCGCCGTCCCAATCGGTCCTCCTTGTCCCTGCCGCTTGGCCGCTTCGCCCCCTGCAGGTTGGTCGCCGATCGAGACCGCGAGCCTCGTCCTTCTTCCTGCTCTCGCCCGTCGTCTCTCCCACGCCTGCAGTTGACAATGCCCAAAGAAAGAAACCCCCTCGTGAGTGGGCCATTTCTTTGCTGCTCTTACGGACTACGACTAATTCTCTAGGGCCGTCTGTTCGGACGGCACAAGCCTGATCGTCCCCAGTCGATGGAGCATCTGCCGACGTCGACTCCCCACACTCGAGATCTACTGGGGAGAGATGATCATCTCAACGTCCCCCGTCCCCGTAGCTTCCAGGGCCAACCGCCGCCGCCGGATGGTTATTTCGCGCCAGATGCCGTCTCGCTAAATCACGATGGGGGCTGTGGTCCTGTGTCTCCTCCGGCGGCTTTCCACAGCCCCCCTCTGGCCCAGGGATACCCTTATTCTCACTCTCACTCGCAGTCCGGCTCGCACTCCCACTCTCGCTCATACTCCCATTCGAACCCTCATATCCACCGTCTCAGCAACAGCATCAGCTTCACCAGCAACAATAGCTCCCAGGTCTCCCTCCAACCGTCCCTCTACCGCTGCATGACGCCCCAGCTTCCACCGGACAACGGTATCGCTCCACCCTCGCGCCCCCAAAGCTCTCTCTCCCGCGGACGCAGCCCCAGCCCGGCACGCAGCTACGCGCAAGACTTGCACCTGCGCTCTCGCAGTCCCAAGGCTTTTGCTCCGCGTCCGCAGGAAAGAGTCATACCGCGGACCGATCCCAACGACCCCGCATACCATCTGGGAACGTTCCGATCGAATCCACGCACCAGTCGCATCGGCGATCAGGAGCGACCATGGAAGCTGAGTATTCCGGGGATGGAAGGCGACGGCGGTGACGGGGAGAGGGACGCGGAGGACGGGACCTTGCTCTGGTTGCAGGCGCAGGGACAGGCGCACATAAAAGCCGAGCGCGAGCTGGAGACGAGGGCGCTCAACAGGAGCATTAGCAGGGACAGTCAGGATATGAAACCCCTTCCCCTGTCGACGAGTAGACCCGATGCCGGCAACGGCAAACTCCCCTCCTATGAAGATGTCGCGCGCCATCCACCGCCCCGGTCGTTCTCGTCCGGGGACGAAAAACCTACCTCTGCTTATGCGCCCGGGGCCGCGTCCGCGGACGAATTCGAGAACGGAGATCGAGGACGAGAAAGGAGCGGGTGTCACCCCACACGCGGCCAAGCTCGAGTCCTCAATCGAACAGATATGCCGGTCGAGTTGCCGGTGAGAGCGGAGAACGAGTCCAACGAGGAGATCATCATGTCGAGTACGGCGTATCCGGGGCAGGAATGGAGGCCGCTGGGATTAGGAGAATGGGAGTATTAATTTTTGTTCGACTTCATGACGTGCATGACGGTAAGATCGGGGGTATCACGAAGCAATTCCTGGAGACGGAGTGGAAATGAAAAGGTCTGGACTGGGTTCATTTGGGCTTATATAGTGATGTTTAGCGATTTGGATTTGCGCCCGTGAGGCGATAATGAATGCGAGATGAGTTCAGCAGAAGCGGACGAGCGTGGAGACCTTAAAAAGAGGGCACGCCGCCCATTCCCGAACAGGCAACTCGGTCTTGGCGCGGAGAGGAAGAATCGCAGTTCGTCGTCTGTCTCTCTCCGCCATCTTCCTCTCTCCATCCCCCTCCTCCGCCACCTCCGTCTGTCGTCGTGATCCTTCGCTCTTGCTGAGTCTCGAGTCCTCAGTGTCCCTTTTTATCCCTATCAGACCCGCCCGTACCATCTCCCGCGCGTTGGTTGCTCTCAAAGTCCTATAGGAAGTGAGTGCGCGCTCCCCTCCTTCCCTGCGTTCTGCCCACCATCCATCTCTTTCATTAGCTGTGACTCTTCCCGGGGAGGTCTTATCGGGAATATGCGTTGCGCAATGCCCGATGATGCTCTGGATTCGCACTCGAGAATCTATATACGTGGTCGAGGATATACACGTGCTTCCGCAGAGACCCATGCGCATAGAACTGGCAGCTATTCCTGGGATCGTGGATCTGTCTCTGGTACCTGTCTAGCTAAGTGCTTGTCGATGCGCTTATTTGTGTCTTCGAGGTGTTGGAACTGTGGAATCCTATTGCCATGCGCTTTGTTGCAGATCTCTTTATGCATCACTCGGTATATTCTTTGCGCTAACCATGACGTCTCTTTCTTTCTTCTACAGGCGCTCTCGCAGCCTCTCCCGTCCAATCGTTCAATAACCTCGCAACTCCGACCTCCCACCGTATCACTATGGCTATGGACGCAAAGGAAATCGAACTCAAGGCCAAGGCCTTGACGAAGGCGGCCACCTCGAACGAGCCCGCATCCAGCATCGTCTCGCTGCTCAAGGAACTGCAGAAGGGTGTGAAAGCGACCGAGGATCTGCTGCGCTCCACCCGCGTGGGTATCATCGTCAACAAGTTCAAGCAGCACAAGTCGCCCGAAGTCGCCCGTCTATCCAGCGAGATCGTCTCCAAGTGGCGCAACGAAGTCAACAAGCAGAAGGCCGGGGCGTCGCCGGGCGCCAGCCAGCGGTCGAGCGGATCGCCACGCCCAACGCCGAACGGAACCGCCTCACCGGCCGCCTCGACGCCAACCGACAAGAAGTCCAAGCTGTCCGTGCCGCCGGAGCGCCGCTCGTGGAAGGCCGACGGGGTGGAGGTCAACCAGACGGGGAGCAAGATCCGGGACAGCTGCATCGGTCTGGTCTACGACGGCCTGGCGCTGAACTCGACGGAGCCGCCGCGCGCCGTCCTGTCCAAGGCGGTGGCCGTCGAGGCGGCGGCGCACGGGGCTTTCGGCCCGGAGACCAAGGAGCAGTACCGCACCAAGATTCGCAGCCTCTTCCAGAACCTGAAGAACAAATCCAACCCGACACTGCGGGTGCGAGTGCTCAGCAGCGAGGTGACACCCGAGCACTTCGTCAAGATGACCCACGACGAGCTCCGGTCGGACGAGCAGCGCGAGAAGGACCGCCGGATCCAGAAGGAGAACATGGACAAGGCGATGGTGGCGCAGGCCGAACGCAGCATCAGTACCAGCTTGCAGTGCGGAAAGTGCGGACAGCGCAAGGTCACATACACGGAGGCACAGACGCGCAGTGCTGATGAACCGATGACGTTGTTCTGCACATGTCTGAACTGCGGAAAGTCATGGCGGCAGTGATTTCTCTCTCTTTCTCTCTTTCTTTCCATTCTAAAATGTTGGTCATTCGCTGACTTCACCCTTTTCCCATCCACCTTTTTCCCTCCATATCTTTTTTTTTCTCATACTATGTGTTATCCTATCATCAATGTTGTCAAATTATTATTGCTCTGGCATGGAGTTTCATGGATTTGCTCAAAAGAGGAATTCTCCTTTTTTTCATCAATCTTGCTCGGGGTGTGGGTTTGAGCTTGATTGAGATTGTCGTTTTTTCTATCTACCATTTACCATCTACCGTTTCCCATTCTATCGATTTAGTGCGTTTCTTTGGTTGCTAGGAAGTAGATAGATTTGAGGTTAGTGCGAAGATATCTTTTTTCTTAGTCTTTTGATAGTTATGCTGGTCTTTACACTGCTTTGATATTCCTCTGTTTTATAGAGACTTGTGTAGGTTTTATGAAGTAGGTAGGTAGTAGCGATGAAATTAGTACAGTATAAGATAGTAAGTATATATGGTATCAAAGTAGAGATTTTTTCACGTCTAATGGTATCGTCCGATATCTATAGATCTAGAGTAATGCTACCCGTCAAAAACGTTCTGATTCAAATCCACCCCCATATCGCGCGCCATGCCCTGCATCTGCTTCTCGATCTCATCCTCCATGCCCCCACCCAGATGCAGGAACTGCTTCACCTTCGTGAACCAGAAATACACATCGCTCGTGAACAGCACCACGCGGAAGAGCATGTGGCGGCCGAGGTTCCGCACCTTCTCGCCCACGGGCAGGTCGGGCGACTCGACGAGGGCCCGCGACGCCCAGGTGCCCGTGATCTTGACGCGGTTGACGGGCGAGCCCAGGAACTGGTTGTTGGCCTGGACGATGCGCAGGTTGCGCCCGATGAAGATCAGCTCCTGCGGCCACTTGGTGCCGTCGCCGAGGATCTCGCGCATGCCCTTGCGCGCGGCCTGCTGCATCTCGTAGTGGCGTTTGCGGCGCTCGACCTTGGAAAGGCCCGCGAGGTGTTTCTGTGTGGTGCGCTCGCCGCCCTGGTAGGGGCGCATTAGGGTGACGGACGCGAACATGTCGGCGTTGGTGACGCCCCAGTCTTCGGCGACGGAGCGGAGTGTGGCGTTGTCGAAGGCCAGCAGGGCTTTCCAGAAGCGGGCGTATTGGTGCCGGAAGTGTGGGCTCATGTGAATGTAGAGGCCGTGGTCGATGAGGACGAGCTCGGCTTGGCCGGAGGGCTTGCGCCGGACGAAGATGTTGCCGGGGTGGGGGTCGCAGTGCACGATGCCCCAGAGGAACATCTGTGCTGAGAATAGGTCTACCATGGTGGTCATTACGTCTTTCAGGGACAGGCCTAGCCCGCCGCGGTTGTTCCAGCCGCGCCAGTGGTTGCGGTCCGGCTTCAGTTGGGCGGCGTTGGGGTTGCGAGATGAGACAGACTGTCGGGTTGAGGTGTTCGTCTTGGTGTTGTTGGGCGGGTCTAGGGGAGTGCCGTGGCAACCTGGGCTGCCTTCGCGCCATCCACCGCGCCAGGAGCTGGTGATGGCGTCTTTGTCCCAGAGGCGCACGCCCTCGATCCACTCGGCGGTCATGACGCGCTTGGAGCTCAGCTCGCGGTAGACCTTGGGGATGTAGACGCGGCCGCGCAGACGGGACTCGCCGGCGACGAGCCGCGCCATGTTCTCGGAGTTGTCGGCCTCGTTCTCGAAGTCGGTTTCGAGGAACAGACGGTCGCTGACATACGGGACCAGGGAGTAGAAGGGGATCTGGAACATGCGGCTATAGATCCAGGTGACGACCCTAGGCGGGAATCAGCATGACTCGAACAACGAGACTGGGGTAAAACCTACTTGAAAGCCCACAGATCCCACTGGATCTGCTTCGCGATCTCCCGCTTCTGGATCTTGATTGCCACCTCGCGACCATCCGCCAGCCGGGCCCAATGCACCTGAGCTACGCTGGCGCTGGCACGCGCCTGCTTCTCCATGACGCCCTTTCCCGGCTCGCCGGCGAACGACACGCCGAAGACCTCCTCGGCGGAGCGACCGAAGTCCTCGCGAATGACGCGCTCGACGTCCTTCCAGTCATTCTGCGGCGCATCGTCGAACATGCGCGAGAACATGCGCTGGAACTCGGGCGGCAGGATGGCCGACTGCATGGCCAGCGCCTGGCCCATCTTCAGATACAGGCCGCCATTCAGCCGCAGGAGATCGGACAGTCGCTCGGCGTTCCGCGTGTGCAGGGCATTAATGGACTCGGCGAAGGGCGGGTCGGGGCGGAAATTGATCTTGTAGTCGACGGCGACGAAGAGGCCGAGAGCGAAGGTGCGCGCCGTGCGGGTCACGCACTGTTCGTAGAAGAGCGAGTCGACGGTGTAAACGGTGCCGGTGGCCAGCGAGAGGTATGCCAGGCGACGCAGCCATTTGCGAGTGCGTGTGTACGTCTTCGCAGGGACGGGTTTGCCTAGCGAACTGGGCGAGGGAGGCACGAGAGGCTGAAATTGGCCATGCACTGACCGTGAGGCATGGTGGAGTCGATGACGCAGCAGAGGACGAGCTGAGCGCCCGGAGGCGAAGAGGGAGGCCATTGTTCAGGAGGTCATATTAGGGGATGTGAGGATAGAATAAATTAGGGACTTAGTCAACGTTGAAGGAGAGGAGAAGAAATTGAGAAGTAGAAGAAGTAGAAGTAGAAGTAGAAGAGAAGAAGATGGTGGAAAAGAAGTTCGTACGAGCAAATCCGCCCGAAGGATTTCGGCGGTTAAAGTCCGCGGACTCTCCGACGCCAATCTTATGTCCGACAATTTGCAACGAAGTATTTGATATCTTTATGGTTCAATTGTAATTGATTATAATTCATGGACCTCCTGCACCCCCATCCCCAGCGACCGGCACACCTGCGCATACTCGCGCATGTTCCCTGGGATGATCTCCTGCCACAGTTCGTCCGTCTGCAAGTACGCCAGTTGCTCGCTGCACACCTCGTCCGACGCCATGGGCAGCAGCCGAGGCAGATGCTTCAGCGACGCCCGCAGGAACTGCTTCTTGAAGCAGTTGCCGAATTCCGCCAGCGTCTCGTCGTCCGCGCAGATGTCGCGCCCCTGAAGCATCGGTCCGCAGCGTCCCTTGATGATGTCCGCCACGTCGTCGCCCAGCTGCATCATCTCTTCCTCCTGTCGCGGCGAGTCCACGCGCTTCATCATGGCCCGCACGGCCGGTACGAAGGTGTTGTTGCGCGTCCAGAGATCCCAGTGCGGAACGGTGGGCTGGCAGCCACGATCGCAGATCTCCGTCTGGAATTGCTGGAAGAGTTCGCCCGGTCGACCGACCAGGGCGGCGACGACTTTAAAACAGGCAGTGCTCATTTTGGCAGAGGCGAGAGGAGAATTGCTGAGGAGGAGAAGGAGAGGCCAGAGGGAAATGAGGCCGGGGAGGCGCATTTTGGCGGAGGATGACCGATGGACCGTGGACCGTAGAGATCGGAATAGATAGGAGATCAGTAGGAACGTAATGGATGATAAGTAGTAGAGCAGGAATCGTAGAAGTAGCAGGGAAAGAAGAAAGAGAGAGAGAAAGAAAGTCCAGCTGAAGATGGACCAACCCAATTCTGGAGGATCGACATCCCCCGCATTTCGTCTGATTCTTGGGTTTTCCGTATGTCTTCTTCCCTTTGCCAACCCTCACGATATCAATCCAAGGTCCAGCATTCGTCCCATCCTCCCTCCTCCCTCGGATTGAAGATGCGAAATGAAAGGCTTCAATCCGAATATCCACTATTCGTCCCCATAAGCACAGCAGCCTGAGGCATCCACCTCTCAGCCTCCTCCCATTTAATCCATTCCTCTCTCTTTCCTTCTCTCTTTCTCCTTCTCTCCTCGCCTCTTCTACTCTCTGACAACCCCATCACCCCATCAAGAACATCATGTCGCTGAATCTCGTCGAGGTCGACTCCCTCGAAGCCATCGTCATCGTCGACAATGAGCTGGATCCTCTCTCTCCTCCCCCGCCAGACACTGTGCAGGTCTCGGGTCTGATGGGCCACCTGGCCATGAATTCCCCCCATACGCTCACCGACCGTGGTGACGCTTCCAAGGAGCTTCAGATGGAGGACATCTGCTGCTCGGCTCATGGCCTCTCCATCCTGGTGGTCCGTCGGTCCCATCCCTTCTAGACACGCATGGCTGACCCCACTAGACTGCCACCAAAGGCGATGTAAGCCACTCGGTTCTGTTCGATGCCGGTCCGGAGAACGACGTCTGGAGTCGCAATGCACGACGCCTGCGACCGAATCTCTCCGCCGTGGAACTGGTGCAGCTCTCCCATTGGCATCGCGATCATTCCGGTTTGTACCTCATCGCGACACTGCCAAGACATATCAGTTGACTTTCGTAGGCGGTCTTACCCAGGCCATCAAAATGATCACGGACGCTAAGAAAGCCGAAGGTCGGTCGGACCAGCTGCTGGTGGATCTCCATCCCGATCGCCCTGACTACCGTGGCTTCAGTATCGGCGAGACCATCATCTCTCTTCAGGCGGATCCCACCTTCGAAGAGCTTGAGGAAGCCGGTGGTGTTGTCCAGAAACATGCCGAGTCACACACGGTGCTCGACGATTTCTTCTTGATCTCGGGGGAGATTCCCCGTCAGACCCCATACGAAACAGGCCTCAAAACCGCAATGCGCTTCGACAAGGAGAACGGCTGGTTCTCTGACGAAGTGATCGCCGACGAGCGTCTTCTCATGTGCAATGTCAAAGGTAGGCCTCCTATCCATGTCCACGATTGACTCCATGTGGTCTAACAACTATTCCAGACAAAGGTATCGTCGTGTTCACCGGCTGTAGCCATGCCGGCGTCGTCAACTGCTCCCGACATGCCGTCAACAGCCTTGGAGGCTCGGTGCCTCTGCATGCAGTCGTAGGAGGCTATCATCTTGTCGCCAGCGACGCCAGCCAGATGGCCAGCACCGTCCGTGACCTCAAGAAACTTGACCCTGCCGTTCTGCTGCCGGGACATTGCACTGGCTGGAGGGCCAAGTTCGCCATTGAGAAACAGATGCCCGGGTCTATGGTGCCTTGCACCGTGGGTTCTAGAATCACTTTCTAGTCGAATAATCTACAGCTCGTCTCATCGCATCCCAAAGGCTACTGGTAGCCTCTGCGGTTGGTGATTTCACGTTCGAGCGATATCAAGTGAGATAACATTACCCGTTCAGCGCGTATGCAGGTATTTTCGATATGAATGAATGAAAATATATTTAACTTGATGACACAATTATCCATGAGCTGATCGTCTTTGTTCCTCGGATGTCCAGCAAGTCTGAAAGCCCACTCTCTCGGAGGACTTACATGGTATCTACCCAGTGACCTTCATGATGCTATCATGCCAAAAATATCTTACGATTACCCATTCGATGTGAACCGGGGCCATCCGGCGGGCCTTATTACGCACAGAACCATCGCCTCAGGCTGTACATTGCTCTATAGTGGGCTGCCTTGTCTTCCAGACAGTCTTCGGGGAAGATAGCATGCTCACACTGGAGCATAATTTCTGTTCAATGTCAGGATTAATATATTCTCAACGGTACCGTCATTCTCGTTTTCATATTCGACATAGGACAGGCTTCCTTTAGACCTCGGGCCTGACTATGAGCAACCTCGATAACAGTATTCTGCACTTTGTCGACATCCAGTTGAAGATGAGTGTTTAGATATTCCATGTTGCGATCATATGGATGTGCTCTCCGATTCTGCAGGTCCAGCTCCCTCCAGCTCCATGCCAGCGCATTGCAGTTACTGATCAGGTTCAATTGAGTCGGTGCACGGCCTATCCGAATCAACAACTACTGCATGGCCTTGTATCCTATAGGCTTCATTTTGTTCAACATCCAGATACTGACATGAAGTCCTCTAACCGATTCAGATCAAGTCATCCTAATTCCAATGTTTGGCAAACTCGCCCAAGCTGCAAAACATGCCGTGTCTTGATATAGGATGGCTGAACTTTACATAAAATATATATTCAATTCACGATGCTCGAATCTCAAGTACAACTATACATCGAATATACACAACGTCTTCATTCTCATCTGAATACGATCATGACCTCGCCAACGTTCCATCTGAGAATACATCTCACGAAGCTAACCAACCTCCCTAGAAAATTAGTATACCGAAACGACCCAGTCCAATTCACCACCTTCCCAGCCAACCAACTCCCGTCCATCCATCAAACCCAGCCAGATAAAATAGCAGACCCACAACCGGAAACGAAACACCGAAAAACAAACCATCGAATCGATTCCAAATCATCTCCATTCCAACCAAGCCCAATACATTCCGATCCAAACTCAATCCGACCCAAACCCCCGCCAAGGAAGCTATACATCCCTGAATTGCCAAGTACGAGGTATGTATGCGTGCATGGACATAGTTATGTGCATCCATATTTGAGTCCGTCGCAATTGGCAAGGGCACTCCGCTCCGTATAGTGTGCCCCGGAGAGGAGAAGGTTTTTCTTTCTGTCTGTCCGACACTCGCGCCGACGATCGTCTCACTGCCAAGGAAAGTCGTGGCATTGGAATTGGGATCGCATCGCACGGAATTGCTTGGCTCGGCTTGTTCGAGTCATCGAGTGACTTGGTGATCGCGTTCCGGATAACCCATCTCAACTCAGGACGAAGCAAAATCCACCGATCTAGGTCGTTCCCGTCAGACCTAAAATCAGGCCGTGTAATCAGCCCCCTCCCCCCTTTCCCCTCTTTATCCATTTTTGGATGCAAAGAGGCGGAGTCGCATCGTCAGGAGAGAGGAGGGTGGGATTAGCTAAGAGAGTAAGATTGTCGTCTTGTGAGTCTTGTCAAAGGTAAATGCCCTCCATCCATCCAACCGTTTAAGTTTCTACGCAGGGGAAAAGAATATACTCCGGAGTCAATCTACATAAGTCCAAGAAAATAGCACCATATACCAAGACCAACCATGCTTGGATTAATCTCCTTCGGTCAACGGATTGATATCAACCGCTCACTCCGCAATAGGTGTATCTATAGACTATATATCATCCGATACCAAGACCCCATCATCCCCATCCTAACCCAAAACCAAAAAGAAAAAGAACTGCCCAGCAAGCCCAGCCCACTCTCCTCCCCCTGCACCCGTAGATCCTCCCCGGGATATGTGAAATCGAACCAACCCATGATCCATGATGTGACACCCGGGGGGAACGGACGAGGCGGGTTGCCCTCACGGCGAACACCCAACCAATCGATCAATCAACCATCCCTTTCTTCTCTTCTCGTCCTATCTGCAAGAAAACGAACACAGAACAGAGCACAAGACACACAACACAAGATGACCCCAGATCAAGCCGGTCTCATCCCTTCGTTCGCATGCGCCGGTTTGGCTTTCCGCCAAGACAATAATCCGGGTGGAATGCACGGTATGGCTTGGCGGTGGGAAGGGATGAAGACGATGGGGAAAAAGGGGGTGGAAGTAGCATGCAAGATCATGGATGAGGAATTACAGAGTAGTTACGGAGATTGAGGGGTGGTGCATGCATTGGAGATTCTAGGATCCCCCTTCCCCTCGTACTATCCCGATGATGTGTGTGGATATGTAGATATGTAGATACCTAGTCTAGGTAGCAAGGAAACGTAAACCAACAGACAGGCAGGCAGACTAATACAATGACTAGATACTTACGGGATAGGATAAGAATAGACAATGCAGAACGCAGGCATCCATATAACGACACGATCTCAATGGACCGCATGAGTAGAAACCATCAATCCCGGGTGGAAAAAGAGGCAGTGCCGTGCCAAGCAATCCCATTGTTTGTCCTCCATCCCACATTATATGCCGGAGTATTGGATTGGCACGAATAGTAGATCCTCTCTAGCACAATTATTCTATCGTGGCTACCTAGTTTATTTCAGACGCAGAAGAGGTAAGTCTAGCGATGTCGATTGCTGAACCATAAACCATGACCATAAGCCGTAGGTTCTTGTACATGGATCCGTAGCATGTAGTCTGTAGATCGATGATGCACGGTACGATGCAGACGTCCAGACACCTACCTAATCTCTGAAAATAGCCACCACCGCATCATATCGCCTCAATTCCTCCGTAGCAAGCCCCCCCCTCCCAGACTCATTGCTGACGACGCCGTTAGTCCAGGCAGAAAGCGAAATCCCACGCAATGATAGACACCCCTGCGATCTCCCAAACCGAGCGCCAAGACGCGACAATCGCGCCTTGCCGATGCGCAGCCTTGGCGGTCCTTTTCGTGATTCAATTAATCGGCATGATTATCGTAGTTACGCAGTATCACTAGCTATCTTGCCTGTCGTAGATTGTGGCTGGGGATTTGCGTTGCGCTGGCTGCATACTCCGTTCCGTTTCGCGGTGGTTGGGGACTGACACTTGGCAGGTATCTTCGTTTCCTATACCCTCTTCGACTGGGACAGATAACCCCGATACCCCATACGGAGAAGATGGAGAACGGAATGAGCTATTCATAGAAAAAAAATTACTGCAAAAAATTAAAAATTAAAAAGAAGTGGGCGATGACGTTACCGGACTACAAAAACACGGTGAAGCTGATGGGCTGTTTACCTCCGCTTCGGCCGTTACACTTGTCTACCTTCTCCAGTCAGTTAGCAGGAAACACAGACGGTATGGAATCTACCAAACCGGATGGCTACCAGGAACAGAGTCTAACTGCGACAAATGATGCCATACCTCATGCCATGCCACGCTGATGCCGGACCTGCTCGATGGGTCTTGGCATCTACACAGCCCCTGAGGATCAACGCACTTTGCCCTTCGCGGAGGCATGCGAATGGCGATGGGTTGATCGGTCCTCCAAACAGTCGCTTCGAGTCTAGAGCCCGGAGGTATCTTCCCCCCCCCCCTTAGACAAACTGACATCATTGCAGCATGGCGAGATTAGCTATGGAGCCGAAGATGAAACGGACAGCGTTTTTTTGACTTTGCTTGAAGCTTTTCCCTCGCCTGGATCCTGTAGATCAGGGCACGTAAATGACGAACGAACAAGGATGGTCGCAAACACTGCAGACTGACAGACAACCGGCCCGGAGCATCGGACTCAATAGAGTAAGTTATCGCCTCGTTTCGGCGCCATGAGATAGCGATCTACAACGCGACGGCAATAGCGTCGACCGAAACACCGTGGCGATCGACGGTTTGTTTGGGTTTTCGCGGTCGCGGTCACTTCGCTGGCTGGACTGGATGTCTTCCAGGTCGGTAGTTTGTTGTCTTTGGTTTTAGACTATCGCTCTCGGCATGGAGGAGCATGCAGGTGCAGATTGCATCAGATCATATCCGCCGGAATTCGACGACAGGGATGGGATGTGTCTGCGGTGGATTACTGGAGTGTCCAGAACGGCCACGTAACATTCGACGAAGGTCGTCACGGAGGGAATCGAAGGGGAAATAAGACAAGAATGCAAGGAGGCATGGCGGATGGAAACCGATAGATTTGCGATTATGCGGGGAAGCAGGAACGCGACGGCGAAAAAAGGAAAAACGAAAACAAATGATCCATGTAGATGATCCCTTGGCAGTGGGATGGACAGAGGCGTTGTATGCACGATGCACTATTGCAGGACCCTGATTGTGAAATGATGCGGTGGTCGACCTCACGATATGCAGGGGAATAGCATCAGGATTGACATTCCTGACGAGGCAGGCGAACCTACTCTGTAGCCAGGTGCCCCGTGTGTGTCCTCCGTAATCTCTATCCAGACATTTCGACTCGCTGTATAAGACGACCAGGACAATCAATCAAATCATATGCAAATAATCGGACCAATATTCAGGACACCATTTCCCGGAGATGAACGCCTACTATTACCCTTCTATTCTCTTGGCAACATATCTGATCGTCATCGGAACAAGTTTGAGACTTGTCTCATCTTTTTTTTTTTTTTTTTGCCCTTCAAAAAATTTTGACCTTACCGGAGCGAAAAAGGAAGAGACAAAAAAAAGTTTTACTTCGGTTCCAAACCGCGTAGTGTATCCCTGGTTCTGCCGTCGGAGAAAGCAAAGGCACCGTTTCTCCGTAGCTGAACGGCCTGGAAAATTCTGGCCGTCGCCCGTAACCATGGATCGTTCCCGATCTCGCGTCATCCCAACCATGGGAAAGGGAAGAGCGAAAGCGCGCCAAAACGTGCCGATTCCCGACGTTCCCTTGTCCGGAGTAAGGCTCAGGCCCGACGCGACATGCCTGCCGAGGGGATATCCCGATTGTTCCTACAGAACCAGACCCTAATTTTGACTCCCCGAGGTCACGGCGGAGTCGCTCTAGAATCATCATCTAATCATGAAATGACATGACATGATATCCGTAGTATGAGGCATATACGAAGCTAAGAAGGAACTAGATGCCGTGTAGCCGATGACGGTAGGGCCGTACCTACAGTAGTCTACAGACTACAGTAGTAGCTTAGGCCCTGGGAATCGACCAATGCCGAGGCCTCGCCCAGGCAATTAACTATCTGAGTTTAGCGAGCGAACTCGGTCTCGGTCGGGGATAATCCCCCGACCACAAGCAAGCAAGGGACGCTGCCAGCCGATTGGCATCTGCACTCTGCAGTCGTTCCCTTTAGTTGTGCTGTTATCACTCGATGCAGATTGGCGTCATGCTGCCGGCCACCGTGGCACCCTTCCCCGTCGTCGCCGAGACGGACAGATTCCTCCAGGGCTCTCGGGCGGAGGGGAAAATGGCTCATACGGGGGGGCCGACGGACGACGGACAACGTTCTGGAGTCTGGATTGTCAACCCCCATAGCATGATCGCTATTCTGTCCGAGCAGTTGGTTGTTTGGAGACTTGGAGTACGTAGTTGCTAATAGGTAATAAGAGGCACGGACTCCGGAGAGTGGGCTGGGACCGCATCACCAGAGCTGCTTTGCTATCTACGAGCTGGCCCTGGAGTCTAACTGCAAAAAGATCTCGATGAGCAGCCCGGTCGGAGATTCCGCCCCATCTGGGGCAATTGAGGTCACTCCTCGTAAATCTACGGAGTAGGTCGAGTCTAGCAGGCGACGGGCTGCCACTAGAGCCTTTACGAGTACGGAGGAATGGGATGGCAATCGTGGAGAAGCGACAAGACGCGCATTGTCGCGGTCGATTGCGGGTTGCAATTGAGGAGTCGGCTCGAACTTGGCAGCCCTTGGCAATACGCAGTACGGAGTAGTAGTGTTGGATTGGGATGGCTGGACGATGGAGAATCTCTTCCGTCGGGGGACTCGGTCGAGTCGAACACGCAGGTCACGATGTCCGCGGTGATAGAAGCCCGTAGTCTTGCAAATGGCCCTCTTTTCTAGTCTCGAAATTAGCAGACCAAAGGGAAAACAACCCATTGCAGCGAGCTAATCTCTGGCTAAAGCCTCGGAGCAAGAAAATCCCTCACCAGGATCCTCGATGAGACAGCTTGGCGACGGGCGATCGCCGGTGGGGTGGGATTGTGCTGTGGTACTAGAGCAGCCCGGGTGGCAGCAGCTGGCGACCATTTGGCAATTGGGTAATTTAGCACCGGTGAGCAGCCACGGCCTTCAGCCTCTTCGGGCGCTAGTCCGCTGGTGAGGACCTCAACTACTGTAGGTACCAGGCGAACTAGCCCGGGCTAGGCGGGTTTCATTGGCGTGGGCGGGTTCCCTCGGGGACGCTGCGATGGTCACGTATCTACTCCGTAGTAGTGTAGGAACAGGACTAGACAGAGCCCCAGCAGAGACGCCGGACGACTTTGGGGGACTCCAGAATAAAGTAGTCCCTCGCCAGCTCCCATAGTAGATAGTCTAATGCTGGTTAGCCTGATGGACTGATAGTTTAATGACGCGACGGGGAACGCCCGCCCAGTCGCGGCTTACCCAACGCGGTAGCCACTTACTAAGACGGGCAGCCGCTGGGGACTAGCCGCATCGGGCATGCGCTTCCTGCCACAGGCTCTGAGATTGCCGCGTCGGGCCTAGTGCGCCTGACTCGACTGCAGCCCCGACAAATTTACCCGACTGGACGAGGACGGGGAAAACCACCTCACCGCAAGCCCTCAGGGCAAGGCTGATGGTGATAAGGTAACTGATATCTCCTCGGACTGCCGACCATGACGTAGTTGACATTTCGGCGCCGCACAATGCTCTGTTCTGCCGACCACCGAACATGTCAGACTTTGAGAATGCCGATGAGCGATTTTTACGGGGGATTTTTCTTTAATTCATATTTTTATTATTGTCTGATGTCTTCCACTGTAATGCTGCATACTCCGGAGTATACATGAAAAACGCCTAGGCAAATGCAACCGACCTCGGAAAACCCTGAGACTGGCTGATTCGTCCCGATGAGCTGGCATTTCCATTTTTTTTTTTCTTTCTTTCTTTCCCACATGCACCTAAATTCCCAGTTCCATTCGACCAAGCCTTCTAGAAAACGTCGAGAACGGCGGTCGAATGTAGCCGGTCCTCTATGAGTGGTCAGTCGGTCAGACGAAGAAAAAAAAAATCCCACCCCTCCTTCCACCCCCCCTCAACCCCTCTCTCCAATGGAGACTCTCCATCTGCCCTGCACAACTTCCTTGAACCCCCCAATAATGCCCGTTCGGACGGGGCGCCGCGGTGGCAACCTTGACGGTTAGTCTGTACGGCGTATGTACCTTACTCTTAGCAGATGGATCGTGGGGAGGGTCGTCCGTTACGGCGTACAGTAGTTTCCTTCGCTTTACCTGACGGTCCTTACCTTACCTGGACGCGTCGCCTCACTTTGGCGGTCGAAGAGAGAGCCGTGATATTCTAGAAGATTTTCCTCCGCGGGTGCTGTGCTGTCAGTGGATATTTCCCGGCCCTACCTACATGGTCTATCGTACATGTACGTACATACGTACAGCACAATAGTGCCGCCGGCTATGTATGCATGTACTTTCGACTCCAAGTGAGGGATTTTACTCCGACATACAGTCACAATGGCAATAGTTCAGCTTGGCTATGCTGGTGGCTTTCTTCTAGAATGGTTCTCGTGATTGTTCTCATGTCATTCTTTGCTAGGTCTACGTTTTATTTTTATTTTTATTCTCGGTATTATCCAGATGGCTGCCCGCGCCGGGTAGTTGGATAATTCGACACAAGAAACCCCGTCGTACACAAAAATATATAATCCATCGGGTGCCTTATCCGACAGCACCACCCATCAGCCCTCAGCCCGGCGAAGAAATTATGTAAAATATCAGACAACGTTATCCACGCATAATCTGTCCTACTCCGTCCGGCCTCTAATGCAATTCTAATCCGTAGCCACCCACTGGTCGAGGTGGTTCAGGGTCTGATTCCAATTGAGTTGAATTCGAACCCAAACACCTCGTCCCATGGCTCGCGTGTGGGGGTGGTCGAGTTTTCGAGACTTTTTCTTAGAGTAATGGAATCGTTTGTTTTTTTCTTACCGTACATATAACATACTACTTTCTCCACTCCGCTGCCCTGGTAAGGTAAGACATTCGCGCCCGTAGTGAGATTACCTTACATGACCTTGCCTTAGTCAGGCGGTCGACGGCAATACGACCACGGAATCTGCTACGTCCACGGAATCAGTCCCGTACCGGTCGGTCGCGAACAAATAGCCATTCGACAAAGGCAAGGTACGCTCCACCGCCGCGAAGTAAGGATGGAGATTTAGAGATGAACAGACCCAAGGACGGTAGAAATTAAGCTGGTCAGCCCTGCCGCCAACCTCACGTCAAGGACCGGATTCCTCGAAGTATATTAGATTACGGGTAGATGATGCTTTTTTTTTCTCTGCCTCTGGTTATTCAATCCATGACTACGTAGAAATTAGGAATTCAGAAATAAAACATAATGCCCCATACTTCTCCCCCGTAAACCTGATCGGAGTTGGGAATCTCAATGGTTTGATGGGGGCCGCCTTGGCTGACGTGGTTACATGCGCATTCCTGCCTTCCTGGGTTTAAGGGTTTGGGTTAATTCACCAATGCAGATTAGTCTCTCCCCGACCGCGCCGGCAACGGTGAGAATCCCCCGGAATTCGATCGCAAACCCGGTTTTTCTTCTCGGTGGGAATAACAAAAAATTAATTAAAAAGAGGAAAGGGGTGGGATGGGGGGAAGGATTATTGGGGACTAAAGACTGGAGAGGGAAAGATCATTATTATTGAGGGAAGGTAAGGTCATCCGTCGGTGCTCGGGGAGTAGTTCTCAGCGCACGGGGCTGTTGGAGGATGGTGCGTCGAGACTTGTCTTCATTTAAGATGATTTAGTATCAGGGATGGGACGGACTATCTTAATTAATATTAAATTAGAGTATGGGATGTTTGCCGCCGAGAAGGCAGTCGGGGCGGAAGTGGGTAGCTAGGTACCTTAGCTGACTAGCTATTTGGGAGACAAGTGAGGTACCGCAGGTGATGCTGCATCCTGGATGGAGGAGAGCAGAGGAGAGAGGGAGACTAGCAGACGGGGTCGCGGTCCCATCGCGTTGGTCGCCCTGCTGCTACTTGCTGCCGCGGAATGCGCCGGTACGGGCTAGGACGACCGACTATGGAGTCGACCACGGCTGCTAGTCGTGGTTGGTTGGACTATCGTTCATAATTTCTTGTTCCCAGAGGATCTAGTTTCCCTGATAGCTATGCGTGATTCGGCCGCATACGGCGTAGATGGCCAGGAAATAATCGCATGGCTGGATAACTGGACCCTCGCTACACCTGCGGCTACAACACCTACAGAGTACACGGACGCGATCATCTCGACGATGCACGTTTACGTGGTGGTGATCGGACCGGCCTTGACATCATCTATGTAGGTGTCCATCCGGAATGACGACGTTGGCTGTCTCAGCTGGTTTCACTGCCGTTAACATGGCGACCGACATGTGACGGGTAGATTTCGACTCGGGACGCATCTGGGGTTGAACGGGGCCGGGGAACAAAGCGATGAGGGTCGCCCTCTGATACAGGAGGAGTAGGAATATACTCCGGACTGGACTCCTGCCCCGTACGGCAGACACTACGGCATGGAATGGAACCTCCGGGGTTCTAGACAACTGACTTCCGGTCGGAGTCTCCAGACTCTTCATGTTCCAGTTTCTCTCACCGAGTAAGAGCGACGAGCCGAAACGGAGAGAAACGTAAAAAAAAAAAAAAAAAAGAAAAGGGAAAAAAAGTTAAAGGTAGAATTGTGGAGGTAACAACTTGGCAACAGTGTTAATCCAGTCTGAATGCCAACCATCCGCCTCGTAATATCAGACAAGCCTTCTGCGAAGAGAAGCTTGATGGAGTGTGGAGGATATATTCTAGCAAGGCATTTCCTGGCAGAGGCGCATTCGTATCACTGGCGAAGAGGACGACAACAACCACAACAAAGAAGATCCGATGCACGATGTCAGCCGATCTGGAGGTGGGCTTTGTGCGTGTCTGATCGGTCTGTCTTTTCCAATGACATCCATGGATAGACCGCTGGACAAGGTTTCCTACATATGATACATATCGAGGATGAGATGCATAGTAACCACCCACGGCCAACGTCTCGTCGGCGAAGAGGCAAAAACGGAGTACTTCTTCTGGGATTCCCGTCCTTTGGGTCGGCTATCCCGTGCAATGGGGAAGAACCATCCCCTCGGCCAATCAATCCCTCCATCATATTTACTCATCCCCCGAATCCCGCCGCTGGGAACGAGGGGGCTAGTGCCAAATATCACCTCCAGCTGTCAGGGAATAATTGCCCCTAAACCGAACCGGGAAATCAACTGCTACGCTCTCCTTCAATCCGATCGTAGCCCGTAGAGTAGGATCCGAATCCTCCCCCAAAGTCCCCCATGTTGGATGCCCAGCCATCCGATTTTTTCGCCTGGCATCCTCTATGCCTCCGTCTGAACCGAACTTTATTTGGATTATTTTCTATCTTTATGCATGGAGTAATTTTTAGAACCGGCCTTGGGGGGACTTGTCCATGCGTGCATGCATTTGCACCGGCCCTCCCCCAGCCAATCTGTCAACCAGATGGGCGTCGCAGAATTTATTTCAGGATTTTGTTATTTTGCCTTTTAACCTCGTTCGCATGGAAAGAAAATATCGCATTCCGTCCGCAACGTGGAAAGGCAACCCAGATAAGACAAGCGGCTATTATCTGCGGAGTATATCGGCCTAGATCGCAATTTCGTGTGTGAGGTTTCCAAGTATCGTACGAAAGGCATTTATTCGGGGTTGGCAGGGAAATTGATATGGATATGGTAGCGACGCGGCCCTTTTTTTTTTTTTTCTTTTCCTTTTTTCTGGCCTGTCGACCGACCGGGTCGGTCTCGGTCTTGCAAAGAGGAACGCCGACCGATGGGCAAAAAATAGGTCAGGAATGCGCAGAAGTCAGAACGAATGACACAACGTCATAAGGACGATGGGGATGGGGATAGGTAGGATTATGATACGAAAACGACCGATGCGGTCATCGGGCTTTGAGAGACAATTCCCTTCCTACCCCGTAGACCACATTCGAGACCATTGATAGTATGTCGATTTTATTGGACTATTTACGGAGTTTTTTTGAGATGGCCCCAGGGCACTACGACCGGAGGGCAAGAATACGACGGAGTATCCGGCCAGTAGTAAGGGCAAAAATCAAGATTGTCATTACTTCATGAGCTGCGCTGCTTTTTTCTCCAGAGAGCTGTGGTTTTAGAGAGGTCGGTGCAAAAGGACTAGCCGATATGAGCTCGAGAGAGAGAAAATAATAACAATTGAATAATAAAAAAAAAGAGGAGCAACAACTGGAGGCCGATTTCAACTAGTCGGCGGAGTCTTTCACCCCATGCCAACCATTCAGATGAAAATGACGCTCGTGGATGGGGCACCGTCCTCCCCACGAGACAAGACGGCACGAAACTCAATCAGGCCAAACACGATGGGGATTGGAAGAGCGAGAAGAAATAAGGGAGGGGTGGGTGGGCAGGAAAAATAAAAGGTCGGACGGCCAGTCGTCATTGGGTTGGTCGGAGCGAGGGCGATCGACTCTGGGTTAGTTTTAGTTACAGTAGTGGGAAGTCTGTCAGAAAAAAAAAGAAAAATAATCAAAAAATCATAATCAAATTTCCTGGGCGTGGGAACAAAGGGCGGTGGTGCGTAGCTCGAAGATAACGCCAGAATCGTTGTCTAATAGCAATTATTCTTGTCTCTGCCGATAACAAATTATGGGCAAGGGAAATCCTAGCCTAAGGCGTGATGACATAAGTGGTGGTCAAAATTACCGTCGAGGGATTGCGTACGGTAATACCGACTAGTAGTTGCTGGTCCCTTATACTACGGCGTAGTAGAGCGCAATAATCATCATGAGCTCGACCGGATCATCATGCCAATTTCAATATGATGTGAGGAAAATAATAAAAAAAAAGTCAGTGAAGACCCTGACGAAAAACGACATCATATCTTTCAAACCTACTCATCATTCATCCTTCCGGCTTTGTTTGTTTTGGTCCTGTCGCCGGAATTGGTATGGACGGCAACCAACCCCTTGTGTTTCCGTTTCGCTGGGCTCGTGGTTCCAAGATCGGCTCGGACGGCTCTGAACGCTGGCTTTGGTCTCTCCTACTCCGTCGTAGTCTGGTATCTTGGAACGGCCAAACAAAGCAGTGATCGGAGGATTCTGCTGCAATGAGAAGCGCCCAGTTGGTAAGATGGGTCCGTTTGTTTGTTCCGTATGTCTGAGGTCGTGTCTCTACTACTCTACGTACCTGAAGTTACAGCGGTAGGTAGATGGAGGCTCTGTCCGTAGAGATGAAAGCCTTCAGTATGTACGCAGTATGTAGTATGCCTCGTACGAAATAAGATCAATCTCCCATGCCATCCCCATCATCCCTATTGGACCCTGCGGAAATCACATCAATTGAGATTAAATCTCATCTCATCTGCATTTCCAGGAAGGCAGAAGACGAGTTTCAGTTCCGTCGGAGTATTTCGACGCTTCCAGTCCCCTGTGATATGGTATGTTGATTATTCGTTCTGCAAGGGAACCGAACAAATTATGGATCCCGATTGACTGTCACTGCACCCGGCGAAACCAATCCAAAATTAAACAATAGTCCGCCATAGTAAAATGGGAAGTGAGCCAGGACGCCGACAGTACGTTTGCATTTACATGTACATACACACGCGTACATACTCCGTACTTCCTCCGGCGAGGTGCAAAAACAAATATATCCCTTCCAATATGATCGATGATGCGACCGATAGTCATGTCTTGTCCTTTTCTTGTCCTGCTGTTGGTTTCATTTACTTTTCCTACTTCAGCTCTAAACCGATCTGTAGCATGATGATGGTTATTGTTTCCATCATAATTTAGCAGCGAAAGGGCCTTGTCGCAGCCGCCCCCGGGGCGTGGGAAAATCGCGCATAGTAAAAAGTGACAATGGGGTGGGCAGAGCGAGAGGGAAAGGATCAGGAAAATTAACGAGGGCCACCCGCACGCGGCATAGTTTTGGTCAAAGGTCTCTCTCTCAATGCCGTACAGCCGTACCGTACCTCTCGTACCGACGGAAAAAGTGTCATATTTCTTTCTACGACAAGAAAAATTCTTTTTTTTGGCTCACGATTTGCCTCCTGTCAATGACAAAAGACGAAAAATGTGCTCTGGCCGAATAGCCGGATGGGAAAATGCCAAAGATGACCTACGCCTTCCGTAGAACAACCTTACTGACGCCCAAAGGGAATATTCCGGTGCCCATTGACCGAGGCCGACCGTACCGAATTTACTGTACCGTATGCAGGACTCCCCAGAATTTCCCTCACTGACCGGAGATGGCCTCTTACTGTAGCTGTATGGAGAGAAAGTGGAGGAGGGGGGCGAACTCGGCACAGGTCTGCCGGTCATGGAGGCTAAACGCACAGTAGAGATTACTCTATCGAGTATAGAGACGAAAGAACCACAGGCGTAAGGCGTGTACCATCATGATAATATGGAAAAGGTCAGAGTTTTTCCAGAGACTAAGACTAGACTGAGTTCAGTAAGGGATCCACTGGCTCTGGAGAACCAGACCATAGAGGGAAGTGGAAAATGAAAATGAAAAAAAATAAAAAATAAATAAATAAATAAATAAAAAAAGGTAAAAAAAAAAAAGAAAAGAAAAAAGAAAATTCCTCAGGGGCGTCGGGATAAGAGAAAAAATGTGTGTGCGTGTGGGAGGAACGAACCAAAGAGGCAAAGTGAGGGTCGCCTCGGTCATTCACCCACTGGAACTTACCAGGGACAGTGAATTTTCGATCGAGTGGCTACTGGCTGCTGCTCCCGGCCACACCACCCCATTATTACGGAATAATCTAGCAAGGGAAAAAAAAAAAAAAAAAAAAAAAGAGAAAAGAAAAAAAAAAGTGGGCTTACGCACAGGGAAGGTCGCCCGTTGGAGCTTAGGAGACAAGACGTGTTTGTGTCCAGGTCCCGTGCAAATCAGTCCTCCCCCCCCCCCCCCCCCCCCCCAAGTTGACTTAAAAGAGCGCATTCTCCCAGCCCACCCCTCGCCTCGATTCCCCTCTCTTCTTTCCTTCTGTATGGGAATTCCTACTCTTGCCATTCCTGCCATTTTTTGTTTGCTTCTGCTCATATCGTTGGGTTCCTAAGGCTGTGTGAGCCGTGTTGCAACAATGGCGGAGCGGAGAATCTCCTATGCTCCCGACGTCGAGAATGGTGACCATTCTCGCAGTACTGCCGATGTCAATGAGGGTGCCGGTCTCGACGAGTACGGAGCGTTGAACCGGTACATCTCTACTGCCCGCGATGGCCGCCGTGGCTCGACTTCCTCTGCCGGTGGCTTCAGCAACAAGAAGAACAAGAAGCCCTGGTACAAGTTTTGGGGTGGAAAGGGCGACACCGTCGAGGAGGGCTTCGTTTGCCCTGACGACTGGTTGGAGACCGACATCCGCTCTGGTCTTCGCTCCGGCGACATTGAGCCCCGTCGCAAGAGAACTGGATGGAACGAGTTGACTACCGAGAAGACCAACTTCTTCATCCAGTTCATTGGTTACTTCCGTGGTCCTATTCTCTATGGTGAGTCTCCTTGACGTACTGAATCTCTTAAGGTGAAATATGGACTGACAATGCCGCTTCAGTTATGGAACTTGCTGTCCTCCTCGCTGCTGGTCTTCGTGACTGGATCGATCTGGGTGTCATCATCGGTATTCTTTTGCTTAACGCCGTCGTCGGTTGGTACCAAGAAAAGCAGGCCGCCGATGTTGTTGCTTCTCTCAAGGGTGACATTGCCATGAAGTCTGTTGTTATCCGTGATGGCCAAGAGCAGGAGATCCTTGCTCGTGAGCTTGTTACTGGTGATATTGTGAGTTTTCCATGCATCGACTTTATTCAAAGGACCAGAGTTACTAACCCGCCTGCTCTTCTAGGTCATTGTCGAGGAAGGTACCGTCGTCCCTGCCGATGTCCGCCTGATCTGCGACTACTCCAAGCCCGAAATGTTCGAAACCTACAAGGAATACCTGATCCAGTCCAACGACGACACCCTCAAGGAGAAGGATGACGAGGATGATGAGGATGGTGGCATCGAGGCCCGCACTGGTGTCTCCCTGGTTGCCGTTGATCAGTCCGCCATCACTGGTGAATCTCTCGCTGTCGACAAGTACATGGCCGACACCTGTTACTACACCACTGGTTGCAAGCGTGGCAAGGCCTACGGTATTGTCACCGCTACCGCCAAGCAGTCCTTCGTCGGTAAGACCGCTGCTCTCGTCCAGGGTGCCCAGGACCAGGGTCACTTCAAGGCCGTCATGGACAACATCGGTACCACCCTGCTGGTTCTTGTCATGTTCTGGATTCTCGCTGCCTGGATCGGTGGTTTCTACCGTCACCTCAAGATCGCCACCCCCGAGGATGATGACAACAACCTGCTTCACTACACTCTTATTCTGCTCATCATTGGTGTCCCCGTCGGTCTGCCCGTCGTCACCACTACCACCCTCGCTGTCGGTGCCGCCTACCTCGCCGAGCAGAAGGCTATCGTCCAGAAGCTCACTGCCATCGAATCTCTTGCTGGTGTCGATATCCTCTGCTCTGACAAGACTGGTACTCTTACCGCTAACCAGCTGTCCATCCGTGAGCCCTACGTCAACGAGGGTGTTGATGTTAACTGGATGATGGCCGTTGCTGCCATTGCCTCCAACCACAACGTCAAGAACCTGGACCCCATCGACAAGGTCACCATCCTGACCCTGCGTCGCTACCCCAAGGCCCGTGAGATCCTTGCCCGCAACTGGGTCACCGAGAAGTACACTCCCTTCGACCCCGTCTCCAAGCGTATCACCACCATCTGTACTTGCGACGGTGTCCGCTACGTCTGCGCCAAGGGTGCTCCCAAGGCCATCCTCAACATGTCCGAGTGCTCCGAGGAGGAGGCCCGCCAGTTCCGTGACAAGGCCACCGAGTTCGCTCGCCGTGGTTTCCGTTCTCTCGGTGTTGCTGTCCAGAAGGAGGGTGAGCCCTGGCAACTGCTGGGCATGTACCCCATGTTCGATCCCCCTCGTGAGGACACTGCCCACACCATCGCCGAGGCCCAGCACCTCGGTCTGTCCGTCAAGATGTTGACTGGTGATGCTCTTGCCATCGCCAAGGAAACTTGCAAGATGCTTGCCCTGAGCACCAAGGTCTACGACTCCGAGCGTCTGATCCACGGTGGTCTTGCCGGCTCCGCCCAGCACGACCTCGTCGAGAAGGCTGATGGTTTCGCTGAGGTGTTCCCCGAGCACAAGTACCAGGTCGTCGAGATGTTGCAGCAGCGTGGTCACTTGACTGCCATGACTGGTGACGGTGTCAACGATGCTCCTTCCCTCAAGAAGGCTGACTGCGGTATTGCCGTCGAAGGTTCTACCGAAGCCGCCCAGGCTGCTGCCGATATTGTCTTCCTCGCCCCCGGTCTCAGCACCATCGTCGATGCTATTAAGCTGGCCCGTCAGATCTTCCAGCGTATGAAGGCCTACATCCAGTACCGTATCGCTCTGTGTCTCCACCTCGAGATCTACCTGGTTACCTCCATGATCATCATCGATGAGACCATGCGTGCCGATCTTATTGTCTTCATCGCCCTGTTCGCTGATCTTGCCACCATCGCCGTTGCCTACGATAACGCTCACTTCGAGCCTCGTCCCGTCGAGTGGCAGCTGCCCAAGATCTGGGTCATCTCCGTCGTGCTTGGTGTTCTCCTTGCTGCCGGTACCTGGATCATCCGTGCTTCTCTGTTCCTGTCCAACGGTGGTATCATCCAGAACTTCGGTTCTCCTCAGGAGATCCTCTTCCTGGAGGTTGCCCTTACTGAGAACTGGCTGATCTTCGTCACCCGTGGTGGTAAGACCTGGCCCTCGTGGCAGCTGGTTGGCGCCATCTTCATTGTCGATGTGCTCGCCACCCTCTTCTGTGTCTTCGGCTGGCTCTCCGGTGACTACCGCCAGACTAGCCCCCCCAGCCCTGCTGAGTTCTCCGTCAACGGTGATGTCGACATTGTCACCGTCGTTGTCATCTGGGCCTACTCCATTGGTGTCACTATCATCATTGCCGTGGTGTACTACATCCTCACCATCATCCCCGGCCTTGACAACCTTGGACGTAAGAACCGCTCCATGGCCGACACCAAGATCGAGAACCTGCTTGGCCACCTCTCCAAGCTTGCCATCGAGCACGAGACCGATGCTCACGGCAAGTCGCGCTACACCCTGGGTGCCCGCACCGAAGAGGTTGAGGAGGATGAGTAAACATTTGATTTACACTCATTTCCTTTTAATATGATCCGCTCTGGATAATCACTTCGCATACATGCATGGGCTGGCTTCTGGGCCCAGCTGCGCATACCCCTTTTTTTCCGTATCATAGACTTTTTTTTCCCTATTATTTTTGTCTCTACCATCATAGAGTCAATTTTCTCTTCTTTCACATGTATGTATGTCATTAATAGTGGTAAATTTAGTGAAATCAAAGCAAGGGTTCATTCAAGATAAACATCTTCATTCTACTTAGTCTCATAGTCAATCTTCATTTTCCTCGATCATAACCACATCTTCAGTACTGCAACCAATGCGAAGACCTCGAAATGATCGACTGACTTCTGCCCATCTTGGGGGGACACCCCGTGACCCGATCGCCGACTTGGACTCACCGGGAACTCCGACGGAAGGATTCTTCTTTCTTTCTTTCTTCGTTGTGCGCTGGGGGCTGATTTCGATCGGCTAACAGACTCAGTAAAGCTCTCGAGGGCGCCCCCACGGTCCACTCGCTGCACGAATTCCTAGTTTCCTCGACGCTTGGCAGGCACGGTGGGCCTTTGCGTCCGCCTAGTTGCTCGCCTCGTCCTATCGACGCGAGTCGCCGCGATAGCTCCTCCCTGTCGGACTCGGACGACGCCCGACATGGTGAGACCGAGGTTGCCAGTGAGAGCGTGAGACTTGCAGCTTGTTGGAGCTGTGGTGGATTCTCTCCACCGGGACTCTGATTGACTGATCTCGTGCTGTACCTCGTCGTACCACGACTACTTCGTACGAGCTATCCATCTGGCTCTCCCGCTATGGCCATCGCCGTCGTGCCTTACGCGAACGCACTTTTTAGTCTGCATTCTGGATCCTTGCAGCCAACGGTATGACTCGCTCCGCCGTCTCCAATTCCGCCGCTCTCATTCGCGAACTTCCCAAATTGGGATGCTTCTCCGTCGTGCCTGAGTGTTTCCACTTGGCTCTTCCCAGCGGGTGACTTGTTTCATGCTTTCATTTCGGCTTATCGTGACCTTTTCATTTCCGTTTCCAACCGCTTGGACCCCTCCACCGGTGCTGAATCGCCTTGAATACTATGCGGCTTTTTTGTCTTTAGTATTTTAATTTACCATTCTTCTTGACCGCTCAATTTACGGAGGATCTGGGTTGCACTCGTGTCGAGCTGACGTGATGAGAATGAGATAGTCTAGCGCACTGTCCACCTCGACGGACCCCTCCATGCCTGGGGATTACACCTCTGTGTACTTCGGAGTATGCGTTTCTATCCTCCGTACATACACCTCCAACCAGATAATGGCAGCAGTACTCCGGAATGAGTGCTCGTGAGCATCAATGGCCACACAAAACTTCTCTCCGCATCTCACCGTCACGCTAACAGGCGGATTGCAATTCTCCGCCTCGCTGTTCTGATTTCTCCGTCGCCTCATCCGGGGTAAACAACTTTGCGGGGATCAAACCACACTCCAGCATACAATTGGATGCGCGGAATTGGCTTCTGATTCAAGCCGGCTGGCTATGCTTGAGTCCGGGAATTGTCCCCATCTGCCGATAATTGATGTCGCTGATTGGCATTATTCTCCGCAATTTCTCCCGTGGATGATGCGGGTTGAAGGAGATTTTCCGGGGAAGAATCAACGGGCAAAATGTACATGACGATATGGTAATATTTAAAGATGAAGGGAAGAAGTGGATCATCGCGCGCTTGGAATTGACGTGGTGTCTGTGTTGAAATACACGGTGGAATAATGAAGCTCTCAACTTTATCTACGTTTCTGTTCAGCGCGGCAGGCGTTTATTCGGCTGCCGTGCCTTCGAATGCTCGTCATGCTTGTCAAAAATCTTTAAAATCTTGTGCTCCTGGGACTATTGTTGTCTCTCAGTCTTCTCACCCGTCGGCGCAATTCTCAACTGTCCAGGCAGCCATTGAGTCCCTGCCTGATGATAACTCTACCCAGACCATCCTGATCTTGCCAGGTGAATACAAAGAGCAAGTCAATGTGACGCGATCAGGGCCAATTACTCTGCTTGGCCAGACGAATAACCCGAAGGATGCCACCAAGAACAAAGTCACCCTTACTTGGGCGCAGTCCAACCATGACAACACTGGCCAGGCCGAGGATAATGTCTTTTCGGGCGTCTTGACCGTTGCTCCGACGCTGGAGTCCAGCTACACGGGGTCAGGTCCCACGGGATATCCAGTGCCTGAGGACACACCATTTGGAAATGTGGACTTCCGAGCGTATAATATCGATTTCACGAATACGTGGTCCGACTACTCGGATGGCCCTGCCCATGCGCTCAGCTTTAGTCGCGCCAATGGAGGATTTTATTACTGCGGGTTCTATTCCTACCAGGACACTGTATGTGCAATCCCCTCCAAAGCGTGGATGAGACGGAGGTATGCTCACTGACGAATAGGTCTACGTTGGCAAACTCGGCAATGCCTACTTCCACAAGTCTATCATCGCCGGCCAGACTGACTTCCTGTATGGTTTCGGCACCGCCTGGATCCAATCATCACAACTGCTCCTCCGCAACTGCGGAGGCGGCATTACCGCCTGGAAGGGCACCAATACCTCCTTCGTCAACAACTACGGCGTTTACATCGTCGACTCCTCCGTCAAGGCAGCCAACTCGTCCATCGCCCCTACCATCAAGGGGAAGTGCGCTCTCGGTCGACCCTGGAACAGTCTCCACCGGTCGATTTTCGCCAACACCTACGAGGACGAGAGCATCTTGCCGGCAGGGTACATCGACTGGGTAGTGGACGGACAGAGCCGGCTGACTAGTCAGACTTTCATGGCCGAGTATAAGGCGTTCGGACCGGGATTCAGTGACTCGGGACGCGACAGCACGAACGCCAGCATCGTCTTGGATGGACGGGCGTATAAGCGGTACGATTCGCTGAAGAAGGTATTCCAGACGCCGGAGGGCAAGTTTGGAAACGTGGGATGGATTGATCGGAATGTTGATTAATTTACCGCCGCCATCATGTAGTCATACACCATGATACATTTACAACCAAGAGCAAGCACAGAACAACCGGAATTACTCCAATCGATCCAACTCCCCCTTCCTCGCTAAATAAGCCGCCCCCGTATCCGCCCACACCTCATACTCCTTCACCTTCACCCTATTCCCATCTCCCTCGGCCCCTGCCCCTGCCCCTGCACCTGCACCCTCGCCCTCATCAACCAACCCAATCCGATACGCAAACCCCTCCTCCCACGCCTGCCCCGTACTCTTCCATCGAAACCGCGCCTCTCCGCGCAACGACACCTTCATTATCCCATGACTATCCCCATCAACATCAACATCAACAACCCACCCCTCCTCCCCCTCAACCCGCATCCACTCGATCTCCAGCGTCTCGGCCAACAGCGTAAAGTATCTCGTGAGCCCCTCGATGCCGCTGAACTTGCGGCCCAGGAAGGGCGCCAAAGCGGGGAGTCCGTGTTCGAAGGCCCAGGGCTCCGAGGTGGTGAAGTTTGAGAGCAGAGAGGGGAGCGAGGACGACGGGTCGCTGAATGTGGTGCAGAGGGTGTGGATGCGGGAGAGGACGAGGGGTTTTAGGGTCATTTTTGGCTTTTGGAGTTGTCTTGTTTTTGTCAGTGAGGGAGCTTTTTTTCTTCTTCGTAGGATGGATGGAGGGAGAAAGGAAGGATGGAGGAGGTAGGTGTAGGTGTGTAGAGGATGGGATGGGATGGGGTGGAGATGACATCATATGGATGGGATGGACTTGGTTAATCCTGTTAGAGGGTTACGTTTTACCACGTACAATATTGTTCTTACTACATTGGAAGTGTAACTAAGGATTCTGCTAAGTACAAAAGAGCTATGGTAGTCTTCGTGTTACAGCTACAGAATTGCTGCATACCGACGATTTACTCCGAGCCGTTGGCCCAGTTTCAAGTACTTAATCGACGGAAGACCAACTGTTGCACATCATTCGTTTTCTGATTCATTATATACATCATGACAAGGGGTAGGATGTTTTCTCGTGGTGATAAAATTCGACTAGCCAATGCTGGGATATTCTATTCAATGTCTTGGAGCAAGTTTCAAAATCAACGAAGAGAAAAAAAAAGTGCTGGACATCAAAGCATAAGGGACATTGGTCTGGGCTGATCTAATTGCGAAAGGCAGGTGAGGTAACTCGCGGCGGGTGGGAATATCGAGGAATGATCCATGGTATTATCATCGCCTGCGTTGACTGACTCCTGCAGGGGCCAATGCTGGAGATGCATTTCGAATGATCATCAAGTGCGAGGAGCTCGACGCATCAAAGACTGCGTCAGGCTAGACACGCCATCGGTCACACGCACTGTGATATTTCTTCCGCACGCGAGCAGCTCCTGTCGTTATATCGGGGTCATAAGACGAAAAAGCGGAGGAGTTGAATGCGGACGGGGGTGTTGATCTATTGAAGAACCGGTATCCTGCCTTTACAGGCCAGTCTTTCCAAGAGCGGCGGCAAGCTCGTCCACCTCTTTGTCTTGCTTCTGGGCGACCTTCTCGTTCTCGGCTCGAGTGGCGTCCTCGACAACCTTCTCGGCCTTGTGCTCCTCCTCTTCCTCTTCCTCCTCTTCCTCCTCCTCGTCACTCTCCTCCTCAAGCTCATCCAGCTCGTCGACGCCCCACATGTCCTCAGGGTCATCATCCTTGCCGTGCTCCTCCTGTCGGCTCTCTAGGATCTCACGCAGCTCGGTAATATTGTCATCCTCCTCCATGAACTTGTTGCCGTTCAACTCGATGCGGCGCAGCGACGGCAGAGCGGTCTTGGTCGCATGCAGGAACTGCTTGACACCTTCGGCGGTGATGTCGTTGTACTGCAGACGCAGGATCTCCAGCTTCTCGTTCTTAGCGGCCGCCAGAGCCTGAGCAACCTTGACACCGCCGCGAGGAGAGAGCAGGCAGTCACCGACACCGAGTTCGCGCAGAGCGGGCCATCCCGGGAGCACCTCGGCGAGCGCGGTGGATCCCATGATAGTGAAGGTGTTGTCCTGCAGGTCGAGAACCTCCAGGCCGCTGGCGTGGCGGAGACCCTCACGAATGAGCAGAGAGATACCCTCCTGGCGGATACCATTCTGGGTCATCTTCACGGAGCGCATTCCGGCGGCATGCACCTCGTAGGCACGAGCCCAGGCGGCCATACTGCCGTTCTCCAGACGATTCCGACCACAGACGATGCTCTCCAGAGGGGCGACCTCCTTGCCGGCCTTGCGGGCCTCCTCCTTGCGCTGGGCCAGCTCCTTCAGGGCATCGGCAATCTCGGCACCCGCGTCGGGACCCATACCGTTGTTGTTGAGGATCAGGTGGCGCAGCGGAACGTGACGGGAGAGGAAGTCGACGAGAGGCTTCGAGGTGCGCTTGCCGAATGCATTGTCGGAAAGGTTGACGGTGTGGAGGGAGGGAATCGCGAGAAGGGCGTTCAGCAGATGGGTCAGAGCATCGGGGATCTCTTCGATCAGACGCGAGGTGAAGATGTCGGCCAACTCGGCCACTTCGAGGGTCTTCTGCGTAGAGAAGGCAGCAGCAAAGCGCTCACAGGCCGTGACGCCGAAAGTGTTGCCGCCGAGACGAATCTCAGTGTAGTCGGTGCTCTCCAGCAAGGGCTTGATATGGGCCTCGACATCCTCGGCAGTGTCGAGCTTGAGGCCTTTGCCTTCGAGAGAAAAGACCTTTGGAGGGGCCATGGCGGGGTAAAATTCAGGGGTGGAAGAAGATCAAGATTGCAGATCGCAATTCGACGAGAGCCAAAAGTCAAAAACGAGCAGACTTTTGCAACGGGCGTAAGACAAAGCCGCAGGGTCTATGAAAACCAGGGACAGGAATAAAGAATGTGGTGAAAGAATGCGAGCGTGGCGGCGAAAAAAAAAGCGAGAAAAACACCGCCGGCAAACTAAAAGGCGGATTGGAGATTCTTGGGATGCCGCCGTCCCGCGCTAGTCCGCTTCCGGTTGGCGCCGATCGCCCGCTACGGGCGGCTGCAGCGACCAACTGCGCAGCCCGGCGCATCGTCATTTTGCATTATTCAGCGCCGTCTTTTCTCTCTGGCTGCCTCCTCGATTGCTGCGACTCTCGTGCAATTCCTGTCTTTCGCTATCATCATCCTTCCCCAACCTCCCACAATGTCTTCTCTCTTCGGTTCTTCCAGCGGTAAGTCTTCCTTCGTCCCCGCCGCTCTCCGCATCTCAAGCCACCAAGAGTCTCCAGAACTACTCCAAAAGTCAAATATAACCAAACAACTAACTTCCCATTCTTCCTATCTAGGCCCGGTTGAACAGGCTCCTCCTGCCCCCACTGCCGCTGCCCAAGCCGCGCCCGCCGAAAAGCCCAAGGTACGTTGAGCCAACAACCTCACTTTGCGATACCGGCTCCGGACTCGCCCTGGACTGACGCATATCCGCCACCACAGCCTTGCTGCGTTTGCAAGACTGAAAAGACGGCCCGGGACGACTGCATGCTGTTCTCGAAATCCGACGATCCGACGCAGGAATGCAAATCCACCATTGACCAGTACAAGTCCTGCATGGCTGGATTCGGCTTCAAGGTCTAGATTCCGTTGGGACCATTCCGGTCTTGCGCCGTTGATGGGATAACGGGGCTGATTCGAGGGATTCGGTCCTGTCAATTGGTCGCATGTGCATACGTGCATGCAGCTGTTCGCTTTTTCTGCAAGGTGTTTGGGTTTGGGCTGCGTTGTATATTACCTATGAGATATATCTCCTTTCTTGTGCTATAGATAGATGTAAATTAGGATTTTGATCCATGTGTTGATACGTTTGAGTTGCTTCCTATCCGTCTCTTTAGAAGATTTTAAGAGGAAAAGCGGGATATGGTGAGCGCCGCTCAGTAATGAATTGAAACTGGGTATCATTGGTTAGATTTTAATCTAAGTATATAAAAACACTTTTGGCCTTTATTGCGTCTTCTTTCGGGTCTCCTCCGCCGTTTTGCGGTCAATCAAACAGCACTGGGAGATGAATTTCGACAAACACCAAAGGTACGCAATACCGAAACCTCCGGCGCCGACGAGGACGTTGAGCACCACCCACAAATCCGGCTTTCCAGGCGGGGGAGGAACGAATGCCTCTACCACATGCCACCCAACCATCACCAGGTAAAAGGACAGGTGAAGAAGCTTGGTGAGGATGTGAAGTCCGGAACGTGGGCCCGAATCGTCCGAGGTGGGTCGGGTGCGGAAGATTTCCAGCGATGTCGGCGGAAGACCGAGCAGATAAGCCCACAGGAGCGACATAACAAAGTAGGGCACCCGAAGCTCGTCGCGTTTGAGCAGGGGATACATAGTCCAAGATCCAAGCATGTTGGCCCATCCCACCCATGCGCGAGTCTCTTTGGTCAGTCCCCCGTCACCGGCAAGAAGAAGTGTCATAGGGAGCAGAGGCAGTAGGACGCTCTTTTCATGCACCTGGAACGAAAACAAGAAGAATCCCCAAGCCACGCAAGAGAGTGCGGGAAGGAGAAGCGAAGCGCGCGGGTGCCGGAAGACGATGGCACAGGGAATCAAGATGGATGCCAGTGTGGCACCAAGAGACACTTGCTGGAGAAGACTTGCTTCGAACCGATGAAGCTTGTAAAAGGTATGAATGGCACACCAAGCATTCGCAACCTTGTCTTCGAACAAGCCACGGGCGAAGGGAAAGACTCGGTGAATAATCTGGGTCAATTGGAACAAGGGCGCATAGAGCAAAGAGCTCTTGTCCAAGTCAATTGGAATTTTCTGCAACAGCGGAGGCTGTGGAAGCGAAGCCAAGATTTTTAGGGAATCGGCATTGGCAACTCCCACTAACAGTGGCGCAAGAAGAACCGCAAAAGCAGCAAGCGTGACGATGGAAATGCAAAGGAGCCGGAGGATGCGGATCTTCGGGAAAATGCAGACGCCCAGAAGAAAAGCGAACATGACCGGAGCATAATAGAGTGCCATCTGCTTGAAGCCCAGAGCACCCACAAAGAAAATGCAGGCCCAGAGCATGCGACCAGCAAGTATAGCATCCAAGCTCGCGACGACAAGTCCTAGCATCACGGTGTTGTATTGAAAGTGGCCGTGATCGATAAGTATGGTTGATGGTTGGAGCAGGATGGCAACGAGGGCAACCGAAGCCGACCACACAGGAACGTCCTGCATGCGAGTAAAGCGGCGCAGGAAATTGACAACGGCGGGGATATAGATGAGGTATTCGGAAATAACCACGGTTGCGCGCATGAACACTTTCAACTGGGGGTCCTCGAAGCCACGGGATGCGTCTAGCGCAAACCAGGCGGGGTCGAAAAGGGAACCACTTCTCATCGTTAGCATTTACAAAATTCGCAGAAACCATGAGACATTCCCATACATTTTACCTAGCAGCCAGCTATGATAAGCCGTCAATGGCGGGTAATCCAGACCCCAGTACTGCAAATCATACGTGTACCATTTCGACATAGGTAGGTGGATCGTCAATTCCATCCAATGTCTCTGCGCTTCGAAGTCACCATGCATTGGAGGTATTTTGAACCCTAAACAAGATGAGCATCGTGACATTCCGAGTCAAAAGGGTTTCGGCGTTCTGCCCTTTCCACCTACCAGAGTATCCCCAAAGACTGACAGCCCAGCGAAAGAGACCCACCGCCATCAAGATGAGGGGCAGAACAAGCCATTGGGAGACCCCTGCCCGAGCAGCCCATAGAAAAGAAACCAAGGGAAATGCTGGAGAGGACTTTCCATCCGTCTCCAAGATCAGGGAGTCATTGGACCCGGCCAACGAGGAAGCGAACTTTCTCTTCTTCCGTGGGCGATGAGAGGGATTGGGAGGAGCCATGTTGAATCTGAAACCGAGAGATCACTGAAACTCTTCCATTGACTATGCGTGATAGACAACGGTAATGGGTTGGTGGTGCAGAGACTCGAGACCGAATGGAGGAGGGGCGGGAGAACGAAGTCGCCAGCTTGAAGTTGACAGTCAAGGAAGAAGCTCCGGAGTAACGCTGGGTACCGGGGGGTGACACTTCGGCCGCAGCGATTGGCCACGGACGAACCAGTACCTTCCAGGTCTCCACTGTTCCAGCGGGTAGACGTGCCCAGACCAGGCAACGTGCGGCAGGCGGTGTGCAAAAGAAATTTTTGCCAACCCCCAGTTTTTTTTTTTTTTTTTTTTTTTTTTTTTTTTTCTCTTATCGGAGCTGGCAGTTCCTGAAATTTTCTTCCTTTTAATCCCCCCATCTCCTCTTCTCTTTTCTCTTTTTCTTCTTCTCTTCATACCTCACCTTCCCCATCATCTCTTTCATCTTACTAGATCTAGGATCTTTTCATCTTAGGTCTTTCTCACTGACACAGTAGCGTATCTTACTAGGTACACTTCAACAGACATCCTGTGGGCTTTTTACATTTGAGGGCTGTGGGCTGTGGCATATCGCATACCTTTTCCTGTGGGATCTGTGGGTTACTCTCGTGGGTTTCATCTATAGACGGTTGCATATTTCCTGTCCGTCTCTTGTGGGCTTGAACATTGTCAGTTGTGGGTTACCTGTGGGTATCTGTGCTAAAAATCTCTTCCTTCGTGTCGAGATTAAATCGGGTGATTGTGGGATCGTGTTGAATCTGCCGCACCATTTGAGTTTTTCTGTCGGTTTCTATCCTACGGATTATCTAAATTTGGTTTGTGTCACCTGCCACCCGTCGAGATTTTTTTGCTGCCTGTTCGTACTAACCGCTCTCTCTTTCCAGTTCCAAAATGTCTAAGACCAAGTCGGTTTCCAAGAAGGGCGGCGAGAAGCCCGTTGACAAGTCCTTGAGCAAGGTCAAGGATGCTGGTGTGACCAAGTCTTCTCAGTCTCCTAAGGCCAAGAGCAAGCAGATCGCTCGCGACCTGGCCACCAAGGAGAAGAAGTCCAAGAGCAAGAAGAAGGAGCCTACTCCTAGTAGCAGCTCCGAGTCTGAGTCCGACAGCGATGAGGAGATGAAGTCGAGCTCCAGCTCCAGCGAGAGTGAGAGCGAGAGCGAGGATGAGAAGAAGAAGCCTGCCAAGAAGGAGGTGAAGAAGGAGCAGAAGAAGCCCGCCAAGAAGGCTGAGTCTTCTTCCGAGTCTGAGTCGTCTGACAGCGACGAGGACATGGAGGATGCTTCTTCTAGCAGCGAGAGTGAGGAGGAGAAGCCTGCCCCCAAGAAGCAGCAGAAGAAGGCCGAGGAGCCCAAGAAGGGCAAGAAGGCCGAGAAGAAGGAGGAGTCCTCTTCCGAGTCTTCTGACTCTTCCGACTCTGAGTCTGAGGAGGAGAAGCCTGCCCCCAAGAAGGAGCAGAAGAAGCCTGCCAAGAAGGCCGAGTCCTCTGACTCTGAGTCTTCCGATTCCGAGTCGGACTCTGACTCCGACAAGAAGGAGGCTCCTAAGGCTGCTGCCAAGAAGGACTCCAGCGACTCTGAGTCCGAGTCTGGCTCCGACTCCGAGAGCGAGGAGGAGGCTCCTGCCAAGGCCAAGAAGACTGAGAAGGTGCGTTTGACAAACATCTTACTGATAGTTACGGACTAAACGCTGACCAAGACCCATCTACAGTCTTCCTCCGACTCCGACTCTTCTGACTCCGAGTCTGGCTCTGACTCTTCGGACTCTGAGTCCGACAGCGAGGAGTCCGCCAAGGACTCCAAGAAGCGCAAGGCTGATGATGAGGAGGAATCCTCTACTCCCAAGAAGTCCAAGACCGAAGAGCCCGCTGGCGGTGCCTCGGCCAACCTCTTCGTTGGTAACCTTTCGTGGAATGTGACCGAGGACTGGCTCCACCAGGAGTTCGAGGGCTTTGGTGATCTCACTGGTGTGCGCATCATGACCGAGCGTGACACTGGCCGCTCTCGCGGGTAAGTTCTCTGCCCCCAAGTGGTCTATAGATTATTTTGGGCACGGTGCTAACTCTGACCAGATTCGGATACGTCGAATTCTCCAACAACGTCGACTCCGCCAAGGCCTACGAGGCCAAGAAGGGCACTGAGATTGACGGCCGTACGATCAACCTTGACTACGCCACTGGCCGCCCGGCCAACAAGGACGCCGGTGGTAAGGACCGGGCTCAGGCTCGCGCCCGTTCTTTCGGTGACCAGGCCAGCCCCGAGAGCGACACCCTTTTCCTCGGCAACCTTCCCTTCAGCGCCACCGAGGACTCGATCAGCGAGGTGTTCGGAAACAGCGGTAGCATCATGGGCATTCGCCTGCCCACCCACCCCGACTCCGGCCAGCCCAAGGGCTTCGGTTACGTTCAGTACGCTTCCGTCGAGGAGGCCCGCCAGGCCTTCAACGACTGCAGCGGTGCCGAGATTGACGGCCGCCCGGTTCGTCTGGACTTCAGCGCTCCCCGTGCCAACAACGGCGGCGGTGCTCCCCGCGGTGGCGGCGGTCCTCGCGGTGGTGGCCGCGGAGGTCGTGGCGGCCGTGGAGGCTTTGGCGGACGCGGCGGCGGTGGTCCTCCCAACCGTGGCCGTGGCTCCATCCCTGAGTACAAGGGAACCAAGGTGACCTTCTAAGTATGAGGTGAGACGGTACGAAGAAAAGTTTGTAGGATTATCTTTGTTTGCGATCTGAAAAAAGTTCTTACGTTGTTATTCCGATGAGCTGGGATATTGTTATATTAGACCCGGATAACTAATTTACGACTTCAATTTACTATGATCTTGTATAGAAGTAACTTAAAGTAGTAGGTCACTCGTGGTAACTACCTATGACTACCTATAACTATATATAATTCCCTATAACTGACTGATTGGCTGCAAAGTGGCTGACCAAACAACGTGACGGGAGTCTTGGCATCCCCGTCTTTGTTCCTCGTCGCGCATCGGCTGATTTTCCCCTCTCCTTCCATCTGGTCTTTCTCGTGAACCCAGACCATCCTATTTTTATTGCTTCTCCCATCATCTTTGCGGTGACGACATCTCCCCTCATCCTTGTGGAAGATCATCGAACCATCAGAGGAGGCCTGCCGATGATCCGCGGCGGCAGGACAAGTCAGCTGTCGGCCGTCTGCTGATCGAAGGCAACCACTCATTGTTACTTAGGAACTGCCCTCGTCTTGTTGACTTTCTCTCCTCCTGAACCTTCCTTTCTTTCTGTCTTTCTGTCCAGTCCGATCCCTCTGTCGACCCCTCTTTCCATCGAGCTGTCCTTTGTCTATCTCTCGCGCAGAGTGGATCGCGTGCATAGTCCAGTCCAAACTCCAAAGACCCCAGCCCAACGATCTGCAAAGAACCGCTTCATCGCCCAAAAGATAAGATAATCAGGGCCCACCCCCTCATTGCCGATTGATTGATTCTTGCATCGATCGCTGCTTGACCGCTCCCTTCCTTCCAGTGGTCTGATTGTTCCCCTCTTTGATCCCTTTTATTTGTCTCCTTTCGCTTCCTCCGTACATTTTATTCCATCTCTCTCTTCCCCTTCGTACTCGTCCTTCTCTCTTGTCCCCATTCCAGCACCATGCAGCCCAACCACTATGACCTCCTGGGTCAGGTGCAGGACGAGCCTCGACCACGGATGACGCGAGAGGCTCATCAGCAGCGTAACCCCCTGCCGTCACGCTCGCCATCTGGTGTTGCGCCCACGAGATCAGAAGGTACGTGATGCTTGTTTTGGTTTCTCTCCACGATAGATATCTTACTCCCGCCGTTACTTCCCGACGATCTCTCCTGCACGTTGCACCATGCATGCAGTTTCACGACCGTTTTCACCGCCGGATTACTTTGCCAACATGTACTCACTGCAGTATTATATAGATTCATGGATCGAGGTCTCCTCCCAGCCCTCATCCTCCTCCCTGTCGTCCGCTGCCACCAACGATGACATTATCACCACCGGTCTCCGTGTCGAGCAAAATGGATCTCGACCATACCATCGTCGTAGCACACGACGTCGCCTGCAACATCTGGCTGCCGTCACCACGGCCCAGGTCGATTACTCGTCCCGCGAGCAAAGCAGTAGTCAGGACGAATATGAAGAAAGTGAAAGCGAGTCGGACCGTGTCTTGAGCAGTTCAAATGAGGATGTGGCCCGCCGCCCGCTGGAGGTTCCATCCCTGACAGGAATGGGCCCGTCAGCACCTGTGTCGGACGACGCCCCCTCGACTGATGACGATGATAACTCCACTGCATTAGGGATGCGAATCAGCTCATCCCCCTTCGTTCCGCAGCCCAACGTCTTTTCGCATCCTCCTGCGTCGCAAGACCCATCCTGGACGAGGCCTCTAGAGCGACGTCGTTCTCAGCCAAGCGAGGTGTCGAACTGCAGCCGTCGGACCGCAATCCGAAGAAACTCCCAGGCCAGTATCCGGTCGGCTCGAAGATTGTCGCAGCAACAGCATAGTCCGTACAACATGATCTCTCCTTCTCACCACGCCGATCACGATGCCGCCCTCCGCGCCAGCCTGTCCACTCTACTCTCCTGTGCCGCGGCGGCGCGCGGTTTACCTAAACATGACTCGCAACCTTCTCAACCTCCACAGCCTGGTCCCTCTCGGGCACAGCCAGCCTCCTTTCGGCTCGTGCCAGAGTCGGTGGCTATGGGAGACGAGGTCGGTGAAGAGGCGGTCGCGTCTGCCGCCGAGACCCATGATTCTACCAAGTCACCGCGGCCAAGACAACCGTCAGCACCTATGGCAGCCTATTCAGCACCCAACTCACCCAAGATCAAACGGCGGTCTAGCTCCCCTAAAGATCGTCGTTCATCTTCCAAGAAGAGCCGTCATACCGCCACAGCCGACTCTGCCGGCAGCCCAACCATCATGACGTGGGTCATCAGTGCCGGCGTAGTGGTTCTTTTCTCAGCCATCAGCTTTTCGGCCGGGTATGTACTCGGTCGCGAAGTAGGAAGAATGGAGGGCGGTATGGGTTCCGCCATGGGAGATGGGGGATTTTCAGGAGGAAAAGCAACTGCCGGGTGCGGCCAGGAAGCTGTTCAAGGAGGGCTGAAACGGTTCCGATGGGGCTCTGGAACGTCCGGGTCGGGCATCATTGCATAAAGCCAACCAGCCATATCAAGATCTTACGACGATGACGGAATTACGATGTTCATGTGGATGAAACCCTCTTTCTCTCCTTCCATTTCTTACTGTTGGTTGGGTCGGTGTTCCTACGGATCTACACAGTGGTCCTCTTTCTGTTCTTTGCACAAACATGGAGCTGTCTTGGGAAAAAGTACCTTGCAGAGCTTTCCTTGGTGTTCTGTCTATAATGGGAGTTTTGTTGTCAACTCGTCTGTTCAAATCATTGGTGATCATTTTGCTTTTGCACGCTATACCCCTTTTCCCCTCGTTTCATGTTGGATCGTAATTCCTTTTGGTCAGACTCCGCGATGACATGACAAGCCATGTGGGACATTTGGCTACGAACTTAGCATTTACACAGCTATGAATTTTGGGTTAAGTGTGCATTCATCTATCATTCGATATCTACATCTCCTTATCTGCATCATTGGTCTTTTCTAATCCATCGATTATATCATCTCAGTAATGGCACAGCCACACGAAGCCTAAAACTAAATAGGTCATTGAGCAGTCTCCAGAGTAAATCCAGATATTGTTCAATCCCTCGACAAGCCCCTGCCTAGACAATCTTTAACCTACACCCTTCATGTGAAGGTGATTGATTGTCGCTGCTTAGTGTTTTGTATGGCCATCGTGCCTTGATACACTCGAAGCACCTGCGATGTATCGCTTCGGTTAATCGTTGAACATCCGCTTGATCGATCATATTCCACTCTTCAACAATTGTAATTCTGTGATAGAATGGATTCTATGACGGCGCTTTGAGATACGCAATCTCATGAGACACCAAAGCTTCTCAATGGAGCGGACGGCAAAGAGGGCTGTTCCATGCGTTGAAAATGCATAGGTTGCGTAATGTTGAATAGAATTTGCAGTATGATATCGAGCTCCGTCATCCTGCCAGATTAGTTCTCCATGAAGCCCAGCAATGACTTCATGGTAGCATTACCCAATGTCATCCAAAATTAAACAGTGTCTCAATGTCGGGGTAGAATGTAAAGCGGATACCGCGTCCCATTCCGTTGCGAGAGGCCTCAATGATACGCTTGACTGATATCAGTTCGGCATCCGCGTACTAAACAGGGCTATGCATCATCCTCCACAAGCAATCGCCTTGTCAAGGGGTTAGGTCAAACGGGTTTTGTTTCTGCTTCCAACGGGACGACCCCGGCGCTTCGTAGGCGTTAAAGTAGGCGTCGCAGTAGGCGTCGCAGTATCCGTTATAATGGGCTGTGGTAAGGTGATGATGGGTTGAGCTGCATTCATAACGGCGCAAAGGTTCTGCTCGTCAGTCTGCATGATCTCATCCTTGTAAGGACGCAAGTCAGATGTATCGACAGTAACCTCGCGAACAGTAGTATCATCCTTCAGAAGAGTGTCAATCCGCATGATAGCTGCTAGATTCTCCGTAGAGAGGGACGCAATACGCTCCATCAGGTCATTCCGTTCCTTGCGCAGATGTTCGACTTTCATTGCCGCCTTGTTTTTTGCTGTGGTCAAATCTTCGATTTATTCAAGTCGTTTTATCTCATTGTCATTCGCCAACTTGTTAGCGGCAAAAAGAGCTTCGTTGAGAAAAACGTTCTTCTGAATCGTGTCATCTTTTACCTTGTTAAGCGACTTAATCTGCTTTGTCAAGGTTTCGATCTGTTCGGCCTGGCGAACCGTGTCATCTATCGCTTTGTTAAGTGACTCAGTCTCGACCTGTTCGGACTGCGAATCAATATCGTTAGAAAGAGCGGTGCCTTTCGCGTTATCATCCCTTGCTGCGTAAAGTGCGTCTGTGTTTGCAACCGCATGATTATATATCTCGATCAGATGACGAATAGAATCTCGAATAACTTTATCGCACACCTTAGTAGTGCACGATCGGACGCATACCACCCGCGGCTTTGACCCTAGCGCCTTCGTGCATCGAAGGCACCAGGCCGAGGTGGGCGCGGCTTCGGGGGGCTCCGGGATGGAGCGAGGCGGCAGTGCAGAACGGCTTTGACCTCCAAGGGAGGCCGAGAAAAGTCGAGAGAACGGGCGCCGACCGGTTCGGGGGGACTCCTCGTCCGAGACCCCGATAGTACCCCCCTGGGCATCCTGTGCGGAGCCAGGGGCATCGTTCTCCAGCGGCAGGGGAGACGTATCGAAACGCCTTAGGCCCAGGTTTATGTCCCAGGCAGATGTAGACAACGCACGAACGATTTGGTTTGGTTCGGGCCTGGGGTCTTGTCGTAGTCCATTAGAATCACTTCCTGCTCTGGGCTCAAGGAATACACTGTCTGACCTAGTGCATTGTCTCTCTTCATGATAAGCTAATCCTCTGACCTAGTGCATAACCCTCGGGAATGAAGCAAAACCAACGGCCGTATCAACAGAAGGCAAACGATCAAGAAATGGGCGAGGGCAGGAACTCAGAGTCTCTTTCTTCCTTGTCCAACGGTCGAATCACCTTCAGAGCTCGGATGAGTGCTGTGCCCATCCTCGCATCGTCCAGCTCAACACGAAAGCATGCCATGCCCATATTCTAAGAGCTTATGGGGAAGAGGACTGGCGGGTTTAGCTGACGGGTCTTTTGTACCAGGGCGAGAATATTCGTGTCAAGGCCGGCAGACGCCTTGTGGGATGACTGAACTTCCTCGGCGAGCCTTGGTAAATCGCACTCTCAGCACCGAGAGCTAAAGAACTGCGTTGCTCTTGTTTCTCAAGATGTGGAGTTTCCAGCCCAATTATAAACCACATAGGACATAGGCACGGGAAATATTTCCCCATGATATTGAACCGATGGGGTTGATATCTCGACCTTTGATTTTGGTCTGACGACGTGAGAGATACCTTCATCGAATCTATTGAGATTGATGGATATGTCCTCGCTAGAACAGAGTCGTAGCCGGAAAAGTCTGCAATTCGGTTGAAAAAGGGGGTAGCGGTTAACAACCTGTGATGTTTAGCCGCCATCGTGGCCACTGCTTGAGCTCCATTTCTGATCTTTCAATTTTGCAGATCGACTTCTCCGGTACGAATCAAATGTATTGCTACATATGTATTCATAGAAGAGCGCGACCTTTGTCTGACCGACTGCTCTTGTGGAAAATCCACAGCGGAGATAGTCCTGCCATGTCTTGATTGCCTCCCCCAAAGTCGACTGATGGAGGGACAAAGGCACCACAGTTAAACAACACGCGACATGAGATAACTCTCGCGGTACTGGACCTCGCCGTCACGCCAGTCCACGAGGACAGGCAGTTAACACATTTGTGCCCAATGCGGGATTGTGTTAGAACCGAAGTCGTTTGCTAAAAATGGGTCACATTGTGGCAAATGGCAGGATAATGGATCATTGCCTTTACTGTGCTCTCGAAACCTCGTCACAGAGATTGTTGAGATGAAAGACAGGACTTAAGTCTATCGAATACTTTTTGCGAGTCGACAGACATCTTCGTACCCCTATACCTTTGTAACAGTGCGTGATTCGCAGAGACCATTTTTATCAACATCTGACCCCAAGTTAGTACATATTCACCTGCTTGAAAAGAACAAAGACCAAATTTACCGAGATGCTGAGTGATAAACATAGAATAAGAGTAAAGATCTTCGAACTTATCTTTAAACTTATCACATTTCTCAATATTTTTCACTTCGAGAGTCCGTAACGACATCTGCTCCGTGCACAAGCGCGTTAAGCTGGCTGATTGTTTTCTCTTGCGATTGGGTTCTCGCTGGTTATCGACGGCTAGGCGAAAAATGCCTGATAGCGGACCTCCGTCTATCTTTCACTCTGTATCTCTTGCCGTTCCCTGAGATCCGCAAGCTCTTGTTGTGTAGCAGCAAGTCATCGGTTTGTCGCACCAATCTCGGTATCAAGTCCAGCTTGTAGCTCCTCAATCTTCTGAAGCAGAGACATTTCGTTTCGAAACATCTCACGACCCATATGGTTACCAACTAATTGTGTTCCACTCGGGAGGGTTTCAAGTGTGAGACGCTGCTTCGAACGTTTCCGTCGGAGTCGGAGTTGAGGTAATCCTGGTGAAGGTGTTGGCTGTACTTCTGTTGATACCTGCCACCGCCGACGGATCGCAGTACATTGTCAGAATAGTGGAAGATACTAGATGGTTCCTGTCACCACCGTGATTTGAACCCTGGTTTTCGTCTGAGTCACAGAGGCTAATTAACTGTATGCACAGGCTCCGCAAGAAATGGAGGACAGTGGATGAGATGTCCAATTTGTTTGGCCGGTGACAGATGGCCCTTAGGTTTGTGTCGCTCATGCCATAGCTCTTTTGACTGTACATGGAAGCCCGCAATCCAGATAGGATGTCAGCCCAGTCGGCTATAATGCATCGATTTGACCCCGGACGATAGACCCGCAACCGTCTAATAGGTTGAGACCTACCGTTTGCAAGAATATCTGGTAGTGTGCCTTCTGGGATCGGTATGGGCCTAGATCCATGTAAGTATGATGGAAGTTATTTGAACAGAGAGGAAAGGAAAGAGGATATAAGGGCTTTATATAGACCGTCATTCCCTTATACTTGGTTAATGGCCCAAGCGATTCCCATTGCGTGTATTCACAACCGATAAGGCAATGAATGAATTAGCAAACGATGAAGGAAGCAACCTCATAGATTGGGAATGGGGGCTGATATCCTGTTTGGCCAGTGAATTTAAAAGGCCAACCAACGACTACACTCAACAAAGAACAAAAAGAATCCTGCAGAGTTCTTCTGTACGGTTGGAAGAGACGACTATGATTCCAAATATTATCTTCACGGGTTGATAGCCCTTCACAGGCGGACAAAAGTGGGCAACTATTTGCAATTAATAAATCCAGATGTAGATCGATCTTAAAATGTCGTATGATTTTGATGGGATTATTTGTCATAATACACCCCCGGACTTTTTTCTATACTGTTTTCCCTGTGCCACTTATCCTGCCGGAGCTTACCGCGCCAAAGCAATGTCATCAATTCTCATAATCATCTTAACCG